TAACCTATTAAAAGTATTTATTTTCTAGATAAAGTCTAATATAAACTTATTAATAGTTATATAATTCTTATACTTAATCTTAATAGCTTCTCTCTAAATCTAGTATATATATCTTTAACTACTACTAATAATTATTCTTTATAACTTTTATATAAAATTATTTATAAAGATATATAGGGTAGTATCTATTAATAGTTCCTCTACTAATTTCTTATTTATTAAATATAATATCTAACTAGCTACTATTTATAAAAGAAATTCCTATAATTTATACTTAAAATTATTAAATTATAGTCTAGGAATATTACTTTTAAGAAGCTTATTTATCTTATAAAGCCTTAACTCTATTTATATAAATAAAGTCTAAATTTTAAATTTTAAATTATTTTCTAATACTATTATCAGGCTTAAGTTAAATATACTATTCTTTAGCTTTATTACTTGATTTCAGCCATTAGTAAATAGGGTAGTAGCCATTAAAGGTAAATATGGTAAGTCAGGGATGTCAGGGTATCTATTAGGGGTAGGTTTAGTTACTATTTTAGTCAAATTATAAAGATTTTCTATATACTATTACCTAGGTAGAGTAACACAATAGTAGTATAGGTAGTGTAATATAATAGCAGTAGGTAATATTTCTACCAGGATCTCTTTCTAATCAGGGAGTAGATTACTATACAAGAATATAGGGGTATGATAAGAGTTTTAGAGGTCTATAAAGTATAAAATAGAACCTTAAGGAGAGCTTATAACCTGATAAAGGTTATTAAACTATAATAGTAGAAAGTTGACTGAAATGGATTTAATTAGTCTAACTAGGAAATAGAGAGATGCTTGGAGGAAGTATAGAGATCTAGAAAGAAATAGTGGCCTTAAATACACAAAGTAGTTACGTGTTGCTATCTTCTTCTTTATGGTGATGCTGCTTTATGGTGGTGCTGGTTGCATTCACTGAGTGCAGCACTCCAACAAAAGACCTAGTTACAGAGTATCCGTACTCCGTACAAGTTGGTGTCGACAAGTGCGACGCTAACGTGAACGCATGTTCAAAGCCCAGTGTTTCAAGTGTAAACACCCAGTGCTTCTTGTCTGCGCGAAAATTCCCTTGTTGGAAACCTTGAGGTTTATTTGTTGCACTGATTGCGACGCCTGATTCTATGTATAGTTCAATCAATCCCACCCCAAAAGCTAGCTCATCATCATATTCAGGTACGGTGCAGCACGTCAAGGGAGAAGCTTAAGGGACCTTGAAATTTGAATGGGGCCAACTAGTAACTAGTTAACCGGAAGACTCCTATTGCTTGGCCATGGAAGTCGTTGCTCCACTGTGGTGAAGATCCTCTCCTGTCACCCAGAATACACCAGTCAGTATGGTTTGCCCTGTTATTTTCTGTGTAAAACTTGGCGGGAGGAGTCGTTGGCAAGTCAGTCCGTGACTGAGTCAGTCGTTAGTTAGTTAGTTAGTGAGTGAGTGAGTGGACTGGAGTTGGTAAGACGAAGTAGTAAGTAACTATACCCACGGCCGAGGCCTCGTAAACCAGTTCCTAGAGAGCCATGTTTCGCCAACGTCCCTGGTCTCCTGCAAAACAGGAGGGACATTCTTTCTGTGTCCAGCTTTCTAGAATATTCATAGTAGCTTTTATTTGTTGGTATGTTAAATAGGAAAATTTGCCAAGTGCAAGTCGGATAAAGGGAACCGATCCTTGTTCTCCGCTCATTTTGGCAACAAATCTCTGCCCTCAACCCTTGATAATCACTCACCTGGCATGCTGGTGTGATACGGTATTTCGTGAATGATAATCCCGAAGTGGATAACGGCGCACCCCCTCCCTCTCTCTCTCCCGTTTGGTCCTGGATTCTTTGGATCTGTCATCCTGTCAACACCCCCCCCCCCCCAGCTAGGCACGACAACGGCTGCTTGGCCTGCATATCTAGGGACACCCACAAATGGAGCCGGTATAATAAGTCTAATAACACACATACCGCTGCAAACAATGGACAAAATATGACCGGGGTACAGGCGCATTGATTCCGCAACGTCTTTACCGTACGCAGTAATAGTTAGGTCATTCTGCAATGTTCTGCGCCAGGTTGAGGTGACGCCCTCAGCAACAAAGCTCGAGAACCAGGAGATGACTGGATTGATCTACTGGATATCGATTGACATCTGAAGTCAGGTCAGATAATGGCGCCAAATCCGGTCGGAGATTCGGCATATCTCTGCAGGATCTACGCGGCCGCTATAGTATTAGATTTGTGGTATTCTGTCCTTCTGAAGAACGAAGGGTGGGATGCGAATGCTACCTTCAACGGGAATTCGGGTAAGGATGAAAGGAGTGAAGGGGCAGGGGCGCAGGGCTCAAGGATGTAGGCACAGTGCAACTATCCAGCATACAGTACGTGGTGGTGCCCTTGTATAAGGTGGAGTCGCTGCGTCTTCGCTGGAAGGACGTTGCTTTCTTCCTTTGCTCCGGGAGGCTGGATAGGATTCAACTCCATGATAAGAAGGTGCATAAGTTAATATATTTAATGACATAAGAAAGAGTGAAGAAAAGACGCATGGGTTCTCGGTCTGGGGGAGCAGTAGGTTTCAGCCAGGCGGATCATGGCCAGAAGAGAGATGGGACAGCGAAAGGAACAGTTGGCTGGGCGCTATAGGGCCAATAAAGCGAAAGGGTGTGCAAGTAAGGAGTGAGACAATGAAGCCAAAAATATCCCCAGAGATCTAGGCAAAAAAGAGTCTGGATTATGTTTTGTTGGTCTGTGTACTCTGTAAGTACGGAGTATGGGGGATGGATTGCATACATACATACAGAGACCACTGATATGGAAGCGCCGCCTCGCAGTCTGTGCAAGCTGCATAATTGATGCAGTATGCAAAGTAAAGTGTATCCTAGAGCCAACTAATGATATTGCCAGCCACACAATTATCGCTCCCCATCATTATCGTCCTATGAGAACAAGTTTTTCTGCTTCTATCAAGGCCAATAGGGGGATGTTTCACACTGCAACCGGGGGGTTCCTGCAGCATAACGGCCGAACCCTGCCCCCTCTTTCGTTTCCCCCCCCCTCTCTTCTATTCCCAAGAGAGAAAGAGACTGAAGGATTATGTGGAAATGGGGACTTTTCCCAGGGTTTTTCGTAAATTAAGATTCCCACATCGCCAGTTGGCAATCTTGCCGCCAACCTCCTCTTCCCCGGCTGTCCAATGCGGTTTCAACCCACTCCTATTCGTATCTACGGACTCTAAATGGAGACATGTAAAACATCGTTTACCCTCTCCTACCTGTTTGGGAAGGGAATAGGGTAGACTCGGGGTTCTTCCAAGTATGAAGGATATGAATGACAGCCTTCCCCAGGGAGTCAGGCAACCCCCGCCAATATATTCTTATTATTATAAACGATCGACTTCTATCGCGACATGAGTATCTGAAACTGCCATTCCGCAAACTCGATCCGGACCCGAGGCATGGGCATCTGCAAGGATTCAATTCTGCTGCAGGGGGGTTGAGCGTCTATCTGGAGCGGACATGGCAGGAAGAATTTTCCCATTCGTTAGGGGGGAGAACATCGGATAATTTTCGAAGCTAATGGAGGGAGAGAACGGTTGTTTTAAAATAAAGAGAAATAATCAGAAGAAACCCTAAATAGAGCCTGTAGCTTCACGCGCAAGAGTCGAATGAACAGCGTTAGGGGGAAATGGTTCTCTCTGGGCTGGCGTGTTTGAGTTAGAGATGCTATAGTGGGGAAGCGGCAGGTGTGCTTTGTACCTGGAAAAAAATTTAGCAAGATACTCCGTAGACTAGATATCTATCTGGTTACTCTACTGTATTATGAATTGAAGATTGTTAAATTGGATTTGGGGAGGGGGAATTGAAGCTTACCCTGGCAGTGTGGCTTCCAGAAACTTTCTCTCATAGTATCTGATGTGTCTCTTTCGAGGTATATTTAACAAGGTCAATATTGAGATTTCCTCCCGCAATTATTGAACAGTCTATTCCGATTTACAAGGACTGGGTGGGATGTGGTTGTTGTTTGCAAGTTCCGCTGTAATCTACCAGGGTGAATTGAACATCCATACTCTGTATATACTAGAATATCATCATCCACGTACCCTCCTCCGTATACAAGCACCAATCATCCCACTCTGGCTCTTCTGTCTCCCACATGGGCCAGGTTGTCTCTTGGCATGTTATTTGGATCTAGCGGCGATCTACTCCGTAGAAGAGACAAGAGAGACACACAGGCCCTGTAATCTTGCTGTTGCCGTCAAATTTAGTGGCTGCACTAACCTCCCGTCATCGACAGCTCACGTTGATACGTCTGATTTACCCTTTCCAAGGGTTCCTATTCCTGTTTTTTTTTTCTTTTTTTCTTTTTTGATACTGCCATTGCATTCTCTGGGTAACTCCTCCCTCCTTCCTTTTCTCTCTGGAAGCAATGCACGATGATGATAGTTAAACTAATGATGTAGGGTTGTCAGTCAGGAACCTGGACGATGCAAGGGTGTTGCTGCACCTTGATATTCTGAAGCACTGGTCCCACTCCTTGTACTGCATGAATGACCAGGCAAGGATGACCAGACCAGGCTTACGTCTTTTGTTGCCCATCCTCGACTTCGAGTCTGCGGTTTCGTCCCTATCCAGCTAGCATTCCCAACCCTGATTCGATGCACGTGTTTCCGGCGGTACCTGGAGGATACCAACGGATTAAAAAATATGGGTTGTTTTTCTAACTCCAGTCTAGTTAGTAGTGGATCTCCCCTGGAACCCCCCAGTGGTTGTGTGATCGGATGGGCATTATTCATGGATATCGCCGGTGGCTTTTCTGCTTCAACCTTTTTCTAAGCCGGGATCCACACTTCAGGGAGAGAGAGAGAGAGAGAGAGAGAGAGCATGCCAACCCGTGTGGGACGGTCAATATATCCTGGTTGCGTCCAGTATATTTGATAGCCTACTGACTTCCCTTTTTTCCTCTCTTGGGTGTCTTTTGTTGTATCCCCTGGCTTGCTTCATTCTTCTCACGTTCCCTTTGGCCTTGATCACTTCCCCTGCCTTGAGATTCCTTTTTGTCACCCTCGTTTACTTGGGCACTGTGGAGGATCCCTACGCTCCTATATTGATTGTTACGATACTATATATCTTCCCCGGGCCATTAATTGCCCCCACCCCCTTTATCCACGGTAGGTGAAAGATGTACGACACCGCGGTGCCTCTTGACCTCAGTTACATGAACCAAGCATCTCTACCGCGCCATTACGAGTCAGACGAGGAGGAGATTTCCGAGTCAGAGACTTGGGGACAAGAACACACCTTCTCCCCAATTGATTCCTTCAAGCTTGCGGGAACCTTGGATTTCAACATGATCACGGATGAACGATCAAGTGTCAACCTGGGCGAATCCGGGATAGAGAGACCGGTTGTGCCTCGTCTTCTCTCGCCGTTCCCGTCTACGGGGAAACCATCGCGACCTGTATCGATGGACACAGTGAAGCGTAGTAGCTGCGCGACATTTGTGACGGATTCTTATATTTTTGATAACGACGACGATATGATCATTGAACTCCCGTCTCCGAATTCAACTACTCCTCTTCAATCGCCTCTCTTCTTGCAGCCAACAGTATATGTGCCCTCCGAACCATTTACCTCGCCCATCAACTCTTCTTCACGATCCTCATCGCCTTCATCATTCTACTCGGATAATGAGAGCGATATCTTCATTGCAGAACAGGTCACTTACGTGGAACCTACTGCGAAACCTAATCTAATTCTAATCAGCCCTGTCTCAGAGCAGTCCTCTCCAAGAGAAGACACCATTCCGCAGCCATCTCTTGGATCGTTCTATTCTCTTGACCAAGCAGCGAAATCGCAACCTCTACTAGGCGAAACAAGCATGAATCGGGGCCGTTCTAGGTATTCAGCCCGTCCAATGCGTGGTCCCTTCCAGATGAGTCTGAGCGGCCTGGAGACTGCAGGATATGCACTGAGCCCCAAAGATATCTCTGAGCCTGCCAGTGCGACAGCCGCTGAGATGGCTCAGTCGATGTCACTGCGCCATCGATCCATGACCTTCTCCCGGCCGCAGACTTCGTTTGCTGAGAGTGGGCCGTTCTTGGGAATGCGCTCTCGGCTGCAGAAAGATCAATCATGCCGCCCTCCATCCGCACAAAGCGCGGCCACGTTCTCGTTGTTCCCATCTACGCACCCGTTCCCTTTCGCTAGAGACGACCATCGCAGCCGGTCGATCTCTTACTCCCACTCCGCGGCTAGCTCGGAGTATTCACTTTCATCCCAGACCAGTCAGCCGGTTTCTCGAACACCCAGCCCAACCCCATATTACTCGAATCCCTTCCACCGGAGCCGCTCCGGTTCTATCTATAGTGTCTCCAGCGTTCCCGCCGCTCACGCACCGCGACCACCACTCCCCTATCGGGGTTCTCTAATCAAGGGCTCTAGTAGCCTCAGCGGATACTCCGCCAGCAGTCTGCGGTCAGAAATCGAGAATAGTTCCGCCGTCGACCCGCAGCAACGGGCTGAGACGGAATTCAAATCGAAATCGCGACGCAAGAAGAGTCTGAAACAGATCCGGACCTCACACTCGAAAGCGGAGAATTCCGATTCCTCAACGACCAAGAGCTTTGTGGACTTTATGTTACGAGGAAAGCGAAAATCCACGATTAAAAATTTCTAATGTTTAATCTTGTCATTATTGAACCTCTCCAACTGCTGCATTGCATGAAGATTTTTACGAACCATCCTCTGAAGTGATCTTTTTGGCTTGACCATGCAGTGTCTGTTCCTGTTTTATGCAGAGGATTCTCTATTGAAGTTCCCAACTGTATCTTTGATCAGTTTTTTTTTCTTTTTTTCTTTTTTTTTTTTCCTCCTGCGGCAACCTGTGGTGGCTTCACGCGTCTTTTTTAGCGTCTTCAATTTTTTTTTCTTTTGAACTGGGTGGATATCTGCTTTTGTTTCCCTTACTCAATTGGATTGAGTAGTTTGCCATCTCTGTCTTGTTTTGGCCTCTTGCTTACCTAGTACCTGTACTATATTAACTAACTTTACGCGCATTGGAAGAGACCCCCCCTGCGGGCCTGCAGTGGATATGCAATATCAACACTGCTGCTGTCCAGCATGGCAAACACCAAGACTTGGAATGAAAATCGTTGACTTCATCGGGCAAGATACGAGCATTCGCATCCACATCCACATCCATGATATCCGTACTCCGTGCCCTGTGCTTGCAGTCTGCACCCGCTTATCTACCTACCCAGCAAGTCCAAAAATTGAGTTAACCCCCCCTTGGCAGCTATCCATGACTCCATGGCCGCACGGTTGGTTGTTTGAGATACAGTGGATCAAATGAAGCCCCACCGTAGCGGCGTAGCCCGCTATTCCGCAACAAGTCTGATAAAGTAGATAAAAGGGGTGTCTGTCTTGTGCTGCTCGTATCCGAGATTCCGGTAAGAAACTAAGGAAGCTTCCAAGACGCGGCTCTGGAGGGCTCCACCTGGTTTGAGGGGCTACTGTACGACTCTAAAGTTGTTCTTGTTCTTGTTCTCGTTTCTTGCATGGCAGCTAGATCATCCGGACGCGGCAACCCGGGTTCCATTTCGACCTCCCCCTGATTCAGAAAATTTTTGGGCACGTCTCTTTGCTTGGTTCCTGAGCCGAGGGGGGCTGGCTACACTACCGAGTACCAAACAGATACCTATGTGAGATGCATATACACACAGACTGTAATAGATCATCATTCCCTATTTGGTCCTCCTAACCCCCTAACGTGTGTATAACTATAGACAGAGTACTGCCCAGTACCTACTACTGCTCCGTGCGCAATCAATGCCCAATGCTCTCCCACTAACTTGAATTTGGAATTTGGAGTTTCTCCTGGCGCTCGGGTCAAAATCCGATCCGCGAACCGCCCACATACTAATGGTATTGGGGGATAGTAGGTGAGATTGGTAGTCCTTACTCCCGGAAGTAAAAGAGTGTGAGACTTGGATAGTTCTGTGAGTATTAACATACTCTGTGGTGAATAATATCATCATCAGTAACTACAGAGTATGCTAGACTGCCTGGTATGTAATATCCCGCAGCATCTCCACCAAGATGGGAATTTTCTCTCAATCCTGATTCTTATTTGTTGTCACTGTCTTGGAGAAGCGGTAGGTTACAGACCAACTGTCCTATCATACCTTATTCTGTCTGTTTGCTGTAGTGAATCTCATGCGTAGACAAGGTCGAGGCCAATGGCTGCTACTCTGGCTTTAATATTGAAGTGAATGAAACTAGTGAAGCTGGAATAGTAAGGAAATATTTCCTATCCTAATTATTTAATTTCTTATATTACTTAGATATTCATCTAGTTCTTCTCTTGAATTATTCCTTCACCTTAACTTATGCTGATTATAAGTAATATAATAGACTGCTTGATAGTAGGGTGAATAATCAATAGTTATATAATAATACAGTTACAGTCACTGAGACAGCACTTAGAAGGAACTGGAATATCTGATTCACTTGAGCAATCAACATATCTTTGATTGACAGAGAAACACCAGGAACATTCTTGCGTATGTATTTATACCATGACATCCCCCTCCATCTTCTCATTCCATCAACTTCTTCAAATATCTTCTCTTACTCTACTACTTCCATATCCTTATATATAATTTGCTTTTCCTTCGTGTCTCATTCTCCATAACACAACTTCCTACCTATTCTTAAACCATATGTACGGAACCTATCACGTACTATGCTCGAGATGGACACTGACGAGGAATAGATACAAACCCCTTACCATATCCTCTGAGCACCAAATCCCAGCTTCCTTGCCTATACAGACCTTTCCGTTCTGCTCAGGAGATCCAAGCACAAATACGCCAGATGGACAGCAGAAAATACAGCTCTTCAACTAATACACACGAGAATACGGGGGCTTCACCCCTGTTTTATTAAGGGACACTCTGGAGGACAGTCCAATAGTCCTACCGTTGCAACTCGATATGTCATTCGAAAGAGTTACTCATGACTCTCATTTGGTCAACGAGAGATACTCTTGGCCAACCTGGTCTGCAGATGTGGAACGGCGCTCTGCTAGGCAGATACTGGATGTGTGCGCTTGGTCGCAAATGTGACCATGGAGAGGGAACTTACACCCTTCTCCAAGATAATGGAAGGTGGGTATCTACACTCATTTTCTTACTTTTGTTGCTCCCAGCTTTGCTACCCCCAGAGCTTTGCTATCCTCACCTTTCCTGCCCTCATCTTTCCTGCTCTCACCTTTCCTGCTCTCACCTTTCCTGCTCTCACCTTTCCTGCTCTCACCTTTCCTGCTCTCACCTTTCCTGCTCTCACCTTTCCTGCTCTCACCTTTCCTGCCCTCACCTTTCCTGCCCTCACCTGTCCTGCCCTCACCTGTCCTGCCCTCACCTGTCCTGCCCTCACCTGTCCTGCCCTCACCTGTCCTGCCCTCACCTGTCCTGCCCTCACCTGTCCTGCCCTTCTACCTCACCTTAGTCTTTTCTGCCTCATACGCAGAGAACGAAAACCCCCGGGGATCTGCCTCCGGGAGTCCTTCAACAATTCCCTATCCCTAGTCGACCATGGCAACACATCTGTGTTGATTTTAGGTCATTCCCAAAGTCCAAAACGTGAGTTTGCATCTGCTAGCATAGACGGTGAGGTGAATACTTGGATTGTTTGCACGAAGAAATATCGGTGCTAGCTAATGACAGCAGTATTCTTCTATTATTTTTTAAAGCTATATTTTTAAAGCTACCTGCTACTAACGGATTTATCCCGAAAGATAAATGACGGACTACAAGCCCAGCTTTCAAGGGGTCCCTGAGATGATCGTGAAACGTACTGCTCCATCAGCAGTGCCGGTGCGGTTTCATATGAGAGGGAGCGATATCGCACCTGTGTCGACAGTGTTCCGCAAGGAACAATACGTGCATTCGAGTATGATTACCAAACCCTTTAAATGATCTAGCTGACTTCGATAGAGCACGACTGGAATGTTAGGGAACGCCGCCGATCTAGCATCGATTATTGAAGGGCGTATGTCTCCTCATCTTCGACACGGCAACCGAACCCTCCAAGAGAGTTCGAATTTCACACGTCTCCAACCGATATTACAGCACTGGGTTATTTCTACAACCTCTTTTTTTCTGTTGCCTTTTCACCTAGTGCAACAACCAGAGTATCTTTACGCGATTCACTTATAAAACCGCTGTTTATCGCGCGTTTGAGTCAGGTTTCTGTATCTAGGTATGAACAGCTTTAACTTGGGTTAACTCTCCTTTTCGTACAACTAACACTAGCAGGTGATACAGGGCCACTCCCCGCCCGTTCTGCAACGGGTTCTACCCGCCGTCTGCTTCCATCGGTCTAGAGAAGATGGGCTGAAGGATTTACGTACCTGGTCCCCTAAGGCTCGAGCATAAACAATCGGGCTCCCAATCGAACGACTCGGTCGTTGCGAACGCGAATATAAACCAACAATATCCAAAATCCCAGACAGTGGTTTAAATCACATCGCTCGACTTGATACTTTTGCGCGCAACCTAAAACAACTGTCCAAATATTGAACGCATCATTATTACCCTTGGCCGCACAATCTGGTTTGCCTCTGCGCTGCACTTGAAACTGGTCCTAGAGATCTCACTGCGTATATCAGTGACCGGTCCCGTTGCATTTTGTAGGCCTTCAATATGTAGCCATTGATTGTACCAAGACAGGCAGTATTTGCATTTAACCAGGTAGTACATATCTCCATGAAAGCTTTGTTTGTCCTCGATTTCTTCAAGTTTCTAATCATCATCATCATCTTCCAGTTTAGGTCTTGTATGGGTTATATGAATATCCGCCAGCCGGCCTCAACCACACACTACGAAAAAAGCCAAAGATACTTGACTCTGAAAATATCAAATGCGGAGAGACCGAGCCCATTTCCCTGCTCATATATGGGCCTTTTCTATTCTGATATGCCACATGCTTGGGGCTATGGAGAGCTAGTCGATCATGATGATAAAACATATTACGTCAAATGCTACGAAAAATCAAAGACTTGAAGAAGAAAACATGAGCAGATTTTAGTAACACTCTGAATCAAAACACCAACTCTCATTTGCGGGATCTCTTCTTCAGCTTCGCCTTCCATAGTCAAGTGTACGTATCCCGCAATTTCGTTGTTCTTGAGCAACGATTCTGCCCTGGTTCATGGGTGTGCAGGATGATCACGAGACATTGGACATGGTGGAGGCAGGAACGTGGAGCGAGCTATAGCCCGGCTTGTTAAGATATCTGAAATATCTTACACTGTATGATTACAAAGTCCTCCATTTTGCTGCGTGGAATGAACCACCCCAGTCCATAAGTCCTATGTCCAAGCTGCACTGCACGTCTTCTCCACGGTGAAGCTCATTCGCATTGAATCGTTCATTTATTACTTCTGGCATCAGGTTCCCGGCATACCATGCTGCCTTGGCTAAGAAATTTGTCTATCGTGGTTCCAAACAACTGCCTCCATATCCCACATTAAACAAAAGGTCAACAGCTTCCAACCATGCAGCAGGTCCTGAGGGTTGAACGATAGATTGGGATGAAATTTGGTGTGTGTGGCGTGTCGCCCAAAAAAAAAAAAAACAAATCCCACAAAAGCTGCAAAACTTGATTACCATCCCCCCTATATTCCACAATCCCAATTCTTGCTGCAATCGCCTCTCAAAAGCATCTTACTCTTACCACTTTTCATTTTTCCCTCTGTACCATAGCAATTAAGCAGTACAATGGTTTCTACAGAACTCTCTCTCTCTTATGGCATTAGAAGTTGCCAGAAACGACTTTTCCAGCGTATCGAAAATCATATCCAAGTCTTCCAGAAGAGGGCAATAGCTATATTTTGACGCTCATACTATAAAGCCAGCCAATGCAATTAATTATCCTTGCATATGCCGGGGGAGGCCACAGAGAATCAATCCAGTGGGATTTATGATCCAGCAACCCTAGGACCGACTCACAAGCCTATGAGATACCGATCCTTCATGGCCCTTCTTATAGACGCGTAGCACATCCATATTTGTTGATCGAATATCATTGGCTCTTCTCTACCTTTCCTTTCCAATCTCTTCCCGTAATGCCTCGCTCCCGTGCCACTAGTAGATCCCCACTGAAGCCACGGTTTCTGTGGTGTACGCATGGTCTTCGGACCCAGTCAGAGGGAGCCCTTGCAGGTTTCCTGTATGTATACCTAACAAACAGTAGCATGTCCTTGTCTGGTGAAGCCAATTACAATCCATCCATGCGAGGACACACCAATGCACATTGTATAGCTATCAGGGGAGTATGCAGTAAGTCGTGTTCTTCAGAATATTTGGATTCACTAAATAAAGTGTCTAATTACTACCCAAGATCAGAAGAACGCTCCTCTCATGGTTTGTAGGGAGAAAGCTCCTGAGACATTAGATATCACTCCACTGTCACAGTACCGGAAGGAATAGCATCATACTCAACAACAGATATCCATCTCCTCTAGGGTACTGAAGAGATTGATCTGGAATCTCTGATACATGTGAATCTTCACCAGAAACGCCAACTACTTTGCTGTGATCAATCTCACCTCACTTCCAACCATTCTTCTTTCCTTTTCCTCGATTATCACTATCTATATATACACCTGTTGCAAAAGTTTCGTCAAATATCTACACGCATCATCTGGTGAACTCTCTTTCTGTTTCCCATGGAGGACGATCTGAGACAGCTTTTGGAGACAAAGGCTTCGAAGACCACTGTCATCGTCAAGGCTGTCTAGGATAAGAGAAGGGCCATTTCCAATTAAGAGACAAGTCGGAAAACTTGCCTACGAACGAGACCTCCTCCCTCGCAACTCGAAGATATACCCGGTGATATCAATAATCATCCACCTAGACCAAACTTGTGACAATGGATCCAAACGAAGCCTCCCTCACATCAGAGACGCCCAGCCGGTCATTATTGGATAAGATCCTGAAGCAGAGCGCGGACTGCGCTGGAAGAATGGTGACGAAACATGGGAACCGCTGACTACGCTGGGAGAAGATAACTAGTTAGTTAAATAGTTAACTATTCCACCTAAACTTTATGGATGGACCAGAATGCCGTACCAAAAAAAAAAAAAAAAAAAAAAAACAATGAGGCTGGTCCGGCTTGAACGGGCAACCTTGCGATCTGGAGTCGCACGCGCTACCAATTGCGCCACAGCCCCAATGGATGAAAAATTTCAGCCATAATTGGCTTTACATTGCAGATGCCTATTAAGAGTTCTTTTTGGAAAGAGTTATATATATGGTAAATTCATACCTCATGCTCAGCCATGAGTTTCCAACCTATCTACTCCGTAGACCCTGAACTAAATAAATAATATAATTCTCTCTTCAGTGAAGTCAATGCTAACTCTTGTCTACATGCGGCCGTAGTCCCAACCCTGATGATGTCTAGATGTACCCCGTAGTACTTACTCCATACTCCGTATGCGGACTGAAAAAACAATCCCTATTTTGAAGAGCATCTCCTGTTATAATCTACCGTCCTACTTATCTCCCCATATATGTATGATTGTAGGCTCTATTCCCTGTATCGAATTGCATCTAGCCAAGAACCGGTTACTACCACAGATCAACCTTTAACATTCTTTAGTTATCCTCTTGTGGACATTTTAGTCATTTTACTAGATCAAAAATTTGCCCACGAGGTTATTTTTTGGTGTTCTGTACCTACTGTACTATGAATACAAATAGGAATCAATGACATCAACCAATGGGGCTGTGGCGCAATTGGTAGCGCGTGCGACTCCAGATCGCAAGGTTGCCCGTTCAAGCCGGACCAGCCTCATTGTTTTTTTTTTTCTGGCTTGAAATTCCAAGCCCTGATTCTGGAGGTATATTCAAAGTTTCGAAGAGATGCCCCAAAAAGGTTTTATTTATTCAAAATCACATTCATACCGCATAGCCGCTTTCCTTGGATAGAGACCATGCGTGCATATATCACTTGCATAAGGATATGTGCCACTGTTATTACATCTCGTCTGCTGGTTGTGGCGGATTCTTGTAGGGATCTAACCTCTCATTATTCCAATTAGACTTGATCAACTCCAGGCCCTGACTGGCAAAAAAACCTCGAGGAAAGCTCTCTCCATGTCCTCGGTGTTATATTGACTCTGTGTCACGAGCAAGTGAACTGTCTGTTTCCCACCCCCGTAATTCAACAATTCGATCGCCTTGTTTTGCAGTTTCCTTGGAGGGAGATGGCTGGGAACGTAACTGCATTGTTTGAACTCAAGACCCTTGATGGACCAAGCACAAACCCCCATATTCACCTCGCAGGCCTAGCCCGATAAAGTGCAAACGTTGCCCTCTGTCTCATGAGACTGTGTCCGATACGTTGCCTGGACTCGAAATATCTCAAGCTTTGAGGGCTTACTAGGAATATGTGCTGTGTGTATCGAATCCTATGATGCAACCTCCATTGCTTCGGAAAATACAGATGCACTAGTAGAGTGATGGCAGCGAATATTGTCGGGCCGATGCACTTCTCAGAGACCTCTTGTCCGGTGGGCTGGAGACGTGTAAATAGCTACCGAGTCTACAACAAGGGGTGAATTGATTGTAAACTTGTAAGGAATCTTGACAGGGGCCTGATCTTCGCCTTGGGATATCCTCATGGTGTCGTTGGGGTGCATTTCGACTTGTGTGCTTCCAACATATCTAATATGCATGATATCATGGGTGGCTTGGACGGGCAACTTGGAGGTCAAGAATCTCCAGAAGCATTGGGTCTGTTGCTCTGACATGGCAGTGTAAAGTCTTCCACAGAAAGACATCTCTGTAGTGGTACTTGGAAGGCAATGATGTATTTCTGGTGTTATTGCCTCCGTCTCGACACCACTCATTGCAGGCCGGCTGAGAGTCATTCTGCACAGTCTTGCGCAGACCTTGGACGCCTTTTATGCGTGACGCCCTTGTTGGTTTACCTGGATTCCTCGCTCGGAGCAAGTGTGCTGGTGATATGTATAGAGGCGCGTTTCTGGCGAACCATGGCTCTCGTGATCGCATGGTTTCCCCGCTGGAAACCTTAGTACACAAATAGAGTCAGTCGCTTTGTCTTGTTTGTTTTTGGGAGGGGTTGTAGTAATTTACTAGATAGAGACTTTTTCATTGCCGGTGTTGGTACTTTTGTTTATGGGGATATCAAGTGTTCCTTTTCACTTGCTTTCAAATTAATAGGCAGTTGCAGCTCTTGAGTAAAACAGATCATGAAGTCTAGTATACTGAGAAACTGGAGAGGAAAAAAAAAAAAAAAACAATGAGGCTGGTCCGGCTTGAACGGGCAACCTTGCGATCTGGAGTCGCACGCGCTACCAATTGCGCCACAGCCCCATTGGATGGTAAAAGTCGCTGGATTCTGCATCCATTATCCAATCAGAATAATTCTCGCTTTCCAACCCACGCAAAACAATTAGGTACCTAGGTAGTTAAGAGATGAGGCGTCTCGAGCAGTGGTGATATTAATAATGATTAATTCATAAAAATCCATTTAACATTTGAATCGATTCTACCTGTTACTTATGGGTTTATCCAAAATACTGTACATCCCAGTCAGGGCTTTTAGCTGTCTATCGGAGGAGTCCACTATATACAACTACGTATCTTGTGATGATTAGAATAGATCCAACCAACATCAAAATAAAATAATCAGTCACCCAGCCCTCCTCTGAACAAAACCACATGATACAACCAGTAGACTCAGGTGGGCGGTCTCACTGGTGACTGTGTATGTCTGGAATGAACAAATTGTAAGGCGCTGGAGGAGTTGCAGTGTCTTGGACCTCAGTCTATCTTAGTTGAAGGAGCGCTTAAATTGGGAAGAGAATAAGTAGAGGGAGACGTGCTCATTGGATTTCTGAACTATGTATATCAGTGTAATGGCTTACTGTTGGGTGGTTTTTCTGCTGTGAAGTAATTGAATAGGTTCTGCAATGTCCAATCCTCATTCAGCACGAGATGCTCACACGGGATTCCCTTGAATGAAACCTACGATTGATTGATGATACGGAAAGCTTGGAAATGATAGATGTAAGATTTCCGCGCAAATGGATGTACAATTAAAGTGGCAACGTCCGAATGAGGCAGGGAAGGGGGGGTGGTGGAGGTTTGCACTGTAGAAATGCACACTATTGACAACGCAAGAAAACTAAAAGCCGAATTGGAAGATACGACTGAAAACCCATATTCACAGAACCTCGCCTACTTACGAGCCTCAAGGGCGGCCTTGATAGCTGTGGAATATGTTAGAACCATATACAAAGTCACTGAAGGAAACTTACCATCGCATGAGGTCTTCGCGTCTCCAAACAACATCCGTGTTCCGGGCATATAGAACATCGGGTTAGGCACGTCGGCTGTCACAGTCAGTGATTACGATCGACTTGACAAAACTATTGAAAGAGAACTGACCATATCCACTGGACATCCCACGTTTCATCACAATCACTTCCTTACTCTTCCATGCCTGCAAAACGGGCATTCCCGAGATTGGCGAGTCTGGCTCCAGGGCAATCGGGTTAACTGTATCATTGGCACCAATAACAAGAGTCAAATCCGTGTCGGCAAAGTCATCATTGATCTCGTCCATTTCAAGCACAACTAGTCTAGTTAGCGTTTAGTTTTTGGTTTTCTAGGGGGCTGTACTCACTATCGTAAGGAACCGAAGCCTCTGCAAGTAAAACATTGCATTGGCCCGGCATCCGTCCCGCAACAGGATGGATGGCGAACCTTACATTTATGCCTTTAGAGCGTAGCATATGTGTGATTTCGGCCAGCGCGTACTGGGCCTTTGCTACAGCCATCCCATATCCAACAACCTTGAAAATCATCAGAGTAGAAAATCAAATAGAACGGGTTGCACATACAATGATGACGTTCTCAGCATTCGACAACGACTCGACTGTGTCTTCAATGGTGGTCTGAGTGACCTCTCCTTCGATCTTCTTTGGTGATTGCTGGGGAGTCGCAATTCCACCAAATAGGACGTTCGTGAGAGATCGGTTCATGGCAACGCACTTTTTTATTTCGTCAGTACCCAGCCATCATCATGCAATACAAATTAACCTTACCATGATATAGGATAGAATCGAGCCGCTCACTCCTATCAAAGACCCAATACTAGTGAGTAGAGGGTTGTTGAGCATGAAACCCTCTGCGACCAGAGCGAACCCAGAATATGCGTTGAGAACAGTGATAACGACAGCTATATGGGTCAGTAGATATTCAAAAACGCAAGATAAAGGCACATACGCATATCAGCTCCACCAATAGCAGCTGTTGTTGTGTAACCCTTCAAGAAGCTGAGTACGGTATTTGCACCCAAACAAGTAGCGGCAATTGCGGGATTAGCGGGTGCCATAGTGACAAATACACCCATAGTAGCTACATTGGTCCCAAGTAAGGTAGAATTAAGCAGGTGTCGACCGGGTAGAACAAGCGGCCTTGAGGACATTCGCCCCGCAAGTTTCATGAATGCTACAATCGATCCCGTGAAAGTAACACCGCCTATTGCTATTAGTACATCGCAATATAGAGTGTATTATGAAAGGTTCCATACCGATAAGGACGCCGAGGTAGGCTGATACCATGTGTAGCATAGAAATGTGACCAATGTCAGCCATCACACTTCCAATACTGGTTAGCACCGCCGCAAGTCCAACAACTGAATGAAGAGCAGCAACAGTCTGAGGAAGTCCAGTTGGCGTAATTCGACGCCCAATCAGTGCTCCTATATCCACATTAGAATCTACACAACAGATTATCGAAAAGTAACCTACCAACAAGGGATCCGACACCCGCAACGGCGGCAAACTGGGTTAGCACTTCAGGCGAGAATCCAACGGCTGCCAGGGATGCGAGAATTCCAGCACCGACACCCAGGATACCGAAGATGTTTCCTCGGCGAGCGGTTTGCTGGGATGCGAGGCCGGAAATAGAGCCTGATTGATTTGCTCAGTAGGCGAAGAAAGATACATCTGTTCTCGGAACTTACCAATACAGAGCAAACTGCTGACAAGATAACCTGCTTGTACTAGCCCAGCCATGCCAGTACTAGCAGCTGCGAGGAATCCCCCTCCGAATAAAACGCCGGGAATGGCATATAGCCAGGGGTATTCGGGAGGGTCGGTTGGGCCTAGGGTTGTGAGCAAAATATCAAAAAGCTACTTGCATAACTCACGCTTGAACATGTCCAGCATGCGTTTCGTTACCACAAAACCTCCCGATACATTCATGAAGGCTAGAAGGACCGAGGCTGCTCCGAGGTACTCTGGGACCGTGGTGGGAAGATATCCTCCACCCATGATGAAGAATCCTCCAATGCCGACCATACCTGAAAATAGCAACGTCAGTCAAGAGTCACAATATATTAATAGCAAAAGTTTACCCGAAATTGCATTGGTAACACTCATCAGCGGAGAATGAAGAGCCGGGGCAACGCCCCATACGGCACGGTAGCCAACCAAACCAGCAAGTCCAAATGTCAACATATTGCTCATAAAAACGGGGCCAGTTGCTTTGCCCAATGCGAGAGCGGTTCCCATTCCGGCGGCAGTGGTAGCAACTTCACGAGTGACCTTTTGCCATGGAGTTAAGGCTAACTCTGTTTTTTCAGTGGCTGGGGCTGCTGCATGAGTTTTAGGGGCAGGTGGAGGTGCTGATCGCGGTGCTGGGGGAAGTATTTCTCCATTTAGAGTTACTATTGAGCCTCGAACGACCTCATCGTTCAAGTCGATTCCAAAAGATTTGTCCTGGGGAGCCATGGACAGGAGGTACTTGGTGATATTGTTGGAGTACAGCGTCGAGGATTGAGTTGGTAAACGTGAAGGCAGGTCGGTATAACCTAACGTGGTCAATATTTTTGTCTGATGGCTGGTCCGGAATGGCAACTAACCGATGACCGTCACGTCATTATAGGTTGTCAGTTGACCAGGAACAGTTGCTTCACAGTTTCCGCCAGCTTCTGCTGCGAGATCAACAACTACCGAGCCGGGTTTCATAGCCTCAAGCATCTGTATTCGTGTCAGTAGCTACTATTATCTCGGGGCTTCTGGTTGGCTATTACCTCTTTGGTAATGAGTTTTGGGGCAGATTTTCCAGGGATAAGTGCAGTAGTAATAATGATATCCACCTCGCGGCATTGTTCCATGAAGAGTTTCATTTCTGCTTCAATGAATTCTTTGGACATTTCCTTCGCATATCCGCCCTGACCAGAACCGTCCTCTTCAATATCGACTTCGATGAATTCTGCACCGAGTGACTGGACTTGTTCACGAGCTGCCGGTCGCGTATCGAATCCTCGAACAATAGCGCCCATGCGACGGGCCTAGATATTGTATATAAGTACTTTGGGGTTGCTCTATAGGGGACAAAAGACCTACCGACGCAATAGCACTCAAGCCGGCAACACCAGCCCCGATAACCAAAACCTTACTAGGAGGTATCTGCCTTTGCATTAGCAATATACTAGCCTAGGAAATAAAGATAATAACCTTTCTGAACCAATCAAGTTAGCATTAATCCATGTAAAAGAGGAAATAGAGTTTCTCACCCCGCAGCCGTGACCTGGCCGGTTAAGAAACGACCAAAATGGTTTGACGCTTCCAACACAGCCTTGTATCCGGCAATGTTGGCCATGGAACTAGTGACCCGGTTATTATGCGTGAACAATGACTCTGAAATGCAAGGTCAACATACCTTAAAGCATCAAATGTCTGTGCACGGGAAATTCTCGGAACCATGTCCATAGCGAAAGCAGTTACACCGCGTGAAGCAATTTTCTCGACAAGTTGCTTATTTTGGGCCGGATACAGGAAAGAAACAATAGTGCAGTCCCTGTTCAAGGCCGCTACCTCATTGAAAGGGCCTTCTTGGGGACTGCGGACCTTCAAGACGATGTTACTCTCAGACCACACGGTTGCTTGATCCACTAAGGTAGCCCCTGCTTTCTCATATACCTGATCAAGCAACTGGGCACACTCTCCGGCACCACGCTCGACGAGTACACGGGAAAAGCCTTTCTTTAGCAATAGAGCAACATTTTGGGGTGTAAGAGCAACACGGCGCTCATTAGGGAACGTTTCACGAGGCACACCCACGGTCAGGGATGTGTATGGGACCACAGGAGCAGGAGAAGGAAGTGACGCGCTGCTTGCATAGCTTCGGGTAACTTGAAGCCATTGCGGAGCATAGGATGACTCAAGATCACGGTTTGGGCATGTGAGGTAATGGTTTCGTGGAAGCTGTACAACTATCGTAGTGAGTTTGGTTAGCCCAGGGCCTTCACAGATGTCTCATCGAAACTCGTCTCCAGGAACACTCACGCGACCGTTTAAGCAAGAGCCGGAATCTCCCTGCGAAGGTATTGGAGACTACTCGACATGGGCCCATAGCCGACCGCAGGGAAAACGGCGCACTCATCTTTACATTCAACGATTCACAACTGAGAAAGGTTTATAAGTCACCATACCCTGGTGACAGACCTCATCCCAGTGGAACAAGGAGATTTCCGGAAGGGATGAGGCTGAATGTTTCCAACACATCAATCCCCAAGTTGCAGACAAAGAAGCAAAGAGGGGGGAGGCAATGACCGAGCATATAAGTGGAGAGTGCCCGATCTATAAGGGGACAGCGAGAAGTGAGCTCATTCGAGCTTTGATCCTTCAAGTTGGGTAGTACTAGTCAGTAGCCCCGGGTGACCACGAGAGGGGGCAACGGCCGTTACACACTGAGAGATCGCCGTCAATATAGCAAGGGATGGATATAAATCATTCTTCCACGAGTCTCCGGCACGGAGCGACCATAGCCGGGGTAATCGGGATAGTTCTCCATCCGTTCGATCGATGAAACGGTACCGCCGGACCAAGAACTGGGGCAGCGAAACGAGGGGAAATCCGTGTGGGGAAGAAGAAGTGATACGTCAAAGGAGGAGCAGGTTTACCGACTAGGGAGTTAGTCGCCAACTGTCCAACCAAGACGAGATGAGGGAAAGATGGAGGTGGTGAGCGGTAACTTGGATTGAATAATCAATCGAGGGATGAAGGAGGATGCTGCAAGTTTTCGGGCGTTGATGATGATTCAACTTGGAACCTGGCAAGTGTTTTTTTTTTTCTACCGCACGGGCCGATCAGGTGATGATCCTTGGCCATTCGTTCTCATATCTTCCCACCCTTTTTAATTAATCGAGTGTGGCACAACCGGACGTTTCTTAAGCTAGATTGCTAGAATAGAAGCAGATGTCTTTTAGAATCTGTCATTCCGGGATCCACTTGTCATCCAGCCTTAAACTACGCCAAATCCACTCCAGAAGCCAATCCAAATTGGGCGCGTCTAGAGAACAGCACTAGTGGGATCGAGGCCCAGATATTTAACATCGCCATGAAAAATTGCGGTTACACGTTGGACACAATGTATTTGTTTTCCCACCCTAATACATGAGGCTTTTTATCGTTTTCTTGAGTTTTCTTTGATTGATGATATCTTTTAACCATTTTTAGTGTCGTATCGCCAAAACATAGCCTTGCTCGATGCCACCCACCTATTCTCTAGAACCGGGTATTTCGGATCACGGCTAACCCTAGAGTGGACAAAAAAAAGGGAAATAGTGGTTCAGACTTCAGAGGAGTTGCTTTGCGTAAGCCTCATTACAAGCGCTGCTGGGCTGGACCACTCAGAGGGCCGGTTCCTATATGATCTCAAATGCAGCCGATTTCGGCAGTTCACTCTTTCCTCGAAGAACAGACAGACCAAGACAATCACAGAGAATATGACAGCTAGATATGTCGAATTAGCAATGTTTGCTTCAGTTATATATGCCTGAATCCGAGGGGTATTTAATCTACGTCGAAATCAACACGTAGGACACAAGAGCATCCTGGGGATTCTTCCAGAAACTGGACGATATTTCGTCCGGTTTCGGAATCTATCAGCTTAAATGTCTAGGCTTGTTGCACTGTGCTCATTGCACGTAGAAGCCAGCGAGATGTGCGGAGTAGAAAAGAATGTGAGGTCGAGAAACTGGTGCCTTGGTGCCTCAGGCGATGCGTCTATATCGAAATTCTCCGAGTTCCAACTCACAGACCACTTTAAAAGTTTACTCGGGACTCTCCAGGAAATTTATTATCGACTGCGGCCAAAACTCACCAAGTATTTTTCGTCTATAAGGTTGTGACGCTAATCGGAGTTGATGGCCGCGATTCAAAATTTTCCCTCTCCTCCACTGTGGGGCGGATTCAGCATCTTGCTTCGCTTCTTCCTTGCTGCTCGCATATCATCCATACCTACGAACCAGTTCTCTCTCCTTTCTGTGGATTGGTTGTCTATGTCTTGTTCTTCATTCTTAGTGGGCTGATCAAGGTAGTATTTACCTATATTCTCCAAACACTTCATCCAGCAGTCAGTGACCCTGGAATCCCGGCAAAGTAAACTAATAAATAGCTCTCTTAGTGGTTCACTACTAAGCTCCCGGTATGACCCACGGAGGGCTAGTCCCTCTCGTCGCTAACTATGATTGGGAATTCTCTGCTCTTGACCCTTTTGTGGATGGGCAGAGCAAGATCCTGGTATCTTGGCTCTGATGGCATGTTTCGAGACCAACGGAACAGACATCTCCGGTTAAGCTTTCAGCTATAATTACAACGTCAGGAACGGAGTCAAAATCCTCGACCTTACCTGTCGTGCAGAACACTACTGTGGTTTGGGAGATCCTGGAGCACGAAATTGGAGTGAGTGCCTCTAACCTCTATTAGGAATCCCACTTTTTTTCCTTTTTTTTCCCTGTCTAACCAGCTTCCATGGTGGGGTAGAGAGGCACTTGATTCTATCACCGAAACTCTTTCAAGAATCGCAAAACTTCTTCTTCTTCTTCTTCTTTTTCGCAAATTGGCGGCTTTCCCTCTTTTCTCCTGTTTATCTTCCGCGTTCTCTATCCCTGCGACGTATACGACTTTTGATATATAGAGGGGACCACTACTATCCTACGAACTGAGCGGATTCGGTTCGTCGCGATAAGCTATGGCTCCAAGGACTCATAACGAACAGCTCACTGAGCAGGAGCCTTTCGGGGGGGAGGAGACTAGAAGCCAGACAGAATCTCAAGATGATGCCGCCCTATTGGTATGCGGGAAATGTTCAAGCTTAAATTGTCTCTAGCTAAGCTCAATACTGACTCTACATGCAGAAAACTATGGGCTATAAGCCGGTAAGACTACAAATGTACACGAAATGACCAAAAAAACTCATCTATCAAAGGTCCTTCATAGAACATACACATTCTTTGAAAACTTTTCAACCACTTTTGGTAGGCTTTAACCCTGACCGCAAAGGATGTTTGGCTTTCTAACACGATCTGTACTAGCTGCTCTCTATTTTATAGGTGGTGTGCGCGTCACCTTTAGCACAGGTATTGCGGCCGGTGGTAATCTGGCGTACTGGTATGTTTGAGAAAATTAATCAGCAATTTCAAATGCTGACAGCCAGATAGGACAAGCTACCTGGTTACCATGGTCTTCACTTACATTACAGCAGCAGTCATTGCGGAGGTATGTTCTGCTTCTCCGTCCGCTGGCTCGATCTATCTCTGGGCCGCTGAAGCTGGTGGCCCTCGATTCGGAAGACTTCTCGGCTTTATCGTTGCCTGGTGGAGTACTACCGCGTGGACGACTTTCTGCGCCAGTAACACCCAAGCCGCTGTGAATTATATGCTATCCGTAAGTCTCCTGGCCAGAAACTATAACCAACACATTAAGCTCACACAGATATAGGAACTTACTGTGTTTAATGTTGACTTCCCCCAAGATACATATAGCGTCAAGTTCCGTGCTGTCCAATGGATCTGCACAGAAGTCCTTCTTGCGCTGGCTGCTCTTGTTAACTTTCTTCCTCGTATGTATAAACTGCTTCAGTCATCTCTAGGGGTTTACTAATTCCAGCAGCAAAATTATTCCGATCCATCTTCTACTTATCCTCAATGATAGTTGTGCTCGACTTCCTTCTCAATATCATTTGGTTACCTATCGGAGCGCACAACACCTGGGGATTCCGCACCGCCGAGGAGGCATTCATGTCCACCTACAACGGTACCGGCGCTCCTCCGGCATGGAACTGGTGTCTTTCCTACCTCGCTACGGCAGGTATCCTAATCGGATTCGACGCCTCCGGCCACGTCGCCGAAGAGACCAAAAACGCTTCCGTTACCGCCGCTCGCGGCATCTTCTGGAGCACAGTCGTCAGCGGAATCGGAGGTCTTTTTTCGATCATTCTGTTCCTATTCTGCGCGGTACGCTCTGCCATCCCTTTCTTACATCCCATGTCCCATAGCAGCCGTCCGCTAATAGTAAACTGCAGCCTACCCCTGATGTCCTCTTCTCCTTCGGCTCCCCGCAGCCATTCGTACCCCTCTATGCCGCCGTCCTAGGCAAAGGCGGCCATATCTTCATGAACATCATCTGCATCTTCGCCCTCTGGCTCGTGGGTCCCCCCCCCCCCAAAAACCAAACCCCACAAACATTATAGTATATACTAATGATAATGAAAAAAAGAACACCGCAATCGCCATAACCGCTGCCTCGCGCCTCGTTTTCGCCGTTGCCCGAGATGGAGTGCTCCCCTTCTCTACCTGGGTCTCCCGCGTGCACGCCGGCCAACCCCGCAACGCCGTAATCGTCGTCTGGGGCGTCGCAGCCGCAATCACCTGCACCCTACTCCCCTCCGACGTGGCATTCACATCGCTCGTCTCGGCCGCAGGTGTCCCCAGCGCCGCAGCCTACGGCCTGATCTGTCTCGCGCGGCTGATCTGCACCCCGAACCGTTTCCCCAAGCCAGCCTGGAGCCTAGGCAAATGGAGCAAACCGTTCCAGTTTATCGCGGTGTTTTGGAACGCGTGGGTCGTGGCAATTCTGTTCTCGCCTTATGAGTTTCCAGTGAATGGGCAGAATTTAAATTGTACTTCCCCCCCCCTTTTTTTTTTTTTTTTTTCTTCTCTCTCTGTGTGAAATCTTTCCTGTTCTTGGTATGGCTTACGCTAATTAATTGCTGTAGATGCACCCATTATCATGGCCGCTGTGACGATCTTCGCTGTGGCTTCGTACTTCCTTATGCCTGAGGAGGCTTGGTTGCCCAGAGACAGGATCTCGCAGTTTATTGATAGTAAAGGGGTTGTGGCGGAAACTGTGGAGGAGGTTGGTGGTGGCCCGGCTGAAGCGACTGCAGGTGCTAGTAGTGCGGTGCAACGGTAGGAGTCTTTGAGGTATAGAATGGCATGGTATGCATTCATCCATAGACTGGACAGAAAGAGCGAGCGAGCGAGGGTGGAAAAAGATCCCAGTTTCCAAAAGTGAACTGACCCCTATTTTATAGACTAGAATACCATAATCATAGTATTAGAAGTTGTTTTTCTCATTTGGATTTGAATGGGGGTGTTTTGTTTTACTGTAATATATTCTTCATAAGGGGTTCCCCAAGTATCTTACATCAGAAAGAAGAGAGGATATCCAAATCAGCCGAAAGTATGAAATTCCCCATATGTGCCTCCGTATATACCGTAACCTAAATTCCTTGCAGCAAAAGAAAAAGTCCTGATTGTCGATATATTGTTTATAGCCGAATCCGGGCAGTCCAAGCATTAGAGTATAACAAAAAAACCCCCCCCCCCTTGAAGGGCCAGCCCTGCAAAGCCGTCAACTTTTCCTAGTCTCGAACGCCTGTATTTCCGTATCGAATCGCTAATAAAATCAAGATAGATGTCTGTATTTGCGGGGAGAGAGTAGAACGCAAGTTATGTGATCAGAACAGGCATGAATGTTGTCGTTATGGAAGGAGGATTGATGATCGGACATCATCCATCGTATCAACCCAGCCTTCGGGAAAGGCACGTTGCTTGAACCATGTCTTTTCCAGCTCCTCAAGACCTCTTTCCACGTTCTGAATAAAGTCAGCGACCTGATCTTTATAGATAGCATGGGTTTCTTTACCTTGAAGCCGTATCGCTGAAGATCAATCATTGTTTCCCGTACGAATTTCTGTTCGACCTCGTCCCAAGTCTCCCGTCCCGCGATGAATAGAGGCCATAGCACAGCAAGTCGCCCAACGTCCTTGGCCAGTGTGCTGATCAAATTTAGGATTCGGGTGGAAAGTGTAGCAAATATCTCTCCCTGGAGCTGGATATCAGGTCGATCGGCTGCTGCAATTTTGTATAGAAATATGTTTGTGGCTTTCTCGTAAGCCTCGATACAGCCAGTGTATTCGAGTATATCCGGATATGGATAGCTGGATAAGGCCTCGTCGTCCAGCTCGCTCAATTTCTGGAAGCAGTCCGGTGCATCGAGTCGCCATTGAATTAAACGCTGTAATAGATCGCGATAGACTAAATCTTGCTGTTCCTGTGACATCCATCCCTGGTGCTTCGCCTTTCCAAATGTGCTGATAGCAGCCTGGATTTCCATCATGATGGACCAGCATTGTCGTAGTTCATGTAGCGGGTCATTATCTGCAGGTGCCTCTGACGAGAGACTAGGAATGCCCAGGTTATACTCCCAGCCGCCACCCAGTGTTCTCCAGTAACTGCCTTCAACGACCGTCCCTTCACTCGTGGCACATGCACCCGCAACATCAAGGTAAGATAGGAGTGAAACGAGGAATCGTCGAAGCGGGTGGTTCATTTCAGCGAGACGCTGAGTTTCCTTAGTTGGATCATCATTTGGATAGAACATGACTCGGTAAATCTCGCGGGCGCCTTTTAAGTGGATAGCCCAATTGTGATGCTGGGAATCCATCATCTGCTCGTGTCAACCCGGGTGGCCTAAATTCGATGGGAAGAGAAATTACCTCGAACAAAGCCAATAGTAAGCAGGTGGCGAAATCGGGCAGTCGGAGGCCTTGGCCAGCTTCCTTATACCTTGTCCTGAAAGACTTCACTACCTCTCCATACTTGCCCATGGCGTGTTGGAAATGTGTAATTCGCTGCTCTCCACGGGACGTGTTTGCCAGGTGCAATGCTCCCAGAGCTTCCATAGCGCTGGCCATCGATGGCGAAGACCGAGATAGCTCTGGGAAGTATTTCCGGTAGGGATTTATATTGATCGAATTGTCATAAATAAGCAACAGTGTCGCGACTTGGTCCACAAAATGGGTATAATAGCGGCCTTCCTTGTAGTCCAAGGAGAAGATCGGAGGCTTGACATGCTCAGAACAGTACTTCGAAGGGTTTAGGCTTGCAGTAGATGTGGCAGGTACCAGCCCTATATCCACACTATTGTCATCGTCTTCTTCCCGTTTCACCTTCCTCAAGTCGATCGTCATGAATCCAATAGAGGATATAGGCTCCTCGAAACGATATTCCACGGGCGGCCTTGAATCTCCCACAGTAGTTGGGGACAACACCAGTTCTTCGACGTCCTCCTCTCCATCTCCCTCCTGCTTCATCACTTGCTTATTGTCCTGTGTGCGATTGGCTTTCTTTTCTCGCTTCTTCGCTCCTGTGGAGGAGAGGCCTGGGGTCGGTTGTGGGGGTCCATAGACCTTGAATGTCATGCGGCCTTGGCTGCCATCACATTCGAGTCCTAGACGGGTGCAATTCTTGCACGAAGGCGACGCTTCATCACAGCGAACATGACGCCTGCGACAAGTAGAGCAGCCTGTAAAACCACGGTGATGCCATCGACGAACTCGCTTCTTCTTCTCCGGGCCTGGAGGCTCTGAAAGCTGTGGCTGTGCATTCGACGGAGGAGGCTGCACCGGGTCGCAGACCACCGTACGAACCTCCATGAGACAAAGCGACACCAGAGAAAGCCGTGCGGGACAGAGACATGAAGGAGAGAGAGGCGTGAGGCGGGGAGGGGTTGGAGGGGGTGGGGGGTTGGTAGGAGAGTTTAAACCAATGCAAGAAAGGGGGGGGGTCTATGGATGATAAAGATAATGCATAGTAAGAGATCGAAGAGTAGAAGACAAGAAGATAAAAACCCATCAGGAAAGAAAGAAGAAGAAGAAAAAAAAAAAAGAGAGGAAACGCTAATCGGGTTAAAAAAGACTTGAGGGCAAGCAAGCAAGCTTCGCTCAGCCCCCGAGACAGTGGAAACTGACGGGGCGCCTGGGGTTGCCAACTTTCACTTCCTGATCTTCAGACTTCCAGTTGCCTACTCCTATCTCTGCTCCTCTCCCTCTCAGAGTACTACAACTTTGATGATATATTCCATTAGCTTTCGATTATTACATCGACAGGAATTGTCTTTGGTTCATTGTTCCTGATGACTTTTGTGCCCCTTCTCCCCCCTTTGCTCCTTTCCGGACTCTGACTCTAATAGTAGAAACCCCCGCTACGGTGCTCACTGTGCGGATCGACCCTAGTGGTTGATCACAACCTACCCTCGCCCAGTGGCTTTTTTCTCCTGCATTCTGCTGCTTCCAGTCTACCGTGCAATCTAGTGTCAGATTAACCTTTTCTGCTGCATACGAAAATACCTCAGCTACACCGTTCTTGAGAGTTGAGACTCCCCAGACCTCCACAGGATCCACAGACTATAGTCGATTCCGGTATGATGAGAGCGAAACTTGAAAAAAAAAAAAAACCCCGTCTGTTTAAGTTCATCGACAGTTCTATCAAAGTCAATTACCAGGGAAGTTTGAATAATTACGGCCCCTCTGGATGGTGGAACGAAGGATTGGCCCCGACATGGACTTATACCCGACTATCCACGCCAAGCACCGGAAAGGGTAATTGGCTCACTCGCCTACAGACATCAAAATAATACACAGTAGGTCTGTATTAATTGTCGTTCGGAACTGTCTGTCTCTGTCCCAGTGTCCCCCGCGTTCTTACATGGGTTCGAGAGGCTATCACTACCATTTCCATCTCGTCGTTATTGGACAACTTTCTTCATGCACAGCGCATCAGCGGATTCCCGCCCGGAATGCAAAGCAAAACTCTAATTGCCCACCCTCGACGTCAACCAGGTCGTGCGCGGAATCCCCTCGAACTAGCCACGAGCCTGGCTCGCTTACGGAGTACTCCGTACTGGCACATGGAATTGGAGGATATTCGGTGCACCAAACCAATTGAGGATAAACCTAGGGCTTAAAGAGGATACAGGGTTACTTCCTCTCCATATTCACGAATGTGGATTCCTAGATTTCTGCTTTCCAGGTGGGTCGGGACTCTAACTTTGACCCGAAAAGAGTCCGCGATTTTGGGCTCCAGAGTCCAACATTCCCAGGCCTACAGGTGGCTGGCTGTATCACCGCAATCTGATAACTAGTACTTGTTGTTTCTCAGACTGACTGAATTCTCTGCACTGCGTTTCTGAACCTTGACCCTCCAAGACGAGCTTGATCCGCAGCCCCAAAAATCCATGGGCGTCGGCCGAACAAACCTAATTCTTATTGTGGCTTGAAACGAAGGACATCTAGCACACCGTGTTGGAGTTTGTGTTGGACTAGCTTATCAGTTGGCTCGCCCATAGAGATGTCTCAACTTTCAAGTCCACGGTTCTTATTTACTTCCCAGTAGACGTCATTTCTGAGGCCGCAGGCACATCTACTGAAAGATGTCTATCTCAAGTTTTATCTCGCGAGAATTTCGGGAGTTCTGGGCTATTCTGTCTTTCTTAGTGGCATCGGGAGTGGCCGTCAGACCCCTGGTATGCGCTTGGCTTACAGGAGAAGTGCTAGATGGTCCCATTGCTCCGATGGTGGCCTATCATGGAACGCACTGGGTGTCTGCTGATGTCAATCATCGAAATATCCCATTACCTAATGTAGACTAATCAGCCCAGAATGGCACTCTCTTTGAAAATCCTAGCCTGGGTTCGGATAACATGAATCGTGTTTCTTTGCGCATCGGGCGGTTGAAACCTGTCGCTGATCCTGATTTAAACAGTTTTATCACCAGAGAAACCATGGGCTCTCATTGGAAATATTCGTTAGGATGAACTGTCCTGTCTTTGTAATAGTGAAAATCAGTCCAAGCATTCCGCCCGAATGACAGCTTCTACTAGGCTACCCCAGTCAAGATATATTGAACCTAAAAGTCACAATTTCCGCGTTCCGGATGCCCTGCGACTCGACGATAGAATCGCAAATCTTCACATACCTCCAAGTCCAAGCTGGGAGAGATGACCCTATCATCGAATGGACGATTACCAACACCAATCGAATTTCTGCAGCATGGAAATATAGTTCGAAAATAACTCGGTGCCTGCTGTGCCTCGCAAATTCGCTTCCAGCTAACTATCTGAGCCTCGGTGAAAACTGAAAACCAGAGCTAGCCTAAGTTCGCACTAATGAACGTTGAGATATTAGTGGTTAGTTAGCTCAATCTTGATTCCTGATCTCGACTTTTCCCCAACCAATCCGTAGCCAGAAATTACCCAGTTGGTGGGCCATTCCGGACAGCTTCAACGCTATCCAATCCCCAAAGCGGTTTTGGGCAACGTGAGACGACGAGGCCTCGAGGAAATAACACACGACGGTTTGGAGGCCTTGTGTTAGCGTGCTGTGGCGCATAATCTAGTGTTCAGGTTAGCTGTAGTTCAATCTATGTATGTTGTATGTTGTATGTTGTAAGATGCCAACTGTTGAGCACGATGATGAATTCGATATACTTACGGAAAGGGAACATTCCAACCTCGCGACCAGAGTCTCAATTAGTATATTATGCATCTCATCTGAACCGGATCTCTTCCCAGGTTTAATGAATGTTGCACATTGGCCAGTCAGTTCGTGAAACTAGCTAGATACGAGCTTTAGTAGGAGTCAAGCCACGGGACCAGGTATGGCATCAGATCAGAATCCAGTACGGAGTACAGAGTACACCCATAATATATTCGATATCTAAATACGGAGTAGTTTCCGTTCTACCTATGCAGATTAATGTCAGTTGCGAGGAGAAAAGCGGGGACGAAACCAGAATGATATACCTGTATGTACTCTGCAATTTCAACATCCCCAAACACTCTATTTATAGTATAAGAGAGAGAGAGAGAGAGAGAGAAAAGTCACAGAAACAGCACGTAGCAAAGGTACAGTATCTTAATAACCACTGCACTGTCAGAATCGATCAGCTTCGACTCCTCTTCCACGGAAGTGAAGTGAAGTTGGAGAGTGATGTTTGTTCCTCGGATAATCCAACCCCTCCCTCTCTCCTCTTGTATCACATCACCACTGGATATCCGTATACTTACTACCTAGGCATTTATCTACCATGGAGAACTCCAACTTGTCTTTTTCATCCTGTTTCCCTTTACTCACATTCACATCCATCCAACCCTTCCTAAATCCTAAGAACAGCTGCTGCTTCTTCTCAAAATGTCCCAAGGCACCCGTCTCCAAGACAAAGTCGCCATCGTAACCGGTTCGTCTATCCCTACCCCGCATCCTACTCCTACCTTCTCACCTTCACAAATCCCCTCCATCTAGAACAAAAGTGACCACAAAAAAAAAGAAGAAGAAGAAGAAGAAGAAGAAAAGAACACTAAAGGAACCAAATACAGGAGGCAGCTCTGGCTTCGGCGCCGCCATCGTCCGACGCTTCAACGAAGAAGGCGCAAAAGTGATAGTCGCTGACATCGACCCCGAGGGCGGCGCAAACGTGGTCTCCTTGGACCCTGGAAACCTCGTGTTCCAGCGGGTGGATGTCTCGAAGAAAGAAGACTGGAGAGCGGCGGTGGATGTGGCGTTTACTCGGTTTGGGAGGTTGGATGTATTAGTGAATAATGCGGGGACGACGTATAAGAATAAGGTATTTTTCTTTTTTTTTTTTTCTTTTTCTTCTCGTTCCTTTTTCCCGCCTGTATCGTGCTTTATATTCTGAACGGGGGATAACTCCCAGTCTAGTTGAATTATATTGAAGACTAACTTACTGGCTGGTTGAAAAAAGCCTACGCTAGAAGTCACAGAAGAGGAATGGGAGCGTGTTTTCAATGTGAATGTCAAGGGAATCTTCTACGGTTCGCAGGCTGTAGTGGGACGGTGGATTGAGCAGGGCCACGGCGGTTCGATGATTAATATTTCGTCTACGGGGGCGTCGAGGCCTAGGCCTGGGTTGGTTTGGTATAATGCGTCGAAGGGGGCTGTTTCTAATGTGAGTTTTGCTTTTCCTCATGGGGGTTTTGAAGAAAACTGGGGCTGATAAAACTAGGCAACGAAAGGTCTGGCTGCTGAGTACGGTCCACATAATATCCGTGTTAATACTGTTTCTCCTCTACTGTCTGGGACAGGGCTGTTCAGTATGTTTACTGGGATGGAGGATACCCCGGAGAATAGGGAGAAGTTTATCGGGAATGTGCCGTTGGGTAGGTTGACAGATCCAGATGATGTTGCGAATATGTGTGTCTATTTGGCGAGTGACGAAGGGGCCTTTATCAATGGAACGGAGATGATTGTAGATGGTGGAAAGTGTATTTAATTTGGTGTGTTTTTTTCTTCTTCCCTTAAGGGTGTTGCAGGCTAAGGAAAATATATTAGGTATTGTAAATTGTATTCGATGTTTTCATGAGCAGTGTGGGTATATTGCGGTCGTAAATTAGGCTTGTTGTGTCATATTTGTATGATCGAAGAGGGAGAGATCTTCCTCTAACAATCCCATCATGTACTGGTTTCCAGAGAACCAGTTCCCGAGCTGTGTTATATGCGACATGTGCGGATGCATATTTTGCGATTCTGGCCCGTACTTCATCTCTCCCGAAACGGGGCCATTGCCGTGCACAGGTGCAGGCCATCGGGTATCACTGTCATCGGGCATTGCAGGAGCTAAGCCGAGAGCACTAAGATAAGTATCGAACTCGTGACCAACAGATGCGAGCGCCTGGTTCTCCTGTGTCTGGGCTTGGGCTTTAGCTTCGACGTAGAGTCGAGCAACGTTGCTGAGAACATGGCAGAGCCGGTGGAGGTTCATAATTGCCGCAGAAAGCGAACAGTTTGGTTCGAGAGAGGTGACAAATTCGTCTAGCCTGTCTAGATCTGCCCAGGAGGAGACCTCGATGATGTGGCAGAAGAGAACGATGAAGGGGACAAATGGAGCGTATAAAATGGACCTAAACGGACGGTTAGATTATTTTTCATTTCTTTTACTTCATCGGTTGGATTGCCTACCAATGCAAATAAGAAACTTTCATTGATTCGCTTGCCTCCTTTAAAAGAGGCATGCAAGACTCGTGCGCTCGTAGAGCCGCTCGCGCCGTTTCAACGCATTCGTCGATGAATGTGCCTTGAGAACCCTCCTGTGGTGGAATAGCCCGGTAGATCAGGGTCAGGATTGAATAACGAGACACCTCGTCGGACTTCATGTATAGATTTTCAAGCGTAGATAGACCTTCCATTATTGGATTCATTTGCTAGACGGCGTTAACTTCGATGTTAATGTCAACCACAGAAGTCCACTTACATGGAACGGTTTCATCACCCTATACTGCATGTCGGCCGCCAGCTTGTGAGCCTCGGCGACTCGGTGACTCTCTGGTTGATGTAGTGCAGCAGGACTGTAAAGCCTTTGGTACACCTTGCCCTGAATCCTGGCGAGCTGGATCCAAATAGCGTATGTGGTGCTCCAGGGCTCCGAGAGACCAGCGATAGGAAACTTCGATGGAATATCAATATCGTAGTCTGGTATGGTTGGGCCCCGTCCTAGCCGCATTGAAAGGGCTCTGTCGAGACAATAGATTGACCAGAAGAGGCTAAGTTTAGCCGCTTTTGCTTCCTTGCTATCGTGCTCCATTGATGACTCTTGATGATAGCCCAGCGTCTGACACAGACGTGATGCAGTCGAGGTCAGGGTAAAGGCAAATGAGGGTTTAGAGATTTCGATCGCATGTATAGCCTGTGGGTGTGTCAACACTTTATCGATGAACAAAACATCGGAGAATGGCTCACCCCCATTGCAAGGCCTTCAATAGATTCCGCACTTGCAGGCATTAGAAGGTGTAAATTAGTTAATGCTACCTCAAGGTTGACCCGGCATTGGTCGACGTAAGTCTGATACTCCTCCTGTATTTTCTTGTCCTTGGCAATGAAAATAACAGCAATAAAGAGTTGATATAAGCCCCCATTGGCTACAATAAAGGTTGCGTCAGAATAATCTTCCGCAGCAAAGTAAATCTCACGACACTTTTCAACGAGCCGGTCCATAGTAATAAAAGGGCAAAAGGTTTGCAACGCGTTGGGATAAGTCTCTGTGAACAAGTTAGTTACATAATTGCCCAACAACCGGTGCCGAGCCTGATATACCCTTAGCTTTGCGTAATAGAGGCAGAACGACTTCTACCGGCGGCATAGTCAAATCCCGTAGGTAGGACCGTAAATGGCCCTGCTGGTTGGCAAAAGATGTTTCTCGAGAAAAAGTGGTTTGGTTGTCTTGCATGTTGACAATCTGCTTTAATGTCGAAAGTGCCGCGTTAATTTTCGAGGCCGACATTTGCAGGGCGTTACGTGAGACAGCTGTTTCCAGGAAGCTACTTGCATACGCAGACTGGGTAGCCAGCAACGAGCTGCCCTCGAACGCATGTTTAGATTCCTGCTGGTCCATTACCGCAGTAGCGTTAGGACCATAGCCAGCAGCTGGCGGGCTTATCTGCCTCGAAACGGGAGTCGCTTGGGGGCAGGCCTGGGCGCCCTTGTTGGATACCAGTGTTGTCTTTAGTTCACAGAGCACCTCCTCTATACTGCTTAGCCGTTCTTCTATCATATCGATTTTCTTTTCACTAGAGACTGCGTTAGAGATATGTGGAGAATCGGGCGTCTATCACCACACGTACTATTCGTTAGAAATCAAGACGCGTTTCCGCGGCTCCCGAGGCTTCTGTCCAGCCCCTGTGGAACGACATATAACTTTCGAGGTGCGACAGTTAGAGCATGGGGAACGCTTGTCACAGCGTATCTAGCCAGATGGAGGAGGGCATCAGTTACGGTTTGAGACATCAACCGTGGGCCCGTTCTCCATTACTTAACGGCAATTACGTGTGACATGACATACCTTTCGAAGACGGCATTGGTCACACTATTGAATGTTAGATTGGACGCCGTGGAACGTAGAGAGAGAGAGAGAGAAGGTGAATCTCAGTTCACTCATCAAACAGCTCCAAATACATAGGAAAGCTTACCGCACGCCTAACAAGTGACTCTCTATTGTCACTATCGGGACTTTCGGCCTCCATCGATAGTGTCTCTGTATACGGCATGGAATAAATGGGAGAAACTCGGATTTGTCTGGTGAGTCTTGGAATGTTAGTGGACGTGGTGGTGGTGGAAGGGATGGGGACGCAGTGTACTTTTGTCTGCTCGGGGCCCTCGGAACCCGTGCGTCCGGATACCGATGGCTGGCGTCCAAGGCGACAAGGCAACAAAACGCAACGGAAATTCTATGTATATTAGGATTCATTGGTAAATAAATATAAATATATAGGTATATCTCTTCTATTCGGGTGGGATCCGCTTTAGCTGCAGTAATCTATCAAACACTTTTCCCTCCGGGTATATGATGCTAAAACCAAACACTAATAATCTCTATCTCGACTATCATGCAAAAATGTTGGGACTTCAGACGCTGTCGATGCTTATGGAAATCACTTTTTGATACCAATAACAGCCAAGTTCCTGGGACTCTCTCCATAGTCGAACACAGACTCAACCCAGCAATCCTTGACCGAATCGTTTTCACGCAGGAATTGCCACCGATCAACGACAATAATAGCCTCCACTAGGGCAGCGCTAAACGACATGAGGGTCCAGGTGACGCTGAGCTTTTTCTTCGCAGGCCAGTATTCTGTCACATAGCGCTCAAGCTCCTCGTCAGAAATGTTGGCCATTCCGTCTCTCACCTTTGGACCGAAGTAGGGATCCCGGCCGAGCTTCGCAACAGCTGCCCGAGCATATGCTGTGAAAGAATCGAACGCCGACTTTCGCAGAGACCCAACAATAAGGGGATTTTTGATTGCTTCGCTGTCTTCAGGGTTGTTACTGTACAAATCCTTGGGGACACCTGGCTTTGCTATGACTTTACGGTCCACGAGAACCCGCTGGAGAAGGGAGCGGTAGAAGTGGCGGGTAAAGAAATCATCGCTGTCAACTCTACCCCAGTTATAAGGCGCTTGTACGGCCATTGACCTTGCAGTGACGTTCAACTTCACCCCGGTCCCACTACCGTGCTCAAAGACTTCCAGGCGCTTCGACATCGGAAACCCATGGGGGTCGAAGGCAGAAGCATCCTGGGATAATCGAGCATGCATTGATCGTAGAACGGGGAGTTTAAACGCAGCCGGTCCAAGTCTCTCGGTCACCAAGTTATAGCAGCAACCAATCATAGCAATCGCCTTGACTGAAGGGTTCAAAGTCAAGGCTCGAATTCCGTGATGGAGAAGGTTGCCACACGAGTGCAACGAGACAACCATAACTCTCGCATCCGTGGGCCTCTCAGTCCGCTCTGTTGTTCCCACAGGATTTATCGTAGCTAGTGGAGTAGCAATAACGTTTTCGATAATTGGTTCCAAGTATCCATCCTTGATCTCGTGTTCGATATAGTCCATGGCACCCCTTGGCGTACTCGTGTTGGCAGCTGGCTTTTCGATGACACCGTTGCGCGCAGGAGGAGAGCCGACCTCGCCTTGGGCTATGTCAATATTGCGAAAAATATTAATCTCCGTAAGGCTCTCCTCATCGTCCTCTGGGGTTTCGTTTGAGTCATCTACATCAAGGTTGCTAGTTTCTGGCTCCCGCGGGCGCATGGAATCCGAATTCCCCGCTGCAGGAGCTTCAGGTTCTTCGCAGGTTGTGCAAGTGGCCAGCTTTTTGTTGTATAGTTGGACCTTCTTCTTTTCCCTAAGCTTGGCGTAAATGTCCATACGATTGGCACCGCTGATAAATTGGTGCTTTCGCTCAATTGCAACAATGTGCCTATTGTACGGAGGACTGGCCAGTGTCCGACCCAGGTAGCTCTGACCGGACCCAAAGTCCACAATGTGTGTTATGTCCTCGCCCCGTTCCTTGTTGACGGTGTTGCATAGTGTGTCGACGTATTTCGAAAAATGTGCCACCTCATGGTATTTTTTCACCTTCATCCCCACCGCGATCCGTCTGGGTATAGAAGGGGTACCTGCCTCCTGGGGAGTAAAGTCCCGGTGTAGGCTAAGCCTTCGAATCTGTTGGATGTACTCCAGAAGATCCAATGGAGGCAACCCTGCTCCTTTCCACCCCTGCGTTTCTGTGTCATTTCCTTGTTTGTGCGCAGTCAACAGCGGCTCAATGTCATCTCGCAACATCAGATCAATGACGTCTTGAAGATCATGCTGGTCAAAAAATACGCGCCAATGCTCAGGTAGGAGCGAGGTATAAAGATCCGGCTCTCGTGTCAGAAAATCCAGCATATGTACACCTCCGCAAAGGTGCCTAAAAAGATCAGACGAAGTGGCGAATGATAGTAAGGCTTCGACGTAGGCATCTGGATTTGTCCACTCCTCGGGGACTGGGAGGGGTTTTGAGGGCCGCATGCGATCAGTTTCTTTTCTTTTCTCTTGCTTTTTTTTTTTGGGTTCGGGCAGGACTGCAGCGAATAAATCAATCCAGTGTCTGTAGGCAGAGTGGCATCAGATGACACCGGAAGCTGCAGGATTGGTACCTCTAGGGAAATATACAGAATCCCGGCTAGAAAACAAGGCGTAAATAATCCAGGCTTCCTTCTATCCAAACAGCGTAGAGAAACAGTTGGTGGAAGAGTTGTCTAACATCCAAAAAAAAAATCTGGTGGACCAGATCAGATTGTGTTTAGGCTCTGGTGGGGTAGAAAAAGAAAACCACCAGCCAAACTGCCAAAGGGCCCAGAGCTCCAAGCCATACTGGAGTTGGGAGGGGCCTGACGGGGAAACTGTGGAGATTCATCACATCACCTTCATTATTTCCATTCTCAGCTAGGTACTTGATAGCCTCTGAGCTTCCTGGTTGCTGCTAATCACAATCAATAATATACAGGTAGTTCAAGACCTTGGTGGTGCTACGTCGGTTGCGACGATACTATCTCGCCTGCCACTAGTATGGCGACACTACTGGCGTCAGAGCGAATAGTCGTTGACTCGAGCCGCTGATCTTACATTAGACCATTCCCACGCTACATGTGTCGCCTATCAGGCTATCACGCTATCGGTAGACGACTCATTTCTTGTCCGCTACCTTGAGCTCCATTTTGGGTTCTCCCTAGCTTTCACAACGGATCGAGCCACTGCAGCCCAGAGGTGCCTAGCTTGGGCCCATATCAGGGTACGCCGCTCATTCTTCGAACGGGAATAGACATATCAGGAAATGGATGGGATCGTACGAGATAGTTAGATGAGCACCACGTATGATTTATAAGGAACCAGACCCCCCACCCACCTGCTGAGCCCTCTGCATCACTCTGCAGCCTACTGCAGAACGGGTTACTTTCGCCAACGCGTCGCATCTTCCATATCGGATGCTACCTATCCACCTTTCTCACAAACCCGATTCCTTATATCCATTGCTTCCGGGGACAAGCAGTGAGGAACTTTTTCAAAGGGGGTTCATTCAATGGACTCAGTTACACGCTATCATCCAAACGCAATGCACGCTGGATAAAAGCCTCTCAGCAAAAGCATGGTAAGAGGAAGTGCCTTGAGAAGATATCACACGACATCGATGCTTACGGTCAAATTTAGAGACCAGCCTCGAGCATCATGAAGCGAAAAGCCCTACCCTTCGGGTTAGTCGCAGATATTCTTTTGGAAATTATTATACATGGCGACGCAAACACCGTATTACGCCTGTGTCTTCTCAACAAGGCTACCTACGGAAATATAAAGTTGCTGGAATCACATATTTGCAGATGGTTCATGCGCCTCCAAGGCATCAACGCATTTGACCCCATACTCACCCTCAACCCCCGGACCGGCAAGCAAAACGCACTGACTGTGCATAGCCTTGTCAGGTTCCTGCAGCGCCAGGACCTTGCACATCAGCTATCTCTCCACATAGTCCCCTCCGTATGGGGTCCATTCTACGATGATGGAAATCCGGAAATGAACTTTGAGGCGGAGCTCGAGCTTGCTGGTCGGTTGGAGCGAGGACTGCTTGTACTTTTCCATATGGCCGACATTTCCCGTGACACGGAGCGGCTAAGACAGCAGAAGAAGTCACTTCCTTCTGTTGTAACTAAACGTCTCGTCATCTTCACCAAAATGCTGGATGAGTATGGTGATTTCCCACCACACAAACGACAGGCGATATCCTTCGAACAGCATACCAAGCACGTTTATACGGTTTTGAAGTGGGGATCAGCGGAAGCTGAAATTGGTAAGAGAAGGCTAGAGTTCAGGAGATATCTTGACGACCAAACACAGATCGACTTTCACTGCACAGTGCGAATGTTGCGAGAAATGATGGAACGTATGCTGCTCCGACATGGACCGAAAGACTGGCACCGGGACACAAGGAACGAGTATAGCGTAATATCTTGGTTCCTTCTGAAGCAACCGCCGCGGACTCTTGCGAAACTCTTCCTGAGCTCTCAAAACGAGTGCTGTCAATTCGACAGAAGGTCAACTGGCTACGGACCGAGAAAATGCCGTTTCTCGGACCCCCTCGACGGCTACTGGGGCGCATGGAAGAACGTCCCGGATTTAGGGTGTCTCGACTGCGATTGCAAAAGGCGACTTCGAAGCTGGAGCGTGAAGCCTGCACTTATTGATGCTAGGGGACGCGAATTCAATCGTGCTGCGGAGCGATATCTCAAAGATATGTGGAGTCAGAGACATGTTGGTCTCCACCGCGCACTGACAATGGGGTTTTTTGCCCCTGTTCTCTGATGCAACGGCTCATGTTAATTATGAGAAATTAATGGCGAATATAATACATATGTAGAAGAATAAGAATGCAAATACAGAAAGGAGGAAGATTGATTGTCTCCCACAGTGTGTCCTTATCAACAATCCGGGACTTACCGCTATCTTCACCGCCTGTTATTGCTCTTCGGAGCTCCTCCCAATCTACACAGTACGTAGTCGATATCAACATCATCCTCACCCCAAATTCTCCCTTTTCTAAACCTCTGGGCTCTCCACCCATCCATACTTTCCCCCCTGCTATGAGCCTTTCCTAGGAATACATATATACCCCCAACTCCTCACCATGGACCACACAGACCCCTTCCTCCAAGTCCAAGCGTAAGCCGAACAATCCACAACCTCCGATTCCCCTTTTAACCAGCACAGCCGCACAAACAGAGCTGTTCAGCTAACACCTGTCATTCAGAGACGTTCTATCCACACTAGGAACAACAAGGCCTCTATTCTCCTCGTATCTCCGCATCCGATCTCTCGCCAAAACCCCCTCAAATCCCGAACTCCTGCAAGCCCGCTCCGAGCTTGAAACCACACTTACCGACCTCACAGCGGACCTGGACGACCTCGTCGAGAGTGTCCGCGCCGTCGAACAAGACCCCTACCGCTATGGCCTGGAGCTAGATGAAGTCCAGCGCCGCCGAGATCTCGTCGACGATGTCGGGGCTGAGATCGAGAACATGAGGCAGGAGCTGCACAAGGCGATTACGATTTCCGATGCCACGCGCCACGCGGCGGGCGGGCCAGGGTCTGGGTTACCGAACCCGGCAGACTTTGATAATGTGCTGTCACCGGATGCAGCCGATGATAGGGGGGAGGACTATTATGCTGAGATGGAGCAACAGCGGCAGATGGAGCTGATGCATGAGCAGGATGAGCAGTTGGATGGGGTGTTTCGTACTGTGGGCAATTTGCGACAGCAGGCGGATGATATGGGGAGGGAGCTGGAGGAGCAGGCGGTTATGATCGGGGAGGTTGATACGTTGGCGGACCGAGTTGGGGGTAAGCTGCAGAATGGGATGTCGAAGCTCAAATACATTATCCGGAAGAATGAAGGTAACGTGAAACAAATTTTGGACCGCCCCATTTTACTGATCGAGTTGGCAATTCAAAGTCAACCAAGCTAACTAATTGAAAATAGATACAATGTCGTCATTCTGCATCGCGGCCCTCATTTTTGTTTTGGTTCTCCTATTAATTCTAGTCATCGCGCTGTGAATACAGTGCGGAGTTCGTATGTTGAAAAAAAAAAAAGAAAAGAAAAGAATAAACACGCAAGTTCGACAAATTAGACCTTGCTCTTCTTGCGGGGTCGAGAATCTTCCTCCTCTTCGTCATCGTCAAATTCGGCTTCGAGCTCCTCCTCATCCAACTCATCCTCGTCAAAATCCGGGGTTTCCTCGAAGGATTGGACTGCGGCGCGCGTTAGACATGGGGGACGGTTATTGAGACAGGAATCTTACCGTAATATTTCATCGCGTTGGGCCACAGATCTTCAGCGAGGCTGATCGCGAGTTCGTTGCCATCGGGGAAAATCTCGATCATGTCGAAATCATCATCCACGTCGTCGTCCTCTTCATCCTCGTCTTCATCGTCATCGCCGGCAGACTCGCCCTTGAGGGCCTTGTCGAACTTCTCGCTCTCCTCTTTAGTTGCTGCTGCGGACTGTTCGGCAGTCACGTCGCTTCCACGATATCCAAAGAAGTTAAAGAAGCTCGTGCCAGTGGACTGATCGAATTCTTCCTCCTCGTCAGCCTCCATATCCGCAGCCTCAACGGCCGCGATCTTCGCGACGAGCTTCTCGAATTCGGGCAGCTCCTTCCGATCGCCGCCCTTCTTCTTCTTCTTCTCTGCCTCGGCCAAGTCGCAGGCAGCATCAAGCAAGCCCTTTGTGACATCCATATCCTTCTTCCAGTTGATGCGCACCGGCTCCGAGACAAGGCCATCCCAGGTCCTCTTCTTGCCGCTAGGAGTGGTGGTGATTTCCTTGCGCCAGTAGAACTCCTTGACGAGCTTGTCATTCTCGAAAAAGGGGTTTGCGCCCTCGTCGGTGTGGAATTCGAATGTGAAGCGGATGCTGCGCGGTTCGCCCTCGCCCTTTTCGTTGATTTCGAATCGCTCCACGGTTAGATTCTTGAGGGCGGAGCCCAGGATGGCGGCATCAGAGGAGGTAATGTGTTCATCGATATCGGCGGGCGCATTGGACAAGACGCGAACCCAGAAGTTGGACTGCACACCGGGATGGGTGATAATTTCGGCGCGCTTTTCAAAAAGAGGACGGAACGACAGAATCGACTGGCGCACTTTTTTTTTTTTTTTCAGTTAGAATAAGCATGACCACCGCTTCCCCTCTCCTTTTTAATCCAATCCAATTCAATCCATCCCAATGCATATTCCCCGATCTAGCTTTGAGAATAAACCACCAAGCAGCACTGCACTTACATTGCTCCACCTCCGCACGAATAAACTGTTGCTCCAGAAGCGAGATCTTGCTCGCAACCTCCTTGGGCACAACCGGTTCCGTCACGCGCTCCATGAGACCCTTTTTCTCGTCGGCGGACATGGCGAGACACGTACTACTAAGACAAGTAACAGTGAGAACGAGATAATCAAGAAATCAAGAAGAAAAAAAAAAAGGGGGAAGTGAGTGAGGAACCTATAAAATGGAGAAAAGATGGAGAAGAAAAGGAGATGGGAAAAAAAAAAAAATCAGATTCAGAAACTTTCTCCCGTGCTCGTCATGTCATCAGGAAAAACCTTACCTTAGTAACTAACTAACTACCCAGTGCTCCGTAAGTAGGTAGTTAGTTACCTAAAGAGGAGGTACCTAAAGACTGCTTCAGATCAATCCATTGGTTTGGGGGAAGCTTCGAGAGATGGTTGTTATTGGGTGGAAGGTTAGGTGAGTCTTAGTAAGGGAGACTTTACCTAGGTACGTAGGTAGGTAGGTGTACTACAAGTACAAGTACATACTGTAACTATAATTTAAGATTTTCATTCATTCATTTATTCATTGCTTTAATTGAATCGAATATGACTGATTTACATGGTGTGGTTGGTATAGCATATTTTCTATATAGTTACCTAGGTGGTATAGTACTATATCCGTGGACATACATATAAAGGCAAGTCCCTACCACAATTTCTGACTAACTAACAGCTTCGTTTTGGTGAATCAGTAGAGTGATCTCTATCTATCTCTATCTATCTATATATATATAATAACTGCATATATTGAAGTTTCAAGTACGGAGTCCCTATTAAGGATTAACTGGATAGACTTGGATACTGCAGTCGTAGTGTAGTGTAGTGTAGTGTAGTACATACATACATAGTTACATACTCCGTATATGTAAGTATCTATTCTACCTCGGTAGAGATTGATGGCTTGAGAATAAGGGTAAGAATAGACGGACGGTTCAAGGTTATCGGAGCTTAGTAGTTCAAGTTTACTGGATGCGGTGATTAGTACATTAGATCTATCCCCAAATTAATACACGAGGAAAGAAAGAAAAAAAAAAAAAAAAAAAAAAGAGAAGCTTCAAGGAATAAATTGATCATCAAACAGCCACCGGTGAAATCATAACACCAAGGGGAATAAAGTAAGTAGAAAGTAGAAAGTAACCAGCTGAATCAAAAAAGGACTTTTCTTTTTCATGCGCAAATTCGTAACTGCGTGTCAACCATCGTCCACCACCATCAAGCCATTAAATAAACCTTTTGCTCTTTTTCCGGAAATGATCATTTGAGGGCGAACGTGTCCTCAACACTCAAAAGTAAGGGGGAGAAAAAGTGAAGGTCTGACATCGGAGCTTCCCAAGATAGACCGACGTTGTTCCTCTTTTCTTCTGATTCGTGGTATCGAATTGTTTTCTTTTTTTTTTTTTTTCTGGGTTAGTTTTCGCTCCAAAGATAAGACCCAACCGAATTCGCCAGTAATGCATGAGAGATTGCGCGATTTAAAAAAGAGATGTTGGGCCCGATAGCGAGTGAAGATGTTGGATGGTGCGGTGTGGGAGCGAGGGGAAAAGATAGTGGAGGACCCCCCCTCTCCCCCCGCGCAGTGCAGGATAGTAAACTAAGAAGTAGTGTCGGGGAAGTCTCCGATAACAGGTAGATGCAATCTCCCTATCGGGCCAATCGCACTCGACGGTTCGTATCAAAGCACGGATAAAGAGCTTGCCTTCCGCTCACCGACTTAAACTTTTGCCCTCCCCTTGAACAGTTATCCTTCTTGGGTTGCCGCCTCCCAAGGGAATCTGAAACTTCCACTTGCTGGTGTATCTTCAAAGCATCCAGTCGAGTCCGTTGGCTTCCTCCTCCACGGGGAATACCTCGCGTGCATATTCTTCCATGTCACGCCAGCCCGACCATAGGTGCCGGGCTTCGTCTGTGACACGTTGCGAGACGACGCCTCCGGGACCCTGCATCATTCCCGCGCCCGCGCCCTTGCCATTGGCTGGGCCTAACCCCTTGGGAGATCCTGCGGCAGGACGGGAGAATTCGGGCAGTGGGAAGTAGGGTGCATTGTGCTGCCCGAATACCACTTCGATCGCCTCTAGTTGTTCCCGGTATCCAGCTGGAATGTTGACCTTGATTTCGACCTGGGGGACGTGGACGTACTTGCAACGGCGATTGAGGGCGCGCGAGAAGGCTGAACAGACTTGGTTCGGAGAGAGGGTCTCGAATGTGAGCGCGATCCTAAAAAAGACCTTTTTGTCAGTACGGGAGAAAAAAAAAAGGCAGATGGGGTCAACCGTACCGATGGCCGTTCCACTTCTTGGGTCCATCCTTGAAAATCTGCAGCAGCGCGGGGCCAACATCGTGCTCAGCGTCTAGCCAGGGCAGCGGAGTATCCGGGTCAAAAGGCGCGTGCCACTCGAAGCTGCCGTCGGGCATGAGCTCCATCTGGAAGAGCGGGTAAGGGAGACTGGTGAAGTTGTTGTTGTAGATTCCGGTGAAGACAAAGGTCGACGGGAGGCCTAGTTGGCGGATATAGTTCTCGACGGTGAACTTGGGGGCCCAGAGAGGCACGGGAGGCCAAGGACCGTAAACAGAGTGATCGGGCATACTGCTGTAGATGTAGTGCTGGATGGACCCCGCTCGGTTGGCGGCATCAGCTAAGGCGCGACCAATGGCGACTTCATCGCCCGATTGGGAGGTGGTATTAATGAAGGCGATATTGGCGCCCTGGAAAAGGGTATCCATGAGGGGAACATTATTCAACAGGGGGCCTTGGAAGAGGGTGACATTGGGGAGATCTTGGAGTTCCTCTGCGATGACGCCTTTCAGGGAATGGATCTGGGCGCGCACTTGATGTCCGACAGCGGAAGCGACCCGGATGAGGGACGCGGCTTGGCGACCGGTCGCGTTCACGACGGCAATGGTCTTCTTTTGTTGGGTCATTCGGGATAGCGAATTGGTAGGATATTGGGTTTCTCGGGAGCTGAGGAACTGGGGGTTCGTGGGAGGGGTGAAAAAAAGGATAAAAAAAAAAAAAAAAAAAAAAAAAAAAAAAGGGGGTGCGGGGTAGGAGGGAGGAACAGGAGACTGAGTGAGCAAAGGAATCCCAAGTGATAGATAGATAGATACTAGTGAAGAAGAGATTTTAAGCCAAGTGAAGAAGCCGATTCAGAGATGGGAAGAGGGAAGAGTGGATGGGCGGTGGAGAAGAAGAAATAAGTCAGTATACATCGATAGTCAGTTATTAAGAGGCCGGGATTCGCAGGCAGCCCTGGGTCTACATAGTCCAGATGAAGATCCGCAGGTATGAATAGAATCAAGTAATATCTTCACAGAGTATATATTTTCTTTATGTAACTTTTCAAATGAAATCCAGAAATCTCTCCTGTCGTGCCCACGTTCTGACCGTGTCACTCCACCAACTCCGTCGCCCTCAGCCAATCTGCATACATGGGTTTTCCACGCATGGCCAGAACACTACATAGTAGCGGTACCGGAGTAATCCACTACAGAGTACTACACCAGAATTTGCAAGATGCGGGGAGAATCTAATACCTCCGCGGATATTTATTTATTAGCAAGAAGACACTTACCTATCCATAGGTCATTGTGGACAGAATATTAGTGTCGATGCTAGGCTAGGGTCTAGATACCCGGGATGCGAAGTAGATTTCTCGCGAAAAAAAAAAAAAAAAAAAAAATTATATTATGGTGCTGACCCCGCCATGCAAGCCCACTGCGACGGCCGTGCGTAATACTCCCCTTCTCCTGCCTCCAGCTCCTCCATCTCCTTCTCGCTGATTTCCCGTGGCCCAATCCCCGCCAATCCCCAAACCCCTGGCCGCCGTCGGGCCAGGAGCTGCGCCGCTGACCGTTCGTCCGAGTGTAGATGCGCCCCGGACTGGCGCAGGAGCAGAACGTGCTCGGAATGCCCAGCGTTAGCGGCTAGGAAGAGCGGCGTGCGCCCATTTCGATTGCGTAAGTGCACGGATCCGCCCTGGAGGAGGAGGTATCGGAGAATGTCGACGGAGGGAGAGGCCGCCGCGAGGTGCTGCACGACCTACATCAGTATCGCTTGGCCTGAAAAAAAAAAAAAAAAAAAAAAACCCGAGTACAAAAGGAGAAGACGGGACACTTACGACGGGTGTGTTCCCCGAGTAATCGGCATCATTCAGTAGCCAATGATGCTCGTTTCGGACGATTTCCTCAACGCGCTTCAGATCACCCTGCGCAATGGCGTATCCGAGCACCGTGAAGGCCTGCACACGTTCTGGGAGAGCTCCGTCCGGGTGGCGGAATACAGGTTGGGAGCTTTCTGTTAATTCGCCGCGAAGGGACACCGACATATTGTTTGCCACAAGCTGGGGCGTGGAATCGGGCAGCGCAAGCAGGTATGCCAATTTAGTCAATGCGGCTTCCGTCGTCAGGTCTAGTCCTGCAACCACGCCGGCCTTGGACAAGCTCATGCCAGGAGCATAAACAGGGCTAACGCTTCCCGTCAAGCCTATTCCCATTAGTATCTTTCTTCCCCTCTCTCTGTGTTGTGTCTTGGAACTTACATTGTGTCACATTAACAATGACAATCCCCCGGGAAATCGCATCCGCAAAGACCTTGGTCATTGCATTGTCCTGTCCATGGGGTGCATTCCCTGCGCCAAAGGTCTCCAGGACCAATCCGCGAAGCCCATCTAGCTTCAACACCGCGTCTACCATCTCTGGTTTGATCCCGGGAAAAATCCGCAGACAGGCAACATGGGTGGTATCGAGATTGGTTTGAATGCTGAAATGCTCGATGCTCTTTGGTCGATTGACAATCTCCCAGTTCACGTTGGTGCGCATAGATGTTGTAATCGCCAGCGGTGGGCAATTGGGGGAATCAAACGCCCCAAAGTCGCTCGCGGCCACCTTGAGAGATCGGTTTCCGCGAAGCAGTTTGTTATTGAAGTACAGGCAGACTTCAGGGATCATGAAATGGCCGGCCACAACCAACGACCCAAGGAGGTTATCCGTAGCATCGTTCTGTAGCTCCAGCATTGGCGCTTGGGCTCCTGTGAGAATTACGGGCTTTCCCAGATTTTTCAGCATGAAGCTCAGCGCGGAGCAGGTATATGCTAGACTGTCTGTTCCGTGAAGCACAACAAATCCGTCGAATAGCGTGTAGTTGCGCTCAATGGTCCGCGCGATCTCCGCCCACCCTTTGGCGTCGATGGAACTGCTGTCCAGAAGCTCGGCGAATTCAAGAACAGTGTACCGCACCCGCCGGCCGTATGCTGTGATCGGAGTGCGCAGACTTGGATGAGCTTGAACTTCCCCCGCGCCATTGACCACAACATCCAGCATCGTAGAATTCGATCCATCATTAAAGGTAGGCACACGTGCCAGGCATTGCTCCTGGAACCCCCGCGCGGGGATAAGGCCCGCAGGCGACGGTCGCATACAGATTGTGCCTCCTGTCATGATAATCAGTACCCTCGACTCTGGAACTGACTGATCCGACTGGCGTTCAGCCAGCTCGGGGATGAAATCATCCGCGGCGACCATGACAGGCAACTGGATCTGACTGATAGAAGCGGTTGAGGAGGACAACCGATAGCAACGAATGACAGTGGGACCAGAAGGCACTCTTTCCTGCTTCCACAGACCGATCTTAAACAAGGTCTGGAGATGGGTCTTGGATGTTGTCAAAATGCTTCCCGTAAAGCCCCAGTGTAGATCAGCCTAAGATAAGAGTCCAGTCACCCATCCACGGATCGTTGTCGCAAGAGGGTTGGGGTGTCTGTCACCTTTCTCACTCTCAAAGACCACTGAAAGTCTCTGCAAAGATTCTATTAATTCTTTTAGGTGTTCAGAAAAGTTCTGTCTCCCTGAAACAAATCCAACTAAAGCGGTCTATTACGTACAGAGGGTAAAGACTTTGGAGGATGTGAGAAAGGTGATAGGCGGCTAGTGTACCAGTGGGGGAGTTTTTTTTTTTTTTTTTTTCCTTCATCTTCCGCCACTCCTCCTTCACGCAAAATCCTGGACAACCTCTGTCGACTTCTTACACATTTGCTCCACCACGATCCATTCGCACGAGAATTGCCCTGCACCTGAAGGGGAAAGAGTTAGCAGTTGGATCCTGGGTCAGGGTACGGAGTACCTTGAGTGGACCGAATCTATCCGCTGAACTCCAGTCCTCTGGGCTCCTACGCAGCGCAACTCCATGGGTTTGCAAAGTTTTCGATATTTCTACCAATGATCGACCCGTCCCAGAACCCAGGAAAAGAACTCCAGAAGCAGAATAGGCGGTTTGCGCCAAACTTGGATCGTCAGTTACCGCCCGAAGAATCTTCTTTTTCAATTTCTTTCACCCGACAACGGCATAGAGTTTGGGCAGTGGCAACCGATTCCTATTTTTCCTGTCCCACGACCTACGGAGTACACTGGTGCAGTGGAGCTATCCATCTCGTCTCGTGTGATACTGTCACGATGTCCAGCACGGTGACCTGGGTATCGTGATGTGATGAAGGGTATAAAACCACTCTCTGCTTTGACCTCGTTGCAGAGCGCCTTGGCAGCCCAGAATGGAATTGCCCCGGAAAATAGGCGATTCTGATAATATTACGGAGTACTGCGCAACTGTTGTCTATTCCAGAGCCGTGCGCTTCCGCTCCGGTGACCGGTACTTGTATGGAGCAGCACACCATCACCAGTGGATAATGGAAAGACAAGCGGAGAAAATCAGTAGCAGCTCACTGAGTAACAATATAGGAGCAATACAACGCTTTGTATACTCACTCTGATGGAATTAATACCAGATATAGTGCACTCTCATGCGAGAATCAGCCAAGGCGTCATTTCAAACTGCAGCTGCAGCAGGCCTTGCGGCTCTAGAAGTCACATCAGCTTCCATGTGTATATTCTTCAATGCCATTTCAGTATCTCGATTCCATCATTTTAGGATCTTTACGAGAATACCTATGCAATCTGCAGAATAATATATATTGTGTACGCTAATTAGCCCTCTAGATCACATCTATCTACCTTACCCGGCTTTTCACTAGTACTTAGCTATATTTATTCACCACCAGAAACTCACTAGGTAGTTAATTATTTGCTCTGGCTTTATGGGGATTATATTTCTAAAAAACATGACTTGATTGACGGTTCGTGCCACTCATTTTGTCTGAAACACGCTGTTTTGGTCAATTTGCTTGGCTTCAAGCAAGGAACAGGACGTGGTAGATGTGGAAGTGAGAGTTGGGCCTTTAAATTTCTCGATATGCAACGTCCCGCATGGGTTTTAATAGTAGCCGATAGAAATATGCAAGATTGATGCTTGTATTATTACCTCCTCGCATGGTCTGGCGATGATGTAGATAGATATTAGATACTGTATGTATTCCTTGAAAATTAGTTTAGCGCCACTAGTCAGGAACCGCCGTCGGTTTCGACTCGCCAACCGTTTCATCTTCACACTCCTCCGTACTCCTCTTCTCGTGTGCAGGATCTCGTCCAAAACTTCCCCTCCGCTCGACAGTTGATCCAACCTTCCATCCCATCCTGTTTCACCTCTGTCCATGCGCAACTCTGAGCGTTTTGATGCTTGATTCATTCTCCCCCAGACTGCCATGGGACGGAGGGGCCCTTTCTCTCAGAGATCTTGTATCCATAATATGAGGCCTCCCCTGGAGATCAGTTTAGTCCCTGAGTGCTCAGTGGACCCTCATTGTGGATGTCCTGCAGGGACCGTCTCTCTTGACCTTGATTAGGAGACTCGAATCAAAGGCGTCTTTCTCCGTCGGTCCCCCTCTGTTGCACGAGGCGCTCAAGCGATCCGTTCAACTCCCGCTTGTCGATGACCCTGTGATTTAACGGAGATTATTCCAGCATTGTGATAGGGACCCCCCCCCCACCCCTCGGAGCGGCTCTCTCCTCATATCGGTTGCGCTGCCGCTTTAGATAGATCATCCAGTACTCTTGGACGAGGACCAGAAAGTCGGGCAGGAAATTTCTTTCATAGTTGGGCTGTTAGGCTCTTCGTAGTTTAATGACCAAGCAGAGAGGGGGGAGGTTTATTGGGCCTTGGAAAGCTGCCACAAAGGTAAAACTCACTAATATCATTACAAGGATGGAGTAAACCGATATACAATGGGCCGGTCTTTATTGTTTCTTCACTGATGATTGGACTAAGTAGTTGTCGAGCGTTTTTCTTAGCGTCCCTGTTGATGTTGGCTGGTGACTGGGCAGTGAATGCTCTCTCCATCTTATTATCACCATCACTCGCTTGTTCATCTTCCTTCTTCTTCCTCCCTTCCTTTCGATCTTGCTTCCCCCCTTCTTAGTATAACAGACGGCGTCTTCGTCCTTCCGCTCTTTTCTTTGGATTTACTTCTGAATCTATGTCTTTTTGAGCTCTCACGAATATTTTGTGTCTCTCATTCGTTTTAGCTTCCTTTTACCAGTCTTTCGTTTAGTCCGCTGTTCGTATTCGGGTGCGACGACCTGTTCAGACGTCTCAAGTACGGTCGATCAAGCTACGAGATTGCAGCCATTTTGTCATCCTGGATTCCTAGCTAAATCAGCGGTTACATCCCATTCCAACTGGTTCTGCTAGATAGTGATCATAGGTATGTCCCTCTTGCTCGGTGTCTCCAACTGGACATCTACACAACGTGCATCACCATGACTTTCGCTTTCCTGTTACCAAAATCCAAATTTGCTGCTGCTTGTTTGTCTTTCTGGCGTTCCCCTTGTCTTCTCTTGCTTTTCGTCAAGCGAACCTTGGTGTGGCGCCCCTGGAAGGCACATCGCCGCTCTCATTCCTCAATGCAAGGAGTTTGCCCCTACCTAGAGCTCGGCAGCCACTTGCATAAACCGTGAACGCAACGCTCCTTTCTTACTGGACAATTGAGTACCATTTTTCTGTGCCTGTGGGCTGTGCTCGAGGTTTTGTCGAATCCGTGCGCTAACCCCCTCTTGCTTTGTTGTTGTCTTTGTTGTTGTTGTTCATTCATATACGGAGGAGCACTGTGAATCGACAACTTCGACATACACCCTATTCGTTCATTACGTTCTTTCAGATGTGGCTTTATCAGTGCTTCTTCATTCTCTCTCTCCATTGACTCGGATTCTAACTATCGCTCCTGGGGACGGTTTTAGCCGACTACTCTATTAAATCCCCAATCAACATCGCGTTTTAGGACCCAACCCCAGTCGCTCATTTCACTCAGCATCGATATTTACGATCATGCGCCGACAGCTACGACTCAATGCCGGTTTGGTAGCCAGCCTGATCGCCTTTTCGGGCGTGACTGATGCCTTCTGGCGCCTTCCGTGCCATGGACGCAGTGGTCTTGCACGAATCGACCCCTTGGTCTCTCCAGGAGAGCCCTCATACCATGTGCATACGGTTCACGGGTCAAGCGGTTAGTTTGAATCCTTGCAAGGCTGTTATGGGAATGTAAGCTGAACAATATGTCGTAGGCTTCTCCATGAATGCGAATATGGCGGCATTGCGTGCAGGAAGTTGCACATCGTGTGCTGTGAAACAAGATAGATCCGCCTACTGGGCCCCTGCCCTGTACTTCATCGATGAGCATGGTGACAGTGAGATTGTCAAGGAGGTGGGAGGCTTGCTCGCGTGAGTAATGGTACTTGCAGCGAACTCAAAGCGGCCGCTAATGAGTTGTGTGACACTAGCTACTATCTCCTGTATGGAGAGAAGGTCGAGGCATTCCCTGACAACTTCCACATGATCGCTGGTGATCCGTTCCTGCGAAACTTCACATGGCCTGTTCCTGACCCTCCTAAGTCGGATTGGACGGGTGACCAACTTAGCCAGGCATCTCTTCGCCAGAAAGCCCTTGGATTCAACTGCTTGAACTACGCCAAAACCCCTGAACCATCTCTGGGCCGGCACTTTTTGCCCAACAAGACCTATCTGGATGAACACTGTACCGATGGGGTTCGGTTTGAACTGATGTTCCCTTCGTGCTGGAACGGTAAGGACGTCGACTCGGCAGACCATAGGTCACACGTGGCCTATCCCTCACTCGTCATGGACGGCGTTTGCCCAGAGGGATTTGAGACTCGCGTCGTCTCACTTTTCTTCGAAACCATCTGGGATACCTACGCGTTCAAGGGTCGCGAGGGTTACTTTGCTCTTTCAACCGGTGACCCAACTGGATATGGATACCACGGCGATTTTATGCATGGCTGGGAACCAGGTGTCCTGCAGAAGGCTGTCAAGACCTGTACCAACCCATCTGGCCAAGTCTCAGATTGCCCTGTTTTTGACCTGCAGAGCGACCTCGAGTCTGCACTTTGTACCTTTGATGTGCCAGAAATCCTCAAACACGAAGATGTTACCAGGGTGAAGGGCAGTCTTCCCAACAAGGTTGCCATTGAATGGGGACCAGAGTACGCCTTTCCCGTCAAGTATGTTGGCGAGAACTTGGCCGCCTCTAGTGCGACCACTGCCGCAATCCCCGATGCCGATGCTGGTCTGAGTGTTTCTGCCAACCTTGGAGGTATTACAGGCAACATCCACGCTGCAGGTTCCGCAACAGAGGTTGCAGCTTCAACCACACACACGTCGTCCACAACGTCTACTACATCTACAACGTCTACTAAATCCACAACTACTACTGCGACCAGTACCAGTACCACGACGACGACGACGACAAGTACCACGACCGCTGCCACCACCACTACCAGTACCACTACCAGTACCATTACCAGTACCACAACCTCGACCATTACCTGGATTCCCACGCCTACCACCTCATATGTTCGGGCTACCGTCACACGGGAGGTCATATATGTTGAACAAGAGATTGTTGTCCTCGTGGATGAGAACAACCATCCGTTGACGACTGAAACCGGTGGCCTTGAGACCCTTTCCACGGCGTACAGCACCATAACCCGGACCGTTTCCACCGTAGTGACCATTCCCACCGAGCCACCTGCTAAACGCGAAAAGCATGATCACCTAGCCGCGCACAAGCGCCATCACCACGGCCACTCCCACTAAAAACACCAGAGTTATGTTGATTTCAAGAATCTCGTGTCCAAAACGAAGCATAGCTGAAACCCGCAAACCTGGTTGCATCCACTTGATATCCTTCGAAGCTCGGCCCGCCCACATTCGTTTTCTACCTTCCAGCTAGGTCCGACGTTCATTCCTTGGAGGATTTGATTCACTTCTCGAGGATATTTTATCACATCTTTTCTGCCCCCCTTCACTCTCTCTCTCTTGTCGATTCCTTTCGTCATGCCACCTCGATTCTTTTTTTTTTCTGATGTACATGTTTACAACTGTCTGCTTCTTGTCCTTGAGGGAACAGGTGAAGCATACAACATCTTCCCCATATCTCTTGACGAGAACGGGGATGGGTTAGTCGTGTTAGATATAGCCAAATGCACGCGTGCTCGAAGAGAATCCTTCCCGCGCTCTTGTCTGGCTTCCATTTTATGCCTTTTTACGTTTCTTCTATACCTCTTATCGTCTTGCATCACGGTGGGCCTCAATTTTAGTCTGATACGGGAGTAACGGTTGAATATTTTATTTCTTTCTTTTCTGCGTACGTATTCTTATGGATCTCGAAGGCCATTCTCAGTATCCTTGCTCCAACGTAGAGATGAGTAGATGAAGCGTACTTCTCCCCTGGTATTCAAGAAGAAAGAAACGAGGTAATCTCGTCGACTCTGTAGGACATGGCATGGCATACCTTTTATCTACCTAGGGATTCATTCGTGCTCAGCGATACATTCATCATTCTATCTATACTATCTATACTCTACTCTACTCTACTATACTCTACCATGCTATGCTATACTATGCGATACGTAGTTACGCTTCAGGTACTCAGTCGATTCCAGGATCCACATCGCATGAACATGAACCGAACCGAACTCCATCTTGTCAGATAGCAAGGTGAATGATATTTTATTTTGTCCTGGAGGTCTAAGTAGGTGTGGGTGATTATGCATGCATGTATCTAGATAGGTAGGTAGGTAGGTAGGTAGGTACAAGGAAACCCAAGTAGCATGCATAAACAACTCGTGTGTTATTATTGAAAGTGGCATAAAGCGTTAAAAGGTCATGTTGGGTTAGGTTTTTTTTTTTTTTTTTTTTTTGGGAAGAAAGAAAGGAGGGAGGGGAAAGAAGAAGAAGGAAAGCTCCAGGCTTACGCCGTAAAAGCCGCAGCGGAGGGAAGAACAGTCGGCGAACCCTGGCGAGGGGAAGTGCGGGTGATCAGATGCTCGAAGGACGCGGCCGCTTCGATGCGGGGGTTGAAGGGTTCGAAGTCCCACAGGTAGCCCAGGGTACGGAGCAACGACGAAGCCGAGTAGGAGACGGTCTGGCCGTCGCTGTTGAGGCCCTTCTGCTCGACGTGGCCCTTGCTGATCCAGGGGGAGATCAGCAGGGTGGGGATGCGGCCTCCGAGGCGGTCGAAGGTGAGGGTGTAGGGCTCGCCGCTGGGGGTGGACTCGGTGTAGGTCTGGTTGTCTGGGCGGGGGGCGGAGGGGGCGAGGACGTGGTCGAAGAAACCGCCGGTCTCGTCAAAGGTGAGCACGAAGAGGGTTTCTTCCCACTGGGGGCTGTTGCGGACAGCCTCGTAGACTTGCTTGATGAGGGCCTCGCCGTCGGAGATGAGGCCGCTGGGGTGCATGGAGGTTGTGCCGACGCCGCAGCAGGACGGGTTGATGTACGAGAACTCGGGGAGTTTCCCGGCGGCGGCGTCGGTGTAGAACTGGTCGAGGTGCACGATTTTATCGTTGTTGCCGGTGGAGTAGGTCCAGGTGAAGTACCCGGAGTCAGGGCCCGTGCCGCCGGCGGGGTCCCAGTAGTTGAGCCAGGTGTGGTTGGTCTCGGTCAATTGCTCCCAGATGGACCTTTGGGGGAGCTTGTGAGCGTGGAACCCAGCGTCGTTGGTGCCGTGGCCATAAGAAGAGCCGGAAACGATGGCAGCACGGTTGGGGTCCGTGGGCTATGTTTTCAGTTAGAGAAAGGAGCTAGACTAGAAACGCGGAGGGGGGGGGGGGGGGGGGGGGGGGGGGGAAGAGAGAGGACTTACACCCGGGATATCAGAGTGCCAGTGGTTAAAGGTCACGAAATTCTTGACCAGGGAGGTCAGAACTGGGACCTGCTCTTCAGTATAGTAGTGCATGACCTGAGTAGCCAAGGTAGTCTTGTTGACCTTGGAGCTGTAGCGGCGCATCTGCTCATGGAGGAAACCCTGATTGTGGGGGACAGCACCCTCCACAGGGTTAAAGGTACCAAAGAACTCGATGTTGTTGCCGTAGACAGAATGGTCGGGGTCATTGGACACAGAGTCATAGTCCTTGGGCTCAGTGCAAGCGGACCCCTCGGATGGATCAGTCAAGTTGAAAGGGTTGCAGAATGGGCCGCTGTTGACGGGGTTTTCGAGACCATGGTGTTTCTGGCCACCCAGCAGGTTGTCAAAGGAACGGTTCTCCATGACAAGGACAACGACATTCTTGATGTGCGACTTGAGTTGCGCGATTGACTTGTCAGTATGCGGCTGGCCATGGGGGTTGGAGGGAAGAGCCGTGGCCACAGCGGCAAAGGTAAGGAGACCCAAGAGAGCACTGAGGTTCATTTTGATTCAATTTGATATGGATTGGTTGTGCAGAAGAGGAAAGAAGAAGAAGAAAGATCTAGAGGAGCTGCTGCTGCTATCTCATGGAGGAAGGGGGCATCTCTGGTGACTTTATAGTCGCCTTGGACTCATCCTGATGGATTCTATTCCTTCTCGACTACGCAACCCCACGTGCATCGTGATATCATCCCCAGTATGGCTTCATGAGCCCAGGGCAGTGCTGATCATACCAGGTAGGTAGGTACATATACAAGGAGAGTGGAGGGTAAGGAGTTCAACATCTCCAATCACAGAGATCTAGATGTGCACGAGGAAACAGCCAGCCCAGGGTGCATAGCCGGGTAAGCCCGTAGTTTTTCGGGAATATATGCAGAGTGAAGACTCAAGCAATAACGAGTCTGGAACAAGAATGCCAAGTCAGGGCCAGGGAGCTCCAAGGGTCTTGGGGATGTCGTGGGTGGCATAGGAGGGATTCATTGGCCGGTAGATCTTCATTAGCATAACCTAAATCCATGAAGTTTTCGTGTAGATATTAATATACTGCATGCCAAGAGTTCTTATATAATGCTTAGCTGGATTAATCCTGGCATATCATCGATATAATGCATCTTCTCGCCGTATAATTCCTTCAACCCCTAACCCTAACCCTACCCCAAATAAAGGGTCCTTAGGGTCCGGGTAACGTTTTATTATCTCTAGGGTGATTGTTGCTTTATAGGTCAGCTCTTGTCATGTTATCAAGTTGATGATGGTGAAAAAGAAGAGAGAAGATCCATTCATAACTCATACATATCAACCAACACACGCATTGTATCCAACCTAATCAGATTAGGGTATATCTTCATGTATTCGTCTAGTCTTGTACACAATCTCAAACAAAAGAGATTCTATTCTTGCGGTGGAGTTGGAGGAATCCACTCGCCGTCTTCGAGCCACATCCCTGCGCCGCTGTATTTCCCGGCTTCGGCGCCCTTGAGGTAAGCAAAGCGGAAGAAAAGATCCTCTGGTTTGCCGTTGTCGTCGCGATCAATCCAGTCCGCGTCTATATCCTGGTCCACAGCGTCATCCTCAATCGTCGCGACGAATTGCAGCTCGAGTCCGCTGTGTCCGTGGCGGTGCCAGGTAAATTCACCCCGGGGATCCTCGTCTAAATAGCCTCGCCTGCGTTCCACATCGTTGACCAGAACAGACACTCCGTCAACACCAAGGCCTGTCATTCGTTCATTATCCCATAAGGTGAATGTGATGTTGCCGTTTCCGTGGAATGGCTCATCCGAATTGTTATCGGGGAGGGAGACTTTCACAGACGAGTTCGTAATGTCGGGATAAGTAGCTCCCCACCATCCTGAGCCCCCGGAGCCCCGGGAGTGTTCGCCCAGTGCCGCAGGCGTTTCAATAATCGACGCAAACCCCCATCGAGCAATGCCATTGATGAACAGACCAAGGAGCAATCCCTGGTAGATTAATGACGGTCGAGTCGGGAAGGCCGTTCCATGCATGAGAAGAATTGCAAGAATATAGTGATGGATGCGAAGGCGAAGACCAGGGAGTGGTAGCAATATCAGAAGGATCAGCCCCATCGAACAGTAAACCTTCAGATAGTGTGGCATCAGGCCTCCCTGGCGGATTTGCCAAGCCTGGCTAACAATAATCGTGATCACAGTCGGAATAACCAGACATAAGGCCAGTTTTGCGCCAGGTTGCTGCTGGATGTCATGGGGCGTGAGACGTTCAAGGGGAATCAGCCGAGCGAATGTATAGTTATTCAGCCCGCCAATAAATGCAAGCGGCAAGAAGAGGAACGTTTTGCTCATCTGATACTTGGGGTGAGCGAGTGGTGTCAACAAGGGCCGTGCGCAGTATTTGTATAGAACATAAGCAACAAACGATGCCGGAAGAAGCCGAGAGACAAAGGTGGACATGAGATCGGCAAGTTGAGAGAGTGGCGGCGGATCTGACACCAATCCGATCTGACTGAAAAGCATAAAAAAGGTGCTGAAAAATAATACTGGCGGAGAAGAGCAAAATAACCACAAAAGACTTAGGGCGCCAACAGTGATGCCAAACAGAGGCCATCGAGGATCCTGAGGACAAGTCTCATCCGAAGAAGAGAGCGAAACAAAGCTAAAAGTTTTTGGGAACGTTGATGGGAAACCAATTGAACTAATTCCGTTCCGTTTTGAGGCAGAGAACGAGTGTGCCGCTCCTTGTAAGCGTGCCACACCGCACCCTCCGGACTCTCGGGTGACTATTCCCGCATGGATGGCAGCCTGGCAAATAAAACTATCCGCCCGATATACACCCAGTTCATCCGATCCTGGCTCAGGCCCTCCTATAACAAGTCCTTGATAGCTATAGCTCTCATTGCCGACCACATGCGGCTCAAGCACTTTGGCGTCTTGACAGTTTGCGGGACATCGGAAGGCAATCGCCGAAGCAGTGAACGGGCGACAGTCGTTCCCATTGAGTCCACATGCATTTCCGCGCGCCCTACGATAGCAAATTAGATATGTCACAAAGCAGTATTTGGATGCGGCCTACCAGAAACTCGAAGTGCATGCGAGCGTGAGAGGTTTCCCATAACCTTCAAGATAACCTGCAGAACGAGAATGCAGGAAAAGAATAGTCCACGGCAAAAACCACGCAAAATACAAAAGCAACAGCAATGAAATCTTGTGCTTCCGCTTAGGAAAGAATTTCTCCAGGTACCGGGCAGGTAGTTCCTGGATCTGAGGGAACAACGGCTTCAATAAGAGCGGGTGTGGCGGATTAGGACCCTTGACCCACTCAGCTATGGCACGGCCGGCCTTTCTGAGGGGCAGAGGAACCCATCCCCAGCGAAATGACCTGGAAGATTCCCGTAACCAGACGGGGAGGAGAACGGTACCAGCCTCTACATCTCCAGGAAGCAGGTCGTCGGGAGCGTCGGGATCGTCGGAATGCTCTTCAACATGGACGACGGGCGGCATATAAACCCGGGAACCATCCTCGGGGCCTTCCCCAATCATTTTGATAAAAATTTACAGAGAAATCGAGCCAGCGATGCAAGAGTGATGCAGAGCAATGGATATGGAGAGGCAACGAGAGCCAAGACGTGGGATTCCCGGTGGCCTAGAACAAGCAGGACCCTCACCACCAGCGGAGGGGGTTCTTCTGAGGGTCTCAGGCGCACTAGGGGACGAACCCACGACAATTATGCGTGAGAGAGAGATAAACCAATAAATAAATAAATGATAAAATAAGGATATAGAGCTACCTAGGAATGAATGAGGATGATGTAGAAGGAAGGATGAAAGAAAGACAAGAAAGATGACTGTGTAGGTTGACAACCTAGCGAAAGTCAGAGGCTTGCGAGAGTGGCACCAATCAGTGGCGATTATGTCATCGGCAGCCTCATGTTCCTGCGGAGATTTTCAGGGCAGAGTTTTGTGTGTGGGAGGTTCTCTGGAGAAGGAAAAGCAGGAATTATTCATAAAAGAAGATGGTCAGAGGGCCGGTATTCTAATATTGAGTCTCTACAAGGGAGCAGGGGGGGAGAGAGAGTGTGTGTGAGACCCCTGCTGCAGATATCAAGAGTCTCCGGAGTAGTGTGGAGAGATTTTCCCCATATATCAACGGCTCTCCAGCTGCCAGCAGACTTTTATAAGACTTCCCTTAAGAGTTAGCTAGAGAAATACTGTTCATATAGTAGATTATTAAGCCTCGTAACCAGTGGGAGGTTATGGATAAAGCGTCCGGATTCCCACCGATTTATTGGCTGTGGAGATGGAAACCCGAAATTCGGATCCAGTTTTGCTTATCAAGCAGAAGGATTCAGAAACGCAGCCTTATAATCCGCACTTCGACGGGCTTGGGCGATTTGGAAACCCTCGCAAGACCTTGATTGACTTCTTCCAGGCGTGGTTGCGTTATCATCACCTACAGCATCGTCACCATGGCTCCTCCCCGGGATTTGTCCCATCATTTTAGCTACACCACCAAGAATCGCGCCGCGAGTGCCGTCAAGGGCTTTTATAAGTACTTCCAAATCCCCGGAATTGCCAATTTAGCCGGTGGTATGTATCCTCGGTCTTCCGTTGATGAACTTCAATCCACCCTGACCATAAACCCCGGCCAGGGTTGCCAAATGCTTCCTTCTTCCCATACGACACGCTAGAGGCCGCTGCTGCTCGTCCGCAGCGTTTCCCCATCACCCCTGATAACGGCCAGACCAGAGAACCCACGCCCACGGAACGAGTAACCGTACCCAAGGAGAGTCGGAGTGCCAATATCCAGAAGAAAATCGACCTCACCACAGCCCTGCAATATGGAACGGTTGAAGGAATTCCTCCCCTAGCGTCGTTCGTCCATACCCTCACGCGCGAGCAACTCCACCCCAATATCCCCTATACCGACGGACCCGATACGCTCCTCACCTGCGGATCAACCGATGGATTTAGCAAGGCCATCGAAGCCTTCACCAACCCCTGGAATCCTGAACGAGACTGGGTACATGTCAGACAGGGAGTGCTCTGCGAGGAGTTTGTTTATATGAATGCGATTCAGACTGTCGCCCCACGAGGTCTCAACATCGCCACAGTAGCGATAGACGAACAGGGAATGCTAGCGCAAGGCCCAGGCGGGTTGCTAGATGTTCTTCAGAACTGGGATTTCCGAAAGGGGCGACGTCCTCACCTCATGTACACAATAACGTATGACTCCCAGCTCTTCCAGCTCACTTGGTCAGTCTGTAACTAACCTGGATTTCGTTCAAACGCAGCATCGGCCAGAACCCAACCGGTGGAACCCTGTCGCTCGAACGCAAAAAGGACATCTATGCTATCTGTCAGCAATATGACGTCATCATCGTTGAAGACGACCCATACTGGAACCTGCAATACCCCTCAGCACAAGAACTGCAAGCGAAGCACCGAAGCACCCTCGTAAACACTAGCACTGTGTCGAGGCGCGACTACAATGCTGCCGGAAAGTCCTCCGGATACGAGTTCCTCGACTCCCTTGTACCGTCGTATCTATCTGTAGACACAGACGGACGAGTCGTCCGCCTCGACACATTCTCAAAGACTATCGCTCCTGGTTGTCGTCTGGGCTGGATCACGGCGCAGCCCGCTATCATTGAACGAATCGCCCGTATCACTGAAACGTCGACGCAGCAGCCCTCCGGCTTTGTTCAGGCCATGGTTGCGGAACTAATTACAGGTCAGCAGGTGGAGGACCGCGTGGTCGCCACGAGCAAGAACAGAACGGAGTTCGAGCAGGGGTGGCAGATGGACGGGTGGGTCCGCTGGCTCGAGGGACTCCGCGCCGCATACGAGAGTCGCATGCAGCAGATGTGCACGACGCTCGAGGAGGGCAAGTACACGATTCTTGCGGATGAGAAGCTGGGTGAGACAGCACTGAGCGATGACAGCGAGAGCGCCTGGGAAGTCTTAGATAAGGTGCAAATGTATGACTTTGAATGGCCTACCGGCGGCATGTTTGTCTGGGTCAAGATTTGCTACGAAACCCATCCTCTGAGCCGGAAGTACAAGCCCCAGAGGCTGTCCAAGGCGCTCTGGGTCCATTTCACGCATAAACCACATTTGTGCTTGCTAGGCCCGGGATCGATGTTCGCGCCCACGGAGGAAACTCAGGGCCGTGCCTGGCAGTACGTCCGGGTGTGTTTTGCCCCGATGCCTGTAGATGACATTGCTGGCATTACAGATCGGCTGGTCGAAGGGTTCCGGGCTTTCTGGCAGAGAAAGGACCTCGACGGTCTTGAGGATGAGGGTGGCCTTGCAGGAGCCGTGGATAATCTGCAAACGGGGGTTGCTAATAATTTCTTGGGAATTGGTTGTTAGTTGGGACATACTTTGGCGATCTACATACATACATATTGGTTCAGATTTCGGATACTCCAGCCATGATATTTACAAACCATTCACTTCAGGTGTCGCTTTCAGTATATAGTATATACTGTGATATAAACCAAGCCAAAAACATTTTCCAAAACTATGAACCCTATGCTTAGTAATCTACATAACAAAGTAACTAGTTAGTTAACTATGCAATTATGCCACCGCGGGGGATCAATATCGTCGTCAAATAAGTTATCCCACTCGACAACAGCCATAACCACCTCTAATGGCCCAGAATGTCCTCCCTCCTTGAATCCCTCGCAAACACTGACCTCGCTGAAGAAATCGAGGCCATCAATGCCATCTACGACCCGGATACGATCACCATAACGAGCACAACACCCACAGCCACGACCCCTCCCAAATTAATAACTCTAGAAAACTCGTCCTCCTCCTCCTCCTCCTCCGAAACACCCTCTACAACGACAACGACAATCAAACTCCAGATCCCAAACCATCCCCATCTATCTTTCCTCGTAGGATTCGAAAGCTCATACCCAGACACCCCGCCCAAGATCCTCGGGACCGCCTCCACCGCTTCCCGCGGGGAAGGCAAGATCGCCATCGACGTCCTAGAAAACATCCTAGACAGGACATACCAGCCCGGCGCTGTATGTTTATTCGACCTGATAAACGAGGCCGTGGAGGCGTTCGAGGAATTGAGCATTGGGGGAGAATCCAGCTTAGTCTCGAAAGAGAACCCGGAGACCAGCGCCAGGCATGAAGATTCCAGCGAGGCCGCGGCGGAAGCCAAGCTCCGGGCGGAGGATCTCGCGGCGTTGTCGCTGCATGATAGCTTTGGGTTAAGCGAGGCGCCGAATTGGGTTCTTTCGGATGTGGTGACGGAGAAGAAGTCGGTGTTTGTGGGGCGCGCCGCTAGGGTTACGAGTTTAGATCAGGCGCAGGGGTTCTTGGATTATTTGCTTGCGGTGGATAGGAAGGTTGCTGCTGCGACGCATAATATTAGCGCGTGGCGGATTCGGCAGAGGGGTTCCTTTGTGGCGGGTGGTGGTGGTGGTGGTGGGAAGGAGAAAGCAGCAGGAGGGGAGTCTGCCGAGATGATTGTACAGGATTGTGACGATGATGGGGAGACGGCTGCCGGGGGGAGACTGTTGCATTTGATGCAGTTGATGGATGTTTGGGATGTCGTGGTGGTTGTGACCCGGTGGTATGGGGGTGTGTTGCTGGGGCCGGATCGGTTTCGAATCATCAATGCTGTTGGGAGAGATGCGCTGCTCAAGGGTGGATTTGTAAAGGAGAAAGAATCCGGAAGTGCAAATGAAAAGGGGAAGAAGAAGGGGAAAAAGTGAGTCTGGCCCGAGAACACAACTCTGCTCATTGCCGGTATGAGATATATGGCTTTGATTATTTTGGGGGACTTCTGGGGTCGAATCATCCCGCCCGGATCGGATAGTGACCACAGGCTACTGGGGCAGTCCGTGTTGGATCCCGGTTTGGATCGGCTTCGCTGTGTCTGGTCTGTCCTGTTCGGGCCAGCTCATATGAGAACAGCATTTACTCAAGCGAGCAAATCTGCCAACAATTATCGGATGGATAGTTGGTAGTTATCCATCGGCGTCGCTGGCAAGCTTACCACGACACTATTCACGACGACCAAGATAATGAAAGTACGAAGGTTCAACCAGAGTCTACATAACGAATACAGCATAGAATCTGACTGGGGGAATTATCATTGCTCCAGCTACTTAGTAGGAGCAGGCCTGACTAGGTCTGAAGCACCCAGCTCGACCTTTCTCTTCAGTATCATCATATTCTGCAGCGCTGACAGCGTCCAGCCCAAGAATTGAATTACATGCATACCGCGTTTGTTTCGTCGAGACCAGGAAGTAAAGTAGGTAAGACCAGCGGATTGATTTAGCCTAGCTAGTCGATAATCCAAAAGTATAGGTACATCCGAATAGTCCGCCGCGTTAAAGAAGTGGTCATTAAGTCGTTAGTTGAGAATCCCGTATACTCCTAGCTCAGGGAAATGGCATCCTGTATCCTATATCACAAGCCCGTGTATGTATGTACTACACAGCAGTACATGGTAGCAATCGCCAGAGACCCAATAGAAAAACACTATGCTAGTTTGAAATTCAACCTTTTTTTTTTCATGGAAATCGCAGTTAATAGTATGGAACTCCGAGTCGTAAGGGCTCAACGTATCGGGCTTCACCAAAGACAGCTTTGGCACTCTTGTCGTCACCAATGTGGCCGAGTTGAACTGTTTTATCGCGAAGTAGATTGACCCGGCCGTCAGCGTCCAGGGGATTGAACGTCTTCTCTTTTGATAGGATATATGGGTTTCCGTATGTCAGGCCCATGACCGGGTCGAATATGTTCGGGGCTATAGTTTTCAGGCGGACGCAAATGCCCGAGACCCCCACGGCGAAGAGAAAGACGGAAGAAATAATAAGGACAGCCGTCCAGGCATAATCAGGACGATAAACCAGGGTGTAATGCGTCAAAGTGGCATTGGTGGACGCCCCAACAAAGGGGGCGCCGGAGTTCACCAGTGTTCCGAGCCCATATGGATACATGTAGCAATTGCTGTCATATGAATCCCAACTGGATTGGTTTGCGACTGTCAAAAGCCCGTCCGCAGGGATATGCGGATGTCCGTATAAGCTCAGGTTTTGGGTTGGTAGGTCTCCCGAGAATCCTGTGGGGGCCATAAAGGCCTGGATACCTGTATTCAAGAGGATCGAGGCCCTCGTAGCGAACAGGTCTAGACTGACTGTGGAGATATTCACCTCATCCGGGATCACGCCTATACCTGTCTGGATGGGCGCGAGGCTAGAGTCATTCAGAAAGAGTGCAGACGTAGTTGACCCCCAGATAACATCACGAGAGGACCAGCTGCGACTGGCAGCAGAGATCATCTCCAATACTTTCCAGGCCCAGTAGTCCATCGCAGTAGAGTTCTCGCTTCGATGGTCCGTGATTGATGGCCGGAGCTTGGTTGCTGCGCAGCTTCTATCCACGCACCCAATGAAGGCTTCCACGAAGCGCTGTTTTATCTGGCACGTTGTGACTGATGTTTCGAGTAAATATGTGGCATTGAAGCGTAACGTCCGCGGGAGGGTAAAGTTAGGGTTGTTTGGATCGATGGTGCCATTCTGGAGACTGGCATACTCCCAATCTTTACCGCTGGGGTAGAACCCATCCGCAGGCAGGCCCAGGAACTTTTGGCTGCGGATGAAGTTCTCCTTCCCAACACTAGTGAAGCAGTTCTCACAGGATACGGCGAATCCGTCATCATAGTTATCGTTGGTCACGCTCTTGAACGGTTCACAGGATAGCGTGACATATGTGGATTCAAGGGTGAAATTCACATCCCCTTGCTTCGCCGTTTCAGCCAAGTTAATGACCGGTACACCGAAAAGAGAGGTGAAGTCCTCAATCCCTGATGTTTTGCCGACAGGCATCCAACCGTCAGCGTCCGCCTCCGACTGGTTTGCTGCTTCCAGCCTGGGTATCTTGATATTCCCCCATTGATCGAGTGGGCCTGCCTTGGTCGCGGCGCCCTGCATTAAACTGGCCAAATAAAGGTCACGCATAGACAGTGGCCAAGAGCCGTCATTCCCAACCATGATCGCTGTGTATGTAAACATGGATCCGAGGGGTCCATTATCCCAGTACCGGAGCTCAGGATTGGTAATCTCGGTCAAATTTGTTTTATACAGTAGTCGAACCGTGCTCTGACCCCCAAGCGGCGACATTACCCATAGGAGAAGGAGTCCCCAAACAAGGAACGAGGTAGGCATATTGATGAGATGTAGGATGGGATCCGCGGTTGCGTTGGTATTCATCAAGGCCCATAGCGTCTAGCAATACTCGTTATGTTACTCTGCGACAGGTACTTGATGTTTAATAAACGACTAACCGACATGCGAACAGATCTCTGGGCAAAATACCGGCCAACGCTCTTCAAGGAGCGTGAAAGCAAAGCAGCGAAGAGAATTGGATATATGGTGGGTCCCTATATCTCGTCAGCCTGCATCCTGGCATGTCGTTTCAGAGCTATGCGGATGATCTGTGCATACCAACTTCATTGCTTGCTCCATCGCCGATCCCAAGCTATCTCCCGTTCGTCGATTTCGCATGCTGAGCGCGATGATTGCAAGCGCTATGGTACGGTTAAAATCAACGCCCATGAATTCCAGTAACCGGGAGTCAGGTCAATACCGATGAAGCACAACGCGACCAGACATAGGAACATTTCGAATACAAGTGCAATAATAGACCCCGCCGGCTTTTTCAACATTCTGCCCGACTCGCTTTGAGTCGACACCGGTATTCGATTGGAGAACGCCGTTTGGGATTGCTCCTCCGGCCGTAAAGTGCCGGAGGAGCAGTTTCGACCGTCATGAAGACCATGAGGTATAGGCATGTACGGACTCCCCTCCGCAGATGATGGCATAGCGATATGTCTTTGAGCTCAAAAAGACGTCGCCATTGATGCGCTGGCGGCCAGTCCTTTTAAAAGCCGCAGGAGGTGGTACAATCTACCCCCCAAGAGCCGCCAGTCTATCAGGGAAGTGCTGCATATTTGTTTCACTTTTACTATGGCTACTGATGGGCAGCGGCAAGAGGCAGACCAAATCCCGACTATGGCCAATCGTGTTATTTGCAGGGGTGGATTCAATCCGTGATCGCCATGTTGGGCGGCTACCTGGAACAAAAATAGACCAGCTCCAGAAGTGAAGTTATCTCAGGTCAACATGAGAGAATCCAAATCTATTGATGAGATAGGACCATGAGGATAACAGTAAAACGGTGCTGATCCAAGTGCTCTCTTCAGTTCCTAAACTAATTAAACGTCCCTCGCAGAAGTCCCATGATGCTTGTATCTGGGACCCGGCTTCCTTCATAATTGAGGGGCTTGATCCCATACATGAACAGAGAGAGCGTATCTTGATCTCTGAGTGAGCGCTGCGAAAGGCTGGAGATGGATATATTCATAATGCAGCGGTGGAACCCTTTGTTTGAACTATAGAGAGGCAGCCAGTCAACGAGGACTCAACATAAAATATAGAGAAACATGCGGCATCCTGAGTCAGACCTTTAATATCTGAAGCGGAGATTCTGATAATATCTGTTTGCCTTACTCTCCCTCAATGAAAATAATCTAGAAATCCCTCCTCATCCTGTGCTGACCCCTCATCTCCATCATACATAACCGGCTAATTACTCCAGCGACGCCCTCCACAGCCCAATATAGAGACACCACAGCGCCACCAATTCCACTCGGGAATTTCCCGGATACCGTGGGCTCCTCCCGATGAAAGGATGGCCACCATGCCGACAACCTTGGAAAGGACCGGTGCATTCCGAACTGGAAATCCTGCGGCTCTGGGCCCGCCACGATCGACTGCAGCGACGGCGCGTCGATCACCAAACATCCTTGAAAAAGGGGGTAGGGGTAGTCAGACCCTAGGCGTGTTATTGGCAGGTACGTAGTATGTGAAATGCTCGTGGATCTAGGCAGGCGAGACACCATTCTACGTACGTTTTTATTCCCAATCCAAGAATGACAGAAGGCGAGAGGTTGGCCTAGACTATCTGCCATTACATGTTATATCCCTGGCTGTTAAGAAAGGCTTTTCTACGGCAACATCATACAGTCCAGTAATAAGCTTCCAGTATAATTCTAAAAGTGGGAGGAACTCATGATATATAAAATATTAGCATAATAATTTATTAGATAGTATAGCAATTCAGAATGGATCCTGTAGACCATTTGTCTAGCGTCATCGTAACCTTTTGGCTGTACTCACTGCCTAGATACATAGTAGGACGAGATAATGGGTGGGCAAATCACCCGCTTGCCCCTGAAAGCGGAACAAGGTACTAAGGAACGGTAGAATTAAGTATGCTCGCATCCCAAAAAGAAAAAAGAGATTGGCCAGGTGGAATTTTATATTAAGAACATGCTCACATTTGAGGCCCGATTCAAGTGCCATGTGGCTGCCTCTTGTTTGGATGGGATTTGGATCCCAAGGACAAGGCGCTAAGGACTAACAAATGATACTTACTTAATATACGGTACATGTGAAAGTCTCTTCTCACGAGCCGGGACTCTCAACTCGGGCGGTAGTCTATTCTCAAGCTTGTGGTTCTGATTGGTGTCCGCACTGTAATGAGATCAAAGAGTCCCAATATGTTGTACGTGCCAGGGGTAGTATCTATAGCATCACACTTTTAGGCCGGAAATTTTGGTTCCACGTCAATGGAATCCTTAGCCAATCCAGCCGAATCAGTCAACATAAATCCTTTGCAACCTCTTTGTTACGGTGTGACGAACAAAACCTGTCCACATGTACTTTTTAACGCTGGGGACACCCAATCATACTCCTTACATGTCCTTTGTAGAAGGGTAAGGTTGTGATTGAGAATCAAGAGCGGCAACCCGAACCCTCTTTATCTTAACATATTTCGACGGTTCCAAGTCTCGGCAGGCTGGTGGACGAAATACTAAGCGAGATCGTTCCTTCATGTTTCAGATAGATATGTCCTTGCATCAAAAGTGGTTGGTTCTGTACCCAAGAAAGTGACTAGCCTTGCCCTTGACTTCATTCTAACATGCAGTTATAGGGTGTAAACTGCGGAAGAAAAATGGGATGCGTACACGTAACTAGCCAGTGATTTCGTGATGCCCCAGGGTCAGTCAGGCCCCTCGAGCCAGATGGAGGACCTCGCTTGGAAGAAGGGATTAAAGCATCGCAATATAATAATTAGCACTCTTCAATATTATTCACCGGATGACGGTAACTACCAGCGGATGTAACTCAAGAGGCGGATTTCTCGCTTCCATCAAGGAGAATTGACAGCCTGATTGGAGGCAGATCGACCAACGGGTCAGCCAATCTGGCCCCAGAGGAGGCTGTTGAACCAGAGACTTGGGGCACTTGGGATGCATGGTGCGACAAACACTTGCCCTTGCCGAGTCTCCTGGATGCACTTCCACTCGGAGGATTATTTCTCGCCAGATCCTCTGGTTATCGTATCATACAATACCGGTACCAGGGATCTTGACGCATTTACCGAGCAATCCGCAAGGGACAAAGGTTTCTTACGGAATTATTACCGTTCTATACACCGGGACCCTGGTCGACTTTCTTCACCGCGTACAATCCGATGAGTTTCTACGCTCAGGCCAAATTATCCTGGTTGATATCATCTTGGACCGAATAGAAACTTCCAACCTCTCTTAAACTCTCATACTTGTTGTTTCATCTCCGCTGTGGCGTATCCATAGAGATGCTATTCCGGGACCATCTTCAACGATGGTCCAGTCTTTCACCCCACCTCCCTTCCCTTCGTCGGCTGGGTCTCTTTGTATATAAGATCGATCCCCTTCGATTCCAAGTCCTTTTCAGTGAGCTCGTTCGACAGTTCAACAGGCTAGTTCCTGCTTCATTTCTTCATTCTTTCTTGAAATCTTTGATTGCTTTGCCTGGGGCAGACACCGACATTCCTTTCTGGACTACCTACTTACAAAGAGCTTCTTTCTCAACCAATAAAAGCGGGTATTCTTCATTGACCTGCTGGAACACAAAAGGTACGGCCTATTGCGTTAATTATTTGATTCATTTTATATACAGTCTTATCTTTGCGCTATATACTTGTCGCTGTACACAATAGCAATGGCTGAGTGTTGCCTCAGTTAGCACCTATTTATTCTTCCCTTCCCTCTTGCTAACTCTCTACTAGACTTTCCTTGATTCTTCCTGTCCAACGTCCAACTCTTTCATCTTATTCTGCTTCGTCTGGTACGGGCAGAATTAAAACCCATTCTTTCAACTGTCGAGCAGCTCTCAAAGAATCGATGCACGCCGAAGCCTATATCACAATGTTCCCTAAATCCGCTCTTTCCATTGTCGCCGTCCTCGGTGCCTCTTTGGTTGGGGCCCATCAGGAGATGGTGAAGCCTGTTCCCTACAACTACGTTCCCAATAAGATCGATAACTCTCCTCTCCTTGCAGATGGAAGCAACTTCCCTTGTAAGATCACTGGCGATTACTCCGTGACTACGGAGAATATGATGGCTGTGGGCGAATCCCAGGAATTGGCTTTTGTTGGAACTGCCGTCCATGGCGGTGGTTCTTGTCAGATCAGTATCACTTCCGATCGAGCACCTACCAAGGACACAAAATGGAGTGTTATCAAGTCAATTGAAGGTGGTTGCGTTGCTGATGTTGACGGCAATCTTTCAGGGGAGGGCGCCAGCACGGCTAACCCATATACTTTCAACTTTACCATCCCGGAAGGTGTTGAGGCTGGTAAATATACCATGGCCTGGACGTGGTTTAACCGGGTTGGTAACCGCGAAATGTATATGAACTGCGCGCCGATTACCGTTACCACTGGCTCTTCCTCAAAGAGATCGGAGGGTAAAGAAGTAAAGAAGCGCGCGCTGGATGGTTACCCAGACATGTTCATCGCCAACATCAACGGTTGCCAAACTGCGGGAAATAAAGACATTCGTTTCCCCGTTCCTGGTGATGTTATTGAGTACCTGGGAAAACCGGCAAACCTTATAGGAGAAGATGTTAATGTCTGCGATGAAGGCTCTCCTACTTGGGGAACTGCGGGTTACAGCACCGCTAGTGGTTCTGTTCCAGAGCCTACTGCTTCAACTTCGACATCCACTTCACAGCCCTCAGTCAGCGCTTCAGCGACTGTCAGCGTCCCTGTTCCTGACACGACCCCAGAGACCACTCAACCATCTGAACCCGGCACCTCTGTCCCCAGCTCCACATCCGCTGCCCCTACCCCCAGCAGCTCCAGCTCTAGCTCTGGAGTTCTCACTGGAGCTTGCAGCAACGAGGGCCTCTGGAATTGTATTGGAGGAACTTCCTTCCAGCGCTGTGCGAGCGGAATTTGGTCTGAGACTCAGTCTGTGGCTGCTGGCACTGAATGCATCCCTGGCCAGAGTGCTGATTTTACTGTGAAGGCGATTGCCATGAAGCCTCGTATGCTAAAGGAGCGTCGCTTCCGTAAGCGCTCTCATGCTGGCCATGTCCATGCATAAACGACTTATTGTCCGCTGGTTCGGAGAATACTGTCCTATATGTGTGCTTATCTTCGTTTCCTCTCACGCGCGATTTTCTGTGCGTTGTGATGGACCGTGTTTATATCTTTTTCTGCTTCCTGTACGTACATTTTCCAGCAAAGGTGGAGTGGTTGAATACCCTTGAATATAAGGCCTTGGGCGGAAGATACCGTTATATTGTATCGACATTTTCCTAGTACCTTGTAAATACCATCAACTTGATCTATTGTAAAGTCCAAGACCTGTTTCAGTTGAGATATCCAATTTAAGACTTCTATTATTGTTTTTTTTCGTATTGAGACAATTTTCTTAACCCAGAACTGCCCAGGTGTGTTAAGAAGAATGGATTCAGATTCTTGGCGTTTTTGTAGACATCGCTGCCTGGGGTATCCGCCAAGAGAATCGGCAGAAACAGGACAAAAACAGGGCTTAGGGCTTTCCCGCAGCCCACCACCCGCGTCCTGCAAACTAAGCGAAAATTTCCTCCAGCACATCGTGAGAGACTTCGATCTTCAACCTCGAACGACGACAAAACGACAACCCTCACCGTCGACAACAATGGCGTCTCGTCCTACCGTCTCTATCGCCACGGCTGATGGCAAGCCCAGCGGGGCTACCACCCCCCTGCCCGCTGTTTTCTCTGCGCCCATCCGTCCTGATATCGTCCAGTATGTTCGAACCTGATTTCGAGGAAGAGCAGGCAAACTTTCGTTGGAGATGGGGATGACACGGGGACAAAATGGACTGACGGAATTTTCACTCTATAGGCAGGTTCACACCGGTATGGCCAAGAACAAGAGACAGCCTTATGCCGTGAGCGAGAAGGCTGGTGAACAGACTTCCGCTGAGTCCTGGGGTACCGGTATGTTTGGAATCGGATCAAAAATTTTGTCCAATTGAGGAGGAAGCGCGGATTTGCTGACTTGGAAATTCTTTTTCTACGTACTTAGGCCGTGCTGTCGCTCGTATCCCCCGTGTCTCTGGTGGTGGTACTCACCGTGCTGGTCAGGCTGCTTTCGGTAACCAGTGCCGCTCTGGTCGCATGTTCGCGCCCACCAAGGTGTGGAGGAAGTGGCACCAGAAGGTCAACGTTGGCCAGAGGTACGAACGAATGGCATCAGGGATTTCAGATTCTGCGGGGAGGAAGCTAACAAGAATTTGTGCAGACGTTTCGCTACCGCCTCTGCCCTCGCTGCTTCTTCCGTCCCCTCTCTCCTCTTCGCCCGCGGTCACCGCATCGGCAACGTTGCTGAGGTTCCTCTCGTCGTTGACTCCAAGACCTTCGAGGGTGCCGCCGTCACCAAGACCAAGGCTGCCGTTGCTCTCCTGCAGGCTCTCGGAGCCGGCGCTGAGCTCGTCAAGGTCTCCAAGTCCCGCAAGATGCGTGCCGGTAAGGGTAAGCTGAGGAGCCGCCGCTTCCGCCAGCGCCGCGGCCCTCTGGTCGTCTACAACCCCGAGGTTGACGGCAAGGAGCTCGTCCGTGCTTTCCGCAACATCCCCGGTGTTGAGACTTCCTCCGTCTTCTCGCTCAACCTCCTCCAGCTCGCCCCCGGTGGTCACCTTGGCCGCTTCATCGTCTGGACCTCCTCCGCTTTCCAGGCCCTTGACCAGGTCTACGGCACCACCACCTCTCCTTCTGCCCTGAAGAAGGACTTCCTCCTGCCCTCCAACCTCGTCGCTAACTCCGACCTGACCCGTCTCATCAACTCTTCTGAAATCCAGTCCGTCCTCCGTGCTCCCAAGGGTGAGGCCCGCACCAAGCGCGGCAACGTCCAGAAGAAGAACCCTCTCCGCAACAAGCAGGTTATGCTCCGCCTCAACCCCTACGCTGCTGCTTTCTCCAAGGAGAAGCTCGGCCAGAAGGCTGTTGAGGGCAGCAAGCCCGAGGCTGTCTCTGCTGCTTTCATCAACACCCTCCAGGACGAGTAGATGCGTTTTCTCTCTGAACCTGGGGTTTCTTTGTTCTTTTGTTTCCGTCTAGTTGAAGGGCTTTGGTTTTAAAAAAGGTAGCCAACAGCAAATAAATGGGATTTGCATTACCATACCCACGTTTATATGGTTTATGATGATAATAATACGTATTACGATCCACGGGTTGACCGAGTAATTGTAGATGCTACTTGGTATTTGGGGAATTCCGACACCCTTGATATCATCATATATATATCCCTGCGCCGGATGACGCGAATTACCTGGGTTTCCAGCCCATCCAGAAACAATCCAGATGCTTGGTTACAGGAAATAGCAGATTCATCCTGTCTCCTAAGTGGAAGTGTCCTCTCTCTCCTCCTCATACTTAGGTACTTTCATGAAGGAAAACATCCAGGTACTCCGTAGACTTAGAGGACTAGAAACGATGCAAGTCAGGGTCCAGGCACTCAAGCTTGGACTTAACTATAGTTATTAGTTAAAGCTCGTATAGTTAATAATCATTTTGGTTTCGGTTTCTGAAACTAGGGTGCTGCTCCGTTCGGGGAAATTACTTTGGAGCAAACCTAGGTAATTTAACGCTTCGAATACATGCATAAATGAACACTGGTGATTCAATTCAAGTCTGCTGGATTCTCTCCTAGACCGATCTAGATCTTGCTGCCGTACTAAGTACTACTCCTGCCTACGAGTGTAATAATGCCTACTCGAGATTCATTCCCCTGCAAGTGTGTGTGGATTTCACATCCTCCCCTCCCAGCCAGGACAAAAATCCGGCCTGGGAAATATGAACAGAAAAGAAGTGGATTATGTATGTTAGAAAGAAATAAAAGGGAAAAAAAAAGAAAAGAAAAAAAAAAAAGAATCTCGGCCGTGAGTTGGACAGACAGACAGAGTACGGAGTACTTTGTCTGATACTACTCCGTATACTCCGTACCTTAGGTAGTAAATGCCGATATTGTTCTCAAGAGTCTAGACGTCTTGACTCTTATATGATATTGTTATTCTTCTTCTGCTGCTCGGTACTTGGACCGATCCGAACATGCAGATGGGGGAACCAACCCTGTTGTTGTTGTTGTCTGATGTGAGTGAGGGAATTCCCAAGGAAACCCCTGTGATATGTATACATTGTAATAATAATAGGTATACATATATACAATTTATCCAAAGCCAATAACCAACCAACAACGTGTTGTGGACTTCTGGGCATACATACCTAAAATGCATCCTAGGGGTAATCTCTCCGTCCTAGATATTAAAGCCTCTGGTGCTTTCTTCGGTAGCTGCAGATTAAGGGGGGTACGGTACAGATCCCGCAGCCAGTCCGAAACACTATCATACGGAGGATAGATAGGAGGATAGGTTAAGTACCTAGGTAGGTAATTAGTTAGATATACTACACCACTAGGTAGTTAGTAGTAGTATATTGCATGGAGGATTATCTGTACAGGATGATATCGTTGCTTAATATGGAGTATATTTAGAGTATAACTCTTTATACAAGTATCAGGAGGATAATCTAGGATGATTGGATCCGATGATCACTGCGAGCATATTCTCAAAGCAGCAAAAGCTCTGTCCATTCTCTCTAAAAGTAGGCGTTTAGAGTTGATGAAAGACAGCCGCAGCTAAAACTGAATCATTCCTCCTGCATTTTCCAATATCGGGATTCAAAGGATCCGTGATCTACACCTTAGTCTGTCGCTAACTGACTGACTACGAGTATGTACTATGTACCCTGGAAGTCCTGGATGAATCCTGGGTTGGCTCGGTAAAGGTAAACGGAGGGTCTGCACTTATGTAGTATTGTTATTCTTCATCCCTATTTGTACTTCATGCTTACGAGTCGCGACCGTGGATATTCATTCATTCATTCATTCATTCATTCATTCATTCATTCATACCGGGCAGGTATGTGCCAGGCTTGTACCAGGCCTATCGGAGTCCATCCAGGAATTCTGAGACCAGCCTCAAGATGACTAGTCCGCGATCCAATAAGCGGGATCTTTTTTACTTGGGAACCTGGTCTGGTGTCTTACTAGTACATCTACACGGTACTTCGTTTTGCTTCCGTGGCTCAAGAAATCAATTTTTTTTTATTTTTTATTTTTTTTTATTATAGTCTCGTCTCGTCTTGTGTTGAGAAATATCCCGACGGAGCTGTCTTCTCGAGAAGAAAGAATCTCGGTATGAGTCCGTCAGGTAAATCACACCAATAATAAACTGGCGGAGATTTTAATCTAGCATGTCTTGACCCAGGGAAATCAATTCATGAATCGGCAGGCACATGTCAATTAACGAGACACTATCCTTATCCCTGGAAAGGGATTTTTTTTTTTTTTTTTTTTTGGGAACTCGAGATAGCGTCGGACTATGTAGTGCTAATTCAATAGTGCAGGTTCTGGGAGAGATTAAAGCTGGCCGTTACCTGTTCCGTGTCTAGGTATTACAGCAAAACTGTCAGCAATGACACACAGACGGTCCTCAGATCATGGGGGCCAAACAGAAAAAAAAAAATAGAATAAATAATAGTACTCCCGGTGGAAAGAAAACTTCGGATCCCTAACAATGATCATACGGTTTTAAGCGAGGGAAGATCGCCATAACTTGAGACAGCCCCAAGTCGGGGGGGGGGGAATGTGGTCTGCAGCACAAAGACCGTTGAGAAGGCGCTAGTTGAATCAGAATTTGGAACGGAAGTATACGTGAAACCGAGCACCCTCTCTTTTGAGTATCTTGAGTCTTGACTCTGGAGTGTTAGAGCAGGGTTGATGTACAATGTGCACCAACATGTATGTGCGCAACGGACCCTCTTTTTCCTTTGCGTTTGCCGGGTGTCTGATCCACTTCGCGCTTTTAACCCCGCGAATAACAAGCCTTGGATCTCCGATGGAGTGCACTGCGAGTCGTGCGCACCGCGAACTCGTGAAGGTCTCCGTTCCCGTCCTCCCAATCGGCGTTTGCTCAAGAATTCAACCCATGCCGCGAAGACAATCATAATCATAATACGGAGTAGAGGGACCGAGCATCGCGACGGCTCCCGTTTTGAGACTAGGAAGGGTTCGAAAGTACCTATGGTCCTATCGTATCCGTTAGAGCGAAGTCCAAGTCCAAGGTCCCGGTGGATAGCATTTGAGTTTGATTCCAACCTTATAGCCCTATCTGGGAGAAATTGCCGAATCTCTCATTCGGAATCTCCGAGAGACCAGGAGCTAGATGATCGACCAACGCCCTTGTAGAGGGGCACCGAAATTGAAGGGTGTGTCGTCCCATAGTCCAATAGGCAGGAAGACGAGAGAATCCAGACTGGACGAAACAAGGTTATTTTGAAGTGCCGCCCCGAGGATACCAAGTCTTAGGTACTTTATCATATAGCTTTTCTTTTCCGAGGCGCTCAGCATCATGAATAGAGATGAAAGGATCGAACACAACGCGATTGGAGAATCTCTGCTTGCGGGGCGCACGTTTGGAAAGCAAGTTAATTATTCTTTCGGGGCCGGATGACTCGAGAGAGAGAAAAAAAAAAAGAAAAAAAAAGCAAAAAAAGACAGTAAGAATGAGGTGAAAGGAAGAAGGAGAAAGAGGGAAAAGGAGAGGAAGAAAAGAAGAAGTACACGAATACATCCTTACCTTTAGAGATGCAAAGATCCCTGGAAGAAAATGGCTTCACATCTCTTGCTAACAGTCACTATGGGATTTTGATACATCCAGGAAACGATAGTCAGCCCTCTAGTTAATAATTGAGAATGATAAAATACCCAAAATCCACTTGAATTCGAGAGAGAGAGAGAGATACATATACCAAGTACCCAGTTTGACTATAGACAAGTGAGTGAGTGGTTTGTATTCTAGATAATGCCCCTCTTCTGCTTCTTCTTCTTCTTCTTCTTCTTCCTCTCTCTCTCTCTCTCTTCCATTCCTGACCTCCAACCCACTCTCCCTCATTATCAACTCTTCATTCCACTTAATTTTATCTTGACTGCTTGGTTCTAATCCATTTCCGTCCCTTCTCTCGTTTTTCTCCGCCCTCCCCCTGTCCACTACAGGGGTTCTTGTGCCAGGGCATCCATCCATCCATATCCTTCGTTACTGTCCAAAAACCACTCCTCTTCCTCTTCCAACACAAAGTACTTCAGCTTTCCTCGTCAGCAAATCATTGCTCTTCGCTATTTCGGTCTGATTCCCACCAAGTCCTTTGCCGCCAGCATGCTATCCTTTCGAGGATTCATTGTTTCCCCTTAGTCCAGTGGACCCCATCCGGTACGTACATATGCATAGCCGGCTCCTGGGAGTTGGTGTTGTGTTTAAAAAAGAAAGAAAAGAAAAAAACAAAAGAAATTCATGGGAGATATTAAAAATAACCCATTCGCTTGTTTCCCTTGTCCGCGATTCGTCTATGCCCCTGTACGGATGCAGATGCTACTCTACGTTCCCTCTCGTCAACAAACGGGCGGGCTAACTAGGTCCTTCTGTGCTTTTTCCCCTTCTGGTCTACATCTCCCCTCCCTCCCCCCCAGGCTTGTTTCGCTTGTTTCTTCTGGCCCTGACCCCAATTTGCAGTCGGAGAGCCACGCCTCCTGGCTCGAGTCTGACATTGATCCACATTGACGCTCGTCGTTCAATGCCCTGGGTGATCAACGGGGATCCTGCAGCATCCCGGGCATGGGGAGCCCATTCCGAGAATATCAGAAGAAAGACTTCCAGGGCCGTTTGCGCCATGCGTGTCATTCTTTAGATGGTTCTTCTGCCCCCACTCCCCTTTGGTTTCTCTCAGTGCCTGTGGTGTGGACTGAGTTTTCTTTGCACAGGAAACCTTCTTATCAGTGTATCATTCTGGGTACAATTCACCTCCTTTTGACTTTTGTCACGGTCCCTCTTCTGCACGCTGAGCTTTGACCTGGCCCTTGCGCTTCTTATAAGGGTTTTTGGGCCTCGATCTAGCCCCTCCCCCAATAGGCGACCATTCACGAAAAAAACACACCTGTTAAACTATCTCTTGATTGCAATCTCTGTATTCTGTCCCAATCACAACATTTTGGAAAGCAAGTCCCGCTTTTCAGGGGGAAAAGAGACACAGGTATGGAGACAGTGATTGATCAAGATGCATTCTGATTTTGTCTCTACTGCTGCTTCTAGTGCTAATGATTCACCCGTTTCACACAATTAGACTGCTATTGTGCTGCTTTAAATGCCAGAAACTATCTCGGTATTCTCGAGAGCTTCCAAGGTTCGAGACGCCTCTTGATCTCACAGATAGTGTCTTGTTATCGGACAGAAGGCTGGCTCTTCCACAAGATCGACATCTTGGATTTTCACCACCCCAGCCATAATGTCGTCGGCTTACCATGTTGATCCTTTCGGGCGTATGTTACCTGGTCCTCTGGAGCGAGCAAGAAACGGATCGACCAGCTAACGTGTCAGTACCGGGAGCTCGCCCCTACCAGCTTCCCCCACCTCGTACTTCTGTCCCATTGCAATTTGGAACAGACCCTTTTCTCCGACCACGCAACCGAGAGGGGAAGATCGATGGAGGGGATGCAGTTCCAAACTACGCAAAATGCCAGCATCTCCAGCAGACCACCGAACAGCTCCCTTCAGTTAGCCAACTTCTCACGCCCACAGCTCGATCGAGTCGATCCCCGTCGCCCTATAATCCCTCGGTTTTTGGGATTCTCTTGCCATCCTACGACGTGCCAGATACCTTCGAGCAGCACCACCACAATGAACCCACCACTCCTCTTCCGCACGAAGGCCGATTAGGTATGTTTGATCATACCAAGGTGATTTCAGGATCGATATTATCATCGCAATCCCGAAGTTTACCCCCCATATCCCAAATCTCCGCGAATGGTTTGGGGCACGACACGGCACACCCTGACCGTCATACAAATGCCCCTCACCAACTGTATCCACATACCTCACCTAAACGATATGGCAACAGAGCTCACGAGAAAGAGTCCGAAGGATTTTCTTCTCCAGAAACCACAGATTCGAATAAATCTCGGAAGGCCCAAGTGCGCCCCCATGTAGTGGATGAGAGATATGTTGAAGGAGAAGGATTGTGCTACATCTACGCAGACGGTACCCACTGCCCCAAGGCTATCGACGGTGTTCCAGTGAACGCCAACTGGGGCGTTACGAAAGCAGGAAAGCCGAGAAAACGACTAGCACAAGCCTGCCTTACCTGCCGGGAAAAGAAGATTAAGTGCCAACCGAATTTGCCCAAATGTGACCAGTGCCAGAAGTCTGGGAGAGAATGCAGATTTGAGAGCGCGTAAGTTTTCGACAACGTTCGATCAAGTTCAACATATGGGGTGTTAGGGTTGCTAATGTTGTAGTAATAGACCTCGTGGTCACCGGGTAGCCCTGAAAGCGTCACAGTTTGGGAACAGATATGACACGAGAGACGGTGCCACAGGAGGGAGTTCTAACAACGCAGGTACATCCAGTTCACTATATTCTATTGCAAGAGCCTCGGAAAGCTCTGCCTCCCTTCCAGGAACAAATTCTCAGTCTCCTTTATCTGACGGTTCTATGCTTACCCCTTCTGCTCTGGATAGCAATCATGAGAGTCCCCCCGATCCTGATCACTACCACCCAGCCAAGATACGACGTGTTTCCACCGGGCATGAGGACGTTCCCAGGCACTCGCTAGATATCAATCGAGTTACGTCGGCCGAATATGCCGATATTCTGATGGAAATCACAGATCTGGTCACCCAGGACCCAGTAGCGAACGACTGGAAAACTGATCCTTACGCGACTGACCCGGAGCTCGCGGTCCATTTCGTCGAAACTTACTTTACCTTTGTGAATGACCGCTTGTACTATATCTTTCCCCGAAAGCGGTTTCTTCTCTGGCTCAAGTCCTGTCGCACAAAGTCTCTTGATGATAATATGCTTCTCTATTCCATGATGGCTTTGGGTTCTGTTTTCTCGGACCGACCCGATAAGGTGCTAGCTGTGAAGAGATACTCGCGAACCGCTAGATACGCCCTCGAGCACAGTCAACACAGCCTTTCACTACAACTTGCTCAAAGCCATATTATCATAAGCATGTGGTACTACGCCATAGGAGCCCTCGCGAAATCATGGGACGCCGCCGGGGCTGCCGTGCGAACGGTGTGTGGCTTACGATATAACGTCGAAATGGGCGGAGTTATTGTCGAGCAATCCCAGCCTTGTGAGTATGGCTTGCATCCTCAAGCACTAATTGAGTGTCGTCGGCGGACCTTCTGGGTTGCTTTCCTGATGGACGTAAGTAGATTTCTTCTCGATCCGGATTATAGCCTAATCAAATGGGTATAGCGTTTATCCTGTTTCTATGCACCTTCGACGACCTTCATCTCTTCCCAAACAGCGTTCCTAAGGCTTCCTTGTCGGGAGGATGTGTATGAAGCCCAGGAGTATACCACCGTGCCATTTTTCCAAAGCTTTTTGAACCAGCTTCCGGTCTCTCAGGAGGACGAACTTCCCGGGTTGAGCGCGATGGCGCTGTTGATAGACGTCATGTCCATTTGGGGAGACGTTTCCGACCATGTCTTTCGGCTGTCTTTGATTCCTGCGGAAGCATACAATCAACTCTTCGAGGACTTCTACAGCACAGTCGTCCGTCGATCAGACGAATGGCTTGCGAGACTGCCAAACCATCTGACCTTTACCGCAGTAAATCTGGAGCGATGTATCCGTGGGAAGAAAATTGACCCGTTTATATCCATCCATCTATTATACCATGCTACTCTCATGAAATTGAACCGATATGCTCGTTCGCAGTTGCTGCGACCAGGCATGGCTAGCAAATATATCCGTACGGTCAGAAATCACGCCGTAGAAATTCTCCGGACTGCCCTCGCGCTGTTACGCTATGCCGCCGAATACGATGTGTCTCAAATAACAATGGATTCGATGCCTTCGAAAGGGAATATCTTGAGCCCTTTTCTTGGCTACGTCATGTTGTCGGCAGTCGATGTTCTCAGTGCCGGGGGGCTTCTCATCGACATACCTGAATCCATTACCCTTATTCGAGGTGGCCTGGAAGTTGTTCGGGAGCTGGGCTGCTCCTGGAGCAGCACCAAAACATTGGTCCCGCTTATTGAAGGGCGTTTAGTTGCCATGACAGATGCACTTCACCAGTTGGAATCTCAAGGGACAGCCGCTTTCTTCCTGGACGGACCATCCTTGGATAGTCATATCCACAATGGGGTACAAAAGCAAGAATCAAATGGCAGTGAGGATTTAATGTACGATCCTCAGTCGCGTGAGCAATTCTTTGGTGCTTTGGGCCTTGTTGATATCCCGTTTGTGAAAGAGAACATGCTTTGGATCAAGTCTCGTTAAAGGCTTCTTTGGCACTACTCCATTTTCTCTTTTTATGCTTTCCTTGCTTGAGCGTGATGATGTGATATGATGTATTTGAATATATGGGCTGCCACGCTATACCCATTGATATTCCCCCAATCTCCTCTTTTCTTCTTCTTTTTTTTTTTTTTTCACATTCTTAGCGACCTTGTTTGGGATGCTGGGTTCATCTGTTGTTTAGGGCCGGGGCCGGTTTGCCGGTTTGATCATACTTCGGTACGCTGGTAGCGAATGATGATCTGGATTGTATATTATTTGGATGATGATGGATGTGTTACCTTGGACATCACTAAACGGTCGTGTTGTTTTACTATATACGATAGGATAGGCGAGAATTATAATGAGAGCTAGATGTACTTCGGCAACGATATGATAGATTCAATATCAAGATTCAGAAGAATCGTAACTATCCTCCTTTATGTACCCCAGCAGCATCGGAAGCGCGGCGCCGAAGCAACAAAAAGTAAAATAAATCCATCGTCCCAAACAGAACTCCACTCACACAATCCCCGCGACAAGTGTCAGTGATTCCCTAGATACGAAGATGGGAAGGTCGCAAATTTGTGCGATTCCCAACTGACCTGAAACCCAATACATAACTTCTTCCCTCCTCCAATTCCCGAATTTCACCGCCCCGCAACTACATAGCCCGCCGCCCAGCCAGTGAGTGTCCCATCATCTAAAACACCGCAAATGCCATTCAACGCCGATGACCCTGTCTCTGTCCGAGATGAGGACAACGACTACTACTTTCCCGAGGCAATGTCGACGAATCATGGCCCCGATCAACTGGACGGCACTGCTGCCGCCAACGACACAGACACATACGCCCTCCTAATGAGCTACCCGGCCGAAGTAGACTATTACACGCTCCTTGGGCTCCCGCGCGACCCTCCTCCCGCCGAAGCAGCGATCCGATCCGCATACCGCAACCTCACGCTCAGCTTCCACCCGGACAAACAACCGCCGGAGTCGCGAGAAGCCGCGGAGCGACTGTTCAGTCGCATCTACGATGCCTACGAGACCCTGATGGACCCGCGGAAACGGGTTGTGTATGATCTCCTTGGGGCGGAGGGGGTGCGCGAGGAATGGGGGGGTGGGGGGGTCATGGATAGCCGGGCTGCGAAAGGGAATACGAATCGGGAAAGGCAGGTCGGTGTTCGGGCCCAAAAGCCGGAGGAGTTCCGGCGGTGGTTTTTGGAGATGATGAAGAAGAGGGAGAGGAAGGTGGTTAATAGTATGGTTCAGGGGAGGGGGTCTTTTACGTTGGGAATTGATGCGTCTAATACTATTGCGGTTGATGAGGAGCTGGGGGAGGTTTATGTGCAGGTTCCGACGCCGGAGCTGTCGAGTTTTGCCGTGGGGTATTCGTTCAAGGCGCCTTTGCCGAGCTTAAGGGATATTCTGGGGGAGGAGGAGGAGGAGGAGGAGAAGGAGGAGAAGGAGGAGGAGGATGGGGGTGAGAAAGAGCCAGCGGGGGATCAAGCTCATCAAGCTCAGACGGATATGGTGATCCACGCGAGTATCTCGGGCCCGTTGAAGCAGTTGCACCAGGAGGCTGAAGTGACGCATTTGGACGGGACCACAGAAATCCGCAAGGTAAGATAGACAACTCAAGTTCGGTTCCTGCGGTGGGCCATCAAGCTGATAGATGGTGGTGATATATGGACAGCTTCCGCTACCTTTGATTCTGAGCACAAAAAACTTCAAGCTTGGAGCAGGTGTCAGCCACGTCTTCGGGGATCTCTCGAGCGCCAGGGGCATATTCCGGAGATGGCCTTTGTCGATGCTGCATTATTCGGGCGTGACAGTACACGCTCACGTTTTACCATCGCTGGCATTGGAAACAAACTTTGCAAAGAATTTTACGCCTGTTGAAGGAACGAAGCCCTTCAAAGTTGTGCTCGGCTCTACCTTCCATTTCTCTATTTTGCAGGCGTTGCCCGTGGTTGGACTCCAGGTAACGAAGGAAATCGGCGAGCGAAAAATCGCATTCTGTAGCTGGTCAAGCGGCTTTGTGTCATGGCCTACTGTGGTCCAGCAATTCCTTAATCCGTTTGTTAGCCTTGGTTTTGACGTGGGAAATGCTCTCAGGGTACCCAATCAGATCAGTCAGTTTCAATTTGGCATCATGTCTCAGCCAAAACAGCCAACGCTTGCCTCTATTGACGACGACGACGACGACGACGACGACGACGACGATGATGATGATGATGGTAGTAAGTTTGAGTCGGAGGAAGACTACGAGACGAAAACAGAGTATGCCAAGGTCCGTGCTAAGCAACGCGAAGAGAATAAAGCTGCCGAAGCCTGGCAGGTTGGACTTTCTTCGTCCCCCATGGCCAACGGTGTATCTGTGACCTATGCACGGAACATTTTCTCCGGAAAACCAGCCAACAAGGTCGCCCTTTCTGAATGGAGTGCTGAAAAACATTATCCTATGCCTCCAGCAAAGGAACATCGCTCTGTCCGTCTCGAAGTCACATCTACTGTTGACATGAGTCTATCACTCGCGTGGAGCGTGGAGGGAACTCGCCAGGTTGGAGATTTCACTCGTATGGGTCTTGGAGTTGGTGTGCAAGGAGCCCGCGGTCTTGTTATGACCATTTCATGGAGCCGATTGGGGCAAAGGATTAAGCTTCCCGTTGCCGTCTGCCCACTCCAGGCTGTCAATGCGGACGCAGCAGCTGTTGCGCTTATCTTCCCCTGGGTAGCATATTGCGCGGTGGAGTTTGGCTGGATCCGTCCCCAGGAAAGACGCAACCGCCGCAAGCTGATCGCTCGCCGACAAAAACAGCTACGGAAACTGATCCCCCAGAAGAGCGCAGAAAGCGCTCAAGCTATCGAACTGATGGCTGATCAGGTGCGACGAAGACAGGAGAGAGAGGACCGTCAAGGTGGACTGGTTATCACCAAGGCCGAATACGGCTATTATCCCTCAAAACGCAAGGGGTCCAAGGGCGACAGGGAGCCCGAAGTTGCAAATGTTACTATCCCCGTAGCTGCGTTGGTGGATCGCGGTCAGCTTGTCATTTCCAAGGAAACAGCCAAGGTTTGTCACAACTAGCCATTTTTTTCGTGTCTCTAGGGTTTACACCACTCACTCCTCTCTAGTTTCATATTCTTGGGTTCCACGACCCAGCTCCTCTTCAGCCAAAGATACTGAAGATATGGTATCGATACCACGATAAAGAACATTATGTTGAAGCCAACGATACCGAGGGCGTGACCTGTCCTATGCGACAGCACCTACTAGATGCTTAAAACGCTCCCTCTCCCATTCCCGGATATATCTATAATCCTGTCCTTTATACCGTTTGGACTTTCATATCCGTATATTATTCCCCGTTATCCACTCCAGAAGGACTGGAGGTTGCATCATGGCTTATAACTCCCCTCATACTCCCATCTGTATGTGAATTAGAGGCACATTGTACTCGCATGCTTGGTTCCCGTGTATTTTACTCTATATCAGTTATTTCTGGTCCGTCCGATAGACTACATAATTCAGCTATTCTGGTACTAGCTTATAGAAATTCAACATCTCTGTCCCTGTGGTAAAGAAGCCTGAGGCGTCGATACATTTCCCTTTTACGGGACGGTAATCTAAAATACGGCACGTCATTACGACCAACTCCGCAATCCCGCCGTCAACTTCGACCCAAGGGAAAAAAAAGCAGCAAGCCGCCCATCAAACGTTCCTCATCAACCCTCCCCATCTCTTTTCATCCATCCAGGATTCCACAATGACGTCTATTGCGGAGGGACTGTTTAAGTCTCTCCCCAAACCGAAATATTCCGGTGACGAGGAGGAGGAGTTGCCGCAACACGCCCAGGCCCGTGGCCCGCGGATTGTAGGTCCCGGCCAGCTTGACGAGACCCAGGTCGTTCTCCGGGTATGTATTCCTACGCGTTTCCCCCCCCCTTTTCTTCTTCTTCTGAAGACTACTCTTTTTTTTTTATGATATGGCTGGATACCGTGCAGCTGCTAATTTTCTCCCCTGGTATGGGAGCGGGAATTCTAGAGAACCGGCCCACCACCATACGGAAACCGAGCAGGATGGCGACCTCGTGCCCCCGAGGATTTCGGCGACGGCGGCGCATTCCCGGAGATCCTGGTTGCACAGTATCCGCTGGACATGGGACGGAAAGGCACGGCGTCAAAGTCGAACGCGCTCGCGGTGCAGGTGGATGCAGAGGGGAAAGTGAAATACGATGCTATCGCGCGACGCGGCCACGGCGACGACCGAATCGTGCATGCGTCGTTTAAGGATTTGATTCCGCTCCGGCAGCGGGTGGATATGGGAGAGATATCGCTGGACCGGCCGTCGGAAGAAGAAGTTCAAGAGCAGATGGAGAAGACGAAGAATGCGCTGGCGAGCTTGGTTTCGGGGGCTGTGGCGGCGCAGAAGCCCAAGAACGTAAAGGGGGGCAGTCGCGCAGAGCCTACGTTTGTGCGGTACACGCCTGCGAACCAGATGGGGGATACGAGTCGGAAAAATGATCGGATTATGAAGATTGTGGAGCGCCAGCAGGATCCGATGGAGCCGCCGAAGTTCAAGCATAAGAAGATTCCGAGGGGTCCGCCGTCGCCGCCGCCGCCGGTTATGCACTCGCCGCCGCGCAAGCTGACGGCGGAAGACCAGGAGGCGTGGAAGATCCCGCCCCCTGTGTCCAATTGGAAGAATCCTAAGGGTTACACGGTACCGCTGGATAAGCGGTTGGCGGCTGATGGGAGAGGTCTACAGGATGTCACGATTAATGATAAGTTTGCTCAGTTTGCGGAAGCCTTGTTTACGGCGGATCGACACGCCCGTGAAGAAGTGAGACTACGTGCGCAGATGCAGCAGAGATTGGCGGAGAAGGAGAAGACGCAAAAGGAGGAGCATCTCCGTGCTCTGGCCCAGAAGGCGCGCGAGGAACGCACCACCAGCCGTCGCGATTCCCGGGCGACGTCGCGATCCCGCAGCCGCAGTGTGTCCGAGTCCTCCTACCGGTCTGGTACCCCTAGTGGGGACGAGAGTGCCGCCCGAGACCGTGAGCGCATGCGTCGGGAACGACGACAGGAGGACCAGCGCCAGCTCCGTCAGTCACGTATGGGTGCCGAACGACGGATTCAGGCAATGGCCCGCGAACAGAACCGCGACATCTCGGAGAAGGTGGCGCTGGGTCTGGCCAAGCCGACGCAGTCTTCCGAGACAATGTGGGATTCTCGTCTCTTTAATCAGACCAGCGGGATGAGCACCGGATTCAACGAAGACAACCCCTACGACAAGCCGCTGTTTGCCGCGCAGGACGCCATCAACAGCATCTACCGTCCGCGGGCGCAACTCGACGCCGACGACGAAGGCGATGCCGAGGGAGAAATGGGCAAGATTCAAAAGTCGAACCGGTTTGAAGTGCTAGGGAGAGCCAAGGAAGGGTTCCGGGGTGCAGCGGACGCAGAGGTAAACGTTTCCCTTTTTTTTTTTTTTTTTTTTCTATTCTTTTCTAGTAATCCATTTCTAACGTTTTAATCCCGGTACAACAGGAGAGGAGCGGCCCTGTCCAATTTGAAAAGGATACCGCCGATCCCTTTGGAATCGACAGCATGATTGCCGACGTGACCGGGGGAGGAGGAGGAGGGGGAACGGGGCAGAAGCGATACGGAATCCAAGAAGTCGACCGTGAAAATGAAAGTCGGGGGTCGAAGCGAGCGAGAGTGGACGAGGAGGATTGATTCAAAATTTTCTTTCTTTCTTTCCTTTACGTGGGGCGGGAGATAAAATAATAATACCCCGATAATATATGGATGGAATTGTTTTCTACCAGGCACTTAGGGTATTGGAATTTACCTCACTCAGCAGGAGAGGTTCTGTCTATATTGTGCCAGGACATCTTCAGTACAGAGTCCATGGATATCAATCATATCACACAGGTTCTATATCATTCTAGGTTCGAGGTTACATGAATGCATGCATTGCTGGCGTTGTGACTGGGTATTTTTCTTATCCTGCTTGTAATAACTATTTATGTACCTAGTAGTAGAAGAAGTATATAGAGCTATAGAACCTAATCTGTAGAAGGAACATCCTACCTAGTCTCCAATAAGAGAAAATTAGAGCCGAGGTGGTCCCTTATCTTCTCTGGATTGAGGACATGTTTATCATTTCAATCACCATGAAACGAACGTCAAGATCACTCTGACAAGGTCATGGGAGATCGCAGATGGGTTTACGGGTCGCGCTCCAAGCGCTGATGCGATAGGGATTTTGACATTCGTTCGTGTTCGTGATCTGATCTGTTTGAGTGCGGTATTATTATTCAGCGGGACTGGCGTACGTATTCCCTCGCACGCACGCACGCACGCACGAACCTATCGTCGAATATTACATAGGGTGGGGTGCCACATGCAAGAATGATCGGGTTTCAGCTCGTGCTGAGAATTGTCAGTGTGTAACCCAGACAAACCTAAATGTTCCTTTCGAGGTTCGGCCGTTGAACTCTTTGACCAGAGAACCCAAGTAGATAACCAGCAGCTTCAAATCCGAGTCAGTTAGTAAACTACCTATGCGACTTGACGAACTGGTGTCTGTCTGTCTGTCCATGGAAAGCGCACGGCTCCACTATGATCCCACCACATGCACCCGATGTCAAAGCCAGAGAAGCCGCAATTTTTTCCCGGAACTCCTCCCCCCCCTCCAAGGCACGAGCGGCGGCTGGCGAAATCGGAGACTTGGATGATCTTTCAGTGGCTGATGCCACGCTCCTACGCAGGAATCGTATGTGTAACCGGGTAGGTTGATTTTGCAGCAATGTGCCTGACTAGCTCCCAGCCTCCAGGTTCATGACATCCTTGTAGGCTTGTACTTGTCCAAAGTGCGGGGAGCCGACCGAGGGAGCTTCTGCCCTGGCCAGCTAATGACCATCGATCTGACACTGCTGACTTGAGAGTCATCATGATCCGTGCGTTGCCGGGAGATATTTATGTAGTAGTATCTAAGTATTATCGTCGGAGTGGGCGCCTAGCGCGGAGAGTGGGCGACGCAAAGACGACTTGCTGATAACAAGATCCATCAATTCAACTCGGTTAAACAAGGGTTCCAGATTGCAAAGCAGATTAGGTAAAAGTGATAGCTATATTTTCTGAAGTCAGTGCAAGATACCCAAGCAAGCTTTTGTGCCCTCTTCTTGACTCACATTTTCTTTTGGTCAGGATTTCCCCCCCCCATTTATCCTGAGGATAATTTCTTTTCTTTTGTGTGTGTGTGTGTGTGTGTGTGTGTGTGTTCTTTGGAAGCTCTTTGTGGAGTGGTCATTATTAATATATATATATATATATACTGGAAGTGCTGGATATAGTCAAGAAGTGAGGTTGTTGAAAGATACTGAATTGTATGCCCAAGTCACCTGCCTGAGATCCCCTCATCCTCTTCTTCTTCTCTCTTTACTTCTCTTTCTTTCTCATTCTCATCCTTTTACTCTCTCATACTTCATCTTTCATCTTCATCTTTCATCTTTATCCCTTCATCTTATCTCTTTCATCCCCTGCTTCCCATCCTCTCAGTCCTAATCCACACCTCCAATAGCATCATCTCCTGCTGCTAATTCTCCTTGATATCATCCTCTCAAACAATGGCGTAACTTCCGGCCCGTCGAAAAAAGACAATGCCGATTCAAGGCTGTGTGCCCTGCAGGAGACTCAAGCGGAAAAAAGAAAAGAAAGAACTCAAAAGCCTCTCTCCATTCACAGCTCTTAGCCTGAAACCTTGGTGGTTTGCTCTAAATTTACTTTCTGGGGTGATTTACTATCCTTACTGGTCTACTTGGTGTTGTCTTTTATTTCCCTGGGACAATAATATCAGGTTTCTCCTGGCCCTCCTATTTCTGCTCTCTCTTTCATCCTGCCCTCTATAATTCTCTATCTAACCTGGTGGGTGGATTTCTCTTTCTACAAATAGGATTTAACCTACTCCTCACCTGTCTTACTTCCTCCCTTTACTGCGCCGAGACCTGCTCCTGATTCATTCTTCTCTGTGACAGACCTTTGCCTATTCTGATCGCCACGCATTCTGAAATTCCACATCGTGTTCCTGCAAGATGGAACAGTCTTTGTCGCTAATATCAGCTCAGGTGCAGTTCATGGTAAGCGTCCTTCCTCCCATCACATTGGTTTCACCATCATTATATCTTTGACCCTCCCTTCCTCTATCTCTCCATGCTACCTATGTGTGATTCCCCGATTCTCTGTCAATCTCGTCCGCATGGAGACCATCCGGCCTCGACTGGTGTCGCTGACAACCGTGGTGGAATTACAGGAAGATCGACTGGCCCTGGTGCATATTCCTCTGGATCTGTACCCATATTTTCTGAATCCAATCTTGCAGGTTCTCTTCCATGAAGTCCCTCCCATCACCGAGACCCAGCAAGAGTCTCGCGGTTGCGATAGCCCTCAAGAGTTTCTCAACCATGCTCAGCCGGCTTTCTTGAATCTGTCTCTTACCCCAGTGGAGTGTTCCGTCATGTGTCCTAGGCAGCTCGCGGACGAGTACTTCGCTCCTTTAGTGGAACGATTCGTTCAGGTCAGCTCGTCGACTCAAAGTCGTCTGTCCATCAGCAAAGATGATTTCATCGCCATGCAGGTCTATGGGGAAGGCCTGGAGGCTGGCCAACGGGTTCTAGAACTCACAACGCCTCTGGCCATGGCAGGAATGTGCGTACATTCTCAAATCTACGGCTAAACAGAGACATGCTAACCTAAGATTATAGCTCCATTTTCTTCATTTCCACTTATTTTGCCGACTACATCATTGTCCCCCTCAAAAGCAAGACCCAGGTCATCGAAACCCTCGAAAAACGGGGTTTCCAATTTGAAATATCGACGGAGGCGTTCATCAATAGTAACCAACCGGCCCTGCACAGTAGCGTTAGCTCTCTTTCTTCGCTGTCGGCAAGTTCCTTGAGTTCTCCACCGGCCACACCTCCCCCGTCGTCTCTCAATGAGCTACAGAAGCGAACATTCTCATCTCTCCGCCGAAACAACATCACGCCCTTTGTCGACACATCGCTCCGTTTGGTTCAATGTGCAGCCCATCATCGCTACAGTAGCGATGCTAGCTCCATTGCTATTCTTCGGGATGCCCTTACTACCGCCCTAGTAGTAGATAAGCCTCGTTTTCTCTCCCTTACCCTGACAGCTGCGGATCCTGCGGCCTCTCTTTTACTCGAGCAACGCCTCTTGCCTCGTTTCTCCAGCGACCCCGCCACCGCCGAAGCAGATGAAGAATCCAGCCTCCTCCTGGGTTCAAAAGAGGACGTTTTAGTTCCCATTGTGCTAGATCTGCGGAATCTTCCTTTGGAAGCCACGGGGATCGTTTGTGGAGTCGCCAGTCGCCTGGCCGATGCTACACACGCTCGGGATGACGATGGTCCTGCCTCATCCACGACACTTTCTCCACCTTCCAATGGCCTCGACAGTTTCGACCATTCGCCAAAGGAGATTTATTCCTCTTCTGAATCTCACAGGCTGTCAAAAGCATCTAGTCACAGCCCCGGGCGCAAGACCAACGGTCACAACCCGCCTACCCACCATCTCAAGCCAGACTTGGACGCCTTCTTCGATGCCGTCGAGATCAGTTTCCTCAGCACAGCGCGTGCAGGCACCATCGTTGTCGGAGAACACGAACTCCACCGGGCAATGGACGCTCTCGAAGCTGAAAGTCAAGAGCCGGAGAAGGCAATCGAGGCCCTTGAAATCTAATAATAGTGCTGCTCACTTGCCTCAGCCTCGTTCTTTGGTACTTTTGACCTGCATCTACCCTTTTTTTTTTTTTTTTTTTTTTTTCCTTACAAAAGTCATTATGCACCATTTTCTTTTCTTTTTCGTTTCTTTTTTTTTTTTTTTTTTTTGTATTTCGATAAAAAGTTACAGTTGAAGAAAAATGTGGTTTTCTTCTTATTTTCTCTTTTCTTTTCTCGTTTTATCACGACTAACGCTTAGCTACGCCTGACAATCTCAACGGCCAACCTTTCTTTCTTTCTTTTTCATTTGTCAAGGACACCCGGCTTGGATTCCTCTGGAGTACTTCCAGGCTTATCAGTTGGACTCACATTTGCATGGCATGGACACGAACACGTACAGGGACACGGAAAAAGACCACTCGGAAAAACAGAACGCATATCATATCATCCTGGGGCAGAGAAAATTGCATTATGGACAGCGTAATCAAATCCTTTTATTTCATTTTATTTCATTTCATGTCTACGATGTCAAACCATGTCCCTAGTCAAGGGCAGGAATCGGAATCAGAAAGATGCTTTCCTAATCATAAATTACGCATTCCATCATATAACTAGATTGAACTATGTAGGTCTAACTACTAATATCTACTCTTTAGCTCCGTCAACCCACTAGTAATATCTGATACATGTATATACATACTATCTATCTATCTATCTATCTATCAGCTTCAGCTGCCGTAGAACAATAATACCTGGGCCCATCCCGGCCGGGCCCAGGATAGACAGAGGTAGAGTAGAGCAAGCACGTGGACCTAACGAACTAACTGGAATGATGGATTGAAACAAAAAAAAAAAAAAATGTATGGTAGTTAACCTGCAGCATTGCTTATTTATGACATTGAATCCTTTGATTTAACTAACTATGGAACGGGGGAGAGTCCAAAGCTAATCAATCGATTTGCCGCAATAGCCTCCCAAGTCAACATACGGTTCGTTCGGATACGGAGTAGTTACGGAGTTACTACTTACTACTCGCTGGGGAAATGGCGGAAATTCCATAGATTCCACCTTTGCAGGCTGGGCGTCAGCTAGATATCCATGGATGGATGTGTTAGTGGACAGTGCATGGCTGCGCTGCAACTCGTGGTGGGCACATGGATTCTTTCCAGATCGCGGTATGGGCGATCGGTTGGTGGTGGTGTTAAGCGAGTGGCTGTTTTTCTTTTTTTACTGATAAACTTTGACCGTTCCTGCGGTGGTGACGCACAAGTCAGCACCCACCCAGAGCAAGACAAGAAAAAGGTAGTCAAGAAATCCATACCATCTGAGCATCCGCTCGCCCAAGACTTTCCCTTCTCATTCCACGCCACACAACTTACAGCCTTGACTCCCTCTCCGGCTGGGACTGCCGCGATGACATCCCCGCGGAGAACATCCCAGGCAAAGACATAAGCTTGCGCTGACCGGTCCTGTTTATTGGATTCACTCCCGCTCAGGACGACGGCGTCGGCCTTGGCGAATACAGATCGGATACGCAGCTCTGTATTGTAGTACGTGGGGTGTCCAGGTGCAGGTCCGGCTCCGAATGCTTTCAGCAGCTTCCCATCTGTACGATCCAACATTCGGATTCTCCCGTCCAGAGTCGACGTCAAGAGCGCATTGCCGTCCGCCGAACACCGGATACTGGTGACTGGATGGCCCAGTACATCGACTGTGGTCTGACCCATACGGAGATCGTAAACCCTCGCACGGCCGTCATAGCTACCACTCGCGATCGAATACGTAGGCATATGAACATGTAGCGAGGAAACCGTATCCCCAGCTTCCGTGAGTGTCTGGATGGGCTTGTACGAGTTGGACCGGGTATCCCAAATATGAATGGTTGTATCGGCGCTGCCTAGAGAAGAACAACCAAGAACACCCCCGAGTGAACATCTGGCTTTCCAACCTTTTTTTTTTTTTAAAAAAAAAAGGCAGTGGGATATATATTATCTTACCAGAAACTACCACCGCATCTCCCTCCCCCGCAAATTGTACAGCCTCAACCTTCGCGTGATGGCCGCTCCATCGTCTGATCGTGAGGCCCTGTTCCACGTCCCACAGGAAAACCTGGCGGTCTCCTCCTACACTCGCAAAGCGCGAGTTATCCGCTGCAACGGCAATATCGAGCACAGAGTACCCATGCGCCTCGTACTTTTGAATTGGAGATGTAGTCTCGACAACAGATACATGATTGTTGTTGGTAGTGTTGGGTACCGCGCGAGAAAGATGGATGGCGCGGTCGGAGGATCCGGTGAGAACGTAGGTCCCAGGGGTACTGGAGAAAGTCACAGCATTGACCGGTCCTATAGGAGAAGTTTATTATTAGATGCTTATGAAAGAAAGAAAGAAAGGGGCTTTGGAGGTGGTCGACGCTTTACCATGGTGTGTCTTGAGAGTGTGAACGAGCTTCGTGGGGAACTGGGTTGTTGCCGGCATTGGCAGGCTATGCGGTCTTCTTCGAGATGTAATAAATAATACTACCGGACTCTATATTTCAGGGGTTGGCTGTGCCATTGCGCACCGGATTCATACATCCAAGGTCAGTCAGTAGGCAAGTCGGAGAGTAGTTGAGAGTCAAGTTTTGAGGACGGAAGTAAAATTCACCGCCGAGCTTTAAACACAGTAGCTAATGGACTCTGTAGGTAACCAGCGGACGACCGGTTTCAACTACGAACTACTTGGCTACACGAGTTCCTTCCACAGGCACAAAAATTATATCTGGATTGAGATGTTGCAGGATACAAGTGGGTTATTATCAAGAGCGTAGACAAACCATCGCTAGCTACCAGGAGGCAAATTCAAGACAACAGGCCAAGCCAGACCGGGAGGAAGCCCGTATGCATGGTTAGCTTCTGAGAATACACAAAGAAATCCGAAAAAAAAAAGGTAATCACGGAGAAGGTGAAAAAGGGTGGCATAAAAATAAGGGGGAAAAAAAAAAGAAGACGAAGAAGAAAAAAACAATCAAGGGGTAGTCGAGTGTAAAACCATATTAGTCGAGACGAATGCACACGTCTGCTTTTTTCACCTTCCAGCAAAGAACCACTACTGCCTGCTGCCAGTGGGATACAATCATTTTTAACGACGGCCGTGGCTCCGGGTGGTAGAGCCTTGCAGCCCTTCGATTTCTTGTTCGAGAGCTTTGATCCTGTTCATCATGGGTTAGAATAAACCATCAAATTATCGCGCCAAATCGGGGAAACATACGCCGCATGGGTAGCCTCCAAATCCTTGTTGAGGCGGTCTCTCTCTGAGATAAGCTTCTGCTCCCACTGTCGGAATCGCTGCTCCTCGACCTTGACCTGCTCGGTGAATCGCTTGCGCAAATTCTCCTCCTCTTCCTTGAACTTGGGGTTGTCGAGCTTCCTGGGGCGGGCTTCGCCAAACTTGCGAGTCTCCATTTGTTGGGCGCGGTACGCTTCGTAGTGCTGCTCCTCGGTAGTGTGGATGAGATCGAGCATATGTGTACGGATGAGAATCGAGCGGAGCTTTTTGAAGTCGCAGTGCTCTTCGTCCTCAACTTCCGCAACACCCCAAGCATACTGGCGGCCCTTCACAACACGTCCGTCGTTGGTCTTCACGTCCTTCTCGGAACCAATCACAGCGAAAGGCATGGCAGCCATCAGGCTGCGGGCGTGGGTAGCGGCAGTCTCATCATCCTCTTCAATTGGGGGGGTATAGATTTTGATGCCCTGGGCTTCGATAACGGCTTGAACCTATAATTGGGGGGGGGGACGTTGTTAGTGTCCAAAAAAAAAAAAGAAAAAGGAAGAAAGGTGGGGTAAGGGGCGTTACCCTCTGCTTGTAACGGGCAAGGTCGGCGGGGCTGAGAGTGTCGGCCTTTGCAATGATGGGAATAAGGTTGACACGAGAACTCAGGCGCTTCATAACCTCGATATCGAGGGGCTTCAGAGTGTGTCCAGTGGGGCGGATAAAGTACAAGCAGGCATGAACACGCATGTCAATCTTGTCGGTACGGCGGGGCTGCTGCTCTTGCAACATGTACGACTCATGCTGATCGTCCAGGAATTCAATGATGGGTTGCCAGGAGTCGCGGTTGTTGACATAGTCGCCGAAGCCGGGGGTATCAATGACCGTCAAACGAACTATACGGCGCATTTGATGTTAGCGTTATTCGACAACCCGGACCTCTAGGATGCACCTTTGAAGAACTTCTCCTCCAACTCGGCCTTGGTGATTTCAATCTCAACCGTACGGTCAATTTGCTTCTGGTGACGGCGCTTGTGGTCGGCGTAGTTCTTGATGGTGGTGGAAAACAAGGTGTTGATAAACGTGGTCTTTCCCAATCCTGACTCTCCAGCAACCTGAGAATCACCGTTAATCCCTGATCCTAGGATGATGCAGCATGGCAATTCAACCCACCATAATAGTGAAAGCCGCTCCGCGCTTAGCAACGATCTTGTGTCTGCATGATTTGCGTTAGGATTGTGCTGCTATATCTCACAGAGCACGAGATAAGAGTATACACACCGCTGGTTAGGGAGCTGTTTTGGAACAATCCATCATTAGTAAAGCTTGCAGGACAAAATCAAATCAAACAACAGACCTAGAACTTACGTTGGCAATGCCAATGGGCGAAGGAGTCTCGTTAATGGGGGCCATGATGTTTAAGGGGTCGACGGGGAGGGGGGTGAGCTGGAATCAATCAAATAAGGTACGGGGAAACAACGGAGGCTCTAAAGCAATCGCAGGATTGAGAGGGGGAAAAGAGAGAAAAGAGGACGGGTCCAGGGATGATAAAGTCAGACAAAAAGCCGGTCGAGAGGAGGAAGGAATGAGAGACAAGAGGGCAAGCAGCAGCAATGATGAAGCAGCGAGAGAAGCAGCAGCAGCCGTTCGTTCTTGTTTGTGCCTCGTTGAGTTTAGTTTTGGTTGCTTTCGCTGCCCCTGAATCACCAGTCTGATGCCTGAGGCAGCGTATTTTTAACGCACTATGCCAGTCTGGGACTAGTCGGACGGAACACGGGGATTCTGTTGATCCGGATGCTTATCGCCTGTTTGGGAAAGTCGACTTTTTTTTTTTTTTTTTTTTTTTGTTGCTTAACTGAGGGTGCTAGGATCCGGTTATCGACCATGAAGACCGATTTCAAGGTATGTTTCTCCAATCCTGTTCGATCAGGATAATATCCAATGACCCTGTCCCACTGCAAGCTTGCTAACAACAGCCCACGCCAGTTTTCAAACCTCCTCGGTACGGTATATCGCAAAGGAAACCTGCTCTTTACCCCCGATGGAAACAGCTTGCTTTCCCCTGTCGGCAACAGAGTCACAGTGTTCGACCTAGTCAAGTATGTACTTTGCGACCTTGCGATCCCGTCAATTGTCAAACTGGCTTGCTAATTCAATTCCCGAATCTAGTAACTCGACCTATACCCTCCCATTCGCACACCGAACCAACATCCACCGATTAGATCTCACCCCCCGTGGCAATGTCCTTCTTTCCGTGGATGAAGATGGTCGCGCGATCTTGACGAACTTCCACCGTCGAGTTGTCATCTACCATTTCTCCTTTAAGGGCCGCATATCCGGGCTGAAATTCTCTCCTTCCGGACGACACTTTGCTGTGGGGTTGGGACGTCGACTGCAGATTTGGCACACCCCAGATACCCCGAGCATTGGAACGGATGGAGAAATTGAATTTGCCCCCTTTGTGCTGCACCGTGACCTGGCCGGTCACTTCGACGAGATTCAGAATATCGAGTGGTCGAGCGATTCCCGTTTCATCCTCACCTCTTCCAAAGATTTGACTGCGCGAGTATGGAGCTTGGACCCGGAGGATGGCTTTGAACCCACCACACTTTCCGGACATCGCCAGGCTGTGAGGGCGGCTTTCTTTTCTGGTGACCAGGAATCCGTGGGTGCCCTGCAAATTGCATTTGAAACATATATGCTGACTCGAGGTAGATCTACACCGTGGGTCGAGATTGTGTCCTTTATAGATGGGAATATGTTTCCAAGAAGGACCCGGAGACAATGGAAGATGTGTCGGAACCCCGCTGGAGGATCGTCAAGAAGGACTTTTTCCAGCAGCCACATGCTACGGTTAAGTGTGCGGCGTTTCATGCGCCCTCGAACCTATTGGTGGTGGGATTCTCCAATGGATTGTTCGGACTTTACGACCTGCCAGAATTTAACGCAATCCATCTCCTGAGGTATTCTTGATCCCCCCTTTCCGTTGTGCCTTCAATTCTAACTATTTCCCCTAGTGTTTCCCAGAGCAATATCGACGTTGTGAGCATCAACAAAACCGGCGAGTGGCTGGCATTTGGTTCTTCGAAATTCGGACAGTTGCTTGTGTGGGAGTGGCAGTCGGAATCGTATATCTTGAAACAACAGGGCCACCTCGACTCGATGAACGCACTGGTTTACTCTCCCGACGGCCAGAGAATTGTCACCGCCGCCGACGACGGCAAGGTCAAGGTCTGGGACGTCAAGTCCGGCTTCTGTATTGTGACATTTACGGAACATTCCAGTGGAGTCACCGCCTGTCAATTCTCCAAGAAGGGAAATGTCTTGTTCACGGCATCGTTGGATGGTTCTGTCAGGGCATGGGATCTCATTCGCTACCGAAATTTCCGAACATTTACTGCGCCGTCCCGCATGTCCTTCTCCTCGTTAGCCGTCGACCCCAGCGGTGAAGTGGTGTGCGCTGGCTCTCCCGACTCGTTTGACATTCACGTGTGGTCAGTCCAGACTGGCCAGCTTCTCGATCAGCTGTCCGGCCACGAAGGCCCGGTTTCGGCCCTGGCATTTGCCGCAGACGGTAACCATCTGGTTAGTGGCAGTTGGGACCGCACAGTTCGTATCTGGAGTATTTTCGGAAGAACTCAAACGAGCGAGCCTCTCCAGATTGCGTCTGATGTTTTGAGCGTGGCCTTCCGGCCTGATGGAAAGCAGGTCGCAGCATCGACGTTGGATGGACAGTTGACCTTCTGGTCGGTGGCGGATGCTGTCCAGGAAAGTGGGATTGATGGACGCCGTGATATCTCGGGAGGACGCAAGGTCTCGGATCGCACCACGGCTGCCAACGCTGCTGGCACCAAATCCTACCACTGCATCACCTACAGCGCCGATGGTAGCTGTATTTTGGCTGCTGGAAACAGCAAGTATATATGTCTGTATGATGTGACCACGGGTTCCCTGGTGAAGAAATACACAGTTTCCGTCAACACTTCATTAGACGGCACTCAAGAGTTCCTGAACAGCCGCGACATGACGGAGGCGGGTGCTCGAGGCCTGTTGGATGAAACCGGCGAAGCGTCCGACCATGAAGACCGAATCAACCGGGCGCTTCCTGGTGCGAAACGGGGGGATGCTGGGGCCCGGACCACTCGTCCTGAGGTGCGTGTCAGCTGTGTGGACTTTTCTTCCACGGGGCGTTCGTTCTGCGCCTCGTCTACCGAAGGGCTTTTGATCTACAGCTTAGATACGGAGTTTGTGTTCGATCCGTTCGACCTGGATATTTCTATCACACCGGAGACCATTCTCGCTACGGTTGAAGGCGCAAAGCAGGCCGCCGCACCCGGCCAAGCCCACGATGACGATACATTCTTGAAGGCCTTGGTTATGGCGTTCCGTCTCAATGAGTCTAAACTCATCCGTGCCGTCCACGAGGCCGTTCCCCCTGCCGATATCCCGCATGTGGTTCGAAACATCCCTACCGTCTATCTCCCCCGTTTCCTTCGCTTCATTGCCCACGCGACTGACGAAACCCCCCATCTCGAGTTCAACCTGTTGTGGATCGAGTCCCTCTTCAGCAGCCATGGGCGATACTTCAAGGATAATGCAGGCACACTCGCTCCCGAGCTTCGTGCTGTGCAACGGGCGCTTGATGATATCAGCGAGAACCTGAAGCGACTTTCCGAGAAGAACTTGCACGATCTTAACTATCTCCTTGCGAAACCCTTACTTGCCGGGAAAAAGACCGCGGCCCTTCCCAAGGCAATTGATGAGCGAGTTGTGTCCGGCAAGAATGGTGATGAGGAGATGAGTGAAGCAGCGGGTGATGATGCAGAGGGTGAATGGCTAGGCCTCGAATGATTGATGTCTCAAAATCCTTTTATCTTGTTTTTTTTTTTTTTTCCCCCGCTCTTTTTGCATATGCGCATGGCGTTCGACTTGTTTGATATACCTGGGAAGATAAATGGGGACCACCAAAAAGTGTTTTGTGCCATCTGATATTGTGTATATAGACATGGCTCCTAATCCTCCATTTCAGTACAACTCCAGCCTCTTTGTCTCTCTCTCTCTCTCTTTGAACCCTACTCTTTTAATGATGCTCTCATGCATGCAAGCTTTTTTTTATCTGAATCATTTTATGCAGACCTACCCCAAGACATGTTATTCTCGCTAGTGAATATACCTGACAGTGACGCCAGAACTTGCGCAAATTATTCACTACGTTCTCCTTTGTTATGCATGACTACAAGTAGGAATAGATCCTTCACTTGGATTATTTCTGTTATTGCATTTTCTGTGTTTCTCTTCCTCGCATAGAAAAACGCGACAGAGCGCCCCCTTTTGTTCCTATACTAGATCCTTCTCTCTCTCTCTCTCTCTCTCTCTCTCTCTCTACGAACATCCCCGAAACCCTAAGATCAATCAGCCAGCCAGCCAGACACACCGACAGACAGCTTTCCACGATGATGCTGGCGACAATGCTGAAAGTGCTGGGTCTTCCAGAGGATTTCTTCATATGGCCGCTGTTGCTGGTCTCGGTTATTCTTTTCGGGGCATTTTGCCTTTTGAAGCCCGCTGCTGCTCGTGCTCGTCTGCGTCTGGATGTGCCCACTGTTACCCTTGGCTGGTTTGTTCCTGAATTCGTCAATCGTCTGCTTTACTCTGTTTTTGCGCCGTTTCTCATTTATCGTGGCTATGAGAAGGTTCGTCCCCCCCCCCCTCCCCCCTTCTTTTTCGTTGCTGGAGGGGAATGATATGTAACCCTATATATATATCGATCTAGTACAAGGACATGCCGTTCCGAATCCTCAAGATGGATGCGGATTTGATCGTTCTGCCCGCCAGGTATCTTGCTGAGATTCGACATCTCCCGCACACGAAGCTCAGTCTTTTAGATGCCCAGTTCAACGTGAGCTAGCTCTTCCTCTTTGAACGTGCCGGGGCCGCGTTACGGAACTAATCGGGTCTGGGTATTCTGCAGAGCGTTCTGGGCGATTACACCAACATCCTGAACCACAGTCACTTGCCGGCAACTACTGTTGCGAAGAAGCTCACCCCTGCTATGCGTAAGTAAATTGGGAAGAGGGGGGGGGGTTTCCCCTTGATACTGGCACGATGAACATACCTAACGCCAGAGTCGCCAGACCGCATTGTACCCAAGATCATCGACGAACTCCAGTATGCATTCCCCATCGAAGTCCCGGAGTGTAAAGGTAGAGAGACATCCCCCCCCCCCCCCTGAGTAAGTGTTCATGAACGCTCGTCAGTACCTGACCAAGCAATCTTAGGCCGCTGGGTCCCCGTCACGTTGTACGACATGATCCTCAAACTCATCAACCGGGCGACCTCGCGCGTGATTGTCGGCGACGAGCTCTGCCGCAGCGAGCAATGGCTCGGAACCGTCACCAGCTACACGCACAACCTCGGCATCACGCTGATCCTCCTTCGTCCCGTTCCGACCTTCCTGCGTCCGCTGGTTGCCAAGTTCCTCCCCAGCGTGCGGTACCTCGAGAGAACGCTGAAATGGGTGAAAGACGACGTGTTCGTGCCGATGATCGTGGCGCGCAGAGCCGCGCAGAAAGACAACCCGGAGGCCCCGAAACCCGACGACTTCATGCAGTGGATGATGGAGCTCGCGGACAACCCGTTTGACGAGGACCCCCGCAACATCGCGCAGGGGTTGATGGTGATTATGGCTCTGGCTGTGCTGCACACGAGCAGCATGCTGATCACGCACGCGCTTTACGATCTGATGCTGCACCCGGAGTATCTCGAGCCGCTGAGAGCGGAAATCCAGACCACGCTCCCGGATGGCTGGATCAACGGGACGCAGGCAGCTTTTGCAACGCAGCGCTATCTTGACAGTTTCCTGCGGGAGTCGCAGCGTCTGAATCCGACTAGTGAAAGTACTTACTCTCTTTCCCTTTCCTTTCCTTTCCTCCACTCTCAAAAAAAAAAAAAAAGAAAAAGGAAACACTAACATATATATATATATCTCCAATCAAAAAGTCAACATCCAACGCATCGCAAAAGAACCCCTGGTCTTCTCCGACGGCCTCATCATCCCCCAAGGCACGCACATCTGTTTCCCCACCGGCCCGCTCTCCCGCGACGGCGCGCTCCTCTCGAACCCAGACACCTTCGACGGCTTCCGCTGGTGCAGAGAGAACCTCACCAGGACCAGCAAAACCGCAGCGAGCCTCGTGACGATTAACCAGTCCAACTTGCATTTCGGATACGGGCGCCAGGCTTGTCCGGGTCGGTTCATGGGCGCGAATACGGCCAAGGCGCTGCTGAGCCGGCTGCTGCTGGAGTATGAGATGAAGTTCGAGGAGGGGAGGGGGGGAAGGAAGCGGCCGAGGAATATTGTTAATGGGGAGCAGATTATGCCGAATTTGTGGGCGAGGGTTTTGATTAAGAAGAGGGAGGAGGAGGAGGAGGAGGAGTAGTTTTCTTCTCCTTCTCCTTCTTCTTCATCTTTGTCTGTGTTTTCAGATGTCAGGTTGTCGGATTGTCAGATTGTCAGATTGTGAGGAACAAGTCGGTGCTTCATTCCAGGGTGATGCGGCTCGTCAGTAGGGCTACTTCGTGTTGTTGCTCATTGCTGAAGAAGATGCTCAGGATCAGTTTAAGCCTGTATGAGTGAAGTCCAGGGCACAGCAAGCAATTTTTGAGATTGTATTATGTAGTTTTCATAGATCAATGTACAGTTGCTTAGTCTGGACGGAGTTACAGCACTCGAAATATCTATATATATCTGGGTTGGTGTTATGGTGAATAGAGAGAGAAATATCTATGTACTCTGTATATTATACCAACACATCATATCATGGTTAAGAGAATCTCTGACGGAAAATCATCTTGATACCCCCTTTATTCCTTTGCAGCGACGGCAGTTCCAGCAGCGCCTCTTCCGCGATTGCCTCGTCCCCGATGGCCATTTCCTCGATCCGAGCCACGATGACCTCGACCACGTCCTCCACGCGAGTCTAAGCTCTTAGGAGGAGGCACGTTCGAATAGTTATGGGGACGGAAATCCGGGTTGTTTTGAATGACCCCAGACTCGGGATCGGATTCCATCGGCGTATAACCACCTCGACCGCGGCCGCGACCCCCGCGACCCCGGCCACCACGAGTTGCACCATTCGCCGTCGCGGCCGCCGTGTGCTGGCCTCGCCAACCCCCACCGTTGAGCTGTGGTCGGAAGGGCAAGTTGGTGGGTGGCTTCATTCCATACCGAACACCCCCTGGGTTTGCACCGGTTGCCGCAACACGGTACGAATGGCCAAGGGGTGGCGGGGTTGCAGCTTCTTTCAGCTGTCCCTGACCGCCTGGCCCCAGGGGTGCGCCATATCCGGTAGCCGTCAGCGGTGACGGTTGGGGTTGTTGTTGTTGTTGTTGCTGCTGCCGGCGGGCAGCGGCTCGAGTACTGGCAAGCAGCTGTCGATATGAAATGTTCAGGACCGAAGATGCCATCACAGTCTGCCCCCGGAATGGAGAGCATCGATCTCCCAACGTTGTGCCGCTCATAAACGCTACATCAAAGACAACATCGAGTAAGATAGTCCGCAGGGTTCGGGTAAGGCCCACCACGGTTCCACGAGTGGCAATAGGCACTTTCCCAGAGTCCTGGGCGTATACAACGCGATCTCCGAGTCGGAAAGATTGGTTTCCAAGCCGCTGTTCAACATCAGAGGGCCGGAGAAGAGCACTCCGGCGAACACCTCGCATTTTCTGCAATTCCATCTCAGGCTGGCTCTGCATGAGCTGATCGGCGTCCTGTTCAATAAGCTTGACGATATCCGAGTCCAGCTGCTCGGCCTCGAGAGGAACTCTCTCAAAGTTCTTGGCTTCAATTTCCTTGAGCCAGGCCTTGATCTCATTGATCTTCGAAAGGGCAATGTCTTCCGGATAGAAGTCCGTTGGCTTGTACCGGTCGTTCTGCGGGTTGCGCTGGATGCCGGCAATGAATTCGGGGAACTTGATCATGTATTGCTGGAGCAGGCCGATTGCTTTTGCGCTGAACTCCCAACCAGAGTCTCCACGCCGAGAATAACCCAGGACCTTCTGCTTTCTGGCCTCGAATTTTAGGTTCAGGCCCAGATTCACACGCTGGCCGTCCACGTCCACAGAGAAGGAGGATGTGATCTTGGCTAGCACGAGGGGGTTCAAACGCAGGCTGCGGGCGATCGCAAACGAGGGGGTGTATGGGCAGAGAGCCTCTGCGCTCCTGGTCCGTTCCTTTCCGAACTCAGGCTCACGGCCCTGGAATGAAGCGATGGAGCCGTTGACCTTGCCATCGTCATACCCGGTGATAACCACTGGCCTGCCGTAGTTGAACTCGCCCAAGCAAAAGGCGCGCGAGCCTTCCGGGAATTCTTCCTGAATGGGCAAGGCATCGCGCTCAATGAAACGTTCATCGGGGTTAATCACTTCATCGACTACGAGCTGAAGCGCGTAATCCGTTTCTTGGCCAGGGATATGCGCAAATTCCTTGATGGTAGCCCCTTCATCCGTTTTGATAAGACCCTTCAGCAGCTGGACATGCACCATGGCCTCGACTGGGCCGATGATGGTGCCAAGCCGTCTGCTGTAGATGCCTTCGATCTTGTCAGCCTTCTTTTTCCACTGATCAATTTGCACATCTGTATGAGGAGTGGCAACCGCATGCTCCTCTCCTTCTGGAAGCGTATAATCGAATAACTCATCTGAAACGCAGATAACGAGGGCTTCTTGCAGGAATGGATAGCCCACAAAGACGCGCTGGTTGAGCTTCTGCTTAGCTAATTCAGTGCTTGATCTACTTCCGGGGTCAAGCACAGTGACAACCATGCTTTCATTGCGGCTCTCCTGCTGGAAGACACGGACGCCATGGAAACCCAATTGGCCAACGTGGGGTAATGTCTTCAAACTGGGGAATCCAGCAAGAGCAGCCTCTCCCAGTTGTACACCCTCGACCAATCCAATGTACGGTTCCAGACCTTCCATCGTAGGCAAGTCGAAAACGTTTTCGATACACTGGCATTTAAAAATATCCGGGAAGACTCCAGGAAAGGATGACGGGTAGATAAACTGGGTGTCCGGGGAGTATGTGAACTTGAGACTGACCCCAAACCCATTTCTTGCCTTTTCCTCTGGCGTCAAGAGATGCTCCCTTGTCTTCAGGGCATCTAGCAGACGATCCTGATCAATGAATGGGATCTTAACGACAGCCTCCCAGTCCATTTTCTTCCCATTCATGTCCAGCTCGAAATCACGTGGGTAGAAATCAATGATGGGAGATTCCGGCGAGGTCATCAGGTCGTGGTACGCAGCTGGAACAGTCTTTTTGCTGCGATCAGGAAGAACTCCCATAAGCTGTTCATAGGGTCGGAATGGCTTCCCGAGCGTGAAGTTCATGTCCGCCTTAAGGCCCTTCGTGACATCTAGACCATGTTAGCAATAGGGGGGGGATCTTGGGGGTTTTATCGTCTGTGACTCACCCGAGATCATTGGAGCATAGTGAGAATTGAAGAACCATGGCCAAGACGCAATGCCTCGGTAATAATAGTATAGAACCCACTGAAGACCTTGCACATAGTTCTCCGTTAACTTCCTCATTTCCTCCTCATTCTCCACCCCCCAGCTGAACTTATCCATATAGTACTTGTTTTTCCACTCTTGGAATTTCTGCTCGTATTTCTTTTCCGCTGCTTCCTTGGCCTCTTCAGCGGATAACTCTTGAACCTTGGCGTTCTCATACTTGCGAATAATTCGCTGAACAGCCATAGATGCTTCTTCATCTTCTTCATCCTCCTCCTCATCACTGTCGTTGCCCTGGTTTTCGGGGAACGAGATTCTCATAAATCGGTCTCCATCGTCATTGGAGACAGTGGTCCACGGCAACCGAAGGTCACCCGCAAGCTGCTCCACGAACTTACGGTCACGGGCCGGGAGTGCAGGTGGGAAGTCAAGAGGTTTTGAATCTGCTGCCTTTCCAGGTCTGTTCAAAACGAACTTCTTAACTGTCTTCAAAATAGTCTTTTGGTCCGGGGTTATGGTCAAACTCTTGGGCTTGTCCTCAGAGTTCGCGCTTCCATCGACACCGTTTTTCTTCGCGCGGATCCATTCTGCATCGGAGTACTCGGCCTCGAAGAAGCGGTGCTCGAAGGTGTCACTCAGGCCATCCAAAAGTGTACCGAGCCGTTTCAGGTTGATTACACCTTGCTCGTTGATATAGCCGCCCATCTTGGGCAGAACCTCTTTGTAGACTTTGAACATCAATGCCAGAGCACCTTCGTTAATATGCAGATGCGGCAGGTTAGGTAAAAAGTCATTTCCCACAAAGAAGGCCATGAGAATGAAGTCGTCAATAACGTGTTCCATGTCGTACTGAAAGTCCAACACCCCCGCTAGCTCCAATTCCTGAAACTCCAACTCCAAGTACTCTCTAACCATACACAAATGTAACAGATAGAAGTTCTGGTGTTCAAGCTCCTTGGGCTTTTTCTGGACCTGACGACCAAAGGTCACCTCCTCGCGGAGAAGGCAGAAATGAGGGTCATGGCTCAGCAGACCCAGCATGATCAGATCAGCATCAAGGCCGTACAAACAATGACGAATGTTTGGGTCATATTCCGGCTGTGCTTTCGCATGCCGGATGTACTCCATAATCTTGTGTTCCCCCTCTCCGGGTACTTCGTGGCCGGAGAGAACAATCTCTACTCCCTGCCAATCCTTGTCCTCTGAAATTTTCTTGTTAATGAAATATTTCAATTGGGAGGTAAGCTTCGCCATAAACTCCGTGCCTGGAGTGATGCAGTTACTGTCGAAAGGATCTTCCTTGGGCATTTCCATTCCCTGGGCGATCGCTTTCTTCGTCTGTTCCTCGACGGCCAGGGCCGTTCGGAATCGTCTCGCACGTTGCTGGTTCATTTTGGCTCGGGGGGCGACACCGTCCACGGCCATAAAGAAGAGTTTCCTCGGTTTGATTTTACCGTACAAATGCTCGATATAGTTGAAGATGGCAATAAACATCTTATCCTCGGTCATGCGAAAGGTAGGGGAATCGCTGTCATTGTGTGTGCAGTTATGAATAATACCGTTCATGTCAAGATACAGGTTGTCGAACTCGGGAATGCGGTTCTCCGCGATCAACATGGAGATCGCAGGATACCGTTCGCTCAACCAGCGGAAGAATTTGGGAACACCCATGGTGGAGGATCAATAACAAGGTAGAATCGGAGGAAAGGGTCGAAAACAGCAAAGAACAGGCAGGAGAATCAGCGTGTATCGTAATCGTCGTAGCCGTCGTCAGAGCACAATAAAGAACGGGCTAGAGCATAGACAAAGAAATGGACTGAGAAGACTCAGGGACTGTGAAAAAAGAGAAAAACGGGGAAAGGGAAGGACAAGTTGAAGTTATAGAAGAGAGCGGGCTACAGGAGCACCGTCTTTTGAAGTAGGTAGGGTAGGTAGGGTAGGTAAGCTGGGAAAGAAGAAGAAGAAGAAGAAGTTGATGATTCACTGTCGAGAATTGGGATGGTCACCATTGCCTGTTTGGGCAAGGCGCCGCCAAGCGCCGAATTCCCCGATTGGGGCTAGTGGCACATCGCCCATTAACGCGCCGGCGCGCTTCGTTTCTCCAGTGCGAAAGAAGAAAGAGAATTGGAAGCTCTCCGTCTGTTCCTGTCAAGCTCTGCTTTCGTTTCAGAGTCTCATTAGTCCATCCCAAACATCATGGAGCCCTATGATGACGGTAATTTCCCTCTCTCCCGCTTTTTCAGCGGATTGTCTTTCTGACTGGATTGGCTGTTCATAGGTTTTATCGAGGAGCAGGAGGAGCAGGAGGAGGAACGCACCGAGGAGAAGATCATTAATGAAGGTAATGGGATGAAGTATCTTCCGGAAGACCTGGAATTGAGACTAAGACTGGATTAGAGTACAAGACATGGAAGAAGAATGCACCCTTCCTTTACGACATGATCCTGAGCACAGCGCTAGAATGGCCCACTCTCACAACACAATGGCTGCCGGACAAGCAAGAGTATGCGCACTTTCATCATCTTGGGTTGGGTTGAGATCAATTCTGACGATTCTTTAGAGTTCCTGACAAGCCTTACTCCACCCATCGCCTGCTCCTAGGCACTCACACTTCAAGCGATGCACAGAACTACCTGCAGATAGCCCATGTGCAACTACCCAACCCGAACGCTCCTAACCCTGATGATTACGATGAAGAACGTGGGGAGATCGGTGGCTATGGTGGCAGCTCGAAGAAGGCGCCCATGGAGATCAAATTCAATATCGTGCAGAAGATTGACCACAAGGGCGAGGTGAACAAGGCGCGATATCAGCCACAGAACCCCAATGTGATTGCCACAATGTGTACAGATGGAAGGGTGATGGTTTGGGATCGTTCAAAACACCCGAGTCTCCCGACTGGCACCGTCAACCCCCAGATGGAGCTTCTGGGGCATACACGGGAAGGATTTGGTCTCAGCTGGAGCCCCCATAATGCGGGACACCTTGCGACGGGTAGCGAGGACAAAACCGTCCGTCTTTGGTAAGGAAACTGGAGACGGGGTTTTTTTATTGGAGAAGTGCTAACGACGGCAGGGATTTGACAACATACACCAAGGGCAACAAGGCGCTCAAGCCTGTACGAACCTACACTCATCATTCCTCGATTGTCAATGACGTCCAATACCATCCTCTACACTCCTCGCTCATCGGAACGGTCTCAGACGATATCACCCTCCAGATTCTGGACATTCGAGAAGCAGAGACTACGCGCGCGGCTGCTTCGGCTGAAGGCCAGCACCGGGATGCCATTAATGCCATTGCGTTCAACCCCGCGGCGGAGACTGTTCTGGCCACGGGATCTGCAGACAAATCGATTGGGTTGTGGGATTTGCGTAACCTGAAGAGCAAATTGCATGCGCTGGAATTCCACACGGACTCGGTGACCTCGATATCCTGGCATCCGTTTGAGGAAGCCGTGTTGGCGAGCGCCAGTTACGACCGTAAGATTATGTTCTGGGACCTCAGCCGAGCGGGTGAGGAACAGACCCCCGATGATGCACAAGATGGACCACCAGAGTTGTGAGTCTTCCCCCCCCCCCTCTCCCCCAATGTAATGAGGTTCAAGTTGCTAAGAGGCTATGTCTAGGCTTTTCATGCATGGTGGCCATACCAATCGCATTTCGGATTTCAGCTGGAACCTGAACGATCCATGGGTTCTCTGCTCCGCTGCCGAAGATAATCTGCTTCAGGTGTGGAAGGTGGCCGATGCTATTGTTGGGAAGGATATGGAAGACGTGCCGACGGAGGAACTGGAGCCCTGAGCGAAATAATCCTGGATCTTCTTTTTAAAATCAGATGTGATTCTGAGAGGTAAATCTAAGCCATGTTTCCTGTCTACCTAATCTCTTTCTGCTTCATCAAATCACTCTGTGAGATGAAATAAATCCATGACCATATTTGACCTGGCTCAGTAAAAAAAAACCAAAAACCCCACTGCATGCTGCAGGTAAGAAGACTCCTATCACGGAGTAACTAGACGATGGTGAGAAACTCCGTCCCAGTCGGAGAAACGCTGAGTGGTTCTGGACGCAGGCGGTGAAATTTATTGCGACAGAGGGGAAAACCAGATCATCTTTTCTTCTTCTTCCCCCTCTCTCGATTCTTCTTCGTCAAATCTCAGAATATCATCTTCTGGCCATGTCCGGAAGCTTTGCTTGATTCCCATCCTCTTGAAGCTTTTACTGTAACATCATTTCGAATCATCATGGGTTCTGGATCTCCTCCTCTCCCAGGCTCCAAGCCCAAGTCGGCCATCCCTGCTCACCTCCTGAACGGTGGATCTCCTCTTCATAACACTGTGGGTGCCCGTGATGCTCGGGAACGCGAGAGCCTGAATACTTCTATCCGGTCCTCGTTTGCTCCTCGCGTCCCCGCCGAATTCGATCTGCCCGAGTCGGCCGCACAACCCGTCGAGAACACTGTCAGCAGCTATGATACGCTAACTCGTAGCCCTGGAGCCACAAAGTACGTCTGCTGCGATCGTGTAGGGGGCCCCTGTTTCCCTAATTGATAATGCTAGGCCGACCTTGAGTGACCCCGCCCGCGATCCCAGAGATGAGGCTGGCGCCTTGACCCCGCCGGCGACCGCCAGCCGTCCGGCTAGTCCCTATACTTTATATCCTCCAATTGATTTTGACGGGCTTAGCTGGCCGTGTAAGTGATCCGTTCGAAATGCCCCGCTCGATCTTGTTTTCTAACCCCAGTTTCCCGATAGGCCCTGGAACCAGAGCGCGGTTGGAGTCGACCCCCGACCAGAATGAGGAGCGCATTCAGAAACTTGCAGGTGCTGTAAGGACGATTCTCGAATGCCTGGGAGAAGACCCGGAGAGGGAGGGACTGCGGGAAACTCCCGAGCGGTATGCGAAGGCTATGCTTTACTTTACCAAGGGCTACGAGGAGAATGTGAGGGATCTTGTCAATGGGGCCGTCTTCCACGAGGATCATGACGAGCTGGTGATTGTGAAGGATATCGAAGTGTTCTCTCTGTGCGAACACCACATGGTCCCCTTCATGGGAAAGGTAAGACCCCTTGGGGAGAATGGCGCCGCTTGGGGTCTGTGCTAACGATTTCCCAGATGCACATTGGTTACATTCCCGATCGCCGTGTGCTTGGTCTCTCTAAGCTAGCTCGTCTTGCGGAAATGTTCTCTCGGAGACTCCAGGTGCAGGAGCGTCTTACTAAACAGGTCGCTCTTGCGATCTCGGAAGTTCTCAAGCCTCGAGGTGTCGGCGTTGTGATGGAATCCTCCCATCTCTGCATGGTGATGCGTGGGGTGCAGAAGACTAGCAGCTCCACTACCACCAGCTGCATGCTTGGGTGCATGCGGTCGAGTGCAAAGACCCGGGAAGAGTTCTTAACCCTCCTCAACAGAAAATAATGTTTGATATCTTTATAAATGTATCGACGATCCATATCGGTTACCCCTCATTTTAACAGTGGACGGTATTCAAGAGTTCAAGGAGTTTTGGCGGTTCACCTTTCAACAGGTTCTTGGGATTGGTATTTTGTTTTGGATGAAGCAACTGTGTGTTCTTACATGCTTTCTTTCTTTCTTTCTTTTGTTTTTTTTTTTTTTTTTTTTTTGCAAAGATATTCTTGTATAGATAATTACTCACCTGGCTTCCTACGGAAAAAGGAGCGAACCTTACATGGGCAGTCAGCTCGACCCCGGACGACTTTTACGCTTCCAGCTGAATGGAGACAGAAGCCGTCGACCCGGCTTTTTTGGCCAGATTCACGATTGATGTTTTAATCCTTGGATTTACCAACTAAATCGAGGATAAAAAGCGGAGTGTTGGGTTGCTTCAACACCCTATAATTGGATCCTCTGATCTACGAAGATACAACTTCTATACTTTGGATCTAGGACTCTCTACAATATAACACAAAAATAACAGCCCCCTTGTTTCTGTTTAGGGTATTTGGATCAAATCTTCTCATGTCCTCTTACATGCTGGGGGGTTAGGGCTTGGTCTTTCAGTCACCATTTCCTCCTCCCACATAACACAGTGATATTATAGACAGTGAATGCAAGTCTCTGCTGACTCGCCAGGTAACACTTCCAAAATCTTTGAATATCTCCCCCTACGAGAGGAAGAATCTTTCTTTTCTCCCAACAACTCATTTTTGACAGAGGGAACACAAGTGGTCAGGTTTCTTTGTGCCTTCTTATTCTCTTTCTTTTCCATACACCCATTTCTAACTATTTGCTTTGAACCTTGCCTCACAGAAGTAGTGAGAGTATCCACTGGGTAAAGCGCGTATTTGAGCTCTCTTCCAAGGGTCAAAAATGGCGCACTCGAATACCCAACCAGCTGGGGAAGCTCAGTTGCCTATTCCCTGTCCCAATGAATCGACTGGAAATGAGCTGATTCATGACGAGGATGGACTCTCCCAGACCGGGGATACTACTATTGACCAGCCTGAGAATGGAGAAATCTGCGCAGGTGGTGAAGAGGAAGCAGCGCAAATTCACGCACAGAACTCACCTCCTGTTCCAGCAAGGACCCAGGCAGTGACAGATGAGGTAGCCAGATATCAAGAGGAAAGTTTGCATAAATATCTTATCCACCAGCAGAGACTGGTTGGAATTGCTCCGGAGAATGTCATTCCCATGCATCGCTGTGAGCCAACTGTAGCTGGGCCCAGACTGCCTCCTTTGCTGCGGCTCTCGAACGAAGGTCTTGCGGCTCCTCTGCTTCCTCCTGTCACCTTCAATGGTGTTATCCAGCCATTCCCATCCCAGCCTGGAGATCCCACTGGGATGGGACCAAATTACCACCATACTGCCAATAGCGAACGGTCTCAGACTTCTTCTTCTTCATCAGGTTGCACTGGATTGTTGGATGGTATCTCGCTCAACGGAGACCAGAACCTTGTCCACCCTGCTGGTATTAATCCAAACCTCCTTGGAAATCCTGTGCCCCGGTATGGCGATGTCCAGGGAAACGCATTCAGACCCGCCGGGCCGGTCAGTTCAAATATCAACAGAGCCCATATGTACTCTCCGCTGGCCCTCCAGCAGCAGCAGCCTACACCAGTTCCCCCGCTGCTGCCAGGCGTTTTCCCACGCATCCCATACATCCAACTGCCGCCGCGAGGAACCTCTCGTCGTGCCCGGAGGAGAAGACATGCAGCTACCCGCCCTCACGCCGGGTTCGACATCCTCCACGCGATCCTCCTAAGCAAGGGAGACGCCGCGCAAGATCTCGCATACAAATTCACGGCGTTTCTCGAAGCCCCCGACCTCGGCCACCTCTGGCAGCTGTCCAAATACTGGAAAATGTTCATCAACAAGCAGCTCCCCAGAATCATCCGCTTCCGCGTCGAAGCCCGCCACGCCAACGCCGCCAAAATCTTCCCCTGGCGCTGCTACTCGAGTCTGTACTTCAGTCGGCTCGCACACCCCACAGACAGCATCCCCGCATCATCACAACTACCACCACCACCGCACCCCGGCCCGACGCCCTTCTTAGTAGCCCACACGGCCTCCTTCCGCTGGATCGCCATGCTCACGCACCGCACCACAATCGTCAACGACATCATGGCCCTCCTCGCCCAAGCCAACTGCCCGCTCCCCCTGGCCTGCAAACCCGCCATCATGAAAGTGTGGTTCCTAATGAACATCCCCGACATGCCGCGGCGCACCTGGACAATCCAGAACCGCAACCTATGGACAGACCTGGACATCCTCCTCGCCATCTACTTCGTGGTCCGCATCGACCAATTCGTCCGCCTCAAACGCGGCAACCAAACCGCCGCCCTCCGCCACCTCATCATGGCCCAGTCCTCGCTCGAATTCCTCTTCAACGTCCTGCGCGGCGACGCCCTGCGCTCGGGCCTCGACACCCTCAGAACCTACCTCCGCTGGCAGTACCCGGCCCACCCGGCGCCCCGCCACCTGCACCCGGACGACGAACTCCTCGGCATCCCGCCGCACGAGGTCGGCGCCCTGCAGTTCGAAGGCTACGGCCGCGGCCCGCCCGGCGGCCCCGGATACAACCCCTACGGCCGATACGGACACCCCCACGAGGGCCGCGCGCCCGCGCGCCTGCGCCGCCCGGACGAGATGCTCCTCCTGGAAGCCAGACGCAGAGAGCTGAACCTGGAACGCATCTACCGCGACGTGTTCCTGTTCGGGAGGACCGACGCCCATACGCGGTGCGACCGACCGGGAGCCCTCTGGGACATTGAAATTGCTCGCACTATCCGCGCCGAGGGACTTCGGCTGGGGCTTCTGGAGGCTTGTAGTGTGGATGATTGATTCGCGTATCTGATCTGATCTGATCTAATCTGGTCCTGTCCTGTCCTGTCCTGTCTAGGACTGGGTCGGTTGGTGATTGGTTGGTCTCTCTGGTTGCATGATTAGGTTTAGTTCGTTCGTTAGTTGGTTGGTTTGTTATCTGCCCGGAGTTGACAACAACCTGTACCTAGTACCTATGTATGTAGGTACAGTGCAGGTATTTAAATGACTTGGGGTGGTAAACAGGAAGAAGGATTCTGCTGCAGTACTCGTTGAAAAGTTCCTGATAGCTCTCCTTTACTACGGTGTGAATCGGTCTATGGCATGGGTTTTTATCACAGGGAACAGTTTCTACTGCGTTCAATGGAATTCACAAGTGCGTTGCTAAGTAGCAATCTATGCAGTAGTAGACCTCTCTCTACTCTAATATGCGAGTCCCACCCAAGTTCAGGCGGGAAAAAAAAAAAAAAAAAACGAGAAAATAACAAATCATACATCAACCTGATACATATAAAACACTAACAACAACAATCCAGTAACTCCCAATGTAAGATGAGTAATTCGACAGCCATGCTCTTATACAAGACTTGGGTGACCGTAAGTGCAAATGCCCAATGCAACGATATCAAGGCCTATCCCAGAGTCGAATGATGCAATGCAATGCAACCATGAGCCAAGGAGAATGCAAATCATGCCGGAAGAAAAAAGAAAGAAACAAGACAACAATCATTAATACAGCAGAGTAGGGCATGGGGGAATCATCCTAGCATAATCAGAAACATTCCCATTCACAAAATACACACCATCGCGCCACACGATCGGCGAGGACCAAGCCTCTCCAGACTCCGCGCTCCCCAATCTTGATCACGGTCTCCCAGACACTGCCGTCGGCGGTACACTCACTCGGGGAGTCCGACAAGTTCGGGGTACTGATCATATGATCGGCTTTGCGCGTGAGGCGCAGAATCTTGCCGGACGGGGACTGGATCGCCAGTTTGGCGGGCTTTTCTCGCCCGGAGGTGGAGCGGGTAGATGAAATCGCCGACGTTGAAGCCGAAAATTCGTTGGAAACGGTCGAGGCGGATGAGGATCCCCCAGCGGAGCTGGAGATCATACTCAGGGCGCTGGCTGGCCGCGAAAAGACGGACGGAGAGATACGGCCACTGCCGAAGCTGGCTTCATTACTAGTCGGGGGAGGAGGAAGTGAAGAGGGATGCTGGCGGACCGTAAAAACAAAGGTGTTGTTGACCGCTAGCTTGGCGCACTGGGGTTGGATGATATACAAATCATGGCGTTGGGCATGGGGAGTCGGATGCCGTAGGACGAACTCGTAGGGCGGATTCTCTCCGGAGTGGAGGATCGGAAGGGCAAATGCGAGAGGATGAGGTATATCGCGGCTGGAATGCATCAGGCCCTTGCGTCCAGCATATACCTTCACCATTCCTTGTCCTTCATCCCCGGGCAAAACGGCTTTGATGGTAATGCGCTTAAGGCCATTGACCCAGTCCGGTTGGACGAGCGCCCGCTTTCGGACGATCTCTCCGCTCTCAAAGAAGTCGCCGTCGGCGTCGCAGGCAAAGGCCGGCGCCTCTACTTCGGCCGCGCATTCTACGTCCGGAGGCACCAAGAGCCGCACCTGGAGAACCTCTAAGCCTTCCAGTCGAATCACACTGGTGTCATAATCGGGGAACCGCATGCCGAGTTTAAAATAGGGGGGGCAGGCCGTGGGAAGCGCCAGGAGCACATCTGGCGATATGGGAGGACAAATGTGCTGGGCCTCGGGGAGCAGGGGCACATGGGTGTAACAGAGCTCCAGGGGCCGGGGAAGGAAATACCAAGGCTCGGCTGTCGCGGTATTCGTCGTCACAAACAGGTTTCGTTGGGGGTTAGTCGGACTGGCCAGCGAGCAATCCAAGAACCGCCATTCGCCGTCGACGAGCACCGCGTTCCACCAGTGATTGGGTCGCGAAAGGCTATCCAACTCGAACATTTCCCCGGGGGGTTTGAGAAACCCTTGAATGGCCTCGGCATGGAGACCCACGGCCATGCACATTTCCCGGACGAGATAGGCCACTTCCTCGGGGCTTCCGCGCTTGGTTTGGAGGACGCGCTTCAGGTCGATTTCCAGGTCTTCTTCGATGGGCTCATCCCAGGCAATCTTCTCGCTCACCCAAGTAAAAATCGCGCGGAGTCTTTGGACGTCGCTCTTGTACGGCCGGCAAACATACCCCTGGGCGAGGCTCATTGGGTTGGTCATCGGCGGCAGACTATTGACGAACCGGGCACTTTTGTCCACGAGGGTGAGATTGGCGCTGCTGAAATCCATCGGTTCGCCGATCGGCAGACCGTCAATGCCTTCCTCTCCTTCGGCGGTCTCGTACAGTTCCTCCACCGCATAAATCACGGGGTGGTCCATCATCTGACATCGCTCTGCTCGTTCCACGCGTTCATTGCGACTGGGAGAGCTGGCGCGGTTGACATCACGCCGCACCTGCACCCAGTCGATAGGACTATTTCCAAATCCCATCTCGCGAGCGTCAATGTCTCGATGCGATTGTGAAGAGCGAATGGGAGACACCACCGCCCGCCCCTTCGTGGGAGAGTATAGCCCTCCGCCACTCTGGCCCACAGCAATGCTGCTGCGGGCATTCGCCGCACCCGTTTTGGCGGACTCGAAAATTTTCTTAAAAAACCCCTGTTTCTTTGCCTTGGGGGTGGCAAGTCCTCCAAACACATTCGTCTGCTCTTCGTGCGGATCCATCGACGACGACGACGACGATGACAACCAGGGGAGTGCGGACGAAGCGCCCTGACGGGAGGTATTATGGCTGGAATGATAGGATATTCCACTGATCGGTGTCTCGGGCCGTGAGGTGCGCGCGAGGTCGCTAAACCCCCTGGAACGAAATGCATCCATGGCAGTGTTCGGCCTCTCCCCGGGACCTCCGCCTCCTCTTCTGGCATAGCTGCCGGCGCTGGTTGCGCTAAATCCGCTCGCGGACGGGCCGCTCATGATGCTCTGGCTGGTTCGATCTGTGCTCGCTGTTTGAAAGGTACTATTACTTTGTACGCCAATGGATGAATTGGTGGTACTTGATTTGTTCGTGGAGCTTCGATTTAATAGGTCATCGCGGAGATCGAGACCGGATCGTTGATTTTTTAAGAGATGGTGATGCGCAGGGGTTGTTGTTGAGGAGTGGTGCCTCCCATCATGATAAGGAACATTCCTTGGCGGCGGTGAAGGCGGCGGAGGATCATCATCATCTTCGGGAAGCTGTATATCTTCGGAGCCTCGGTGATTCTGCTCCTGCATCTGACGGAGTCGGCTTTCCATGCGTTGCACATAGTTGTTCAGCTGGGGCGGACCTTCCACAAACGGATCGTGTGTGTAAACACTGTTTCTATGCACGGCGGGGGGGTTATACTGATAGTCCTTCTCTCCTTCAAACCCTAAAGAGGTCAGGGGGCGGTTTGTCGTCGCTGGCTGAGGCTGGTCATCGCGGAACGAGTCATACGCGTCCGGAGACCAGGGGGAGTGGTGGTTGTACATGGGCTGCGGCGAGGGCGAATGCGATGCGCGGGACATCCCCATATCCTCGAGCGAAGTCATGACATCTTCCATCGCATCTCGAAGGGGGGAGGGTGTCTGTCCATGGGCGTCTGAGTGAGCAGCGGGGGATGGGGTCCTCGACAAGGTAACGTAGCGATCGTTCATATCCAGTTGTGAGGGGATGCCCATACTTGAAGTGGAAGGCTGGCGATGGACTGCGACTCGGTGTGGGGGTGGGGGTGGAGGCGGAGGGGATTCTTCGCGCTCGGTGAGGAGCAGCGGGGAGACTTCGCGCGACGATGGTTGCGAAACCTGGATATGATGATGATGATGATGATGATGATGATGATGCCTCATGGGAGCCGGCGCCGGCGAGGGTTGGAAATCGGCGAGGTCGTGAGTAGGGGGAGGTCTCGGTGACACTGCCCGAGATGGGGGTCGAGAGCGCGAGCGGATGGATAACGCATGCTGTTGCGGTGGGGGAGGGTTCAGCTCTTGCGGGCCATTAGTAGGTGAGACGTCGCCCCGGGATGGCGGCCGGTAGGCAGAACGGTTGGAGGTCGGATGTTGGAGGGGACTCGGGTCGTCTTGGGGAGGACGCGGTGAGATGGCGCGGGGTGGCGGCTTGGAGATGGCCACCAAGGGTCGAGAAAGGGAGCTTTGTTGTCTAGTGGCAGTGGTGGGCGTGCGGCCCGGTTTGACTTTACGCGAAAGACTGCCATCCCGTGGGGGGGTTTGTGGAATGGTACTGGTGACGGGCGACGTGGAAGAGGAGCTACTTCCGGATGGTGCCAGAGCTTCCCGATGGGCTTGGAATGGCTTTCTGAACACGGTCTTCTGCTTCTTGGGGGCTGAAGTCGGATTGGAGATGGGAGATGCGGCGGCCTGGATCATGGGACTGGTTGATCGGGTAACTGGGACGAAATCGTCCTGGAGCACCTGCACAAAGTTGGAGGGGAACAGGCCAACCATGCGCCGGTCTCGTCGCAGTCGTCCCATCCACCACTGTCCGTCGCCAGCGTTCAAGCATTCAATCAAGTCGCCTTCAACGAAGCCCAGATCGCGTTTTGTTTCGCCACCCCATGAGTAGACGGCGCGACACCAACAGGGAAAGCGCGTGGGCAGCTGCGGCGCGGCGGGAGCCATGATATGATGGCAGAGGAATAATCAGCAGCACACACACGCCTACCTAGGGACTCGCAATCGGAAGGGGATCAAGGAGCGAGGAAGGGAGGCAGGAAGATAACCATATTAGGAAAGCCGCGAGGAGAACGGGGAATCAATCTTCTTGAAAGAAGGGAGGAAGAGAGAAAGAAGTCAATGAGGTGGAGGAGGAAGGAGGAGGGAGTTGTTGTGGTGATTTCACGTGTTTACATTGGGCCGGGTTGGGGTTAGCGGGGTTGTTATCGATAAGCTGATATCGGGGGCACGATGTTCCGCTTAGTAATTAGGCTAGGGTTTTATTTAGGGTTATGTTAGTTGGGGTTGGGGTTAATTATCTGTTGGGGTTAGTTAGGGTCAGGGTTTCTTATCAGGGTTGGTTAGGGTTGATTAGGGTTTCAGTTGTCAGGGTTGGGTTACCCTTAGGGTTCGGCTCTCATCATTCTCTCGTACAATTACCACATTATACAGACTGATCAGACTGATCAGACTCATCAGACTCATCAGATTCCCTAGACTCTAACTAATCCTCAATTCTCCTCATGATCCCTCTCCCGGCTACCCATTAGAAGAAACATTCCACCCATCCCCCCGGTTACGTCTCAGACCCTCCTCCCAGGACTCGAATTCCTCCTCCTTGTCTCCCTGGTTTATCCCCTGCTGGATTCAGCTTTCATTCAACATGCTTTCTTCTACCTTCCAAGCTCCTGATGTTTCGTTGTAAACCGCTCAACTCCAAATGAAGTCTCTACCGTACCTCGTCTGCCTGGCGCCTGCAGCTCTAGCCGCCGTGGTCCGTTACAATGTCGATCTCACATGGGAACAGGGCGCGCCCAATGGCCAGTCGCGACAAATGGTTTACATGAATGGCCAGTTCCCGGGTCCGACTATCAGAGCCCAGCAATACGATCAGATTGAGGTGTGTGCATGAGACGATGACTGGGCTCGAGATCCGAGATTCAACATCGGCTAACCCTATAAAACCGCAGTTCACCATCCAGAACCACCTGCCCTATAATGCCACCGTTCACTTCCACGGCATTGAGTCCGTCCCCAGCCCATTCGCAGGAAAACAACTATTGGACCATGTCTGATGAATCTTAGGATGTCTGGTACTCCCTGGTCGGATGGAGTCCCGGGGCTCACGCAAAGACCCGTCCAGCCCGGCCAATCCTTTACCTACCGCTGGACGGCGACGCAGTATGGAACGTACTGGTATCATGCCCACGCGCGTGGATTAATGGCGGATGGGCTCTACGGACCCATCTGGATCGAGTAAGTCCTGAATTGTGATATCCGTGTGCTGGGACATCGGCTAACTCTGTGATTGCTGATCAGTCCTGCTCCCGGCGTCGCCCAACCGTTTGCTTTCATTTCCGACGATCCAGACGATATCGAGGCTATGCGCAACGCCGAGAGGGACCCCCATTTGATTTTAATCTCGGACTGGACCAAATTCACCTCGGAGGAATATCAGAGCGCCATGGAGGTGAGCGGGGTGAATGTATTGTGCGTAGTAGATCTCTCGCGCGAATGGTCGAATGCTTCCCGTTAACACGGTTTCCCCTTATGTAGCTGCTCCGATAGCATCTTGATCAACGGCCGAGGCTCGCTCTACTGCCCCGGGCTTGATGCCATCAACGCGTACCTAACGCCCGAGCTCCGAAAGGCGATCGATAACAGGACATTCACAGACAAAGGGTAGGCCGCCCCTCGCTTCCATCCCAGCCAGGGCCCGTGGAAAGAGATGATTAACGGATGCGCTGTACATGTGGCTAGATGCTATCCCAACTTTTACAACACCCAGGGGAATTTTACGTATGATGAGTCCAAGCTTCCCGACGGACTGAATTCCGGTTGCTACGCGTCCGCGGGAAGCCGGGAAGTCATCGAAGTCGATCCCAGTCGCCAATGGGCCAGTATGAAGTTTATCGGGGGGACCGCCATGAAGAGCGTGATCGCCTCCATTGACGAGCACCCCATGTGGATCTATGAAGTGGATGGGAACTACGTGGAGCCTCAACTAGTCCACACGGTGACGATTTTCAATGGCCAGCGCTATTCGGCGATGATCAAGCTCGACAAGCCGGCCAAGGACTATACCATCACCATTCCCGACACCAGCCAGGATCAAATCATCGCCGGGTATGCCACGATGCGATACACCGGCGGCAGCGATGGCGACAACTCGGGAGCAGACTCCGTCCCATACCTGAATTATGGCGGTCTGAACACCACGGCGGATGTCATCACGCTGAATGACAGCACGCTCGTGCCGTACCCGATCCTCCCAATCCCCAGGGCCGCGGACCAACTGGTCAACCTCACCATGGGACGCCTGGGGGCCGCGTATCGATGGACTCTCGAGGGGTATGCACTATACGATATCATGGCCAACTACGACAGCCCTATCCTGCTGGACCTCAACGCGCAGCACCACCTGGCCGACAAAGTGGTCGTCCAGTTCCGCAACGGCACCTGGGTCGACATTGTCTTCCAAATCGGACACTTGCCCAACAACACTCCAATTTCCGCCGCCCACATCATCCACAAACACTCCAACAAGTTTTTCGTTCTCGGACAAGGCACGGGCATCTTCAGCTGGCAGAGTGTGGCCGAAGCCGCCACGGAACAACCGCACCTGTTCGAGCTGGAGAAACCTCTGTATCGCGACTCCATTGTCGTTCTGAACCTGTCCGGACCCAATTGGGCCGTCATCCGGTATCAAGTCGTCAATCCGGGGCCCTTTCTCATCCATTGCCACATTGAGTCCCACCTGTTCAACGGGATGGCGGTTGCGCTCCTGGACGGGGTGGACCAATGGCCCGAAGTGCCTCCAGAATACAGGCGCTGATGACCGGGACGGTGATCATTAGCTAACATTGACACACTCCTAATGCATTCATTGCTCCGCTCCAGCCTTACCGTATTCCGAGAAGAGATTTTCCCTGCCCTGTTTCCTGTAGTTCGTTCTCCCTCTCTCCCTTTCCTCCCTTTCGGTATCCCTCGGGGTTTCCCAGCCAGTAGAAAAAAAAAAACAACAAAAAAAGAAAAGAAAAACAAAGTTAAGACGACCTGCTCCCTGCTGATGGAACAAGAATACCCCTATAGTGACACGTAATAATGCAGAAGACAAGTAAGTCTAGACTGGTCATGACGTTTAGTCTCATCCTACTCTTCATCATCATCATCATCTCTCTCTCTCTCTCTCTCTCGTGAAAATGTAACATCAGCAAGCCCAGACCAGTTCCAAGGATCACAGCCGCTCCTGCAGAAACCCTAAGCGCCGCAAACTATTTCGTTGGTTACGCAGCGATCGATCTCCAAGGGCCCCCAGATCGTACTTCCCGCACAGGCTGGGAGCATTTTCTCTCTCCCTTCTCTTGCCCCTTCTCTCCCCCTTCTCTCCCGCGGGCTCCGGAGAAAGAGAGGAATTCAAGGGTTCATCCGGAATGAAGTCGACCAAGTCGCGAGAATACCACCACGCCCGCACGTGACGGCTGGGCCCTGGACGGATGCGGTGATTCTTGAGGCTTTCGGAAATTTCCTGGCGTCTATCTAGGGTAAAAGTTAAGTAGTTTATCGCCAGGTCTTGGTCCTCTTCGTTGAGTCTTCGTCGAGTCACGATGTCATGACTTTCATTCTCTGGCCATACATCATTTATCCATAGTAGAGTCAATCAGATATTGTAGTCAAGGGTCCGGAAACAGACGGCGATGGCCTCACTATGACAAGCTCTTCAAAGGTCATAGATCTCCTTTAGTCAAGGCCAACGCTTGAAAGGGAGGGACAGGGTCGGTCGTCTGGACCCTTGGAAACATCCCCAGGTTCGAATTTTATGCTCATGGCCCACAGCGAGCGTTGTATTTGGGGGACTCGATCAGGAGGATACTTTCGGTTTAATGTTACCTTGCTTGATAGACTGCACAGAGAGCGTCTACACTACCGGAGCTCAATGAGCATACTCGGACTCCGACCCAGGTTGGCATGCATGCTTTGCAACTGAGACAGCCCGGCCCACCTGGTGACCCTGTGAAAAGGAAAAAGAAAGCCAGGGCCGGCCGGCCTGCCTGCCTGCATCGGTATATAATGTGCCCTGCATTAACCACCGCGTGTGGCCCCGGTAGTTTTGTGTGTTGCAAATTGCTGTCCCTTGTCTGTCTGCCCTCCCAGATCCCGTTCGTTCTTCCCCCCCCCAGGCATGGAGGGCAAATCTCACCACATCTATCTCTTCGGAGACCAGACGGGTGATTTTGAGAACGGTCTCCGTGGTCTGCTGCAGGCGAAGAACCATCCGGTTGTCTCGTCGTTTTTCCAGAGATGCTATCACGCCGTGCGCCAGGAGATTGCCGCCCTGCCTCCGTCGGAACGGAGCAGATTCCCTCGGTTCACCAGCATCGTGGACCTGCTCGCCAGACACTGCGAGTCGAGAGGCAACCCGGCCATAGAAAGCGCATTGACGTGTATCTACCAGTTAGGGTGTTTTATCAAGTAAGCGCGCGCGTCAGTAGACCTTTTCTTTTTTTTTATTCTAACGGCTATAGTTATCATGGAGACCTGGGCCATGCCTATCCGTCGAGCTCCAAAAGTCACATTATCGGCCTCTGCACTGGCCTCCTCAGCTGTGCGGCCGTCAGTTCTGCCAGGAACATAGGCGAACTGCTGCAACCGGCCGTTGCAGTTGTCGTCGTGGCGCTGCGGCTGGGACTGTGTGTCCTGCGAGTCCGTGGCCTGGTCGACCAAGACCCATCAGCGTCTGGCAGCTGGGCCGCTTTAGTATCCGGGATTAACGAACAAGAAGGCCGAGAGCTGATCACGAAATTCTGCCAGCAAAGAGTATCCGCCCCTCCTTGAGATCGAACTGCTTGCGTGGGGATCAATGTGACTAACATTTGTACAGGTCACTCCTCCTTCATCTCAACCATATATTAGTGCCGTGTGCTCAAACACATTAACTATCAGCGGCCCGCCCAAGGTCCTGGACGAGCTGGTCCAAACGACTCTGGCGAAAGAGTCCCGGGTCACTCGGGCTTCGATCCATGGCCCCTACCATGCGGCTCATCTGTATGATGAGCGTGATGTCGAGAGAATTCTGGAAACCTGCGACAACGACGCGGTGCTTTCTCTCAAGCCGCACATTCCGGTGCTGTCCAGCAACACCGGAGAGCCGATTGTCGCCCACAGCATGAACGACTTCCTCAAGGCGGCGCTGGAAGAGATTCTAGTGCGCCAACTTTGCTGGGACCGCGTGACGGACGCCTGTGCAGCCGTCGTCTTGAAATCCGCCAATAATCGCACCACGACCAAGATATTCCCGGTTGCCACCACGGCCACGCAGAGTCTGTTCACGGCCCTCAGGAAATCCGGCTTGTCGAATGTCCAGGCGGACGGAGGCATGGGGGGGGAGCCGGCTCCAGCGTCGTCTCAGGGCCGTAATAATAATAATAATGACACCGGCCGAGCCGAGCTTTCCAAGATCGCCATCATCGGAATGTCAGGGCGATTCCCAGAGGCCGACAGCCCCCAGGACTTCTGGAACCTGTTGTACAAGGGTCTCGACGTGCACCGCAAAGTGCCAGCCGAGCGCTGGGACGCCGACGCCCATGTGGACCCCACGGGCACGCAAAGGAACACCAGCAGAGTGCCCTATGGGTGTTGGATCCGCGAGCCGGGCCTGTTCGATCCGCGGTTCTTCAACATGTCGCCGCGGGAGGCGCTGCAGGCGGACCCTGCCCAGCGGCTTGCGCTTCTGACAGCGTACGAGGCCTTGGAAATGGCCGGGTTCATCCCGGACAGCACGCCGTCGACCCAGCGGGACCGCGTGGGCATCTTCTACGGCATGACGAGCGACGACTACCGCGAGACCAATAGTGGGCAAGACATCGACACATACTTCATCCCCGGCGGGAACCGGGCCTTCACGCCCGGCCGAATCAATTTCTACTTCAAGTTCAGCGGGCCCAGTGTCAGCGTGGACACGGCTTGCTCGTCCAGTCTGGCGGCTATTCACTTGGCCTGTAATTCCATCTGGCGCAATGACTGCGACGCCGCCATCACCGGCGGCGTCAACATCCTGACCAACCCAGACAACCACGCGGGTCTGGACCGCGGCCATTTCCTGTCCAGAACCGGCAATTGCAACACCTTCGACGACGCCGCCGATGGATACTGCCGAGCCGACGGCGTGGGCACCGTGATTCTCAAACGCCTCGAAGATGCCCAGGCAGACAACGACCCGATTCTGGGGATCATCAATGGCGCCTATACCAATCATTCGGCCGAGGCTGTCTCGATCACCCGGCCCCATGTCGGGGCCCAGGCCTTTATCTTCAAGAAGCTGCTCAACGAGGCCAACGTCGACCCCAAGAGCATCAGCTATGTGGAGATGCACGGCACTGGAACGCAGGCCGGCGATGCCGTCGAGATGCAATCCGTGCTGGACGTCTTTGCCCCAGACCACAGCCGTGGGCCGGCCCAGTCCCTGCACCTGGGCTCTGCGAAGTCCAATATCGGGCACGGCGAGTCCGCCTCGGGCGTGACCTCTCTGGTCAAGGTGCTCATGATGATGAAGGAAAATATGATCCCGCCGCATTGCGGCATCAAGACCAAGATCAACCACAACTTCCCCACGGATTTGCCGCAACGCAACGTCCACATCGCCTTGCAGCCGACTCCGTGGAACCGGCCGGCGTCCGGGAAACGCAGTGTCTTCCTGAACAACTTCTCTGCCGCCGGAGGCAACACCGCGCTGTTGCTCGAGGACGCCGCTCCGCTGCCGACCTCGGCAGGGCTGGACGATGCGGCGGCGGATCCTCGACGGGTCCATGTGGTGACTGTCTCGGCGAGGTCCCAGACAGCCCTCCGGAATAACGTCAGCGCTCTGGTGAAATACATCGACGACCAGGCCAAGTCGTTCGGCGTCAGGGAGGCGCACTTTGTCCCCAGTTTATCCTACACCACGACTGCGCGCCGCATCCACCACCCCTTCCGGGTCACGGCCGTGGGTTCCAGCCTGCATGAGATCCGGGACGCCCTGAGCACGAGCTCGCAGCGCGAGGTCGCCGCGGTGGTGCCGACCAAGACGCCCGGGATCGGGTTTATTTTCACGGGCCAGGGCGCCCAGTATGCGGGAATGGGCAAGCAGCTCTACGAGACCTGCGCGACCTTCCGCGCGACCATCCAGCACTTCGACTGCATCGGCCGGCGCCAGGGGTTCCCTTCCATCCTGCCTCTCGTCGATGGCAGCGTCGCCGTTTCCGACCTCAGTCCCGTGGTCGTCCAGCTCGGGACGACCTGCGTGCAGATGGCCTTGACCAGTTTCTGGTCCTCCTTGGGGGTCGTTCCTGGCTTCGTCATGGGCCACAGCCTGGGCGATTTTGCGGCGTTGAATGCCGCCGGGGTGCTTTCCACGAGCGATACCATCTACGTGTGTGGTCGTCGCGCTCAGCTCCTCACAGAGCAATGCGAGGTCGGAACCCACGCCATGCTCGCCGTGAAGGCGTCCCTGGTGGAGATCAACCCGCTCCTCACGGACGGCGTCCACGATGTCGCGTGCATCAACTCGCCCTCTGAGACCGTCATCAGCGGCCCGCGAGCCGCCATCGAGGCGCTGAGCGAAGCCTGCTCCTCCGCAAAGACGTTGCGGTCCACCAAACTGACTGTGCCTTACGCGTTCCATTCGGCCCAGGTGAGCCCGATCCTGGACGGTCTCGAAAAGGCCCTGCAAGGCGTGACGTTCAACAAGCCCAGGATCCCGTTCGTTTCAGCCCTCCTCGGGGAAGTCATCAGCGAAGCGAACGCGCGGAGTGTGCTTGCGGCCAACTACCTGGTGCGGCACTGCCGCGAACCAGTCAACTTCCTGAGCGCCGTCGAAGCAACGAGAAACGCGAAACTCAGCGTCGACCAGACCCTTTGGCTCGAGGTGGGACCGCACCCGATCTGCTCGGGCATGGTCAAGGCCACCCTGGGTCCGCAGACAACAACGCTGGCGTCCCTTCGCCGCGACGAAGATACCTGGGCGGTCCTCTCCGCAAGTCTGTCGACTCTCCACTTGGCCGGAATCGACATCAACTGGAAGCAATACCACCAGGACTTCAGCGCCAGCCATCGAGTGCTGTCCCTCCCGGCTTACAAGTGGGATCTCAAGAACTACTGGATCCCCTACGCCAACAACTTCTGTCTCACCAAGGGCGCTGCTCCGTTGGCTGCTGCTGCTGCTGCGCCCGCCGCGAATACGGTGGTGTCGATCTCGGCGCAGAAAGTCATCGAGAGCCGGGATGACGGGACGTCAGCCACGGTGGTGGTGGAGAATGATATTTCGGACCCAGAGCTCAATCGAGTCATCCAGGGGCACAAGGTTAACGGAGCTGCTCTGTGTCCATCGGTAAGTAAATCACATATCTATCTTTCTCTCTATTTCCGCGGTCCGTGGGATTTTTCTAACGTGCTGCGATTGTGTGTGTGTGTGTGTATGTGCCATAGTCTCTGTATGCCGATATTGCCCAAACCCTAGCAGACTACCTCATCGAACAATACAAACCCGAGTTCAAGACGGCAGGGCTCGACGTGTGCAACATGACGGTGCCCAAACCGCTGATTGCAAAAACCGGCAAGGAGCGCTTCCGGGTCTCTGCGACGGCCAGCTGGGCCGAGAAGCGCGCAACCGTCCAGGTCTGGTCCGTCACAGCGGCAGGCAAGAAGATCCTCGACCACGCCAGCTGCGAGGTGCGGTTCTTCGATTGCGCTGCGTCCGAGCTCGAGTGGAAGCGCAGCTCGTATCTCATCCAGAGAAGCATCGAGCGTCTGGAAGAGCATGCGGTGAGCGGAGAGGCTCATCGCCTGCGCCGCGGCATGGTGTATAAGCTCTTTGCGGCGCTCGTGGACTACGACGAGAACTACCGGTCCATCCGCGAGGTGATTCTCGACAGCGAGCAGCACGAAGCCACGGCGTGGGTCAAGTTCCAGGCACCGCCGGCCAACTTCCATCGCAACCCGTTCTGGATCGACTGCTTTGGACATCTCTCCGGGTTTATTATGAATGCCAGCGACGCCACGGACTCGAAGAACCAGGTGTTTGTGAACCATGGCTGGGACTCGATGCGCTGCTTGAAGAAGTTCTCGCCGGATATCACCTACCGCACCTATGTGAGAATGCAGCCGTGGAAGGATTCCATCTGGGCCGGCGACGTGTACATCTTTGATGGAGATGATGTGGTTGCGGTGTTTGGGGGGGTTAGGGTCAGTTTCTCTTTCTTCTATATAGTCTTTCCGGATCAAAACTAATACATTCTCCACAGTTCCAAGCCCTCGCTCGAAAGATCCTAGACACTGTGCTCCCTCCACCGGGGGCTTCCAAGACCGCTGCACCAAGACAAGCGGCAACGTCTCACAAGCCGACGCCCAGTTCCGGCGGCATGGCTCGACCGAACGCCCCGGTCCCCTCCAAGTCGTTTATCAAATCCAGCGGTCCCAGCGTTGTCGTGCGCGCCTTGAAGATCCTGGCGTCCGAGGTGGGCTTGTCCGAGTCCGATCTCACCGACGACCTCACCTTTGCAGACTACGGCGTCGACTCGCTGCTGTCTCTGACCATCACGGGCCGATACCGTGAAGAGCTGGGCCTGGATCTGGAGTCCTCCGTGTTCATGGACCAGCCCACCGTGCGGGACTTCAAGCACTTTGTGGCCCAAGTGAGCCCCTCAGAGAGCAGCGACGGATCATCCTCGTCCACCGAGCCCGAATCCGACTACTCCTTCCGCGAGGGCTCATCGTTGTCGAGTACCACCAGCGCCGGGTCTTCTGGCACGTTGTCCCCGCCAAACGAGAAGATCGCGCCGGTAGCCGTCAAGGAAAGCAGCAGCAGCAGCAGCAGCAGCAGCAGCAGCACCCTCAAGGAAATCCGGACCATTCTCGCGGACGAAATCGGCATCCCGGAGACAGACCTCCAGGGAACCGAGAACCTGGCCGAGATGGGCATGGACTCGCTTCTGTCCCTTACGGTTCTCGGCAGAATCCGAGAAACGCTGGGGATCGACCTGCCGGGGGAATTCTTCATCGAGAACCAGACACTCAGCGATATCGAAGAAACCCTAGGTCTGAAGCCCAAGGCGGCGGCGGCGGCGGCGGCGGCGGCGGCCATGCCAGGCCTTCCCATGCCAGAAGCCATCCCACTGCTCCAGGAAGAAGACGAAGAGGTGTCTCCAATGACAACGCCAAAAGTCCAACCCAGCGATATCAGCAACAACCAGCACAACCACCCCCCCGCCACCTCCATCCTCCTCCAAGGCAACCCGCAAACCGCCACCACAACGCTCTTCCTCTTCCCCGACGGCTCCGGGTCCGCCACATCCTACGCCGCAATCCCGCGGGTGTCGCGCGACATCTGCATCTACGGCCTCAACTGCCCCTACATGAAAACCCCCGAGCAGCTCACCTGCAGCCTGGACGACCTGACAACCCCCTACCTCGCCGAGATCCGCCGGCGCCAACCCAGGGGCCCCTACAACCTGGGCGGCTGGTCCGCGGGCGGGATCTGCGCGTACGACGCGGCCAAAACCCTCATCCTCCAGCACGGCGAGCAAGTCACGCACCTGCTCCTGCTGGACTCGCCGTTCCCGATCGGACTGGAGAAGCTGCCGCCGCGCCTGTACGCGTTCTTCGACTCCGTGGGCCTCTTCGGCCGCCAGGGCCAGGGGGAAAACGCGGCCCCGCCGCCTGCCTGGCTGCTCCCGCATTTCCTCGCCTTCATCGACGCCCTCGACAGCTACGCGGCCAAGACCACCCCGCTGCCCTTCACCGACGCCCGATGGGCCCGCAAGATGCCGCGCACGCATCTGATCTGGGCCAAGGACGGCGTGTGTGCGAACCCGGGCGATCCGTGGCCGCAGCCCGCGGCCGATGGCAGCAAGGACCCCAAGGAGATGGTCTGGTTGCTTCGCAATCGCACCGATCTTGGTCCGAACCGGTGGGATACGCTCGTGGGACCGCAGAATATCGGGCAGATCGCGGTGATGGAGGGCGCGAATCATTTCAGCATGACGCGGGGGGAGAAGGCGAAGGAGTTGGCCTTGTTTATGGAAAGGGCGTTGTCATGACATTTCGGCATAACTTGGGTCTAAAAAATTTGGTTTTAATGATTTTCTTTACTTGTGATCGGTTCAAAATGTATCTAATGTAATGTAATTGATGATCTCTTTTATCTGGAATTGTAGTTAGGGTTGTGCATCAACTTTGTATACTAGAGACACTCATACCTCAAAAGTAACTGCCAGGATTCACTAGTTGTATAGAATAGAGTATTTTACTGGATTGGAATATATCTCAATCCTTTAACTTGGAACCCTTTCTGGTAAATATAGCGCATGAACATGGCACAAAATTATATAGAATGGATATAAACCAGAGCCACGAAGGTTGAACCCAGAACACAGCTCTTGGAAATGATTATTCTGTACGTGAATAACCTCGAGATGAAGGTTGTTCAGAGTGACATTTCCGAGCTGAACCGCAGTGCACTACCCCGACCTGCGAACCCGGTCCCGTTGCTGTTGTGGTTATTATTGAAGCCAGGACTTGTCGGCCGGCTGCTAGCCGTCCACTTGGGACTTCGAGGTTGGCTGCTGGTCGAGCGGGTAGACGGGCGGTTTTTGCGAATTTCACGCAGCTCTTCCTCCTTTCTCCGCAGCACGTCCTCGCGTGATACCAGAAGCGCTTCCAATTCAATCGCACGAGCTAGGTGCTGTGTCTCATCGTTCTTCATGTTCAGCTCCCGTAAGCGGACAGCCTCGCTATCCGCTTTCCGTTTCAGGCGCTCGTTTTCTTCTCGGAGCACGCGGTTTTCGTTCCCAGACTGAGCGGCAACGTTGGACGCCGTCTGGTACTGCTCCCGCGTGTATTCGGCCTGCTTGCGTTCGTATTCAGCTTTCCGCTCCAAGCCTGCGTTCTCTTTCGTAAGACGCCGGACCTCCTCCCGGACCCTTTCCAATTCTGCCGCGTCCCCTCCTCCATTCTTGAGGGCTTCCCGTGCTTGTTCCAGGTCATGTCGCAGCTGCGTACGCTCATCTTTAATCTTGGCAATGTCTTCTCTCTGCTTGTCCAGCTTCTGATCAGACGCGGCCTTGGATTCCAGCAGGCCGTCACGCTCCCGTCGAATTCTGTGGAATTCTTTAGTTTGACTTTCATACCGATGTTGTAGTGACTCTAGTATCTTTTCCCCTTCCTGCAGACGAGATTGCGTCGTAATCAATGCTTTCTGTAACTTGTCAAGGGCTGCTGCATGCGTATTTCTCATATGCACAAGATTCTTTTCCAGCGCATGCAAATCGTTATCGAGAGTCTGCGTTGCAGCCTTCGAAATATCTGTAAATTGGCTAGTCTCTTGCGACACATCTATCCTGGGCCGTTTAGTGACAGACTCCGCAGGATCTTCTACCTGTTTGACGGTCAATCAATCCATAATAGCTACTAATTTTTCTTTTGGGGGGGGGGGGGGGGGGAACACTCACGAATAGACGTTTTTGGGAGGCATGATTCGCAGGCTGTGAATTTCCACCACTGGAATCACTCTGACCATCTCGTGTCAGCTCCGTCGAACTCACATCGTGCAAAGGCTCAACTCGCGGCAATGTCCAATAGGCGTTGAAGTTGTCTGAAAGAAGAGCAGACATAATTTCAACTGCATCTTCGTGAACCCCAAGAGCATCATCCTGGAGATCACCAACCATATTACGAAGACGCATCGAATGTTTAAGAACTGTCACGAGATGCGGGAATGTCGAAGGTCCTGGGGGACAGAGTTCAATATGCTCGCTGGAATTAGCAACCATAAGCCAAATCACAGGCAGTAGATTCCCGTTGCGCGCATATGTGGTTCGCATATGCTCCACGGATGGGCTCTTCGTGTTCAAAGATGAATCAAGTGCAATAATTGCTGCAGGAGGCTTGTAGGTTTCGATCACGCCATCATTATGTGTACTGAGTTGTATTCCAAAACTCAAAGACCCTTTCGCCATAGAAACTTCCATGTTGGTTCCAGAGCCCATTTCATGCCTCGGCCGCGTATATGCAAGGCCTTTGCCTTGCAGGTAACGCTCAACGACCTTCTGAGTCTTCTCTCCACCAACTGTAATGACCAGGTGTAAATCATGATCTGTTGCAGCCTCCACCAGGTACTTCACGAGAAGAAATTTGGCACTTGAATACTCAGCCCAAGCAGCTTCCTTTGCCGGATCAGGTGCTGTATCCGTTATATGTTGGGCAATATTCAAGTCAGGGTGGGTTGCCACGTTGCTAAGATGTTGCAGAACCTCCTGCATCTTGGATAGAAGGCGCCCTTGCTGATTTGAACGTTAGAGAAACGACAGCCAAGGGCCGATATTTCATGGTCTCACCTCATGTTCCGGTACTTCTTGTAAATCAGTGTTTTTGATATATTCCCAAAAGCTTTCGGTTTCGTTTAGCAAGACTCGCTCATAATCATCTTTAACTCTCGAGTCCATCGGAAGCGGCACGGCAAACTCGGACGGTCCAAGGTGAACAGAACCTGGGGAAACTAGCTCAGCATGGCTTACCGTCAATGCGCTGGGCTGGATAGTCTGAACATCATTTTGCGGGGGTTCCGCCGATTCTAAGGGATCCTCTGGCGCCGATGCTGGCTCTGGTTGCGCATGATGACGGGGTTCTTTGTCAACTCTAACGCTGAGAGGCGCCACGGTCTCTGGGATCGCTACTGGCACCGAAGGCTCGATATCTCCTACTGAGGAAGGTGTTGCGCTGGGGTCATTTTGCAAAATCTCGGCGGTGTTTTTCTCACGCAGTTTGGCATATGCATTTCTGATCTTTTCGCGCGGCGTACAACCCTCAATGTGGCTGTACTTCTCCATTGCGTCAGCCAAAGAGACTTCCTCTTTTTGTGAATCATCCATTCTGGCTCGTCTAGTTGAAAGTTGACTTTCTATGTACGGTGAGTGTGCTACTTCAGATTCTGACGCCAATCCGGACGCAACTGTTCTACAAACAAGTCAGCACCATGACTTCAGAAAGACGAATAGCAGGTTACCTGCGAAAAAGGGGGCCCGCCAAGGCAGCGGTTCGCGAAGCGTGGGTACTGGAGAGGAGACTAATAGAGTCAAAGAACACGCTGAGCCAAAGGAGATACACAATAGTTGATTCCCCGACAAACTCAAGGATACAGGAGGGTTTCTGGAATTTCTGTTGGAGTATCGAATTGAATATTCGAGATCACGTTTGACTGTCGAGATGCCTTACTCTCAACCGTTACTCCGTCCAAGCTCGGATCCCTCGCGTCCGAAACAGAAGGAGCTTTGTGGCAAGCCTGATGCCGTGGGCGCCGGGGTTATAGTCTCTCTAACTCGTCAGAAAGTCAATATTCAGGTGGTATCAGTGTTATCCAGTAATATTCAAACACACAGGCACCAGGATGTGTTCTTTTGTCTGGTTAAAACTGCACTGTTCTCCTGTTGTTGTGCCGAGTCCGATGCGATGCTCAGAGGAACAAACGACTGTTCTAGGTCTTCTTATGTGTGTGCCACTGTGTCAGTGAGACGTCAATCGAGTCGCTATTCGTTTGGGATTCACGTCTCTTCTTCCCTTCCCAGACTTGTTTTGGAGCGTCGTCGGCGTGTTCCTTGGGTTCCTAGGTAAACCCCCGAGAAGTTAGATAACTTGCCGCTATCATACCCTTCCTCCAACCTAACTTCGAGAGAGATACACGTCGATTTAGAGCCAAACTCACTCAAGTTGGTGTCCAAGGTCCCTCCCAATCTATTAAAGACCGAGCTCCCGTCTCGTCGAGAATATAGTTGATACAATATTCGTCTTCACCAAGCACGTCACTCGTATTCGTAGTTCCTTCTTCGTGACTGGAAAGACAGATGAGTTGCCTTTGCGCCGTTTTCTTCGTAAGTCGCCTGCGGATGTGTAGATACCGGAGGAGAAGCTATCCGCTTGCTGCGCATTATGCGTGCGGGTACACGATGGCGGAGGTTTGCTGGAACATGATAGAGACCAAGAAATGTAGTAGAGAAGAGATACAGTAGGTAAATATATGAAAGGCTAATTCTCGCCTCCGAAATGCGAACAGAGAGGCTGAATCCAAGCCACCGGGTGAAGGGAAAGTGGATGAATGGGAAGAGAGTATGAACCGGCAACTTTGGCTTGACGGAAAGCTGCACGGGTGATCGCCACACGTGATGTGACGTGTTGTCGGCACCCAATTCCAGTCAGTATACTACTGGAATGCAGTTGTCGGTTCTCTGGAAGAAGAATTAAGGATTTGATGTGGAATAGCGATGGATTAGACTTGGCTGGGTTACCGGAGCTGAAAATTAAAATCGAGGATGGGTTCTTGTTGGTCTATAGAATCATGTCCGCACTGCGTATCCCAAGATATATATTTACTTCCCCCAAATATGCCCGGAAAAAAACAACCTCTAGACATCTGCTCTTTTGATATCGCTAACAGGATTTCTATCTTATGGACCATGTTGTTGCTCATTTCTTCCCTTCCTCAAACCTGTACCCAAGCTGTTCAAGGCTTTTGATAGAGCGACGCTCTTCACCTCTCATCGTAAAGTCCTTTCTGATCTCTGGGCACAATTGTCGGATCCACCTTTCCTTCTCCCCCCAGAAATTGCATTGCTTGCCGTTGCCGTTATTTTCGAGATGAGAACGTGGGTTCGCAGAAGATGCCCAGTCATGAAACATATTCATATATTCCGCGTCCAGGGGAAAGGGCATGAGGTGAAAGCCATTGTCGTCCCCCTTTTGTGCTACCGTTGAAGCTTCCCAGGTTTCCATTTCAGCTGTAGATGGAAGACTGAGACGACCAGACCAAACACGCGAGAATACCGCCGCTTGGTTTTCAGAGAGTGGAAATGGGATAATCCGCTGTGGTAGAACAGGCAACACCAGTGTGGGGTTGTAGAGGTAGAAAAGATGCTGGTAGGTGTTTCTCACCCTGCGGCCGTTGGTAATGACAGGTGGATCGAGCGATGATAGAAAAGGAAACGAGTAAAAGAAACCCGTGCAGAAGACGATTGCGTCAATGTCCTTTTCAACCCTACCATCTGCGAACCGGACAGCTCTTTCATGACTCGCGGGAGGGAGGAATTCGACGATTTCGGGAAAATAAGCCTTGTCTGTGGCAGTAGGCGACAAATAAAGGTCTGTTCGTTGCGATGCCAACACTTTCCCTTTGCTTAGCTCATTGATCTGGTTGCCAATATCCAGACCTGATGCGGAGCTACCGACGACTATAACCTTCTTATTACGGAAGGGTCTTGGAGAATCGAAAAACTTGGAGTGCGAGATTACGCCGGGGTAGGCGTCATTCCAATCATGTAGACCTGGTATATCAGGTAGATAGGGGACGTCGAAGTGCCCACTTGCGACCACCACCGCATCGTACGAGTCGACTGTCTTCGTCCCTGTCCGCAAGTTTTCTGCTGTTACTGACCACTCATCCGCCTCTGTGCTACTCATTCGGACATCCACGACCCGAGTCTCAAACCGAATCAATTTCTTGACATCCTCAGCATATTCGTCGAGATATTTCTTCACCGTGAAATGTCTGGGAAGATCCTGCACATCGGGTGGAAATGGCTTCTCGCTATATGCCATCAGCTCTTTGGGCAGATTCGTATCCAGAGTATCATAAACCGGAGAGACAAACATTGGCGTTTGCTTTGCCTTGGATTCTCCCGCTGGATACCAAATTGGCTCCTCACACGGCTCATTTGGATTCACCTGGGGTACTGGGATTGACGAGGACTCCTTCAAGGCTCCGGGACAGTAGTTCCACACCCCACCGGCGGAGCTTCTCTTTTCAAAGACATTTATCTTGTCAAAGTATTTCTCAGATAGGAGATATCTAGGCCTCTAGTAAGCAAAGGCACATACATCCCCCAAGGGCTTCAAGGCTGGAGTCCGCACTTAACTGCAGCAAGACCCGATGGCCCCGCACCAATGACGGCCACTCGACGGATTTGTTTGGCTATGGCCATCGTTTCTCACCCGAATCAAAGAGAATCCAGTAAGTACCCGGAATTAGAAGTATAGGAGTCAACCCCTTCAGTAGAATGTCCGCGGAATGGTGCCACTTTGGTGTTTGAAGAGTTCGCGACTCCGACTCCAACTAACTATGTATACAAGCCGAACCCCCCGCTGATAATAGTCATCCATGGCCAGAAATTAGGAGGTTTCCGGCGAAACATGCACTGGAAAGATAATTTTGCAGTAAAAAAGCAAACTAGAATCGAGAATATAACCAAAAGAATATGAATCATTAAGGATTTCGGGTTAAAGAGGACGATATTGCGGATCATTACCATAATTACGTTGATACAGGCAGTTATAAGCAAAATTACACGTAATATTACGATACTGCCACCAACAAAGACAAGAAGCTTCATCGATTGCGATCCCCAGAAATCCTCCATACGCGTTTCCAAGAACACTTTCGACCTGCAGGGTCTCACCGCAATATCGCTTGATTATTTCGGAATATCCCAAGCTTGAGATCTGGCCACGGACCATGCAGTGCTCATAATCCAGGAAACATGACCGACGCATCCTGATTTCGCGGCCATGGACAGTCACGAGCCGACACCCCCGGTGTCAGACGCCTTACGCTCAACCGCCGTTCCTATCGCACAGCTCGAGGCCGACAGCTCGGAAAAGAGGTCTATCCATGCGACTGTAACGCTTTTATGGCCCTATTCTTCGTCCAGCAAGTCCTTCAGCCTTCTGCTCGCCGAGCCCGACTTCCGTCTCCGACGCTCGAATGGACAGGTGAAGGTCTTCTTCCACGGCCGTGCGGCGGAGCAGGTCGCCCAGTCACAGGTTGGAATCGGGGACAGTGTCTATCTTAGCCTGGCTGGGTCGAGATTTGTGAAAAATGATGCGACACAGACGCCCGGAAAAGGTGTCTCGTCGGATGTGCACTTCGATAATTATGTGCTTCTTGAGGTGATTACTTGAGTCTGACGGAGGAACTAAACAGAATTCTTACTAGAGTATAGGTCTGGCGGGACTCGAAGCTACTATCCACTGTTGAAGTCGAACGCTCATCCCCCCAACCTCCGACTCCCGATGATGGCATGCTGGCCGTTCCATCGACCCCCGCTGCAAATGGCTACACACAAGATTCAGGTCCGCTAGGCTCAAACGCGTGGCAGTCACCGGCCTTTCTGGGAAGATCTCGGATGTCCTTTGGAATCTCCGACACCGCGTTCGATCATTTTGCGGAAGAGGACGGGTACATTCCGGGGAAGGGGAGGAAACGGCCTAGGTTTAGCATGCGAGCCAACGAGTGGCGTGTGATCGATGAGCCTGAAAGTCCTGGGGAGAAAGATTTACCGGAGGATTGGATGGCAATATTCGATGAAGGTCTAGCGGAAGAGCCAGATGTTGATGGGGATAGTATTGGTGAACAAATGGAGGCGGCCAATATCCCGTCCGAGCCAGAAGATGGAGCGACAGTCACTCATACCTCAGAAGCCAATGTTTTCCCTATGGAAACCCGAGTGGAGGCTTCAGAAACAAATACGGAGCAACTGCCTGACCGGGAAAATGATGATACGCATTTTCTCCATCCCAACACCCCTTTACGAACCGGAACCCCGGACGTCGTCAAACAGAATATCCCAGCCTATTCCTCTAATCTCCCAACAGATACCCCACGCTTGCATCCGATTCCCTCCCCTGGACTTCCTCTTCCTTCTCCCCTTGTAACCACTCCCAACAATACCAGCGGGCGTGTTTCTTCAGCTACTCACAATGTGGCGGCTCCAACTACAGCTCCACCACCCGAGCCGACTAGCTTCGGCCTGCCTCACGTGCCAACTGTTGTCGAAGAAATTCAAGCCGGTGGACGTGATGATTTGGCTCCTGCATCCACTGACAAGGTCGGCCTTGTCCCGGAGCCGACCCCCTCGGCACATGAAGTTCAACGAAGCTCTCAAAGTCCGAAGTTTGAATCCACTATGGATACAGATGCAATGGATAAAGAGGAGCCTTCGAATATCGCCGAGACGGATGCTGTCGAAGCAGGCTCGATTGAGCGAGGTCATCCTGATGAGCAAGAGGAATCCTTGACAGAGCCTGAAGGTGAAGAAGTAGAAAACCCTTGTTCTCCATCAGCTGCAGTGGTAGTAAAGGATGAGTATGAGGACTCTGAGGGCAGTGAGTCAGAGTCAGACCAAGAGGACCAGGTGTCCGTAGAGGCTAGCGAGAAAATGTCTGAAACCAGTGACTATGCTGAGATTTCAAGAACACCTAGGAATGCTAGCGGACACATTATTCAGAGCGAGTCCTCCCCATCAGTGGAATCTCGAGATGATTCCAAGGAACGTGGCAACTATGACGAGTACGACGAAATGGAAGAGGACGGAAGCGACGAAGAGCGATATGAAGAAGGGTACGACGATGAAGAGCCGGAGAGCAGGCTTGAGCGCATGTATGATGACTCCGAATCTGAAATAGAATCAGAATACAGTGGGTCTGAAGAACAAATTCGATCGCGTTTTAGCCCAAGAACCGTGGAACCTGAGGTCATTGTTTTAGATAGCGACAGCGAAGATGAACCCCCTACTAGGCCTTCGGTGAATGTTCCTCGAGGCTCAACACGAGAAATTGACGAGGTGTCAGATGAGAGCTACTACTATTCGAAAGCTGAGAGATATTCTGCGGACGAAATGGAGGATTCAGAAAGCGAAGATGAAGCATCGGAAGCCGAGGGTGAGGAAGAGAGCGAAGAAGAAGAAGAAGAAGAGGAGGAGGAGGAGGAGGAGATGACGTACGAGGAAGCTCGACCCGACGACGGGCTTGTGGAGGATGAAGGGATAGTTCACGAGGGACATCATGGACCTGAGCAGATGGACGAGGAATCATATGTGGAACAACCAGTGGAAGGCCATGATGAGCCCATGCAAGAACAACCTCACTGGGACATGGAGGCTAGTCCTCCAACATTGCCTAAAACCCTCCACCCGGCACCGTCTCGCAATATCTCGGAGTCTTATGAGATTGCTGAGGAATCCCAAGAACCCTCTTCTTATAATCCTGACAAAGACCTTGACGTTGTTGTGTACACATCAACAAACACACGATCTGTTGAAAAATCTTATGTTGGCAGTGGCTCCGAGCCGCATACTTACGACATGGCAATTGACCCTAAATTATACGAAACTCGGGCCTTTGAAGGCAACACTGATAGCGTTGATGAGAGCATGAACGACGGACATCACCATCACGACGAACGTCCGGTTCCTGTTGAGGATGAACCAACAACAGGCAGCGAGGCCCTAGGGAATGCCCACAGGGTAGCCCTTGCCTTTCAACTTGATGGCGCTGCCGCGTTGCCGATAATATCTCGACCTCTTGAGGATTCTCCCGAGGCGTCAATCCGTCAACCCGCTCAGCAACCGGTAACCCCGGACGCGTCGCAAATCACTGAAACTGAGCCGGTTCATCCTTCTATCAAAGCTCCTGCCGACGCACCGCCCACTCCCGAACCCACGCAGAATATAACAGAGTCGCTAGTAGTAACAGAAGATGAATCTTCTTCAATTGCCGTAACGATCAAATCAGCGAAGAGTCCGGACGAGACCGAAGATGACACAAAACACGGAATCGAAGGTGATTTGGTTGTCGAAAGCACAGAGAACCCCGCGTCACTCAATGAGGACTGGATTCTGCAAGCCAGCATTGAGCTTGATGACAAACCAGAGGAGATCATCAACAGGGGTCGAGTGGCTTCAGTAGACCGCCATTATCCTGGTTTGCGAAGCAGGCTCTCTTATTTTGCCCCTCTTGCCACGCTGGTTGATCACTATAATGCCTTGGTCGATACAATCTCAGTGGCCACCGAAGTCCGCCCGCCAGTCCGGGCTGCGTCGGGGAAAAAGGACTTTATTCTTACTCTCCAGCTGACGGATCCATCCATGGCCGGCACTACCGTTTCTGCTCAGATCCTGCGGCCCTACAAGTCAGCATTGCCGTCTCTTGCTGAAGGAGACGCTATTTTACTACGAAACTTCCGAGTCAAAACCTTGGACCACTCCGTGATGCTCCTCAGCGACAGCACAAGTGCCTGGGCGGTTTTCACAACGGCCACCGGAACCCCCCAAGTCAACGGCCCCCCTGTTGAATACGGATCGGAAGAAGAATCATTCGCTACGGACTTGCGCCAATGGTATCAGGAAGGCGGGATGGCCATGGTGGCAGATAACCAGCTCCAAGCATCGGTGGAACAGGAAAGCAGGGGTCCGACCCCAGTTAGCAGTGCGGCGCCGAGCGACGCAGGAAGCGTCGATTCAGCGGCCCGCGAAGCCCGCGGTGACACGTCGACATCTAGCCGGGGTTCGCGCCGGAGGAAGTCTCATCGCAGAGTCACCATCCATGAACTGAGAGACGGAAGGCGGTATGCGGAGGTTGGTTCGCCTCCTGGTAAGGAGGGTATACATGAGCTTCGCGATGGAACGGTGTACGCGAATCTTTGATTTTTTTTTTTTTGTTTCTATAGATCTAGGTCTGCCTTGGTTTAATTTTTTTTTCTCTCTCTCTCTTCCCTCTTTCGATTTCATTAGCGTTCATTTCTATCCTTGCGTAGTGTGTTCTCCTAATATTATCGGGTTGGTTATACAGGACGGCTGGTTCGCACAGTCTTCAGGTTCATTCGGTTCTGTGATAATTCATATATTTGGTGCTGTATCGTCTATCTATATAGTTTGAGGAATCTGCCATGATCTACGTCGGGTCTAGGTCTGCTTCGGTAGCTGTACACAGTACAGGACAATACAATGCACACCAAGCAAGCAAGCAAGCAAGCAAGTAAGGCAATCTGCAACACCTCTTACCTACATCTTTGAGTTCTTATCGCCGTCAAGGAAATCGATATTGATCGCTGCCTGAATCAACTGGTGGGCGATCGCAGTCGGCGGCGGCAGTCTCAGTCCACCTTCCTTATACTGGGGCCCGGCGCTCTCTCCCAACCCGCTGGTTCCTATCCTCAGAGCCTCCTCCACCTCGGCCACTTCGAACCACCGCGCATCTTCCAGCTCCGGGTCGTGTTTCAGGCTGATTTCCTCGTGGGCCGGATCGCTCACTTGCGCGATTGCTCCAATCATCAGGTTAGCCGGGTAGGGCCAGGGCTGGGTTGAATGGATGACCACGCGCGAGAGCGTCACGCCGGCTTCTTCCCAGACCTCTCGCCGTACCGCGTCCTCGACTGATTCGGCGGGCTCGATGAACCCGGCTAGGGTGGAATACCAGTTGGGCGGGAAGCGCTTGGAGCGGCCGAGCAGGATGCGTTTCGCGTCGGAGGAGATGACAGCGACGATGATGGTGGGGTCTGTGCGGGGGAAGGAAAGGTTGGAGAGGGTCGTACGGGTGCTGCAGGCTGGTCGCTCGGCGGGGTTGCCCTCTGCGACGAGGGCAAGGTCAGTGGGAGGACAGGCCCGCTTGGTGCCTGAGTTTATGGAAATCGTGCGGTGGCCGCAGGTGCCGCAGAAGGTGTTGCGGGTGTTCCAGTCTACCAGGGCCCGCGCTTGCGCGTAAATCGCAGCTAAAAGATTGGCGTAAGCAGACATTTTCCCATCCCTTCCCTTCTTTTCGTTTCGCAATGGGATGTGAAAAAAACATACCGTCATCAGCGGGGAACGTCATGGTTACTCTGGCCTCGAGGAAACTCAGGCCCTGAGCCTGTAAGCTGCTCACTATATCCGCAGCGATCGCTTGCTGCTCGTCCGAACCTCTTTGCGACACATCCAGGGCGAAATAAGGTGCCCCCGAGTAGATTTTCCAGGCCAATCCATCTTGTTTGCGACTCTCGTCCATCCCGAGGAAAACCAGATGCGGCTCGGTGTTCCGCGAGTCGTGCCCCTTCAGCAAATCCTCCTCGGACTTGTCGTAGATGGTCTCGGGGACAAGCTTTCGCACCTCATCGTACTTGGCATAATACAACCCGGACGGTGAGCTAGTCAGCGGCGCAAGATCCTTGAGAATTACAAAGCGCGTGGCAGGGTGCCTGATGGCAGCAGAGAGGAAGGGGTGTTCGGAACGCAGAAACGAGAGACGGTTCAGAGGAGAGCCTATAAACAGACATCAGTACCACCGCTCAACTCCAACTCCTTGGATCTCTTACTGGAGAAATAATTCACCGTCTCTTTCCCAAAATACCGAGCCAACATTGAGTCAGCTTGGATATGCGCTGGGGTTGGAATCTGGGAGTTCTTGGTCATAATGCAGGTAGATATGAGATTTACCGGGAGGAGAAATCTGTACAAACCCACCCCAGGGAGATTAGCCAGGAAGAGGAATAAGGGGATTCTTATTCTTATTCCTATCCGTAAGTACAGTAACTAGTTAGTTAGTTAGTTAATAGTGAGTTGGTCAGCGATTCTGGACCGAGGACGAGCGCAGCCGGGAGGATGTATTTGTATTACCATTCTTTCCGCGGTTTCTTGCGGTTTCCCCGTGTAAAATTGTAATCCAAAAACCAATGAGGGGCAACCCCACACACGTGACCTGCGTCATAATGGCCGCCGATTCGCACCGCCGCATCTTTTCTGTCCCTGACTGCAGCCAAAGACAAGCCAGAGATCTCACTGGTGGGAATCGGTTGTGATTTACAATCTGATAGTCTGCTCAGTGCGCTGTTATCGGTGCAGTTTGTCCTGTTGTGCTGTCGTGGTATTCCCTGCTTTTGACTTGCCCCTGGACCAGAACCTAGTAAGCATAGTTAGTTGCATCCTATCCTCCCTTGTTGACTGGTCACTCGAACTAACAGTTTCTCAGAGTAGAGCGCTAGGTTCTATTCTCGTGTGACATTCAGAACCAATTGGCTCATCAGTGAGTCAGGGTGCAGTCAACATGGGCCGTCTTGTCACCCTTGCTACATGGTGCGTACCCATCGATTACGCTCACCCTTCTCCTTCTAAACGTCTAATATCCTACGTTCAAAGCTCGCTGAACCAGTGGGCTCTTGATTTTGAGGGCAATGCCGAGCGAATTATCGAGAGTGTTCGTCAGGCGAAAGCCGCCGGAGCTACCCTTCGAGTCGGACCCGAGCTTGAGATTACCGGTATGTATACCTAGGTACACTCAAGAGGTTGCTTGATGAATTCTACTAATCTTTAGAACAGGATATGGCGTCTTGGATGGCTTCCTCGAAGGGGACACATTCCTCCACTCGTGGGAAATGCTAGCACGCATCATCGATCACCCCGACTGTCAGGATATTGTAGTCGATGTGGGCATGCCAGTGCGTCACCGAAACGTGCGCTACAACTGTCGGTTAGTTCAGTCGTCGTGGGACGCGATGCAGTTTTCTTGTTCGCTAACCTGACGGAGTGTGATCTTCTACAACAAGAAAATTATCCTCATCCGTCCCAAAATGTGGCTGGCAAATGGTTCGTTTTTCGCCCAATCCGCATTCATTCATTCATTCATTCATTCATTCATTCATTCAATTGGGTTTAATGTGTATTGACTTGGATTTTATAGACGGAAATTATCGAGAGATGCGGCACTTTACGCCGTGGCAGCGCCCACAGGAAGTAGAAGATTACTACTTGGAGCAGATTGTCGGCAAAATTACTGGGCAGTACAAAGTGCCTTTCGGCGATGCGGTAATCAGCACTAGAGATACATGCTTGGGTTTGGAGACGTGCGAAGAATTATTCACTCCAAATGGGTACGTATAACCCGTGCACGGCCAATATTGTTCACTAACCACACTCTCATGAAGCCCTCATATCCCTTACGGGCTCGCAGGTATGCTCTTCGTCAAGATTCGAGTACATTATACTTAGATGATCTATAGGAGTTGAAATCATTTCGAATTCGTCCGGCAGCCACCACGAGCTAAAGAAGCTTGATACACGTATTAACCTTATCACCCAGGCCACTAAGCTGGTAAGCCTGCCCTCCAGTGGAACATGGACCTGGCCCTAATATTCTCCAGAGTGGTGGCATTTACTTGTACGCCAACCAACAAGGCTGTGATGGTGACAGGTTGTACTATGACGGCTGTGCAATGATTGTCGTCAATGGCAACATCGTAGCTCAAGGAACCCAGTTCTCTCTTAACGATGTAGAGGTCGTTACAGCAACCGTTGACATTGAAGAAGTCTGTTCCCCACCCGAGTAACACACCAGAATTCCATGCTGACTTGCAGTAGGTCCGGTCATACCGTTGCATGGCAAGCCGCAACATGCAGGCCAGCCGGCAGTCGCCATTTGTTCGTCTTGATTTGGATATGAGATTGTCTCGTTCGGACGAAGATGCTGAGCCTGGTCTTTCTCCTTCTGAGACCCTCACACCACGATATCACGCCCCCGAGGAGGAAATTGCTCTTGGTCCCGCCTGTTGGCTCTGGGATTATCTCCGGAGAAGTGGTGCAGCGGGATTCTTCCTTCCCTTGAGTGGAGGAATCGACAGCTGTTCTACCGCAGTAATTGTTCATTCTATGTGCAAGGAAGTTATGAAAGCGGTGACTGAAGGGAATGAACAAGTCATCAAGGACGTCCGTCGACTTTGCGCAGAGCCTGAAGGTTCGACCTGGATTCCCACTACGAGCCAGGAAATTTGCAAGTAAGTTCCCCCTCTGAGTTTCACTTTCATTTCTTTCTTTCTTCATTTCTTTCTTTCTAGCTACGAATTACAAGATCTAATGTTCACAGCCGCATATTCCACACCAGCTACATGGGCACCCAGAACTCCAGCAAAGAAACACGAGACCGCGCCAAAGAACTTGCTACTGAAATCGGGTCATATCATATCGATTTCAACTTCGATACCGTGGTGACTGCCATCACGAATCTCTTTACCGTCGTTACCAACTTCCAACCTCGATTCAAGGTCCACGGAGGCACTCGGGCAGAGAACCAGGCATTGCAGAACATCCAAGCTCGCCTGAGAATGGTGCTCTCCTACCTGTTCGCCTCATTACTACCAACAGTTCGCCAACGGCCCGGTGGAGGAGGCTTACTCGTTCTAGCTTCGTCCAATGTAGATGGTAAGTGCCTCTCCCCCTTCCATAATCCACCAAGACCTACCCAGTACACCTGCTAACCTGTCTCCTCCAGAATGGTGTGTATAATCACAAAGGCAACGCATTCCCCGAAGAAGAAACCAAAACTCTAACACTCAACCCAGTTTACGAGGCTACCTCACCAAGTACGACGCCAGTAGCGCCGACGTATGCCTCACCTCACCCTATTATCCTCAACCTTGGTATCCTCTAGCTAACCCGTATTTAAAAAAAAAAAAAAAAAAAAGTTAAACCCCATCGGCTCCATCAGCAAAGTCGACCTCAAAAAATTCATCGCTTGGTCCAGCACCTCCTTCAACATGCCCATCCTCGCCGAATTCCTCAATGCCACTCCAACCGCCGAACTCGAGCCCATCACAGCCACCTACGTGCAATCCGACGAGGCCGACATGGGCGTCACCTACGCGGAGCTCTCGACCTTCGGATACCTCCGCAAAGTCGCGAAGCTGGGTCCCTGGTCTATGTACGAGCGACTCCTGCATGTCTGGGGCAACGAGTACAGTCCCCGCGAGATCTATGAGAAAACGAGACACTTTTTCTACAATTATGCGATCAATCGGCATAAGATGACGGTTATCACGCCGAGTTATCATGCGGAGCAGTATTCGCCGGATGATAATCGGCATGATTTGAGGCAGTTTCTTTGTATGTTTCTTTCTTTCTTTCTTTTTTTTTCTTTCCCCCCCTCTAACCCCAACCCCTAACTCTGCATATTACTCTTACTCCCTTGGCTTGGATTGTGGGTAGTTTGGGATATGCTAATTAATGATTGTTGTGTGCTCTAGACCCGTCGTTTACGTGGGCGTATCAGAAGATGGAAGAGAGTGTCAAGTTTTGGGAATCAAGGGGGTGGACTGCAGGCAAAGCACAGAAGAAGAGCGTAAAGGCGGATTAAACCCATCTTCAGGAGATAGACCTCTATCCAAGAATTTCGTTTTTGTTTTTTTCGATTTTGACATATATACATACCATCATCAGACTAACTAGTGTCGAGTCTTGATTCTCGATGCAAAGATAAATGAAAATGAACTGAAATAGAATGTATGCCAGCTATTTGTAAATATACAATGAAAAATATATCAAAAAAAAAAAAAAAAAAAAAAAAGACCTTAAGAGGAAGCACTCGCAAAACAACGCTAAATTCACAGGACATAGGAGAGCCAAAAAGGGAGAGAAGGGACATTTAGAAAGCATGATATAGTCATAAATCGGGAGAAGATATATTTACTCTTACTCCTTCCAGAACCAACCGTTCTTCTTCTGTTCTGTGGCCATGGTCTCCTGTTTGTCGGGAGAGGTTTGGTCACGTCGAGGCGGGTTGACCACTTCAGTGGACTCATTGGTTTCCTCCCGACCATCTGCAAAACGCTTTGTATTCACCGTTTTTGTCTGGATAGAACCATCTGGAAGACGGACTCGCTCTGTGGATATCTGCGTAGAGACTACGTATGAATCTTCCGGTGTCGGGGTTGCTGCTGGAGCTTCTGAGGATGATTCCTGGACGAAATCGGGGACTGAGCTTTTGTTTCCGCCGGAGACAAGCTCCAGCCAGTTCTCGGTATCGTCGTCATGTTCTCTTTCATCTTGGCATCTGCGTCGGTCGTGTAAGAGGAGACGTAACATAGGGCTTTCGTGTGTTCCGTGGAAGAAATCTCTCTCGCGAGCTTCGATATCTGAGAGGAAGCGTTCGTACAAATCCAGTTCTGTAAGCGGTTCCGATTCTGCCTCATCCGCAAGAACTTCCGTCTTTGCACTAGCACGCAAGTCCTCTCCTTGGGGTTGGTAGGGGCGGTCTTGGACACGCTCCGGGCGCTCGAATGTGATGGTCGACCAAGGCTGCGCCTCAGTCCCCGCAACGTATCTCCAATGATCACCCAAACTGCCTCGTTTTACCAAAGAATGTAACCATTCCTTCCCAGATTCTGGCTTGGTGGTTACCCCCGGCTCGCGGTCCAGCATGGGTTTCCCGTTCTCCAGTCGCAAAAGATCTTCAAAGGCTTCCCGCCACTGCGGCTCCTCGGGGTCACATTCAGACGAAAGACTTAACGAGGTCATAAGAGACGAGAAAACTCCACGGTCGCGATGGGAATGGTAATGTGCCTGGCGTTCCAGGTGGAGAGGCGAGTAAGGACTAAACATGAGGTATGGAACCGGCCAGGCGGCGGAATTGGCGCTGAGTACGTTCGAGAAAGGAGGACGGGCATAGGGATGGAAGAAGCGAGAGGAAACGTAATCATCGAACCAGAAACGGTCGAAAAATGAGTCGAAAAACATATCAATATCGAACATGTCGGAGGGGCGGCCACGTGTGGGTGCGGGGGTTTCGAATTCGGACCAGCGCGCTCGCGAGGAATCCGCGGAATAGTTGCCCGGCCTCGTAGGTCCCTGGGACTCGGGATTTGATGAAGAATCGCTGCGTTCTTTCAAATCGTTGCTTTGTTCCTGCCGGTGGCGTTGTTGGGCGTCTTGGTAATTTTGTTCTTCCGTGAAGATGGGCCAGTGATCGGTTCTTGGGGGAGAAACGAGAGAAGGAATACCCATCACAGACTGCAACATGGAGGAAATCTGTCCGTCAGCGAATCGACGAAAGGCATCGAAAGGTTTCCCGTCATCGGGGAATGGACGGTTAGGCGGCGAGGAGGAAGGAGGAGGAGGAGGAGGAGGAGGAGGAGGGTTCTTGTTGCGGTTGGAGTCTTCCTCACCTGCCATGGTGGGAAAGGCTGGGTGAGGGTCTAATCACAGAAACGAGATTTGAAGTCAATGGGCCAAATTAGGATTGTTGATGGATGAAGTCGGAGATGATGATCTGATTGATGATTCCCAAAGATGCCGCCAACTTCTGAAGCCGTTGGGGAAATCGCCCCACTTCTGCCAATCGCCACGTGACGACGATGGGGTTGCTGACGTAATCACTGGAGATCCCCCGGAACGGATTGACTATACTCCGATCTGGATAAACTAATATCCGTCAGTCACATGCCCCTAGACGTTAACCACTTACTTTATGAGCCTCGATCTCTTTCATTTCTATATATCTCACATTCGGGCCTGGTCAGAGAACTTCCCGCAGTCGTGATACTAGTACTCAGCCTGAGAACTTTTCTCACCCCATGTCTTCCCAAAACTTTCTTGTTGCACGGTGGGTGCATGATAACTTTCTTGATTAAAGATGGCATCTCTTATTTCACAGCTGAAAATAATGATTACGAGGGCCGAGATGCTTGAAAGGACGGTCACCAATTTCAAGCCAAAGCCTGATTATTTGCAGGAAATAAAAAATCTGTCCTCGAGGCTTAACAAAGTAACACTTCGCATTCACCAAAAGGTTGAAGATTCCACGTGTTTGAGAAACGAGCGTTACCTGAAAGAAGCTCCAGTAATCTGGGAGCGGGCAAAACAGTATCATGAGAACTTAGCCAAAAAGGGCTTGAATAAAGCCCCAGTCTTCCGAAGAAATATTCTTCTTATCTTTGGGGGCCCTAAAGAATTACTGGTTGATGGGACAACTAAAAAGCACAGAAAAGAAATCACATGCTAAAGATGTGCTGTTCTTCGTAGTTTGAACATCGACGGAATACTTTTATGGGCAACATCATACACTCCAACATCCTGGTCTGGTGGCAAGATGAGTGGGGATCTCTTTGACGACCTTGTCAGCAATATCAAGCCCAGCAAACACCAGAAATAGCCACCAGACTTGCTTGGGGCCCTAGTAGCGATAAGGGATGAGGAGTTATCGGGAAATGCTAAATATGAACTCTTCCTGAAAGGTAACCATTGTTGGGGATATGCGATATTGATATCTAACCTAAAACAAGCAGTGCAAGATCCTTCTATCAGTCAAGAGCCACAACGACGACGCGTGTATCAAGAATACTTGAATCACACTAAACCAGACATTCCGCCTCTTTTAAGTATAAATTCCATCCTGACATTTAAACATTTCATGGCTGACATGTAAAGGAAACCTTAACCAGTATGTTGAATTGCCTTCCATGCCTCGGCATCTTGTGTGTGAATTCCTCCCGAAACCTTTCCTTGCAGGTGTAATGGCGAGCCAGAGATGGAAGGACGAAATAGAGATGCAAAGTTTAGCAATAACAAATTGCATTTCCATCTTCTGCCCCAAGGGCAAAGGCAACGGGCTCCTCGTCGTGAGGCTTAAATATGAACACACGTATCGAATGGCCCAGGAACTCTGTTTTGGAAAAGCAAGCCGAATGGATAACCTATCGTGACACCGACCTCTCGAACTTGATGCGTGCTTTCAGTACAAAGCATTGATCTCCTGACCGAACTTCCTGTTTCACCAAACCATTCTCTTCATTGAAGGGGCCCGCTTGTTGCTTCCCTTCTTCGTCCAGAATATTGCATGAAACACCTTCAAATTCCATTATCATGCACTCCTTAATTTCGAATACACAAACTAAAATCTCTTCCCACTCCCCTTGCATTGCCTTGTCCCCGACGTTTCCCGCCATGCCGCGTCGATTTCTGTCGTGTAGCTGTGGGGTTGATCCGCTGCTCCGCCGCGTATGTGGTCTCTAGTATCGTTTGTTAGTTTCACGCCTCTGTTTCTTAGATAATCATGGTATTATTACTTCCAAGTGTGCTACACCGAGAAATTGTATGTGTTGATATAGTGTCTATGTTTGCGTGAGGTATACCCCTCAGGTCTTGTTGTAGGTTAACTAGGGTGAAGAGGGTTCGGTTATCTATTTATAACTATGTCTTGAGAAATAATAGTGCATATGCACTTATCCCAAAAAGGGCCAGATATTGGGAATATTTTCAACTTCTGGCCTATTTAGGACAAGCGGGTCTGCAGACTAACTGCGCCAAAAAAGCCCGGAATTCGTCTGATCCTATTTCACTGTACGGAGTATCCGTAACAGCTGCGGCACATGGGCTTCACTTAGAAGTTAGAGGAGTGTAATGATTCTATATATTATACTAACCAACATCCCCAGGTTCTACAGCACGGTGTACAGGTCATACCACGGGTGTTTGAGGGGGACTTTCATATATTATTTAATTAATACTAGCCTTAAATCCTCGCTACGCTCGGCGGCTTGTTGGGGCATATAGCAAACTAATAGTATAGTCTTAATTATAGTATGATAGCTACTATATTAATGTAAGTATGGAAGTTAGAATTAAAATAGGCATTAAAGTAGGTATTTAAGTAAGTATTAGCATGGTAATAGCTTATAAAAGTAGATATAGGAATCTCTATAGCTAATAGGTTAACCAACATCTCCAGGTTCTATAGCACGGAAAAGCAAGTAGGCATTCAAGTAGGCATTCAAGCAGGTATTAAAGCAGGCATTCAAGTAGGTATTAAAGCAAGTATTAAAGCAAGTATTAGCAGGCATTCAAGTAGGCATTTAAGTAGGTATTAGCATAGTAATAGCTTATAAAAGTAGATAATATAGGAATCTCTATAACTAACAGGTTAACCAACATCCCCAGGTTCTATAGTACGGAAAAGATGGCCCTGCGGGCCATAGTTCTTCCGAACCGCCGGCGCGCGTAGAACTCAGTAGCTACTATATTAATGTAAGTATGGAAGTTAGAATTAAAATAGGTATTAAAGTAGATATTAAAGGAGGTATTAGCAGGCAATAAAGCAGGTATTGAAGCAGGTATTAGCAGGCATTCAAGTAGGCATTCAAGTAGGCATTCAAGTAGGCATTCAAGTAGGCATTCAAGTAGGCATTCAAGTAGGCATTCAAGTAGGCATTCAAGTAGGCATTCAAGTAGGCATTCAAGTAGGCATTCAAGTAGGCATTCAAGTAGGCATTCAAGTAGGCATTCAAGTAGGCATTCAAGTAGGCATTCAAGTAGGCATTCAAGTAGGCATTCAAGTAGGCATTCAAGCAGGCATTCAAGTAGGCATATTAGCAGGCATTAAAGGAGGTATTAAAGTAGGCATTAAAGCAAGTATTAGCAGGCATCAAAGCAGGCATTAAAGCAGGTATTAAAGCAGGTATTAAAGCAGGTATTAGCAGGCATTCAAGTAGGCATTGAAGTAGGTATTAGCATAGTAATAACTTATAAAAGTAGATAATATAGGAATCTCTATAGCTAACAGGTTAAGCAACATCCCCAGGTTCTACAGCACGGAAAAGATGGCCCTGCGGGCCATAGTTCTTCCGAAGCGCGCGTAGAACTCAGCACGGTGTACGGGTCATACCACGGGTGTTTGAGGGGGACTTTCATATATTATTTAATTTAATTAAATCGTTATTATATTAGTATTCTTGCTTTGCTCTACTATTCTAATACGAAAACCATGCAGTTTATTTCATTAAATAATATGAAAAAAAAGTCCCAGCGTAGCAAGGGTTAAGGCTTCTCCTTGTATACGATGCCTATCCACGGTTTCTCAGCCCACATCGAAAGCATTTAGAGAGTTCGTCGATTGGATGAACCAGCGTAGGAGTAACAGCCACAAGCACTGGATTTATTTCCCCCTTCAATAGAAATGAATGAACATATCAAAGCATCTTGGATCCGGAAGTTTAGCCACGTGGGAGTTGCCTGCTATGACCATGACCATAACCATGACCATGACCATGAACAATACGATGTCGTCGCGCAGTCGGAGCCTCCGCCTATGGATATACGCTTGAATCGATCCCCCGGCAGTTCCTCCCGGTCGAAGGCTCGATAGTTAGCCAGTACCTGCCTGGTACATGACCAAGACGTTGCTCAGCGGCCTGGTGAAGGTGCAGGTCTGCAGGGATAAAGAACACATCCGGAGCAGACACACATGATATGATACTGGGCTTAATGTGGGAACCAGCGGATGGCAAACGCTCCCAGAGCATGGAAGCGTTGTTTGGTGGGTTAGCCAGCTTTGGAGACAGAATAATTACATCTAGTGAGTGAGTAGGTTGGTCTGATTCATCCGATTAATATTGAACTAAGTTATAAGTGTTCCAGGGAGGGTATTTTTTTTTTATTATAATAGAATACAGTCTCTGGTATATAAGGATACCTGTGCAAATCGCACTTAGATGTAAAAAACAAAACTCTCTCCACTGGACCGATTTCACCGCTATTCGAAATATTAACGGATTCATAGATATGCAAAATAGGTGGTATGATGCAGATGCAGATCACCGGATACCCAAATCCTCCAATTCCTTCTTCCTCTTCTGGCGCTCCCGCTCGATCTTACGGAACAGAGGGTGGTGGCCACTCTTGTCCTTGAGCTGCTTGTTCCGGCTCCGGTTGTACTCGATATAGGCCATGTCTTCCCCGCCCGCTAAGCCGCTGAGCGTAGCAGCACTGCGTTTCACACCGCCCTTGGCTCGAGCTCGGCCGCCTGATCGCTCAGAGAAGAGGTCATCGGTGACATTCTCCACTTCGGCGGATGTCTCGTTCTGTAGCATGACCTCTTGGAGGAGCTCGCGCCGTTCCGAGGGGGTTGCATACGCAAGCCCCTCCAAATTCTCAATGCCCTGAAGGTGGGTAATAACCTTGAATGCATAGCCTTGGTCAACCAAGAATGCCTGGCGTTTGGAGGAGTAAAACATTTCGTCTGTATCCTTCGACACGAGAGAGTAGAAGAAAGCATTAAAGCCTTCGTCGTTACGACGCTTGGCCCGAAGAATGCGACCGAGACGCTGAGCTTCCTGACGACGAGAACCATAGTGGGAGGAGATCTGGATCAGACATGTCGCCTCAGGTAGATCGAGGGAGGTATCTCCAATCTTGGACAGGAAGATGGTATTAACTTGCTCGTTGTGTTGGAAGTTTTCGAGAATCCGCATCCGTTCATTCTGGGGGGTTCCTCCATAAATGTACGCCTTGTTCAACTTGAGGGCGTACCGTTCAAGCGCGTACACATTGTCGGAAAACACAATGACCTTGTCCCCACGCTTTTCATGGTAGTCGATGAGGAACTGACAGGCCTGGAACTTGCGCGGATTCATAATATAGAGCAGCGCGGCCTTTCTCGACTTCTCTCTCATGTATTCCGAGTAGAACTCGGTCGTCATTGGGCACCACACTTCGGCGCACTGAACCTTGGCGATGTGGCCTTGCTCCGCCAGTTCCATCCAGTTGGCTTCATACAACTTCGGGCCAATAAGAAAGTTCAGATCTTTGATCTTGTCGTCCTCACGCAAGAGGGTTGCTGTCAGACCAAGCTTGCTCTGGGTCGCAATGGCTGAAGTAACCTTACGGAACATGGACGCGGGCACGACGTGCACTTCGTCCAGAATCATAAGACCCCATTCCCGGGATTGCATCCAATCCATCATCTTCTGCGCGTCGTGCGATCGGGCTCTCGTTTGGGAAACCATCGAGTACGTCGAGACAATAATACCGGTGGACCGACGGAACTTCTCCTTATTGTCCGATGTGAAAACGGCGATATCACCCGGATCAATGTTCGACCATCGGAGGAATTCATTCCTCCACTGGACGACAGACATCGAGCTGGTGCAAAGAATGATGGTTCCCTTCTTAATCGTGCAGGCTGCAGTGATGCCAACCAGGGTTTTGCCCGCACCGCAAGGCAAGACAATAATACCACTCTTGGCACGGCCATTACCAAACATTTTACTCAAGCTCTTCTCCTGATAGCTTCGAATCCGCGCGTTCGGCTTCAGATCAATATCCAAGGTCGGGTTGATTTCGTCGTTCCGGAAATCATACTCCTCCAGAGCTGGGCATCCCATGGCTTGGCATCTTGCTTTGACCGGTTCCACAGCTTCGTTCGGAATCTCGAAACTGTGTACTTGAGCCTGTTCTTCATCATCGTCATCGTCATCGCGTATGGCTAAAAGGATATCGTCCTCCTGTTGGCGCTTTGCCGCACCATCCTCCACAGGCTGCTGCTCCGATGTTTGTTTAACACCCGCAGCATCCTTGGTACCGGGAATAACAAGACCACCCATTTTCGGAGCCGCCTGTTGAATGATCCCTTCCGATCCTTGTACACGCTGAGTTCCGATAACCTCATCTTGAAGGAGCATCTGCAGCATCGCAGGGTCCGTACTCTCCACAAAGAACCGATTATGCTTCAGCACAACTTTGACCTTTCCATACGACTTTGTGAAATCAATGATGAACGACTTGATAGTTTCCGGGAGGGGTGTCTTCGATAGTCGATCGAGGAAGTTGATGATATCCTGGGGCTGCAGACCAACCGATACGGCCGCATACAAGCTGTTACCCGTCAATCGGTATTCATGCAAATGCGTCGGGCGTGAAAGCGGCTCGGCGATGGTGGTCAGGAAGTCTTGCGCCTGGGGGGCAAGCGGCGAAAAACTCTCGAGGGTGATAGTGCCTTTCAGAGGGTCAATCCATAGCGGCCGGTTCGCATGGTCCGGCTTCAACGAAAGCGAGGAAAAGTCCTTGTAGCCGAAATTCGGGTCTTGTCTCTGGATTTTCTGTTTGCTGAACGACTCGAGGGAGAACTTATCCACCATTTCTTTAGACGACGGGTCAGTCAGCCATTGCCTTTAGTCTCAGACCGGTGTCCAATACCTTTGATCTTATCCTGTTTCGCATCCTCCTCGTAATCGGAGTACTCATCGCTACTATCGATGTCCTGCATATCAGGCACAGGAGTAGCCCGCTTGGATGCTCTACTAGACCGACCACCTAGCTGATAGTCAGCCTTCACTGCCATCTACCCAATTCTAAGAGCGAAAGCCATACTGTCAGTCGCCTTCCGTTTGGACGGCATGACGCGGGGTTCTCCTCTGTATCCTTTTCTTTATAATATATCTATCGTCTATAATTTTTTTTAGAGGTGGGTTTGAACCGAAAGCGAATGAGAGCTGAGGCTCCTCTGGGCTACCGGCGCTCCAGTTGAGCTTCAAGGGAGATAGATCATCCCTTGTTCAAGGCGATAAAAGGCAACCAGCGAGTAACGTAGGATTTCCGATATCAGAGGGTCTCTTTGGGCGCAGGAAAGTAGTCGATAGGACGCCGATGAGAGTTGCAAGGAAGGCAAAATGCGTGATGAAAGAAGAAAGAGGTCGACAAGAAGACGAGATGTAGAGAGCCTGAGGCAGCCAGGCCTGGGGCTCCAGTGGCGACTCTACGCTCTGATTGGACAGTGAAGGTCGAGTCCATTTCCGTACTAGCGTCTCTTCAGGGCCCGAGTTTCGGCCGACTGTTGACGTAGTATCTCAACTCAACATCTACTCTTTCCTTTTTTTTTTCCCCCCTTCACCGTGAAGAAGAAAGACACAGCTATCACAATGAATACAGTACGTACTATGCTAACCCCAAGAAGCAAAGGCAACAATCACGCCAGGGAGTCTGAGGACTAACCATCACTTGCGTCACCAATAGATCCGATCAACCTGGTGAGCGCCCTCGTCTCATTACTCTGGCAAGCAGAGCCAACAGGGTGCAATCGCTAACCAAAGCCCATAATGCAAACAGGATAGGCTGGGGGGCTCTCTGCGTCGGTAAAAGAATTCCAACCCAACCCTTCCCGTAGTCCCATCTGTCCAAAGATGCGCCAGAAACAAATTGAACCATCCCACTAACGTCAACCCTTTGAACCCTCTCCAGCCGGCGGTGGAGCTTACTACTTTGCAAAGAAGTCGATCAACGCCGACCGAGCCAGCAGACATGAAGCCGAGATGAGGCGCAAGGCCCAGCTCGCCGCAATGGAAGCCGAGCACCGACGCCAACAAGCCGCTCTGAGTGAATCGATTACGCCACCGTCCCAAGATCCGAGTTTGAAACGCGCGAATCTAGCGCGTCTCCAGAATGCCCCGGACGACGTAGCCTCCCCAAGTGAGGAAGTGGGCCATGACCCTGCGCCAACCCGTCACGAGCCCTTGACGGAGGAAGAGCGACTTATAGAGAAGGGGAAATATGAAGCTACGCGGCCGTTCAGACCGCCTAGAGGGGACCGGTTGTAATTTTTTTTTTTTTCTCTCTCTCTTGTATTTTCTTCCTTATATGTGCGTGGATGGGGAGCATACTCTAGGGCACCGGAAAAGTCTGATACATGATCTTGATATGAGTGTGATACGACCTCTACTATATATGTTCTTGTATCTCCTCAGGCGATCTAGTGGCTCTGGAAGCTCTGAGAGGGTTCTGGGGGGGTTGGAATAGACAAAAGACGTTGTTTACGTAGGTATTCGTTGAGTGGATTTACCCTGCACAACTTGAAGCCCCAGTATACAAAAAGCGTCTAGAATACGTCAGATTTCATGATCAACGAGTAATAATAAGGTATATTGTAATCTTCGGTGTATAAAGATGGACGGGTAATTTCTAACGCCAACCAACCCCAACCCCAACCCCATACCAATACCAACACTTCCAGATTCCAGATAGATGAATGGATGATGGTATGCATATGTATGTATGCCTATGCCAAAACGCCAGCAGGAATAACAATCAACCAAACCGCATGAAGAACAAGTAGGTAGTCGCAAATAAAAAGCAGGTGGTCATTAACTTCTACTCCAGGACCCGAATCGTCGTCGAAGTTATAGCTCGGAAGCCCCTTTCCGCTCAACGGGTTTCAGCGCGCATGAAAGCAGAGTGGAGGATGCGGTCTGTGACGATAGATAGTCAGTACTTTTTGTCTGGGTATTTCCCTAATCGAGAGTGAAGTTCTTTTATGGACATACTTGCTGTGGTTGGGATAGCCTTGGTTCTTCTCCCGCGAACTCTCGAGGGCTGGTGGGACAAAGGGAAGGACGACTGCAGAAATCAGGCAAGACATTGTAACGAATCGCGAGGTGCGGGTATTGGGTTGGGGACGATGGACGGAGAAATGCCGGATAGTTGGGCGGACGAATTGCAGGGCGATAGTCATTGTGATAGATTTATTGAAGTATAAGAGAGGAGGAGGAGGAGGAGGAGGAGGAGTTCAAAACCCAAGATATCCCCTCTACTTATACAGCCTGTGTACTTGAGAGATTGCGGGGCGTGGAGATATCAGGAAGGCATGATCCGGAGTCATAAGATGAGACTCATTCTCGGCGAGTTCATAGTTGAAGGATTGAAACGGAAGAAAAGAATTCCGGCTGCAGAAATCATGCCACTTTTCTCTGACATATCTCAATTCCGTTGGATGTTATTGGTTGTTGGGTATATACATCATTTATCCCTGACAAAAGAACTGGAATGTCTGTAAACCAGTCAAGGTGCACTCGCATCACGTGATGAGACGCCCAACCTCACATCCCCAAAGCCTCGACAGCCATCCATCGATCTTCCTGAATCTCGAGCGAAGAACTGCGGAAACAATGGCTTCCCATCAGATCGCCATTGCAAAGGCCTCGCTCGCCGCCGGACTTCTGCGTCCTGACCCCACCTCCATCGCCCGCGACGACATCACAGCTTTGCATAACTACCTCGAAAGAGCCCTGTCGCATTGCTCTCCAGCCAACATCCAGGTTTGATCTGTCGAGTCCTTTTGCCTACGGGGTCGCTGAATTACTAAATCATTTGCTTTTCTTGCTTCGACGCGTACTAGACCTGCAAATCATGGCTTCTCAGATATGTTGTCTCGTCGTCTAATCGGGTCAGCCTGTTGGCAAAATATCTGGTTGCTCTGGCTGGATCGCTGCCCTCGGGCCAAGATGGCTCAGCAGCGCCTGCAACGCCAGACACGCGGACTGGCCCGTCTGCGAAGAGGAAACGATTACATATGCTGTACCTGCTGAATGATTTATTCCATCACACAAAGTACCATAACAACTCGACTGCCGCCTTCTCTACCCTCAGCGGATCCTTGCAGCCGCATATTGTGGAATTGCTGAGCTACGCTGCCTCCTACGACCGACAGAAACACCCGAAACACCATAAACGGCTAGACGGCCTGTTGGATATCTGGCAGCAGCATAGCTACTTTGCCGAGGACTTTGTGAGTAAACTCCGCGAGGTGGTTATCAACTCAGCCGTGTCTGGTCCAGTGAAGACGAGCGCCACTGCGGAGGAGAATAAGGTGGAATCGGGACAAAAGCTTTTTGCGGGAAGAGACGCGCCGTTTGTTATGCCGTCAACTCATGGAGATCTCTCTACTCCTTACTACGACCTCCCTGCCGGCAACCTTGTTCCTCATATCATCCCGAACTCAACCATTCCTCTACGTCCTGACTCGATCAAACCATTGCAGTTCCTGGCCGGTCCCGCGGACGGGAAGCTAGTTACCGCACTCAAGGCATTCCTCAAAGATGTCGATCTGATCTACGGATCGGGGAGTTTAGAGCAGAACGACGACGAAGTCATTGATATCGATGATCTCGGCCAGACCGTCATCCGAGACACTCTCACGGGAGACATCCTTCAAAGCGACACGTACTACGGCTGGTCGCGGTTATTCTGTCAGCAGATGAAGAAACGAAACACACGCCACAGCTCGCAGAGTCGCAGTCGCAGTCGCAGTCGCAGCCCTGCCAGGCGACGACGGTATTCCGATAGCCTAGCAAGCGACGACAGCAGATACAGGAGTCCACGATCACGCAGCCGCTCGCCCGCACGCCGACCGTACGACTCCAGATCTCGCTCCCGTTCCCGTACAACCTCCTGGAGAAGATCAGGGTCGGGTTCGCGCGAGAAATCCTACTCTCCGCAACCTCCCGGCCCACCATCCATGTCTGGAAATAATATACCTCCTCCGCCTCTACCTCAACCGTATCACCACCACCACCACCACCAACCCGGCAATCCCTACATCAACGCACCGCCGCCACCAGCTCCTCCGTCGTTTCCTCCACTTCTCCATCAAATGCAATTCCCTCCGACTGGTCAGCACAGCTTTCCCCCAGGAATGCCAGTTCCGCCACCCCCACCTTCGAATTACCAGGGTGTTTGGCCTCCGCCGCCACCCGCGATGCCCAGCTACGGTGGTTCTCCTGGGGGAGGAATGCCTCCAAATTTCCCTCCACCTTTCGCCCCGGGTGGGAATAGTGGTCAATATCCTGGGCAGCCAATGCCTCCGGGATCATACCACTTTCCGCCTCCACATCAGCCGGGGGGAGGTGGACGGGGGTCGTGGCAGTATCCACCAGGGCCTCCGTCAGGACGTGGATGGCGATAGCTTTCCTTTTCTAATGTACTTGTAAGTCAACGAAGATTCTTTAATTCGAAATATAAATATTGTAGAAGTAAAAGTAAATCAAACAAGTACTCAGGCTATACCTCGTAGATTCTAACCAAATCCTCACTAAAAAAAAAAAGCATACATAACCACCTCCCCATACTCCAGAGATTCAACACATTACAGTCAATCAAGTCAAGTCAAGAGAGAGAAACCCCACATCTTCTTCAACGATGAATCAATCAATCAATCAATCAATCAATACTTAAATTAAACCCTCGTAGCCCTCGCACTCGCCACAGAAGAAGAAGAAGAAGAAGCCACAGCAACCGGCGTCCCCGAAGCAGCCGCCTGAGTCTCGCTCTCCGCAATGGCATTGTCTTGATCGGCGATGGCCTCGTTATAGGGAAGACACGAGCTCTGGAGAAGCGACTGTGTGCCTCCTCCTTGCTGTTTGTTGTTTCAGGTTAGTTGTTTTCCCTCTGCCACGGATATGAGAGAGCATAGCATAGGATAGGATAGGATAGAATAATACGAACCTTGGGATCTGCATGACAACACATAACCGAATCCAAACAATCGGTGTTGGGTTCTTCAGCTGTCATTGCAGTGCCTGGATCATAGAGAGCAATCGAACTTGATTAGCACGGCACAGCACACAAAACATCCATAGAAGCAAGGAATAGAGAGAGAGAGAGAGAGAGAAACATACACTGCACCCCCAGAATCGAAGAAACCTGCATATCCGTCAACAACGGCACCACGTCACTCAGCTCGTTCTCCACATCCTGCGTCATCCCATTCACGCTCGTGCAGCACTGTTTCGACCTATGGCTGGGCGGGCAGGCTTGCGGGTTCAACGACGACCCGTCCGCATCCTGGTGGGCGATGAAGGCGCCGATCTGGTGGGCGAGGGCTTCGGTGCTGTGGATTTTCGACGACGCCGGGTTGGCTTTGGTTTTGGCGGCGTTGGCGGCGGCTTGGGTGGCCTGCGCGGGGATGGAGATGGAGACGGGGATGGAGAAGTCGGAGATGGCGGTGCTTGGTGTTGTTGTTGTTATTGCTGTGGTGGAGAGCGGGTGGGAGAGGGCGGTGGTGGTGATTAGGGTGAAGAGGAGGAGGGATTTCATTTTCTTTTATATATATATATATATATAGATATAGATATAGATAGAATTTGGGTTGGTTTCTTTTCTGAGTGTCAAGAAGTAAAACGAGCAGAAAGAAAAGAAGAGAGAGAGAAAAAAAAAAAGCAAGATGAACAGTGTATAAAGTGCTCCTCCTCCCTTTCTATACATGCCAGCCACTATCCGGACGTGTTCGAGACATTCAGGAACAGTAAACAATGACTCTGGAGAGGAATGTGACTGGAACTTTTTGCAGTCTAATACTACCATCCTTCGCGCGATGGAATGCAGACGTAGAAGTATCTCAGGAATGCCAAACTCATTACTGGTTCAGAGAGAGAGAACCTTTTAGCTGGGTATGGGCTAATCCCTAAGAAAGATGCAGAGAATGTTCACCTATACTCTTGACCTTTTAATCACAATCATACTCACCGTCTGTTAGCATTACTTTGACAAACACGGACATGCAACGAGGCTGATCTTGGACTGGCTCATCTAATCAACGACAGGCTGGAAGCTGTGACGGTTGGAAATCCCAGGACGGACTGTCCGGCGAGGGAAGAAGTCTGCGATGTCTCCCTGAATGCCCTCACACCAACCTCCAGGTGCTGAAAAGATACTCCGTACTGAAGGTCCCCTCGCTCGTATATCGGGTGGAAAAGAAATATTCGGGTTCGAAATATAGGCATAGCGGCATATAAAGGAAGGGATGCCACCGAGATTCTCGCCCGAGACGAAAGAAAAGAAAACAGAAAAATATCTCATACTTGGGGCATGAGAAGACGAAGAACCAAAATGCTAAAACAATAATACGAAAAAAAAAAAAACAGCCACCTCATCACATCTCTCCCCCTGATGCATCACCGGCTGTGAGGATGCTGAAGGACCAACATCGCTCGCTAAAGTCGCTGCTGATCTTTATCTTACCAACAAGTAAAGGACTCCGCGCTGCGAATAAACATCAAAAACACCATGTAGACTCCAAAGTTCAGACTGTTAAAAGAGAGATATCGTGTAGGTTTTGTTTCTAAGAACCGACAGCAAAGGCAACAAGCAGTAACAAACTGGTGTGCGTGTGTGATTCGAAAAAAAAAACAAAAACAGAAAACATAACCCGATTCTTGATTTCTCGTTCTTCCCCCGTGCGGTAGAATGGCAGAAGCACGGCCAACTATACCGAGGATTTGGCGTCTCTCGAAGTCGCGAAATCCTTGCCTTGGACCTCATCGCTGCTATTATTGCCGATCTTTGTCAATGGACCAAACCCCTGAGCTTGACGAGCAAGCAACCCACTAGTCGACACACCACTCTTGCCGCTGGTGTTACTGCTGCGGCTGCTGCGGCTCGTGGCGTATCCCTTGTCGTCGTCGACATCGGCAAAGTCGACCATACGGCGTTGGGTGTACTCCAGCATGATGCGGCTGTAGTCTTCTATAGAGGTGTGAGGATCCAAAGAGTGATCCGTCTGCACATGGGTGCCACCATCGGGTGGGCGATCACTGTTTCCGCCTGAGGGTGCCATGGAGAATGTCGTGTCCCCAGATGAATTCAGGAAAGACGACATATATATTAAAAAGGGGGGAGGGGGAGGGTCCTGCAGGCAGATGGGTTTCCTTTGGACTCGTTTCTGTAGAATAGGGTCAGTTGCATTCGTCATTCTTTCTCATTCTTTTTTTTTTTTTTATCTTTTTTAGTTGTCACTAGTAACACCGTTCGATCAAAGGGTAAGACAGTCCCGCTCTTCCATGGGTTACGGAGAGAGTCCGGGGAGGTCATTTCGATAAAAGAAAAGAACCTTGTAAAAGGTCTCTCTGTCTTACCGTACGGGATATAGATGGGAGAGGGCAATGGAGGAGCAGAACGGGCAAAGCGGCTGGAAAAGGAGATCCGGTCTGCACGACCTTGCGTACCTTCTTCAAAGATCAAACAGAAGAGAAAATACAACGGGCTCGTTCAAGTAGAGAGACGTGTTGTTGTCCTTGAGAGGGAAAAAGTACGAAGCGCAATCACGAATATCTGAAGCGGTGGTACGAACAGGTCGCAAGAGAGAGCAAGAGAGAAAAGGCGTAGATGCTCAATGTAGAATAGAATCGCCGACCAGGGGATGATCCATGGATAAATGTCCTTCTAGTCCGACATGAGATCACAACCCTAATCTCCATTTCATTCTTAATGGGGGAACCAACGAAAAGAAATCTTTTGACCAGGCCGACTCGATCTAGCCCACAGGAGGATCGAAGGTCTCATATCGACGCTGGGATTCGCTCTCTAAGGAGGCCTTAAGGAGTTATGACATCAGGGTTCCTGGGATGCAAAGGAGAAAATGGTACTCCGCAGTCCGTACAAAATAGAAAATGGCGATAGAATGTAATTTCCTGCCAAAAAAAAAAAAAAAAAAAAAAAGACTGCCGGCCCCCTTCTTCCCTACTAAAGCAGTCATTTTGTGGCGCTGCTACTCGACATGCATCAGACCGGACCTTCGTAAAGGCGTTCGGAGGTAATATCGCTGGGGAAGGGAAGTATTCCTTCTGGGGGACCCACTGACCTCCATCTAGCGGAGCTGTAATGAGGTCACTGGAGGAAAAGATTCCTATGGGCTTGAGGAGTGCAGCGCAGTGCATATTACACAACAGGCTAACCCGATCGCCCGCTGAATAGTAGTATGCAGTGATGCACTATGCAGAAACAGACCTTCCCCACTGACTAGCCGCCCAAGGACCAATAGGTCTAAATAGGAGCTAAAACGGACATGGATCTTCGCCGCATTGTATGGATATATCCACCCTCCATATCAGACCGTCAGTTTTAAAAAAACAGCCGTCTGGAAAAGGAATCTGAGAATGCTCCAGGAAGTGGAGGAGCTGGTATGGCCGGGATGGGGAGGTCTGGGAATGAGCGTCCGTGGTATGCTGCAGCGCGATCTGCATCGTGAGGTTGAAAATGACGATGTTCCTCTGGAGCAAGTAAACTTGGTTAATTGGAAGATATAGTAACCGGGGACATGGAATCTAGAACCGTGGATGGAGAAAATGCATTCTTTGTCGTTTTCACATCTCGTCAGCCGCCACACGGCCTGAGGCTATCATTCAAGGGTCAAGTGACGTCAGGTGGTCAATCCCCTTAACTTCTACAACCTCTCTCGACTTCTTGTTCTGCTCGAATTACGGACCGCAGCGTGGGTGAAAAATACCACCTAGCACCATTTCCGACCTGTCAGCCAATAATCGAGGAAGCAATGATGATACCAAGACACGCAGGACTTGCCACCGGGTGAACCAAAGGCTTTTTTTCCCCAGATCTTTTGCAGTACTCTCAAACTATACCCATGGTAATGGGAGGCCATTCCCTTTCCTCTGGCTCGAATGCAAATGGTCTATCTGCTATCTATCTATCTAGAGTTTGGCAGGGGATCCACTGTGATGGAAGCAATGCAAAGCCAGCGAGGACGTGAAACCACAACTCCAAAAATAACCCCCGATAGGAGGCAAGCAGAGAGTACAGTAACTCTTGTTTGTTCACATTCACCTTCCTATACGGTAGGTACCAAGGGCGATTCTCCATGGTGATCTAATTCGAGCACCAGTCGACAAATGAACTCTCTCCCGAAGAAAATCAAGACATGTCCAATAAAGTCAGCGGGAAAAGGAGACACTATCATGTCACTCTATTATAATAGAACCTACATCATCCTCGTATATTTGGAATTAATTTTTACATTTAGTTGACTGATGATATCACAAAACTCGCCCCTAGTATCTCAAGCGGTGGAACAGTAGAAACTTCTCTCTCGTGGGAGAATCAACACGTTTCCACCGCAATACCGGGTGACTTTGAGCTCAAGAAAGTTGAGAAGGACCCGGGAGATGGAAAGAGTACCGTACCGAGGAACCCAGAGTATCAGGGACTCTCGGGGGCGGCTGGAGGATGTGTCGCATTCCTGAATCGGCGATTTCCACATTCACGCGCGAGCTGCACCTCAACGTCATCATGGACGGTGACCTGGCAAGTACGGGATCGTCGAAGTGTGTTTGTTGTCCACCGAACCCATTTTATTTATAAGCGCGAATCCGCGACATAGTTAACTATTCGAAGCAAGGTACGAGTAGTCCTCTCGGCCACCCGGCGTCATCTATGATTGGTTTGTCTGCTGTCGCAACAATTGCCTGTTTCTTTTCTTTTTGTAGAGCTCTCTCTCTCTAACTGCGTGTTGGTCTTCCCTGTTATCCTGCTGCCGTCCGATTTGGGTTTCACAAAACTGGGTCAATGCGGAGGATAGCATCATATCTTGGAGAAGATGATATCTAGGACAGGATCCACGTAACCAAGGGATAATCCGTTCGAATATCAGGCATCGGAATCGGTTTACCGCCAAGGATGATGTCGTCTGTGCCGCCCGAATTTTTCACTAAAAAAGAACTAGGATAAACGCAAGGAATAATCCCAGCCAACTCATTGATGAACGGTGGATGATGCAACTTGCCTCAATTTACCAGCTCTTGGGCAACAAGGATAAGATTTCTAAAACCCTACAATGGGGGGGGGATAAACGTAGATACAATAGTAGACGCCACAATTCAAAGATCATATATTATAAGTCATTCATCACACGTAACCTATACCAAAAAGTTAGATCAATTCACTAAGCAGGTGTGCTCCGTAGGAAAATTGAAGGGCACAGAGGAGTTAGAAAACATAGCATACCTTTCCGGGCACCCTGGAAGAAGAACCGCACAATAAAGACCTGGAGGCCAGCCATGGAAACCATCATCAAGCCCTCAATCACGCTAAAGTTGAAGATACGACGTTCCGTGCTCCGTACAGTGCTGAAGTTGCGGTTCTCACGAGTCCGGAAATACTTCTGGTTCCTGGAAATAGTAGAAAGCTGGGCGGAGAGTTTGAAGATGGATTCTTCCAGAGCAGACGCCTGTTCGGGGCTAGCACCCTGGCGGGAGGGGAGTTCTGTCCGTTGTTCGTTCTCAATCTGGAGTTTAGAAAATAAAAAACAGTCAGTCAGCGGCATATATCTGAGTTGGGAGGCGCCTCCCCAGGTTGAATGAACCCACCGCGATCTCGAAATCGACCATCTTCTCCGCAAAAGTAGACATCTCGTTATTAAAGCAGAAGCGGTATTCTCCAATGCTCTGAGCGGTAAACACAAAGTCGCCCTGGCGCTCTTTGGTGCCGTCTAGAACTGTCTTCTCGCCGGGCCCCACGACCGAGTAGTCGACATCGAAAGAACCGCCGGATTGGACCTAGAATCAAAATACAACGATCAGATCAGCTTTGGATATTATAATTGCGACCCAAATGATGATCAGAACGCACGGCGAAGTAGAATGCGACTTTGGTGTTCCTCTCCTCGACGAACTTGTAGAAGCAGGCCTTCTCGTTGGCTTCAAGTCGGTAGGTCAAGGCCGTTGCGGTCACAGAGGAGATAAGGCAGGCAAAGACGCTCAGAAGCAACGCTGTGAATCGCATGTTGAACGGAATGGAGAGCCGGGAGCTCAATGTCGATAACTCCCCAGGTTGAGCGACTGGATTGAACACGCGACGGGGGAGCTGAAGTTCTGGACAGCTGTGTGGTTTTCCGCGTGTTTGACATGTTTGCATCGTACGTTCTACATAATAGTTCACCTTCCCCCAGCAACAACCAACCCAGACGACAGCACAACAAAACCGCCAGAAAAACAACACAACTTTTGGTAATTATAGTTAAGTAGGCACCTTGCTTTAGCAGACATGCGGATATGCAACAGGCATGCTCAACATTGAAGCTGTTGAAGATATGTATCATTCATAAAGCCCCAGCTAACAGACAAGCTGCTCTCTTCATAAATCACTTGCACTTCATAATATAGTACCAACATCGTAAAACCAGCCCCGTCTACAGCAAATCATAATAATAGAATAGAAGAAAGAAACACATTCCATCGTTGCATTTCACAGACTCGAAGGGGGGGGGGGGGGGGGTTTTCTTCCTCCCCCATTCTCTCCTTCTCTCTCTGGACCAAGGTGAGCCTAACACCCCTATAATCATACCCTCCCTGCCCATTCGTATTTACCGCAATTCGTGTGTAAGTTGTGTGTCATTTAACAATGCAGCATATGGTGCAGTAATGCATTTATCACGTTCGGCCTCTATCGGATGAAGAAGGACTCGCTTCTGTTCCAAAAGTTCCGGTTCTTATTTAAATGGTCAAGACCAAGCAGATCATCCGAATCGCCGATTATGTCGGAGAGTATGTCATCTATTAATGTTAGTCGACTCTCCCGGAGAATCAATGCACATAGATCTTACCATCTTCAAGATATCTTGGGTTTGAGTATAACGATCGAGGAACAACAGCAAACTTAATCTTCTCGAATCGCTTTCCCTTGAGGCCCGTTCGTTTGGAAAGTCGTTCCTTGGTTTCTTTGAAGATTTCGCCCTACCAAATATGAGCATAACGCATGGCCTCGCCTTGGGCGGTGTTCACTTACAGATTTCATAACGAATTTGAAAGGTACGCCATGTGGCCGGTTCACTTCCTTATCGAAGTTGTACGCATTGATTGTCCGATCGCCATTCCCCATGCTCACTTCCTCTTCAGGGATTTTCTCCGCGTACAGGGTGACAAACTCATTGATGCCAGCAATCTTAGAATCCGGCTGGAAGTCTCGGTATATCTTGCCTCCGTGCGTTTCGTAAACCCGCGTGTTTCGAATCGTGTCGTCGTCAAGATTCGCCTTCTTCTGCAGGCCAGCCAGGAGATCAGAGATCGTTCCATCTCGAGGAACGAGGACCTCGACGACTTGCTAGTTTGGGTCAGCAACCAGGCATCCCTTCAAAATAAAGCGATTTCTTACCTCTTTCGTAATGCCTTCGGAGAGCCATGTTACTGACAAGCAGATCTTAGACTCATAATCACTTAGGCTTGTCTCTAAGACTTCATAGTAAAGTGCGTCTTGGCGATGCACGCTGAGCCCATAGCCAGTCACCTGGCCACTGAGGATGGCTTGTAGGGTTTGCGCATTCTGATTGGAACTCCTCTTGATGAATGGCTTTGGCTTCCCTGTGCTAGCGATGACGGGAGCAAAACGCAAATGTGTGAAATCAACGTTCAAATGCTCGCCAACCTTCTTGGAAAATTGGTCATATGTCATTTTCCGACTCAGCGTCAGCGTGAACTCCTCGCCATCGGTTGCTTTGATAGGAGCAAAGGTGACATTTATCCTATTAAGGAGGTAATCGTAGTATAGTTTGGCATCGGCATATAATGCCGTGGGTGGTAGCTCCGATTCCTTAACCGATTTTTGGAAGGTGATAATGTCGCCGTCTTGAATTTCGGACTGCTGGAAGGTCTGCTTTGGCTTCATCAGGTCAATCATGTTGTGCTTGATCTCTTCGTACAAGACAAACTCCGTCCCAGCCGGCCAGGCCATTAAGTCCAATATTGTCGGAGCGAGGTCGGAAACTTTCTGGTTCTTGCGAACGTATACAGCGCCAACGCCAGTCAAAGTTTGCTTTGGCACGTCGAAATGTTTCAAGAAGATCAACACCGAGTTGTTGCTATCCGGCCAAGACATTGTTCCATCTGCGGAAGGTTGGCCGACTTCCAGCCAGACCCTGAAAGGGTTGCCCTTTGTGCCAAACCGGCTATAAGCCTCTTCAACGGTCATTTCTGGATCCTTGATGACCTGATCTGGCCGAGTTGTCTTATTTTGGCGGTTCACCATGACCCAGAATCGGACTTGAGAAGCATCGATGCCTTTCTCTTCCGCTATTTGCTGTGCAAACTCGCCAACCTTCTTGGCCCTGAGGATTCGATACTGCTTCGGAAGTGCTGCATCATCAGTTGATTGGTCGAAGCTTGTGAGATCAAAACCATGATGGGACCGGAAAGTTTCTTCGGTCAACACTCCAACATTAATGTACAGGTGAGCTTCTTCTCTCTCCTTCTTCCTGCGTAATAAATCCACGCGCTCTTCCGCTAGACGCTGTTCTAAATGTTGAAAGCATATATTAGTCGCTGCGGATCACCAAAAAAAGGCATTTGTACACATACCAATGTGAGAAGGCACATCCTCCTTTGTGATAGGCAAAAGAACGTCATCCAATCTAGACTTCCGGATGTAAACCAGCATATAGGCGTTTGTCGACCGCTTCGTAGATAGACCTCGTGTGTACGGTTGTCGGGCTCCAGCCGCGCCATTGGCGAGTTCATATTCACCGCCATAGTTTTCTTCGAGAACCTCCCTGTCAGTAGCCCTAGTTACCCTATCGTCATCGAAACGATACCAGAATCCGTCTTTGGTAGGCTTCAAGAAGGCAAAGTAGTGACCCGCATTCAAGTCACCGCTGTGAACCAATACGCCATGCAGCTGGTAAACCCAGGACTCGGACCGATCCGCGTCCTTAGAGAGATAGGGGGCAGCATCGAACTCCATGGGGAAGGCATGTCGATCATTGATTTTCATCATGGCATCTCGGTGGATGTCATACTCGAAGCGCTTCAAGTGAAGATGCAACACAGGAGGGAAGCTTTCAAAAATAACACCCTTGTTGGCATCTTGAAGGCCATACGGTTGGCCGGCGTCGTACTTGTTTTCACCCTCAAGTGTCTCCACTTGGATATAGTCCTTGAAGCTGTCGTCGAGCGTCTTGTTGCCTCTCACATTTAGTTGGATATCCCAGAAATCTTCCACTCGCGACGACTCATAATCGACGTTAATGCAAGATATATAAGTCTTTGTTTTCCCCACGAATAGTTCTGGAAGTGCCTTTTCTGCGGGCGTTCCCTTCATTTTCTCTTCCAGCCTCTCCATCAACTTTCGGGATAGTTCTTGAACATCCTGTTGCTCGAAAATTTGTCGCGATTCCCACCCGAAAGATGCGGTAAGTTCGGTTGTTGAGACAGATAATTCACTGGTTTGAAGATTATTGAACAATCTCTGGAGAGTCCAGGCACTATTTTCCCTCGAAGCCTCCTCATCTGTCGGGATTTGATAGACAGACTTTACAAAGGTTATCGAAATATTCTATGAAGTCCTGAGGGATGAAGCGTACCTTGCGGAAAGCATTTGTAAAATACAGCGACTGGAGTAGCGAGTTGAGATAACAAGTAGCACCCTGGTTTTTTAACCCAACCATGCCTGTTTCTTTCTTAGAGTCATAACTAGAAGCTGTCAGCAATGTCATCGGAAAAGAATGAACGTAAATCATACTTCTGGAAGCTGTGCCACAGGACACCTGTGGGATCTTTGACAACGCGCACATAGGCGGTAATATTAGCTTCTTCGTTTTGTACAATAGGTGTACCACGGCCCTCAAATGGCATATTAAAAAGCTTGCGCAGTTCGCAGAATCGGGTGAAACCCCAATCCCCTTCGTCGGCGTTGAATCGGTGAGTAGCGACTATACTCAAATCAGCAGAAGAATCGAAACCCAGCGCATCGATGAAGCATACCGTGAGAAATGTTGATAGTCGGGTCGTTTACATTCCAAAGCACAAGGGCAAACTGAACGCACGCGTACCAGTTCTCTGGCGGCTCATTTTCCCAAGCATGCTCCAGGTAGAAGGAGGCGTGTTCGACGTGGTTCCCATAGGGAAAGAAAAGAATTCGCCTAGATGGCCCCGTCAAACCCGTGTTGAAGGTGCAATTAAGATGGAAACCTGCTGCTTACCATGGGAATCCCGCACACTGAAAAACCGGACCATGTTCCCTCTTTTTTAATTTCCGCCAGTCCTCAATATGCCATGTATGCCATGCCTCATCGGCGGTCTCCAAATCCGGGTCTTTTGGGAGGAGTCGAGCCATCATTGCCGGATCTACAGGAGAAAACTTATTTCAGAATACAATGCTTCCTGAGAAGGGTCAAAAAGCCTGGAACCGGTACCAAGGTGATATAACCCTGTCGCGGGGATATCTCATCGGGAACACCGCAAGCTTGGCAGAACGTGTGGAATCGTCGCAGGGGAAGTGAACGGTATGGTGAGGATCTTACAGTCATCCGCAGGAGGTTCTGGCTCCGGTTCCTCGGATCCGGACTGGGAGACGACGACATCGTCGGTTCTATCATTGTGAAACTGCTCATATTCATCGACCAGCATCTCATTATCCGCGACCTAGAGGGGTTCGAGCTGTCACGTCAGTAAACGATGATCCCTGGCAGGGTCAAATAAAACCCTGATCGGTTGCATTTCAAGGGAGGGCCGAGGACTCACGTTGTCCATGTAGGAAGAAAAAGTGCGTGCAAGCACCCAGCTCAGAAAGTGGACTCTGCTCAAAGAATAAGTGGGGAGAGTGCAGGGTCTAGTCTAGGTACAGAAGGAAAGATATATATGTCAGAGGTCGCAACCGGGTAGCGAAGAGGAAAATGGGGAAAGGTGAAGAAGAAGTTCCGAGTGAGGGTTCAGAACAGGTTCCAAGTTCAAAGGAGTTGAAGCCTGTGGCGGAGCCCGCAGACCCAATAATAACGGCGGCGGACTGGATAGTTCTTATTAAGGCCTTTTGGCAAGCCACCCAAATTTTCATAGTTCACTAGTAAGTGATTTACTGCGATACCCTATCATCTTTACTTTTTTATATTGACTCTTTCTTATATTTCCTTTCTAGACGGATACATACGGAGTACCTAGGAATTTTCTGCGGTTCTTCCTACTTCACTCTGACTGGACGCACCGGGGGTTTCTTCTTGGTCAACACCACCACCCGGGGTGTATTTTCTGACATTCTATGTATAAAGAAACCTCCGGAGCATTTTGATATTACCTTCAGGCCGAGTAGAAAAAATCATTCTCTCTGGGTTCTTCTCCAGATCGATGTATTTTCCTTGCTTCTGGTCCCTTTTCTCTTTTTCTGCAATTCTCGTAACCAAACTCAACCATCCACCCGGTTCGCAGCTCTCTCGTCCAATCCGGCCATCAATTAGATCATGATGTATTCATTACCTAGGTATCCTAAATATCAACAAAAAGAGAAGAAGAAACCCCCAGTCAACTCCAGTAAATTAGGTGGTAAATGGCCCTGCAGGGTCACATGTGAAACTGCGACCAAGCTCCTCACCGCCCAGAGATCTTGAGTTGCCCGCAATGGCACGATTCCCAGCCCACGCTTGGAGGACTCGACCTGGAGATTTGAGGTCATGTTTGGGAACGTTTCTTCAAACCTAACCTTCTCTCTGACTCCCATGAGGTGCTCTTGATCTCTCTACCAGAGCGAGATGCTGCGGAGTCATCCAGCTCGATGCTGGCATGTCCTCCGAGAAGGCTGTCGCTCGACACGACGACTGTCTACTGAGACTTCTTCCCACAGTCTTCCGCCATGGAGACCTGTTTCGGCTCTAGACGAGTATGCCCGCAAAATGCGCTCTCAACTAGCTCCCGTGGCTAATGCATGTTAGATGGGTCGAACGACAAATTCGACCGATCAGTTTGCGCCAACTGACCTTCTTTGGGCGCACATTGACCGAATCCCGACTCATCAGTTCTGCCAACTACGTGCGGACGGAGCTCCCAACCAGGTTAGATAGCTCAACTGCTCCCCGTCCGATTGTCCGCTAAGTCATACGCCGAATAGAATAGCACATCGTCTACGAGACATCCAAAAGCTACCGTACGTTGTGGTAGCCAACCCTCACCTCTCTCTCGTCTACGAACTCTATTATAAGGCCTTTGAGAGATTTCGCCGGGTACCAGAAATCCGAACGCTCGAGGACAATGACAACTTCTGCGAGGTATTGCGCAAGACGCTCCAAGAGCACCTGGTTGTCATACCAAAGTTAGCAATGGGAGTGCTGGAGTGCCGGGACTTGGTCCCCGCCGAGGTCATGGACCAGTTCATGAATACTCTACTCAGAGCGGTAAATTTCCATCTTGCACCTTCCGTCAATGAGTCACCGTTTACTGAGTTTGGTCATGTCTAGAGAATCTCCCGGCGAGTCATTGCAGAACAACATCTCGCATTGACGGAAACGTTCAACTCCCCGTGGCACTTCCCTGGATCACAAGATCGAACAGACCTGAATGCAGACTTTGTGGGGGAGGTTTTCTTAAAATGTAACGCCAAAGAAGTCGTTGAACGGTGCGGAAATTTAGTTCAAGACATGATTCGGCAGAGCTCGGGATCAGATAAGATCCCAGAGATATCTGTACAGGGCCACCTCGATGCGACATTCCCATACATGCTGAGCCACCTGGAATACATAATTGGCGAACTCCTTCGGAACTCGATTCAGGCCGTCAGTGAAAGGTATCATGACCTGCAGGAACAACCGCCCCCCATTGAAGTCCTGATTTGTGAAGCACCGCAGCATGTAATCTTGCGGGTGTCCGACCAAGGGGGCGGGATCCCGCGAGAAATACTCCCGTACCTGTGGTCTTTCAACAAAGGGCCCCATAGCAAAGTACGGCTCGCGAATTTAGGAAGAGTCCCCGCAATGGCCGCCACTTTGCAGGAATTAACTGTGTCGAAAGAGAGAAAACATGCGGACAAGGAAACCTTTCGTGAAAGCTCCCTCGATACCCTGACCTCGCGGCCTCCGGATCTACGTCTTGGAATAGGGCTTCCAATGAGCCGGGTCTACGCGGAGTACTGGGCAGGCAGTCTCGAGCTACACAGCTTAGAAGGATATGGTGTGGATGCCTTCCTTCAAATCTCGAAACTTGGCAACAAGAACGAGCAAGTCACCACCAGAGCAACCATTGATGCGGTGTGATCCACCCAACCAGCAATGTACAAACTGTCCAAACGTCTACTCCGTATATATATATATATATATACCCTCGGAACCCTGAAGACAGAAAACGAGTAGAAAGTCGGCTTTACGGAACAAGATCAGGATTTGCTATTCCGTCTGGTCGGCCCATGTCGGAATGACGTCATCTGGAATGCACCCTCTCTTTTTGCCTTGGGAGAGTTGCAGCAGCCAAAAAAAAAAAAAAAAAAAAAAAAAAAAAGTCCATTTTGGTAGCTGTTCGTTGAGCCTTTTTTCTGAATGCTTGTATGGTGTGACGTCGTTCCTGTCCGTCCTCGTAAAATGAATCACCTCAACTCCAGCCATGATGATACTGTTACCATCTACATATTTCTCCTTCTCTTCGTGATTCTCTTCCTTAGCGGGCTCGGAACGTATCTTGACACCGACGACCGACCAAGAAGATCTACCACAGGCACTCCATCATAGTACGCCATCTAGAATCTAGAGCCCTCAAAATGGCCGGAACGTGCTCGATGCTGGGTCTAATCCTCGTCACCCTGTTCAGTACGTCGCCTCCACAATAGCATTACCTGGCTAGTACACTGCCGTCACTAACGATAACACCGAATAGTACCACCGCTCGGCGTGTTCCTCATGTCTGGCTGCAGCGTTGATTTCTTCATGAACATCCTCTTGACAATCCTGAGGTTAGTGGCTCATCTCTTCCCTTGATGCGTTTTGAATAATACCATACTCTCCCTGGGTAGTTACCAATTACATCGGAATGATATTTCCCCTCTGTTCAGATGCATTCCTTTAGTTAACGAATTGGGGAGAAAGAAAGAAAGAAAGAAAGAGAAATAAAATGGCTCCTACATAGCATAGCATAGCATAGCATATACAAACATACCTAAAACCCCATTTACACAGGATTCGAAGTAGACCCCGCCGCCGCCTCCTTCGGCTTCGACCCCTTCAAGGCCGGAAAACCAAAGGCCTTCGACTCTCCAACCACCCCCGCAGTATGCGGAACAGTGCCCGACCCTGGCGCCCACCACAACGCCCCAACCCAAGGCTGGACATTCCACCCAACGGAGAGCGTGACGTTGGCGCGCTCCGCCAGGCGGCCCGTGATATCACTAACCTGGTACTTGCTCTTCTGGTCGCGGAGCTTCAAGACGCCAGGCGCAGCAGCAGCAGCAGCAGGTGTTTTACTGTTGGTTTTCTTCGACGACGATGACGACGACGAAGATGTGCTGCTCTTCTTCTTCTTTGCCTTTGTTTTGCGGGGTGAAGAAGAGGAGGAAGACTTGGTGGGGAAGAGCCGCTCCCGGAGGTTCGAGAAGGAGTAGGGCGATTCGGGGGCCTCGATGATCGTGTCCCAGATTATGGATTGGGTGTTTGGGAGCAGGGAGGATTCCTTGTCGGAGGAAGAGTAGGAGGCGTAGACGTAGACGAAGAGCTGTTTTGTGTTCCAGTTGAAGAGGGGGGAGAGGTCTTGATTTTGTGTCAGTGTTGTTTCAGTTTGGTTGTGTATATATATATATATATATAATATTCTTTTTTTTTTTTTTTTTAAAAAAAAGGAAAAGAATAAACATACCAGCATCCAAATCAAATCGCATTTGCGCGTATTCTTCTTTTTTGGCCGAGTAGTAATGCGGACGGCCCTTGATTCTGTCATGGACCCCCCGGGGTTAGTGTTAGCTCTGCTAGAGTAGAGTAGAGTAGAGTAGAGTAGAAGAAGAAGAAAAGAGACGGCAAACGTTACACTTTGACATCTTTTAACTGGACTTTCGAGGTCACTCCATCGGTAGGGAACAAGACCACTGAGAGCGCCGCAAAGCCAGCGACGAAGATAGCTACTGTCGTGAAGAAGCCGAAGACCGCTTGGGCGCGGTTGAGGGTGGAATACATTTTATTTTGAGTCGGTCGATTCGACGGTAGATAGTGCCAGCCTCTGTCCAGACGAATAGCTATAAGCTATAAGAAAGAAAGAAAGAAAGAAAGAAAGAGGGAGTAATCCCGTGGACAGAAGGGAAGGGGAGTGAGCACTGAGTTATGCTGATGGATGAAGCCAGATGGACCTTTTTTCGTGAGATTCCGAGGCGGAGCTTGCCTTACAGTACATATCGATAAGGGAGTCATCATCCCCGTAGTCTAACTAACTATCTAACAACCTGTCCCTCTCTTTCTCTTTCTCTTTCTCTTTCAATTCAATTACTTCAACCTTCTCGTCAAGAGATTCGACACCCTTTACCTTCTCTAATCGAATAGATCGGAACCAAGATGGGCGACCACGTCCTCTTCTTCTACGGTACCCACTCCCTATACCCCCCCCCCCCCCTTTTCATATTTCATACATACATATATATACATCCACATATCTCTCTCTCGATATTGTTTATTATTATATTATTATATTACATGGATAATAACTAACCAAAGGAACCCTAATGGCCCCCCAAATCCTCTCCCGAGTAATTCACGGCTCCGCGACCCCCGCACCATGGCAAACGGCTCTGCTCCAATTCCATCCGGCCATATTACACGGGTATCGCAGGCACAGGGTACGAGGGGTGGATTATCCGGGTATAATAATAGCTGCAATACCTGCTGCCACTATTACAGAAACAGAAACAGAAACAACACCAGTAATGCCGGCAGCGTCAGTTCTCGGAACTCTAGTGTCGGGCCTGACAAACTGCGACCTGCACCGCCTAGACATCTTCGAGGGGTCCGAGTACGTGCGTGAGAAAGTGAAAGTCCGGATTCTTCGAGAGACCTTGCTTGGTGGTGATGAACCTGAACCTGAACCCGAACCCGGAACGGGGCATACTGGGGCCAATGTGAATGCGAATAGGAATATGGAATTCAATGGCGGTGGCGGTGGCTCCGAGGAGCATTTACGGGAGGTGCTTGAGGCCGCCCGCGCCGAGTTTGCAGATGAAGCGGAGGAAGTTGACGCGGTGACCTATGTGTGGGTTGCCGGGAGGGACAGGTTAGAGGATGCAGAGTGGGATTTTGAGGCGTTCAAGAGGGATAAGATGGCGTGGTGGGTTAATGCGGATGAGCGGGATTGGTAGTCGCTTACTAGTATATAGAGAGAGAGAGAGAGAGAGAGAGAGAGAGAGAGACGTGGTGATTGATATTATTGGAGAATCAATGGAATTGTCTAAGGGGAGGTAGTTATGATATAAAACGAATCAGCCATAAATAAGATAATATATGCAATGCTGGTTGGTATCTAATGCTCCCAGTAAAGATGTCAACGTATGTTCCTCCTGCCCCAAACGCCTAAATAAATAACGGCACTTGAAACACAAAGAATAAGACAATAACGAGGAATAACAAAAAGGGCCAGAGAGACGAGGGAACAGGGAAACGTAAATCTAGTGGAATATTGAATATGAATCTCAACATAAAGCATCCACGGAATCATGCAGCTTTCGGCGACTGGGGTGGCGTCCCAGGAACTTGAATATGCACTGCAATTTTCTTGCCCTTGCTGGCATTTTGGGGGTTCGAGACGGTAACCTCTTCCACGCCGTCACTGTCCTCGACGTACCCGGTGTCCCCGCCTTTCTGTTTCGGCTCTGTCGCCAGCACAGTTGAACGAGTCTCCACTGATTGTGTCAGTCTCGAGGGCTTGGCCTGGTCTTGACTATCAGGCACTTCGATAATCTCATGACGAGCCGAGGGGGCTTTCAGAGGCTTAGTAGACTCGGTGCCTGTACTGGCTACTTGGTCGATGTTGATCACGGGGGTTCCGGCTTTCGCATGGGCAGAGCTACTAGGGTGACTTGCGCTGCGAGCCCTGGGGCTTGTAGGCGATTGTACGCAAGGCCGGGCACTGGAAGGGGATCTTAACAGGTTCGATTCTGGTACCGGTGAGACTTGAGATTGGGATTGGGATTGTGGTTTGGCCGCCGCTTGCGAAGACATCATCCCGAGAAGATAGGAGATGGGCTGCAGGTCCACCATGCAACCCTTCTCGTCCGCTTTCTCACGGCTTAATTGTTCTTGCTCGATGTAAAGCGCCTCCAGAAATTTCCGCAACCGATATCGGAGAAGACCGGAGCGTAATGGAGGCCAGTCGCTTTCAGAACTCATTTCCTTCTGGAGAAGCTTCCTGATGAAGAGATCCGGGTCTTGCACGAATTTCTCGACGTAGGCTAAGAGATAGAGGCCGCAATCGGAATAATTAGGCTGCAGAGGAATACCCCGTGCTGTCATGCCCTTGACCAGGGTCTTATCAATCTCAACCCCTCTCTTGGACTTGGCCTCTTCGAAGAGATATTCACGAAGGATAGTGATAGTCGGCGAGCGCGCTACGTCCAGGGAGTCAAACGTGATAATGATTGGCTGTGAGGTGGGGTACCTTATGCCGGCATACTTCTTCTTTGGCTTTCGCCCCTTTCTAGGCGACCCCTTCGATTCCGAAGGCTTATCGGATTCAGGTTGGGTTTGACTAGATGACTCAAAGAACTTTGTGGGCGGAAGATTTGGATTTTCTTCCTGCTCAGGCCATTCAGTATCGGTATGTTTTGGGGTTTCCTGTGCTCCTGGCTTGTCGAGGAGACTCATCGAAGCGAGCGATTGCCTGGTTGTTTCCTCTTTGGCGGGTTCTGCATTTGTGTCACTATGTGGCCCTTCAGCGGGCTCAGTGGGTCCTGATGGCTCTGGGGTCTCCTTGACCTCACTCGTCGAGCGAGTAGCGGCGCCAGCTGGGTTATCATCCAATATGCCTGGCAGGTATGGCAAGTTGCAGATGATCGCAACATACCAATGCGCATTTTCGTTGATCGGTACCACGATATAATCGTAGCTGAACAAGTCAACGCTCCTGGTCCATTTTTGGACGCCTGCATAGTTGATGCCACGCTTGCCTCGGGGTAGGTTTGTCAGAGTTGCGAAGAAGTACGAGTTGAAAAAGTAAACCCGCTTTGCAGCTTCCGGATTGCATCGCTCGAGATGATCTTCTAGAAAACGAATATAGAATCCGATGAGGTTGTCGTTGAGAAATTCGCGGTCTCCCAGTCGCTCGAGATCCGAAGCGCCTACTTCGGCCTTTTTCTTGCCATAACGAGGGTATACGAGTGGGTGTCTTTTTTTTTGGTTAGTAAAGGTTGTTTCCTTTTGGGAGGTTGAACGTACTTGGCCCATTTCTGGGACCCCAAAGCAAAGCCTAGCTGGGGTATGCCATCGTCCTCACTATCGGGATCATCGTCGCTAGCAATGGCGTTAGAAAGATCCCCCCCCCCAACAAAAGAAAGGATACTCACTAGAGAACCGTAGTTGGCAACTGCCGCGCCATCGATCTCGTTGCCCGCACAGAGGTTTGTGGAATTGGGTTGTACTTTTTCACGGGTATTTCCACTGCTTCGTTGCGTTGTGTAACAGGGCTGGACGTGGTTCTAGAATTCGATTTCTCACTGGGTGTCACGGTAGGAGCTGAGGGGAGGATGTGGTTTCCAGGGGTCGTGTCTGGGGTTTCTCCAGCGGCATTTCCCTCGTTGTTTTGCAGCGCGTCTGAGAGTTTTACTCGCCTGGATGCCTCGGGTTTTAATTCCGGGGTTTCTTCGATCGCGGTCACGCGCCAGGAGCGTTTGACTCCGATTGCACCTTCTTGCTGTCTGCCTTCTCTCTGGCGTCTTTTAAAGGCTTTGTCCATCCACTCACTGTAAATCAGATTGTAAGCATACACAAAACGAGACAAAAAGAAATGGAACGCGGGGGGGTTAAATACCAAGGCTTTTCTTGCACCTCAATAATGTGAAGTTCGCGAGCCAAAGAGCAGAACTCCTCCTTCTCCCGTACTGACGATAGCTCAATATCGAATTTAGTCTCTTGTTCTGATCCTTTCGACGTCTCCAACCGAATCTTCCGGCTAGCGGTGTCCCCTGTTAGGATCTTGAGAACTTTTTGCAATGGAATATGGATTTCATGACGTATATCTGCTTCAGATGGACGGATGCAGATATCGCCATCTGTAGAATTCACCACAAGCTCATCAGTTTGGCTTTCTGGTGGATCGTGTGCAGCTCCACCGCGGAAAAACGTGACTTTAAATGATTGCCGCACGGACTTGCCTTTGGCGGCTTTTGCTTTTTTGTATTTAGGGTTCGTAAGGGTTCCGTGAGACGATGAGGTAAAGACAGTCGGTCGAATATTCGAGGGGGACGATGTCCTGGGTGCACTAGGCGCATTCTTCGTAGAATCTTCCAAAGAGGCTGGCACAGGACGAACTGTAGCCTCCCCTTGTAACTCATCGGGACTCTCCCTTGAAAGAGACGCGCGCATCTTTCCATTTGCCAAAGCACGATAGTCTCCCGCAGGTGGGCCTTTAGCAGTTTTCTTGGTAGGAACCGTAGTAGATTTATTAGAGATTTCCACGCTAGGAACCGATAATGCGCCTAGTTGATCTCGCGCTGCCGGTTCCGAATTCACACTCGATACGATGGATTGTCTTCGTCTCTCCTGTACTGCACCGTGAATGAAGCCGAGGTCCCGGTCTTCGGAAGATTGACAACTAGGTCGTCTAGGCATCTTTTGCGGACTAATCCGAGGAACCTTGATACCATTTTCAACACTCCGGTACTCCGATGGTTGGCCGGCCTTGAAATCCTTTTGCCTCATCGCTTGCGGCGAAATCTGACTGGGTATGGGGGATACACGAGTCGAATGTCCTATAACGACGGAAGATGCTGCGGGACGCTGGTGCGCGCCACGGTCGTCCAAAGGGTCTTCTACCCGACGCCGCTTTGGTGCTCTTTCCGGGGAATCTGCCGTATTGCTCGGACGTGTAAGCCTACCAAAAAACTGCCTTTCTTTCCCCCGCACGCGAACCGGTCCACTATCCCGAGATTTCCTTGATATAGTATCCATTGGCCTAAACGAAGGAGCGGCATCCTAGACCTGACATCAGCGAATCTGTTGGAGAATCATGGTCCGAATGAACATACTGCGATTCGCTTTTTGTTGAGTGACTGCCCCGGAACTATTCGTACGCCATTTGGATCCGGTCTGAAAATCAAAATAAAATCCGGTCAGTTAAACTCTCCCTAAGCCGAGCTCGCCCAAACAGGTTGTAGAGCTACAGTGTAGAGGCACAAAGTATAGAGGATAGACGCACCGTTGGCTCCCACCCAATAGCCTGAGTTCGTCCGAGGTCTGTTGCGAGTAATCCTTGCTACGCAAGGGATCTCTCCCCCGGGATCTGGTATGCATTGTATTAGCGTCGCGAACAATCCTCCCGCAATGACAAGACAATATTTACAGGTTCGACATCCCTAATCCTGGTTGTGAGGGATGGTGTGGCGCAGTAGTCGACGTATAGATCGATGTTCCCGAACCGATTGAAGATCTTTGACATAGCTATGAACGGACTATGAAAGCCAGAGAGAAAATTAGGTCCAGAATGGAGCACGGCGATAAGCTCTTTTTGGGGGGGGGGGGGGGGACTGTAGGAGTGAGAGAAAAAAAAGGAAAATACATTCCACCAAGAGTGGGATATATAGGTGCTCTGAAAAGAGCACAAGGGACAAAGAGAGCCTAGGATGAAAAATCCTGGATGGGAAAGAATGTAGTTTGGAAAAAAAAGGAGCTCTTACATGCGCTGGTTTCAAGAGTTTAGGTGAGACGAATAGCTCTGTTTCTTGCTCACAGCAGGCAAATTGGCATGGCGCTCACGGGACGCCTTAGTCCGCCGGGCGGAAGTAGTTGCATCTGATGACGGAGGCGGAGGATCGCTCTGGGGACAACAACTGAGGGGTCCGGTGGAGGGATGGAATTGCATAAAAGCACCACGAGGGTCATTGCGGGACCAGACACGGCGGAAAGGGGAGAGAGAGGAGTGGATGGAATCTGTTGTGGTGATCCACGCCGCCATCCGCATCTATGGCTCCAGGGCGGTCAAACGCGGTTCTGCCCCGATCCGAAGCTACGAGGGAGTTTGAGGCTATACTGATGTATAGTACAACCTGATGCAAGATTCATGCTTATTATGGCCTGGTATATTTTTTGTACTTTAAATACTAGTTGGGGGCATCGTCACAGAATGCCTCCCATTTGCGTCCACTCACATTTTTTTATGCAGGCAGGACAGGCAGGAGAGGAACGTTGGAGAGCAGGAGAAAACTTCCAGAAGAAGAAGAAGAAGAAGAAGAAGATAACCAAAGGAAAGGAAGGAGGGAAGAAAGAAAAGAAGGAAAACCAAAATGAGCACATAACCCCAAGTCAAATCACACGCAAAATATTCGCCCCAAATGTCCCCGGTCCCAAATCATCCCAAATGATTTTTGTGTTTTCTTACTATACACGATCATAACTCAAGACTCAGATAAAGCATGTCAAGACGCCGGTCCCTTTCCTTTATCCCCCACAGAGTCGTCCGCAGTGGTAGTTCTTCGGCGATCCGTCCCGAATTGGTGATGGTGGTGCTGGTTAGGAGGGTGGTTGTGGTGATGGTGATGATGGTGGTGGCTGCTGGTGTTGCCGGCCGCTTTCTCCTGGCGAGCCTGGTCGATAGCAGAGCGCTGGGCAATGCTGTCGTCGTGGCTCTTCCACACAATGTTTGTATCCGCGGGGAAGGCAAGCAAGCGCTTGATCGTTTCTCTGCAATTGGGTGAGTCAGAGAGCCGTAACAGCCCATCAGTGGCAAACGGAAATATCTATCATACCTGATCTTAATATTGCGCCCCCCGTCGATCCGAGTCCACACACTAAGAACATCCTCCCCGCTTCGCACACTGAGCACAGCACCACAGACCTCCTCACTCGCCTCCGCAAACTGGTCCCCAATCATGGCCAGCAGAAGATCCTCCCAGTACCGATCCGCGACGCCCTTCTTCAGTCTCACAATCCACTTTCCACCCTTCTTATTAGCTTCGTCCTCCCATACCGGGCGAATCCCCTTCTTGAAGATATGGTAGTCGGAGACCGTAGGGAGGAGGGAAGGTCTCTTCAGATGCGAGTATATCGACCAGAAGCTTTCGACCGAGGAGAGGGAGGCAAGGGGAGCGGTGGACTTTTCGTAGTCGGAGTATTTGGGTGTCGGGGGGCGATACCAGATAACCCAGGTAGATCTTAACAGATGCTCTTTGGCAGGCGATGTCGCAGAGCCCTTGGACTTGACGCCCTCCGTGGATGTCGCAACAGCCTGATCCACTGGATTATCCCGCTTCTCCCCGGGAGTCTTCACGTCCGATATTGCCCCGGGGGTCTTGGGAGCTCCGAAGGACGCAAAGGCGCCCGAGCCTAGGCCAAACGCAGAGGATGCATTCGTAGAGGGAGAGGACACCCCACCGGAAAGAGGGGAGAGAGCGTTGAAGGGATTGGATCGACCACCGTGGGAGCTGTCCGGACCGAAACGCTTGGATGTGCGGGAAAGGTCAACTCGGGCACCACTTTCTTTGCCGTCAGTCCCAGCCATAGACAGGGAGAGTTTGGAGGAGCTAAAGCAGGGAGAAGAGAGAGAAAGGTTAGTCAGAATCCAATATAATTGTCCGCATTCAAGGGAAGAGCAGAGAGATATATCGGACATACTTGGATCGGCGAGTCCACAGGTTGGCGTTATCCATGGGGGGCAAAGCGACTTGAGACAGCTCAAGAGGGAGCTGTCATCGGGCAGAAAAGAAGGACAAGAAGAAGAAAAAAAAAAACAACAACAGGCAGGCGAATTATGGTACAATTGTCGATAGAACAAAAAAGAGCAAGGCGAAAACAAGGCGAAACGCTAGGGCAATGCAGAATTCAAGACAAGCCGGAAGGAGGAGAGAGGAGGGTGGGAGGCGAAGGAAAGTTTAAAGAAGTGTGAGAGGGGGAGATGAGGAGAAAGAATCGTCAAAAAGAGAGAAATCGTAATCGTAACAAGAGAAAGGAGGATTGAGAGAAACCCAGGCAAGGTAGGGACGGGGAAAAGAAGAGGAAAAGAGAAATGTGAAACGGGAGGTTGGACAAGGAGAGTCGAGAAGTAACAGAGAAGTTTTTGAGGGCCAGTCAGTCAAGGAAGGGTATTATTATCTTTTGAAGTTTGAATCGTGAATTTCCATCCAGAGCCTTGGAAGGCCTGAGGCTGCCCATCTGTTCGTTCGTTCCAACGATTTTCCGGCGCCGAATGGCCGTTGACCAATCAGATTTCATCCCTGCGCTCTCCGCCCGCGACTTTATTTCTCCGTTCCGGATTCATCTTTTTTTCCCCCTCTTTATATTCGAGTTTTTCTCCTCCTTCTCTCCTTCCTTCTTTCAACAAACCCCAGACCACCAACTCAAATCATCGCTGTCTGCAACTTCTTTTTGTCCTCCACTGCACCAGCGATTCCGATGCGTGTGTCGAGAAAAAGCCTCAAAACCCCGCTTCTAAAACCATCATCACGAGGGCTTCACGGCTCCATGATGCGTTGATGACCTGTATGACGGGACATTCTTACCTCTATATCATCCATCTATATTTGTTTCTCTTGTTCGACATGTAGTTAAAAAAAAATGATAGATGATGGTGCGTTCATCCATACCACCTCCATCCTCGCTTCTCTCTTCTCCCTGCATGAGGAATTCGTATGATTTACAACATACTCTGGTAATCCGATGTACTCAACCGCTCTTCTCCTGTGTCTCTCGCGGGAAAATGCTGGTCGAGTTTGAGGTTCAATGGCACTGTCTGATTGTTGACTGGCAATGGTCGATTGTCGTCATTCATCTCTGCATCCATGTTTTTGTTTACAGACACCATTAATGACTAATTGTTCTGGCGTAGACTCCGATCTGTTTTCTCTCGCCAATGTCATTCAAGGACTACTACCAACAACACGGAAAATTCAATTATATTGTATCGTAAAAGAAGGAAGAAGAGTATACATGCACACCACCCACAATCGCAGAAAAATGCATATAAAAATGTCGCGGCACGGTCAAGTTGTGGGGGAAACAAAAAGGGGGGGGGGGGGGGGGGGGGTAAAAGTAGAATAAAATCACCTGTAAAATTCCCGAGTTCTAATACCGTTGCTCACTTGGTTGCACGGTAGGCGTTGGGCCATCAGTTGCATCCGGCCTGATGCGTTTTGCTTCTCGTTCCTCTTGACCAGGAGGAATCGTTTTCCGTTTCTCCTTATCCCGCTGGTACTCTGCCCGACGGGCTTCCCGGTCCCTTTCCTTTCGGAGCGCCTTGGATTCAAATTCATGCCAGTCTCCTTCCATATTCTCCAATCTGAACCCAAGAACGTGGTTAGCGGGGGTGCAAATGAAACCAGTTGCGGAAAATAGGGCAAAAAACGTACTCAGTGGGTTGCTGAGGGCTGGGTTCCTCCGCATGGAAATAAGGATGAGCAAGCACTTCTTCAGCCGTTGGCCGTTTAGAAGGATCGTAACGGAAGATTTGAGACACCATGTCCAGCGCCGCGGGTGATAGGGTATCACGGTACGCATCTTCAAAGATTCTTTTCTTCCGCTCGATTGGTCGCATGAGTTCAAACCAAGGCATTTCGACAATATCTGGCCATTCCGCCCGAGTCGGCGTTCCTAGAGCATTGTAAAGTTTGTCTAGCTGGCTGATCTCTCCCCCTTCTCCGGGGAACACGGCTTTCTTCGTGAACATTTCGACATAAACGCATGCCGCGCTCCAAACATCCACAGCGGGACCATATCTGGTCTCTCCTAGAAGAAGCTCTGGCGGACGATACCATATTGTGATTACACGGTTGGTGTAATCGAGCTGTCGGCTCTTGGAAAAGAATCGAGCCAGCCCAAAGTCCGCAAATTTAAGCTGTCCCCGATTGCTAATGAGAATGTTGGCAGCCTTGATATCTCGGTGGAGAACACCTCGATGATGAAGGTAGTTTAGGCCCTCAAACATCTGCTTCGCGAGATCCTTCTTATGAGCGGCGGTCAGTGTGAAGGTAGGATGGTTTATGAGACCAGTCAAATCATGTGAAAGGTATTCAAACACCATGAAGCACTCGTTCTTCTCAACCATCACTTCGAGCAAACTCACAACATTGTGATTCCGGAGGTGCTGAAGTAATTTGATCTCTCGCACGGCTGTTACAGGAAATCCATCCTTCTCCCCCTCCATGCGTATTTTCTTGAGCGCGACCTTGTTCTGCGTATAGACGTGAATTGCTTTGAAGACCTTTCCATACGTGCCGGCTCCAATCACAGATTCATTCCCTGGCTTGCGATAGTATACAGAATCTGAACTAGCGAATTCCTCAGAAATGGTAGGACGTGGTTTGGGCCTGACCATAATCTTAGCTCTTTTGACTACTGGCTCTGGAGAGCGATCCCGGTGGCGCTCCGCACGGAAGTCTTGTGCTCGGTCGCTCCGCCTTCGATCAGGCCGATTATCGAATCGACGGTCGTCTCGCCGATCAGGGCCACGTCCATCTCGAGGTTCACGGAAACCACGAGGATCTCGGAAATCCCTTCGATCATTTCTGCCCTTGTTTCGATCCCGATCCCGGTTTCGGTCTCGATCTCGATCACGCCGGTCAAAGCGTGTATCAGGTTTGAATCTGGGCGGTGGTCCTGTTGGGATTCGGTTGCGCGGAGGTGGAGGCTCAGCGACCCGGGGGGGTGGCTCTCGAGCTAACATCCGCTGTGCTAAATCGGGAACAGGTTTAGGAGCCGAAGCTGGGCCTGTCTTAGCCTTAAAGGCAAAGCTAATCTTGCCACCTTTATTTGGGGTGGCAGACGTGTCCGGGGGGGGATTATCAGGCGGTAGTGTCTGAGAGCTCTCATGGTCTGACCCACGTTTTGTTACTTCATCTCCCACTCGGGAGTCTTTGCTTGAGGGTCTGAAGTTGGCATCATCATCATATCCGCCTTGACGTAAGTGGTGATCAGGGGGAGGAGGGGGGGGGCTGTTTGACAGCGGCCTATGCGGTGGCGGAGGACTGGAGGGGCCCGCTCGGCTTCGCGAGTCCGAAGGATCCCATTGTGGGCTACCAAACTGACCTCTGCCGTGAGAGGGGGCTCCTGTGGACCCGGACGCCGAGAATCGACGGTCGGTAACACGGTGGTTACCACGGTATCCTGAATGACCACCACGATACGCATGGGATGAGCCTTGATTTGATGATGCCGTATAGGGTAGTTGATTTTGGTAGTAATAACTTGGGGAGGCGTTTATGGATGGGTTACTTTGCCTAGATAAGGGTTAAAATTAGCTGATGAAGGAATAAAAAAAAAAAAATAAATAAACCAAAGGTTGTTGCAGAGAATAACGAACCCCTGTTGGCTATGATATAAAGCTTGGTGGCCAGCTCGTATGCCCCGCCCAGCAGAATGCGGTGAATTGGAGCGAGGAGATCCGTGGTGGGAGTTGGCTGGAGTAGCATACTGGGGCGAGGATAGGTATGGTCGCGTGTCAGTATGCGATCGCGACGGTTGGCGTCGCTGTGAGGCACGAGTATCGAGGCCACCTATATCCGCAGAAATACTGGCTGTGTCTGCATCAGGGTTAGGATTCAGTCGTGATGGCGAGGGTGACCTGAAGGAATTCCCTCCCCCCATATGGCCAGGTCGAGGGGGGTACATCGTGGAATCACCTTTTGATTCACGACGTGAGAAGGATGATAGCCTAGAGTTCATAGAACCCACGGAATGACGTGAAACGGACCGATAGCGAGACGCCTCCTCGAAATCGTCCTCCGGTCCAGGGCTACGAAACCGTCTCCGAGGGGGGTATGGCTTGCCACCCCAGCCAGGGGACTTAGAGTGCCTGGGTTGTGGTGAGCCTCGCCGACCTCCTTCGCTCTTTCGGCGGTCTCGTCCTCGCCGCGGTGATAACCTTCGACCAGCCCTGCCGCGGCCGGGTAGACGCCCTCCTCGTCTTTTATTATGCGGCAGACTCCTGTCAAACTCGTCCCCCTGAGAGGAAAGTGGATGGCGCGGGCGAGCAGGAGGGTGGTTCTGATAAATTCCCGGAGAGGGGCTGCGTGTTCTCTTGCGTTTCGAAGGAGGCGGCCCCGGTGGAGAGTCGTCTTTGCGATAATCTCTCTCGGCTGTCCTGAGGTGTGACTCTGGACCCTGATGATCTGCTGGGGGAGGGGAATGATCGCGACTTGGTTTCTGGCCGGGGTGGATGTCCGTATATGGAGGCCCCGGGGATCCGCGAGCAGAAGCAATATTAGGAGAAAATTCACGGTGATGAGGATCGTTGTCTGACTGGGGGAAGGGACGTGGTGGTGGCGGCGACCGTGACGAATAATCAGGTCGGGCCTCCTTGGGCCTTCGACGACGGTCTCGATCGCGAAACCTGTCCCTTCCCCTATCACGGTGAGAGCCCCGAGGCCTATGTTTCTCACGGCCTCGTTGGTCTCCAGCGTCACCGGCGCCTCTCCACTGGTCTCTCAACACTGGACTCCTACGGGACCCAGCCATAAGCACTTGTTTTCCTGCTGCATCTGGTTGAAAAGGGCCCAGATGAAAATGACGGCGAGGATGGATGGCGAAATGGCGGAGCTGTGGGAAGATGGGGTGATATTGGCTGATGGTTGTGAGCGAACCCCGAAGAAAAAGACGGGCTCCCTCGTTCCTTCTCTCGCCAGTTAACTAAGCGTGTGTCGCCCGCGTTGTTGGAGGCTTTTCGGGGCGGGAAGATTGGGTGGTACGGAAGACCAGTTTTTCCGGGGCTGAACGTGAGGGTTCTGTATGAGAATGACGGACATGGGATTAATCAATAATTATAATAATGATAACTAGAATAATCTGGGGAGAAACGCACCTTTTGTTGAGCCCCCCCCCAAAGTCAGAGGCCGGATATGGGGATAGTGGTGGGATGTGGTGATGGTGATGGTAATAATAGTCGTTGTGGGTGGGTTATCACTTTAGGGAGACATACGAAGAGACAGTAAGTTTTCTACTTGGCTGGACGGGACGATAAAGGGAACTTCGCAGTTCGTCCCAGGGGGGGGGTTTCTTTTTAGCCCACCCGTTGTGTCTTTCTTTCTTTCTTTCTTTCTTTTTTCTTTTTTCTTTTTTCTTTTCCCTTTTCGATTTCGCCTGCACGGCGGCTCTTACTACGAATATAACTCGAAATCTCACTGGATCATGTCAGTCAATCCTCCAGTCACTCAGGGTTTAGACCACTGAGCGGTGGTGTTGCTGTTTGGTCATCAAGACCCCTTGGATGTGTGAGGATTGGAGATAGAATCTCAACTCCCCCGATATTGATGCTTTAAATGAAGCCGTCGGAGCAGGAAGAGGTTCAACGACCTCAAAAGCTTACGCCACTGCACCCGGAGTGAGTGAGTGGGTGGGCTTTAAAACTCCTTGGATGGTATCCGTGTGCTAGGTACTTGGTTTGGTGCCTTGCCCCTCATCCCATCCCATCCTTCCCGTTCCTCAAGAACTGATAGCGGGTGGTTCTCGGTTCACGGCCAGCAGCGCTGAGATTTCTTCGCCTATTGCATAACTCGACCCAAATCAGGCTCTTTCCAAACCCCTTACCTCCAAAACAGCGCGATTTGTAGTCCTTGGCGGAAAAAAGAGCTCCTCTGGCTTCTGAACATATCAAACCTATCTACGAGGGGAGGGGGAACAACGGACAAGGTGAGGAAGACCTGGAGCAACCATTGCACAGAGGAATGAAGAAGCGTTCTGGCTGTAACTGAGCCCTGGCGCAAGGTGGATAGATAGCCCTTGGTCTCTTCAAATCTCCTTGCCGGCATCAAACCCGTACGGGACGTGGAACAAACCAGCCATGGTGTAAGGCCTGTGCCATGGCAAGTTGAATCAAACTGAACAGTATTGTCCACCACTTTATGGGCCTCGATAGTCCAGTCAATCACTGATGCCCCGGATTGCCCTTCATCCCCAGGGACGCTCTCAAAAATGCCAAATTCAGGCGCTTTTACTGGAAAAATTCACAGATCTGAAACAAAAGCAGATATCACAATCTTGGAGGCGTGGTAACAGACTTGTACCCAAGTGACAAGGAAGATAAAAATAGTTGAGGGGGGCGGAGTCCCAGCATCAGCAGCCAAATGGTGGTAGACGGACAAGAACAGATAAAATTTAGGCCATAAGTAACTGGCATAATCTAATAAACTGGGATGGTTATTAGTTTGGTCGCAAGTCACATACCTCTTTCGGAGTAGCCAACGATCCCTGCTAGCGGATTGTAGGAGGTGCACGAGATCTTCTGAAAATACGAAGACGGTTCCATTTTCCGTTGCTCGAAATAACGACAGCCCAGTCCGACATATTCCAAACCCAGAATGGCCATCAGGAGGTGATTGTGGTACGTTGAGCTAGGCAGGTCCTAGGCGGTGGGGGGGGGGGGGGGAGGAGGGGGGAGTTCCAACCCAGGAAGGAGGCATTAGGGTGAGGGAAGTCCGATCGCACGAGGCTCACACGTCCACATCTCAGGAATCAAATCGCAAAAGAGTATTACTCTGTATAACCTCCCAACCGACCGAACATACCCGGGGGAGGATGGAGAAGGACGCTGTTGACACACAGCTTTTGCACGGGAGGTGATTTGATGACAGATCGAGATTCCGCACGCCTTCCGTTCAACTGCAACCAAGCCGAGCGGGCACGTGATTGGATGGGAGTACATAAGCAGAATTCCCGATGAGGAAATCGAGAGAAGAAAGGAAGCTTTTGGAGTTTCTATATTAACTCGAGCAAAACAGGTAATCCCCATTGGCATCTATCAATTAGACATACATTTCAAGAAACAGAGGTATTTTGACTAGTTGTACATCAAAGAAAAGGGGGAGAACGCAAAAGACAGCATAAGAAAACGAAAGAAAGAAAGAAAGAAAGAAAACAAAACAAAACAAAACATTGTATATCTGGAAACCCTCAGCAACAATGAAAATAAACCAAGCCCCCTTCCCCAGGAAAACAAACAAAGCAGAAAAAAAAACAATACAAACAGAAGCAGCCCACAAGTACGCTGACTCCCCGTGTCGCCGGATTCTCCGTCCTTTTGATACACACACAAACATCATAAACGCAAACAAGAAGCATCCAGATGACGAGTACAGGAAATTGTAAAAATAGGTAAGTGCCGTAAGAAATGATAACTTGGTGGTGGGCAAGATCGAAAGCAAAGAAAGGCATATCGGAAAACATTAAAGGCATAACGAATCATACATCACAAGGGGGGTAATAATGCCATCAGGTGCTAGAAAAGATTACGCAATGTTCGTAGAGAAGCAACGTGGACCATGGAGAGAGAGGGGAGAGGAAGCAGCAGCAGAAGAAATGGAGTCCTGTTATTAAGCAACAGCCGCACTAGGTTCGGGATCGTGGTCAGCTGGACCGTGGATTTCGGCCTTTTCTTCCTGATCTGCTTCAGGCAAAGGCATAGAGTTCTCTCGGCCATTAACAACATCCAGGACCTCTAGCGCCTCGTTGGCATGTGTGTTCTGCATCGGTTCCAACTCCTGTTCTGGCTCCGGCTCCGGCTCCGGCTCAGCATCCTGGTTTGTCAAATCGGCAAACACATCGTCCAAGTTCTGCCGAGGACTGCTGCCAAAGGGACCGGGACTGTCAACATCGACCGCTGAAGGGCCGCTATTAGGGTTGCGGCCAAACCCGGGAGGGCTAAAAAGGGCCGTATCTAGACGATCGTGATGTGGAGAGGGAGAACGCGGCGGGAAGGAGGGCGAATGCGCTGAAACATGAGGTAAGAATGCAGAAGACCCGGGAGCAAAGGCAGGAGTTGAGTCACTAGCGGGGAGGGAATAGTTTGCAGAGAAGGGATAGGGTGCATTCGGTGCGTCATTCATCGGGGTCAATGTGGGCCCCGTGCGAGCGGACTCTCCATTCGAACCGTCGCCTGGTGTCGGAGGAGCTGGGTGGAGGATTGTAGGTCTGCTAGTTTGAGATTCAATTGACTTGCGCTTGGCCAAGTTCGGCTGCTTCGTGCGGAGGTGTGGAGGGAGATCTTCAGGACGATCCACGCCCAACTGCGCCATAATCTTCTGCTGTTTGGTTGGACGCGGCTTTCGCGTTGACAGAGACTGCTCCAGAATTGGGGGAGGTTCTGGGGCGACGGGCTGCCATTTGTGAATCTCTTGCCGGAAGAAATTTGTCTCATAGGCCAGCAGAACTTCGGCGCCTTCTATTTTCCGCAGGTAGAAGATCAAGGTGGGTACTTCTTCTGTGGTGGTGCAAGCGGCATTGGTAAAACTCTGCAGGAAATCCCGGAACGTAGTTGCCTGGTTGACGATGTTGTCGAGAGTTTGCTCTTCGTCGGGCTGGAAAGGGAGACCGGCGATTTCAGCCTGCCAGTCTAGAAGATCCTCCAGCTTCGGGCGAGCCGCATCTCGAGGGATCTTTTGACGCCAATCGCAGATTGGACATGTATACCTATCGTGTTCCTTGACCTTGCCTCGGGCGATCTTCAAGCATTTGCCATGGTACCTGATCAAGATCAGCGCACGGACGCATCCAATGCAATGGCGAGTAGAAGAGAGAGAAAGAGAAAAAAAAAAAGGGGGGGTTACCATTCACGACAGATTTCACACTCAATCATCATCCCAGCTTCCGAATGCCTGCAAATACAGAACACATCTCTCGCGCGTGACTGCCCGCTACCCCACATTGGGGCGACGTGGTTATTTTCGAGGAGATTGTCGGGGCTATTATCCCGAGACGCTGGTTCAACTGGAGGTCGGAAGCGATCTTCCAGGTCAAAACAATACGAATTTCTCTTCTCCACGTACTCCATATGCGATTTGAGAATATGCAACGGAGCATTGGCCTTCCCAAATAGCTTCTTTCCTTTCCTCATCCAGTCCTCGTGGCGTTTCTGTTCCCGCTCCAGGTCAATTGCACCGGTAGGCCGGCTATTTAATTCCTCCAGCGAATCCATCAGTTCCCGGATCTCCTTATACTTAGGGCGATTCCTAAAATCTGGGTCCTTGCTCCTCTCATATAGGCTTTGTATCCTCTTTTGCGCTTCGCGTTGTTTGGTCAATATGGCATCTACGGCTGCGAGTGTGTCTGCGGAGACGGGAAAGCGAGACGCCTGCGCGGATAAAGCCTCCAGCTGTTGATAGTGCACCGCCTCTACGGACATCAGCTCCTTGGCCTTTGCTTCCCATGCTTCACCATGACGGCATAGTTCCTTGAAAAAACGAAGATGATCGTTTGTGTCCGACAACCCCAACTGCTCACCCCCCTGAATCAGCGCCTGACAATCCTTGAGAGTCATGTACTGATCACGTTTGCGGCCCGCATCCTCATTCCACCTCATTTGTCGGAGAATGTGTTCCAAGCCCTCAACCTCGGGAATATCCACGTTGAAGTTCCGGGCGGACTCCACCAATTCTTCAACTTCCTGTACTGATCGGATATGGGGGTTCATGAGCGCAACGTTAACGTCCTGGCGGAATTTCTCGATTTCGCGGGTCTTCTCTTCCAGAGCCGCCATCTGTGGACAGTCGAATGACAGTTTATCAGCCTCTGCTAGAAGGGCGTAGATGTTTTCTACCCTGCGAACTTCACGGTCACGTTCTTCCAGCTGCGAGGCCTTAGAAGTAGCCTTGCGCCAAGCTTTCTCGTTTTTCCTCCGATTTTGCTGCTTTCGCGTAATGTAGTTGGTTGCTTCCTCAACCCATTTATCACAGCGCTGAACGAAAGCCGCAAGATCTTGGAGGCCAGGTAAATGGTATGGGATTTTCTCACCTTCATTAAGTAGGTTATGAAGGACCTTCAAGTTGGGATTCGGTTCATCTTCCAGAATTTTGTCGCGCTTCTCCCCCCACGCTTCCGGGATCCTGGCGCGCTCCTGGATTTTGAGGACCAAGTTCTTCAAGGCATCGTCGCCGATGCGGTAGCGTAATGTGTGATCGGGGCCCAGGAGTCTTTGCGAAAGGGGCACTCCACAGCAATCATAGGTATCCACATGTATCAGACAGAGCGTTTTTCCAGTTTTATGGCAATAGAATTGAGAGAGAAAACTGAAGGCCTTGCAATACTGGCATTGGTAGTCATCTTCTGGAAGATCTTTATCCTCAACCACAAACTTCAATTGGCAGTCGCCTGTGGCCGCAGGGTCTTCCGACAACAGGGCACAATGATGAGGTGTGACCTCTCGGTGTCGGGAAGCAAATGACGCACGTTCCGCTAACTCCCGGGCGCATGTCCGTTGGAGGGCTGGAGCTAACCATTTTGCTGTAGATATGGACGTATCTCGGGCCGCAGCATTGAACAGCAATTCATCATGTGAGAAACAAGGGTGCCTTCGAAAAGCTTGGAGACGTTCTACGCCCATGGCTCCCCATGGCTCCCAGTCCACCGGGGCGAAGTTGACAGCCTCGTTGAAGTTAAACCCGTGGTTGAACCCAGCATGGTACGCCTGGGGGAACGTAATGACAAATTGGCCGGCTCGCTGATCAAGAGCGTAAACATTAACCCCCGCTTTCCTCAGTTGATCTGGTGGCATCAGGGTCACCAGCTGGAATAGTAAATCCGGCTGACTCTCGAACAGTTCGGGGACGGCTTGTCGCATGGCTTCTTCAAACGCTTCTGCATCGGCCCCCGGGATACCGTACCAAGTTTTGGTAGCACCGAAATGCTGGTAATTGGCCGAGTAGGCATAATGGTCCTCGTTATGCCAACAAAAGGTGGAGAAGCACATTCCCACGTAAACCCATGGAACAGTCATGCCTGAGATATCGGATTTGATATGGCGAAACAGGGAGTCGCCGTAAAAGGGAAGGACATTAAGGTTCCAGGGATCCACCGAGTATGGGTCGAGCGGATTTCGTTCAATCGTGGGGAAGCCGCTGCCATGGGTGGTAGAATGAATGTCCGCTCCATATTCAACCTCAACAGTCTCGGTTAAGCTCTCAACTAGCCTCCAGAATTCGCGCTCAACGTCATCCTCGGACTCCCGTCGATGGGTGTTGAGAACAGGGTCGAAAGGCATTTTGGATGCGAAATAACTTTTCTTGAAAGTATTGGCCTTCTCCTGGAATTGTTTGAGCGAATAGACGCCACCTTCTTCGAATCCGAACTCTCCTGTCCCAACCAGGCATTTAGGGCAGTGCCAGTCGTACTCAGGGATATTCGTCAAGGGAGGATCGAGGCAGTATTTATGGTAGCCATGCTCACAGCTGTCACATAAGAGGATCGAGGGGCGATCTTCCGACTTGCCACAGGTCTCACATTTCTAGAGTGGGAAATTAGCGTGATACATAACCCCCAGCGACATAAGAGGGGGATAAAAAAGAGTAGAAAAAAAACTTACATCTCCAGTTTTCCGAACGTCCCCCTTCCTTCCACGCGGGGGAGTCGGTCGAAGAAGGCTCATGTGTGATCCCGCAATTGTGGGCAAGGGTGGATCTGGCAGGGGATGGGTTTAAGAATCGAGTGAACGCAAAGGGATGGGATGATGAACACGTACCTTTTCGCAGTCGTTTACTTCGTCGTCCATTGGCGTCCACTTCCCCATTCTCGGTCTGAGATCCGCTTTCGTGGCTAATTCCGCGCTTCATTGGTTGGCTACCATGGCCGTTTGACAGGGGGGTCGAGGTCTGCGGGTGCTCCGCAACGCTCTTGGGCGTAAGATGGTCATTTTCTGCTTCCCGTTTGACGGTTGGCCCGCTATTGACGGCGACAAAAGACGGTGATCGATTGACGGCAGTAAAGCCACCTGCATTCACCGGGGTGAAACTGGCTGCAACCGGGCGCGGAGGTGTTGGATCAACCGGCGGTGTGGACTTCTGATCAGGGGTTGCCTCGATCTCCCTGGGGGTGGTGTGGGGGCCGACAGCTGGAAGACCAAGGGATGCCTGGGGTGTGGCGGAAGGAGTATTACTCTCGAGGGGACTGGGCTTTTTGGGCATCGGCGAATGATTGGGCGATGGGGTGTAAGGGCCGCCATGTTCCAACTCGAGCTGTTGCTGCACGCCCGGCTTCGCCACCCGGAGGTACTCTTCGTACGGCTGGAGCCATCGCTGATAAGAATTCTTCAGCGAGGTGGAAAGCGACGACATGATCTTGCCACTGTAGCCGAGGTCGCGACCAATCTCAGCCCACTTTTTCATTTTACAGACTTGATCAAAGCCACCTCGGACCTCGACGGCCTTTTTCAGCTTGTAGAGATCTAGTGGGCGTTTATCGACGCTGGGGAAGCGATTCAAGTTGGTACCATGCTGCTTGTGATACTTGGCTAATTGGTCAAGGTAGTTCAAGTTTGCACGAGTTCCTGGGTCCCGGTCAGAACTGGGCTGCGGAGTTCCACCGGCAGCAAGCGTGGCTGAACGCGGGGGCATACCTCCTTCAACCGAGTTGAGCTCTTGTCGACGGGTTTTAAAATGAAATCGCTGGAGAAATAAGGATGAATTAGCTTCAGGACATGGGGAAAGAGTAGTAGCGGTGTTGTGGCGAGAACCCCTCCCCTCCCCCCAATAAAAAGAAAACAAAAACAAAAAGACGAACGACGAAAGAAGAAGAAGAAGAAGAAGAAGAAGAAGAAGAATTCCCATACCTCTGTATCAATGGCAAATGGCGGTTGCCAGTTTTCTGGCGGAATAATCCTGCAAATGCCATATTTCCTGCCTTCGGGCGCGATCTTGCGAATGTAGGCCTCGGGGTCCCTGAATTCCTCCTTGGTTGGGCGAAAGGTCGGGGCCTCCTGCAGACCATGGGGCCGGACTCGGTTTGTAGGTTCGCGGGGGGCATTCGGCTGGCCTCGTCGTTCGACGGTGGAGAGATCGAGGGGAGCGGATCGTCGAGCGCTCAAGGGAACATTGTGCGAGTGGGAAGGATGGGTGCTCGATGATCGAGTGGGCTGACAGTTTGCGGACGACTGGGTACCTATCGAGATCCCTCCCATTGCGGCCGGAGCCACCATGTCTGCAGCGAGATCACCAAATTGCGCGTGAATTATCGCGGATGGAAGAGGGTCAGGGTCCAATGCGAAAAGCACATGGAGGAAGGTCTAGAAACCCGATGAATGCAGAGAGACGTGATTACAAAAATCGGGGCCCCCAAAAAGGATGAAAGGATGATGATAATCGATGGAGAAAAGGAAGAGATAGATTAGGAGGTTAGAAGGGGAGGGGGGGGGAGAAAGTAGTGGATGTGAAGGTGGAAGGTGGAAGGTGGGAAGGTGGAGGAAAGAAAGGATGGATGGGATGGATAGAGAGAGAGAGAGAGAGAGAGATGAAGGTCGAGAGGGAAGTCCGAGATTGAGTCCCAGGAGGGTTAGTGTGGAGAATCTCGGAAGTCCAAGCAACAGTTGAGCGCCACACAGGTAGGATACTCAGATACTGTACTTAATTCTAATAGGTGATAATAATAACAAGAACAATCATTATGACCATTTCCGTCCCTAGTTTAGTCGTTAGTTGGGGACAATTGGAGGATTTGATAGGAGTAGGTACCTATAGTACTACTAGGTAGTAGTAGGAGGTACTTATCAAGGGAAGGTGGTATTCAATATGTACTGTATGGAAAGATTCCCCTGGCTGCAAACGGTGATTTACAGTCCGGGATCCAGGATACTGAGGAGAGACTATTTAATAATAGATTCATTGATTATGTATGAATTAAATTTGCATATAACCATTAATAGTAACCTCTTTTGCTTTGCTTGAATGTTGTTACATATAATATCCAGGTGGTATCATTCTGGTATATATTACACTCCTGTATTCTGAACACTGAATAGCTTCAATTTCTACATTCGGTATACATGACTCTAGTGGGCCCAGTACGAGAGTCAAATCATGTCTAAAGCGACTCCCGGGGTCTCTTTTAACTCACCTTGTGAGTTATTATCTTTTCCTTCTTTTCTTTTGTTTCTTTCTCTTCTTGCTGAACCCGGAAATTACTTCCGTATTGCTTCATCTTGAGATCACAGCTTATATTCAACTTACTCCGGTGTATAGAGTACCTGTGGCGTAGCACTGGTTTCCTTTCCGGGAATAGCGGTGGGTTTCCATTCGGAATTTTAGATGGTCGACATACCTAGGTATGTACAAACTACCTCTTCCTACATGTCAATACAATTCAATGTCATTCTGTGATTCAATCCAGTATAGATTGATTTTATTGATGCAGCAATGGACCCCAAACCAATCCCACCCTACTACTGCTGCTATCTGCTGCGCTCGACAGGGGGAGGATTCCAACGTCCCGCGCTCTACATCGGCTCAACCCCCGACCCGCCCCGGCGTCTTGCACAGCATAACGGGGTGTCCAAGGGTGGTGCCAAACGCACAGCCCGGGATGGAAGACGACCGTGGGAGATGGTTCTACTCGTGGAAGGGTTCGCTAGTCGGGTAGGAGCTCTGCAGTTCGAATGGGCCTGGCAACATCCGGCTGCGTCTCGCCACTTAGTACCAGACATGCAAGACCAGAATGAGGCGGTGGAGGATGACGACCAGAACAAGTCGAGGAAGAAGCCGAAGGAAGGAAGGAAACCGCCCGCTCGTCGGACCCGGTTGTCACTGCAGGCGCATTTGGAGGACCTGCATCTCCTGCTGCGGACGAGGTATTTCGCCGCTTGGCCGCTTACTGTGCGGTTTTTCGCCGCCGATGTCCACCGCGTGTGGAAAGGTTGGTGCGATCGTGTCGACGGGGTGGTGCCGCGTCATATTACCGTCGTCGGGGATGGGGATTGTGAAGAGGCGCCGCTGGGGCAGCAGGGTGCTGGGAAGTCCAAGGTTGGCGGGGTTAAGAATATCCAGACGGATTATGCCCATATCTACGGTTATTTGGAGAAAGGAATGGATCTAGCAGAGAATCTGGCAGGGTTACATTGCCATCTGTGCGAGATCCAGTTCAATCAGGAGGATCTGGTCACTGTGTGTCCACAGGCGAGCTGCAAATGTGTCACTCATTTGATATGTCTATCTACGAAATTTCTAGATCGAGCTAGCGACGAAGACCGGTTCGTGCCGCTAGAGGGGAACTGCCCAGCGTGTAATGAAACAGTGCCGTGGCAACTTCTGATGCAGGAGTTGAGCATTCGAACCCGAGGGAGAGTCATGTTCCAGGCTATGCGAAGGAAAGAAAAAAGAAAAGCTCAAAAGGGAACCAAGAAGGGGTCAAACATGCCGGAGGGAGTCCAATACTCAGCAGCGCCTGTGACTGATTCAGAGACTGTGCTTGATCTGTCTCAAGCCCACGCGCACGTTTCGGACGAGGACAACCTCTCCTTGGATGATAACTGGGCCGAGTTATTGAATTCTGAATCAGAACCGGAGACCAAGACGAACCCCCCGAGAGTCGAAATTGTTATAGAAGACAGTGATCTCGATGACGCGATCTCTTTGGGCTGAACCAATACATACCGCAGAGCTAGACGCTAGATTACAATCCAACCATCAGGAAATGGACGTGAGTTTCGCCAAAGGACTAGCGGGATCCAAGCATGCAATACACTCGGTCACAATCTTCTCGATATCGTCTGACACTTCTTGAAACGATCTTCCGGCATCAAGCATGCGAACCGTGCCTCCTCGCTGGAGGTCAAATATAGTTTGGAACAGCTCCCGCACACGGGTCTGCATAGCCTCGTTCTCATAACGCTCCGCACCAAATCCGCCACGCTTTGCTGCCTCTTCGGGAGATATGCGAAGGAAGAGACATAGATCCGGCCGGGGCAATCCGATTTCTGGAAGCCAGGCCCATTCAAGGGATAAAGAAGGATTGCCTTTGGCGGCCGAATACACTGCGCCGGAATACGAATATCGGTCGACAATCACATTGACCCCATTGGCGATATCTTGCTCAATGCTCCGGGCAGCCTCCCATCGATTTGCGGAGAAGAGAAGGTGAATGGAATGGTCATCCAACTGCGATTGGCCGCGTAAATAGCCATCGATCATCTTGCCAATGGACGTGGTTCGGTCTCGGACTGGTTAGTGAGAGAATTTAACCACCGAATACCACTCAGGAAATACCTGGAAACCTAATATATTTCACTGCATGACCGGATTCCTGTAAATAGTTGCGAAGGAGCTCGCACTGGCTGGATTTGCCAGCTCGATCCAGGCCTTCGACGACAATCAGAGCCCCGCGTCTCGCGCGTGTTTCTTTCGCGTTCATGCTGTAGACACAGGTATGATTCAACTATGGACGTCACTCTTTTCAAAACACACAAGCGTCTATTCCCCCCAAGTAGAACCAAATCGATAGGTTCAGTGCGGCGTAGCGGTGGATGGTCAAGAAAGGCCTGAGAACGCGGCGGCGGTGGCCCACTGGGGATAATTTCAATCACCCCAACCCACTTTCTTTTCTGCCACCACCTCTTCCTGAATCTCCACCCTCCTCCTCTTCCTCCTCCCGTTCCCCATCCAACCCTGCAGATCGTCATGGGCTCAGAGATCCTCTCCCAGTCGCCAGACGAGATGCTCAAATTCAGTCTTCTGCATCCTGGCGCTGCCTCGGTCCTAACCCCGCGCCTGGGGCAGTTGGCCGTTGCGGGCAGAAAGACCATCGCAACCCCGAACTATATCCCTCTGACTTCGCGGGGAGTCGTCTCTCATGTATCCCATGATGTGTTGCGCGATAGCACCTCGATTAGCAGCATGTTCATCGGTCTAGAAGATTGTATGTATTCCCTGTTTCCCTGGACGGTTACCGAGAATGAGAGAGACCACGCGACACTGACACTTTGATGCCCATTGGGGCTCAGCCTATCAGTCATAGAAAGACAACAACAACCCAAAAAGTACCGAATCCCGGTTCCAATCTACTCAGTCCCTACTGCGCCTCATGAGTCGGCTTTGCGCAAGTTTATTGGTGCTCCAGACGACCACTGCTTGATTTTGGGTCCCCGTCGCGAGCCCTCCATCGCTTGTCCCTCGAATAATACACCCAACTCCATCGCGATTCTCACGTCTGTCGGGTACAGACAACTCGAGGCGGCTCAATATGTTGAAGCCATTCAGAAGCTCAGCCCGGACATTGTGATCGGACTGGCAGATCTGGCGATGGCGGGTCAGGAGCCTGGAACCAAGAGACGGGTGAAAATGGTGGACCGCACACACGCATTCACCACGCATGCGACAGACCAACTTTACGGAATCAACGTGCCCGCAGCAGATCGGTCAAAGGCGGCATATTTCGCACCCATCCTCCCGCTAGAGAACACTCAGCAGCAAATTTACTTGGAGGACCTGGAGACCGACCTTCGCGGCGCAGTCTCGGGCCTCGCCCTCTACCAGTCTGACTCGCTGTCGATTGTGCCAGAATCTCTAGGCGCCCTGCCTCGTCTGCTCATCAGTGGACCGAATACACCCCACGACATTCTACGAGAGGTCGTCCTGGGGGCGGATCTTCTCACCATTCCCTTTTTAAGTACCGCTTCAGACTCTGGCATTGCCCTCGATTTTACCCTCCTGCCTCCGTCAGCCACAGATGGATCCAATCCGTCCTCTGCGACCCAGCCCCTTGCCATTGATCTCTGGTCGGCATCCTATACAACCGATACCTCCCCGCTCGCCGAGAAATGCGAATGCTATACCTGCCGCAACCATCACCGCGCATACCTCCATCACCTCCTAGCAGCCAAAGAAATGCTCGCTTGGACTCTTCTTCAAATCCACAATCACCACACCATGGATACCTTCTTTGCGCAGATCCGGGAATCCATCCAGCGCGGTACATTTGAGACCGATGTGGAAACTTTCCAACAGACCTATACTACAGAATTTCCCCAAGCCACTGGCCAAGGTCCAAGGTGAGTTTTTTTTTTTTTTTTTTTTTTTTTTCCCCATTGACATATTCCACTCCACCCTTCAACCCCTTTAACTTGCTTTTACGCACTCATCGCTAACACCTCTTTCTTCTTCTTCTTCTCTCCTTTCCAGACTCCGTGGTTACCAACTCCCAGCCGCAGGACCATACCAACCACGTCGATATCCCCCCGCATATGGGAAACTCGACCTGACAGCGGAAAAGTTCGCCGAGTCTCAGTCGTCTCTCGCAACTCCAGATACCGGCGCAGACGGATTAGAAGAGCATGGATTCGCTCAGAAGGAATAGATCCGCACGGTTTAAAGAACAGCAGAATCCGAGAGCATGAGAGCATGAGAGCATATAGATAGAGTATTCGGTGTTATGGAGCATGGGAGTTATATAGTAATATATTCTCAACGTATACAAACTCATCGGTTTATACTGTCTACTAGTAGCAGTAGCAGCAGCAGCAGCAGCAGTAGTAGTTGGAAATATCTACAATAGTCATATCCCGCGGAGTACGTGTGTACTCTCCTCTGTACTTATTTGTGCATATCATTTACAATAACTATGTCTGTATGTCTGTATGTATGTATGTATGTATATCCTCTGCCTAGGTACCTATCGTGATGCACTGGGTTGGGTTATATATTCTCACCAATACCCTAACTACTTAGTACTACTTGGTAACTATCTTTTGTTCGAACACGTACCTATCCTTCCTATCCTATCCTATCCTATCCTATCGAGATGGAAAGATATATAAATAGGTAGGTAGGTGGGTAGGTAGTACTGAAATCATAAAAATGGAATGAAAGAGAATATAAAATGAATTCTTATTCTCCTCCTCGTCCTTTACCTAGGTATGGTCTGCGTTAGTATCGACATGCCTAGGTAACTAACTATCTTTTGGGCCGACATCAACGGGGTAAACCAACCGCCACTAACAATTGGCCAGCACATTCCACATCCACTTCTTCTCATCTTGCTCCTCTTGCGAGCCAATCTCGGTACCCGCGCCAAAATCCTGTCCTACCACACAAACCAGCCAGACATCGTCCCTGGTCTTGTCAAGGAAGCGCTCGGTAGGTGAGTTACGCGGGTAGATCCGGCGCCACTCGTCCCAGATCCGGTATGCCTCGTCGCCCCAAGCCCGGAAGCTGACTTCCTCGATGATTGTCGGGGTGATGATCTCCTTGCCGCGGAAGACGCCCCAGGTCACGGCGTTGACGTTGGCGGGGTTCATTTCGATGGGGTCGGCTTCGGCGCTTTGCGCCGGCAGAGAGGTCTCGAATTCTCCCTTGGAGTTTGCGGCGAACCAGGCGAGTTTTTCGTGTCCGTGTTGTTTCAGAACGGGTTTGAGAACAGTTTGAAAGTCTTTCGTGGGACAGAAGAATTCGACAAAGGGCTTTTGGAACACGAATCCTTCGCCGGGAGGACCCCAGCCATAGATGGGGTCGTCGCTACGCACGCCGTTGACGGCCGGTTGAGAGGCTAGAGTCCACCAGCCTTTATTGTCGATGAGTTGGAGGAGTTCGGGCCGGATGGTTTCAGTCTCTGCATTTAGGCCGCTGCTGTTCTCTTCGGCGCCTCCCTCAGACCAGGGAACCATGTACAGATCTCCGGAGACGTGGCGGCGGAAGAGATTGCTGATGTCGTCGTAGGTCACTGGATAGCCCCAGATCCGGTGGGCCACTGCGGGAGCAACGTGTAGGGAGGGACCGTAGCCGTCGATTTCTCCGAACGCAGGAGAGCGGGCATCACCCCAACGGCCGTTGGGAAAGTCATCCCACGTGGCTTCTCGGCCTAGGGCGCCGAGACCTTCGGAGATCTGAAGGGTTGTGTTGCGGTCTGGTGGGAGTGCGGGCATTCCTGCACTAGCAGCGGGAGTTTCGTGTGTCACCGACCCCTTGGAGGAGGTCTCTGTGACCCTGTCTACGATGACGCGGTTGTGGGGGATGGAACCGACGGATGAGGCACGGCGCCGCCTGGCTAGTGTCGAGGCTTGGGATCCATCGACCGTCAGTGCCGATAGTTCCTCGCTGACATCAACTGCCTCGGAGTCTTCTGGGTAGTCCGGGATGAGGTTGCATCGTTCAATGATGAATGAGACCGTCTTCTCTAGATTAAGGGTGTAGAAATGGAAACCTCGCAACCCCGGGCAAACGAGCTTCCTGACACCGTCCACAATCTCCGCAATTATATCCACACCAATGCGCTTGACGGCGTCGTCGTCGTATCTGACCTCCTCCAGTTTCGCAAGAATCGGAGGCGGGATCTTAACGTGGCTGAGTTTGGTCACTCTCGTCAAAATCTTATGGCTGTGGATGGGCATCAGGCCTGGAATAATAGGGATGGTCTTGAAAGCACCGGATTCGTGGTTCCGTAGCATGGTTTCGAATCTTGTGTATGCATCGATGTCGTATGTCAACTGGGTCATGATAAAGTCGGCGCCCGCCTGCGTCTTCTCGACCAGCCACGGGAGGTCAACCTCGGGGTCCTGGACCTCCTGGAAGGAATCTGCAGGGTGACCCTCGGGGTAGGCGGCGACACCAACACAGAAGTAGTCGCCATATTTTTTGCGGATATAGCGAACCAGATCCACTGCGAAGGTAAAGTCCTTGTTGCTGTCATCCTCTCCATGCATGTTATACTCTTCACTCCGCGGGGGATCTCCGCGCAGCGCTAGGATATTCCTGATACCGAGCACTTTGGCTTCCTCCAGGGCCTGATCAACCAGAGCTCGACTCATATTCGTACAAGTCAGATGTAAACATGTCGTTAGCTGCAACTGGCGCTGGCAAATCTCCGCTAGTTCGAGCGACCTCGATGCGGTACTTCCTCCCGCACCCCAAGTGACGGTGACGAACAACGGGCGCAATGCCTGTGCCATTCGCTCCAGTCGGGCCTGGAGATTAGCAAAGCCCTATATATCGATTCCAATTGTTAGCTACCATCTCACGTCCAAATATTCGGGAAAGGGAGTTCATCAGGTGCGGGGAGGGATGTAACCCCACCATCTGAGTCTTCGGAGGGAAGAACTCGAGAGAGAAGTAATTTGCATCAGGCGGCAGAGCCGCGATCTTGTCTGTGATCTTCTCCATGGTTGCGAGCCCAATATTATCCTCTCTGGTAAAGGTATGGTGGGCGCGAGAAGGAAGATGTAAGAGAGAGTGATGGAACCGGAAGAGACAGCAGAGGGACTGGTGCGTTTTTATCGGAGTTTGGATGGCCCCTCCAGCCGGAAATGGGAGGAGACCAGTCAACCACCGCATATAACACGGCCAATTACCTGGATTTGGAGGTTATCTGGCAGCTATTCAAAAAACAAAAAACAAAACAAAAGACAGACCTCTCTTCACATCGTAGGTCACGTCTCCTTTATAGCTTCGATATACACTGCAGTTCTTGTTGTCCGGGATCGCCCGCCGCATGAGTGCATCTCCGGACAGAAATTCGAGGAGCCTCTCAAAGTGAAGACAAAAGATATATCAATATAATAGATGATCACGGCGAATAATAGGGAAAACAAGGGAAAAGATAAATGAACATTTTCCAACGATATTCCCAATCTTGCTGCAAACACAGCAAACACAGACTATACAAGACGATGAACTTCAGGTCTGCGGGTGAGAAAAGAGCATCAGACATCCTTAAAACTTCTCTTTTTTATCGTTTCGTTTGACATTGTAAATATATATAAACCCTTATTCTGCAGAGATTAGAGGGCCATCTGCAGCAAGGGAACAAAAAACAAATGTCTTCACAACAAAGAACACGAACATTCCTCCGCCTGTTTCGCGTCCCATTATCATCATCACCATCATCATGCCTCAAGTCCTCCCCCCGTCGGCACTTTACAACACCACCACCTCCCTCATCGACTGCTAAGAACCCTCAATCTCGTCTCCGTCAACTCAATGATCGCCTTCCGTCGTTCCTTCGCGCCTACACCACCCCCTTGCTCGGTGCGCCGGCCACTCACATTACCTCCTTCCTCCTCCTGCATGAAATAACTGCAATTGTCCCGCTCTTTGGACTCGTGGCGGCGTTTCACTACGGCAACTGGCTTCCAGATTTAACCGCTAAGAGCGCATTCAAAGATGGGACTGAGCGGGTTGGACGGTGGTTGCGGAAGAAGGGCTGGGTGGATGAGGTGGAGGCTGGGGAAGTTGTGACGGGCACGAACACAGACACGGACACAGAGAAGACAAAAGGAGTGCGTCTAGTACTAGAATTTGCGACGGCCTATGCAGTGACAAAGGCGCTTCTTCCGCTCCGGATTGCGACGAGTGTATGGGCGACCCCGTGGTTTGCCAGAGTCATCCTCGCGCCAATCGGCCGCGGAGCGAGGAGGCTATTGAAGAAATCGAACAATTGAGGCCTTTTCTCCCGGACAGAGAATTTCTACAATCAAATCTAGGATGAACTGGAACTATGATGGGAATGTTTTGATTTGTATAAATTCTATAACTCTGAAGGCAGATATCTGGTCATATCAGCCGCCTCCTATGGTGCCGGATTGCGGGCCTCTTTCGAAGCCCAAGGTCCCGCAGAGCGAATTTACTCCTTCTCGTAGATCCAGCTGAAAGCGTTGAGCTTCCAGTTCTGGACCTCCTCCTTGGTGAACCAGAGGGCAATCTCCTTCTGGGCGTTCTCGACGCTGTCGGAGCCGTGGCAGACGTTGCGGCCGACATCAATGGCGAAGTCACCACGGATGGTGCCAGGAGCAGAGTCAATGGGGTTGGTGGCACCGAGGATGGCTATTGAACAGTTCATTAGTGGCTAAATCGACTTTATATGGTGATTTTTTTTTTTCAGAGCGGCTTACTGCGGCCAGTCTTGACGACGTTGCGGCCCTCCCAGACCATGGCGACGATGGGGCCGCTCAGCATGTCTAGATGAGGAATTGTCATTAGCATCCATCCGATAATTTACTACAGGATAACCGATCAGGTGCAACTTACAGGAGACGAGACCGGGGAAGAAAGGCTTGGAGCTGAGGTCAGCGTAGTGCTGCTCAAGGTGAGCCTTGGAGGGAGAGCAGAGCTTCATGGCAGCGAGCTTGAAGCTAGGAAAACATTAGCGTTTGTTTGAATGGAATTGGGGGTCGGGAGGAAATCGTATACATACCCACGGCTCTCGAAGCGAGAGATGATGGGGCCAACGAGTCCACGCTGATGAAGGCGGTTAGTTGAGGATCTCAATTTCACAGCAGCAAGTCCAATTCGATTAATCAGGAAGGACCCTTGATGGTATTAAGATCATACCTGGACACCGTCGGGCTTGATGGCGATGAAGCTGCAATGGACGGTGGTTAGCTTGCCCAGCAAGGGACATGAGGGGCAGTTCTGGCGGAGGGGGGACAACAACACTGGTTACAAAGGAAGACATGACATTCCAAGAGAAAGAAGTAGAGGGGTTACTTACGTCTGCTCGGTAGAAGACATTTTGAGAGAAATTGAAGATGGAGAAGGACACGAAAGTCAGGAGAATAATACGCTTGAAGAGAAGAAGGGAAGAAGCGGAAGCTGGGTTGAGCTGAGCTGGCGAAATTCTCCCTCTTATTCTGCTTCCTAAACGCCGATGTGGGGCACGTTTTTTTGGAGGGGTGGCATGCCTGGCTGCCTGAGGACCCTGTTGGTGGCCTGAAGGGTGAGGTGTCAAACCCCAGCTACTGTATCTGGACTAGTGCACTGCACTAACCCCAAACAGGGAGCTCTCCGCCCAAGGCCAACATTCAGGCCAGCCTGGAAGTATTTCTGGGGATATCAACAAGTCATTCACTATTCGTTGTTCAGCAATATCGGAAGATTCCCCCTCGTTTTCTTCGGCACCTTGTGCTAGACCTCCAGCTCTGGTCGATGCAGGTCAGATCACTCGTTGTGGCAAACATTGGTACTGTCAGAGATTGAGTGTCTCTGACTGCGTTTGTGGACTTGATCCATCATGGCCCGGAGCCAGCTGTCGTTCCCTCGTTGGACCCTGCTGCTCTCCCTGGCGATTCTGCTAGGATGCCTTGTGATTCCCGGTGGTAAGACACCTACGCTGCGGCTTTGAGGACCTCAAGATATAAATGCGATTCTAATCATATTCTCTCCCTGTCTCTCTCTCAGTCGCCGTGAAACATGAGAATTTCAAGAAATGCTCCCAGTCCGGTTTCTGTCAGAGAAACAGGGCCTTGGCCGATGAGGTCTCCTCCAAGGGTTCATCCTGGAACTCTCCCTACGAATTGGATGCCTCGACCATTCAATTCAAAGACGGTCAGCTGCAAGGAACAGTTCTCAAATCGATATCTCCTACGGAGAGCGTCAAGCTACCGCTGGTCGTTTCCTTCCTCGATTCGGGTGTCGCTCGGATCGTCGTCGATGAGGAGAAGCGCCTGAACGGCGACATTGAGATTCGCCATGGTAGCCAGGCGCGAAAGGAGCGATATAACGAGGCACAGTCCTGGGCTGTGGTTGGTGGTTTGGAAGTGAGCAAGTCTGCGGCGTTGAGCTCGGAACCCCAGGACGGCGTCACCAAGGTTCTGTATGGACCCGACAACTCCTACCAGGCCATCATCCATCACGCACCGTTTTCGGTAGAATTTCAGCGGGATGGACAGACCCATGTGCAGTTGAATAACAAGGGCTACATGAATATGGAACACTGGCGGCCCAAGGTGGAAGCCCCCTCCGATGGGGAGCAGGAGGTTCTCACTTCCCAGGAGGATGAGGGTACTTGGTGGGAGGAAACCTTTGGTGGAAACACAGATTCCAAGCCCAGAGGCCCCGAAAGTGTGGGGTTGGACATTACTTTCCCCGGCTACCGCCATGTATTCGGAATCCCTGAGCATGCGGACTCGCTCTCTCTAAGAGAAACCCGGTAAGCTATTCTATACATTGCTTGTCAAATAATAATATAGAGCTAACGTTGTTTCAGAGGAGGCCCCGGGAACCATGAGGAACCCTATCGCATGTATAATTCTGATGTGTTTGAATATGAGCTCGACAGCCCCATGACCCTGTATGGTGCCATTCCACTCATGCAGGCCCACCGTAAGGACTCCACCGTTGGTGTCTTCTGGCTCAACGCTGCGGAAACCTGGGTTGATATCGTCAAGTCCAAGTCCGATACACAAAGCCATTGGTTCTCTGAAGCTGGTCAACTCGATGTCTTTGTCTTCCTGGGACCCACTCCTCAGGATATCAGCAAGGACTACGGTGCGCTGACGGGATACACTCAACTCCCTCAGCACTTTGCCATTGCCTACCACCAATGCCGTTGGAATTACGTTACCGATGAGGACGTGAAGGAGGTTGATCGCAGCTTCGACAAATACCAGATTCCTTATGACGTGATCTGGCTCGATATTGAGTATACCGATGACCGAAAGTATTTTACCTGGGATCCCTTGACCTTCCCTGACCCAGTTAGCATGGAGGAGCAACTCGATGACTCCGACCGCAAGCTTGTGGTTATTATCGATCCGCATATCAAGAACCAGGACAAGTTCAGTATCTCCAACGAAATGAAGAGTAAGGGTCTAGCTACGAGAAACAAGGACGGCGATACCTACGAAGGCTGGTGCTGGCCCGGATCCTCTAACTGGATTGACTGCTTCAACCCTGCGGCCATCAAATGGTGGACTGGCCTCTTCAAATATGACAAGTTCAAGGGAACCCTCCCCAACGTCTTCATCTGGAATGATATGAATGAACCTTCCGTATTCAACGGGCCCGAGACTACCATGCCCAAGGATAACTTGCACCACGGCAATTGGGAGCATCGCGATGTCCACAATATCAACGGTCTCACCTTTGTCAACGCCACATACCAGGCTATGCTAGAGCGCAAGAAAGGTGAACTCCGCCGCCCGTTTATTCTGACCCGGTCGTTTTATTCCGGTGCTCAACGCGTATCCGCCATGTGGACCGGAGACAACCAAGCTACTTGGGAGCATCTGGCCATTTCGCTTCCCATGGTCCTCAACAACGGTATTTCCGGTTATCCCTTTGCGGGTGCTGATGTTGGCGGGTTCTTCCATAACCCGAGCAAGGAGCTACTGACACGTTGGTACCAAACCGGCATCTGGTATCCTTTCTTCCGCGCACACGCACATATCGATACTCGACGACGCGAACCCTACCTCATTGCGGAGCCTTTCCGCTCCATCATCACTCAGGCTATCCGTTTGAGGTATCAGCTCCTCCCTGCATGGTACACTGCTTTCCACGAAGCTTCGGTAAATGGAACCCCGATCGTGAGACCCCAGTTCTACGTGCATCCATCCGATGAAGCAGGCTTCACCATCGACGATCAGCTCTACCTCGGGTCTACTGGTATTCTCGTGAAACCGGTGGTCTCCGAGGATACCAACACCGCTGAGGTTTACCTTGCAGATGATGAGAAGTACTACGACTACTTTGACTACACCGTTTATCAGGGCGCCGGGAAGAAGCATGTAGTTCCCGCTCCGATTGAAAAGGTCCCAGTGCTGATGCAGGGCGGGCACATTATTCCGCGCAAGGATCGCCCCCGCCGTAGCAGCGGCCTGATGAAGTATGATCCCTACACCTTGGTCGTGGTCCTCGATCGCAACGGACAGGCCGACGGCACTCTTTACGTTGACGATGGGGAGACCTTCGACTACCAGCGTGGAGGATACCTGCACCGCCGCTTCCAGTTCCAGGACTCGGTCCTATCGTCGGAGAACATCGCAATTCCCGGACCACAGACGGCAGCTTATCTCAAGACAGTCGCCAAAGTCCATGTGGAGAAGATAGTGGTGATTGACCCTCCACAGGAATGGAAGGGAAAGACTAGTGTCACCGTGATGGAGGATGGGGCAAAGGCGTCTTCGTCGGCCTCGATGGAGTACTTCGCCCAGGAGGGAGGCCAGGCTCCGTATGCCGTTGTGAAGAATCCTCGTGTGGGAATTACCAAGACATGGCGCATTGAATTCTAAGGCCTAAGCAGCCAACCCGGATGATACAGAGGGGCCAACTAGCACAACTACATTGCATTATTTATTACTACTATTTGACGAAATATACGCTGTACATAAAACAGCACATGCGAGTCCATCACACGACAGTTTGTCTGTTTCCTTGATAGTGCCATGATTCCGTCGAGTTAGAACAAAGCTACCTAGTTTCTTCTCGTGAGATTATATACAATCTTGAGGCCTTTGGGCAGGAAATTCAGATTCCGCATTTGTAGGCTGACTAAGCGCCATCGAAAATAGTTAACTAACTAAGTGAAAGAAAACGAGAGGCTCGAAAAACGTTTCGTGAAAGAATTCCTTGCAGTCATTATTAGGTTGGGATTCGATATTTGATGGTCAAGGCATGGATCAGCTTGTTTCGTCTTGCTCCGTTCTTAATTTTTTATACATGCTGAATTTTGTTGATAACTTTCCACCTCTACGATCTCCGTCGCGCCGCATCCCCTGAGGGTGAATTCTAAGACTCTTCAGTAGCTCTCTCTCTCTCTCTCTCTCTCTCTCTCTCTCCCTCTCTCAATCCCACCATTTACTTGGGTCGACGGTTCTTTGGAGGCAAGATGTTTATTGTGGCACAGCTCCTTGAATATGGAGCTCCCCTGTTGTAAGTTGAATCTATACCCCCCAGGCTAGATTGATTACGCTTGATTGCTGCTGCTGACACTGCGATTTCTCTGCTTTGATTAGCCTTGTCACTTCTCCTTTGACCTCGTATGCGGATCAGATTCTGAGCATCCACCGGAACAGGAGCTCTGCCGGGTTTTCGCTGGACATTCCGTTGATTATGCTCGTCGCATCGATTCTAAAGTAAGCGCACGTGTGGCTGATGCGACGACACACCACTAGAGGTTCGAGTGTTTGGAAACTGACATTCCTGGTGTTAGGGTCTTTTACTGGTTTGGCGATTACTATTCTCTCACTCTCCTGGCGCAGGCCGTCATCACGATCGGAGTACAGCTGGTGCTGTTGAAGGTGGCTCTAGATAACCGTCCGTCCACCGGCGCGAAGAACGGAGTTGAGCACGTTCCCTTCAGCGGCGGAGACAACGAGAAGCTGTTTGTAAGACCGTACGACTTCTGGCAGTGGAAGAGCGCGCGACCGTATGTGTTCATCATCGTCCCTCTACGCAGATTAATCCTTCCTTCTTTTTTTTGGACCCCAGGACTAACCATAGCCGCGGGATTATTACTTTTAGATACTGGATGTTCCTGGCTTACATGACCGGGGTGCTCTCCGTCATCCACATCTTCCTGACGCCGATTTCCGATTCCGCACTCTACATCAACTTCCTAGGATACTTGGGCCTAGCCGTCGAGGCAATCCTCCCGGTACCGCAAATCGTGGCCAACCATCAATCCCGGTCGTGCAAGGGATTTCGAGTCTCGGTGCTTGCGGCATGGATTTTGGGTGACGTGATGAAACTGGGTTACTTCTTCTGCAGCCAGGAATCGATTCCGTGGGCCTTCCGATTGTGTGGAATGTTCCAGTGTGTCTGTGACATGTACCTGGGCGTGCAATTCTGGATGTATACCCAACCTTCCTGGAGGGGAGTAGGAAGCCCGCGGGGTCGTTTCGAGGAGAAGGACATTCGCATGACATGAACGAGAGAGATGTGATACGCTTAGCGACGGCATGAATGAAGCCCCTGTTGATCATGTTACTCCGAGGTCTCCGGGGAATTCCAGAGACCAACTGAGAGAGACATCTCTCTCTCATTATCAATTTCTTCTTACTGCTATAATATTTATATCTTATTCTTCCGATTATACCGATACTAGAATAGTTTTATTTAATTTTTATTTTCGTGATCTTTTCCCTTTTTTCGAGTCTAGTAGAAGCCCCGCGATTCAATTTGCTGAACCCCCACGGGAAGAAATTGAAGGGTCAAAAGTGATGGATGACGAACGGTCGATATATTAGTTAATAGAGAAATAACCAACTACTAGTTTAACTCCCATAAAATACACCTCACTAGCATCGCTTAACCCAGCCCAGCCCATCATGACCTCAGGACCTGCAACCATCCGGATCGGCTACGTGCCTGGTAAGTCGACTTTATTTTCCTCTGATCTATGTATGTCTTCTTCTGTTCAACGTCGGAGAGCTGTCCCAAGTCGCAGCCCCGCCACCACGGACTCGCTCGTGTGCGAGACGAAGAGGGGTAATTTGGATAGGACTGCGGCCGAAATTCTACAGATGAAAATGTGTGCTGAGCTTTACTGACATCTGGACGTCTTGTCTTGTCTTCTAAGAGCACTATCTCACCCCTCTGCATTTGGCCCTGCGCTCCCCGGCCGCCCAGTCCCTCCCGTTCACACTTGCTCTGATTCCTTTCCCCTCCGGAACGGGACACATGATCACGTCCCTGCGCGAGAAGGAAATCGATATCGGAATTGGTCTGACCGAGGGATGGATCGCTGGCCTCGCGGGCAAACAGCAAGCCCAGAAGGACACCGCATCAGGCGGGTACAAAGTGGTCGGACACTGGGTCGACACGCCACTGCGATGGGCGATCGTCACAGGCCGGAACAGGGACGCGCTGGAAGCAGTGTCGGATCTGCAAGGCAAGAGAGTGGGAGTAAGTAGAATGGGGAGGTGAGCAAGCAAGCAGTCCTTCATCTAGATGGAGTCATTTTGATCGGTACTGACGGGTGAACCACGACGACGACGACGTTGATGGCGGTAGTGGATCCCACATTATGTCGTTTGTGCTCGCACAACAGAATGCCTGGAAACCGGACTCCCTGACGCCTGTGCCGCTGGGGCCTTTTGGAGCGCTCACAACTGGGGTCACAGGCGACAACGGTGCATCCGATCCCACCGCTGAGTTCTTCATGTGGGAGCATTTCACAACCAAGCCGTCCTTCCACCCCACGGTGGAGAAGCCGCAGGTGCCGCTAAAGAAGATCGGGGAGATCTTTACGCCCTGGCCCTCGTGGATGATTGTGGCTTCCACGGCGGTATTCCCTAACCCGGAGACGGACAAGGCGCTGGGCCAGCTCTTCCAGGTCCTGGATCAGGGTATTAAGGCCTTCCAGAGCGATTTGGTGCACGTCGTCACTCTTCTGGGAACCGGGGAGCTGGGGTGCAAATATGGCGAGGAGGATGCCGGGGAATGGCTCAAGGACGTGCGGTTCACGACCGATGGTACGAGAGGCGTGGACCGCAAGGTAGTGGAGGATGTGGTGGATATCTTGAAGGTCGCGGGGGTGATTGACCCTGGAATGACAAATGATGAGGCCGTCGCGCGGGTGATTGGAATCCCACGATGAGACTGATGTGCACGCTACGTTAAGCTCGGATTCTGCTGTCAGAGTCAGCACTACTTACTTACTTTCTTTCTTTCTTTCTTTGCTCCCTCAGTTGGACATCACTTCCTGACGGTCCGTGTGATTATCTACCTGCTGCGAAGTCATTGTTCAACCTGACTCTAGGGGTGATGGTCGGAGAGCTGGATGAACGACTCACATTCCTTGTCACCTAGACGACACACATACATTCCACATAAAAGCGCTATACTTTCCCAATTCTGATCATCGTTTTGCCTGAGTTTCGGGGTATGGATTGAATTGTCAATGCGCTCTTTCGGAACTCTTTTCCTTAACAGCAACACCAGAGCCCTACCATCTACGGCCTTGAAATTTCTCCGCTCTGCTTTACCTTGACGTATCCGTAAAGGCAAGAGACAAGGGCTGTGCATGCTAGTGTAGCAGTAGCAATGATCTCCGCGAGTTTCACCTGTGCTTGCTCCCTGCAGTTCCATATGCGCTCGACATATCCGGTATATCTAGACTCAGCACATTATCGAGCGGGCATGCTGGAATGTGTATATACCCAGCATCCACTCGGGATGGCCACCAATCAAAATCTGTACAGCGAGGACTATTAGGCGCGATTCCTTTGACATGGCAGGATGCCAGACCGCAGGTTATTCTCTCAATGGTGCCTCGAAGCGCTCTCGTTGGGATATGACTCTGTAAGGAATGTCAGACCCGCGTGCAACGTATGACAGATTGATCCATTGTTCTCGAAAGGAAAGGAGTTGTTTTGCCATTCTTAACGGGTCAGCCCCAGGTATGTTGATACTGGGGTCTTAAAAAAAACACGGCTTCTCTTTTCATCCCAAATCGTCCGTGGATGTTGGCCTTCTCTCGTCTGTTCTTGTCTCTTTTTCGATTGCCTGGCGTCGCTCTTTTTGCTTGCGTTGCATCTGTTTGCGTCGTTGGGTTCACTCGGGAGACTTGGTCTGAAGGGTTGCTATACAGATAAAAGAAGAGGATATGATGGGTTTCTTCAAGAAGGCATTCGGCCTGGCTGCCGGTCTGGCTATGCTGTCGATAGCATATGCGAAGCTTGATCTCAACTCCAACTCCACGGTTGCGGTGTACTGGGGTGAGAGTGCCTGTTATTGATATCACGTTGAATTTGCGCTGACTTGTATCCGGTGTAGGGCAGAATTCCTTTCGAGGATCTGGTGATCTTGCACAGCAACGTCTGTCCTATTATTGCAATGGTGAGTGCCAGCCATCTCTCTGCTGGCTGAACGACACGATACTAACTGCGTGGTATAGATTCTAACATCGATGTTGGTCTCCCCCCTTCTACGCAGGTTTAATCAAATCATTAACGGCTCCATAGGTTCTCATCCTCGCCTTCGTGATGCGAGTGAATGGCATGGGAGGCGCCCCAGAGGTTGACTTTTCCACGGCCAGTGAGAAGTGCGACACATTCCCAGGCACAAACCTCAAGAACTGTCCTGAGATTGGGTATGTCTCCTCCCTACATCTCCAATTACTCCACGAGGGAGCCAAAAAAAAAAAAAAAAAAAAAAAAAAAAAAAAGGGAATGGGACGAGGCTAACCAACGCAGCGCGGATATCACAACATGCCAACAAAAAGGCAAGACCATCATCCTCTCCATTGGCGGCGCAACCTATAGCGAAGGAGGCTTTCAATCGCAGTCGGCTGCTGAAGCTGGCGCCGACCTCATCTGGGCGACTTTCGGCCCCAACACAAACAGCAGTGCGCACCGCCCCTTTGGCGATGCCGCCGTCAACGGCTTCGACTTCGACTTCGAAGCCGGCGTCTCAAACATGGCGCCCTTCGCATCCCGCCTGCGCACCCTCGGAGACGCTGGTCCTAACAAGCCCTTCTTCCTCACTGCGGCACCGCAATGCCCCTACCCCGATGCCGCGGACAAGGACATCCTCAACGGCCCCGTCTCCGTCGATGCCGTCTGGGTGCAATTCTACAACAACTACTGCGGCGTGAACGCCTACGTCGCGGGGCAGCAGCAGCAAAACAACTTCAACTTCGAGCAGTGGGATAACTGGGCCAAGACCGTGTCGCAGAACAAACAGGCCAAGGTTTATCTGGGGGTTGCTGCGAATACGGGTGCCGCCAGCACAGGATACCTCCCGATTGCGCAGCTGGACCCGGTGATTGCCTTCAGCCAGCAATTTAGTAGCTTTGGTGGTGTGATGATGTGGGATGTTACGCAAGCTTATGGCAACTCGGGGTTTTTGGATGGTCTTCACCAAGCCCTAGGAAAGACTCCGACGCAGCACGCGCAGCTACAGCAGGAATCTCAGCAACAAACCAACCAGCACCAGCACCAGCAACCACAAGACCAAGACCAAGATGAAGATGAAGATGAAGATGAACAAGAGCAACCCCATCAGCATAGACCCCTTATCCCTTCAATCTTCGATTTGGACGACGATCTGGACTGGATTGGTATCTAATCGGCCCAGCGGACGGGAATCCTGTTTTCAAAGACTACTTACTATGTATGTATGGATCACTAAATCTAATTTCCACTTCTTTTTTTTGGCATGTATATATATAGGAGCAAGTAAAAGTACGCATAAGTACCCTCTCTGTTTTCTGTATTCCGTAGCTCGGTTTAGCCAGGTGAATATATGTTGTGCAAGGAGTCTTGTATTCTATTCTATTTTATTCTATTACATGGATGGATATTTCCGAAAGGAAGCCGCTTCTCTTGCTTTGCTGGCGGTCCCCAATTATCCATCTATGTACGGAGTATAAATCCTATAAATCCACCGATCTACACGCTGCATAAACTATTGCTGCTATTGACGATCATCAACTCCGGCTTCCAATAATCCATCCAACGTATCATCTGCATCGGTATACCCTATACAGAGTAAGCCTTGTTGTGATCTATGCTGGGGGGCGTTGGATAGAGAATGGATTCCATAGAAAAGTGGTTACACCTCATATATACCTTCTATCTATCTATCTATCTATATATATATAGAAATATATATAAGGGTCCAGGAGTCTTATCTACTCTCTAGCCCTAACTACAACCCAAGCGCAGTCAACATGACGCCCAAGTCCTTCTATACCTTCTTGCTAGGTCTAGCAACCCTCGCTCTCGCAGCTACTCTCCCTCCAACCGACTACGATGTCATCATCGTCGGCGGCGGCCCTGCAGGCCTCAGTGCCCTAAGCGGATTCTCTCGCGTACGCCGCCGCGCTGCACTATTCGACTCGCACGAGTATCGCAACGGACCGACACGGGAAATGCACGACGTGATTGGAAATGACGGTATGTATAGTCCCCCATTACATCCTGAATGATAAATATCCTACTTTAGTAATAGTAGTTCGTTAGTTAGTTAGTTAGTTAGTTATAGTATATATACAACCAAGCTAAACAGGAACCAGGAACCCCCCGGCCAAATTCCGCGCTCTCGCCCGCGAGCAAATCTCCAGATATGACACCGCAACCTTCATCGACAGGGAGATCCTCTCCATCGAACAACAACAACTCGCGGACCTCGAACCCAACCTCACCACCACCACCACCACCACCGTGTTCCGCGCCACCGACGCAACCGGCGCCTCGTACACAGCCCGCAAGATCGTCCTCGGCACGGGGCTCGTGGACGTCCTCCCCACCACGCCAGGCCTGCAAGAATCCTTCGGAAAGGGCATCTTCTGGTGCCCCTGGTGCGACGGATACGAGCACCGCGACCAGCCCCTCGGCATCCTGGGCACACTGCCGCACATCGTCTCGAGCGTGCTGGAGATCTCCACCCTGAACACGGACATCATCGCCTTCGTCAACGGATCCCACACGGAACCCGCCGACGCCGCGCTCACGCTCCAGACCCCCCACTGGAAGGCGCAGCTGGCGGCTTCCAACGCCCGGATCGAGAACCGGACAATCGCGGCCATTGAGCGCGTCCAGGACGGCGGCCGGGTGCACGACGACCGCGCGCGCGACCAGCAGTTCGATGTCTTCCGGGTGCGGTTCACAGAGGGCGAGCCGGTGCTGCGGAACGCGTTCCTGACGAATTTCGAGACGGCGCAGAGGTCGCGGATCCCCGCGCAGCTGGGGCTGGATATGAAGGATGGCAAGGTCGATACTAGTGTTTATTCCGGTATGAGGACCAGCGTGCCCGGGGTTTTTGCCGTCGGGGACTGTAATAGTGATGGTAGTACGAATGTGCCTCATGCGATGTTTAGTGGGAAGAGGGCGGCTGTTTATGGGCATGGTATGTGTTTTTTTTTTTTTTTTTTTGGTTTCTCTGCTTTGAATGTGTGTGTGTGTGTGTGTGTGTGCGGTGTTGGCTGACGACTGGAACAGTTGAAATGGCTCGTGAAGAGTCCGCCGCTGCCATTGCGAAGCGTGGTCTATCGCGGAGGGCGATGGAGAAGGAAACCGAGAGGATCATTGGGAATGAGTTGGAGGACTTGTGGGATCGGGCTAAGGTTTAATGAGCCTGTGCCTATAACTATGTATAGTTGTATAGTGTATAGCAATGAATCCTAACCTGGCACTGGACTAGCCCTAATACACCTTCTTCCTTGAGAGTAACTCTCGTAGAAATATAACCCCAGAATGTTATCTGTCAAAGTATTAGTGTTTCTCTTTTCACACCTCAAGTCAGAATATCTTCCGACGGTACAGAGACCAATATAAGTAAGTAACCCCCAATGAGTAGAAAGACACTTAGTACAATATCAACCTTCTCCATCCTCGCTATCAAGACATCCAGCCACTTATTCAACATCCTCCTCCTCCTTGCTGGCGGCCAAGAAAAAGCGCCCCGGAGGCTCGCCAGGCTTCTCATACTCAATCGTCAGGCGCGCAAGATGACCAAGTAAGCTTTCGATTTTAATATCTCCCTTGTCGCGTTTCGCCCGGCCAAGGTCATCCAGCCACTTGAACTTGTTCAGCATGAAGTACACCAATGCGATGACAATCTCCACACCCAGCGAATACCCCCAGATACGGACAACAGTAACAATATCCGTCCAGCCGTTCGTAGTCTCAACAAATTGGTCTTTCGGGATTGTGGGCATGTCTTGGTTTGTGAACCAACCGAACAGACAGAAAACAGTTGCCAGAGCGTCAACCCCCAGAATGGCGGTAACCAGATGCACAGATGGCAAAGTGTCCATACCGCGAGTGACAAAAATTAACCAGTTCTCTGTTAGTGCCACCTCGAGGAAGAGAACTGCTTGAATGGAACCCCAGTTTTGAATAATACCACCGGATGGAAGGAACATAGTGCCACGAACAACCCATGTTCCCAGTGCGAGCAGCACACCCAGAAGGACCGAAATAAACCAAATCTTTGGAAGTTGCCATTCCACCGGCCGGAGATCGAATGATGCGTTATCATATGCCACCGCCACAGTTGCCAGATCCGCAAAGAGGGCGAGGAAGACAATCAGCTCAACTCGGATACTTTCGTTGAGAATAATCATAGATGTAACTAGATAGATCTCCAAGTGCAAGCAAAGGGCAATGCGGTATTGAATGTATGCCTTCATGCGGTGGAAAATCTGTCGGGCAACCTTAATTGAGTCGATAATGGTTGACAAGCCAGGTTCCAAGAAGACAATATCCGATGCAGATTGCGCTGCCTCGGAAGCTCCTTCAACAGCAATGCCACAATCGGCTCTCTTCAAAGACGGGGCATCATTAACACCATCCCCAGTCATTGCTGTAAGATGGCCGCGTTCTTGCAGCATCTGCACGACTTGATATTTGTGTTCTGGGAAGACTTCGGCGAATCCATCCGCTTTCTCAACCAAGTCACTCGCCAATGCTCCACTTAAACCACCATGGATCAGTTTATCCGAGTTATACACTTTAGTACCGAGAGCAAGCATTTTACAGGTTTCTTTAGCGATTGCTAATGCATCGCCTGTAAGCATTTTCACGCTGATCCCCAGATTTTGAGCTTCATGAATCGTGTGCGCCGTATCTTCTCGTGGTGGATCAAACATGGGTAGCATGCCTAGGAGTGTCCAATCTTCTCCTTCTCTTTGAACAGCAACTCCCAAGGATCGGAAGCCTCGGTGTGCAAATTCCTGCGCCTTTGATTTATACAGGTCTGCAGTCTCCTTGGAGCAGCTGGTAAGTGCAAGAACTGCCTTTGGCGCGCCCTTAGTACAAGTGTACCTAACCCCATCACAGGTAACCTCTGATACGATCCGTTTGGACACCGGATCGAACGGTGTAAATTTCTCAGTCTCCCACCCTCTTCTGAGAATTTCTCGAGCTCTAGGGTACTGTCTCAGGGTAAGAATCGTCACTTTGTCAATAGGGTCAAGCGATTCGATATTGTGAGAAGAGGCAAGAGCAGCCACGGCGAACAGCCAGTCAATATCGACGCCTTCAGCCACATATGGATCTCGAATGCTTAATTTATTCGCGGTTAACGTTCCAGTCTTATCGGAGCACAGGATATCGACACCCTAAAAATGGTAAGCTGCACATTTCTGCAACGAGAATCAAGGCTAACGTACAGCGAGCGATTCAATGGCAGTAAGCTTCTGGACAATAGCTTTCTTCTTTGCCAAGTACGCTGCTCCCACAGCCATCGTGGTCGTGGTGACGACAGGTAGACCAACAGGAACACCGATAATCAACAACGATAGAGTGTAGTGGAGGAGGGTCTGCTGGGCAGGAGAGGCAATTGGGATATGCCGGAAGAAACCACCAATCCAGGCAGCCAGAATCCACGCCATAACTAGGATCAACAGAGATGAACCAATGTTGTCCATGACGATTTCGAAGTGTCCTGCACCCTTCGCTGCTTGAACCATGCTGGCGGTTCGGCCGACAAAAGATGTTTTCGCAGAGGTCTGAACAATGGCATAGGCCTTGCCACGCTTGCAGCCGGTCGTATAATAGATCATTCCACCCATGTAACGATCTACTGCAAGCGACTCTCCTGTAATAGCAGAGTGGTCGCAAGCCAGAATCGGGTACCCTCGCCTCTTGGTTGGCTTTTTAGGTTTCTTTTCTTCCTGCTCCTTTCCTTCATCATCTTCGATGTCGGATTCAGAAGTGCTGCTGAGATCTCCTTGTTCAAGCATTGTCTTGAATTCCTCCCATCCATTAGGGTCCTTCACGTCGCAAACAATCTTGGAGTCGCCAGGAACAACTTGTCCTTCTCCAATGATGATCTACCTAGATATTAGCATCGAGAAGGCATTTGGACAACCTTATATGCACATACTACGTCTCCGGGTACAAGTTCACGAGCCAGAATCTCTTGCTGCTGGCCATCACGAATGACCTGAGCTCTCATTGCAATATCTCCTTTCAAACTAGCCACGACATCGGCAGCCTGTTTCTCTTGATACCAGCCGACGGCAGCATTGAGGCACAGAATGCCAATGATAACACCAAAATCGATCCAATCCTCAAGACCGGCCGCGAGAAGAACAGCAAGTTCCATGACTAAATAGATTAGAACCTGATTTCTTGTAGTTCACAGGACTGGTAGTTTACGTTTCTCCACATACCATATAGAATGGGACCACGGAAATATGAGAGAATCTTAGCAATAGGATTCTCCTTTTCAGAAACCAGTTCGTTCCATCCAGCCCGTCGACGACGAACAGAAACTTCGCTACTGGGCAAACCCTGATGGATGTCTGTGACGAGCCAGTCATCTGGATATTTCCCAGGCTCCTGCTCCACGTGTCTGACACTGATCTTCCGCTTCTTCCAGGGAGCGTACCAAACCCTCCTCTCCTGAATTTCTTCCTCTCCTTCTTGTTCCCCGCCCTCGCGGAAGGTGGAGATATACTTGACGAGCTTACCATATTCATCAAGGTTGGCCCAGTCTTCCTTATAGGACACTCGGGATATGCGTCTCGCGGAACGTCCTTCGGAAAAGGATATACGGCCGGGAGCTCCAGGAGCTCCTGTTTGCTCGACACCACTGGAGGCGCCACCTTGCTCAGTCATATTGGCGAATTGACTTGGCTGTGACTGCAGGAGCGGGAAACTGACGTGCCTCACACAGCCTGTACCCTTTCAATATTTCTACAGTTGTAGGAAAGAGCAAAAACAATGTCAAGCAAGTGGGAGAGAAATGGATGAGGGGCTGTGGGAGAAAGAAGGAGCCAGCAGACGACAGAATACCGTGCCAGAAAGCTGCCTCCCCGTCACTAAAGACAGCGTCTGCTGAATCTACAGAGCCAATCTACACTTGACTGGACAAAGCCATTCAACACAGAAAATCATGCTGACGTAGTAGATTTCAGTAAGCTTCCGGCTGAAGCATATTGACAGCTTCCTTTTGCCCTCCGTCCGTATGAATGGACTTGGGTAGCTCGACAAGAGCCAGGCAACCCCCGCAATCTGTCATGGAGCGTACCATAGTAAGTCTGCTAATGTTTTGTTACTTTGATGGCTTCTTGTAGGGTGGTCTTGACGTATGAGACATGAGGGATAGCCTTCGAATCCGCCGCCAGGGAACCTAGAAAACAATATTCCTCATTTGTTTCAGTGGATTTCTGAGCGGACCGATACCGCCATTAACTCATGACGTGGGCCTGTCTCCAGGGTTTAGAATTTTAAGGTGCAGCGACGCCATGGGTATATAAACCCAAGGATGAAGTCTGGAGGGACTGATCGGACAAATCGCGGGGGGAGGATAGCTCAAGCTTTTCGCGCTCCTTGGCCTGGCCTCGCTTTCAGATGAATAGGGACGTTGAATAATTTCACATGATCGGACAACCAAGGCTGGTGAACCTGCGAGACCTTCCCGAAGGTTCCGAGTCCATTGAGTTTGGCTGGCAGCAGAACGTCTCCGTCTGGTTCTCAACGTAATCGTGCATCATGTTGGAAGTGATGGTTTTATATTGTTGGATAGTATGAATGGACGAAAATGCCTTCCGATTTTGAAGATGCTTGCTGTAGTTGGGGGGGGAGGGGGGGTTTAATGGAGGAGATGGAATTTGATCAAAGAGAATGAAGGCAGAAGAAGAAGGTTGTGATGTTTCCCTTTTGGACAATCGTCAACATCAAACCTCAAAACTCGATGCCGTCATCACCCTCTCAACCGCTGGGAATTCTGGTCCGGAAATCCGTAAAATTGCCTTGTGGCACTTTATTTACTTTCCATAAATCTTACAATGGGATTGTGGACGATAGCCCTAGTCAAGATTCCCAATCGACCCGTACACATTTATGTTAACGACACTGGGTTGCTGGAGCACCAAGTTATTGCAGAAATGAACACGGTGAATGAAGAACTCAACATGCGTAGGCTGTTCATCGCTATGTACAATGTATGCCCTATATTTGTATGCGTATATATTCTTCTAGTTATCAAGGCTATGTATAATATGTGTATCGTCTACCTGCGTGCGAGGCATATTCTCATGAAGCCGTAAGTGAATCTTTTCTTTTTCAACGAGACTAGTCTATTTGCCAGTCTTGCCTGTAGGAATGTTAAACAGGACGGCCGGCTTGCCAGGGGAGTATGGCTGATCGAGGCGGTAGTATCCCTTGCGCTCAAACTGGATGATGTCGCCCTCCTTTAGGTCGGCAACGTTGCAGTCAGCCACAGCATCCTCGCGGAACTCTGTCTTGGGGTTCAGGACATCTTCGAGGCGGTCATCCTCCTGCAACGAGTCCTTGTTAAGGAGATAGTCAAAGTCAACCAACTCAACAGGGATCAGATCCTGGTCGGTGGACAACCAGGTGACCTTCTTCTCAGTCTTCTTGAAGTCACCCTGCTCGTTGAGGTCTAACTCGAGCTCAGTGACGACACCAGAGGCATCAGTCACAATCTTACGGACGAACGCATTGCCCCAGTTCATGAGCGTGATCTCCTCATCCTGCTTGAAGCTCTTGGCATCCTCCTGGTCGAAGAGGATTGAGCTGCTGTAGACGACCTTCTTTGTGCCAACATCGGGGTTCTTGTTATGCTTGGGCTTATCCACAGTGTATGGAGCAGCAGGGCCTCCCTTGATGATGGCCTTGACAGAGTCCTTCTTGAGCACGGCGGTGTGACGGGGAGCAACGGGGTCGATGTACTTCTTGTTGGTGGCCCAGATGAGGGTCCAGTCAAGGTTGGTGATGTTCTTGCTAGGACCCTGCTTGAGAATGAACTCGCGCAGAGCAGGAATGGTCATTCCGCGGCGTCTGATACCACGAATGGTGGGGAATCGGGGGTCATCCCAGCCCCAGACAACGCCCTCATCCACCAGTCTAGTCAGCTTTCTCTTGGAGAGCAAAGTGCGGATGAAGTTCATGCGGGCGAAGTCCCAGATCTGGACATGGCGGAGCTTGAGAGTGTCCAAGAACCACTGGTACTGGGGGTTGCGGTCACGGTACTCAATAGTTCTCAGGGCGTGGGTAACTCCTTCCATCGAGTCCACGATCGGGCAGCAGAAGTCATAGGTGGGGTAGATCTTCCACTTGGAACCGGTACGGTGGTGGGGGGTTAGATTGCAGCGGTAGATAACAGGGTCGCGCATAGCCTTGTTAGGGTTATCGACGGACATTTTGGCACGGATACACCAGCGCAGACCCTCCTCAGTACCCTTCTTCATCTCTTCGAAATGAGCCAAATTCTCCTCAACGGTGGCATCACGGCGCTTGCTGGGCTCTCCGTTCATTCTCTGGGAGGCCATAGTCTCTTTGTCGGTGTCGTCAGCATAGGCATTTCCGTCCTTGATTATTTGGACTCCGTAGTCGTAAAGCTCATCAAAGTAGTCACTGGTGAAGCTGGTCTTGTCAGGCTTGATACCCATCAGAGCAAGATCCTCCACGATAGCATCCTGGAACTCCAGCTTTTCCTTGGAAGGGTTGGTGTCATCGAAACGGACAAGCAGAGTACCGCTATACTTTTCGTGAGCGAAGTAATCGTTTAGAAGGGCGGCCTTGGCGTGACCAATGTGAAGATAGCCGGAGGGCTCAGGAGGGAAACGAGTGACAACACCCTTATCGGTGTTGAGAAGGGCAATGTCATAGCTGGCGCCCTCCTTGGCCTTTGCGGTTTTCTTCTCCTTGGCAGTGGCATTCATAGCCTCAACTGCGGTGGCCGCCCAGGGGCAGAGGTCTTCGAGGAATGTGAACCAACGAGTGATGTTGGCCAAAGTGCCCTTGCGGACCGTAGAGATAGCGACACGGTTTCCACGAAGGGCACCCCAAAGCGCAATGTCGGCGGTGGAGAGAGAGTATCCGACTACAAAAGAGCGCAGGAGGAGGTGAGTGTTGAGCTGCTGGAGCTTAGGATCCAGAGTCTTGAAGTCTAGGGCAGTGAAGGACTCGACTTCAGAGAGCCACTCGTTCTCCTGTTAGAGCAAGTTAGCACGATTCTGTAGCTATGCGGGGTGGAACAGCCTTACCAGCTTCTCCTCTTTGCTGTTGAGGAAAGGGAAAGTGCTGCGCAATTCCTGGATAGCATTCTGGGTTCCATGCACAGGGGTGCCACTTGCTCCGGTGAACTCGACAACTGCCTTGTCACCCTGCTGGAGGAGTGCGGTATCCTCGTAGGTGATGGTAATGGCTGGGCTGGGCTGGGCCTCGTTCACAGAAGTTGCAATCAGAAGCACAGGAAGCAGAGCCGCCTGGTTGGCTTTGGTAGCCAGGGTAAGTTGAAATTGGGACATGGTGAATTTCAATCCCCCCAAAGAACCTGAATTTCCAAGGACTGCGTGGGATGATGGAATGGACTGACTTTCAAACTGTATGGAGGGGCTTTTTTCTTGAGTCAGAAAGATTCCGTCGGGATCAAGTTTCTCCGTGTTATGTACTCCGGCCAAAGCTTCGGCGGAAAACAATTAATTCCTCTCGTCAGAGAACTCGCCGATAATCTTCACATCGCCTTTTAGGCAATCAACAACATGTCCTCCCTTAATTCACTCATGCCCTCTGCGGCTAGAGGTATCCTCTCGTCATGTCGGACGCCTCTTCGACAAGGCCCAATGGCCAGCCCGTTCTTAATGAGTTACCAGCAGGTTCGCGGAGTGAAGAACAACCCTCAGGCACGAGGGAAAAAGGACAAGGAGAAGGCGGCCAAGAAGTCGAAAAAGGGTGCTAGAGAGTTTCAGCAGAAGGATTTGAAGGATATTCAGCAGTTTGCGCTCTGCGATGCTGTCAGGTATGGCTGAGGGAGATTTGGCACTCTCTCTCGGGAGCTCCGCTAACCGTACTCGAATTCAGATATATTCGTGCATTCGAAGTCGGCCGGGAGCCGACTAGCTCCAAATACGAAATCCACATCCGCTTGAAGACCAAGAAAGACGGCCCCGTTATTCGTAACATGCTCCGATTCCCCCATTCCGTTCAAACAGAGTCCCGAATCTGCGTCATCTGCCCACCCGGATCAAGGCATGAGAAGGAGGCTCGCGCGGCAGGAGCAGTTCTGGTTGGAGAGCAGGATGTATTCGAAGCTGTGAAGAGCGGTAAGATCGAGTTCGATCGTTGTATCTGTCATCCGGACAGTTTGGATGCATTGAACAAGGCTGGACTGGGCAGGATTCTCGGTCCTCGAGGCTTGATGCCAAGCGCAAAAACGGGCACAGTGGTGGAAGATGTGGCTGCTCGGGTTGAGATGCTTCGTGGAGGTACTGTATACAGAGAGCGTGATGCCGTTATTCGACTGCCTATCGGGCAATTGGCGTTTACCCCGGAACAGCTGCGTGACAACCTACGTGCCACCCTTGAGCAAATCAAGAAGGATGCTGCTGGTCTCAATGACCGCATAACCAAGGAGATTTATGAAGTGGTGAGTTCAATGCAAATACCCATGCCCTGACCTGATGGGATCAACTAACGAATGCAGGTGTTGAGCTCGACCAATGGCCCCGGATTCAGTCTGAACGGAGAGTTCAAGTCTGATGACTCTCCAGATACCACCGCTTTGAGTGGTTTGTAAACTAGCCTTTCAATCACTGCTGTATAGATATGTTTCATTAGGAAGGATACGGTGTATAATGGTATTTATTTCAAACACATTTTAAGCATTGAACGCCAACGCTATGCAAAATGAAAAAAAAAAAAAAAAAAAATTATAATAAAAAAACAATTCTAATTATAATAAATAGCCCCCCTCCGGCCACAAGAACATCTATATTTTTAAAGCCTTCAATGCGGACACGGCACTCGTATCCTCACCCATGAACTTATAAAGACGTAAAACGGCCAGCGTTTTAGTATCCTGTTTGTCACCGGCTTGCTTCGCTTGCTCAAGTGCCTTCTTAAGATCTAACAACAGTGCAGAGCGGATCCCTGACATGCGCTGCTGCTGTGACTTTAGAAACGGATGCTCATCTCCAATGCGGGACGAAAGATTCGTGAGATAGATGTATTTCTGGATATGATGCTCGAGTCTCTTTAGCGATACGAGGGCGGCCGCATCACCGTTCTGGGGATCCTCATCATCCGTTTCCTCGTCGCTCTCGAGAAAGTCCGAGTCGGTGTCGGACAGGTCCGTCGACTTCTCTTCTCCCGGGGCGTGTGCAGAGTGGTCTCCAATCATCAGTCTTTTTTCTAGCTCGTCGACGCGGTCTGCAAAGTCCAGCAAAGCACGTCCGATGTTTGCGTTAGCCCTCAGCCGCTTCTTCTCGTTCAACAGCTGTTCCACCTCCTTCTGCCTTTCCTCAACCTTATCACGGATCGATTGGACATCCCTCTGAAACGCCAACAGGCCAACCCGAACTTCCTCGACCTTCTCCTCGCCTCCTTGGAGCGCAGTCCCTAGCGAGAGAAAGTCCTGGTAGTTCTCATTGACTAGGTCCAACAATTCCCGGCTGAGCAATTGATCCAAGTCGCGCAGTTCCTGACGCAAGTCTTCCAGACTCTGGTGTCGATTGGTCAGGGAGGAAAGGTAGGTTGCCGGGTCGAAATCAGGGGAGAGGAAGGAAGCGCGGGACAAAGGCTCGGGGAACGGAAGTCCGGATGTATCGTCATCCAAGTCGGATGCAGATTCATCAGAGTCGCCAAACTGGAGGAGCAAAAGGATTCAAGTTCAAGGTCAGTCTGGTATATTCCTAGACCAATCGGGGTAGAACGATGGAGGAGGGGGGGGGGGGGGACAGCTGGGCTTGCATACGCGAAATCTATTCATTTGGGCGGTCATTCGGCCAGATTGAAGGAATCCGCATGGATTGAGGTGCAGCAGGGAAAAGTAACAGTGTGGAGAGAGACAGAGATGAGTTGCAAGTTGAAACCTCGTTGTCTAGTCGGAGAGAGTTGATTCGTAGTAAGTGAGTAGTGTTACAAAGTCCGTCGCGACCAAAACCAAACCCGGATATCCCATACATAACAGCAAGCAATTAACCTTGATCAATCGGAAATATATTGTCCTACAATATTGCGACACCACCATCATCCTCATCCTCATCCTCATCCTCATAATCGGATTAATATTAATAGGAAACTGCTACTATATCTCTGCCAACACATCGACGTCTGTCTCAGCTGCAACTTGCCGAACTGCCGTCAATCAGGTGTCGTTAACAAAAGACGATTATGCTTTCCAATGCAAGGCCAGCCGGTTCGACTCTTCCATGCAGCTGTGTTCCTCTCTGTGCGATGCGTTGGATTGCCTCTACGTGTCCAGCTGGTTGACCTTCTATTCTGGAGTCTGACAGGCGCTTGATTCCAGACTACTCTTGTTAGGCGATCTTGTGAAAGAGCGGGGTTTCCTGTGCTGGTCTTCCGTGTCTTTCCCTGCGTCGCTGTCGAACAGACGCAACCTGCGTTGATAGTGGGTGTGTATACATACAGTACATGTGGAAATGGATTATAGGCCGTCTGACAGGTTGTGCTCCCACCTTGATGCATACCGACGACCCTCTCCGTTCTCCTCGTCCTCCTACCCGCGCCAGAGATGGTCACAGCTCAACCCTTCTTTTTCTTCCTCTTCATCATCATCATCGCCATCAGCATCCTCTTCCGCGGTCCCTATCACGGAGACAGCTGGTCCCTCTCAGCAGTTGCATCCCTGTCGCCATGAAACTGCCCTAGACGAGCCGACTCTGGCTTATCGCACGACCGCGTTACGTCAACTGAATGGCAATCCGAAGCCCTTGTCTTGGAAGTCCCGACAAGCAGCCAGTCATCCTCCTACCAGTAGTAGGTCCTCGACCCTAGCATCGCAGCCAGTTCTTGTCCGGGCCTATTCAGGCGGTCCTGATGATACCTCTAATTCCTCCAAGATGCCTTCACGGCGGTCGTTCCCTTTCACCAGCTCCTCGAACTTTCAAGAACGGGAGTATCAGCTTCCCTCGCATGAGGAATTCAGCATTGATGGCATCCTCCGCGCCATTGAACCCGACATTCGCAGCACGTTAGACTCGATTGGAGAAATCTGCGGCCGGAGCAAGCTCAGTCTAGCCAACGAGTATGGAAGTCACATTGCTCCTCTCGGGGAGATTCGCGCTCCGCCGGCTGGTCTGTTACCGGTCGATGAAGCCAGCTCCGACCATGGGGGATACTCGGGAGACAATCTAGTCATTTACGATGATGACAATAGTGCCTTTGATGGGCGAGATCCTAGTCCTTTCTCGCATTACACCTTCTTTGATACCCTTATTCCATCCCCCTCCGCTAGAGACGGCTCATCAATCCACGCCCAGCCAGCCACGCCGCGAACCCTGGGAGGCGTTGTTGAGCCTACCCTGGGCTCGCTTCCTACGACCCGCGAATTCGCCTCGAAACCCAAGGCTGACGGGCGGGCCTTGCTGGGGAACCAAGCCGAGTCGCTCACTGATGATCGAGTGCAATACATGCTTACTCCAGCGTTGGTCTCAGAAATCCTCCTCGATGCACAGGCAAATGTTCGCCTTTTAAATCCCGAATCTCTTCCCTCTACTCATCCGGATCTATTGTCTCCAGGGACAGTCGATGGTGATTTCCCCAACATTTCTAACCGCCAGTGTCCACCCGACGATCCCAACAAATTGTCCGAGGTTCAATCGCTTTTCCGCTGGCTGAAGCAAGCTGCATGGCATGATGGTTCTGGACTCGGACAGCAGCAGACAGCGGAAATGCGCCTACGAGCCATGCTTGAACGACTCGAAGCGCATAAAAATTGACCTCTCCAATCTCTTTATATTGTTAACGTAGGTTGCTCAATGGGCAGGGACTTCCTTTGGTAATTTGCGCTGTATATACGCTAGGCATTTTTTGTCTTTGGACGAGCACGAAATACAATGAACCAAATGAGATGCTTTCTCTCTCTCTCTCATTCTTAAAGCAGAACTATAATTACAGGGTATTAGATAAGATATCAGGTATCATAGAACTTCAACCTGTGTCTTTAGTATTATGAATTCCCCTCAATCTCTACTATCAGCGTCTTCGCAAACTCCTCGAATCGAGCATACGACCAGCAATCCCTATACCGCTCCACCAACAACGGCCTCTCATCAACCGTCTCTGGCTCTGGCTCTGGCTTTGGATCTTCTTCCTCATCGTCATCCCCTTCCATCCCCCCCCCCCTTCAACCAACTCCCCAAACTTCACATCCACCGGGACGCGTCCGAGAAACCTAACCCCCATCTCCCGCGCCATGACCTCCCCCCCACCACTCGAAAACAAATTACTCACCTCCCCACAGCACGGACACGTATACCCGGACATATTCTCAACGACGCCCAACATGGGGATACTCGTCTTCACGCAGAAATTCACCTCCTTGCGCACATCCGATGTGGCAATCGCCTGGGGCGTCGTGACGAGCACCGCACCCGCGAGTCGTGGGATCGTCGACCCCGTCCCCGTCCCTGCCCCGTGCACCGTCGTCGTCGTCGTCGTAGTAGTAGTAGTAGTAGTAGTAGCCATCGTCAACAACTGCTCCGCAAGCGCTATGTGCTCGTCACTTGTGCCCGGCGGCGTATCAACCAGCAAGTAATCCGTCTCGCCCCAGTACACGTCCGAGAGGAATTGCCGGATCATGGCGGTTTTCTTGGGGCCGCGCCAGATCACGGCGTCGCCGCGGTCCCGGAGGAGGAACCCGAGGGACATGCATCGTAGCGAGCCTCTCTCGGTGCGGGTGTTGCTGCCGGGGGGGGTATCTGTTCGACGGGCCTCTGCTTGCGTCGGAGTCTGAGACTGAGTCGGAGTCTGGGTGTCTAAAGCCGCATAGACAGGAACCGGCACCCATCCGCCTGGGGACTGGGTGATTTTTGCATCTTCAAGACCGACAAGACGCGGGATCGATGGGCCTGTGAGGTCGATGTCTAGGATTCCGACGGATTTCCCTTGTAGTGTGAGGGCGAGGGCGAGTTGTAGCGTGACGGAGGATTTCCCGACGCCGCCTTTGCCGGATAGGACCTTTAAATTTATTTTAAGATTTTGGTTAAAGAAAAGATTCGAGATGTGTAAATGCCTTCTTCTTCTTCTTGTGCAGTGTAGTGTAGTGAAATGTTATCGATAAGGTTATGGAGGGGTACAATAATTTTTTCTTCGCGGGGGAGAGGGATTAGAGATCGCTTACCAGGACAATATTCTTGACTCCGTCTAGAGGCATTCTTTCGCAATCTGCTCACTTGTTCTGGGGTGGAATGGAGAAGAAAGAAACAGTTGGTATGGAGTCCATGGAGGTCAAGCCGATCTCGCACAGTTTTTTGTTTCTGCGTCATTCCGCGGAGGAGCTGCTTATCAATCGCTTCTTCTTTCCAACTGGTTCTTACAAAAAAAAAAAAAAAAAAAGACCCATATATACCGAGTACGAAGTATACTACACTTGTTTCTAAAGGTTTTCTTTATCTTGAGCAGGAATTTTAGGTCTCGAGCTCACTATCAGATCCAAGTCTCTGATTCAGAACTACCAGGTATCATCAAGACTGGACCATTAGCCGGGAGTGAGATTAGACATATGATCTCAATTCTAGAGTACGAATCTATTGCCACTTCTGGACCACGACCCCTCCTCGCTTGAATTCTACCAGGTCTCCCAGGAGCGCGGTCTTGTCACTCAGCTCTTTGCTGGGGAATGTCGTCAAGAGCACCCAAGATCGGGTCTGGCTGGAAGCGCTAGCGACGGTCACAAAATCGTAGACATTGCCGATCGTGTGGGTTGTGTTGAACCGAGACGTCAGCCGGGTGCCATCTCCCAGTCGGATTTGAAGAGTCACTGTAGGCTGCGACTCATCCACATGGGGATGGACAGGCTCGCTGGGCTGGGTAGAGGGAGGGGTGGAGGAGGGAGTAGGGGTTCGAATGCCAGGAGTTGGGCTCCCAAGTCGTTGTCCTGCTCCCGAGAAGGGCTTATACTTGGGCTTTGGTTTGACGTATTTCTCGTCGTGCTGTTTAATCTCGACATTCACATCCTGACCATGCTGTACGTTCATGATGGCGAGCGGCGCACGGCCCTGTCGGATACTGTTGAGAATCTCGGCGTTTCGAGGGTCATCGGACCGATACAGCTCGCCATCATCAACGGAAAATCCATCCGCCCAAAAGTGTAGGGTTCGTTGTACTCGTTGTGGGATTTGCGATTCGGCAGGTGCGCTGGGAGCTTCAATGACCCTGCTGGGCATATCTTCGCCACCTAGTGTGCGGGCAGTGCCAGTAAAATAGGATGGTCTCGGCTCGGAATCATCAGATGCGGGGAGTTTGGTTCTAAGATGTTATTAGTGTGCGAAGCAATGAATCAAGAAGAGAGAAAAGTACTTTCTAGCCTTTTCCAGGATCTTTCTCTTAATGTCGTCTGGGTTCTGGACAGCTAGTCCAGATTTCTCCCCGCCAGCAAAGAAGTCCTGGTTCACATTATCATCCTCCTCGGAGCTATCTCCGCCAACGGCGGAGGCAAGGTCGCCCAACGTTGCGAACTTCTTTTGAGGCTGTCTGCGCGACGAGGACTGGGCCGACGTGGATGGTTCTGGTTGAGCGCCAAAGCCGCTCGCCTCAGCCGGGCTGGTTTCATGGGAAGTCTCGTCTTGCTCCGCATAAAACTCCGTCACTGCCGCTTCAAGATCCCATCCATTGGTTGCGAGATACTCCTGGGCCTAAAGCAAACGAGTGTGAGGGTTGTAAGCATGAGTGGCATACGTGAGCTGGGATTCCAGCCTACCTGGTCAGCGCCCGCTCTGGTCATGGCGCAGAACTGAGAGATCAGTTCATCACGATCGGTAGGGTCCATGATTGTATAGAATGAGGGACCTGAAGCTATCAAGTTGAGGGAACGCAAGTCAGACAGGTGAAATGAGAGCTCAGGCAAGAAGAGAGATTACGATCGATCCAGCCTCTTATTGTTGATTGAGGAAAAGGAAAAGCGCAACAGTACGTCACAGTTACCTGATTGGTCATCCGGAGGAGGGGATCTTCCGTGGTGCCTCAGGCTACATCTCCAGGAGCAAATAATGTGAGCTGGCGTATCCAGATTTCCTATACAGTTACAATAATATTGAATATATAGAAAACAACTTAGATCATTTCTTATCCATGGATTTTTCTATAGCTTTCTCCTTAATGTTTTTTACTGGCTATATCTAAGTTAGGTAGATTGATGGATGGCGCTGGTCTGTTGGGAAAGCTGCTTATATAACCCCCTTCTTCATGCGCGTTGGAGATCGATCGATTGATCCATCACTCATGAATTAATCAAAGAGCCTCGTTATTGAGCTTGTTCAAATACTGCCATAGTTGAAACATTTCCCTATATTCCACTTGGGTCGGCTATTCCTCCTGGAGCTCTACAGGGACTATACTTCATCACTGAGTTCCCCCTGTTTCCTCCCTCCCCTTTCCCACTCCTGTCGCCTGTTGACAATCCCTTCCCCCACATCATGGCGTCAAACGACGTTTCGCACTCGAGGATCGCGCTATATGAATCCGGCCTGACAATCCCCTCGGACTCGGAAAACTACTCTGCGAACCATGAAGTCTCTGCCTCCACGTCGACCACATCTAGCTCGCCGCTGATTCTCTACAAACCCCCGACTATCTTGGGCCTTCTCCGCGGGGTGGCCATCAACCTAGTGCTCCCTTTTGTCAACGGGTTGATGCTGGGATTTGGTGAGCTATTTGCACATGAGGCTGCATTTAGGCTAGGTTGGTCGGGAACGAAGGTACTTACTTCTCTTTCGAACGGGTCTCTGAAGGATACTTACCCTGATTGATCGCTAGATTTTCCCTACATACCGACGAACACAGCCTGTCAGCCCTGGAATGGAGCTTAGGTGATATCTTTTCTATTCGATATAGGGAAGTGGACAAGAGCTGCGAGACAGCAGAGCACGTTCCGGTATGAGGCGGTGGCCATACCAGTAATAGACAATCTGGGGGAGAAAAAAAAAAGGGAAAAAATAAGAGGACGTCGGTATGATCGGGATCATTCATCCGAGATTTTTTTCCCCCCTTTTTTCTTTCTCCTTTGGCAGCATGAGAGATGCGTTCCTCGTGGAGGGCGCTATATTACCCATGTACATACACATAGATCCAGCAGGCAGTATTCAGTAATTGGTTCGATGGAGGCGTCTGGCGAACATTCATGGCACAATGTCAACCCCTATGATTACAGAAATAACCCGGTTTTACTCTCTGATCAACGGCATCCTGATCAGTACTTCTTCCCAGTGATATATATAGTTAGTTAATTGATTCTAGACTGACTGTTTGGGTGTTTTGAATGCCGGAGATTCTCGTGACTTGACCGCCCGGCAAAACCCCGGTCTGGGCAACCAAAAAAAAAAGCGTCTTTCCAGGTTCGCAGCCGGGATTGGTCTCTACCCTTTCCCTTCGTTTCTCCGTCAAGACTCATAATGCTGGGAGGGTATGGTTTGAAAGGGCGCGGCGTTATGCCCGCCATCGCCCGGCAGCGATTGGCCGCTTTCTCACGCTCCAGTCGATCGGTTTGTCTCTCTGCCCTCGGTGTCACGATCCGGCCATGTAAGAATGAATGACCTGCTGACTGGTGATTTCTGTAGATGTCCTCATTCCGTCCTCAGAGCTCACCACTCCCTGTCCGATATGGCAGGTTAACCCAGACACTGGCCGGGAAAATGACTTGGAGACCGGCCTCTGCCATTCCCGGAGTCTCTGCCACCCGGTTCAACTCGACCGCGACTTCCTCCGCATCTGCCTCGTCGGCCGTGCCGGCTGTAGAGGCTGCCTCCTCCGCCAATGCTGCGGCACCGGTTGAGGTTTCTGATCTCGCAGAAATCGATATTACTGCTATTCCGGAACAGATTGGATATCTGAAGCAGCTGGGCCTGGACTACGGCTGGGGTCCGTCCTCGATGATTGAATACTTCGTTGAGCACTTTCACATCTGGGGAGGACTACCCTGGTGGGCGAGTATTGTCGCAACGGGTGTCTTGGTCCGTTTAGCTCTGCTGGGCCCGATGTTCGGTGCCGCGGACACTGCTACCAAGATCAACAACATCAAGCACATTTCCACTCCCATCCGGACGAGGATGATGCACCATGCGCGGGAGAGCAACCAGATTGAGATGAACAAGGCCCGGGTGGAGATGCAGAAGCTCCACCAGGACCATGGAGTCAAGCCCTGGAAGTCATTCGTTCCGCTCATCCAGATTCCTTTCGGTTTCGGCTGCTATCGCGTGGTCAAGGGCATGGCTTCTTTGCCTGTCCCAGGGCTGGCTGTGGAACATGTTGCCTGGATTCAGGATCTCACGGTGTCGGATCCTTACTATATACTTCCTGCTGCCACATCCCTTTTCATGTATCTTAGTTTCAAGGTACGTTTTCGCTTCTTTACATCGGCAGCTCCTCCTACTAACTCCCCCCCCCCCCCTTAGAAAGGAGGAGAATCCGGAACCAACGATTTCACCAAGACATCGTTGGGCAAGATGTTCCTTTACGGTCTCCCTAGTATGTCCTTTGCCTTCATGTCGTTCTTCCCTAGCGCTCTTCAGATCTACTTCGCCACCACGGGTCTCTTCGCCCTCGGACAATCCTACCTTATCAACAGCCCCGCCTTCCGTCGTGTTGCCGGCATCGCTATCGCCACAAAGCCCGCACCCGCAGTCGACCCTACGAATCCGCTTGCCAGCCAAGGCGGATCCGAGCAGAGCCGAGCGCTGCGTATGCTCACCGAAGCCCTGGAGGCTGAAAATGCCAAGCTGTCGGAGGGCCGCCCGGCCACCCCGGGCCAGGAGCTCAGCTTCATCGACCGCGCTATTGAGTCTCTGAAGCAGTCCAAGGACAAGCTCAAGCGCGAGACCACCGAGAAGGTGAATGAGATGCGCGGCGACGGACCCTTGAAGAACGCCGATGGCACGCTTGCGGAGCCGCCGAGGCTCAGCGAGAAAGACCGCAAGTTGGCGGCGGACTACGAGAAGCGTCGAAAGGAGGAGGAAGACTGGAAGCGCGAAGAGCGGAACCACGCTCGGCGGGAGGCCCATCTGCGGGCACTCGATCTGGAGAGGGAGAAAGCCCGTGCGGCGTTCAAGCCAAAGGCGAAGCAGAGGTAGGGTATGCCCCTGGCTGTTCACGAGGAGACGGTAGGGTCGATATGGATAGATGTCTTTGTATTATAGGGGCTACAGCATGTTGTAGTGTTATAGATAGTGCATGTTTAATTTATGTATTCATATCTTCTCTCTCTCTCTGTGTGTGTGTGTGTGTGTGTGTGCATGTAGAGTATTAGAGTAATGATATATTTTCTTACAAAACAACCCATTTATTTTATTTTATTTTTAGGTTATTTCCCTCCACACTCACAGTAATTAGTAAATGACTAGATTGTTCACTATTTGTTTTATATTTAGAGTCTACCCTGGTACTACTAGTAAGTAGTAACTAGATCAGTCAAGGTCTTTGTAAAATAGTACTATATAACTATAACTAGGTAGTAGGAGTCTTCTTCTTCTTCTTCTTCTTCACCAAGTAAGTAACTCAGTAACTAATAACTAACCAATATTATCTTTTTATTTTATTTTATTCATTCATTCATTCATTCATTCATTCATTCCTCCCACCTAAGAAAGTCAATCAGGTTCAACTCCACCTGATCCTGATCCTGGACTAAATCTAGACCTCTACTCCACTCCATTCCACTCCACTCCACTGAGAATAAAGAACAGAAATAGATAAAGAGAAGAGAAGAGAAGAGAAGAAAAGAAAAGGGTTTTCATGGATGAATACATGCTATTTCTGGATATGCTGTTTTCGGAAATATAAGGGAGGGAGGAAGGAAGGAAGGAAGGATCTGTTTTTCTTTAGTTATGGCTTATGTTACTTTCCTGTGACTTACTATTAAAGCTATGTTAATGTTACTTTAGTTGAATGGGAATGTTTCATCTAGTTTGCTTGATCTTGAATGCATGCATGAATGGATTTAGGGTGATAGTTAAAAAGAAAATTAAGATGAGTTACATTAATTAGGGGTTAATGCCTGAAAGAAAGTCTAGTTATCCTAGATTATATAATATAGTTTATGCTGCCCAATGGACCAGCCATATCCCAACACTTTTTACACATGGACACGAAGAAAAGATAGGGTTGAAGAAAGAATATAGGGGGTACAAATATGTTGCAATGAAGCGAGGATATCAAGAAATGGTTCAACTTGCCCCAAGGACGCCAGCAGACAAAGGGGAACACATAAAATGTAGTGTATGAAGAGCTGAAGAAATGTATAAATGCGAATACAAAGGCTACGCAGTTTGCATCGGCACGGACGTTAGAGGGAGCTCATGAGTAGGTTTCTCGTCCTGAACGAACATCATCTCCTCCAGTTTCTGCGTCATGCGGGCGCAGAATGGATCAACGTATTTCGTCCAGAGATAGGCGCAGACATACACCAGAATAATCCACAGTGGAATACTGATGGCCACCACCCAAGGCGGACGGATCGGGATCCACACGGGCTCGCCGTTTTCTTGCTTCTTCTCGGGGTCGAACGGTTGGCCAGTGATGCCGTAAAGCATCCAGCAGAGCACAGTGCGGAGCAGAGTTCCGTGGACCAGGTACACGGCGAAACTCTGTCCCCCCAGCCAAAGAAGAAGGCGGTTGGAGAGAAAGTCCTTGGCTCGGGGAGAAAGGTAAATGGCGAGGATGATCAGGTCAACGCCGATAGCGGAGTAGCGTTTGCCAACATTGACGTCGGGCGGGAAGATATAGTGGGAGATCTTGAGCATGACATTAGACCAGTCGCTCCATTCGGGGTGTTCGCCAGGATAACCCGCGATAAAGAGACCGGCAGCGAATATGAGGGCGGCAAAGGCACGTCGGGGCCATTTCCACTTTTCGATGAACTCTTGGAAGGACACTTCGTAGGAAAGGTCGCTAAGGAACATGCCGTAAATTCCTTGCATTTGGAAAGTTTCTAGTCTTGTTAGTTTCATTCTCCAAAAAAAAAAAAAAATAAAATAAAAAAATCGAGGGGAAGAAGGAGGAGAAGGAGGACTACCTGTATTTTTGGCCGCATCTTGGTGGAAGTAAAGGAACATGATCAAATAGACAACCAACCGCCAGCGGAAACGCATAAACATCGTGACACAGAGCATAATATACACCAACATGGAGGTCAACAGAAGAGGCAACAAGGCCCACTGGTGATCATCGTAGGCCATGTATCCGGTTGTCCAAGTAGTCAGAAAGTTCTTGAATAGTCGCAGGAACTCCTTCCAGAAGGAATCCTCGAGATCCGGAGCGGCATATCGACACCACCAGCAGTCTGAGCGGTTGGCGACAACAAAGGCCCTGCACTGTGCCATCACCCAAGATATCAATAACGCGATCGTTGCCGGCATGATGAGACGAGGTGGTCGGCGGAAGGCACTCTTCGCAATAGCCGTGAAGGAAGCGAGGTGGTTGCCGTTCCGAGTGAGCTTGATGGGCTTCAAGGCACATACATAGCCGGTGAGAAAGGCAAAGATGGTGACGCCGATTCGACCCTGCCACGGAATCCGGAAAACAGGCAGCTGCAGCAATCGAGGAGGGACATCCTCTCGATCCCGCGGAGCGAAGAGATCATAATCCCAGGCGCGGGCTAAATGAGTGAGAACGACCAAGAAGGAGGCAATACCTCGCAGACCCTACAGAACTTAGTATACTTTACCCCCGAACCAAGCAAGCATCGGCGTCTCCCGGGGGGGGGGGGGGGGGGGGGGGAGACATACATCAATCCATTTGACACTCTTTCGAGGATCTCCCTTGACATTCGGATCACCTCCGCTCCAGGGTAGAACTTCCCGAATTCGGGTATAGAGATAGGTAGCGTGGGACATGCTGCGAACGGAAGCTCACGAGATACGATGGTGAGACCACCACAACACCACACAACCCCCAGCACACACGATCTGGAATCAAATCAAGGAGTAATGCAAGGAAATAAATGAGATTAAGAGTACAATAGATCAGACAAGATAAAGATGATTTTATTTAGTCACGAGGGCATGAGAAAGGAGTGTACGACGGGTAGAAACTAAGGGGAGAGAGACGAGAGGAAATGAATGAGAGAAAGCGAAAGTAAGAGAGAGAAAGGAAGCGAGAAAGAAGATAGCCGCCAGAAGAAATGACTCGTGAGAAGAAACGAAAAGGAATGTCAGCGAAACCTGCCCAGCACCGAAAGAATGGATCAACGTTGTAGCCTGGATGTGCCGAGAAGAACGATATCCACCTGGGAATAGCTGGATTAGAACAGAAAGAGAAAGAGCGTCAAAGGGAGGAAGAGATCCGCCTCGATACCACGGCGCAGGGAGGGGAGCAAGAGAGGGGGCAGCCGAGCTACTCCATATATTCATATCAGTAACAACCCAAAGAATTAATTATAGAAAGACACTTGAGCAGTAGCGAGAGAGAGAGAGAGAGAGAGAGAGACAGACCGAGAGAAATGCATAAATGCCGTACTCCGTATAGGCTCCTCCTCCTCCTCCTCCTCTTCCTCCTCCTGATGAATGGAGGCAGATCCAAGAAAGGCCCAGACAAGAGCCCACCTTGCATCCTTGGCATAGGCTGGGAAGGGACTAAAAGAGTGTCATTTTCACAGTTCGGGTGAATGTTGGTCGTCCAATGGATTAAAGGGGGGGCGTCGGGTGAAGTTCAAGGGAACCAGTCAGACGCAGAGACCGGTCGATAGGGCGGGACCCATTTTTGGAACGACAGGACCCTGGAGAGGGAGGAGAGATGGGCGCAATGGAGGTCGAATCAGACGGGGAGGAAGTTATGGAGAAGGGAGGGAAAAGGGTCAAGTGGATCAGAATTCTGAAGTCGGAGGACGACTCGTCATGACTTTTTGGAGACTAACGATGCAGTCCGCTTCTTGGCATCATTTCCCATTTTTAACTATTCATTCTATCATTCACGAAAAGATCCGGCGTCCCCCGACGCTGCCCGCGTTCCATGTTACGGACCCTCGAACCCCCAAGTTCCCCATACTCAACCCAGAAAATCCCACGCCTCCCCCTTCGCCATCGCGTTTGTATCGTCGTAGCGCTTCCCGCAGATGCGCAGGGAGTAACTGACCACGATGGGGATTCGGGGGAAGCTTAACCTCAGCCCTGCTGCTCGGCATCATGGTTGGAACTTGTTCATCCGACGGTCCCGTCCAGATCCGAGACATCATCACGCCAACTCCAAGATTCTGATTGTTATCGCCCTGGCTGCCCTGACTAGGACCAATATCCCGCGCTGCATCCTTAGCGAGCGCCGCCACCGCCGCCGCCTGGTCGTGTGCGTCGGCCCATTCCATCTGTACCGTTCGTGCCTTTTCGATAATCTCCCCAGCAAACACCTTAGTGAAGCCATTGATCGTGGTCACCACGCTTGCCGGAACCGACTGTGACAGGGCATGGTTCACGATCCGTCGCAACGTCTCCTTTCGGAGCTTTGCCCGTTTGAACAGATCATATCGTTCAGATTGTAGGGGGTTGAATGCATCCACCAGCAACCTACCCCCAGAAAAAAAAAAAAAATACAAGTTAGCCAAGAAAAACCACTTGTCTTGAAGAACACATCCCCCCCGAAAGCGTAAAAAAAAAAATATATACGTACGCTAGGTTCTTCTTCTCGGCTTCCGTATCCGTAGCCCCCCCCCCTTCCTCCCTCCCAAGTAACTCTCCCCCCTCATCATCAAACTCATCCTCATCCTCACCGTCCTCGCCTGCATTCCCACCAGCACCAGCACCAGCACCAGCACCAGTACCAGCACCACCCCCCCTCAAACTAGCCACATCTTCACTCTCCCTCTCCCTCTCCCTCTCCCTCTCCCTCTCCCTCTCCCGCTCGACCTTGCTCTTCCTTCCGCGCTTGCGAGACTTGCCCCCCCCAAACACCCCATCAATGCTAACGCCCCCTAAACTCCCCGTAAAGCTCCCCGTCACGCTGCCGGCATCACTGGCCGCGGAGAATCCCGCCGCACCGCCACTAGAACGGAGATCCGAGTCGATGGGGAACGAGGTCTGCCGGAGAGGATGATGCAGGCGCTGGCGTTTGGGGTTGGTTGCGACTGCTCCGAGAGATTGTAAGGGAGCCGAGGGGGAGGAGATGGAGGAGATGGAGGGTCGTTTGAGGGGGTTGGTTGGGGTAGCTGTAGCAGCTGTACCATGTGGTGGTGGTGGTGGTGAGGAGGAGGAGGAGGAAGAGGAGGACATTGTCTGCTTCTTTGGTTTCTCTGGGTGATTTTTGCGCTCGATTTCAGGTCGAGGATTCAATTTGGAGACGGTCGCATTTGTCCGCTGATGGGTACGGAAGCAAGTAAGGTGTAAGTAAGTAAGTAGGAGATGTGTCGCGATGAAAATAAAAGGTGTAAGTAAGTAAGTGGGAGATGTAAAGGAACCAAAATGTTCCGTCCCGATTGTAGGCAAAGTCAGTACAAGGCCTTCAGCGCCGCCAATTCATTCATTCATTCTACTCCGGACTTAGATTTAGATTGAGATAGGTAAAGAAGATGTAAATTATAATATCTCTTATTCTCGCTACAATTAAAGATCACTCACTCGACTTGCAACCTTCACAAACCAGCGCTAAATTCCAACGAAAAAAAACTGCTCCGAAGGAATCAACTAAATAAACAAGACTGACCGAAAACCACACGACCCCCAACGATAAAATAGAGATCAAAGCTGAGACTGCAAAACAATCAATTTAGGAACGATCCAATGATATGGACATCCTAAACGCACTCTTCACCGAGCCGAGGGGCCCCCCCCTTCCAATCGAGCCGTTCATAGTAACGGAACACAAGGTCATATCCATCCAGATCGTGCACGATCCGATCTACCCGTCGGTATCCCTCCACATGCTCCCCCTTAGGAACCCGCCGAGCTGCCTGTCGCTCGATGTATCGTGCCTCCTTGTTGCTGTCCCACTCGCCATTCATGCCGGGCTTGGCTTCAAAGACCGTCAACGTGAACCGGCCGGGTTGGAAGATGTTCACCACGTGTTGGATGATGCCGGCGGTCGTCTGGCCGTTCTGCGAGTGCGGCACGTTGGTCTCAAAGGACGCGTACGAGCAGTGCGGCTCGGGCGTGACGTGGACCGTAAAGTAGTGAGTGCCTCCCTCGGCGCCGCCGTTGGGGCTGGGAATCACGCCATTCGCAGAGAACCCACAAGGAGTGAACAGGTAGGCATCAATGCGCGACTCAGGGTACTTGTCCTTTGGGTACACTTCTGACAGACCGCAGGACTCGGACACAACCGTTCCCAACGCGTGGCCTTCGGTAGTGAGCTCCGCCGGTAGGATTCCGCTGCCCGAAGGCGACACGTCATCGAGGTCCGACGTGTTGCTGAACACATCTACATGATCCTCTTTATGCGCATCAAAGTTGCTGTAGCGCTTCTCAGCAACGCTGGTGGCATGCTCCAGGTAGAATTGCTTGGCATTCTCCTCGTCTAGGTCTGTCATCAACACCTCAAGGGTCTCATCCGAAGTCTCATCGTCCACGGCCCGCCGCAAAGCAGCACGCTCAGGGAGCTGGATGAACTTGGTCTCCGTGGTTCCCTCGTCATCCGACTCAGTGGGAGTTGCGGGAGGCGTAAGCAAGGTGTTGGGTTCGGTGAGGTACAAGTACCAGTGCTCGCCGTTCATCTTGCCAATCATGTAGGCGCTCCCGTTCAAGAAAAGCTTGTCCATAGAGCGAACTTCGTCTCTCCAGCTGCGGTGAGGGCCGCGCTGGCGATCAGGGAACAAGAAATTCTTGCGGCTGTAGAAAACACGGTAGGGAGCCGCTGCAACGGTAATGCCACGGGACGCAGGCGCTGTAGATTTGGGGAAACCGCCAAACAGAGCGGCAATCTCAAGAATGCGGGGCAAGCCCGAGAGCAGGGTCGTGGTGCCGCAAGTCTTGAGGATCAACTTGTGGGGCCACACAAACATGCTGGACTCGGACAAGAGATAGGCATCCACATCCTCAGACGAAACAATAGACAGCACCTGGCAGTTGACAATGTCCAGCATATCCTTCCAAATCTCCTCCGCCACGGCCTTCAAGCCCTTGGGGTTCGAGGGCCCGAGGTCGTCGGCCGACGGGGCAAACCAGACCTCCAGGAGCTTCTCGGGGCCTATGCCAATATTAGTACGGAACGATGTTGAAACGCCGCTGGATCATACCTTCAAAGGCATTGGTGGAGTCGAGATCATGGGTGGCCTCATGATTGATGGTCAGAGACGTCGCTGGGAACGAAGACGGCGACTGCGTATAATTCTTGGGGATTCCAATATAAACCATCTCCTCTGATTGTCCGTAGCGAAGTATAAATTATAGTGGTGCTTGAAACTGGCGCAGAAAACGGGCTCGATTTGAACTGTGGATCGTAGACAAGAAAGCCTTGAAGCACTATCTGCTACTCAGACGAACCAAAAGGGGGGGGGGGAGGGGGGGGGCAAATGTCCGCCTGAGAGAGAAGGCCCTTGAAGAGATCGAGGAGCAAGAGTGGCACTCAGCCGAAGAGGAGAATCTCAGTATAACCCGTCAGGGTGCTAGGGAGGACGGAAGGAGAGCGAGAGGAGGAAAACGCCTCGAGAAAAAGGAATTGTGGCTATCGGGGTGGCCTCGTGCTGAAGATACCGATACCGATCAAAGTACCGGGTCTAGCAGACGAGGATATCTGCTTAGAATAGGATACGGAGGGTAAAAAAAAGGGCACACAAGCGCAAAAACGGGGCGTCTTTAGGGATGTTATCTGGGCCTTGAGAAAGCGGAGGTTAGTCGCGTGCACTCGAACACTCAACAGACGAATATAACGCAAAACACACTCAAGAAAAGAGAACCACTCACTTCGCGGGCTTAGACAGGAATCGTAATAGGTCCTTTGAGCTCATGGAAGGCAAAATCAAGTCTGGCTTAAAACAGCACAATAGAAGACGCCACAGTCACTGACATCTGCGTTACGACAATTGCGAGATGACAGAGCGGCGGGAGTCGATATAAATGTAGGTAGGGAAAAGGGAAAGCAGAAGGGAGCAAGCAAGAAGAGGGGAAGAAAGAGTATAAAAAAAAAAAGAAAGAGACTAGAAAATCACGCAGACGTGGGGTTCACAGTGAAGCCTCTTTTTTTCCCCGTAGGAATTATTTTTCTTGTCTCTGTGGGACCCGAGAAAATTGAGGGCCAGGCGTGGGGCAAAAGCGTCTAGATTTGGGTGCTGGTTGGGCGACAGCGATAACAAGAACAGAACTGGGGGTGGAGGGGAATTAAGTGAATTGGGATTGAGGATGCAGATAACATAGACAGACTTAAGAGTCTCTAAAGAGTCAATTACAGACGAGAGAGAGAGAGAGGAAGAAAAGGAAGAAGAAGAAGAGAGAGGTATCGATGACGGGGAGAAGGCGGAAAACTACTCCAAAACAGCCGTAACCTATTCTGTATTGCGTATGGTCACGTATGGTAACCTGCATCGTGGTATTCGGGATACCAAGATAGGCAGGCGGTGTGCCCGTATGCAGGAACACTGACTTATATACTTCAGTGTTATAGAGTACGAGCAAGAATAGTATAGAAGGATCTGGATTTGTACCATATACAACTAAATTACGGAGTACTAGTAGTATCAAATTACTGTTTCACTGTGACTCATCTAGCAGTATTTTACCCTGACCGCTTGTCAGGCATCAAATCTTAATATTGAGGACGCTAAACACGCCCCCTCCTTTTCTTACATTGCTGGAAGAGTCCAAGATACCATTCATCATTTCATTAATTACCTATTATCTCTTCCTCACAGGAAAAAGAGAGAGAGAGAGAGAGAGAGAGAGAGAGAAGGTTAAGCTAAAAGGTAGAGAAACTAAGGCTCTAAAATCGCATGGGCCAATTGCACATCCCCCAAGTCTGATATCTTCCCCGCAAGAAACTCGCCCACCTTCGCACTCAAGCCTGCCTTCAAGTCGCCCGTCACCATACCGACATGTCCATTCGTAAGCACCGCCCGGCCCTCGCGCAAGGATGCAAGAACCCCTAGCAGCACCCCTAGGACCCTTTCGGCCTCGGGTCGTCGCGGACTGTCCTCCGCAACGCCCTCCTTCAGCAGATTCCCGTACGTCGGGAGATTGGGTATAATCAGGACGCGCACGGCCTCGGACCCTCCAACGGCTTGGAGACCGATAATCGCGCCGTAGTGAGCCCCAAACGGTTTCGACGGGTCGAGCAGTGTCTTGAGACAGGAGCGCGCGAGTCGCGGTTTGAGGGTGTGCGAGGAGTGGGAGTATTTGTTGGCGATCAGGCCGAGGAGAGACGCCGAAAAGTCACGGAGAGCGAACTGTTCGGACAGGTCGGCATTTCCACCGAGCTGTTTGCCGATCAGGCAGGTAAGAATGGGGGGCACCAGCGATGCGACCTGGGATGGTAGACGGTTAGTCTAGTCTAGACGAATATGAATCCCGACCCGGAAGAAACCGAAGAAGGATCTTACATAAGGGTCCATGTAAAGTGACTGGTTCTGCACCAGGGCTTCCGCCATGTGCATAACCTGGGTCAGAACAAAGATATCCTTCAAGCCATGGGTAACCTTCTCGGAGATGAACTGGACAAAATAAGGGACGAGTTGATGAAGCCCGGGGTCTTCGCGCAAGCTCGCATAGCCCGATGTGCGATACTTCTCACTAGACTCGTCCAGAAAGGCATTGCAGACCTTTTCGAAATAAAGCTGGAGCTCCTTGGACAGTACATGCTTGACGAGGGGCTTGACGGCCACGTTTCCGTTCCCACTCATAGCCGCGAGGGTCGAGTTCGCGTTGGGTCCTTTGGCCATTAATTCAAGATTTCGCGAGTCTGCGGCTGTTGGGTTCTGAGGGATTGATGGTTGTACGCCTTCAACGGCGAGCCAGTGTGCTATACAGATTATTAGTCTCCACCATACAGCCACCCCAACAGAAACCAAAAAGCGAAAGCATCCAAAACATAACAATAGAAAAAAAAAAAAGAAAAAGAAAAAATACCAGTAAAAGAAATCTCCCTAGGCACCCTAGGCAAAGGCGCATTAATCAACTTCTCAAAATCCACCTCTTCATCCTCGACGTAGAACAACGGCTGTCCCGGACCCAGCGACGCCTCCCCAAAGCGCAAGGGCCGCGTGGACTCATACCCATAGAGCGGCTCGACATCAAGCACGCGCAAGGCCTGCGCGATATCCTGTGTTGTGAGGAGGGTGCGTCGACTGTGGCGCATGAACTTGAGGGCTTCTTCGAGGACCTGGGCGATGCGGTATTCGACGTCGCGGGCGAGGTTCTCGGTGACGTCGTTGTTGAGGTTGACGATGCCGACGGATTCGGCGACGTCCCGGATATTATCTGGATTCCAGACGGACATTTTTATTTTTATTTTTATTTCGAAGGAGGAGGAGGGGGGGGGGGTGGATTAGGAGCAGCGTGCGGAGGAAGGAGAGGAGGAGGAGAGGACGCGAGGAGAAGACGAGAGTTGTGGAGTCGATGGGATCCCGAGTGTTGGAAGAGTGAGCAAAGATTATCAGTATCGGGAATAGAGAATCATTATAGAGTAGAATACATTCTAAATTGTAATAGCATAGGTTAGGTAGTTCCAGAGCTCATTCTTTAACCTGCGAGATACCAATTCGGGCTAACAATAACCCGTTCCACCACATATTTCCTGATGAATGGAAACTCACCACCACAACTTCTCTATCGCTTGACATTAAAGTAATGGAAAGACAAATGAACACTCATCTAATTAGTAAGAGTAGCATGATTAACTATAATTATAGACCGCTATCAGCGCAAGAGTCGAGAACAACTTCTAAGGTATCTAAGGTATCAGGAAAGAAAACAAATTAATCACACAAGTTTCCACCTCCGCCGCAACCTCCCCAGTTCATATCCATCGCTTCAAGCTGCAGCGGCAGCTACAGCTTCGGCCTCGGGAACAATCTCCTGCTCAAGGCTCACAGTCCGTGCCGAGCCCTCTAGGTCCGGACCGCTACCCCCGTACACCTTAGGAAACTTGTCCTTCAAGGTAGGAAACTCACGAGCCAGATTGGCGCCGTTGGAGATGGGATGGAACTTGCGCGTAGTGTTTGCGCTGACGAACAGCTTAATGGCGGCGAACATCCAGCCCATGATGGCAGGGACGTTGACGAAAAACTTCTCGCGCAGCAACTCGGGGTAGGCCGTGCTGAACACCTCGATGGTCTTCTTGGTAGCAGCGCGGATGTTGGGGTTCAGACGGAGAAAGCTGACGTTCAGGTAGTCATGGACCTGGATCATCCGATAGGGGTCTTCGCCATTGTAATCCATGACCTCCGTAGCCTGGTCCATCTTGAGTTCTCTGACAGCAAGTTCCATAAGAGCCACCCGCCATTTGACAAACCTGCGAGACATCAGTAAACACGCTAGCTAAAAACACCCTCGAAGAGGGGAAAAAAAAAAAAAAAAAAAAAAAAAAAAAAAAAAAAAGAAGAAGAAGAAGGCATACTCATCCATATCCCCAAAGGTCTGATCAATATTCTTCACAGCCCCATACAGATTCCAGGTCACAACCAAATCCCCGCTCCCCTCACGCGGATACGTAGTTAAATATCCCAGCCCACCGAATTTCGCCGCATCATAACTCGTCGAGTCTACCAGCGCCAGAGGATCCATCTGCTTCCGCCACTGCAACGCCTTGATCAGCTGCTCCTCAGCCAGCTTCACATTGCCGTCGTTCGCGCGGAGAAACTTCATCACCACATTCACAGTGGGTGCATCATTGAAGTCCTTCAGAGACACCCCCCACATTTCATCATGGCCAGTGCTGCTAAGAATATCAGGGAGCTTCTCGAAGAGCTGCTCCAGCGCGGGCGTTTTGGTAATGTATTCTGGCTTGGGCTCTTTTTCTTCCTCTGCGGCGGCTGTGGTGGCTTCAGGGGCGGGTTCAGCAGCAGCAGCAGCAGCAACAGCAACAGAAGCCTCAGGGAGGGATTCAGGAGCTGGCTCAGCCGGTTGCTCGGGGATAGTTTTGGTTGGTTCAGGAACGGATTCAGGAGCGGTTTGAGTTTCGGGTGGGTTGGGGACCTCCGTCGCGACTTCGGGTTCCTCAGGAGCTTCAGGAGCTTCAGGAGCTGCCGCTGCCGCTGGAGCAGGCTTGGCCTCAGCTTCAGATGCAGGTTCGGGCAGGGACTCGGTAGCTGGAGCAGTCTCAGTCTCCGGCTCGGGCTGGTCCTTTACCTGGGTTGCGGGAGCTGGGACGGTCTCCTGTGGCTTTTCCTGGTCGGCCATGGTGACTAAATTTATTCCGTTACTGAATAAATTTAGAGGGGGGAAAAGGGAGGGCTAAGAGATTTAACGATGAAACCGAGAGGAAAGATGGAGAGGGAAGAGAAGGAAGGAAGGAAAGAAAGAGAGAGAGAAAAAGAACCAGACAAACAAAAAACCACCAGTAGCTAATTACCTCCAGCTACTAAATACTCTCCGTAGTTACAGAGTACAACTAAACAGGAGTCGTGGCACGAGTCAGAAATTTAAAATTATTCTTCTGTCTAAACCACAGGTACGGAGTAACTAAGAATTATTGCACTCCGTACGCTAGTATAGTGCTATGGTCTAGAAGATGGCTGATGGATAACCTAGAGTCCTAGACTACGGAGTACAAACACCCTGCACAGTCTTGGAGTTCTCCTGACTGACATTAATTAATTAATTTTATCTTCTGCAGATCGATACGATCCAGTCAGCTTCCTTGCGTACTCTGTATAAAACACAAATCTGCTCATCCAATACTCCGTGAGAGCAGAAATGGGGAAACGTAGTAGCGTAGGTAGATTGCTCATTCCATCCGTTTAGTAGACATGCAGGCATCGACCAGAAGGTCGTCTTCTATCATCACAAATAACCATCCAAAACAATCCAGACCAGAAGCAAAAGATCTTTAACTCAAGCAATTAAGTAGTACGAAATCAGAGGCTCCTCGTCCTGCCTCGTCGTTTCACGTCTCAACCAGCAAATAACAAGACATCCGAACAAACGCGCTGGGGAATATACATCGAATCGTAAAAGCAACCATGCCAACCGTCGCAGCTGTTCTGCTTACATGGTCCCGTTCAAAAAACGTTCGGGAATCTGAGGCATCGGAGGTGAAACACCAGAGGTGGGTTCTTCTTCTTCTTCTTCTTCGTCAGCGTCTACTTCATCTTCCTCCATTTCATCAACCTCAGGATGTCTGGTTCAAGTCAGTAAGTATCCACCCACTCGTCCAGTTAAAGGGGGGAGAAGGGGGACAAAATAAAAAGAAAAAAAAAAGGGGGAGGGGGGAAACGGGGGGAACCAAAGATAAACATACGCTAGGAGCTCCTTAATATTCCGCATCTCATAATGTCTCCGCCTTTGCTGCTCAAATTGCCGATGCTTTTCCTTCGTCTCAGCAGTTGTCATCAGCCCATCCTTGCTTACCTCCCCATCGTCCCCGTTCACTTGGTCTGTTCCCACAACGACATGCTTATCGCTGCGATGCGACTCATTGCTCAAGCTGCGCGCACGGGTGATTCGATCACTCCCATCGCCCGCAATCGCATGCGCGACTCCCCCCCCAATCACCTCCTCCTCCGGCTCCCCCAGCTCCAGCTCCGGAATATCATCTTCCATGACTCGCTTATGAGCCGCAGCCGCAATTTCGGGTTTATCGCGATCTAGTTCGTCAACAACCAAGCCCTGCGCATCGATCAGACTCTCCTGCGCCTCCGCGAGCCGCATTTCTTCCTCGTCCTCGGTCGGATCGTAGTGTGGCGCATAGGGGGTCTTGGGCTCGTCGATTTTCATCTTTGCCGTGCGTTCCTGCTCAGTTAGGTACAGGTTTGCTTCATCCCATTTTAAGCGCGGGGAGTTCTCATCATGTTGCCCGTGGGAACTGGCGAGGGAGGTCCGACGAGAGGACGAGGAGTGGCGACGCCCGGCATTTTGAAGAGTGTTGTGGAGAGTGAGTTCTTTAGTGTCAACGGTAGTTGGAACGAAGGGCGGGGAGTGCTCATCGTAAGTGCCTTGAAGGTGGTGATGGGAGCTGGAGTTTTTGAGAATGCCTACAGCCACAGGTTAGTCAAAGGTGGCATGGTAGGGTAGGTGTTATAAGCTCACCCTTCGGCCGCTTATGAATATCTTCTACGTGCAACGACATTTTTGTCCCACAGTTGTCAGTGACGTTGAAGTGAGAGCTGCAAAAAAAAAAAAAAAAAAAAAGCCTCCAGTATTTAATCCTTTCCGAAGAACCCGATCCAATACCCACGACGACAAGGCCTACCTCAGCCGGTCCAAGATTCGAGTCAGCTGAGATTATGTCTCAGTCTCCTGATAGCAGGAACCCGAGGGCGATGGTGGGTATGTGTGTGGCACGGTACGTACAACAGATACGGTTTAGCAGGAGATCATCCGATCGCACAGAGCAGGATACCGTGTCAGGCCCAAAGCGGAAAAACAACCAAAGATTCTTCGCTAAGTTGCTATATGTTGTGACTGGTAAAGAGAGAGATGGAGGGGAAGAAAGAGAGAAAAGAGGCAGGCAGAGTTGCCAAGACCACATGGTTTGGCTTTGCGGTGATCTGGCACGTGGGGCAGTCGTTTCCGATGACGTCTTTTTCTGTCTACCTAGCATCTATGCATTCATACCCAGAGCATCAACTCTAGAACGAGTACTATATATAAAGATAGATATATTCAAAAGTCCAACCCTCTCCAAAAGTCCCGCAGATTGCCACCCCAGATGCGAAAGTGCCAAAGCCTGTATAGGGGAATATATCGTAAACAACCCTTACTCCCACAGAGACTGCCAGGTACCAAAGTACAGCTACAAGTCAAGATCAAGGTTAACACAGGATATAATCTCATCCAATCCTGTTTGGATGAGGTACGACAAATGTAGGAAAAGCAGACAAGACGAAGGAAAGTAGCACATCTGCTCCGGAATTAGTCGTGTCAGATAATAAAGCCGCAATACAACTGCTTCAAAATGGTATCAAGCGTAGAAGCCAAAAAAAAAAAAAAGGAAAGAATCCAAGAAAGAAAGTGCAAGTGTGAAAAAAAAAAAAAAAGGTAGTAAGATAGAATCAAATAAAAGGAAAAAAAAAGAGAGTAAGTAATAAAGATAAAACTTAGGCAATCGACTCAAACTCATCGCGCTCACGAAGCCTGTTCCGCGCGAGCTCGTCCCCCCCATTAGCCGATAGCTGCATCCAGTGCAGCGCCAGGCACATTGTATGGGGATCCGACCTTGAGTCTTTATCTCGACGGTACATCATCTCCGCTTTGAAGGTGTCCCTCAACAGCGTGAGAGGTAGGGTGACCCGGTGAACGAGTTCTGGATGGGTGAGATAAAGGATGGCTAGTTCTCGTTGAGCAACGGGGTGCCCTTCCTTCGCAGTGATGATCCACATGTTGGCTGCATCTTTCATGGGGTCAACCATGCGAGGATGCGTGTCATGTCCATGTGGAGGATGACGTCGGCTGAGCTCTTGAGAGACAATATCATCCGCGATTTCAACCATGCTGTTACAGACCTCGTCCTTCAAGCTCAGGGCTGCCAACCCAAACTGCAGGAAAGCAGTGCCACTATCTGTTTTGTTCAGGGTATCACCCGGAACAAAGGACGATATGAACTGCAAGTCGCGGAAGAGGGTCTTTGGCTTGACCTCAAGGATAATATCCCGCAGAGCATCCACGATCTGCTTATCCGTGGGAACGGCATAGTCAGACGGCCGGGAGTCAAAAATTACCGACTCGGCGGCAGGGGAGGTTGGTGTATGGAGAGGATCCTTTTCAGGTCGGCGACGCGCCTCGGATTCGGAGAAGCTGTTTCGTGTATCACGCTTTCCTTGAATACCGGACGTGCGTTTTCGCTGACATGTAGTATTTGAAATCGTAGGAGGCCAAGAATCGTCATCATTGGCAGTATTGAGCGAGGCAATTACTAGGCTGCGAAGGTCTCGCAGAGCCTCCAACTTGATAAATGGATTCCCATGGCGGGAGAACACGTCGACCAAGCGACGGAAGACCGTGCCATAGGAAAAGGGTGCTGAGCTATCGACTCCAGTAGAAGCATCGTCTGCAGGTGTGGAGTTACCCGACACTCCTCGATCAGAAGGACCAAGGGACTTGCTTCTTCGGTTGCTAGAAGAAGGCACACGATGGATCGATTGGCGGACGAATCGCTCATCGTACTCAGTGTAGAAACGCTGAATGCGGGAGCGCTTCCTCATCTGCGCCTGGATTCTCTTCTGGTCCAGCACGTTACCAAACCAGGCGTCAGTTTCGGTACCACAGCTCCAGACTGGCGAGCCTAGATCGCTCAGGAGTAAACTAGTTAACGTCCGCCGCAAGTCATCCAAAAACGCTGTTTTGCCATGCGTTCTGGGATCATTCCGTCGGGGCTGCTGGACACCGGGGTCACTGAGCATCGATGGGGGTCGGGAATAAAGACTAGAGGCGCTTGGCGCGTAATGAGTAGGCGGAGGTGGAGCTGACCAGAAAGTACTGTACGAGTCTCCGGTGGTGGTTGAGGCTGCCCTCCCACCAAGGACAGACGATGCATCCGTGGCCGGCGTGGGTACCTTGAACTTCTCAGATACGAGGCTCTGGTAAGACGGTTTGCGATTGAGCTGAGGTGAATCTTGCGAACCCTTTGAGGGTTCCAACGGGCGTATGACAGAGCTGGTGAAGGATGAGATAGAGTGGGTATCATCGTTGGCAAGGCCAAACGACCGCAAGCTTGAGGAAAGGCTAAGGAAGCTGCGGTTGCTCGAGCCTTCGTATTTGGCGCGTTCTTTGTGAAACAGTTCACTTGCCCAAAGTACGGGGGTCTCTGCCATAGTTTCCCCGACCAGGCGGTTGATGCTATTGCTGACCTCATAACAGAAACGATGAATACGTTCTTCACCTTTGCAAAAATTATCAATACTATTATGGGCAAGCCACTTCCGGATCAAATCGACCTGTTCATCTGAAAGTTTAGTAGGCCCGCCTTGACTGCTGGGAGCCTTCATCACATTCATGACTTGCAACTCTGGCTTCTGCAGAAGGCCGCCTCCGAACCTGTTGGCGCCGCGAGTTCGGCCTTCACCTTGCGTATACTTGGAAAGGCCAGGAGGGTAGGTCATGGTTTTGAGGGCGAGTGCAACGTTCTTAGCATCCTCGTACCTCCTAGAATTCTTAACATCAGTCATGTACCACATCTTGTTCCGGAGCTTGGCCATGGTCTTCATCATTTCCTTGACGGTCCGCTGGAGGCGCTGCATATGGCGATCGAGAGCAACAAAATCGGCCTCGCAGCGTTCGATAACAGAGCAGGATGTGTGCAGCGAGCGAACACAGGCGGAGTACATGGGCCCCAAGATCCACGAGTCATCCATGTGCCGAGAGGGGGAGTTGGCAATGCTACGGCGAAGTTGCCGGGCAGCATTCCACCAGTAATGGGCGCCAATGAAGTCCGACTCATGGTGACAGTGCGCCATGGCACGGTTGAAACGTTCCCTGAGTGACAGCGTGTCGGCTTGCTGAAAGCCATACTCCACGCGATCACCGGCAGGGTTCTCCTGGATGAGTTTCACAATGGCAGTTTGGAGAGCCTCCAAGTTGTCCTCCATTCCGAATGTGGAAGAGTGGACCTCCTCCGCGGCCATATTTTCCGGGCAGCTAGACTGGTTGTCTGAGAATAGGCCCCAGACCAGACGCATTCCATTCGGCGAAACCGAAAAGACCGTCCATTCCTCGGCGGAGGGGGCTTCCAGATGAGCGTCTGGCTCGCCCAAGTCTGACAACTCGAAGCGGATCCTGTCTGCGTTGCGACTCACCGAGTTCTCCGGTAGTGAGAAGAAATTGATATCCGTTGGGAGAGGACCGGCCATCTGAGGAGCTGGCCTGGAGGAATGAGACATAGAAGGGCGGTAAAACCCTGGTTCGAAGGTGGAAACATGCTTTTCTGCGTGTGAGCCAAGGGGCGAGAGAGAAATACCCAAAGATGGTGACTGAGAGCTATACGCCGGGGAAGGCGCCCTAGGGAAAAGCGCATTCAACAGGGTAAGAATATCAGTCGCAGAAAGCATCAAAAAGACCGCGGGGGAGTCGGATCCAGTGGGAAGAATGGCGCGTGGTGTACTTTGCTTGAGCGTGTCCGTGTTAACCAAATCATTTCTGAATCGGTAAAGCATGTTTTCCACATGTTGTCGGACCCTCGGGCGGGCCATGGGATAATGATGCCTAGCCGATGCAGTTAGCATACAGACAAGAGGTTGAAACACGGCAGACCACACACACGTACATGGAACGCAGAACCGCCAGAGCCTGTGAATACGCCTGAAAGCCAACCTGTCCGAGTAGCTTGTCTCTAGCATCCTTCCTGATATGAAAATCAAGCAAAAGACCATGGACCTGTTGTGATGCATGTTATTATTATCCCCTTGTCACTTAGGGTAGATCAAGCAAAATTACCTCAGGATAGGTTAAAGCTCCGTACAGAAATTTGGAGAAAAACCATTGGACAAAGAGAAAATCCAAAAAGCGATCCCGGCATTCCTGACGGTCAAGTTTCTGCAAAATGGCCTTGCTCAACTGGACCACTGTCTGGGGTAGGCCTCCATCGGGATCATCCAGAAGCTGGAACAGAGCCTCCACAGTAGAAGCAAAGAATTCCTCGGCAGCATCGGTCCTTAACGGGTCGGGGGGTTCCATATCAAAGTTCAAACCGGGAGGGGCCTCTACATGTTCCAGAAGGAATGCGCCAGTTTGCAGGATATCCATGAGATAGAGCTCGAATTTGGGCTTTGCCTTCCAATCACTGCCTGTTGCCCATAATGTCAAGATATGGTCAATGAGAGCATAGGATCTACTGGCACCATCGGCAATGAGCTTGGCACAAACCGAGGACCACATATCCAAGCGTAACTGGGCTTCGGGGGCATCTGAATTGAGAGGGGCTGCAAAGACATTAAACAGCAAAGTTGACAGCGGATCTGTCCTCTCCAAAGCCAAGACACGATCTTTGAAAGGGGTGACAGAGGGGGAGCCGGGTTTCGCAAACAACGGGTGGTTCCTAGAGCGGGACGCTGGGGGAAAGCCAAGATCACCACCCGCCTCCCAGGAGGAGGCAGATGAAGAGATCAAAGAAGACAGCTGCGCGGGAGTCAAGCTGCAGAGCCTTTCAAACACAAACTGGGCATCCGTACGGACCGACTGTACAATACCAAGGAGATCCGCCCTCGACTGAGGGCTCAGTTGGAGGAAAAAGTCCGGGGAGCGGTCCACCGTAGACTCACTCGGGCTCGACCAGTCTTCCCAGGAATCCTGGTGCTGCAAGTGATGCCGGGCGTTTAGATCACATGGCTCCTGGAGGTCAATTAGGGTGTGGTAAAGAGCGATGAAATTGACCTTGTCGTCCTGTTTGAGTCGATCTACCAATCCGCGCTGGACGGCGGCGCCTAGGCGGATCAGACGCGCGGAGACGCCCAGCGAGACTTTAGTGGTATGAAGACGCTCTTCCAGTTTCTTCCTGCGCGCCTGTTTGTGTTGATTTTGACGGTAGCGGCCGGCTAACTCCTCAAAAGAAACCTTGGGGCGCTCTTCTTCCACGGAAACGGGGACTGGGATCTCATGCGAAAGATGTCCATCCTCGGAAGAAAGGGGAGTTGCAATAAATCGCCAAATCGAACGGTCCGAGTCTCCAGACTCACCTGTGGTGTGACTCAGGGTTGAGTCGGGCGAAAGCAACACGGGAGACATGCTGATAGTCGCGTCGGCAGCGGCACCAGGCGGAGGTGCGGCCTCACATGGTCGAGTTGTCTTGAGAGCTGGGATCAAGTCTGTGGGGGGAGAAATGATTAATTCTTGGATGCGCAGCCTGGCGTTACAGCAGCAATAAAAGGGAGATAAGTTGGGGGCAGTCGAAGAGAAGGAAGGAAATCTTGCAATGCCGAGAATTTGTCGCAGTCTGTATGTGTTTGGGGAGGAACCGATCTTATCAAAATCCAGAGGGAAAAAAAAAAAATCAGAGAAGGGAAGGGAGGAAGACAAGCGGTAATTTAAGAAGGGCCTAAAGGGAAAAAAAAAAGAAAGAAAATCACACATACTTGTCACAAAAGCCAGGGGGGACGAAAGACCATCAGATTGGGCATCGAACATGGTGTTGCCATGGGCAGAGGGTGGGCCACTGGAGTTGGAATAGGATTTGGCGACAGACAAAACAGGTTGGACGATGGCTGAGTCGCCGGAGATCAGCTCTCTATCGCATGGTTCCTCTAAAGAGGTTGGAGATGGAGACGGGGGGATTTCATGAGGTGAACGATGGTGGTGAGGAGTCGACACGACGGTAGTAGTCTCCAGGGTGGACGGTAGAAGAGAAGAAGAGGAAGAGGAAGAAGAGGACGGAAGGAGGGATAACACAGAATAAAATATGTCAAAGGAGAGAAAGTAAAGGACAGGTTGATGGAAGTTGTCAAAATCAAAGAAGGAAGAAGAAGAAGAAGAAGAAGAAGAAGAAGAAGTAATAAGAGGAAGAGGAGGAGGAGAGATCTTATTGGTACTCAGATGAGGAGGGTAAACTCCGATCTTCAGGGAGAGGACAATAAAAGGGGAGAAACAGAGGAGTAGTCAAGGTTGTTGTAGTATTACTTAAAGAGGATGACATGCAGGAAGGAATCAAGAAGTTAATGATAATAATAATAAAAAGGAAAGAAAGAAAGAAAGACAAGAAAGATGAAGCAACTGCCAACAGATAATTTGAGGGAGGGGGGGAGAAGAAGAAGCAGAAGAAGAAGAAGAAGAAGAAGAAGAAGAAGAGAAGAAGATGTTGGTTGGACTCGAAAGCTGTCTACTGCCAGCCTGGCGGTGACTGGAATCGGACACTTGCAGGGGGAAAAAAGAAGCAGAAGCAGAAGAAGAAGAAGAAGAAGAAGAAGAAGTATTAACCTGATAGATATAGACAGTAGTATGTATACATACGGAGTAGAGTTATCAAAAATAAAATGGTACCTTACTTGGATGTCATCCACAGTACATTCCCTTTCCCTACAGTTCTGGCTGAGTCTGAAGTCATCCTGCAGCTTCGAACTAATTATTCAGAGTATGATGATATTAAACTATCTACCTAGGTATAGACTGAGCGCGCAGATCCTCAGCTTGCCGCTAGACTCGAGTACAGAGTAGATCTATCATTTATATATATATATATATATATATACTGATAAAACAATAATAATCATCCCACTCTCCCTATTCATCCTCCAAAAAAATAGAGGATTTTTCTTCGGATACAAAAAAAAAAAAGAAAAAGAAAAGAATGGAAAAGAATCGAATTGACCTTTACTCTCCGGAGTCAACAGTCCAATAATCCTTGACTCGAGGGTGAGAGGATGTGCTGGCAATGCATGCAGGAAGGACTCACTGCCTCCCTTCCCTTCGACCCCTCCTTACACTCTCTTCTCTCTCCGCCTCACACTGATTTGTTGGCCAACCTCCTTCCTCCCATCCATCTCGGGACGCCACTTTCAGGAAGCTCGTTGGTGGGGTTGAGAAAACCGTCGTTCCTAGCGTTTGCGTAGGCCATCTGGTGCGCTGAGACAGGACGGCACGAGGAAGAATCAGCCACGCTGCAAAGAATCCTCCGATATCTGGTCGGCTTTTTCGGGTGCTTTCTTCTCATTACTCCCTCCTAGATAGTAGAGATCCATCATGGCTCTTAAATTGACGTAGCAAAGAAAACAAACGACGTAAGTACTCCGCCGGGGCACGTGTGTCCACTACCCCTCCCAGGATCTACTGAGTATCTTCCTCGAGAGTCCGCTTGAATAGTTCTCTCGATAGCTCACAATATCGCCTCAAAAAAAAAAAAAAAAAAAAGAAAAAAACACCTCACCCCCTCGTGACGAACTCCTGAGTAATCTCCCGCTGGTTGGGATCGATCCGCTCTACCGTGGCTAACCCGAGCTAGAGAATGGGGCTGGATATGACTGGCGTTCGCCGTTCGCATCGAACGACAGGGGACTGAGGTGTCAACTGAGTCGTCGCGACTCCACTCATCGATATGAATGCGTTGTTCCGATCCGCAAAACTTTTTTCTACTTGCATACCCATTTTTTCTCTGCTTCTTTTTGACCGACTCGAGAAGCCACCGTGTTCAACATATCCTTCAAAGCATCCTTGGGGACTTTCGGAAATCTAAGGCCATCCATATGAGTACAAGGCCTTATTGTGATTAAGGACATCGCTTACCTCTTCTTCAGGATTTCAATCAAACCTGCTTTTGTGAGATCACTGCCTTCCACTACCTGCTTGAATTCTGCCAGTTGTTCCATGGGAAATCCTCGTTTGGGTCGGCCTGCACCTGCATCTGGAGCAGGCAAGCCGGCGGAAGCTTGTGTACTGGGCCCTCCAACGAATGCGTCCAGGGTTGATCGACTCAGAGTAGCTGTCTGTGTAGGTTCGGGGGCTTTGGGCTTTGCCCAGTAGGCGGTAGAGAATGGGTCAATCGGAAACGTAACAGCAGGCGAGATGGTCTCAATCTTGTAGATCTGCAAATCTGGATCAATCCCTTGGTCCTGCCAGCGTATCCCAGTGCAGCTCGGCTCCAGGTCCCCAACTAGGAGACGTCTCTTCCCGTCGGCGAGCTGGTCGTCTTCATCGTCAAGGAAACCATCCATATCATCATCTCCCTCTTCGCTACCTTCTTCCTCCTCCTCGGAGTCGAGATCTTCCCCTTCCTCGGGCTCTTCCCACTCCGCCTCTGAGTCGTAACCGTAGTTTGTATTGGGGAGCTCTCGACGGAAGGGATTTCGCATCAATCTGTAAGCAGTACCCTCAGAGAGGGGCTTGCTAAAGGTACCTTGATAAGATGGTCGGACATCTTCGCCAAACTTTAGCGACTTCATCCTCACTTGCTTCAACGAGTTCTGTAGCTTCTGAGCGAGCTCTGGTGTCTCAGACTGCTCACTGAGGCTCTGCATTTGCAAAAGAAGATCTTTCACAGATGCAGTACGTCCCTGTCGTCGCTTGTAAGACATCATCCGAAAGAGCTCGGACGGACGAAAGACCGGGGGATCGCAGGGCTTGGAGTCAGGCTTCAAGCATGCATCAACTTTTACCTGCATATGTGCCAACGCCTGTGGGTCTCGCTCGAACCGGTGAGGTGGAGCTACACTTGTATGTGATTTCAAGAAGAATTCAGGAAACTCTTGTCGATAGTCAGAGGCTTTCACGCTTACTTCAAGAGGTTCCGCAGAAGCATCACCCCCCGATGACTTCTTCGGCGAGCCACCAGCACTCGAAACAGGATGCTCAATAATAGTTGGTTTGGGTTTCATGAAGAAAGCATTCAACCGAGTTTGTGCCTGTCAACGTTAACATAAGCCTGCTGAAAAAAAAAAAAAAAAACAAGGACAGATCATACCCTCTCCTTCTTTATCTTTTCCTCCTCCTTCTTTCTCTTCTCTTCCTCCTTCGCGGCCTTCTCCTCTTCCTTCACCTTGCGCTTCTCCTCTTTGCGCTTGCGTTCCTCTTCCTTTCCAGCCTCTCGTTTCTTCTTCTCCTCTTCCTTCTCGGCGTCCCGCTTCCGCTTCTCTTCCTCCTTGGCCTTCTTCTCCTCGTCTTTCTTCGCCCTCTCTTCTAGTTTCAGTTTTTCCTTTGCCTCTTTCTCCTGCTGCCTGGCTTCCCGACTAGCCGGCGAAACCTTTCTCTTCTTCGCTGCAGGTGGCATCTGCATCTGCGGGTGTGTTTGTGACTGATCCACACCACCACCACCACCACCACCGCCAACAACAACAACAGCAGACATAGCCGCCGTTGTGGTCTCAACCAACTTTTCCCCCGTAGAGTCGACATTCTCTTTATCATCACTGTACACGGACGCAGGCGTCGAGGCTACCACGTGATCCAACGAAACAGGCGCATCCTGCATATCGACATCCTGCGAGGAACGTTTCTTCGAAGCAGCGGGAGAGACGGGGGGGGCGCACGTGGATATCGGCGCAGACGTAGGCGGTTGCGCAGTATGCGTATCCATAGAGAGTGTCGTCGCTTCCATCTCTGCTCTGCTCTGCTGTAGGGGAATGATAATAGAAATAGAAACCGAACGCCCACAAACACACACACACACACACACACAGAGAGAGAGAGAGAGAAGCACACACACACACACAAAAAAAAAATCCAGGGCACGTCAGGTAAGGGTGAACCAGCGAGCGCGCCAAAAAAAAAAAAAAAAAAAAAAGGAGCGACACAAGCAAGCAAGCAATCGTGCAAAGCCTCAAGACATCCGCTCTCTATCTCGCAGCGAGTGAATAAAACCCAAAGGCATCAATTGATCTGGATTCCTTCTAGGTCGACGTGGTAGGTAGGTGGGTGTTGGGTTGGATGGGGCTGGCTGGCTGGCTGGCTCGCTGGTTGGTGAGGTGGGCCGATCCTTCCTGGGAATGAGACTCGGACGCGTTAATTGAAGTTGGACGCGGCGGGTTCGCGTCAGCACACGTGATCTATTATGTATATCTTATGTAATCACCTTTTGGATGTTTACCAAGTACTTCATGGATAGTTAGTTAGTTAGTTAGTTAGTTAACTACTTAGTAAGTACCTAGGTAAGATTACCTACTTGTAGTTAATGGTGTTTTTGAGTGAGATGGAAGGAGCATCAAAAAAATACTAAGTGGTATAATCAAAGTTGATTGTAGATATGTACAAGGTATTATTATTTATGAGTGCTGCTCATAGTCCATATGATGCCCAATGGTCCAATGGACGAAATTCAAGTAGCACGGGAAAATGCGGAGAAATTGGGGGGTGCGCCAAACAAGATGTAAGACAGGACAGAACCGCCTAGTGCGGTTAGCAGTGTAGGAACATCGCATATCCGCCATCAGCCGCAGCTGAAATCAGAGCACGATGTCATAATAATGTCCATATGTACTTGACACCAAATTATTGTGGTCCCGACAAGACACGAGCCGAGGCCCGATTTTCAATAACAGAGTAGACGCAGAAAGGCGATTGAAGAAAGAAACCAAGGGGATCAGAAGAGGGACGGGAGCGGGATATCAACATGCTTCAAAAATAAATGTGGCTAGAATTCAGGCATCAGTGTGATTGGTGGAGTGTGACGCGTATATCTAACAAGAGATCGGACAAGAGGAGAATCGTATATGGTCTCTAGTCGCTTAGATCGGGGTTTGCGACAAATAGCCGGACATTGGTCATCGACGTCGTTCGGTCATCCACACTGCCACGACGTCGAAGTTCAGCAGCCTTTTTGGCCTTTTCTGCGGCCATAGTAGCAGCGCTTGGGGCACCCATGTCGCCAACTGTGCCAAAGGTATCCTCTTGTTCGCTACCACGACTGTGGGTGGTAGCAGTATCATCCTGGAGAGAACCGGTCTCTGGGCGATCTTCGGACTTGTTCGCGGACGGATGCTCAGACACACCCGGTAGATCCGTCTTCTCACTTGGAGGGGTGCTATTGCTGCCCATGGTGCTTTGTGTGTTGCGCTGGTACCCAGCGGGGTAGCGGTAGTTGCTTCCCACGGAGCTTCGACCGCTCCCTGTTCGGCGGTAAGGGAAGCCTCGCTCGCTGTGAGCATCTTCGTCTGCATCCCCGATCTCGTTCGCACTGAGACGGACGGGAACGGTGGCTCCAACGAGCGCAGACGGCGAAAAGTCTGCCACAACCTTACTTCCATGCCTGATTTTCCCGCTGCCCAGCGTACTTGCGCGTCCGGCGCCAGCACCTTGGACTTGAAGGTACGCTCTCTTCTTATCCACCAGTTTCTGGGCCCGAATCCGAGGGTCTTCCGGTTGTGCACGGTCACACCAAACTGTCGCCTTTTGCCTTCGCATCAGAGCCACATAGCCCATCTGCGAGCCAGTCGAGCGCGCGGACGAACTCCGCCGGATGTCCACATTCATACTGGGGTTGCCTGTTGAAGTTGTGGACGTGGTCGCACTTGATAAGCGTCTCGCGAGGGGATTAGTCGCCGGGAGAGTCATGCTAGGTCGTGGTGAAGAGCCGCTAGGGTAATATTGTTGGTGTTGTGTCGCATATGGCAAAGCATTCGAGGAAGAGGTGCGACTCCGGCTGTGCATGAGAGAGGGGGCGGACGGATGAGGGGAAATTTCTTCTTGTGGTGGGTTCTGGTGTTGTTGTTGATAGCCATTATCATAGGCCTGAAACGGATATCCAGAATGCTTTGAAGGGATTGGCTTCCGAGAGGGTACCTGATGATGGACCGGCAATCGATAGTCTGTCATGTTAGGCGGTTGGAGTTGTACACCGGCCATGTAGGCCTAATTGACGCAGTTGGGAGGTTACGAGCGAAAGCCTGGCCGAAGGTTTTTTTTTTTTTTTTTTTTTTTTTTTTTTTTTTTTCCAGCGCCCACTTCGGATTCAACCGTAGCCCAGACGAGGGTGCTGAACTCTGAGATAAGATATCTATAACCAACTGTTACGAGTTGAGTCGAACCAGGACGAGTGAGGTAGCGGGCAACCAGCGACTCCCGGTGTTTGTACGGAGTATAGAGTATGAATTTCTTGCGGGTAGAGAGAGGGGATAGTCTATACTATGTAGTGTAGACAGATCGGCACGAGGAAGAAGAGGAAGCGAAGCGATTCGCGCAAGGAGGGCTGGAGGGCTCAGAATGTCGAGGGGAAGGAGAGAGAGGGAGAGGGAGAGAGAGACAGATGGGTAGACGACACGGCGGGTACCCAAGATTACCAAGTCACACCTGCAGGGGACGTTTCGCAGGCTGAAGACGGCAGTAAGGACAGGGACAAGACGGGGCAATTACAATGAAAATGAGATCCAATCGGCGGGAATTTTCAGCCTGAAGGGGTTGATGACAAAAGGAGGGGGGTATATAAAGTAATTTGCAGGGGGATAGAGAAGAGGAAAGAGAGAAGAAGAAGAAGAAGAAGAGGAACAAAAGAAGCAGAGTTGATGGATTACACGATTTGGACGGTCGGCGGAAAAAAGCGAGGGAGAAATTGAACTGAACCTTGGGACGGGGAGGACAGGATAGGGTGTGGTATGGTATGGTATGGTATGGTATGCGATGGTCACGTATGGTATAGTATTGCACTAAATCAGGGCAAAGGTTAAATACGAGGAATCCATCTTTTTCAAAGGCTAAGAAGCGAGATAATATTAGCTAGTTAACAGTTCACTATTATATAAACTATGGTAAGATGATCTTGCTGTTGAATTCAAGTCAGGATCAGCTTGTTTCAGCTGCGCCACAATCTGTGGCTGTACGACCGGCGAGTAACCAGTTTCAATACGGAGTACAAAGGACCTGCTATAACCAAGGAACAAGGCCAAATGCGGTACCTCCAGACGCTAGGAACAGGCCACTAGTTAGTCAAGTGAGTAGTAGTATTAACTATATTCTTCTCAGTACGGAGTAGTAGACGCTCATGACGTAAATTACCCCACTGGTGAAACATCGGAAGATGCGGGAGAATAAATCAGCTGGCTAATACCCAAGTAGGGCTGATTGACGAGACTCATAGAAGTACTAGTACTAGGTTATTCTTAGATTATCAGTATAGATTGAAAGAATACAAACACCCACTTCTATATCAAGTACTTAAAAGTGCTCCCTAGGAGAGGAGTAACAAAGTTAAGTAGAATACTACTAGTAGTACTACTAGTGAAGAGAATAAAGAAATGACGTGGGGATGATGCTGCCAGGCCATGTAATATACCTCGGGCGGTAAACATGTAAGGTACAGACAGGTACATTACCACTAGTAACCACTAGTACCTGTTGTCCGGGACGAATCCCTCTCCACCAGTTCAGCATGTGTAGAGTTAGACTGGTAGTATTTCCAGGTTACTTTATGGTAGATTTAGTTTTTGAGTAGATGGCTCTGGATTCAAAGTTTCGACCGTCCTATACGAACCAGGACCCCATCCTCCTTCCTCTCATCATAATCCCTCCCCAATTCCCACCCCAACCAAGCCCGCAGCGTCTCCTTCCCTCCACTCCCCGAGCGCAGGGCCCCCCCCGTCCACCCACCATCATGCACGGCAATCGGTCTGGCCGGTGTCTCGCTCAAATGCACCGCAGGCCGCTGCTCATACCCCGCGGCCCTCAACTCATCCTGCTCCAGCACAGGCGTCGCACAGGCATCCACCCCATCAAAGACCCCCTCCCACTCGCTTCTCGTCTTCTCCCGGAACCTCTGCGTAAAGATCTCGCGCAGCCGCGCCCAATTCCCCCGATCATCGCGATCCGGGAGGAGGTCCTCGCCCCCCGGGCCGAACCCCAGCCCGCGGACCAGGGCGTCGTAGAACCGCGGCTCCAACGCGCCCACGGCAAAATACTTGCCCTTGTCCTTGGTCTCGTAGGTATCGTAGAAGGGACTCCCGCCGTCGAGCAGATTGGTTCCGCGCGCGCGGTTCCACAGCGGCGTGGTGAGATGCAGCCGCGGCATGGTCGCCAGGAATGCAGAGCCATCCACCATGTTTGCTTCGACGATCTGGCCGCGGCCCGTGGTGTGTCGGGCGAGCAGCGCGAGGAGGATCCCCATGCAGCAGATGGCGCCGCCGCCGGCGAAGTCGCCTAGGAGGTTGCCCGGCGCATAGGGCGGTTCGTGGGCGCGGCCTAGCATCGACAGCACGCCCGAGACCGCGATGTAGTTGATGTCGTGCCCGGCCATGTCTTTGTATTTCCCGTCGCGGCGGAACCCTGTCATGCGGGCGACCACCAGGCGCGGGTTGTGTGGGAGGAGGGTATCCTGCGGGGAGAGCCCGAGGCGTTCGAGGACACCAGGGCGGAAGGGGTCGATGAGGACATCGGCGGTGCTGAGCAGGTCCAGCAGGAGACGGCGCGAGGAAGCGTCGTGCAGGTCGAGCGTGATCGCGGTTTTGTTGCGAGTGAGGTGGTCATTGTTGGGGGGTTGGGGGCGATCGATGCGGAGTACAGAGGCACCGTAGTCGGCTAGTAGGAGACCTGCAAAGGGACCTATATTTTTGGGGGGGGGGGGGTATTTGTATATTATCAGTGGATGGATGAGGCGATGAAACTCACCAGGTGCGAGACCGCCCAGCTCAACGACACGGATGCCTTCGAGGGCAAGTGGTGCGGACATCATGAGTGATGGTTATGGCTAGTTGATGAATCAGTTCCTTTCATGTGAGCTATATATGCCTCAAGTAGAACAAGATCTGGATCTACAAGACATTGACTGCGCAACCGAGGTCCGGGTCATATGCGGGGAAGCTTTTTTTTTTACTGTATACAACATACCACCCGCCATATAATATACCTAGGTACTGTATAATATATACAGGATTGGAGAACGACCTAATTTTCAACAAGAAAGACTCCAGTCGCCGTACTATCACCATCTATCCCTCCCCTCCTCAACGCCATAATCATACGCATTGTCCACATTGTCTCCAAACCGCTCAACATCGCCCACCTTGTCTCCAACCCATTCGGCCGCATTCTCAGGGAAATCTTCCACATCATCCACGGCATGCTCGACCTTGTTTTCGACCCGATCAACTCCGTACTCGACACCACCGACCTGTCTAGTCAGTACTTGAGATCGCAAATAAAGTAAGAAAGAGAATACATACCGCCTCCCCAGTCCACCGCGCCGCATCCTCAGGAATATCCTCAACTCCATCTTCAAATCTATACTTATCCCGTTCAAAATCATCATCTATTAAAAAAGCAGTCAGCGCATCACACTCATTCAAAAAAGAAGAAGAAGAAGAAGAAGAAGAAGAAGAAGAAGAAACATACGAATCTCCTCCCCCTTATGCATCAACATCGCTCCTCCGATCGCTCCGGCCGCCAACCCCCCAGCAGCATATAACATCTTCCTATCCTTCTTCGGGGCCCGCTCCTGCTCCTGCTGCTGCTGGTGGTGCTGGTGGTGGTGGTGCTGCTGCTGCTGTTCATTGTAATACCCTCCCGGGGCCGGAGCACCACCACCACCACCACCACCATAGTACTGGCCCTGCGAAGCGGGAGGAGCACCCTGCGAATAACCCGGGTGCTCCCGGGAAGTCTGGCCCGTCTGTTCGTTTTGAAAGAACCAGCGCTGGTCACGCTCATCCCATCGGGCAACCCAGGGATATGGCACGTTACCGGGGGCGGGGGGGGCATTGTTGTTGCTGTTGTTGTTGTTGTTGTATCCGTAGTCGGCGCCGCGCTGGGGTTCGCCACCGTAGCCGCCATTATTATTGTTGTTGTTGTTGTGGTGGTGGTGGCTGTTGTTGTTGTTGTTGTCGTTGTCGTTGTATCCGTAGCCGGCGCCGCGCTGGGGTTCACCACCGCTGTAACCACCGCTGTTGCCACCGTAGCCGCCATTATTATTGTTGTTGTTATGGTGGTGGTGGCTGTTGTTGTTGTTGTTGTCGTTGTATCCGTAGCCGGCGCCGCGCTGGGGTTCACCACCGCTGTAACCACCGCTGTTACCACCGTAGCCGCCACTATTGCTGTTGTCGTTGCTGTTGCTGTTGCTGTTGCTGTTGCTGCTGCTGCCACCACCGAGTTTCGACTCGATGGCTGATTCGACGAGTTTGCCGATAAAGTCCATTTTCACCTTGTAGGGGAGGGAGTATGGTATGGTATGGTATGGTATGGGTAGGTAAGAAGAAGATGATGGGGAAAAAAGAAGGAAGAGAGAGAAACGATTTCCTCTTGGTAGATAGTTATTATTTATATCTTCTCCGGCCGAGGAGTTCCTCGTAGTCTGGCACTACTGGTGGGGGTGGTGGCTACGCTTAGACTGGAATCGGAGTCTTCGGTGATTCAGAGAGGGGAAGACGAGCTCATCCCACTTCTTGACGGAGTAAACAATAATAGCCAGTGGTTTGATCGCGAGTCAGAACCATTTATTAGATAAATATAGAATCCCAGATTAAGTGGCCTCCTGAAGTCAACAACAAACTTTTCTGTCTTTGGTGCTGTGTGAAAATGTGGCGGGACCGGGGGACACAGTCTGACTATGAGGGATTTAATTCAGAGTCTTTCACAGGCCAGGATCGTTGTCAGTTACTACTACAGGGAACGAATACCTCGAATCTCAACCATCGAGTTAACAACTCTCAAGGGTCCAGTCCAAGCTCCAAAAGTCTTGTCTTGGATCGTCCCGTCTTGGCTGAGCTTGGCCCTGCAGCCCCAAGGCGGGTGTAAGAGATCGATAGTGAGATAATTACATGGTCATACCGAAGTTCGTGTGATGTCTCTCATTACATATTACACTTCTCAATACATCACCGATTCAATAAATGCTGCAATCATACCCCCACCACATTCATCGAGAAAGGAAATCAAATTTACATCACAAGAAAGGAGAGTGCAAAGGCAATAAGAAGAGAAAGTCCGGAGCCCAGTCCAACAGCCCGAGTCGCAGCGCCAGTGAACGCAGGAGACACACCGCTTGCAGTGTCGCTTGTAGTATCGCTTGCAGTGTCGCTTGTAGTCTCGCTTGTAGTATCGCTTATAGTCTCGCTTGCAGTGTTGCTTGTAGTACTGCTTGTAGTACTGCTTGTAGTACCGCTAGGGGCAATAGGCACCGCAGACACGCTTGTCGGGGTCTGGACAGAGAAAGTAGAAAAAGTGGAATAGCTGCTGCTCACTCCTACAACCGGGTTGCTGGAAGAGGCAGAAACCAAGACAACCCTAGAGGTCGTTGGAGAACCGGTCACGGTGATAGTGCTCTTACTAGACCAGCTTTGGCTGGCGGGTGTTGACTCACTGCCGGTAGTAGTAGTAGCAGGAGGCAAAGTCAGAGTCACCGTGGTCGGGGTGGCAGCGCAGTGAGTGCAAACAGTAACGGTCGTGGTCCAGCCCTCAGGAATGGCTGGAGTGCTGGTTGTCTGTACAGCTCCGGCAGGGTTGGTGGCGGTAGCAGTGGCAGAAACTGTTCCAGGGCAGTAGATTGAAGTGATAGTTGTGGTGATTGTGGTGAAACCTGTTGGGCAGATATCCGTGTACGAGGTCACAATGATAGTGGTGATCGTAGCAGGCTCCGTGGTAGTCGGGTGGCCAGGAGTAGTTGTGGCCTTGGTGGTGACAGAACCAGCTCCGCTAGGTCCGGTAGTAGCAGGTCCAGTACCAGTGGGCTTGGTGGAGGTAGTCTCTGTGGTGCTAGACTGGGTAGTAGAACCAGTAGAAGCGTGTCCAGAACCAGTAGGCTTGGTAGAGGTAGTCTCTGTGGTGCCAGACTGGGTAGAAGAACCTGCGGAAGCGTGTCCAGAGCCAGTGGGCTTGGTGGTCTCTGTGGTGCTAGACTGGGTAGTAGAACCTGCAGAAGCGTGTCCAGAGCCAGTGGGCTTGGTGGTCTCTGTGGTTCCAGATTGGGTAGTAGAACCTGCGGAAGCGTGTCCAGAGCCAGTGGGCTTGGTAGAGGTGCCAGACTGGGTAGAAGAACCTGCGGAAGCGTATCCAGAGCCAGTGGGCTTGGTGGTCTCTGTGGTTCCAGATTGGGTAGTAGAACCTGCGGAAGCGTGTCCAGAGCCAGTGGGCTTGGTAGAGGTGCCAGACTGGGTAGTAGATCTGGTAGAAGCGTGTCCAGAACCAGTAGGCTTGGTAGAGGTAGCTACCGGGGTGCTAGACTGGATAGTAGATCCGGTATGTGTGCCGGAAGCCACAATTGTGCTAGTAGTAGACTCGTTCTCACCGCAACTCGTGGTAGAGCTGCTAGCCTGACCCGCAGTGTTGCCAGGAGCAGTGGGAGTAGTGGAAGGTCCGGAAGTCTCCGATCCTGATGGGCTGGTTGGTACGCCTGGCACGCTTGAGCTCAGGCTCACAGCGCCAGAGCTGGAGACAGGCTTCGTGCTAGAGGTAGTTGGAATAACAGGCTTGCTTGTGGAAACCGTGTGTGTAGTGGTCTGCGAGGTGGCTGTGGAACCACATTCGGTCGAAGATTGAGTGTTGCCTGTACCAGAAGACACGGGGAGTGAAGAGGCTGGGGCAGTGGGAGAAGAGGACCCAGGAGACACGTGAGAGCTAGGGGGTGTTGGGAAGACTGTCAGGGTGACGGTGCTTTCAGACGTCGTCGAGGAGATAGCATGGCTGCTTGGAGACGGGATTCCCGGGGAAACAGCAGACACTGAGCTATGAGGAACCGAAGAGACAGCTATAGCGCTCGAGGTGGTGCTCTTCACGGAGGTGCTCGAGGTGGTAGATGTGCTCGTTGTTGAGGTGGTCCCGTCACAAGGAGTGACAGTTTCTGAGGTAGTCGCCGATACTGCAGCGGTAGTAGTAGTGGTGCTCGAGGTAGAGGTCGTCGACGTGGTACTCAAGGTTGTCGTGGTTGTCGTAGTGCTTGAGGTGGTGGTTGGACTCGAGGTTGTGCTCGAAGTAGTAGTGGTGGTCGAGGTGGTGGTGGTTGTAGGGCTCGACGTCGTACTCGAGGTAGTAGTTGTGGCCGGGCTCGAGGTGGTGGTGGTGGTGCTCGAGGTGGTTGTTGTTGTCGATGTGGTAGTGGTCGTGGTCGTCGTCGTGGGAATGGGATGGCCAGGGTCACACTCAAAAAGAATTTCCCTGATTACCTCTGCATAACTAGACCCGTTGATTTGGTTGTCCAGCGATGCGGTAGCTTCCCAAAGCATAACTCCTCCGAAAGTGTCGGGATACTTATCCATATAGGTGGAAATCAGGGCCTCAGCCTCTTCGGGAGCCAGATAGAATCCTGTATTAGCTGCCGATGGGCTGGCAGGCAACCCGATATAGAGTTTCGCATCTGGGTTGTGGCCATTTTTAATGACATTTACCCACGCATCATAGTTAAAGCCATCTTTGGTGCCCAAAACCCAGTCGCGGGCGGAGCAAGGGTTGGTGTTGTAGAACTGAACCCAGACGAAATCAACCCACGAGTTGGCAATGGTGTAAGCGAGCTGCGGGTCAGGAATGGCACACTGAGGAGCGACCGAGATATAGAAGGTTTGATCTGGTACCTCAGCGTAGTGGGTACGCAGGCGATTCACCAGGGCGGAGTATCCTGCTGCAATCAGAACGTGCGAAAGTTGGGTTCCCCGTTGTTCAAGTCACGTACCAATTTTACCATCGTACTCAATGTCAAGGTCAAAGCCATCGACGACCGCGTCACCAAACGGACGAGGCTTATCCGCGGCAGTCCATTCTTCGGTCACAGGACCGAAGGCCCCCCAGAGCCAGTCAGCGAAAGAGGTAGCAGACGAAACAGAATTGAATTTGTAGGTAGGTTTGCCGCCACCAAGGGATAGGAAGATCTTCTTGCCCGCTGCTTGACAGATTGGAATATCCTCTACCAAGTTAGGGCAGTGCGAGTACAAGTGAGAGGCGGTGTCGTTGACCATGTAAGTGTCAGCCCAGCATTGATTGCCAAAGTTGCTACCAGGTAGGCCGGTAGAAGGGTTTTGATCCGGGAATGAGTTGATGAATCCAATGTTAATGATATCGAAGGCTGTATCCGAACAAAACTCGGCCAGACGAGGTTGATTAACACCTTGGCCCTAGTTGAAGAATTAGCATCAAACCTAGCTGTGTAAACTTGAGAATCCACCTACATAGTAGATGGCCACGTTAGATTTGGCGTCTGCAGTAAAAGCAGAGGTGAGCCCGATTAGGGCCAAAAGGAACGTAAGAAGCGCAAAAGCCATGGTTGGGAAAGAATGACTGCTGGTAGAAACCAGGGGACTGTGATCCGCTCAACGAAAGGACGCAGACAAAAATGTCTGCTGGTATACACGGCCTCTACAGAAAAAAAAAAGACAAAGGACGGAGTGACAGCAGACTTCACCCGTGGAACGAGGAGACCTGGGAATAATATATGGCTAATCCAACGGGAAATTGCGAATACTAGCCCATCCCAGAGCCTCATGGCTATTGGCTTGGAGTTAACAACGCTCAGGAGCCATCATATCCCGAGATGGCGCGCAGCCCCTACCGTGGTAATTTGGAACTAGCCATCGGAGTCCAGGCACACTCCCCTGGCAAGATGTTGTCCTGTGTGCATAGCGGCGACTAGTATATGGGCTTATGGAGACTGGCCTGTCCCACAGCCAAAGATTAGTCAGGACGGAGTCGCAATAGGGTTCTCTGGTGGAAGAACTCCGTATCCAGAAAAGTCCGATACCCAAGCGACCCCCTCTGGTCCAGTCAGAGGCGGGCAGACCGGATATCCCCGAGCGGAGACAGAGCCGCACAAGGGGATACGTATTTCGAAGACCCTAGACCCAGTGTTCGTTAGTGATTGGTGTGTACCTGATTCGATTGGAGTTGGATGGACTTGAGTTGAGGACCATTATTCTCATCACGAATCCTGATTTCTAAGAGGGGGGTGACGGGGTGTCCCCTGTGTTCCTGTACCGAGTGGGAAGCAGGAGGGACTTGAGTCAGGTTCACTAAGATTAGCGTGAGTATGCTCATGCAATAATGGGTGGCGTCGAGAGAGAAGAAGACGACGACGAGAGAAGCAGCGGATATGAAGAGGAAGTCAAAAGACTCGCATTTTGGGAATAGTGAGGGGTGGGTTGGCCTCAGGAACACCAATCAGACCCTGATCTCGCACCTCTACTTAGTACCTAACTGCGTAGGTATTTAGTACTCCGTCAACTATCGTATAAACCAAATTTTGGCCCCAATCCGTACTACGAGGGAGGGTTTCCGTGGAACGAGAGCAATAAACAAAGCTCGGATTCCACTATGGTCACTGCATCTCAGTGTGGATCTGTATGGATGATGGTATTCGGAGGCATCGGGATCATCAGATCGACAATTCATGGGTTCTTCCAGGTTACACATCTGAATTCAGATAAAGGGATTATGATTTATTTTGATTGTGTTAAGAGAAAACCTCTCTGCTCTCTTCATGTACGGAGTAGCCAAGGACAGACCTCGTAGTCCGTACATACTGGGTCTTTAGCTTGCTGGTGGCGCTGAGCGCTGAGCATGATAGGTACATACTAAGCAACTAAAATCGTGAAAAACTCTACACTGTACAGTAGGACCACTCTGGATGGAACCAATATAAGTTAAATTACCCACGAGCCTCATTGGATCTATATATCCGCTAAATCACTTCCTACTGCCTAGTGCAGGGTACTGGTGCCTGGTTATCTCTTTTTCCTTCATCCCCGAAAGGGTCCGTTTATTACCACCTCATATCCACTGGTAGAAACCACCCGCAATGTCATAATTGTGGAAACTGGAAATTGGGTTGAAGCTGAAAGCATGGCACATCTTCACATGCTAATTCTATAATCTAACCAAGGAGTGGATGTCATGATATCAGTTTCCTAACCCTAAAAACCCTCTCGGGCGCTCCCCAAAACACCTCCGCCAGCAAATCGCACATCAAAGTAATCGACCTCTTCCCCTCCTTCAACACGGCGTCCATCGCCAAAAACGGATGCGGCATCCCCTTCATCACCTGCAGGTCTACCTCCACCCCCGCTTGCCTCAGCTTCTCCGCGTACTGCTCTCCCTCCGCCCGCAACACATCCAGTTCACCCACCATGACCAGCGCCCGCGGGAGAGCAGACCAGTCCCCCTTGTAAAACAGCGGGCTCGCCTCCGGATGGGACTGGTCTGCCTCACTGGGTAGATAATGGTTGCGGTACCAGAGCATTTTAGCTGCGGGTAGGGCCGGTGTATACTCATACACCCGGTAGGAAACGTTGTTGGCGCCCGTTGCGGTATTGTCGGTTACTGGGACGGAGAGAAGCTGGGCGAGGAAGTGAACGGGGGGCGAGAGGGTAAGAGCTTTATGGGTGATGATTGCGGCAAGGTTCCCCCCTGCAGACGAACCCCCAGTTGCGATCATGGCCGGGTTGACTGAGAGTGTTGAGGGCCCGTCGGAAAGCAGCCAAAGAAGGGCTTCCCAGCAGTCGTGGACGGCAGCCGGCCAGGGGGTTTCAGGAGCAAGTCTTGATTGATTTACCCAATCCAGATCAGTTTACTTACCAACTTTTTCTTTTTCTATCCAGGATTCGAGCGGGTACAGTACTGTAATGTCTCGTCTCGATTAAGGGAAAGAAACCCCACTTACCGATAATCTACCGTCACGACCACGCAGTTCCCCCTCGTACACAGATTCGTACACACCGGATTCTCCGTGTCAATGTTCCCCAGGACCCATCCGCCTCCATGGAAATACAGCATCACGGGCCACCCACAGGCCGGCGTCTCCCCCTTGGGCGTGAACGCGCGCAGCCGGATCTCAGGCCCATCCGTAACCCGTCGCTTGAGGCTAAGGTCCTGGGTCTTTCCGACCTCCAAGAGAGGTCCACCGCCGGGGATCAAGATACCGCTTGCGCGCGAGGCCTCCACAGGCTGGAGATGTACCTGTTGCTTATCGATCACGTACTGGTTATAAAAGGCAACATATTCGGGATCTAGCAAGTCCTTGACAGAGTCGTGGAGGGGGTAAGGTGGAGTGATGTCTGATTCGATAGACATTTCTTCTTCTTCTTCTTCTTCTTCTTCTTCTTCTTTCTCTCGAGATCGCACAAGGGGAAGAAGATCTTTCCTTCTGATTATATGTTAAAATGTGACACTGAACGAAAAGAAATAAGAAGTCATGAGCACGACCGCCCCGTCTGGCTTATATCTATTAATACGACCGACAAGAAAACAGATAGCAACCTGCAGGTTTCACTGATCTGCAAGGGCGCGGGGAATCCCAGATATTAGGTAGTCACAGTCACATACAAAAGAGCAAGAGGAGAAGCGAAGAAGAGAATCAGAAAGGCATTGATAAGATGAGGGAGAGGGGCTCTTACATACTTCTCTAATATTAGAGAGACCTCTCTTAATAGACTCTGTAATGATCAAGAATTCATACGAGCGGTAGAAGTGGACTACTGATGCTGGGATTGAGTTGGATGTGTTGCTCGTCTATAGAGTACGACGAGGCCATCCCTGTATATATACATATATCAAGGGCGAGGATACTGCAACTGTGGTGGTTATATTCATATCATACAAATAATCAACTTCAATTATCTTTCTCTATCTCTTTCTGTAAACAGGTTTATGTGGATGGACTTGCTGGAACCGGTGCAAGACCGTACCTATACTTTGTTAGTTGCTGGATCCCTTGCGCGTTGGGTACACATGCAGACAGACTCGTGTAGATGAAAAAAAAAAAAAAAAAAAAAAAAAAAAACAACATACCAGACAATAGATATCAACCCCAAGACCGCTGCGATGCAACTAAATACCAATGCAATAATTCCTCGTGCCGTAAATCCCGCAGGCAGTGGTGCTGGTGACATATTTGCGCCCGTTAAATCAAATAGGTCCTTGGTGTTCCCGGCAGCGTTACCCGCAGTGAAGGTGCCTGTGGCATTACAGACTTGGTAGTGACTCTCCGGAATTACGAGTGTCTTTTGTAGACTGAGTGGTGCTTCGATCATCGTGGCGGCGAGACCGCTCGCCATGTGCCATTCAAGATGGCAGTGGAACAGCCAAACCCCTGATATAGTTCCCTGTTAGGATGCAGTCGCCCAAGTGGAGAAAGCCGACTCACCTGGGTTATCGGCAATGAATCGAATGACGAAATTGCCGTGCCCATAAACAAAAACAGTATCCCGGCGCATCGGGGTAGATCTATAAGCCGGATGATCCCTTGTGTTGAAGTGTCCTGCGTCCGCTGCGCTACGACTAATAACCTGAAAATTATGCCCGTGAAGGTGGAAGGGATGCTTTCCCGAATCATCATTGTTGAGGACTACGTCAACGATGTCTCCTTTACGTAGGATGAAAGCGTTGGTGTTCGGACCGTAGATTACAGGTTCCGTGGCGGCCAACCCAGTGGACATGACCGAGTAAAGTGTTGGTACTTTGGGTTGAACATATGTGATACCATTGAAAAAGGCACTGTACACAGAATGTTAGTATTGAGATATAAATAGCTATGGCGTTAATCGGCTCACTAGTTTGCGCCATCCCCTAAATTACTCATGCTGAGGTCCATAGTGATGGTGTGGTTTGCTTCATCATATAAGCTAAGCCCATCGAATGGGTAGAGTTCCATGTCATCAAACGGGTTGAAGGTGTCAATCGGGGCCGCTGCAGGCTTTTCGGCTAGGTTATTGTATACTAACCACCCCGTTACGTTGTAGTTTAGCGTTTGAGGAACAGCATCAAAGAGATCCTAGACGGAACAGTGATTAGCTTCAGTATAAGACGACGACTCAGGAGCTGCCTACTGTGTCCATGCTCCCCACCATGGCATAGTTTTGACTTGACTCATTTTTCATTGTGACCAAAACACTATAGCGCTCTGCAGCAGTAACATAGATCATGTTCGCCTCCGAAGCGTTGGTCCATACCCCATCAACTTCGACAATCCTCATGGTGTGACCCTCCATCCAGAAGTATTGACTGGCGAAAGCACCCACATTCACCAGACGGAGCAAATATGTCTTTCCTGGCTCCACAGAGACAGTGAGATTTTGTGTGTCATTCATCAGAGCAGATTTGGGCACAGGTTCTGCACCGGTGGGATTCGTTACACTGATGAATTCCTCCAACAGTCCTGGCATCTCGTCATGGTACCAGTCCGAGAGGGTGATCACTCGCTCCTCATCGTATTGCCCGAGATAAGGATTCTCTGGGTCTGTAACAATCAAGGCCTGCCGTAGGCCATCAGGATATTGACCACGCCTGTGGGAGTGATACCAGTAGATACCGGCTTGGTCAACCTGCTGGTGATGAGAAGCTTGTCCGTAACAGTAAAAGAGAGCCACTGCAAGGAAGGCTTACTGTAAAATTGTAGACAAAAGAGCTCCCCGGCGCAATGCCACACTGGTTAACTCCTGGGGCGCCGTCCATATGGGTGGTGCCATTTTGGAACATCCCATGCCAGTGGAGACTGGTTGTTTCATTTCCAAGGGCATTGTATACATTTGCAACGACACGATCCCCCCGAGTGACATTGATCACCGGAAGAGGCCATTGCCCGTTAATGCCGATGACCGGGCGTTCCTTAATGCCATCTGGGTTGGCTGTCACCCAAGTGATGTTGAAGTCGTATGTGACGGTAGAAGCATATGCTGTTGCAGCATGGATGAGAAAAGCTGCTTGCGCAAGAAGGGACATCATTATGGATAACAACAAAGAGAGGCTTGAAACATGGCTACCCAGGCAATAAGGCACGGAGAGCAACAGAGTTATCTGATGGTTCTACTCCTAGGATCGGAGGCAATGGCCAGTTCTACCTACGGTTGATTTTCTGTCCTCCTAGGCACAAACTTTCATTGTGCAACTCAAACCCCATGTTGAGTGGGGATGCATGGGTGAGAAATGACAAGAGGTAAAACCCTGGTATGGCCGGAAAGAATCGCTTTCACCAGTGCCTAGTCCAGGGTTGCTCCTCTTCTTTTTTTTTTGGCTCTTCGCTCCATGGCTCCTTGATACTGTGTGTGCCTAGACATCCTGAGACTCTCCTAGCCGAAGCTTAAAGAGGGCTTTCGACCATCACCGACCTCTCAGATGCCCCTCCGATAGGAATCACATATACCAGATTCTTGGCGTGTCTTTTCATATGATAATAAGATTCGGAAATGCTGCTGTTGTTATGCAATTGAATTAAACACAAGTTACCTGGCTGCCGGGTCGGTGATCCGAACGATATTCGATCCCGACCTCCTCAGGCTTCAACCCCACGCCATGTTCTGTCAGGGATTGGTGGCATAGGTTCTTGGAAAATCAGATAACCTAAAAACCTTCGGCTAACTTTCACGAAATAATTTATCAATCCGTGGCCCGGATGGTGTTGTTGTGCTGAAGCTCTCTATCCGTAACCAGTGAGCCTCGCTTTTCACGACATAATGGCGAAGGATGTGTTTGCGGTGCCCAGTATGCTGTTATTAAAGCATGATTCATTGCCAGTCTTTGCTGACTGCTGGCAGTATTCTTCATTTGCTTTCGTGAATGTGTCGAGACTAGTATCATCGTTTCAGTACTGCTCGCTTTCTTGAAACAGACTCTGGGATCAGAAGATGATGCCCCTACACGGAAGAAGTTGGTAAGACAGGTATGCATCATTCCTTCGTCATTGTATTTTGCACATTGAACAAACTCTGACGCACTATCGTCGCTCAAAATAGGTCTGGTGGGGAGTCGGCCTTGGACTCGTCATCTGTATCTGCATTGGAGGCGGAATGATCGGTGCATTTTATGGCTACGGAAGAGACAGCTTCTCTAAGACAGAAGACCTGTGGGAGGGCGTTTTCGCTTTAATTGCCAGTGTGATTATCACGATAATGGGTGCAGCATTGCTTCGCATAAATAAGATGCAGGAGAAGTGGCGTGGGAAGCTGGTTCGCGTTCTCGAGAAAAGAGATAACCGGGGCCCGGCTACAAACCCCTTGAAGCGGTGGTCCCAGAAGTATGCCATGTTCATGTTGCCATTCATCACGGTCCTTCGTGAAGGGCTGGAGGCTGTTGTGTTTATCGGTGGTGTCAGTCTTAGTTTTCCGGCGTATGCCTTCCCGTTACCCGTCGTGACAGGTATTTTAGCTGGTATAGCTGTGGGATATTTAATTTATCGGTGAGTTCCCCTGCGGTATTATGCAGAGTTGAACTGTATGCTGATTTGAGTGTCAAACATAGTGGCGGAAATCAAGCCTCGCTCCAGCTCTTCCTCGTCATATCAACATGTCTACTGTATCTTGTAGCTGCTGGACTCTGTTCTCGCGGTGTCTGGAGCCTGGAGAACAACACATGGAATCATCTTGTTGGCGGCGATGCCTCTGAAACCGGTTCTGGACCTGGATCATATGATATCCGGCAAAGTGTGTGGCATGTGAATTGCTGCAATCCCCTTATAAATGGGGGAGGTGGATGGGGTATCTTCAATGCTGTTCTAGGCTGGACAAACTCGGCCACCTATGGGTCTGTTATCTCATATAATCTCTATTGGGTCATTGTTATATTTTGGTTTGTGACAATGCGCTATAAGGAACAACACGGTTATATCCCATTTGTCTCCAAGCTGATGAGGAGGAGGAAGAAGCCCGAAGAAAGTGCCGAATGCACAGGTAGCTCAAGCAATGTCAGCAATATCAAAGCTGCAGAAGCAGACACCAATGCCAGACTCCGGCCCACTGATGTATGACGATAATACCGAAATAGCTCGTTTTGCGATAGAATTCGAATTTCTTGTGACTTGAATGCATTCAGTGATGGCCAGAACCTAGTAATCTCCAATGTATCCAGGTAATCAACCTTGTAAGACAGTTCCATTCTCCAATCTCCATCTTGAGTTGCGATGTTGCTCGAACATGGTATATCTCCAACACGGGCGTTTTGACCCTTCATACTCGAGGGCTTAATGGGATGATAAATCGAATTTCAGCATCAACTCATCCTTGCAGAAGGCGCCCTGGAAAATTCGAGATTGAAACAGGAGTTGAATCGGGTGCAGTGATCGAAATCCCCTTTCTGACCTGTCATCACGTGTCTGCCCTTCCTTCTACTGTGAACTTCATCCAATTCTGTTTCTCCCTTTCATTATCCCTCGTTCAATTTATCATCCTTCATTCTACCAGACGAATTGTCTTGCTTCCCCTTCTTCATCGAAGGATCTCGACTGCATGTATGGGACCTGCATTTGACGCAATGCCCACGCGATATTCGCGTTGGATTCCACTTACAGGGTGAACGCCCTGCCTAGGGATGACGACCCTATCTAGCTTGGTGATAGCCCTGCTGCCAAAGAGTTCTAAATGTGATGGTTTATAGCTAGGGATCGGTTATGGAGGCGCCAAACCCCCAGCATTCCGGAGCACTGCATTGCCACAAGATGTCAAGTCACATCCTTCGCGCGCAAAAAGGTTCGCTCCTATGCCCATCCATTCCAACCCAGCGTACACTCGCGTTGACGCGCCTCACGATTAATTACATCTCCCTTTTAGTCAAAGGCTTGCCCATGTTTGTTCCCACAGCTACCTTTATGTATCAAGACAACTTGGCAAGAGGAATAGAAGTTCCCAGTTAATTGCGCCTCCTTTCATATATCTTACACACCTCATCTTGTGTAATCTTGCCTGCTTCGGTCACAGCCGTCACTTGTGTATGCTAGCTCTACTAGCAATACAGCTACGTCGCAGGTCGTGCTCTCTATTTCCATCAGCATGACTGACCGACAAGCGACTCCTAAGAGAGGAGGGGCATGGACGAAGGTGGTCATCTTCGTCTCTCTATATTTTTTACTACTCCAGTCTCTCATAGAATGGGTCCTTGTGCTCTACCTTTACGGCAATAGAAATGTAGACTCGAAGATGGCCCCGAGCTTGATTCTTGCTCTCATTGCGGTGAGACCCAACTCCTCGCCACTAAGGTTGAATTAATACTAATGGATTGTCAGTCATTTTTTACAGTACCTCTAGTAGTACTACACAGTTTCCTTGCGTGGCAATATAACAGAGTTCTTGGATCTGGAGCCCGGAAAACGATGCTACATACCATCTGCACATATATACTCCGCTTCACGATTACCGTCTGGCTAGCAGCTAGTGTGGCAGGATTAGTGGTTGCATCGCAGCAAGCTCCGTGCCTTCCTGACAGTGCATATGGAAGTTTTTGGAACGTCGGGGTCAGCTGCGCGCTCCACCGAGCAGTCGTTATCGTTTCCGTTGTATCTTTGTGAGTGACGAGGAAGCTAACGGTTGCGCACGCGTACTAATATCTACCCAGCCTCACTGTATGTCTCTATTTCTGTTCTAGGGAGCTTTGCGAGCGCCCATATGACATATCCCTACTCGGCGTATACAAACCTCAGCGATCATCTCGAGACGACAGTATCTTTTCGGCTTCTAGTTTGGATAGCGAGAGGGGCTTGAAGAATGATATCCTTTGTATCTGCCGTCGTCCCGATGTGACATACGGCCGGAATCCATACATGGCATCAAGTGATGTGAGCGAGAAGTCCGGGTGGACTCCGACCATTGAACAGCCTACCCCGATACGTCCAACATCATTCCTGCAACTCACAACGGATGCGGATTCTGGGTTGGCTGAGCATCTATCCCGAATAACCACCTCTCCTGGAGGAACCCTGCCCACCATTTATCCGTCTGGTATCTCTCGAACCCCAACCTTTGCAACTACAGGAACCATCCACGCGACTCATGATCCAGCTTTGCCTGAGCTGCCAGGCGGCTCTGACGTGGAACACCGATCAAGTCATATGAGACAGAAATCATCTGTATCGTCTCTCCGCAGATTCCTTCCCAAGGCGACCCCCGTATCTGCGCCTCTATCTGCAGACCCTCAGATCCGGGCGCTCGCTGACCCGGCCACTCATGTCCATCTCGTTGAACAAGGGCCGCAGCACGCAATTCACGATATCCAGGGACCATTCCCTTCAGTACCGGAAGTAGAGGCACCACATGTATTACCAGAGAGTATCCAACCTCCACAGCCTCCAGCCAACCCCCAAGAAGCCGCCATACTCACAAGATCAATAACCGTGAACTCCGCCGAGGCCCCTGAGGTTGTCACTCCAGAAGCCGCGCTACCAGCACCCCTCAATGTTCGCAGATCAAACACCACACATACCGCCCCTATCCCTCATACCCCTCACTTCCACCATCATCCTAACAAGGCCACACGTACACGTACACGTACACGTACAGCCTCAGTCCCGAGCTCTTGGGCTACATTACTTGAAACGAGTCGCCCAACCCGCACAGGCACCATGCGCACCCCCCGACAGCAACAATTTGAACCGGGCTATATCCCCCGTTATACCCAGAGCCAGCGCTTCCCACGTAATCGATACCCTCGCAACAGCCTCCACCGCAATATGTCCTCACTCGTCCGCGGAAACGACGTCGAGCGCCACTATCCCAGCATCCGCCGCCCACGTAGCAGCACCTGCGGTAGCAGAATAGTCCCCGCCCCGGGGCATCTCGACTGTATCCGTGAAACGGGAGCGTCAATTGATGAGCCTGCCAGCAGCGATCCATCCCGCGGGACGAATCGAACCAGCGTGCTTGGGCATTAACTAGGGTTATCTGCAGGACAGAAACCCGGTATGGACTTGGCTTGCGAACAAAAATGAGATTCCGCACAAAAAGAGATGTATAATTAGATAATTAATGGTGATAGCCTTTTACTTTATATTTTCCCTTCAATGTTCAAAATAATGTAATGCTTTCTTTTAATCCAACGTTTGCAGAGGATCAAGGATAGATGCCAATTCAAATTAAACCCCAGTAATTTCTATAAAAGAAGAAAAGGACAAGACAAGACAAGAGAAGAGAAGAGAAGAGAAGATAGACAATCCTCGAAAACGCCTCAACGACGCGTTCCATCATCCATTCAGCCATGCCAGAGGATACATTCAATCACCTAATACCTCCCTCCATACAACCGCATCCATCGAAAACAAAGTCGAGAATAACCAACCAACCTGTCCCGAAAGTTCAACGCCACATGAGTAACTCCCCACTGGATGTATTAAGAAAAAAGGATACTAGTAGGTGAGGAGGGAGGGAGCTTTTTTTTTTTTTTTTTTTTTTTTCACCTCTTAACATGCTTATATCGATAAGCTTGCCTTCTCCTCCTCCGCGCCTCTTCATCGTCACCATTCTCCTTATCCTCACCTAATTCCTTTTCACCCCAAGTCCACAGCAACGCCTTACCCATGCGTTCTCTCTCCTTGAGAAGAAGCTCGACTCGTCTCTCCCACTCTTTCTCGCGCTTCTCGACAGACTTTGCGATGCGCTGGTCCATCGCAGCGGCTGTTTCATCTTTGACTGCGATGATGGACTGGAGGCGCTTGATGTCATGGCGAAGGGAGCGGATTTCGTCACGCTCCTTGGCGAGCTCTTCTCGGGTGCGAGTTTGGTCGTCTTCTTCTTGTTGAGTGGCGCGGAGGGAGTCTAACTCGGCGCGGAGGACGGCCTCGCGCTTTTCGGAGGCGGAGAGGAGAGCGCGGAGTTTGCGGGTTGAGTCGGTGTGGGCGTTGCGTAGAGTGGAAATGGCAGTTGCGTGGGAGGTTTTGAGGTTGGTGATTTGGGCTTTGTGGGTTGCTTCGAGGGAGGATTGGGTTGTTTTGCGGGTGGTCAGCGGGGTTGGTGGTGGACTGGGCTGTTGGGTTCGGGTGGGTTCTTGTTCTTGGTTCTCTTCGGCTTGAAGATGGTGGACTGTCTCGAGGGCTTTGGTATGTTCGGTACGGAGAAGGTTGAGCTCCCGTTGGGCCTGGTCGAGGCTGGACTTGAGGTCTTCTGCTCGTTTGGCCATGCGGGTGTTTTCCGATTCTATGGACTGGATGAGAATTTGGGACTCTGCAGCTTGTTCTTGGGCGCGGGCAAGTTGGAGCTCGAGGGCTTTCTGGGCCGATGCTGTCTCGTTTGACTGTGTTCGCAGCTTGACTAGTTCCTCGTGAAGTTGCTCTGTTTCCTGGTCTCCCAGATCTTTGGATTTTGTGGGACGGCTAACATCCGTTTGCCCAAGGTCCTTGATCAGCTCGAGGATCTCAGTATATGTGTTGCCCGCGGCCTCTAAGGGCAGATCTGCTGCCATAGCCTTGAGGGCGTTCTCTTGTGCTGTGACCTGCGACTGCGCGCGGGTCAAATCAGCCTCCAGGGTGCTGTTCTTCTCTTCTAGCGGACGATTCCTGGTTTCAAGTAGAACCATTTGGTCTTCCAGGACTCGGTACTCGCGGTTTGCGCGCGAGACATCTGTTTCGAGTTTATCAATCTCTAGCTGCTGGGCGTCGATTTGGCTGCGGAGGCCGTCGATTTCTGTGTTCTTCTCTCGGAGTTGGGCCTCCTTGGCGGCCGTGACTTCTTTAAGCTTCGCCATGGTTTCATCCAAAGTCGCATCCCGCTTTTTTAGCTGTTCCTGGGTGAGATTCAGCTGTTGGCGGAGCATCGCGATTGTCTCCAAACGCTCTGCATCGATACCAGAGTGCGAATTTCGGCTTTGGAGCTCTTTTTGCATGTCGGTTATTTGCTTTTGGAGCGTGCTGAAGTCCGATACACTAATCGAGGATTTTGACACGAACGACCCGTCACTGCGGTTTGAGTGAAGCTCTTCAATAAGGGATGTTTTTTTCAGTAACTCTCCTTGTAAGTGTTTAATCTGCTCCCCGGCCGAGACCGCCTCCAAAACGCGTTTGCGGTTTTTTTCAAGCTGCTCGTCGCGGGCGTGAACGGCTTGCGTGAGTTGTTCAACCTGGCGGCGCAGATCGGCATCTTTCTGCTCTGGAGTCTTGCTGGTGGGCGATTTTAGCTTTCGAATAGATGGCGTTGCTATTGTGCTTGGTTCGTCGTCGTCGTCGTCGGGGTCTTCCTCGATGTTTTCAAGGTGGGTTACGTCTTTGGCATGACCTGGTACCCGGCGAAGCAGATGTGACGGCGTGGACATGTCGATCGGGGGTCCAAATTCACTATCTTCACCTAATTCCGCGTCGTCTTCCACTGCCGGTTGATGCGCCTCAGAGTCTACCTGCTGCGCACCCTGCTGGTTAGGTAGCTCAAGTTCCAAGTCCAGCTCTTCTTCGGGCTGTTTCCCCTCTTCTTCCTCTTCGTTCCCGAGCTCCTCATGATCCATGGTGTCGTCTTCGCCGAGTAGATATCGTTCTAAATTGGCGGTGAAATCTTCGGGGCCCCCCACGGCTGATAGGCGGTCGGCCTCTTCTTCGTCCACCTCTTCTGGTAGTTCGTTGTCATCTGGACCTTGCGCACCGGGAAATTGACTGAAATCCACAGTATATTGGGCGAGACGGGCATCGAGTTCTTGGGCCGCGCGATCAAGGGACGAGCCACGAGAGGACGGGGGGGAACGGGAAGGCGAACGGGGAGCCCTGGGACTGCTACTTGGGCTTGAGATACGGTCAGGGGAGTCAATTGGAGGAGGTTCCGATGGCGAAGGTGAGGGAGCAAGGAAATAAGGAACAGCCAAGGTGGATGCGCCGACGGTGTCGTGGGAAGTAGTGTCGGCCATGGCAGAGAATCACTGCATTATCGGGTGACAGGGGATAGAAGGGGGGCGGGGGATTTAGGAATGAGACGAGATTAATCTGGAGATAGCAATAGATAGAAAGAGAGAGAATATCTAGGATAAACAAGGTAGAGGACGTTGGGTTGAAGATGATGGAGAGGAAGATGACTTGATGTTTGGCGGTTGGAACGCGACACGAGGTGAATGCCTGGGGCTTCAGGCATCCGCATGGGTGTTGACGATATGCCGAAATAGGATTAGCGTATATTCATCGGCGAAAATGCTTCGACGTTTTCCTTTAGTATCGTTTCCATGCATACCTTTGGATTAATTTGGATTCATTGTAATATAACTTCCTGAAGAATGTAAAAAGAAAAAGAAAATACTATCCTGAAATGCTGATGTCAAGTAGTATGCATCGATGTTAGGGTGTTTGGAGTCAGTTAGGGTTTACCCCTCAATCCTCCTCGTATCAAAGAATTTGTATGTTTCCGTGTAAAGCCTCATCCCATCCTTCATACTGCAGCGTACGGATTTCAACCCTGCTTCCAACCTCAAAATGCCTCCAATCCCTTCTTACCCCCATCGCATTGTCCTCTACCATCAGACCTTATGTCCCAGTCAGGGTCCATACGTCTCTCTCCTCCCCCTGCTGCACAATAATACCGGTATCACCCATGTCATCCTCGCAGCCTTCCATCTCAACGCTCCCAACCCCAATCATATTACTCTCAATGATGATCCTCCAGAGCATCCCATGTATGACTCGCTCTGGGCTGAAGTCCCTGTGTTGCAGCGGAATGGAATCCGGGTCATGGGTATGCTGGGAGGCGCTGCGCCGGGCACCTTCTCTTGTCTGGACGGCGACCAACCTCAATTTGAGGCTTACTACGCTCCCCTCCTCGCGATGATCCGCCGTCATGGCTTGGATGGTATTGATCTGGATGTTGAAGAGCCCATGTCCATTACCGGCATTGTGCGACTCATTGACCGGCTGAAGACGGACCTGGGAGAAGGGTTCATCATCACCCTCGCCCCTGTTGCTGCTGCCCTACTAGGCATTGGTAATCTCTCTGGATTCGATTACCGTGAGCTGGAGCGTCAGCGTGCCGGTCGCATTGCCTGGTACAACACCCAGTTCTACAACGGCTGGGGTATGGCCGAAGACCCCCGCATGTATGCAGCCATCGTGTCCCAGGGTTGGTCTCCAGCTAGGGTGGTCTACGGTCTCCTAACCAATCCGGGGAATGGTTCGCGCGGGTATGTGCCCCGGGAGGTGATTGGGCCGGTTTTGGCCGTACTGGTGGAACAATTCCCGAACTTTGGTGGCGTGATGGGCTGGGAGTATTTCAACTCAATGCCGGGGGAAAGGGGAAAACCCTGGGAATGGGCAGCAGAGATGTCACTAAGCATGGGGATGAAAATGCTGGTGCAGAAAGCTCGAGACGTGTTGGTTTCCCGATTGGGGTAGTTTGAAGCTATTCAAGTCAAGATTCATGACATCATCCTCTTTTCCGCTGCTTCGCCTCAACTCAACTTCTTTCTTTTTGCTTTGCTTCTTCCTCTTTTCCCCTCCTCCCTCCCTCCCCTTGACTATTTCCAGAGTCTCTCGTAAGATGGTAACATCATGTTGACCATCACAAGCTCCACTCTTCTCCGTCTTGCCTCTTTTTTCTTTCTTCGCTGGGTAATTCTCCTTCCTCCCCCCATATGCTAATTGTTGTTGACTGATGGTCTAGATTCCTGGTCACCTCTTCCCCCCCATCATCTTCACCTCTCTTGTCATTTATCTGACCTCGATTTTCTTCTCTTCCCCTCGGAAATACAACAATGGCACGCTCAAATCCCTCCTTACGGGTGTTCCCTGTCGCCGACCGTGGGTTACGCGTCTAACTGTTTCCATCAACCTTCTCTGCGCCCTGTTCACACTGGACTTTCTCCTGCGTGGCTTTATCCTCTACCCAACGGCTGGATTGCGCTTTTCTCGAGTTGGCTATATCTCCCCCACAACGGCCAGTCTGCTTTTCCGCGAACCGGATTCAGCTCAACTCCCCTTGCTTGTTTCTTACACCGACAGCTCCGAGGGCGATAATGACGGTTCTTCCTGGATTCACGCCGCGAGCATTGATACTCTCGACGAGTCCACCGATTTCACGGCTACGATTATTTTCGACAGCCTGAAGCCCTCAACCGCTTACCGCTATGCGATTTCCAATAACCTCACAGGTTCATTCTCGACTAACCCTGCCCCGGACTCCCCTGCCACGAACCAGCTGAGCTTCTTAACTTCGAGCTGCATGAAGCCCAACTTCCCCTATGATCCCCGCCGTCATCCGCTGCGGATTCCAGGCTTGGAGACGATGATGACTGCTGCCGCCAATTCTATCCGCCGCCATCCGCCATCCTTCATGCTCTTCCTTGGCGACTTTATTTACATTGACGTTCCCCAGCGATTCGGCTCGTCTGTAGCTCACTACCGTAGCGAGTATCGCCGTGTCTACTCTTCCCCCTCCTGGGCATCTCCAGCTATTGACCTTCCCTGGATCCATACCCTCGACGACCACGAGATCGCCAACGATTGGAAGCATGGCAACACAACCCCTCCATATCCTGCTGCCATTGATCCCTATGTACACTATCACGCCTCCGTCAACCCCCGCCTCCTTTCCCCAACACTAAAACTGTAAACCCCAAATTCTCTTACACTTCCTTCACCAACGGGCCGGCAGCCTTTTTTATGGTCGACACCCGATCCTACCGTTCCCCAGACGATGAAACTATGCTGGGCAAAGCCCAGCTGGAATCCCTGCTTTCCTTTCTCGCCCGTCCTGAACCAGCGCACGTCCGGTGGAAAATTGTCTCCTCAAGCGTCCCATTTTCCCGGAACTGGCATGCAGGCACGGCTGATACGTGGGGAGGCTTCCTCTCCGAACGGGCTGTCGTGTTCGAGGCCATGCGCGCCGCCCAAAGCAACCTAGGGATCCGCGTTGTACTGCTCTCAGGCGATCGACATGAATTTGCTGCCACTCTGTTTCCCCCTCTCACTTCTTCTTCTTCTTCTTCCACGGAAACCGAGGCCGAGGTCACGGATGGCCAAGAGCTCGTCGAATTCTGCGTAGGCCCCCTCAGCATGTTCTACCTCCCCATCCGAACATACTACCAGTCCGGGCCGGATGATGTTCCGATCAAGTATCTCCCCGACGGCAACACGAAATTCGGGCTTGTCGAGATCGAAGAGGGTATGGCTGGGGGGGTTCCCAGCTCGGTCCTTACTTATTCATTGTATATTGATGAGAATGTAGTTTGGAAGTATAGGTTGAGCGTGCCGGTAGCAACCGCATCCTCGTCCGACGCACACCTGGCTCGTGCCTTACTTCCTCCTGGTGCAGTTGTCCTTGACAGTTCCGTAGAGGGGTGGCCAGATAAAATTGCCAAAGCGGCAGGTTGGAGTGTAATGAGAAAGTGAAATAGCGGGATTTTTTTTTGCTATAGAGGGGGTTGTCGTATCGAATGTAGAAAGAGAAAAAAAAAAAAAGGGGGGGGGGGGGGTAGTATTTATTCGATTTGGGAAGTAAATGAATGAATCAGACGCCGAACTCCATCCATGCTGAAGCATCTCATCTCGTCGCGTCCCAGAAAATAAATAAAGAAAAAATACAAACGAAAAGAAAATCATGTCAAGTCAATCGAATGTAACGAGAGAGAAAGTTCGAGTAGCAGAAGAAAGGGTTGGAAGAGGCGGGAAAGAACAGGATTATTATCGCCCTCGTCCTCTTCCTCCACCACCACCACCACCACCACCACCCAGACCACCCAACCCACCCATTCCACCCATTAACCCACTCATCTGGCTCATCATTCCCTGAAGATCCATGCCTCCTAGACCCGGTAATCCACCTCCACCGGCACCGCCGCCTTGACCCTGCAGCATCTGCATCATCTTCGCCATATCCCCCATACCAGGCATGCCGCCCATGCCGCCCGCCCCGCCCATAGCAGCCATACGCTTCTGCATAGCGGCAAGTTGCTGGTCCTTGTTCCCGCCCTTGAGCATGTTCTGGGCGCGCTGCATCTGCTTCTTCTGGCCGCCGACGCGCTTCGCCATCCCGGCCATCATGCGGTGCTGCGAAAGAAGATCCTCCACTTCGCGAACGGTGGTGCCGCTCCCGCAGGCAATGCGGACCATGCGGCTGGGTTGCTCGACAAAGAGCTTGCCGTCGCTGTCCAGCTCGACCTTTGTCATGCTGTCGAAGATGTAGATCATACGGCGGAGTTTCATGGAGCCGTCTTCATCGTCGAGTCCCGCTGTGAGGTTGGACAGACCGGGGATCATGCCGGAGAGTTTGGACAGGGGGCCCATTTTCATAATGGAGGTGATGTTCTCCCGGAAGTCTCGTAATGTGTAGATACCCTCGGAGATGTGCTTGTAGGTTTCCTTTGCGGCCGCGGAGTCCTTGGTGATGGCTTGCACGTGCTCGACGAGGCCGGCCATGTCGCCCATGCCTAGCAGTTTCTGGACAAAGGCCTTGGGGTCGAACCGTTCCAGGTCCATGAGATGTTCGCCTGTTCCGAGGAAGATAATCGGGGTATGGGTGGCTGCGACCGCTGAGATGGCACCTCCACCGGCGGCGTGACCATCTGTCTTGGTGATAATGATGGCTCCGAAGTCTGCAGTAGCCTTGAAGGCGGACGACTGGGCCTCCGCGGCCTGACCGATTGTGCTGTCGAGGACGAGGATCGTCTGGTCGGGCGTTACCGCGGTCTGGATTTGGGTCATCTCCGTGAATAGTTCTTCTTCTTGCTTGTGGCGACCACTCGTGTCGACGATGATGATCTCGAACCGCTCCTTCTTAAACTTGGCGACACCTTCGGCAGCAACTACGGCAGGGTCCGTTTGCGTCAGACTACCGTAGTAGGGGATCTTGGCCTTGGTCGCGTTCTGCTTCAGCTGGTCGAAAGCACCGGCACGGAAGGTATCCGCGCAGACGAGGGCAGTCTTGAACCCGCGCATCTGGTAGTGCCGAGCGAGCTTGGTACAGGTCGTTGTCTTACCGGCTCCCTGGAGACCAACGAACATGATGACATTGGACCGACCCTTCTTCGGTCGGAAAGGTTCTGCGTGAGGGTTGACGAGGGCAACGAGTTCATCAAAGACGGTCTTTTGGATGAGACGCTTCTTATTCACGGCGGCGGGGAGGGAGGAGAAGTTGACGCTGGCTTTAATGGATTTGCGGAGGGACTGAACCAGACGGACATTGACGTCGGCCGACAGCAGAGCAGCACAGATCTCTTTCAACATGTCTTCGAAGGCCTGGTTTTATTTTTTTTTTTGATATTTAGTATTTCCTAGCTATAGAGAGCCTGCAATCTGCACCCACCTTCTCATCCAAATTAGGGGACCGAGTCAAGTCATTGACGGCGGCGTTGATACGCCGCCCCAAATCCTGGAGAACCATTGTGAACGGGGTGCACTAATTCCAAATTGACGAATACAGCACCAAAGAGCGCAATCCAGATCCTGAGATGGTAGTTTGGCTGTGGTTGATGAAGTGAAGTTGAAGTTGTTCGTAGACAAAAAGAGGCCACCAGGAACTCCGTAACCAATCAGAGTCTCTCCGCTTGTTTTCCCGCCATAGCAGAAAAAAAAAAAAAAGAAAAGAAAAGAAAAGCGACGAAATCTGCAGCTTTCTTTCCCAGTTCACACCCTACATATTTCCAATTTACGTCGAATTTCAAATCAGTCATGCCCCTCACAACAAGCCAGAAGAAGAGAAAAGTCCTTGAGGGACTCCAGGGCAAAACTGGCCGTCCGAACAAAAAATTCAGGAAGCAGCGCGAGTACCACAGCAGCTCGGACGAGGCCGACGATGAGCCCACCGATTTCAAAGCAGTCAATCTGGCAGATTCCGATGAGGAGGAGGAGGAGGAGGAGGAGGTAGAGGTGAAGCCGAAGAAGGTGCAGAAAATCCAAGTCACCAAGGCTGTTGCGGAAAGCGATGACGACGAGGAGGAGGAAAATGGATCGGACTCTTCTGTCTCATCCGATGCAGACGACGACGAGTATGATATCGATTCCGACGATTCTTCACCGACTACAACAACAGGTCAGAGGACAGTCTCGAAAAGAAACGACCCTTCTGCTTTCTCGACCTCTATTTCGAAAATTCTTGCTACGAAATTACCGACCTCTGCCCGTGCGGACCCTGTGTTGTCGCGCAGTAAGGTGGCTACGCAGACCACTGCTGAGCTCGCGGATGAGAAGTTAGACCACCAGGCTCGGGCTAAGCTACGTGCAGAGAAGAAGGAGGAGCTAGATCGGGGTCGGGTTCGTGACGTTCGTGGAATCGCGACCGGACAGGCGGGTGCCGTGGCGGAAGAGGAGAAGCGACTGCGCAAGATTGCTCAGCGCGGTGTGGTGAAATTGTTCAATGCTGTCCGCGCGGCGCAGGTTCGCGGTGAGGAAGCCGCGAAAGAGGAAAGGAAGAAGGGCACAATCGGAATCGGCGAGCGAGAAAAGGCCGTCAACCAGGTCAGCAAGCAGGGATTTTTGGAATTAATCAACGGCAAGAAGGGGAAGCCGCTGAACATCGAAGAGGCTTGATTGTTTTTGTTTTTTTTTTTTTCTTCCTATCAACTTGTGCACAGGATTGGAACATATCCCCGGCGTTTCAAGGTATCATTGGAGTCAAAAGTTATGTACAGTTAGCTTACTAGATCGGTTTCCTGCCAACAAATGAATGGAGATCGCGAATACCCAATAATGCACTATGTCTATGATATTTGCAACCCCATTGCTCATTGGCAGTTGCCTGTGCACAGTAATCCTCGCCCATATCATACAAACTCCCGTTGGTGCTTTTTTCTTTCCTGTTTTATTTCTTCGCCTGGAAGTCGCTGGCCTGCAGGTTGCGAGTCATCGAAGGCAGTCGAACCACCAACCCATCTAAATCCTTGTTCATCACAACCTGACAGCCCAGTCGCGATGTCTCGGTCAGGCCAAACGCAAGATCCAGCATGTCATTCTCGTCGTCTGACGGCTCCTCCATCTTGTCAAACATATCAGGATCCTCCACGATAACATGGCACGTTGAGCACGCGCATGAACCACCGCAGGCTCCTAAATCATCCCGGGTCAGTAAACTTGAACCCTATCTATAATCATCATCATGATCAAGAGTTTCCGAACCTTCCATCTCCAGATCGTGGGCTTGCGCAATATCTAGCAAGTTATCCCCCTCCGACACCTGCAAGTCGACCCTTTCACCATCCTTGTCAATGAAAGAGACATGGATTCTAAAGGAAGATTAAAAGAATGATATCAGTCGACAAGCATGAAGTAAAACCGTCGACCTTGGGAACGACTCACTCTTCTCCAGGCTTTGGAGGCGTGATATGGCCATGCTGAACTCCTCCAGTCGCGGAGAAGCGACGCCGTGAGTCAACTCCTGTCCAGGATCGCGGCTCTCTAGAGATCAGGGTGGACCTTCTCGTAGTCACTGGAGCCCGATTAGACCCCAATACTTGTGAGGAATAGCTGAGGAATCGGGTGGATTGAGAGTGAGCAATGCGGTCGCCAGCAACTGCGTGGCGCAGGAGAGTCAACCCGGTGTTTTTCCAGAGCGACATTGGGAGAGAAATTATATAGAGAGAGGGAAATTAAAATCTACTAAATCGAGAGAATGAGAGAATGAGAGTTAAAAAAAAAAAGAGAACAGACCAAAGGGGCAAAGAATCCAAGCTAGAGTTGAAGAAAGAGCAGAAGAAGAAGAATAATCAGAGGGAGATAAAAAATCCCGAGCAAAAGCGGGAAATTCGGACTTTCCAACCCTCGACTCTTCTTCTTCTTCTTCTCTTCTCCTCCAACGCTGCACTCATTGTCTATTCCTCTCTCTCTCTCTCGTTGCCTCCACCAGGAATTTCCAAGATAATCTTTAATCATGTCCTCGCGCGAAGGACCAAATCCTCTCCGTCCCTACTATTTCCCCCCCTCACTCGGTCTCGATGCCGACGCCTCGTTTTCTTCGCCCCCCGATGCTGCGTCTTCTGCCCAAGTCTTTGGCAGCTCAGCACGCGACTTACTCCCCGATCTAGACTATTCCGAATATCTCGAGAGCTCCCCATCAGTGTCTGGCTGGGTCCGCGATGCTTTGGACCGTGCTCTGTGGCGATACACCTCTGTTCTGACTGCTCAGCCGTTCGACGTCGCGAAGACGATTCTGCAGACATATGTGGTGCCCGATGAGTCCTCCGAAGGTCAATGGGCAACGGGTGACAGGCGGAGGACGAGGACAGGCAGTCGAACGGATTCCTATGATGATATGGACGAAGATGAGGATGAGGATGTGCGTATGCCGGTCTCACCAATACAAAAAGAAAAAGAAAAAGGAGAGAGCTTGCTAACTGGGATTCAACAGGACTTTTCGTCTGACGATGAGAGCAGTTATTTCACCTCTGCAGCCCCCCGCATGTCCTCGCCGTCTGCTCGACGAACCCGAAACTCCCGCCATCGTATCACTGATCGCAGCGGGTATATCGCGTCCTCCTCATCCAAGACCTCCTCCCGACATGCCTTGGTCCTGAAGAACCCCTCCTCCCTGATGGAGGTGCTTTCCCAGCTGTGGTCCACCAGTGGGCCGACATCGCCATGGAAGGCAACCAACGCAACCTTTATCTATTCTCTACTTCTTCCAACCCTGAATACCTTCATTCGCAGTCTTCTGTCGGCCATTGTTGGACTTCCCGAGGACGACATTACACCGTCCATGGCGGCCGATATACTGACCTCGACGTCTCCGCTCACAACCCTGCTCCTGTCCTTCATTTCCTCCTCTCTATCCGCCATGCTTCTGTCGCCCATTGACACCGCTCGCACGTTTCTCATTCTAACCCCCGTCACGCACGGCCCCCGTTCGCTCCTCCGGGCAATCCGCCAGCTCCCAACCCCAAACTACTCCATTCCCCCGCACCTCATCCCAATTACCATTCTCCACTCAAGTCTACCCAGCTTGATCACGTCCAGTACCCCTCTATTCCTCAAATCGTATCTCTCTCTCGACCCTGTGCTGCACCCGTCCACTTGGAATCTTTTCACCTTCATGAGTTCCGGCATCGAGCTAGCGGTCCGGTTCCCGCTCGAGACTGTCCTCCGCCGCGCCCAGATCGCTACATTCACCTCTCCCAGCATTCGACAGAAATCTACCAGTCCCCTTCGTTCCGCAGCGACCTCCCAAGATGGAGCCCGAGAAATCGAAACCATCGTGCCCACCCCCCAAACCTACCGCGGCGTCATCGGGACAATGTGGACCATCGTGTATGAAGAGGGCGTCCAGCCTCCTCCAGAGGCTGAGCGAGCTCAAGAACTCCTCGGGAAACCCGTTACCTATCGCAAACGCCAGGGACAGGGAATTTACGGTCTCTATCGGGGCTGGAGAATCGGTATGTGGGGAATCGCTGGTATCTGGGGTGCCAGTCTGCTCGGCAATGTCGCCGTAAATGTGGAAAACGGCCCAATGCCTAGTGGAGGCCGGTTCTAACCTCCTACCCCCGTTATTGTTATTGTTACCCTCATTCTTGTGAGGTGGTGTTTACTACTACTACATACCCTGGTTTTCTGTCTATCTTGCCCCTTCTCATGACTACTCTCTTCTCCTTCTCCTTCTTCTTTCTCATTCCGTTCATCTGTAATACTTGCACTGTGATGGTACCTTGTTTTTCTTCCCTATATTTGTCTTCATTTTCAGATACACCAGGAGCAGCACTACAGGGCGGGGGATGGGAACTTACAGGCGTTTATTCGTTAGTGGGACACTCATCATGCATGACCTTCTGGGTACAGCGTGCAGCCAGGTTATTTATCTAACGTACCTGGTTGATACTGATACCAACTTTCTCTCTCTCTCTCTCTTATCTTACTTATGTCTTCGATATCCCTTGCTTTAGCGCATCTCTGCTCTTCTTGGCCTGCAATTCACTTCTACCTGACTTGACTTGATCTCTTGAGTGTTAATCATGATATCCTTGGCTTTTTTTTCCCCCTTTTTTGGCAGTTCATTTCGTATCTCATTATATAGTATATACACCTCAGTCAATGAAGTGTCTACCTACCACTTGATCTAGATAACATAAGTACGCAGAGTATCGATTCTATTCGATTCTTGTCGTGTCCTGTCCTGTCCTGTGTATCCTACTAATCTATATCGTCGGGTTCTGCCTGATTCGCTATTCCAATTTTCAAATATCACAAGGTTTGTATTTGTATCTGGATCTGGATCTGGACTTGGATTGGTGAATGACCCAGACTCTCCCAAGAAATAATAAAAAAAAAAAAAAAAAAGAAAGAAGACCAAGATCAAAGTAAATAAGAAAAAGAAAACGCCGTCGTTCACCCGTCTAATCGTAGCAATCAATACGTTAAGAAGAATCCCTCGGTAAAATATAATAATCGTGAGGAGCCGTGGAGCTTTTTTTTTTGCACATAACCAAACCCCCAACCGAACCCAATCCAATCCAATCCAATTAAAATGAAGAGAGAGAAAAAGAAAAAGAAAAAAAGAAACTTGGTTTTGCGCGCAAATCTCCCTCTCTAGTCTCATATCAATGTGATGAGAAAAGGAGCTGACGACCTCTTGTGTTATTTTTTGTGTGTGTGTGTGTGTGTGTGTGTGTGTGTGTGTGTGTGTGTGTGTGTGTGTGTTCGCAAGAGCCATGTATATATGTAATAAGAACAGGTCCACCCCTGGAGAAGGAAAGTGAATTTCATAAATATAAGGAATGGTTCGTATAATACAAACTCAGACGTGAATGAGTCAAGTTTGGGTATCATGAAAGGAAAAGAAAAAGAAAAAGGAAAAGGAAAAAGAAAAAAAAAAAAGGTAGGTTCATTTGTCGGCAAAGCGTCGATCAAAGTAACGAAGAACACCCATGACACTCGCAGCTTCGACTTCAATGGCAGCTCTAGAGCTGGTGCCGACGTCTTTGGGATTCGGAAGGGTATGCAGTTTTGGGAGCCAGGAAGCAAGTTCGTCACTGGCTCGGGAGAAGTTTGGGTGTCGTGAAAGGGTGGTGAAGGCATCAGTGCAGGACAGAGTGAGCGCCGGGGTTGTTGCTGCTGAGTCGGTGGTGGTTTTGGTGGGACGCGTCTGGCAACATCCACCGTCGGGGCCCTTGCCACCACAGCATCCGGAGGGAGTGCCGCTGGCAGAGCGGGAGGCGGCGAGCGTCTTGCAGAAAAGGGTTCTTCGGGGGTCTGAGAGACACTGAGTACAGGTGCCGGGTCCGTTTGCACAGGGGTTGGTAGCCTGGCTGAGAGACGGTAGAGTCACCTCGGACCGTACGTCTCCGTCAGAAGGCGGAGGGGTGAACTGGGAAATACTTTGGATGGGAGCCAGTCGGTTACTTTCATAGTTGTTTCCCCGTCGACGCTGTTCCTCTTGAGCAGCCATCTCCGCGCAGATGCAGGGTGTACCATCCTGACAAAATCCGCAGGGATCGACCGGAGGGGAGGAGACAGGGTTGTGAATCTCTTCTGGGGCGTGGGGGGCTGCAAAGCGGGTGGTGAAATCAATCTCCATTTCCTCTGGCTCCGGCTTGATCTTGGGCTCCGAGTGCCGGGCCACGAGCTTTGACTGGGGCAAATCCTTCATCTCAATTCCTGGCATTGCGAAGGCGTCCTCGAGACATTGGCAGTGACTTGTAGAGCACTGGTTGCAACCTAGAGGCACTTCCTCCTGTTCCAGTTGGTGGCTGTGGTTGTGAAGGTGGTTACTTTCGACGCGAGAGACCCTAGCAGATCCTCGAGGTGGCAACGGTACCGCCTTGTCGGAGTTCGAAGCACTCTTGTCGGGGACAGACGACCGGAACTCCTTGACGAGTGTTTCCCGGGCAGTTCTCTCCACGGACACCTCTTTCTCCAGGGCATGGCACCGGTCGCGCCACCAGTTCATCTCGGTTCGACATTGTTCGACCTCGCGGGATAGGGTCGAAATCTGCTCCTTGAATGCGGCGACATGGATGTCATGCTCGTCCTCAATGGACTTGATCTGCTCCTCCAGTTCGTTCACACGGGCAGCTCGTCGCTCGCGAAAAGCTCTCTGGGCGGCTCGATTCTGGGCCTTGCGTTTTGTTGGGGGAGTATCGGTGGCTGGCTTGCGACCTGGTTTAGGGCGTGGGGGAATCACCCATTCCTTCGTGGTGATGGATCCGGGTGTGCCGGGGCCAGGTGACGGTGAAATGGCCGGCTTGGCAACCAAAGCCGGAGCCAAGGGAGCTGGAACTGGAGCTGCTACAATTGGGGAAGCTGTCTGAGCAGCCATGATGTGGAAAAAAGTCCCCTCTACTAGGAAGAGAAGTCCTGGAGGGGGGGGGGGAGGGAATGTCAGTTGTCGAATTTTTAGCATGGATGGAGAAGGAGAGAGAGAGAGGAGGGGAAGGGAAAAGTGTGGACGGAAAGCGGTGGTGTCACTTCGGCCGGAAAAGCGGAAGAGCCCGTTCCAGGTAAGAGTGCAAGGGAGAGAGAACGAGCGAGAGAGAAAGAGAGAGAGAGGGAATGATAAATAAGGGAAGGGAAGGGAGGAATTTACCAGATACAGTGAGTGAGTTCTCTGTAGGATAGAGAGTAGTAAAATGAGACAGCAGATAGTGAAGATGAAGAGGACAGAGGTAAGAAAAGAAGAGAGAGAGAGAGAGAGAGAGAAAAAGGTGATCGGATCAGATTAGATTATCGTGCGCGTCTCCCGATTTCGGAGCGAAGACAGTGGGGTCTTATCAATCTAGGGCTATGAATTAATCCCGTTAACAATGAATTATATCTGCTTCAAAGATTCTGTTCATTTTCTATTCCTTTATTCTTCCTTTCGTTGCATTCTGTATCTATAAGGGCGGATTCAATTGACCTCAAATCTTGTAAATTATCCCAGGTGGCTGATTAACAGACATTCAGTTCCATCTCAGATATTCGCTTACGGGGTTCCCGGAGAGACTTGCAAATACAGGGGGAAAGAAGGAAGGGAGAAGGAGAAGGAGGTTGAACTGCAGGTGGCTACGGTGGATCCATGCTCTTATTTCTATCCTATTCAGTTACTAGCACTGATATACGCTCCACTGGTAGGGGTACCAACACATCCTTCCATCTGCGTCACTAGATACTTAACCTTGAAGGAGACATCTTTATTCCGGTCAACATATACTGAACATGAACAATCCGAGCAAAAGTCAGAGCTGGGGTTACGAATCAGGATCAAATATTTGGTATCGTGGCCTGGGAGTAAACCGATATATACCGTACCGTCTCCGAGTGCCAACCGTACTCCAAATTGTTGACTCAGTTTGACCGAGTTTTCTGGTCCGCCAAGTCACCGACTGAAAGACTTTTAGTCTCCAGCCAATCTCCAGTCCGAATTCCAAATCTGCTACATAATATACTACATAATATTCTCCATGAGGAAATCATTGAAACCGCTTTTTCCCTCATCATCTGATCTTATCTGATCCCGCCTTGCCGCTTTCGTAATCCGGGTCTACCGCACCTTTTTTTCTTTCTTTTTTCTTTCTTTTTTTTTACAGTCAGTCAGCCTCCTCTTCCTCAAAAATCCCTCTAATCGTTAATCAATTGAGCTAAACAACAGAGCTTTGCGGATGAAAGATTTTTCTTTACTAAGAATCAGAATCCAAAATATCATGACATCTTGTTCCTTCACCCTCCATCCATCATCGATTCCGTGGTATCAGATCCCGATAAACGGAGGAATCCGCCGAATTGGTTGAGGTTTCGGTAGTTGTCCGGATTTCCGTGGAAAGAAATCCAATATGAAGGCTCGTCTAATATTTTCGATATATATATATACAAAGACACCAGGATAAATCTTGGAACATCGACTACGTAGCATGCAGAAATCTGCGATGCAGGTGGCCCAACGTACTACCGTAATATTCTCTCTGTTACCATGACTTTGGAACTCAAATAACTTATCTATCAAACTAGCGGACTCTAAACTGCCACAATTGTCGCATTGTTAGGATACTTGGTATCTAAGAAAGTGACGCACTAGTTAACCACCACGGGAGAAACAAACCCCTCCGACTGAACATCACCCCTCCCATCAATGTCGAGAGAGTACGGCAACCTTACAAGGAACTTTGAAGCTTTGAAATATATATATGTATGTATGTACATACTTCCATATGATCTTGATCCGATGGATTGTTTTGGTTCAAATGACCGTGCGTGTCTGCGCTGAGTATCAACACCATCGGGCCACACTTGACATTGGGTCAAATCGACTGGAATGCGAGAGCTTCACTAATAAAACGTACCTAATAGACTTTATTGACAAACTAGAGCTGCTATCCCTCGAATCGATAGATCCAACGGATATGCACCACCCATAATGTACGATTTGTTGTTACCCACACAGTGCGCCTGTTGATCGGCCCAACTCAACAACATCATTAAGAATCCCAATGCAGCTTACACCAGATGCAGTGGACAGATCGAATTCCTTCTCATGGGGAAACTCCTCATGAAATAATGCAACTATCGACTGTTTTACCCTATATATCAACCTGACCTCCCGGTGTGTCTGTCCTCGATCCCTTGTTCTCCCTCGCATTCAAGACGCTTACAGAACAGGGCAGGACAGGGCATTTTCATTCATCGGCTCCCCGATACCGAATCTCATCGGCTATCATCCTTCATTCCTGCGAGTCATCTTGGAATTCTTCATACTCGCGTGGTCCCCCGCGCTCAGATACCACAATGAAACCTCTCGATCGCATTATACGTCACCTCCATGCCAAAGAGAAACCACAACAACAGTTTCCCTCGCCATCGTTCGCTCCTCCGTCCGGAAATTACAATCCAGGTGAGCCGGCAATCTCATTTCCTTGCCATTCTTGATCAGAGACATTGTAATTGCACTATGGATAGTTTCATCTGGCCATTGATTACCCTACATTGCTGTTCTCTTTCAGTCATTCATTCTTTGACTCAAAGTCAAAAGAAATCCATTGTTTTCTGTGAAATAAGAAGACGCGCCTCTTTGTTTCTTTAACCACTGAATGTTTTTATCTCTTCTGCTTTCCTTGGACCACATCTCGCAGGGGCCATTCCTTTACCAAAACCCACACACTTCGACATATTAAGCGTCAAGAGTGATACCTGCGATTCATGGAACTTGCAGTTTTGTTTCGTCCCATTTCACAGTCCACTGTATAAATCAATTCGAGGATCGAGATGCTTATATATACCCTTCTACCGTTATTACTAGCAGGACCTGCGGTTTATGCACAACCCCCCCAAAATTACCATACTCCTCCTCCACAGAATGCCTACGCGCACCCAGCACCACCCCAAAATACCTCCGTGCACAACACACCGCCAGCTCCGATTCCACCGTCAGAGCCTCTGAGCGTGTTTGCTCATTTCTTGGTAAGGTTCAAAAATGTCGGACGGCAGGTTCATCAGTTAACAAAACTAGGTTGGGAATGCCGGGGCCATGTCCCAAACCCAGTGGGAGCGCGACATCATCGAGGCTCAGAAATCTCATATTGACGGATTTGCTTTGAATGTAGCCCCGCAGGATGGATACACGGACCGTGTTCTGCAAACCGCTTACGACGCTGCTGAGAAGATCGGTAACTTCTCATTGTTCATTGCATTTGACTATGGATCCGGCGGGCCGTGGCCACCAGACAGGGTGATCACCATAATCAACACCTACAAGAATCGACGAGCGCAGTATCTTTACAACGGAAAGCCTTTGGTTTCGACCTTCGAGGGCGTTGCAAATGCAGCTGATTGGCCGAATATTAAGAACGCCACCGGTTGTATGTTTATGCCATGCTGGACCAGCCTTGCACCCTCGGGCCTGCACACTGTCCAGGACAAGATTGATGGCGCTTTCAGTTGGGATGCCTGGCCAGTGGGTGCAGAAGACAAGAACATGTCGAGCGACAAGGCATGGATAGACGCGTTGCACGGCAAACCATATATGATGGCCGTTGCTCCTTGGTTCTATACGAACCTACCTCAGTGGAACAAGAATTGGCTTTGGCGTGGCGATGATCTATGGCACTATCGCTGGAGACAGGTGATGGAGTTGCAGCCATCTCTCGTTCAGGTAAAAATATCTATCCATTCTTTGCTATCGGCCGCTAACCCTTGCCCCTGGTAGATCCTCAGCTGGAATGACTATGGAGAGACCCATTATATTGGGCCAATCTACGAGCCAGGGATCCCCGATGGCGCCGCTCCTTATGTAAATCCTTGTCCTCATGATGCATGGCGCACCCTCCTCCCGCATTATATTGATGCGTATCGCCGGCAAAACGCAATGAACCGAGAAAGAATCTCAGATCCGAGCGCGGTGACTTCGTACCGCCCCAAGCTTCCGATCTCGTACACCGACAAGATAGTGTACTGGTATAGATTGAATCCTAGCCACTCCGGAAGCGCGAATGGAACAACAGGCAATAACCCCAAGATGGGTCAGCCGGAGTTGAAGCCAGGAGAGGTGTCGCAGGATCGAGTTTTTGTCAGCGTGTTAGTGACCCAGCCGAGCGACGTGTATGTACAAATTGGACAAGCGACACCAACCGTTCTTCTGGCCGGTGAACCGGGTGTAAACCACTACTCTGTGCCTTTTCATGGACAGACGGGACCGGTGAGAATGATGATCGCCCGACAAGGTCGGGAGATTGTAGCGACGATGGGGCCTGCCATAACGGAACAGTGTACAGATGGGAACGTGAATTGGAACGCCTATGTGGGAACCAGTGACTAGCATGATATTTCTATTTTAAACAATACCATACATACTCTGTGTTATTTGTTGTTGTCGCTATTGGTAGTGTGGAGAGTAACTATCCCAGCCACGGCTTTTTAGTTATGTATTTCTCATCTCCAAATGCGGAGAAGCTGAGTCAACTTCTCTCTCTCTCTCTCTCTCTCTCTCTCTGTCCGTCTCCTTCTCTCTCCATCATCCTCGATTCTTTTCGCTATTCTCTCCACTCCTGCCATCAATTAGAATCCGATAGACTCTATTCCACATCAACTACCCAAGATGACCAAGAAAATTGCCATTGATTCTTCGTCTCCCCTGGCTTATCGCCCCTATGGCCAGCTCCCGGAGCCCCTCCACTATCACCAACACCAGCCTCCTGTCCCTACCACGCCGTCTGTACCACGCTCCAAGGTGGTACTAGAGTCCATTAACCCCGATGATTATGCGCAGCCATACTGCGACTTTATGACCAACCATCCCACCATTTTTCACGCCGTTGACGGCTTCTCCAAGGAACTCGAGAGCAAAGGCTACAAGTACCTATCCGAGCGGGAAGCCTGGACGTCGAAGCTCGAACGGGGAGGCAAATACTACACTACACGTAATGGGAGTGCCATCATCGCTTTCTCCGTTGGCAAGGACTATCAGAGCGGCAACGGTGTCGCGGTTGTGGCCGGCCACATCGACGCCCTCACCGCCAAACTGAAGCCCGTCTCCAAGCTTCCCTCGAAAGTGGGATATGCGCAGCTCGGTGTTGCTCCGTATGCCGGTGCCCTGGGCAAGACATGGTGGGACCGTGACCTTTCCATTGGGGGTAAGGTCCTAGTCCGAAACGCCAGCACTGGCAAGGTCGAGGCCAAGCTGGTTAAGCTCGACTGGCCGATCGCGCGCATCCCGTCGCTGGCAGAGCATTTCGGGGCGCCCGCCCAAGGCCCGTTCAACAAGGAGACGCAGATGGTGCCCATCATTGGGGTTGACAACTCCGATCTCTTCCAGAGCCAGCAAACATCAACAACCACAGCTGACAATGGCATCGAACCCGGCACTTTCGCCGCCACGCAGCCCGCTAAACTCATCCACGTCATCTCCAAGGAACTGGGCATCACAGACTACAGCAGCATTCTCAACTGGGAGCTAGAGCTATATGACAGCCAGCCGGCTTGCCTGGGCGGTCTCGACAAGGATCTGATCTTTGCCGGCCGCATCGACGACAAGCTGTGCTGCTACGCCGCGCACCAGGCCCTGCTCGCCTCCCCCGACAGCACCTCCTCCTCCTCCGTCAAAATGGTCGGCATGTTTGACGACGAGGAAATCGGCAGTCTCCTCCGCCAGGGGGCCCGCTCCAACTTCATGAGCAGCGTTATCGAACGCATCACCCAATCCTTTGTTCCCGTCACCTCCTCTTACGGCCCCGATCTCCTCGCCCAAACCGTCGCAAACAGCTTCTTCGTCTCTTCCGACGTCATCCACGCTGTCAACCCCAACTTCGCCAACGTCTACCTGGAAAACCACATGCCCCGCCTCAACGTCGGCGTCACAGTCTCGGCAGACTCCAACGGCCACATGACCACCGACAGCGTGAGCCACGGCTTCATCAAGCGTGTCGCCGAGCGTTGCGGCGCTACCCTGCAGGTCTTCCAGATCCGAAACGACTCGCGCAGTGGCGGCACCATCGGACCCATGACGAGCTCGCGGATCGGCATGAGAGCCGTTGATGTGGGGATTCCACAACTAAGCATGCATAGTATTCGGGCAACGACAGGACGACTCGACCCTGGTTTGGGTGTGAAACTCTTCAAGGGATTCTTTGATTACTTTGAGGATGTGGATAAGGAGTTTGTTGATTTTTAAATTACTTTTTTTTTCCTTTTTTTGGTGAGGGGTTCAAGTTTCTAGATTTCGCTTTAGCTTGGGAATATGGCATGGCTGTCATGAGTGGAAGGGTATGTTGTTATATTATATTATATTATATATTAGATTAGATTAAGAGAGAATCAGAAACACACACACACACTTATAGAGAGAGAGAGAGAGAGAGAGAGAAAGTAAGGTAAATAATAAGAAAACAAGTCAATCATTCCTGGCATCATCATAGAAGCGAGCGATAGTCTTAATAGAAAGTAAGTAGATATGAACATGTAACCAAAAGAAAGAAAACACAAAATGGTCAAAAGTGATCGCATCCTCAAAGTCAACCACGGTCCAAGACTCGCTCGAATTAGTGCATCAGATCAGGTACGAGTAACTCTAGTGCTGTGGTAATTGTAATGGGAGGTACCGCATCAATCAATGAACAGGTAGGTACCAGGTGTGAAAATTGAATGGAATTATATTAGTAGTTATATATATACGCATTAGCAAGCAAGCAATAATTCAAACACCCTCCCTCGCTGTATCAGTCGAAGAAGCCGAAGATAAATCCGTTCTTGCCTCCGTCTTGATCGTGACCTCCTTCGTCTCCTGCACAATCATAGGACCCATGCCATTCCCATGTCCACCACCACCAGCACCACCAAGACAAACACCATCGCTGATTAATGGCTGGGAACTGCTGCGCTGCGCTGCCCTGCCTGCCCTACCGGCATGAACATGCGCATGCGCATACCCGTGTCGAAGCGCCATGAAGCGGTCCGCGTCGCCTTCGCAGGTGCCGTACTCGAAGTCATCGATATGCGTCGTGATAGTCGTGGAGACGGTGCCGATATCGATGCCACCCCAGAAGGTGGGTGTGTGGCCGCGAGACATTGGGGTTTGCCCGTAGTTCGGGGAGTTGGGGCTTGCGGAGACTGAGGAGAGGAAGTGTGGTACGAGTCGCGAAATGAGGGGACGGAGTGTGGGCAGACAGGCGCAGATAATGCCAGTGTTACATTCTATTGCGGACCATGAGGCGGCACCGACGTTATCGTCTGGGGTTGGCCAGTTAGTGCATCATCGTTACTTTGGGGGATGGGGATGGATAGGGCAGTAAGGTATACAGGTGGGATCTGAAGAGTCGGATATCCTTTTCAAGGCAACCAGACGGCAGATACTGGTGACACAGACGCTAATGAGAGAGTTAGCTGTGATGAAGAGAAAAAAGAACGGAAAAGGGGGAAGGAACGAACAATCCACCTAGACCTAAGATTGAAATGAGAGCCACCCTTTGTCGTCTGGGGAGCTCAAGGGCAGATAATGCGGGGATTGGGATGATAAGAATGGCCAGGTCAGTTGCGATATGCATGCACGCATTTGAGAACCATAGTCCTTTCTGACTGAGGCAGTAGCCTGGGATACTGGGGTTCCAAAATTTAGCCACCGGGACGCAGTTTAGAAACGCGCTGACTACAGCCCAAGAGCCGTATGTTGCAAGGATTCCGATCATGATCCAGCAGGTATGACGCATCCCCCGGGATGGGAAAACGCGGAAATATTGCATAAGAATGGATGCCTTTGCACAGAGCAAGGCGGCGTTGTAGAAAGGAATAGAAATCCAAAAGAACTAATATCATTAGATGTAAGTTATGGACCAGTGGTGTGGTAGGAGGAAGTGAATACTTACTTTCATTTGCTTGAAAAGAATTGGCGTCGGAAGGTCCGCACGATGCATCCCCATTCCATTAAGTGCTTCTACTATATAAAATGACATGAAAGTGAATGACAATATCTGTACGCGCGGGTTAGTAACTTCCTACTAGATAGCTCCCTTCTTGGGCCTGGCGTACCAAAGCAATCACTACCATCCAGTCATTTGCCTCCATCCGTTTCATTAACTTGGTCCGAGTATAAGCTCGAGCAAGAACAAAGCAGGCCGCAAGACTGGTAAATACGATACTAATTGCCATGCCTCTGGTTCCCCCCGGGGAAAGGTAAGACTTGTGGTTGTCTCCATCATCGCGCTCATAATTCAAATGAAGATAAGAGTTGGCCATGGTTGTGTTCAAGCCGAAGTCGACAAGCGACCCCAGGCTTCAGAATCAGGATATTAAGATAATGAGCGTCAAAGTTAGGCGAGCAGTCGGCGTATGAGTCTTCTAGAAGCCAAGTCAACATAATCTCGAACACCAGGAGAAGCCGCAATGAATGAATGGTGAAACACGGCACCCAGGTGGCATATCAACTACATGAAGAGAGAGGAGGAGTCCAGAGGACTACCAAGGAGCGGATATAATTATAAAAGTTCGACTACTCCCAGACTCCACGCGCATGAACTTCGCCTCATGAAAAAGATAGAAACTATCCTGAGAACATGCTTCATCTTGCATGCTCTCTCCGGGATAGCCGATCAATGTTCGAACCCGAAGGGGAGATCTAAGACAGGCGATGCAAGCAAGGGAGAAGCTAAATGACCAAAATCATAGAAAGAAGCCACACAGAGCTCTGCCTCCGGATTGGCTCGAATATGGCGTGGTCCGTGAATTGGCGCCCTTTCAATTTATTTAAACTTCGACGCAGTCCGAGCTAGATGACTCCCTGCAAGAGCCAAAGCTTTGGCGTCGTCAAAGCTAGCGATAACGTCAAGTCAATTATCAACGCTAACGGTGCCCACTGCCCAGGGAAGCAACCCGAGCCTGTTGGGCGCAGGCTGGTGGAGTAAGAGAGGCTCAAGATTAGCGATGTATCAAAACTTTCTTCATGCACGGATATGCGCGTTCTCGCGTGGTTTTTCTTCTTCTTCTTGTCTTTTGCGCTAGTATATACCTTTATCGTGAACCATTCTGGCGCTCAGACACTTAGGGCAAGAAGAATAACATCACTTAAACCCAGATAGATGGCGAATAAATATTGAGAAGTTGTTGTCGACAATACGAATCCGGGCTCAGAAGGGTTGTAGCAAGGGTTTGGCCTTCTGAGGCTTAATTCCGTACTTGTGCTCAGTATTTACTTCTCCCTGCAAACAATCAAGCTCTCAACCTTGGAGAAACAAGAGCAAGGGATATAGGCAAGACTGCCGAGAGCATCTTCTCGTATGTTTCATCGGCTAGGATGACTTTAGTGGGTTTCTCTGTAGTCTCATGGTTCACAGAACCTGTCTCTTGGTTCCGACCTATCACTTTTCCTCCCCTTTCTTCAGACAGAGAGTCTGTGACATCGAGCTGGAGCCACATTGGATAACGGGCATGCAGGGGGCCAAAGTACCGTACAGCTGGCGGATCAGGTTTCTATTCCGGTCTCAGTCAGTTACTCGGCAAGTTGTATGGCAGTGGTTGGAGAAAGGGAAAGATTGGATGAATCACATTTGTGCCTTTTCTCCGGGAGCCTGAGACCCAGGTCGCTCCCTCACCAGTATGCACAACATGCAAGATGGCCGGTCCAATTATTGATATCATAGTTTCATATGATGGATTATTGACTGCGAAAAATTGTCCGAGTTTGGCATGACTCTTATGTCTCCCCTCCCCTCTCTTGGGCTTCCGGGTTTTGAGCAGCATCGGAGATGTAGAGATAACCCACATACTTATGTATATAGGTAATAAAAAGAAAGCTTCTCAGCCAGCCACGGACGGCCGCCTGACTCGAGGTCGTCCTTGTCCTAAATGTGATAGTTTGTTTATAATAATGATTTGAAGGCGCAGTTGCTTCCAGACGGTCGGTATGGAGCCAATCTACATATAGCAACTTTCTCGCTCCGAGAAGCCCTCATGGGAAGATAATGGAGCCTTCATAATACATGTAGACACTCCATCGGCCGAAGAAAGTCACAAATCTAGCCACCGTCGGCCTATGCACCCTGTGCCCCGGTTTTTTTCATGCATGATGATGGAGTGGCGGCTAAGGAAGCGAACCAGTAGAATCAGGACCATATCACCGGCTTTTTTTTTCGGTGTTGCTTATGATGCTGTTTTTAGTAGTGTAAAACTGTGTGGATCCAAGGCTGCGCTGCAGTATGACGGGGAGTGCGTACACAGTAGATATTCCGATGTTATCACAGGGCCAAGGGATGAAACCTACATCAAAGTGAATCAGAGGAGTGGGTAAGAAGATAGAATGGAGATAGAGGCATATAAAATACCTGGCAAACCCGAGGCGTTGAATTGGCAGCGACCTTCATCCACAGTTCCCATGCAACCAGGTTTTGCGAGTCTAGAACTCTTGCCACAATATGTCCCACAAACAAGCTATCACATCGACTTTGTGGAAGTGGCTGGCTCTCTATAGGCATATGGGACTTTTCGAAGGCTGTGGCGAGCCTCATGCCGTACACGACCATAACCCGAACTTTTCCGCAATGTTCTGTTTGAACACAACAGGCGTATAGTCTTCCTAACCAGTCCGAGATTTGCAAGACGGTCTAGCACTGGTATACTAGTATTAGGCTCTAGGACCTCTCATTGTAACTGAATAGGGTTGCTAAGATGGGGACATGAATCCTTAGAAACTGATTTTGTTGACGGCCAATTGTCGCGTCAAGAACTGGGAGAAGTAAACCAAGTTTTAGTTTATATATGATGATTTTCAGATTGAGATAGAGCAGCAGAAGACGCTTTCAACATTCAAAACTGATTGAAGCTTTCTTGGAAACATAACTAACCTTTGAATGTGGAAGTTGACAATGCGTGGAGATTTGTATACCAGATGAATCCGAAGAGAAGGGCGATAAGGCTAAGATAAGTATACATAACGCACAGACCAGCTAAAAATTCCAGTAGAATTCAAATCCGTCACCACCACCAACCACACACGCCAAAATCTCAGAACATCAGCATAGTGTTATTTCTGTGTCGCTATCGCTATCTCAATTTAGATTACGTTAATTTGAAAGATTTTACGAGTTATTCAATATGGCAGACTCTACCTCTACGAAGCCTGTCCACACTATCGTCCTCGATGCTGGTCCGATCCTCAAAAATACCCCGCCGCTTTCCTCCCTCCTCGCACAATGCGAAGAAATCCTGACTACGCCATCTGTGATTAATGAAATCCGTGATCCCGATGCGCGCCAACGTGTTGAGACCCTCTACCTCCCATTTCTCAAGCAGCGCTCTCCGAACCCTAAGAGCATCAGTGTGCTAAGCGAGTTCGCGCGAAAGACCGGTGACAGGGCAGTGCTGAGCAAGACTGATATTGAAATCCTGGCCCTTGCCTATGAAGTTGAGTGTGAGAGAAATGGTGGGGACTGGAGGTTGCGTAGTGTCCCTGGACAGAAGCGGGTGAACGGCAAGCCTCCCATGAAGGAGTCGGAGAAGCCGGTGGAGCCTGAATCACAGGAGTCTCTGAACACGGATGAGAGTGTAGAGAAACCCAGCGTGGAGGAGATTACTGAAGAATTGAAAACCGCATTGTTGGATAGTGAAGGAAAAGAAAATACTGAGGAAGGAACTCCCGCCAACACGGAAACCGAGACGGTGGAAGAAACCAGCCAGGTTGATGAGCCTGCTACCGAGGTCCCTGAGGATGAAGCGCAGGACGAAGAAGACGGTGCTGCTTCTGAATCGGGTGGTGAAGAGTGGATCACACCTTCAAACTTGAAGAAGCGACAGGCTCGTGATGAAGCTGGTGCGGCGACTGCAGCTCCAGAGCAAAAAGTAATGCAGGTTGCAAGCATGACTACTGATTTCGCGGTTTGTTCACACTTCTCGTCTTTGATTTGTTTTAGTCTAATTGTCTATCACAGTGTCAAAACGTACTGCTTCAGATGAACCTGAACCTGCTTTCTGCAACAACTTTGCAGAGAATTCGCCATCTGAAGTCCTTTATCAAGCGTTGTCACGCTTGTTTCTCCACCACCAAGGATATGAACAAGCAGTTCTGTCCTCGATGTGGTGGAGACACCCTCACACGTGTCTCTTGCACGACGGATGCCAACGGACAGTTCAAAATGCACCTGAAGAAGAACATGCAATGGAATACCCGAGGGCACAAGTACAGCATCCCCAAACCAGTCCACGGCAGCTCCAATGGAAAATGGCAGGGAGGAGGTGGTAAAGGCGGCTGGGGAACCGAACTAATTCTTGCCGAAGATCAGAAGGAGTATGTTAGAGCCACCGCAGAGCAGAATCGCAGGCTTCGGAAAGAACGGGATCTCATGGATGAGGATTATCTCCCAGGTATTCTGACTGGAGAAAGAACCAAGCAGACTGGCCGTGTGAGGGTCGGCGCTGGTCGGCATGTGAACTCGAGGAAGCGATAGTCGGTTCCTGTTCGTTGTTCTTTGCATTATTTGGATCGGAGTTTCTGGTACAAAAAAAGTTTTCCGTACTTTGACGGAATCATGATAATGGTTGAATTTACGCATCATAGAGCTTACACATATTTCCTTGAACATATCCGTTGATTTTTTGAAACATGCCCTGCCTATCCATCCATTCAATACGGTAGCAGTATACTGTTAATCCAAGGGAGCGCCTTGATGGTGCAAGGGCTTGGGGAATGGTAGAGAAAAGCAAAATAAATTTATATCATTCAAATCCAGATATAACACCATTCGCCATTAAATGATTCGATCACATCTTTTGGTATATTATCCCAGCCAGCTCTCGACTTCAATTTACAACTGCGCAGATTCCTTGTCTATATATTATCATCACTCGTTAGAATTGGCTCCTTGCCGACTGAATGTTGGGGAAATGTTGTGCTCTCATACCGGGTTGCTGGGTGAGCAGGAGGCCGTATCTCTTCTTCAGTGTCACACGTTGGCTAATATTCCGGCCACAGTCAGCCATGCTTTACTTCCAGATTCCAAATCAAAATGGAAATGACTAGATAGAACCTACCGAGAATACTTGTCATCGGGCGAAAAGCGGGCAGGGTGAGCGCTCTTGGTGACCTCTCCGGCGGGAGTAACCTTCTTCAGGGTGTAGACCCTCTTTCCCTCCTCATCCAACGTGTACTATTCAAAAATCGTTGAGTTATAGCCAGGACCGGGAGCAATTGACGGTGTGGGTTTCGGGTTCGTCGAAAGGACGAAATAGCACATACCATAAGATGCATCCTGGGGAAAAGTCAGAAATTTGCGACAAAAGGAAGATAACTTTAATATGTAACACTCACTTTACTGATTTTTTTCTTTCGATAAACCACGAAATCCGGGAGTTTGCGCTGGAGCTGTTCCTGATGAGAATCTTCAATGCGATGTAGGAAAATTTTCGGGGACGACGATATGCGCACGGACCAGACCAGAGCAGAGGGCTTCGGTCGGCGTGCTGAGTCATCCACTTGTGCCTTTTTAATCGCTTCGAGCTTTTCGAAATTTTTACTTCCGCAACCCACCTGAGAAAACAAAAGTCGAAACAGCAATGATGACTGGGGTAAAAGGATGAAAATGATGAAGCCCATCCAGCTCCAGTTATTAACATGATACTTGACGAGTCTCCTGTTGTTCAATACTAACTGTATCTAATCCTCAGCAAAGCTCATCGCTGTCTTGGGCTTGATTTCCAGAAAGAAAGCTTCTCTGGTAAGCTTCAGCCTGTAACTGGCTCGGTTCTGAAAAGAAGTGCTTGCAGTGTCTCCGGTGATGACTCCTTTATTGAAGCTCAGGCAATGGCATCTTGATTTCTTCGCTGTTGTCAATGACTGCTGTCTTTAGACTACAACGGTATCTGAGGAGAATCACTGCAATCGCTTGTTTTGGACATGGGCCCTAGTTGTTTGTACCTAGCAATGAAGAGTATCCTTGCTAACTCTTCACCCCGTAGTAGACTCTGAACAAATTCAATTCAATTATGACTATTTAATATGGCTTCTCAACCTAATTCAACTACCGCTTCCTCTTCGCGGGACGCTTCTGCTCCTGTTTCTGCTAAGAATCGTCCCCCTAGACCCCCAAGGCCAAATTACAGACATATCCACCGTTTCCCTCTCCCTCTGAGTGTCCATCCTCTGCCTCCTCTGATCCCGCATAATCCCCTTTCTATCATCAGTGTGCTGCTCTCGTATTTGACGTACGTCATTGCCCCTCCGCAGGATGAAGTCTACTCTGCCTATTTTGATTCAGAGGCCTCGTCAGTGCATGTCACCGATGAGAAGACGGTGCGTGCACTCTGGGAGATGGGATTTTTCGGCAAAGGAAGTCTGAGTCGAAGCGAACCTAGTTGGCTAGAACGGGAAAAGAAGCGGAGGGGCTTACTTGGGGGTGTAACAAGCGAAGAAGTTACTCGTCAACGGAGGGCCGAGCGTCGCGACTTGAAACTGGAAAGAGCAAGGATGGAGAAGCTCGCTATCGAGCAAAGGCTTCAAGCTGAAGCAGCTGCAAGAGAAGCTAGTACTCCACTAGACGACCAGTCCTCGCTGCCACCGTCCGCAGATGGTGTCACCAATGGCACAATCCCATCTGTAGAAAAATTCTCTTTGAGGAAAGCGAAAGAAGCCAAAACTCTCGGTGCACAGAGACCTGTAGCACAAGAACACGAGAATGAAGGCAAGGCCGTCCAATTTTCCACCCCAGTCGGGACCCAAGAATTTATTTCAAATCCATCTTCTCTACACGCTCCAGATTCAAGTGGTAATGGGCCAGGGCCGGCGGAGGAAGCCACGTTACAAAACGAAGAGCACCTACAGCTGTCCAACGAGGAAGCATTCTTCCTAGTATACGGGCTCGGCGCCTTGCATGTCTTTGACAACGAGAACCAAACCGTTCTATCTCCTAATTCCCTTCTCTCGCTCTTTTGTCATCATTCATACTCTCCGCCTCGGGAGCCCTCTTCACATTTGAAGACTGATGACCCCTTTTTGGTATCTTATGTCGTGTACCACCATTTCCGCTCATTGGGGTGGGTTGTGCGTTCCGGAGTAAAATTCGGAGTGGACTATCTTCTTTACAACCGCGGTCCTGTTTTTTCGCATGCAGAGTTCGCCATCGTGGTTATCCCATCATATGATCACCCTTACTGGTCAGAAAGCCAAGATCGTAAGGCAGAGTGTGCCGGGAAACAGGCACGCAGCTGGTGGTGGTTACATTGTGTTAATCGTGTTCAAGCTCAAGTGAGGAAGAGCCTGGTTGTTTGCTACGTGGAGATTCCCCCTCCAGCCTGCTCTGAGCTGAACTCCTCGTCGACTACTGTTGACGATATCGGAGCCTTGCTGGGCCGCTATAAAGTGAGAGAGTTGATCATCAAGCGCTGGGTACCGAATCGCTCCCGGGACTGATCTTGATGGCTTGTTTTATATGCTGCATGCATTGGGGATCCGTCCCGACTGATAGCCTGTGTCTTTCGATGTACTAAAGATGAATGTGTTGACCAATATTATACTGTATCAGGACGAAATGGTCGTCTAGACACCTTTTTGGCCGATCGGTAAAGTTTGACAGAATGTAACTATATATGTAACATGAACCCTCTCTGTGCTTCAATATCTTAAAGCGCAAACCAACAAGCCTTATTTCATGATTTCTCTTTTCCAAACATGTAAATATCCCTCCCATTTCTCCCTCATCTGCTAAATTCCCTCTGCTTCATGAACCTGCTCCCAAAATTTCTTCGATCGACCCTAATCCCGTTGTAGTAATATTACATATAGTCACGTGACCGACGCGTTTCGCGTTCAGTGGTTCCGTCCATGAAGGCATCGTGGGATGCGATTTGCTTAATTTACAAGACGTCGCGGACGCTGTTGCTGGGGTAAAGGAGGCATCCGAAAAATGCGAGTTTTTAACCAATTTATATCGGTATCAGTGGGTTAGAAGCGACTATGGAGACCCAAGAGGACAGCATCGATTTCGCGAGGCTGCAACGCGTCGCGCTGGGATTAGTGAGTGACAGGTTGATCTGTGGCAGCGATTCTCATACTAACCATCCCGCGTTATTTCGCCTAGGAATCTATCCCATCGCAGTCTTTCTTGTCTGACCCTCCAGCGTTCGAAGGTGCTCCTCCTTCTTATGGTGATCAGAGAGTCCAACAACAGCCAGCTGGTCGTGTATCAAGATTGGCTGCCAAGGAGGCTATTCAGAAGTCCCCTTTCGATCAATGTTCCAGACCGGAAGAAGAAAAACTTAATGCCATAGTCTCGACGACGGATTCCACCAAGCAAGATCCTGAACAAACCAAACGACGCTCTAGTCCTGGCGTACATCCTTCAAAAATGGGCCCCGCCGACACCCTCCCCTCGGACACCCAAATCATTTCACAATCGGTATATGATGAGATTATCCGGCAAAACAAAGAAACCGGCAACAATGTGGTGGATAGTAATCTTGGGGATCGAGCAACGCTCATGACGCTGCATGAAGGGGATAGCGGCCACATTGATCTGCTTTCTGGATTCGATGCTACCAACGGTGGCCACATACCCAACACTGATGAGGTGGACGACCAGAGCAGCTCCAAATTAGGCGAATCTTCTCCTATCGTTTACGAACCCAATTTTTTCCCTGAGTCTCAGCGGTTCATGGTAAAGACCCCTGCGACGGCAGTCAAGCGGAGCCACAGCGATGGTGCTGCTACGATATCTCCTCTGGTCTCACGCAACCCCCTGGTGCCGGACCTTGAGGTAGGTAGTGGAGTTATGGCATTGAGCCAGGTGTTTACAGCAACTCAAGCACCGTCTTCTCCTCTGGTCAACGGCTTGCAGTCGGATTTTATGTCAGACCGTCCGTCGCCGAATATCCCTATCCAGAATCGTCCAGTCGCACCCTCGCTTTCCTCTCCTTTCAACACTCTTGCAGCCACATTCCCGCGGGACTCATCAGATACGCAGCTTAACTACGTCACAATGAAAGAATCACAAGCAAACCGAGATAATGTTCTGAACGAAAGACTGACGCGTTCTGCGAACCACATATATTCTGAGGATCAAAGCGACGGAGAATTTGACAAGGAACCTAGCTTTATTGAGCGCATGAGACGCCAGAGGAAAATTGATGAAGAAGCCACTGCACAGTTTGCTACTCTTACAGCTCCCGCAAGACAGTCTAATCGCCGCGGGAGACAAGTAAATACAGACGCCGCGCCAGAACAGGAAAACTGGGCGGATAAGCCCACAATGGATCCTGCTCCAGAAGACGAACTCCAGGGCTCCGCATCTGAACTACAGATTGGGGGAACTAGCGAAGAGGAGACGGAGCAAGAAGAGGACTTACCAGAACCTATCCCTCGATCCCAAGTGCCGAATTCCTCGACCGAAGAGGATAAGGAGAACTGCAATGACCCGTCCAATGCAGATGTGTGCCATGCAGCAAGTGCGCACGATCGACTTTCACAGGCGCTTTCCTTACATGAGAGCCCATTACCTGACCAAGCGCTAGGTCTGGCTTTCTCAAACACACCTTCGCACTTACGCACCAAGGATCTTGGTGGTGAACAGTTAGATGAAATTCAATCATCGCCAATACTGGTAGTGAAAGATTCTCAGCGCTCTCCTGGACGCAATGATGATGAGCAGGCCAATAGTGAAATGAGGGGAGACAGTCAAGCTCTTCGAAACCTATCTCAATTGCCAAGTAATCCTTCAACCAACGTGGAAAAGCGACCATCACCGTCTAAGCAAGTTCGCATACAATCTTCGCCCCCTAGGTCCCAACATGACGAGCCTCTGTTTTATCCTAGCCACGATGGTCCTGTCAGTCGTGCCAGGTCAAATTCTGTTGCCTCTGTGGGCTCGTCGCATCTTCCCCAGGCGAAATTATTACACGAACAGGCCAATGTGATTCAATCAAGCAACTCTGCTGCTCGAGCTGGAGTGCAGACAGAGGAGGGGGCGCCTATATTCGACTCTCGTGGGAAATCGTCATCGATGCCCTCCCGGATCGCTGAAACACCTGTACACCACCGCCCCGAGAGCTACAAAGATGTGGTGCCCGCAACTACTATTCCGGAGACAAGTCCAAATCATTTCAACAATCAAGGCTGGATGAGTGACACAAACAACGAAGCTGCAGACCAAGAGGATGATGACTTACCTCCAGTTTACCTGAGGCCCCAAGGGCGAGTGACGCAATCACAACCAATCATCTCCGACAGCTCTTCCCCCTTGAAGCCTTTGCTTAATTCAAAAATTCTTTCAAGCCCAAGTGGAAGGCAACGCAGAGCATTAACAGAGATAGCGGCTGATGCTTCGCCTCAAGTTGGGCTGGGGACATTCGATCTTGATATCAATATTTTGTCTGCCGATGATCGAGAATTTAGAAATGCCATTGCAATGTCCCCTATTCAACCTCGCAAAAAGCGGCGAGGTAACGATGGCCAGCAGATATATGCCTCTGACCCTATTCTTCCGGTCACTCCTCGTTCGAGATCATATCTTCCCCCTCCCCGAGAGGTCGAAGAGGCTGCATTAGAAACGGTACCACCAACTGAACTTGCCGCTGAGCTGGAAAATTCCTTTCAGAGGCGATCGAAACCTTCGAGGAGGGTGGGATCTATATGGGATACAGAACATTCTCCTAAATTTCGTGTATCGAGCAAGGAGAGGTCTAAGATCTTTGCCCGATCCCTGGCGCGAGATCGCAAACTCCCTCCCCTTCAAGAACCGGAGCCAAAAGAACCCATGCCTGAGGTTGTTCAACCCCCCGAAGAAGCCACACCCATTCCCGAAGTACCAACTAGCCAACTAGGAGTGGAGGAGGGCGCATCTAACAATGACCAACAACCCCCAGCTGACAATCCCCGTATTGCGCCGAATCAAGTGTTGGCCCCGTGGAGTGGACAAAAACGAGCGTATTATCCGGCGACTTGCTTCGGGCTGCCATTTGGAACCTCTCAGTCACGATACCTCGTTAAGTTCGAGGACAGTGCTCCGATTGAAGTACCTATAGGTACCGTGAAGAGACTCGAATTTCAGGTTGGCGATGCAGTGAAGGTAGATATGCCAAATGTACCAAAGGTTACACATATCATTAGAGGGTTCAAGGATAAGCTCAGCGCGGATGATCTATCAAGAGAGGCTTCTAAAGGAATAATTCCGGTTACTGATGCCTTTGGTTATTCCACCCTTATTCTGGGACCGAAACAACGCAAGAGTCTCCCGAGTGGAGGGCTTTCCGGCCCCGAGAATGTTATTCACGTCCCCCTAGCCCGGGTATACCTGGATACTATCCTATGGAACCAACTCAAAGACCGAGCATTTACCTACAATTCTGGGGCTGAAATCTCTGAAACTAGACATGAAACGCCTCCTGACAGACACTCTACGCCGATATCCCCAAGCATTCGCCTGTCTAGGAGCTTTCGCCACCTGAACGGGTTGTTTTCCGGTATGCTTTTTGCGGTATCCTATGGGGACAACAATGACATGAAGACCCGCATAACTAAGATGATCCTTGAAAATGATGGTCGAATCTTAGAAGATGGGTTCAATGAACTACTTGATCTGCCATTGAACGCTCCCGTTGTTACACCTACTAAATCTCCAGCACGGGGACTCACCGGAGATGGGGTGCATCTGCGCCTCAAGCCTGGTGTCGAGGATGCAGGATTTGCATGTTTGATTGCTGACAAGCACTCCCGTCGTCCAAAGTATATGCAAGCCTTGGCTCTCAATCTACCTTGTCTTTCAGACCGTTGGGTTGAGGACTGCGTGGCCAAAGGTCAGATTGTGGACTGGGAAATGTACCTCCTTCCTGCAGGGGAATCATCGTACCTTAACGGCGCAACGAAGTCGAGGATCCTCCCACATTATCAAGCCACAAAGGCCCAGTTGTCTGAAACAGTCGCAGCACGGCCGAATCTGTTGAACGGGCAATCTGTACTTCTTATTACAGGGCGCAGCGGCAAAGCTGACGAGGAAAGAAGAAAAGCATACATCTTCCTCACATACGCTCTGGGAGCGTCGAGGATTGAACGTGTCCCTGATATTCAATCAGCTCGTGCCCTTCTCAACCAGCGGCAGGGTGGGGGAGAAACCCCCGGTTGGGACTGGATTTACATCGACGACGACGACAGAGCATCCACGAGGGCTATAGCCCTTGCAAGTTCGACGGCAGGGGCTATGCCATCGAAAAAACGACGCAAATCTAAACTTATGGAGTCTATTAATGGTGACGACCTCGGATTGAACACCAGTATTCGAATTGTGGGCAATGAGTTTGTCTGCCAGAGCTTGATATTAGGCCGGCTAGTTGACCAGTAGCCTTGCCTATGAACGGCTCGTTGTCTTTTTCCCCCGCCCTTTTTTCTCTCTGACGAATTGCAATCTGGCCTGGCCATTTTATTGTGTTTGGAGTAAAATGATCCGAAGATTTATGTTAAATGTGAAACTAGAATCCAGTGTGATGTTCGATATGGCGAAATATACCCCCATTTCCTTTTTATCTGCGATTTGCGTGTTATATTTCTGAGCAAAATTCAACCCAATGCAGCAGTTACATTTAGTTGATTGATCTCGCTTTCAAAAAAAAAAAAAATAGAAATAAAAAAAGAGCAGAAAAATAATAGTAATAGATTGAACAGTGGCTTATCATGTAACATCTTCCTATAATACAGAGAAAACACCAATCCCGGGTTTATAAAAAAAAAACAGCATTTGAGAAATAAAAACGCTGAAAGCAAATCAGCCTTTACCGCTTGGCCTTCTTGGAAGCTTTCTTCTTGTTCTTGAGACTCTTCATCTGGGCAGCACGATCAGCCCTTGCCTGTCTCTTCCTCCATGCCAACCAACGGTTATTCCTATTGTAGGTCTTCGCGGTAATACCGGCCTTCTCACCAGCCCGACCAATCTGCCAGTTCGCCTCGCGCCACATATAACCCGGACGAAGCTGGGGTCCAGCTTCAGCAGTACCAGCCTCAATGCCGGCAACCAGAGTTCCAGTCTCTCCAGTAGCCACCGGATCCGACTGAGCCGCCGTCTCAGCAGAGCTCTCCGGCAAACGAGGCACAGAAACCCGGTTCAGCTTCCTTCTCGACGGTGCATTCTGAGGCGTGGGCAATTTCCCGTCCTTCTCAAAGACAACACCGATGTACTTCCGGTCAGGGTGTCGCTCGGGATCAAGGTAGTAGCGCACGTATCCAGCCTCGGCAGCATAAATGGTGTGGTCCCGTCCCATGGCGCAGTTCTCGCCAGGGAACCATTTCGTCCCGCGCTGGCGGAAGATAATGCATCCGGGGACGACGTATTCGCCGCCTGTGCGTTTCGCGCCGAGACGCTTTCCTGCGGGATCGCGTGAATGTCGGTTTGCGGTTCCCTGGGTAGCGTGGGAGGCGTGCCGGACTTGGGAGAGCGGGAGAAGGAGGCGGGTAGAGAGAATCGACGGGGTTTGCGGTGCGGAGATGATATTGCTTCGGGGGAGGAGGACGGATTGTTGTGACAGAGTTGGGAGGCGGCATGTTTGTTGCGCTGAGCGGGCAATTGCGTTCCCTAAAGCCCGGAGGGGCGTGAGGAGCCGAGGCTGCAGCATCATTGCTTGTTTTATTTCCAGCCCGGGGCGGTGCTGAGGGCTTGGATGGTTGTTGATGCTGGACGAGAAGCGATTTGAGGAATCGGGGAGACTTTTTTTCTCGGAGACACGGGTCTTGGCGGGGTCACGTGCGACTCTTGCTGGAGTTATTGGAAGGTGGCATTTCTCTTGAACTATAGGATACCTCCGCAACGAGACATTTCGTTTATACATGATTTTCTTGTTGTTTGGAGCTTCTTTTACTATCTTTCTCTCTTTTGCTGCCGAGTCAATTACGCGTGTATCGATACCCCCCTCCGAAAATCCCATAATTTGGTGCAGTCATCCACCATGATGTCCAACTGGATCAAAACCCTCGGGGCTCTGCTCCTCCTAGTCTCTCTTGTACACGCTCAGTTCCAGTTCTTTGAGCAAATGTTCAGCGGTTCTGGTGGGCAGGAGCGTAAACAAGCTTCTCAGAATGTTCCTAGCGACAGTTCGCGATATAACAGCATGTGGGATGGAGGTATAACTCACCGTTCACTCTCAGCTTCATACTGCCCTTTTTTTTTGGGACCGGGCGAATATGACTAACATCTGCGTAGCACGGTGCGATAAATATCTCTGCCCCGGTACTCTTGCTTGCGTTCATTTCCCTCACCACTGCCCGTGTCCCCATCCCGACGTCGAGGAGAAGTTTGAACTGGGTGAAGGAAGTGCCGTCTGTGTCTCAAGGGGAGGATACAAAGCTGGAGAAGCTGCGCGCAAGGTCGAATTGGCTCGCAAAGGGCTTATATGATTATGTAAATGATAAAAGTACATCGTTATGGTCTGGATACTGTTGTGGAGTTGCGTTTGTATACTGCTGGAATTCCTGTGTGCTTGCATGAATTGAATAAAACTGTTAGCGACAATCTAATGGACCTTGAGTCCTGACATTCTGGTGGTAAATCAGATCAATCCAATATCAGAATGCTTTGACTTCATGCCTCGTTCAATTCTTCTGGTTCGATTTGTCGTCGTTTTATCCCCGCTTAATTCCGCCGTCTTCGTCATTTCTTCGGTTTCGCCGCAGTCAATCAGAAATTCTTTCTTCTCCCTCTATTGAGTCACCTTTCCTACTTCCCCCCCCGCGTTCAATACTTTCATTTTGTATTCCCGTCCTACCAGCATTACATTCACTGCCATGTGGAGCTCGAAGCTTCGAGTCCCCCTTTTGCGGCGGATTCAAGCGCCTCCCCGAGCTTTCGCCAGCTCCTTCACCAGGGGACGGCCAAGTCCGCGAGGACCCAGGAATTCCATACGAAGACCAGAGCCTATTCGAAGAGATCCGACGCCCTCGAATACAGAAGTCAGCAATACCAGCGCCCCAGTTCCAAACTATGATCCGTCACAGAACACACTACTCTCTCCCGTCTACATCCCGGAAGACCCGAATGGTGTCCTGAAGGAGTCGCATCCGGCAACGGGAATCCTCGCAAACTCAGGAGTGGTTGTGCAGCGGCAACTGGAGTTGATGAATGTTATGATGTGAGTAAAGTTATACTTGACGAACCATATAAGACCAGCGCGCTGACTTTTCTCGTCTTGCAGTGGGTTCGAACAAGCTAATAAGTACGTAATCATGGATGCCGCAGGGAATCACATTGGATACATGGCAGAGCAGGAGAGAGGAATGGCGAATATGATGGCGCGGCAATGGTTTCGCACCCATCGGAGTTTTGTGACCCATGTTTTTGACAGGCACGAGAATGAAGTCCTTCGGGTAAGCTTCCCAGCTTATGTGGTCTAGCTCTATAGGTGGCCCTTTGCTAACTCTTCCAGTTTCACCGTCCCTTTTCGTGGATCAGCTCTCGAATCCGAGTATACGACCCTCTTGATACCGCTAATCATATCTACTCACAATCCACCGCTCTTCAGACCAGTGCTCCCGCATCACTCGTTCAGGCAACTGGAACCTCAAACGCCCGCATATCGCCGCTTGGATTTGATGAGATGCGAGTAATTGGAGAGGCCCAGCAGCAGTGGGCGCCTTTACGACGCAAATACAACCTTTTTACCTACCATAATTCTCCAAACCCAGCAACCGAGATGGGCACTCAGCGGATACCTTTGGCACAAACTGGCATGTCCAGCGCACAGCAGAGACAGATAGCTCGGGCTATCGGAGGTAATGATGAGACCGGCGAATTCAATCAATTTGCCTTTGTCGATGAGGCCTTCTTATCCTGGGACTTCGCCCTGCGCTCTGCTGATAGCCGACTGATCGGCTCCGTCAATCGTGACTTTTCTGGATTCGCCCGCGAAATCTTCACGGATACCGGCGTATATGCTCTGCGTATGGACTCCGCTGCTCTCCAACCTGCAGAAACCGCCAACCAGGGCACTGGGATTACTGGAATGACCTTGGACCAACGTGCAGTTATGTTGGCGACTGCCGTCAGTATTGATTTCGACTACTTCAGTCGCCATAGCGGTGCCGGTGGCATGGGCTTTCTCCCCGTCTGGATACCCGGCGTTGGCGGAGAAGTTGCTGCAGGCGGTGCTGCCGCTGGAGAGGCCGGAGCCGTGGGAGAAGCGGCTGCGGGCACCCTCGGGAGAGCTGGAGTCGCGGGAGGAATGGCGGAGGGAGCTGCTGCAGGTGCAGCCGGTGCTGGTGCGATAGCCGGGTATGATGCTCTATCAAGGAACATAACCGGTGAAGGGAATGCACAGGCAAACGCGTCGGATCCGTATCAACCTCCAGTGGATCAAAACTCTCCAGATCGCAGCCAGACCGGCCCTTATGGAGATCCTTGGGCGCCAGAGTCCGAAGAAGATCGCTGGTCAGAAGAGCCATGGGAAGAAGATGAGCCTGAGGATGGGGAGGGCGACGGGGGAGACGATTGGTTTTAGTTGTACCGTGGGGCAGCTTTGGTGAGGGTTCTGGATAGAACACAAGCTTGCTGTCAGCAGGCCTTGACGAGAAACACGATTTTTTGTATATAATAATGTAGCAAATAGAACCCATCGATTATTCCGGACTTTCAAGTACTTGCTGTTGCTGCCTGAGGCATCTATATCCAGTCCAGTCGAAATAGTGGCAACAAATGCAAGAAGAATCATTTCAAGGAAACTCTTTTCTACTTTTTGCCACGCGATGAATTCAAAATTACGCTTAAATTCCACAGACTCTCGCTCGTCGTTATCGATATCTGGTATCTTGTTTCGCTTCCATTTTCTCGAGTCTCCCCCGCAATCCACCCAAGTCCGGTATCTAATCGGCACCACTTTCCAGAAAGCTGTTTCGCCCATTGCTCTCGTGCAACGACATCCTCACCTCCTCCTACTCTTCATCTTCCTCGACGCCAACAACCTCTCATTCCCCTGGATTCTAGAGGATAACAGCAGCATCCCCCGCCCATAATGTCGTCTATGACTCAGAACCGTCTCTTCCGCGAGTACAAAACACTGTCCACAAACCCCCCCGACGGCATCACTGCAGGCCCCGTTTCCGAGGATGACATGTTCCATTGGGAGGCCCTGATCCAGGGTCCGGAGGGCACTCCTTTCGAGGGTGGTGTCTTTGCTGCAGAGCTCAAGTTTCCGAAGGATTACCCGTTGAGTCCTCCGACGATGAAGTTCGTTGGCGGTGGTGTTTGGCATCCGAATGGTTCGTTTGTTTTTTTTTTTTTTCTTTCTTTCTCTTCCTCCCCTCCTCCTTGTCTTTCTCCTTCTATACCAGATTGGAAATGCGCCTTCCTTCGGGTTCCCCACTATGGCTATAAATGTACGTGTTGAGTAGCTAATCCGTGGTGAAAACTCTAGTTTACCCTAACGGAACCGTGTGTATTTCTATACTGCATCCTCCTGGGGACGACCCGAATCACTATGAACATGCGTCAGAGCGGTGGTCGCCTATCCAGAGCGTCGAGAAGATTCTCATTTCTGTTATGAGTATGCTCGCTGAGCCGAATGATGAGAGTCCTGCCAATGTCGAGGCCGCCAAAATGTGGAGGGAGCGGAGAAGCGAGTACGAGAACAAGGTCCGCGAAGAGGTCAGGAAGGGATTGGGATTGTAATCCCTCTCTCTTCCCTTTCCAATGTTACGCCTCTTGACTTGCCGATTCACCTGGCGTATATTTGTCTTTATGCTGCTTGTCCTTTTGTTTTTCTCTATGCATGCATAGCCCCGGTATTTCCCTTCTGTTGTTTCTTGCATTATGCACTGCTTTGGATGCTGGCTGTGGGCGTTGGGGGTACGGTCTTTCGCTCACTTTCTATTCTACCCCGTCTATGAGGATGAAGCTAGGCCTAGTATATATATTTATATTTTTTTTTCCTCTTGGTATATTCTTCAGAATAGACGTTGCTGCATAGTTGACTCATGTGAAGGGGACTACGATTCGTCTTCATAACAGGTACCCTGACATTCTCTCCATTTGTCGGTTGATCCACCCTTCAAGACCCCCGTGTCGATGATATAGAATCTCAGTCTCGGCTTTCACATTCAACATGAGCATTCGCAGCAGCTCAGCCCGCCATTCTAGTTCTGGGCCATCAACCGCCCACACAGGGTTCTTAGTTAACATCGAGACAACCTTCTTCCGGTCTCTCATCGTCAAACGAATCAATGTCTCGTCTCCCAGAGACTCCGCATCACACACAACATCAGACGTGCGTAGGCCCAGCCAGCGAAGCGACGGCACATTGAGATGTCCGTTGTTGCGAGTATGGGCCATCGAGCCGTACTTATAGGTAGACATAATCGCCATACCATCAGGGTCACTATCTACCAGCGCATAGAAACGCGGCCCATTATCCGGTTGCGGTTGACTTTCGAAGATCTTGCGCACAAATGCCCTGGTGCCTAGGTCCGGGTAGCCTTTTCCCTGTATGAAGATTTGAGTTCTGTTGCATGAACGAAGGAGAATGCGAGAGATGTATGTGCCTACCGTGATTAGGATGCCGTTGCCAGCCGCAGCTCGGGTGTGGAAACTGCTGCTTGCGAGTCGGCGATATATAGCCTAGGCCCCGGTGTATATCAGACTCGGATGTTGTACATACATACATCAGAAAATATATCACTTGTGAACCATACCTCTTTCTCAAGGATCAACACCCATGAAACATTTGAGATATCAATCTGAGCTACCTCGTGTGCCATTGGAATCAAGCAATCCTAACTTTAGTCAATTGATAATAACATATAAATAACATATATAAAACGGAGCGCGCAGCTTACCTTGGTAGAAAATCGAGCATCAATGACCTCGTCTTTCGTGGTTATGAGCTGGTAGTAGCCAGTTACAAGCCCTTTCGCAGCTGCTTCCTGCGCATGGAACCGAATCAGAAGAATCCTGCAGATACCGAACTGCAACAACAGAAATCCAATACACCTACCACATTCAAATCCGATCGTTGTACCCCGATGGTAAGCGCAAAGTCATCAACAAGACCATCAACCACCCTCTGCGTCCCGAAGCAGACGGGATCACCATAATATATGTCTCTGGCTCACGTTATCCTAGCTTCCAGGTGCTACAGGTCCACAGAGACACAAGCAAACCTTTTTGAGATGACCAGACCGGAATGGATTGCTTCCGCAATAGCTGAGAGAATCCGCATAGCAACAGCTGTTCATCGCAATAATGGTTCGTCAGAGATGAAGTAAGTATTCTTGGGGTGGGTGGGTGGTTCTTGCGTACTAAACCTCCAGGCCTCGTAAGCATCTTTCCCAGGCCAGGAGTAGCTGATGATTGTCTCTGTATCGGTACTTTCGAGAGCCCCGTTCCTTGAATTAATGAAGAATGTAGCGTGGGTTGTCCTTCGCTTCAATGTGATGGCGGGTTGGCCGTCGGCCATCAAGAGTTGGTCGAGGACTGCTGCAAGAGTCTTTTCAATGTACTGGTGAACTCTTTCTGTAGATGAAAGTAGCTCAGGTGCTGCGATTGGGTCATCCATGTTTAGAGACTATGAATGGTGAATTGAATACAGTTGATATATATGAGGTGAAGAGGTTGAGGTGGTAGAATATATAAATTAGGGAATAGTTATAGTCTAAACCCATACTCGCAGGTAATCCATCCATATCCACACCGACAACAAGAATTACAAATTCCAACGTAGCGTACCTCCTCTTCAATTGAGGAATTAATCGCCAGAATCGTGAAAATAGTAAAATAGAAAGTATGGGATATACTGTAGTTGTAGTTGTTGTAGTTGTAGTTAGTTTTCATGCTCTCGCGGTGGATGACTAAGCGTCCAATAGTTCCCCAGATTTTCCTCCTCCAGACTCCTTCAATCTCCATTTTACTTTCCTGGCAATTGCACGATCTCGCCCTAATTCTTGTTCTTTTAGGAGGGAAATTGTCTGTTCACTCTCAAAGAGCCCGCTTATTGCAATTTCTTTTCCAGAGTCCCGACGTGCAGGTAATGCCGGCTAGTCACATTGCGCCCTGGAGAACTGACGCCCAGGGCCATCTTGCCCCTGACGCTAAGGGCGACTCCAAAACAGACTATTCAAGATGGCGACTGCTGGATGACGATGGCCGCCAGACATGGCATTACCTTGAATCCGATAAAGAGAACAAAGAATGGCCTCAATCAGCCGCCGACAAGTATTTCCTGGGCCTCCCCACGGTACCACTGCCCCTGAGAATGCCGTCGTGTCCAATTCAATTCTAATTCCGTCCAGGGACTCCCAAAGCTTCCAAAAGCTAAAACTCCCCTGCAATGTGCTGAGAATGGTCTGGAATTTTTTTCCCAGTTGCAGCTCCCACCTGGAAACTGGGCCTGCGAGTATGGAGGTCCGATGTTTCTTCTCCCAGGGTTGATCATCACCTACTACGTGACCAAGACCCCCATTCCTCCAGAGTATGCCACCGAGATCATTAGATATCTCTTTGCCCGACAGCATCCAGAGGATGGTGGCTGGGGCCTGCACATTGAGGCTCATAGTTCCGTCTTTGGCACTAGTATGAACTATGTTGTGCTGCGTTTGTTGGGCGTCAGCGAGGATGATTCGCGCATGGTCAAAGCCCGAGGACTGTTGCACAAGTTCGGAGGGGCCATCTACGGGCCTCATTGGTCTAAATTTTGGCTGAGTATTCTCGGTGTTATGGAGTGGGACTGCGTCAACCCAGTTCCTCCCGAGCTTTGGTGGGTGATTGTGTGGCTATGGTATTAAAACAAGCACTAACGCTGGTGCAGGCTTGTTCCCGACTGGGTTCCATTTGCACCTTGGCGATGGTGGATTCATATGCGCCAGGTCTTCCTGCCGATGTCTTTTCTGTGGTCTAAGAAGTTTACTCATCCTCTGGATCCCCTGACCAAGCAACTGAGGGAGGAGCTCTACACCCAGCCCTATGACTCGATCAATTTTGCCAGCCACCGGAACTCCATCCACAAGGCGGACAACTACTACCCTAAAACATGGCTTCTAAACACGCTTAATCAATTTCTTGTCAGTGTCTGGAACCCTTTCCTTAGGGTCTCCGCGGTAGTCAAGCGTGCGGAGGAATGGACATGGGAATTAATCCGGATGGAAGATGAGAATACTGACTATGCTGGCCTGGGACCTGTTAATAACCCAATGAACATGATTGCTTGCTATGTCCACGATGGACCGGACAGCTATTCAGTGCGGCGCCACCGAGAACGGCTCCACGACTACATGTGGCTGAAGAACGAAGGAATGCTGATGAACGGCACCAACGGTGTTCAGGTGTGGGATACCGCTTTTATTACCCAGGCCATCGTTGTTGCAGGCTTCGCAGATGAACCCAAGTGGCGACCGATGCTCACAAAAGCGTTGGAATTCCTGGACGCGCACCAACTGAGGGAGAATGTTCCAAACCAAGAAAAATGCTATCGCCAACACCGAAAGGGCGCATGGCCGTTCAGCAATAAAACCCAGGGATACACCGTCAGTGACTGCACAGCGGAAGGTCTGCGATCGACGATCCAACTTCAAGAGATGCACAACTATCCTAAGCTGCTTTCGGAGCAACGTCTCAAGGATAGCGTGGACTGCTTGCTGCTGATGCAGAATCCTTCCGGTGGATTCACAGAGTACGAGACTACCCGCGGTTCCCCAAAGATCGAATGGCTCAATGCTGCTGAGGTGTTTGGTGGGATCATGATTGGCTATGACTACCCCGAATGTACGACTGCTTCGGTGACTGCGCTCTCTTTGTTCAGCAAATACTACCCCCACTATCGTACAGACGAGATTAAAGCAGCGAAGGCAAAGGCCGTGAAGTACATCAAACGTGTCCAGAGACCCGATGGCAGCTGGTACGGTTCCTGGGGTATTTGTTTCACCTACGCCGCTATGTTTGCGCTGGAGAGTCTTGCAAGCATCGGAGAAACATATGAAACCAGCGAGAACTCCCGCCGTGGATGCGACTTCCTCCTCTCCAAGCAAAAGGAGGACGGAGGATGGGGGGAATCGTACCTGAGCAGTGAGACACACCAATACGTCCAGCATGAACAGTCCCAGGTATGCCAGACAGCTTGGGCCTCTCTTGCCCTGATGGAGGCGGGCTACCCGCACAAGGAGCCGCTCGAGAAGGCCATGAAGCTCATGATGTCTCGACAACAGCCGAACGGCGAGTGGTTGCAAGAGGCTATCGAGGGAGTATTTAACCAGTCTTGGTGAGTCCAGAGTCCATGGATCCAATTTCATGCCTGAAAAGAAAACTAACATAGTCCAGCATGATCTCCTACCCGAACTACAAGTTCTACTGGCCCATTCGAGCTCTCGGTCTGTATAGCAAGAAATTCGGGAACGAGGAAATCGTGTAAATCAACCACTTGCATTTTCAGGTTTCGCCAGTAACAACAGGCTCTGCACTATTAGAAAGCGCAAAGGGGACACCGCAACACTCACGGACATCTATAATGAACTTAGAATAGCGTCTAATCAATACTAATATGATCAATTTCACATTCTTCCCTTTTTCGTACCGCGTAGTTATAGTTAGTTAGTTAGTTATACTCCACAGCATAAAACACACTGATGACATAAGCATTTATTTCCCCGCAGGCTCTCCGGCTAAAGAAAGCAATGGAATAATCGAGATTCACAACAAACACAAAAGAAAAAAAAAAATCATCCCGAAACCTGGCTCTCACTGGTTGATAAACCGTGTTTGATTCTCTGCGTCTACTATCTTACTCGAAAAAAACAACCCCTACCTAAATACTCACCTACCTAGCCACAAAGACTAACTTGCTAGCTTCTTCTACATCGGAAAACGTCATACCTACCTACCTACCTACGACTCGAGAAATACCAACCCCCACAAAGCAGATATAAGAGAAAGAAAAAAAAAAAAGAAAAAGAAAGAAAGAAAGAAACCGGAGAACGAGAATAGAAGCTAGGGAGAGAAAGAAAGAAAGAAAAATGAACGCTGCATCACAGGGTGACACTGCCCTCGCAAACTCTGACTTCGTCAATGCCATCCAGCACTACACGCGAGCTCTTGTTGAGCTTCCCCGCGCCCCGGCCTACTATATCAAACGCTCCACTGCATACACCCGTTTGAAGCCTGGCGATGGCGGCCCGGATATCCTTGGCGCGCTGCAAGATGCTGAGATTGCGGTGGTGCTTGCGCGGGAGCGAGCGAAGCGGGACTTGATTCTCTCGGCGCAGATGAGGAGGGCTGTGGCGCTTTACCAGTTGGGGCGGTATGGGGATGCTGGGTTTTTGTTTGGGCTGTTGGAGGCGAAGGTTAGCTCTGGAGCTGGAGCTGGAGCTGGGGGTGCGGGTGCGGGTGCGGGTGGGGATGCGGGGGATAAGGTCAAGGAGGTTATGAAGGGTGCTGGTGGTGCGGGACAGACAAAGGGTGTTGCGCAGGAGCTGCCCATTTGGTTGATTAAGGTGAAGGGGAAGCTGGCGAAGTTGGAGGAAGGCGATGAGGCGCGGACTGTGACTGTGGGTGAGGTTCCGGAAGGAGTCAAAGTGCCGACGGAGAAGGAATTGAAGCTCCAGCTGGAGAGCCTGAGGGCTGGAAAGATTGTGGGTGTTGGTGGCGGTCAGGTGCAGACTTCTGCTACAGGCCAGGAAGCCAAAAGGGAACTGGACGAGGCAAGTGCCGGTGCTTCTGATGAGAAGAACACTCCTGGTACTGCGCCTGCAGTACCAGAAAAAATCCGCCATGAGTGGTATCAGTCCAATGACTCGGTTGTCGTGACTCTTTACGCCAAGGGTGTTCCAAAGGAGAGTGTTGATGTAGAGCTCAAGGGTGACTCGGTACGTTTACCTCATCTCACATCTGTCTAAAGGATTATAATATAATATATAATATATATATACTAACCCATACGACCCAGGTCTCTGTCCAATTTCCCCTCCCCTCTGGTTCCGAATACGCCTTCACTCTCGACCCTCTCTTTGCGGCCATCGACAAGTCCTCGTCCAAAGTTACCACCGGGACAACCAAAATTGAACTCATGCTGCGCAAGAAAACGCCCGGGCAAAAATGGAGTTCCCTCGAAGCCTCGTCGACAGATATCAAACTCCCCGATCGCCAATCCACCACCGTTCCCTCTTCTAGTGCACCTTCTTCCACCCCTGTCACAACAATAACAACAGCAACTACTTCTGCTTCCGCACCAGCATATCCAACCTCATCGCGCCACGGCGCCAAAGACTGGGACAAGCTTGCCTCGAACCTCATCGCCAAGAAACCCAAACCCAAACCCAAATCCAAACCAAGTAGCAGCAAGGATAAAAGCAAAGAACCCCCCGCCGACGAATCCGACTCCGAATCCGACAACGAGGGATCCGTTGACTCGGATTTCGGCGGTGATCCGGTCGATGGGTTTTTCAAGAAGCTATACGCAAACGCGGACGATGATACCCGACGCGCTATGGTGAAAAGTTTCGTCGAGAGCCAGGGGACTTCATTGAGTACGAACTGGAATGAGGTTAGCCAGGGGAAGGTGAAGAGTCATCCGCCTAGTGATTGATTGAGCATTTGCATCTATTTTGTATTCCAGACTAGGGTCACATTATTGTTTATGCCAAAAAAAAAAAAAAAATGGAAGAATAACTTCTTTTTTTTTAATAACCTCTCTATGTACTTTTAACCACTTTATTTCTTGCTATATGGAAAGTCATGATAATATATGTGGTTCTTTTTCTTTCATTGTTCTGTCTTTTCTTTCTTTCTCGTCTTTCTATGATTCATATATCGTATATACATTTTCAAGATTCATCATGATCATGATATGATGGCCGAAGAATCTGAACCAACAACCAACCCAATATGAATGTTGAATGTTGAATGTCAGATCCGGAATCCTATCCCTAACGCCTAATAAACTTTTTTTACGGTTCCGTGGTCCCGAGTCAAGCAAGCAAGCAAATAAAGCAGAGAGAGGGAAAAAAAAAAAAAAAAAAAATCAACGCATTACTCGAAACCAGAAGGCGCGATGTAACCCCCGTTATCCTGATACAAAAAGAATTGAATAAAAATACACATATCCAGGAATAAGGTCCCAAAGCTACCAATTAGCCAAGACAAGTTGACGAGAATATATTTCCCGTAGATGGCGGTAAGCTCCCCGTCCTTACACCGGCGACCCTTTTTGCAAATGGGGGAGTAGGCCAGGATGGACAGGACGTATGTTAGGTTGCCGATGCAGGCGAAAAGGAAGAAGAGCAAGGACACGCCTTCGGTGGATTTCCTCCTGTAGTTGAGCAGAATCTGAGGGAGACGGGAGCCAAGGTACAGCGCTGCGCAGAGGTATCCGAAAACCTGACCGAGGGGGTCAAAGACGAGCTCGCTGTCCGAATGGGAGGGATGCTTTGTTTTGTGCTTCGGGGATGATTGGCTGACGTACCAGCCTAGAACCCCAGCAGCGCAGACGAGGCCCACGGCTGCAAGGTTGAAGAGGGCGGCTTGGAGGGCGGAGATGCTCTGTGTCCGACGCGACTGCTTTGTTGATTCAACAAAGGGAGTTGCTGGGGAGAGGTGCGTTCCGTCGACAGATGGGTGGAGGAAGGAAGATGCGGAGTGTCTTCGATGGCCGGTGGAGAGTAATTGGGGCGAAGCAGCTGATCCGTTGATATTCCTCAAGTTGGAGTTGTTGGACTGATAGGATTGGCCGTTCTGGTGCGCGGAGAGGAGCGAGGAATGTTCTGTTGGTTTCCTCGAAATCACCGGTGAAGGTGTTTCGCTATCATCGTGCTCATCTGGTATAGGGGTGGACACTTCATCACGGAGAGTGAACCCGCGATAGTATAGACATTGGCCGAGGAGTACGATATCGGCAAGAGTATAGTAGACCGCGAGGATGATCATTGTGGGCAGGACGCCCTGGAGCATGGCTCCCAAGATATTGAATACATCGCCAGCGAGCCAGACGACGAGAAAGAGTAGGGAGAGGCCATCAGCAGAGCCGCGACGGAAGTTTTCGATGATCTGGGGGGAGAAAACGACGACCCAGCAGGCAATTGAAATGGAGCTACATTGCTTCTTAGCACGGAATTTATAGGAAGGGGCGGGTTTGTTTTAAAAAAAAAAGACATACCCACAAATCCCACTCAAGGCCTCCAGGTCAATATTGAGATTCTGAGGGGGAAACATGGCCGGGACCAGCAAAGCGAAGGAACTGGACAGGATCAGCCAACTCGAAGTCTAGCCCACAATTTCTTTGTTGCAAAGTTGGGGAAGGGAAAAAGGGAAAAACCGGGGTTGAAAAAAAAATGACGGGAAGCTCTTTTTAGGGCTCATGACGTAACTGCGATCCAGTGGATTACGTTAGCAGCCCAGTCAATTCTAAGAAGAAGAAGAAGCTCCATCTCCATCTCCATCCATCCATCCATCATGACAACATCAAGCTTAGCAAGATTTCACAGTTTGTTTCCTTCAGTAGATTCATTAGGGGACTAGTCCCCAAATACGGCCCGTGGCTGGGCAAAAACACTAAAAACAGGAAATTTTAATCACTGAATCCCTCCCATTCCTCCTCCTCCTCCTCCTTCTCCTTCTCCTTCTCCTTCTCCTCCTCCTCATCCTCCTCCCCCAGTATCATACGGTACAGGGAGTTAGGGTTGTCCCCCCTATTGCTGGGCGCTGCATACCCCCCATCATCTGCAAATTCATCAGCCGCCATGGCCACAGCACGAGCCATGGCCGCAAAGCCCGCCCGCATGGCGTCGAAACTGGTCGCCGCCGTTATAAACAGCCGGTGCATCCGGGAGGCTGACAGAGTCGCATAGCGGCGTGGCGGGCCGCGAGCTTCCTCCTCTTCCTCCTCTTCCTCCTCTTCCTCCTCTTCTTCCTCTTTGACATCCACTGCTCGATCTGTTAGCTAACGTATACAGTCTGTAGGTGGAATACCATACTGCGGTGGGAGCAACGCGAGCCACTGCTATTCCAGTGGCAGTTGGCACATGTGTTGCTGAAACGGCCTGGGGACATCACACAACTCGAAAATGGGCCGAAGCCCCTCTGGCAATGTGAGCAAGCATTGGCCCCCAGTCTCTCCAGGCCCGTAACCTGCATCATCACCGCCTCGCGGTTGACCGCACGAGTGGTGTTCAAGTTATTGATGTTAGCCCCGGGGGCTCGCAAGACCGGTTCGCGGAGGGCAGGGAGGACGGAGAGTTCGACCATATTAGCTGACTGGTGTCCGCTTACAGTCGTAAGATCAAGGAACTGGGCGGCCAGCGCTCCGGTATTAGTAGAGGACATATTTATGATAATATTTCCAATATTTCCAATATTTTTAATAATTCTATAATTCTACTGTCTATTTTCGAGGACAATGACTTATATATTCCTACTAATTTATTGTTCTATACTTTGGGAAACGGTCTTGTGTTATAGTCTGAATAGGTTCTGGTGCTTTTATAGAGAGAGTATTCCATTGTTCTTTGTGTTTCCCTATCACGTCTAGCGCGGCTGAGTAATACATAGCCATACGGCCCGACTTTCAAGCCGCCGGGCGCAGCGAGGCTTGTATAGCTTAATTGGTTCCTCGAGGCTGCCAGGCAACATACAGAAATCACCTTTTAATAGGTTGGGCATACCTACGGTCAAACATGTTTCATCGATGACGACCCCAGCAATCAGAATCCCTTTCACCGGCCCATTGCCTCCGCCCATCATCGTCCCGCCGTCCGCGAGCTCAATATCCGGAGCAATCGATGCTTTCTTGGCCTTCCTAACGGCACCGCCGTCTCCCTATCTGCGCGGGGTGGATGTGGGGAGATATTCTCAAACTGCCATCCTTACGGGAGCTGGAATTTCGGTAGCCTCTGGGCTCTCCGACTATCGAGGTGAGAATGGCACCTACGTCACGAATAAAGCCTATCGGCCGATCTATTTCCACGAATTCGCAGCCCGTCATGAGGCCCGGAAGAGATACTGGGCGCGGAGTTTTGTCGGGTGGCCGGGACTTTTGAAGGCGAAGCCGAACTCCACCCATTGGGCGATCAAAGACCTTGGTGCCAAAGGTTATATTAGCTCTGTGGTCACGCAGAATGTTGACTCCTTCCATTCTGTTGCGCACCCAGAGCTCTCTACTCTTGAGCTGCATGGATATCTGAGATCTGTGGTCTGTTTAAGCTGCCGCAATCAATTCCCCCGAGCTGAGTTCCAGAAGTCGCTGGAGAGGCTTAACCCGGCCTGGGCGGAATTTTTGGAAAAGATGGTGGACGCTGGTGCACTTGACACGGATAATCCAGAGGAACAGCGGCGCAAGGGATTGAAACTCAACCCGGACGGTGATGTCGAACTGCCAAAGGCCCCGTATTCTACATTCCGATACCCTTCATGTCCTACTTGTCTGGAGAAGCCCCCAGTGCTTGAAAATGGGACCCCGGCCAGGGTAGAAGTTGAAAGTGATGGTGCCTGGCTGCCCACCTCGAGCGCAGGGATTTTAAAACCCGCGGTGATCATGTTCGGAGAGAATATTGATCCAGCGGTGAAGGTCGCGGCCGAGGAGGCAATCGATGATGCTGGACGATTACTTATCCTGGGAACCAGCCTTGCGACATTCTCCGCGTGGAGACTGGTTGAAAGAGCATACAAGAGAGGGATGCCTATTGGCATAATAAACCTTGGTGGTATTAGGAATGAGTCCGTCCTTGTGAAGGAGGCAGACCAAGACGGCGATATTGCATCTCGATATGTGCGCTGTAGCCACCATTCGGACGCCATTCTGCCTTCGCTTATCGAGCAGCTCCCTAATCTTTCTCCCTAACTAACGACTTGGACGTTGTACATACATAGCTAGGTAGATGTCTGTAAAAAGCACTCAGAAGTTTAGACGTGTGTCAAGATAAATCCGAGAATCGCTACTACTATTTAGAACAATCGCATTCTGAGGACAATAATTGGAAATCGGACAGGCGCCGAGGACGGGAAGAAAAAGAGACGGGCGACCGTTAGGCGCAATCCGTGCAGAAGCAACTGGCCACTATTAAAACGCGCGGGGCTCAAACCCAGACTGGAATGGATCTAATCAGCGCCAAACGGACATGGATTCTCGCAATTCCAGTGCTTTCAGACCTGCCACGGACCTCCGATCACAGCGCTTGACTGCTTCGTCCTATCTCGACGTTATCTCGACTCTTGCGTCTCCAAAATCCTTCCTGTTCAACAACTCTCACGGCACAACCCCTCCTCCTCGTCCTCCTCAACCCCATCGCTGGCCGACGACGATGGACAAGGCGCACCAACCCAGCTCGTTTCAGCAGCTGGAAAAGGTATTTTCCTATTTGCTGCGAAACCCGGTTTTGGATACTAGAAAGACTGAGCTGACTTATTGTTTAGCTCGGAGAAGGAACATATGCCACCGTACGTCAAGACACCCTCCCGTGATTTCTTCACACTCCAACTTTGCGCGCGCAATCGATCCAATCGTCGTCGTCGTCGTCGTCGTTGTTTTTTTTTTTTTTCTGGCTTGATGGCCATACTAATATGCGACATTGTAGGTTTTTAAAGGGCGAAATCGCCAGACAGGCGAGCTGGTAGCGCTGAAGGAAATTCATCTCGATTCCGAGGAAGGAACGCCGTCCACCGCCATTCGAGAGATTTCTCTGATGAAGGAATTGAAACATGAGAGCATCGTATCCCTCTACGACGTAATCCACACGGAAAACAAGCTCATGCTTGTCTTTGAATATATGGACAAGGACTTGAAGAAATACATGGATACCCGAGGCGATCGGGGCCAACTGGACCAAGCAACCATCAAGTCATTCATGCACCAACTCATGAACGGCATTGCCTTCTGCCACGATAACCGGGTGCTCCACCGAGATCTCAAGCCGCAAAACCTCTTGATCAATAAAAGGGGACAACTAAAGCTCGGGGATTTCGGCCTTGCGCGTGCCTTTGGCATCCCCGTCAACACCTTCTCTAATGAAGTCGTGACTCTCTGGTACCGTGCTCCCGACGTCCTTCTGGGCAGCAGGACCTACAACACGAGCATTGACATCTGGTCTGCTGGGTGCATTATGGCGGAGCTCTACACGGGCCGGCCCCTGTTCCCGGGAACCACGAACGAGGACCAACTGCAGAAGATTTTCCGTCTTATGGGCACGCCCTCCGAGCGAACCTGGCCTGGCATCTCGCAGCTTCCGGAATACAAGCCCAACTTCCATGTGTATGCAACACAAGACTTGGGCATCATTCTCCCCCAGATCGACCCTCTCGGTCTGGATTTGTTGAACAGAATGCTCCAAGTACGACCGGAAATGCGCATCAGTGCTCATGATGCCCTCCAGCACCCATGGTTCCATGACCTCCCTCAGCTCCAGGCCCAGTTGCAACAGCAGCAACAGCAGCAGCAGCAGCAGCAACAGATGGCGGGAGGGTACGGAGGAATGGTTCCGCCGCAACAGCCGTACTAAATTGTGACATACCGGGATTTTCTTTCTGTTTCCCTTTGCCTGCATTTATTCATCTTCCTTTTTTTTGCCTTGGAGGTTCATGAGTTTATTTTTGTTCCAAAGACATAACAAGAGACCTAGTTTTAGATAGGAGCGCGGCGTTTAAGACATGAGATAGGGTAACGAACTCTTGTTTCTTTTTTTTTTTCCTTTCTGTTTCTTGTGGAATATGTGTGAGCTAGAGGATAATCAAAAAGAACCAGCCTGATCAATATAATTATTATCATTCATTCCACTTCCAAGTTTTGGGATGAGCGTCCACGACCAAGTCGATCATGGATGTTTGTACACCTCTCAAGATTCGTGATCTGATCCCATAGTCCCAGGGCAACTCAAGGCTGACTGACACCAAAGTTGTAGGATGCTACCTCGAACCAAGTATTTTCCGCGTCAATGTTCAATTTCATTGAAAAGGGGGGAAGGAAGAGTAGCTAACTTGAGTAGATTGAAGTTTTCTTCCAGCTGGAGAACCCAGCTAATGCCGATGTGATCCAGCAGAGTATAACCATCACTCATGATCTCGCCCGGTTTTATCCTAGTTTGAGCTCCGAGGAACTGGCAGTGGACGTTGCTGTGAGTCTTCCGGCCGTAACGAGACAGATATCTGTCATGAAACTTACTATATAGAGTGGTATTCTGGCTGCTCGTGTGCTGCCATACATCAACGGCAATGTCCACGTCATGTCAAACCCATGTTACTCCTTTCATACCCAAAAGATTGTTGAGGCTGGAAGACGTGAGCCCTGCCCTTTCCAGCCATCACTCTCTTCTGCTTTCTGCTAATCATCCGGATAGGCTACCACGCTATTTTCCGCCGCCTCGATCCCAACTCAGACCCCTCCCGAGTGATAATGAAGGTCCCAGCAACATGGGAAGGTCTGCAGGCCTGCAGGATCCTGAAAGCTGAAGGCATCAAAACTCTAGGCACGACTGTGTTCTCGATGGAGCAATGCATTCTAGCAGGCGAGGTCGGCTGTGTTTCCGTCTCACCTTTCATCCATGATAGTACCAGACCGATCAAAGGCTTTCTCTTTCGTTGCTTCTTTCATTAAGCCAGTCGCGAGCTCCATAAATAGATTGGATGTATGTTAAGAGTTGAATGGTGCACGGGGAATCTTGCATCATATCGTGGATAGTAAGCATATATAGTTTGTGCAGCATGCGGAAAGTAATCTACCACTATTAGTTATTCGAGTTGTGTTCAGTAGGACGAGATCTGATCTTCCCTGCCATCAAAAAAAGTTAACACAAATACTCCTCTGCATCACCCTTCAGAGCACGCATGCAGCAGTCCTTCCCAGACACAGGGTTCCTCCCAAATGGATAGCAAGTTCTACACCATACCCTTGGGATCCACGATCCTCGTCACAGGCGCGAATGGCTACCCTCGATTAAGAGAGTCGTTTTGACATCTTCTTCGGCGGCTGCATTCATTTCAGCGCCAAATCAAGAAGGGTGTTAGGATTACCAAAGGCATGTTAACCTGCCTGTCTCTATGCTCCACTCCCTCCTACCTTGGGAGGGTGTGATACTGCATATCAGCTGTTGGCCGCTGGGAAGTAATCAGCACTCCATTATACCTTTCCTCTCTCCCTTTCTATTCTGGGTCCGACTGCTCTCTACCCATTTTCATATAGTTACGTTACGATACAGTCAAAGAGAGGGATACTTTGCTTTCAAAGGCGACGATGGCCCATCAATCAGGATGAAGCTACGAGACACCTGTGGGTTCAGGACCAGCAGAGACAAGCCATGGGGATATCGATGGCGGTCATCGAACGCGTTCATCGAGACCACTATGCTGATGTTAAGAACCAATCATCACCTAAACCCAATTTGGTTCCTTCTCTAGACGAAGATGCTGTTTGCCTTCATGGCGCCTCTCCCTCCCTATGTCCTTGCCCACCTCTATCTTTCTGGCGGAAGGGGGGGCACTTGCAGCTGTCTCTTCGCCTTGGAGAATCTTTTCTCTCCCTTTCTAGCGATCGTCTGCATCGTAGTCGGTATAACTGCTGCTCTTCATCTCGGCTCTAACCCCGCAGAAAAAGAACCATTGGCATTTTGTTGATCAGGTGTCGCAGTTCCCTGGCACTGAATGTCCATTATCCCCTGCTTCGAGTCCTCGATCGACATAAGTATTGAGACATACTTCTTCTATCCTGTCTACTACTGGGAGCACTAACTATTTCCTAGTCATGGGGTTGTTTTGCCATAATAATAGCCTCCTTTATCCGTGTTGACAGCATCCCCGGACCGGAGTATTTAGGAGACGACTTACTGCACAAACCCTGTTGAGTCTTGGGAACCTGCGACCAGGGCTAAATGGGTATTTGGTGGTTGAAGAACGACAAGCCTTGACCAACTAGGAAGCTCAAGTCCTGATGATATTGCGGGGAAGCAAGCCCGTCATCCAGTTATCCTTGACTGTACGGGGTACGGAGTAGAAGGAGCAAATGATCCAATACTTCACCTTTACGAGAGCAAGGGGTTCGGGGGGTTCCCCAGTCCAGACCAGGTAAGTAGGCCACTTCCAGCAATTGACTATGCGCGGCAATTCTGACAGATCATTTTCAACTCAGAGGATCCAAGCAAATCTGCAACTAGTGATTTCTGCCCTTGCTCTTTTCCAAGACTAATTTTCAGATTAGCGAGAGGTACGGAGTAGTAGAGGTAGTCTGGTTGTTCGTTCCCATCCATGACACAGCATCATGAGAATTATTACTATACAGAGTATATCGGTGGTGTTTCATGGAACCGGGAACTCAAAGTCTGGTAGCTCAGTTGCGTTCCAGTTCTTTTTACCTTCAGAAGAGCTAAGCAAATACTGACAAGAGCAGCGCATTGCCACCTTTTCTCCAATCAATCCACTCTGCATCTGCACTTGACTCCGAGTTATGACTCTATGAGGACTCGACCCAAGGGTTCCCTACTCCGGAACTTAAGACTAGCCATCATGCAGGGCGAGCAGGAAATCGAAGGCCATATGTAATGGAATGTATAATCCTCGACCTTCTCAGGATGCTGAGCGATCTTCCTACTGAACAGCTGAGGTTAATCTACCTGCATCTTGACTGACTCTCCATCACCCACCAGCCACTGATCGAGATCTCCCACTGCGAAAATTCAGACTTGGGTCCGCATTGGGTCTAGATTGTTATTCTCTCCGCATTTTTCTCCTCTTGGGATGTTTGACGATTTCATCTCTGCGATAGAGTTCTTAGCTCCATGGAATTGGGGAGTCTTTGCATGTCACAATTGATTAATACTGGGGCCAGCAGACGCTCTCCCCCGGCATTCCCGTGTCTGAAGTAGGATGGTTATTATTATTGTACTATTCGGTCTGGAGGGGATTTTCACTTTTACCTGTTCTTCTTCTACTTGTTCTTCTTCCTTCCTTGCCCTGAAGTGTCAGCCACCACTTGAATTTCTCGACCTTTTTTTCTTCTCTTCCTCTCTTCTCTTCTTTTTAATACTCGTAATCATATAAACTTCTCCTCCATTTAGTGTTTGATACATGGTAGCTAGCTTGTCATCCGACCAGGTGCTGCAGGCCTGGGTGCAACAACCAATCTAGATCTCAATACCCTCGACATCCCCAAGCCATGTCGCGATGTCGCTGTCGGGAGAGCAACTTTACGCCATTTCGGTAACAGAACGGACATGCTCTGCAGTCTCTCTGCTAGGAACCAGCATCATTATCGTCTCGTTTCTCTCATCTTCGTCCTTTCGCAAGCCCATCAACCGGCTGGTCTTCTACGCCTGTCTAGGCAATATCATGGCCAATATCGCTACCTTGATCTCGCAGTCAGGTATTCACGCCGGCGTCAGCAGCAATCTGTGTCAGATGCAGGCATTCTTGATCCAATGGTAGGCTTTCCGTCTTTACAATTCCATGAATATAAATCCTAACTCGTAGCGTAGGTTCATGCCTGCCGATGCCCTATGGACCTTCGCCATGGCGTTCAACGTCTACCTTACCTTCTTCCATAAATTCAATTCAGATCAGCTGCGGCGATTGGAATGGAAATACTTGGTTCTATGTTACGGTCTCCCTTTCATCCCGGCGTTCGTCTACTTTTTTATCAAGAGCACGTCCCGAGGGAGAATATACGGATCGGCTATAGTAAGTGTCTCTCGGGCCCAATTTTCACTCCCACCAACTAACAAACAAGCTCTGGTGTTGGGTTACACAAAGCTGGGACTTTCTACGACTCGCACTCTTCTACGGCCCCGTATGGCTTGTCATTGTCTTAACCCTAAGCATCTACGCCCGAATCGGGGTCCTCATCTGGCGACGAAGGCGACAACTCAAAGAAGCCGGCGCCCATGACACCCCAATCGATCTCGCAAACTCACAAGACCCCCCATTCTCCAAGGTCACCGAAATCCGCATCACGAGAGAAACTGCCCGATGTTTGCCCCCGGGGGAACTGCGTCTCTCCTTCGACCAAGCTTCTAGCTTTGCCGCTCCGCGAAACTACATGCAACTGGGCCATCGTCCATACTCGGTCTCCGTCCAAGCAGGCAATCTCGTTCCGCCTCCCAATGCCCAACTGGACCCGGCTCGCGATGCGGAAGCTCCAGAACCGCCTCCACACCACCGTGCATACCGCCGCGGCTCGACAGCGTCCGAGGTAAACTCTGCAGCTTGGGCGTATACCAAATACGCCATGTTATTTTTTATCGCGCTGCTCGTTACCTGGGTTAGTCCCCCCCCCCTTCCCCCTTCCTCCTTTTTGTTTTTTGTTTTTTTTTTTTTTTTTTCAAGAGAAAGAAAAATAAACATAACTAATGAGCAATCAGGTCCCCTCAACAATCAACCGAGTGTACGCATTCGTTCTCCCCGGATCTCCTAATTTCGGACTAAACTATGCTTCCAGCTTTGTTCTCCCCCTGCAAGGGTTTTGGAATAGCCTTATATACATCTCTATATCGTGGCGCTCGTTTAAAAAGGTGTTTGCTGGGTTCAGACGCGGTGGTTTCGGATCCAAGCGCATGCGTCGTTTATTCAGTCACGGTGCTGGACACGGTGAAATACGATGTGCGTCGAGTGGGAATGATAGCACTCGACCGCTAGCAAACTAGTTTTTTTTTTTTTTTTTTTTTTTTTTTTTTTGTTTATAAATTCAGCCATGAGTGATTATGGAATGGGTTATGGAGTTTAGCTGGAAGCACGGAGTACAGAGTAAGTAAATAACTAGTTGATTAATTGTGACCTTGGATAGAAATGTATACCTGTCACGGTGCGAAGCCGTAGTACCTATCTAGTTAGATTCTGCCTTGACTGTCTGCCCTTATTCCTGTATTTAAGCCATATTGTCCTTGATCCTGTTATAGCTTCTTAAGCTATGTCCTATCTATTACCTGATACCTACTATTCTACTATTCTATCTAGTTAGCTCCTAGTTAATAAATATCTAAATCTAATTTTACCCCCTGATATTATATAGCTCCTCTTTACTAGGAATTAATTATTACTATTATACCTACCTTACTACCTATACTACTTAAAGATATAGAAATCCTCTTATATAATATCTTTAATAAATTAAGATAGTATATTACTAAGATATATTAATTCTTTACTACTATTATAGAAGAACTTTATAAATTATCTACCTTATACTTTATTATTACTAACCTTCTTAACTATATTTAATAGAAAGATAGTATAATTAAGTACTAGAAGATATAAATTAAAGAAATCTAATAAGAGCTATTTAAAGTACTTACTTAAAATAATATACTTTTTTAATTACTATTTTTTTCTAAAAGAGATATTAATATTACTATCTCTCTTATTATTATTATTACTTTTATTATACCTATTTTTATTACTTAAATCTTTAAATAACTTTCTAATCCTAATAAGTTTAATAATTAATAAAATAATTTAAGATACTTTACTTCTTAAATTTATTAAAAAATAATTATAAATCTTAACTATTTTTTAATCCTAAATAGTAGAATAGCTTATATAACTAGTTATTTTAAAAGAACTTTATATACTTAAATCTTACTATATATTTAAGATAGAATTTATAAACTAAATAATTATATTAAGATTTTAAAAATTTTAGAGAAAGTTTTTAGAGACTTAAATTTAGAAGTTAATATTTATACTAACCTATTCTATCTCTAATAAATTTATTATAAGTTTAGTATTTTTTTTACTAAATTCTAATATCTTATATTAAAAGAAAATATAAATAAAGATATTTTATCTATAATTTTAGAATAGGCTATTAATTAAGAATTTTAAGAAATATTAATATACTTTAAGATCTTATTATAATATTATAACTTTATTAATTACTTATAAAATCTAGAAAATTACTACTACTATTATATAAGTACTATCCTATCCCTATTTATAAAAAATTTCTAGCCTTCTTAATTTATTTTAAAACTAATTTCTATTACTTAAATTCTTATAGTCCTTATTAATCCTATTATTACTATTACTCTTACTAAAGACTTAATAGACTTATCTATTACTTATTACTTTAATTATTAAATCTAATGCCTATATTACTACTGTAGTAGTACTAACTATCTAGTAAGTAGCTATCTATACCTTAACTAAAGACTAACTAGCTATACCTTTATATTTACTACTAAACTAGACCTATACCCTTTATTAACTAGAATCCTACCTATTAAATATCTTATATTCCCTAAATTAGAAAATAAAGTATTTCTAACCTAAATTATAATTAAGGATACCCCTAGTACTTCCTTTACTTATTAAAGGTTATAATAACTAGAATAATAGTAGAGAAGAAAAGTTACTAATCTAAATTAATAATCTTATCTATTAATCTAGAAATCCCTAATAAGATTCTACTAATCTTTACTATAATTAACTCTAGAGTTAAGGGTAAATATTTTATAGACTATAATTAGATTATAAATAATTAACTAGAAATATTATTATTAAGGAACTCTATTTTATTAAAGGGATTTAATAATACTCTAGTAAAATCTAATAATATTATTTATTTTATTTATTTAACTTAAAAAATTTATAACTATATTAAAAAAAATATTATTTTTTTTATAACTTAATTTATATATTTTTTTATTATTCTTAGCTTACTTTAATTAAAGATTTATAATCCTTAAATTAGATTTATTAATTATATTATTTTATTTAAAAGCTCTTATTATAAGAAATACTATAATATACTTTTAAAATTTATAAAGATTTTAATATTATATAATATACTATTAAAAGCTTCTTCTTAATATCTTAACTCTTACCCTAAATCTCTAAAGAATTAAGATATTACTAGAGTCTTAGTTACTACTTATACTATATATACCTACTATAAATATTAGATATTTATTACTATTATTACTAATATTAAAGTTACTCTAAATCCTATTACTATTACTAAATCTAAGCTATAAGAGTAATTACTTCTTAAGTTTACTAAATTTTATAATATATTCTTACTAAAGAAGGTTAAGTACCTGCTACTCTATTAATCTAATAATTATAAGATTAAATTACTACTTAAAAAAATCTTATTTTTTAGGAGCCTGTATAATATATCTTGAGATAAATTAAAAATTTTAAAAAAATAGATTAAAAAGAATTTAAGAAAAGATTTTATTTACTTTAATTTCTTTCTTATTATATCCTCTATTTTATTTATAAAGAAACCTAGAGGAAGCTTATAATTCTATATAAATTATTAAATTCTAAATATAATTATTATAAAAGATTATTATTTATTACTATTAATAAAAAAGATACTAAATAACCTAAAAAAAATAAAGTATTTCTTAAAAATTAATATTATTTCTACTTTTAATAATCTATAGATTAAGAAAGGATAAAAATACCTTACTATTTTCTAAACTTAATTAGGCCTATTTAAATCTTTAGTAATACTATTTAGGCTTACTAGAGTTCTAGTATTATTCTAGAGATTTATTAATAAAGCTTTATATAATTATTTAAATATTTTCTATATTATATATTTAAATAATATTCTAATTTATAGCTAAATCTATACTAAATATATTTATTATATCTAATAAATATTAGAATATCTATAAGTAATAAGACTTTATATTAAATTTAGTAAATATAAATTCTTCATGCACGAGATAAAGTTCCTAAAACTAATTATAAGTAGAGATAGCTTTTAAATAGATCTTAATAAAATAAAAATAATTATTAAATAAAAAATACTAACTTATTTAACTAATATTCAAGCCTTTATTAGCTTTAAGAACTTTTACTACTAATTTATTTATAACTTTTTAAAAATTATTAGACTATTAGTTAACCTAATTAAGAAAAATATTAACTTTAATTAGATACTTATTTATTAAAAAATATTTAAGTAACTAAAAATTACTTTTATAAATATTTTAATACTAAAATCTTTTAACTAGTTAAAAGATATAATTCTAGAAATTAATATCTTTAATTATATATTTACTAGAGTATTATTATAATATAATAATAAAGATATATTATATTTTATTATATTTTTCTTTAAGAAATATTCTATAATAGAATATAATTATAAGATTTATAATAAAGAATTATTAATTATTATTTATTATTTTAAAAAATAATATCTTAAATTAAAAAGAATTCTATTACTTATAAAGATTATTATAAACTACTAGAATCTAGAATATTTTATATTAATTAAGTTACTAAATTATTAATAAGCCTGCTAATTTAAATTTTTATTAAAATTTAACTTCTAAATATATTACTATCCTAAGAAGTTAGGTACTAAGCCTAATATATTAATTAAAAGGTTAAAAAATCTATCTAAAAAAGGAAATAAATAATTCCTTTACTAGAACTAGACTATCTTAAAATCTAAAAACCTACTACCTAAGACTATTACTAATTTAAGACTAAATATTAATAATTAATACTAAGTATACTTTATTAAATAACCTGCTATTAATAAATTAATCTCCCTATTATTAATATTATAACTATTATTTAATAAAGCTTATCTATAAGATAAGAAGTTCTAATTTATTCTAAATATTTTAAAAAATAATCTATTAAGATATCCTAATATTATACTAGCTAATTATAAATATACTAGTCTATACTTAAGATATTAAGATTAACTTTATATATTTAATTATAATAAAATAAAAGTTAAAATATTAAAATTTTATTATAAAAATCTTATTATTAAATATTCTAGAAAAATTAAGATATATAAATTAATATTATATAAATATTTCTAGCTTAGAATTTATAAATATATTAATTAATAAATCTAGAATTATTACTTTTATTACTAAATTATTCTTTTTTAAGAAGTAAAGTAAAGAGTATTAAAATTTTTATTAATTTTTAAATATACCTAGTAAGATATAAGTATAGATTTTATTATATACTTATTATTAAGTAATAGCTATAATATTATTCTAATTATAGTTAATTATTTAATAAAAATAAAATATTTCTTTCTTTATATTAAAATAATTAATATTAAAGGGGTAATTAATCTATATTTTAAATATATTTAAAAACTTTATAATATCCTTAAAATAATTATATTAAATTATAGAGTCTAATTTATTACTACTTTTTAAAAATACCTAATATTTTACTTAAAAATTTATAATTTATTATTTATTATTTATTACCTTAAGATTAATAATTAAATTAAATATACTAATATTATCTTAAAATAATACTTATAAGTATATATATTATACTTATAAGATAATTAATTTAAATAATTATTAATAACTAAATTTATTACTAACTTTATTTACTCTAAGTCTATAGGAGTATTATTATTTATAGCTAATTATAGATTTTACTTAATATTAGAATTTAAATTAAGTTATTTTATTATTTATTCTACTAAAAAAAATATTAAGAAATTTATTAATATTATATATAAAATTTATAAATTTATTTATATTAAGATTCTATTTACTTAAGCTTATTATAAAATATAAGTTAATTATTAAAAATAACCTATATATTACTATATTATAGGGTAAGAAATCTAGCTAGATACCTATAATATTTAAATATTTTACTTATAAAAAAAGTTAGATTAAAAAAATTTTAAATTATATTATATTAAGAGGATTATTAGCCTATATACTTATAAATTTAAATTATTTAAAAATATAAAAATCTATTTTATATTTAATATATTTTTATTCTACTTTACTACTAATAATTCTCTATTTAATTAATATTTTAATCTATTATTACCTATTAAAGTAGAAGGATTAGAAAAATAGAAAATTAAGGAAGTTCTTAATTCTTAATAAATTTATTAAGGCTATAGTAAACTTAAGCTATAATATACTATTAAGTAGATTAAATATAATAAGTTAATAAAAAAGCTTATTAAATATCTAGAAAATACCTACTAACTAGTAAATAATTATTACTTTTATTATCTTAAGAAACCCTGGCTAATTTCTTCCTAGTCTTAATAGAGCTTGATCTTAAGAAAAGGGGTACTATTATAATATAAAGCTATAGTATCTATTTAGTTAGATTCTACCTTAACTATCTGCCCTTATTCCTGTATTTAAGCTATATTATCCTTAATCCTGTTATAGCTCCTCAAGCTATATCCTGTCTATTACCTGACACCTACTATTCTACTGTTCTGTCTGGTTAGCTCCTAGTCAATGAATATCTGAATCCGACTCTGCCCCCTGACAATACCCATATATATGTATATGTACCAGCCTTAAATCCTCGCTACGCTCGGCGGCTTGTTGGGGCATATGGCAAACTAATAGTATAGTCTTAATTATAGTATGATAGCTACTATATTAATGCAAGTATGGAAGTTAGAATTAAAATAGGTATTAAAGTCGATATTAAAGGAGGTATTAGCAGGCAATAAAGCAGGTATTGAAGCAGGTATTAGCAGGCATTCAAGTAGGCATTCAAGTAGGCATTCAAGTAGGCATTCAAGTAGGCATTCAAGTAGGCATTTAAGTAAGTATTAGCATGGTAATAGCTTATAAAAGTAGATAATATAGAAATCTCCATAGCTAATAAGTTAACCAACATCCCCAGGTTCTACAGCACGGTGTACGGGTCATACCACGGGTAAAAGGGAGACTTTCATATATTATTTAATAAATAAATTAATAAATTAATTAGAGATTATCTTGCTACTCTACCTCTATTTAGGGGTATCACGTGTGGTCACGTGACCCCGGGCCATAGTTGATCCGCTCCGGTGGAGATCCTCGGTTGCATCACGTCAGCACGCGTGTTTCCGTATTAGTATTTGTTATACATAGCCAAGTTAGTTACTCCAACCCACCGAACACTGGAAATCCACAAACCACCACATCCCTCTCACAATTACCCAACCGATCAATACCACCAAGAATCAAAAGAGAAAAGAAGAAGGGGGGGATAAAAATGGCTGAACCTTTCGAAAATCAACCAGAAAGAGAAAGCGAGCGCGAGCGCGAACGAGAACGAGAACAAATCTCCCCCTCCCCCCCCCCCGCCGCACCCATCGCGCAAACGCCCGGCCCTCGCGTCTCGCGCCTCCTCGAAATCTACGAACAAGCACTCGCTCGCACGATCCGCGCAAACTCCTACGCGAACTTCTCCGCGTGTTTCCCGACCCCGGCGAAACATGTGCCGGCGAGTTTGGAGAGCGTGTGGCGCCAGCTCAACGCGAAACTCGAGGAGAGCGCGAAGGCCGAGTTTGAGGATATCCTTGCCGAGAGGGATGCAGTGAGGCAGCTGAATGAGTTGGATCGCTTGGTCGGGGAGGCGAAGCTGAGGAGGGATTCTGGTATGGATGATAGGGGGGAGGGGGCGGTGGATGGGAATATTGCGTATGTGTTTTTTTTTTTTTTTTTTCCCTTTCTTTCCCTTCCTCTTGATTTTTTTGGGGGGGGATTGGCTGACAAGGCTGGTGTGCAGACCGCATACCTTACCTCCTGAGGAATTGTTCAAGGCGCATCTTACTCCGCATTTAGAGAAGAGTAGGCAGGTGCTGGATGCGAAAATCGAGGCCACGGAAGCGCAGAATATCGAGCTCGCGCAGAAGGTGCAGGGCCAGAGAGCTGAGATCGAGCGGTTGCTGGTAGGGTTGGAGGCTGTCGTGGCGGATGTGGAGGGCGCTGCGGCGGCTGCGTCGCAGTTTGCGGATGAGAATAGTCTCCGCAAGGAGGCGTTGCAGATGGACCAGGAGGTCAAGGCCCGTTTGGATATGTGATTGTTTCCTACGACGGAGTACTCGACATGATCTGACACGATATGATACGATAAAGATGATCAATGGTGGTATCTATACTATGATAATAAGGCGTCCATGTCCGGAGAAGTGACCCATCCGTCCTCCACCATGTCCTCGGCAACCGTCATCAGTTCTTTTGGCGCAGTGGTCTTGAGTTGAGCCAGTTTCTCCTTGTGGCCTTCGATGGCAGCTGCAATCGCTTCTTTGCATGTTCCGTCCCGCTCTTCTTCGGCGCTTCCATCTCTTCGCGCCAGCGCTGCAGCGCCTCGGTAGTATGTCTGAGCGTTACGGAGCAGTATGACGCCGTTCTGCTGGGCCATACCGTACTCCCACGGAGACAGGCCAAGTTTCCATCGACTCATTTCGGCATCGCCTCTAGCGATATGGATCTTGGGGAGGTTCTCCGCATCAGGGAGCTTGGAAGCTTTGGTTAAAGCATCAACAGCAGCCGACAGGGCTTGCCATCTAAATCCTAGCGACTTTCCGAACGCCTCGGGGTCATGATACGGTGGTTGATCTGTGGTAGCTGTGTTGAATGAGACAAGAGCATCGGCTTTACTGCACAAGCCCTCGGGGTCCGCAGAAAGATCCAAATCCGGTCCAAAAGAGCTTGCTATCGTGCCGTAGTATGTGTCAACCTCGGTTCGTCCACTTCGGTACAGCACTTCGTTCAGCGCGCAAGCAAACTTTGCTCGGGCCAGAGAAGCCTCGTACTGTCGATTTGAGCCTTCCACGTATGCAGAGATTTTCTTCTGCAGAAGATCAGAAGAATACTCTTCAACCCAATTCAACCCGACGCCCGGGTCATACGTGAGCAGATTACAAAGCGTGGTGAGGGCATCCAGTTGGGCGACGGCCGTATCGACAAGCGTGTCCTTCGTGACGGGCTCAACAACCGCAGCCCATTGTTCCTGGTCGGAGTCCTTTGAGTCAGCTTCCGCGGGCTCCTGCGCATCTTGCATCGGCTCTTCCGGTGGGCCCATATCCCCCGATTCCATCTGCTTGATCTGCTCCTGCATCTCAGTATAGCGTAGCTCCTGGAGAATCAGACAACGCTGGAAGAGCTCTATGGCCTCCTGCAGAAACCCGACTGCCTGGTTCAGCTGATCCTCGCCGGGCCGTTTGGTATCGGTAACCGCCTCCGCCAGACTAGTCAAAACCTGGGCGGTGTTGAAAAGCGCATCTGCGTTATCCTGCTCCAAACGAAGAGCCTCCCGGTGCGAATGCAACGCCACCCGTAGGACCTCGACCAGGGGCGTGGACAGCTGCGTCGCTAATCTGGGATGTTGGGTGATTTCATATTGGACTCGGGCTCTGTAAGAGTTAAAACACAACAATCAATATAATAAAAAAGGAATAATAAAAAAGGAAAAAAAAAAAAAAAAAACAACCTACTTATTATACGCTAAATCAAAAGCCCCAGGGTGCCTTTGTAACCCCTCATCGTAGGTATTAATAGCGCGCATGAAAAACCGCAGCGACTTGGCCGCATCTCCCGCGCGCCATTTCTCACCTGCTTCTTCCTGTTCAACCCCGACTGTAAAACAGCAATAGCACAGTTATTTATTAGCTCCAGCTAGGTAGGTAGGTAGCTTACCAGCTAAGAATTCATCCGCGGTTCTGGGGAGCTGCGGCGTCGCTTTCTTCTTTGATTTTGTTTCTTTGAGAAAGGCTTTTGGTTTGGGCATAATAGATTAAATAATATATGAAAATATTGAGATATTGAGATATTCGAGAGATGGTTGGTGGTATCTTGCCTCGGTAAATGAGGGTTGTGGATTGATACTCGGTAACATATAACGTTATAGAGTAGGTAGGGAAAGATTTTTTAACAAGTAGTTATCGATATTGAATTGATCATAGTTAATGATTAGCTCCGTCTGGACTTTAGAAATGACGTTGAGTGGGTGGTGGTGGTGGTGGTGGTGGTGGTGCCATGGTGGAGTTCGCCGTTGATGTATTAGAGGTAGTACGTAGTACCGTAGTATATGTAGTGCCGAGGGGAAAAGCACCGCCTTTATGGCCGCTTTTGTTGAGAAGAGTATATTATAGATTCTATGTTAGTTTCGATGGTTGATATTTCTATAGAAGTATACCTAGGTAGTATTAAATTCTCTGTTATCAACTGCTATACTTGACTCTCATTTACTACCCTAAAACCCTAACCTCACCCTAAAGCAAGGGGATAACTGATAGGTATCTATCTATAACTATACGTATACTAAGTAACTAATGAGAATAAAAATAGCAGATCGCGTGGCTTCCAGGGTCATTTTCTCCTCTGCACGTGGCAGAGCATCTATAACAAGAGAATGTATTCCACTATTCCATACTGAATAGGAAAGGAAAGGAAAGGAAAGGAGGAAGAATTTGGTGTCCTTCGGCTCTCTTCCGTGTCCCCGTTGTCAAGAGAAAGGAGGCAGGCAACTGAAATGGAGGTGGGATGATGAAGGATCTCTTCTTCTTCTTCTTCTTCTTCTTCTTCTTCTTCTTCTTCTTCTTCTTCTTCTTCTTCTTCCAGAGTAAATACCTGGATTTATTTTTATAATAACCATGGGAGGTTAGTTGGATTTTTTTTTTTTTTAACTCTTGCACCTCGAAATAGAAAAACACCGAAAATCCCATTTTTCATCCCAAGGCCTCGCTCCGACCCACCTTCCCGTCAGTTTTCCTCTCCTGAATTCCTGCCTCCAGCTTATATTAATATATGCACCTCTCGCTCCTCGGAAGTTACTAGATTATTATCTTCAGCTATCCTGGGGTCACTATCAGATTCGACCTATTCAAGGTACCGCCTCCCTCCATCCGTGATTTTTGCATTTCCTTCCTGTGGCCGTACCTTTTGCCAACCCTTGACTCCTATTTTTGATCCAGTCCCACCAACCTTTTGAACTTGCTTCCTTTTGGTTTTTATTTATATATATAGTTCCTAATTGTGCTTCTACCACTCCAGCATCCGTTCGCATCTTGAAGCCTCACACCTCGTCCAAACGTCACCGGGACCACTTCACTATGGCTAGACAAACTTCACTAGACTCCGAACGCCCCATCATGGCCCCCTCCGTAAGTCTTGCTGGACTCCAAAGGTCTCCTAGACCACCTTCTGACTAACTGCAGAACCGTACCTCCAAGCGATTCTCCACCGTTAGCGGAAGCCCGTCGATTGCTGCGTCGGAGCGCACGTTGGGGGGCCTGCCCAGCGGCGACCCTAGACTCGCTGAAGTCCACAATCTACGCGCCGGCCTCGAGCGTCTGGAAAATAAGCCTCTCCAGAAGCAGCGCTTCGTCCCTACCCCCGAGAAGAGCGATAACCTGAGCAAACTGGCGCTGGGCGCCAAGGTAGAGCGTGCTCTCGGACGCAGAATGACTGGCCAGGATGCCGTCATGCGGAAGCCTGTTCTGAGCGAGAAAGATGCTGCTGCTGCTGAAGAAGAAACCCAGGCGGCTTCATAAATTTGTTCCAACAGGTCGCGAGTCGCGCTTTGCTCTTCTCTTTTGTGCATCATCTCTTGCGGTTTTTGAATTTTGGTTGGTTTTCCTTGGCGGCGAACCCTATGAATGAATCTGATACCAGTTCCTTGACGAGAAGTTTGTCCTCATATCTCATACCCCTCCCCAGCTAGTTGTTGATTGTCAATTTATGAGATCTTTCTTATTCTCTGCTTGCCAGCCATGTGTCTCGTTTTGGGTGTGGAAATAATCCCTCCTTTTGTCATGTACATATAATCATAATCTCTGATCGCCCAAAACAGCAGGCGGTAAACACAACACACGGCCAGCCCAGAGTTGGGGAAACTTTCCACTTTCCACTTTCCACGCCTGCAAACCTCATCACTCTCTGCCCTCGCTCACCTTCATTCCCTCTACATCTCTCTCCCGTCGCTCCAGACTACCTTGATTACTCTTCGTTTCTGTATCAACCTCCTATCTTCTTCTCCATTTGCCGCTTCCCGGACTTCCCCTCGCAAATCCCTCTGCAAATTAATCGCACAAGAATCTTTTCTTCCTCCCACATCAACACTCTCAACGCAATCCTCCAACGCGCCACCTATTTCTTTTTATTCTTGGAATCCTTTCCAATCGAATTCATTCCGTTCTACACAGGAATATTATTTTTCCCCCCTTCCACCCTTAGCATTGTGTGTAAGTCTTGGGGTCCTCTCGTTCCCGCCTAGCCCACCTTCCACCGGCCGGCAGTACCTGTCTGGGACTCAGATACTAACACATACCTACTACCTATTGATAGTCAAAAGCGAAGGAGGAAAAAAGTTCTTGCTAGATCTCTTATTCTCTCCTCAACGCCACATAGAGGCTCTTCTGATTGTTCATACATTCTTACTCTCCGCCTTTCTGCTCTCGAGCAATCTCTGATTTCTTTAAATTTCTTTTCCTTCGTCTCTTTTTTTTTTTTTTTTTTTTTTTTTTTTTTTTCCTCCCCTCAACTCTTCTCATTCGACCTTCAAAAGTTCTATCCTCGACACAATGGCCGACACCCAAGCTCCTATCAACGGCACCTACCCTGCACAACCCGCCTATCCCGATTCCTACAACCACACCCACGCTGCTGTCAACACCGCCGCCACCTTTCAGCCCGTTCAGTCCACCACCCCTTCCAATGCCCCCTCTAGCGAGCAGAAGAATGGTATCTCCAAGGATGAGGTCGGTTGGTATTTCGTCGAGCAGTACTACACCAACATGAGCCGCAGTCCCGATAAACTACACCTCTTCTACTCTCGTCGATCGCAGCTGGTCTTTGGCACTGAAGCTGAAACCGTTCAGGTTGCAGTGGGTCAGAAGGTGAGTCGATTGCTCTTGCAGGTTTCTTGCAAAGTCTTGTGTATCTCATCTCATAACTTATCTTCGTTTTTCCCTCCCAGGCTATCAACGAAAAAATCAAGCAGCTTGACTTCCAGGATTGTAAAGTTCGTGTCTTGAACGTTGACGCTCAGGCTTCCTTTGACAACATCCTCGTTTCCGTTATTGGCGAGATTTCCAACAAACAGGAGCCATCTCGCAAGTTCATTCAGACCTTTGTTCTGGCAGAGCAGCCCAATGGCTACTACGTTCTCAATGACATCTTCAGATACCTGGCTGATGAGGAAGAGGTTGTCAATGAAGAGCCCGCGGCCGCTATTGAGGAGCCGGAGCCTGAGGCGCCTGTCCAGCCCGTGGAAGAAGTCAAGGAAGAGCCTATCGATCTGCAGGTAGACAATGAGGTTGCTGCCGCCAAGGTCGATGAGAATCCTGAGACTGTCGAAGAGACCCCCGCTGAAGCCCCAGTTGCTGAGGCGGCTGCCCCTCAGACCAATGGCACCGAGCCTGAGGAGCCTGCAGCTGAGGCTGCAGAGGTTACCGTTGCTGTGGCTGCTTCGACTGAAGCTGAATCCCTGGAGACTGAGAAGCCCGTTACTTCTGAGCCCGCTCCTGCTACTCCGGCCCAGAAGGACGACCAGCCTACTGCTATGGAGACTGCTGCTCCCGCGAAGGCTGTTCCCAAGACCTGGGCCAACATCGCCTCCAAGATTGGCGCTGCTGCTCCCGTTGTTCCCGCTATTCCTGTTGCCCCCGTGAAACCTGCTGCGGCTCCTGCCACTGCCAGTACTCCTCAGCCCACTTCCGCTGCTGCCGCTGCTGCTGCTGCTGCTGCTGCGGCTGATCCCGCTCCTGCTCCTGCTCCTGCTGCCGCTGCTCCCGCTGCTCCCGCTCCCGCTCCTACCCCCGAGAGTGTCCCCAGCCAGCCTCCGTCCACTGATGGCTCTGGCTGGCAGACGGCCGGTCATGACCACAAGAAGTCACAGGCTCGTGCTGCTGAGGAGCAGAACTGCCTCGGTTATATCAAGAACGTTACTGAAAAGGTGGATGCCAACCTGCTCAAGCAGACTCTGTCTCGCTTTGGTAAGCTCAAGCACTTTGATGTGAGCCGTCAGAAGGTATGATCAATTCCTAAGAAACAAGAATTTTCTTTCCTTACTTACTAATGGTCGACTTTAGAACTGTGCCTTCGTCGAATTTGCCGATGCCGCTGCCTACGCTGCTGCTGTTGCTGCCAACCCCCACCAGATCGGAAGTGAGCAGATCAATATCGAAGAGCGCCGTACCCGCACCAACGCATACAGCGGAAATGCCAACTACGGGCCCAGCCGTGGCGGTGCTGGCCGAGGTCGCGGAGACCGTACTGGCAGCCAGGGTCGCGGAGGCTTCCAGCGTGATGGCCGTGGAGGCTTTGCTCCTCGCGGTCGTGGCGGAAACGTGAATGCCAAGGGACGCAACCAGCCCCAGGCAGCTTAGATACCCACTCCCCTTCTCCCTCTTTCCCCTAATGCCACACGAAGAAAGGTAAATGAAATGAGATGGTTCCTAATGACACCTTCTTTTTTTTTTCCTCTTCCTTTTTCTTTCGGCCTCACGACTCTTTAGCCTTTCATCCTGGTTCAGGACGGCGCTCATGGGTTGTTAGACGCTACAGTGATCCAGGACATGTATTACTCCCCCTTTTTTTTTTTTAACACTCATAATGACATATGTTATGTGACCCTTCCCCAGTCACAATGCATCTTAGCGGTTGGAAAAGTTTCTTTTTTTCTTTCCCATTTTCAAGCTGAGGTTTCATTGGCCTGCACCTGATGACCATTTTTTTTTTGTTTCTCTCACTGTGTTGTTGTTGTCACTTTTTCCCCCCTTCTCTCTATTATCCCTAGCATAGCGAGCTTAATGCCCGTATATTCATTATCCTTTTTTTTTTTTTTTTTTTTTACAGTTCTTGTGGCTGGCCTGGTTGATCTGCTTGATTCGCCGCTTTTAATACTTTTTTCGTCTTAAAGTTGCCCCAGTATTATTCCTTGAGTTTTTTGACGGGGATTACAACTGGATGTCCTTTTTTTTCGTCTCTTTTCCTCTTTCGTTGAAAAATCCAGATACCCTATTTTTGCACGGCTCCCGATAGTCCAGGTATTCGGACGAGGGCCGAGTAGAGGGAGTGCGTTTGGTAGGTTAGGGATGGTACAGTGCAGATATTAATGACTGGATAGAGGCAGGTACAGTTGAAGAAAAAGAAACAGAAGGAGAGAGAAAATGAAGCAGATCATAAAAAGTCCATTCAGCTTTGATACTAGGTAGCAGGATAGGTTTAATTTACGTCTCATTCCTAGTCCAGTGTCAAGATAGATAGATGCCTTGTACGAGTACGCTGCATGTCAGTGCCACTCAACAATGTTCATTACACAGTACCATACTCCGTACAGCCAACCAATTCTAGACTGACGACTCTAGAGAATTCTACCGAAAGAAACCCAAGAGAAAAAGAAAGCAAAAAAAATCTGGAAAGTTCTGTTGTTTAGGTACCATGGGAGGAAAGATGGGGAAATGTGATTGGCCCCGCGCTGGTCTTTTGGTGGAGCGGAACGTTCTAGATAGAGCCTGAGAAGGACAAGAGAAGAGAAGAGAGAGAAAGAAAAGAATCCCCAAGAGATTCAGAATTCAAGTGGGACCCCAAGGAGATTCTTCTGGGAGAGAAGGGAGTAGAATAGGAGAATATTAATATTAGTAGGAGAATACAGAATTGTTGTACCTGCAGAGTCCGTAGAGAAGCAGCTGGAAAGGCGGATCCGGAGCGTGGAAGTTGCTGGATCGCCGTAGAAACGCCGCACCGAGTTTTTGTCGCCCGCCTCTTATTCTGCGTCTCCTCCGCCTTTTCTTCTCTTCTGCTCCTTCTCTTTCTTTCTTTCTCTTCATCTTCATCTCCCCCCTCTCTCTTCTATCCAATACTTAAAGAGCCTGCCGCTTCCCCTGCGCAGTTCTTCTCTCCTTTAACTATCCCACTCCTCTCACACCCCCCCCCCCCCCCAATATCTCTTTCACGATTTCCCTTTTCTTTTTCCCCCCTTCTCTCTCTGTGAGTCAAGCCCCTCTCTGTCTCTGGAAATTTTATGCCCCCGCCTCACTTTGGAGAGCACCAGCCTTGACTGTAATCCTCAATTTGGCTCCCACAAGTCATTGGAGTGGATTTCTTGAGCTTTCCACGAGGCTGAAAGACCACTTACCCCTCTTTCGCCGGGCTCACCGACTCATTGCTGCTTTCTTCGTGTGATCATTGAACTTCTTGCCACTAACAATTGTTTCCTCCATAAAGAATATAATCCCTCTTTCATCATGTCCGAGACTTTCGAGTTCCAGGCTGAGATCTCTCAGCTGCTCTCGCTGATCATCAACACTGTTTACTCCAACAAGGAAATCTTCTTGCGAGAACTCATCTCCAACGCCTCCGATGCCCTCGACAAGATTCGCTATGAGTCTTTGTCTGACCCCAGCAAGCTCGACTCGGGCAAGGACCTCCGCATTGATATCATCCCTGACAAGGAGGGCAAGACCCTCACCCTCCGTGATACCGGTATCGGTATGACCAAGGCTGTAAGTTTCCTGGCTTTCTCTCTCTCTCTCTCTCTCTCTCTCTCTGAATATGAAGCTAATTAAAATAGGACCTTATCAACAACCTCGGTACCATTGCTCGCTCTGGCACCAAGCAGTTCATGGAGGCCCTCTCCGCTGGTGCTGATATCTCCATGATCGGCCAGTTCGGTGTTGGTTTCTACTCTGCCTACCTCGTTGCTGACCGTGTCACCGTCATCTCCAAGCACAACGATGACGAGCAGTACATCTGGGAGTCTGCTGCCGGCGGCACCTTCACTCTCACCCAGGACACTGAGGGTGAGCCCCTTGGCCGTGGTACCAAGATCATCCTTCACCTGAAGGAGGAGCAGACTGACTACCTCAACGAGAGCCGCATCAAGGAGGTTGTCCGCAAGCACTCCGAGTTCATCTCCTACCCCATCTATCTCCACGTCCTGAAGGAGACTGAGAAGGAGGTCCCCGATGAGGAGGCTGAGACCAAGGAGGAGGAAGAAGATGAGGAGAAGAAGGCCAAGATCGAGGAGGTCGACGAGGAAGAGGAGAAGAAGGAGAAGAAGACCAAGACCATCAAGGAGACCAAGATTGAGGAGGAGGAGCTCAACAAGACCAAGCCCATCTGGACTCGCAACCCGGCTGACATCACCGAGGAGGAGTATGCTGCCTTCTACAAGTCCCTCTCCAACGACTGGGAGGACCACCTCGCTGTCAAGCACTTCTCCGTCGAGGGTCAGCTCGAGTTCCGTGCCATCCTCTACGTCCCCAAGCGTGCTCCCTTCGATCTCTTCGAGACCAAGAAGACCAAGAACAACATCAAGCTCTATGTTCGCCGTGTCTTCATCACTGACGACGCTACCGATCTCATTCCCGAATGGCTCGGCTTCATCAAGGGTGTTGTCGATTCTGAGGATCTTCCTCTCAACCTGTCCCGTGAGACCCTGCAGCAGAACAAGATCATGAAGGTCATCAAGAAGAACATCGTCAAGAAGACTCTCGAGCTCTTCACCGAGATCGCTGAGGACCGTGAGCAGTTCGACAAGTTCTACTCTGCCTTCAGCAAGAACATCAAGCTCGGTATCCACGAGGATGCTCAGAACCGCTCCACCCTCGCCAAGCTCCTCCGCTATCAGTCCACCAAGTCTGGTGATGAGGCCACCTCCCTCGCCGACTACGTCACCCGCATGCAGGAGCACCAGAAGCAGATCTACTACATCACCGGCGAGTCCATCAAGGCCGTTGCTAAGTCTCCCTTCCTCGACAGCCTCAAGCAGAAGAACTTCGAGGTTCTGTTCCTGGTTGACCCCATCGATGAGTATGCTTTCACTCAGTTGAAGGAGTTCGACGGCAAGAAGCTGGTCGACATCACCAAGGACTTTGAGCTCGAGGAGACCGAGGAGGAGAAGGCTGAGCGTGAGAAGGAGGAGAAGGAGTACGAAGATCTTGCTAAGAGCCTCAAGAACATTCTCGGCGACAAGGTCGAGAAGGTTGTTGTCTCCCACAAGCTCATTGGTGCTCCTTGCGCCATCCGTACCGGCCAGTTCGGTTGGTCCGCTAACATGGAGCGTATCATGAAGGCCCAGGCTCTGCGTGATACCTCCATGAGCTCTTACATGTCTTCCAAGAAGACCTTTGAGATCTCTCCCAAATCCCCCATCATCAAGGAGCTCAAGAAGAAGGTCGAGGCTGATGGTGAGAGCGACCGCACCGTCAAGTCCATCACTCAGCTCCTCTTCGAGACTTCCCTCCTGGTCTCCGGCTTCACTATTGACGAGCCCGCTAGCTTCGCTGAGCGTATCCACAAGCTCGTCTCTCTCGGTCTGAACATCGATGAGGAGGCTGAGACCACCGAGGAGATCGCCACCGATGAGGCTGTCCCCGCTACCACCACCGGCGAAAGCGCCATGGAGGAGGTTGACTAAATTAGTCGCCCCTTCCCACCCCCCCCCCGGTTCCCCGGGATTTTCTCCTTTGAAAAAAAAAAAAACAAAGAAAGGACCACAAAAAAAGTAACCGCCTTTTTATGACTTGACTACTTCGGCTTATTTCTTTAATCAATAGAAAGGCCAGAAGTTGGTTTTTCTTCTCTTTGTTTATGTTGTCGACGATGATGTCAAACTTTACTGGCGTTTTGAGCGTTTTCTTCTTAATAAACCAAATTCACACAGTTTGATTCTTCTGAAACTTGTTTCCCTCTTGGACTCTATAGGTGAATTTAAGAGAAGTCTCAAGTAGATTAAAATCCAATACCAGAATCACCTATCAACGACATTTTTCCTAGTTACCTGCCTCTTACCTATAACAGAAGCCAAGTAACCATTGAAAAGCAGGCCATACATACATACATACATCCATACATAGTTTTTACAACTTTCCTTTACATTAAGGAACCATCCTCTGGAAGCTACTGTGTATACACTAGGCTAGAGACCTGCAAGTATTCCACTGTAGACTACGTAGTTGTAGATAAGTAAGGCCAAGCAAAAAAGCTTTTTGAATTCATCCAAAGAGAAGAATAAATGTTTATTTTGCATCGGAGATGGCTGGCTGGGAGGCTGGGAGGTGGTATAGTAGGACCAGGAGCAAAGAAAGAGAGAGAGAGAGAGAGAGAGAGAGAGAGAGAGAGAGAAGCGAAAGAGTACTGCTAGGTATGTATGGTAACGCCAATTATGAAGAAAAGGAAATTGGATAAAAGTGCATACCATCTGGCGCCACCAGACCCGGGGGAAAAGGGGGGGGGGGGGGGGATATCGTGAGCAGAAGGAAATGAAAATGAAAATGAAAATGAGAAAAGACAAAGAAGGGGGAAGTGTGCATTCAAATCATACGGCGTATCCATCATCGTTTATATAGCAAGAAAGTGAGGTTTGGATCCGAAATGAAAGAGGGGATCAATTCAATTCGGAAAAAAAAAAAAAAAAAAAAAGAAAAAAAAGAAAAAAAAGGAGAATGGTATCTTATATACCGAGTTGGGAGGGTTCTTTCTAATCACTGGTACAGAACCAATCAAAGCGCCATTCAGAAAAGCTGCGTGAGGGTAATCCCCAAGCTTTTGCGAGCCAGAGAGCCAGCCCTCCGACGACACCAAAACTACCGACAATTTGGACAATGGCCCAGCCTCGTCGCTTGAGATCCTCTGACCATCGAACCACGCCAAGTGGGTCGAGAGGGCTGATTCTGGCGATATGATATTCCACTTTCTGGCCGCTCTGGGCCCGGACGAGAAGGCTCCCAGTTGCTTTGTCGGGCGGTACGCGGAGTCCGTAGAAACCGGGAGTCTGTGAGATGGGGACTAAAGAGCCCTCTACCACGCATTCTCCGAGGCGTTCGGTGAGCCATACGGCACGCTCGCCTCTTGCCACGGCGGCGTATCTCTCGCGCTCGTTTTGCAGGCTTTGCTGTAAATCGGATGCCCATCGGGCGAGCTGGATTCGGGCTAATTTCTCCTCACGCTGCGTATAGTCTGATATTCGCGCCATTGTATAGCCAGGAGCGAGACCATACGGGCTAGAAGAGAAAGAAAGAGCCCCGTTCTGAAGCGGACGATGCTGTCGATGTAGTTCCTTGTGCTGTTGTGCGACTTTCTTCGCAGCCGAATGTCTGATCCAAGCCACATTCTCGCGGTCAAACAGTCTCTGCACTAGGAGTGTAAGCTCCGAATGAACTAGAGGTTGCACATAGTCCGGGCTCATTAGCGTGCTGGCATCCATAATCGAATCATCATTAGACTTTGCCGATGACACTGCGAATGGCGACTGATCAATATCGGGAAATACATCTCCAAACAGAGAGAACGGCCGCAGGGAGACTGTTTGAGCATGATCGTGATATGCAGACTTGAGGGCTGAAATTTGGTCGGGGGTCAAAAGATCTGATTTAGAGATCACAGGAATCACATTTGTCCAATCTCCAAGCTTGCTGATGCATTCAATATCCGAGCGAAGGGTATCTAGAGATGTGAGCGTAGAAGAAAAAAAAGATGATGAATTGAGAAAACTCTTACCTTGGGATATGAGATATAGAATGACATCCACCTGACATCCCCCATTCCCCGCGAGCATATTTTGAAAATCATTATTGGAGGTCTCGAGGGCTGCCGTGGCACGGAAGAGCTGCTGGTTCATATACTGAATGATGGCATCGATCTGTCCCAGTTGACTGAGCCGACTTGCGGGCGTATCCACAAAGCAGAGATTACGCTCGAGCACAATCTCCCCCATACTTTTTCGTCGTCGAAGCACACGCGAATCCTCCAGATCTGACCACCATGTGGGATAGGGTTTGGAGCTGGCATAGATCTCCGACACGGGAGCGGGGAGGGGGGTAGGCCGAGACGAGGCGCGGGAAGATCGTCTGACATGGGACAGCGACACCAAAGGGTGGGCTGGTTCATCAAAGGGGTCGACATGCACGATATCTTCGCAGATCTGTACGATTGATTTGATGAATGACGTTTTACCCGATCCTGATTATTTGTCAATATAAAACCATCCTATATCGGTAATGCCGGAGGAGGACCACCTACCAGAAGGTCCAGCAAAAAGAATCTTTAAACGCCCTAGCGCCATCCCCTTATCAGTGAAGGGTCTTCGACTGGGCATGCTGATACTTGGCATGATCAGTTGAGACATGCTGTCGGAACTCATGTGTGGCAGAGGGCGCGATTCCTCGTCCTCTTCACCGGAGGCGACAGCCTGGCTACTCAAGTCATCGGTAATGGAGATCTCGTCAAGATGTCTCAGAGACTGATTGGTGATTGACCTGGGACTGCTGGGGAGAGATGATGCTTCATCCGGGTTGGTGAAGTTCAATGGGGTTGAGGGACGCGGGGAGGTCAAGGTCGATGTAGGTAGCGAAGGATCTAGCATACTGGGGTGGATCGGATCAAGTGGTTTGAGTGTTGATTTCCGGCGAGCCCCAAAGACAGCGTCTTCTTCCCCTTCCTCGTCTGGGTGGTTGTCGCATGACAACTGACCTCTCAGAGAGGCTGATCTTGAAGCGGGTTTGTTGACGCACAAGGGATCCGACTCGAGTTGGGGGGCAGCAGGGATACTTGCAATGGACTGTCCAGTTCCCTCGAAGCTCTGAACGCCATACATGCTATCTCTCAAGTGGTCAGATTCATCTGGAGACAGCTCATCCGCATCGGCATCGGAGGAGCCGTGACTGCGGGCCAGGTAGAAAGTGGACGGGACGGCGCTGCGGGGATCGATCCACTGCTGTTCAAGCGAGGACTTGCGAGACCGCGGGACTGCGACCTCGGGGACAGGCGGTCTCATGTTGACAGGAGGAATCTACCGCAGGATCAAGACGTCGATATAGGAGAAAGAAGAAATGAGACATCGAAGAAACAGACTCAGAGCTGCTACTGTTGATGATGATGATGATTCTTTTTGGAGATCACAAGCAGGTGATCATAGCGGAAGTGATGTTGTCATGTTTATGTCTTGTATTGTTCTGTCTTGTCACAACCCCTCCAAAAGCCCCTCCAATCCCTTGCAACCCCCCGCATTCTTCTTGTAACGGCTGATACGGTTGTCATATCGGGAATAGCGGTATCAAGAATCATGTTGCAAACATGAAATCTTCTTTTTTTTCTTTCTTTTTCTTCCCTTGAAGTTTTGAACATCTGACGATCTATACAAGAAATTGAATGGTATGATTTGTATACATCCTCGCTAGTTACAGTTCCTTTGACTAAAATCTAAGTGTTAACTATGGGTCGAATCTTCAATGTTCTCCCCGAGACTGGGGTCTCTTCCTCTAGCGCCCCATCCATTTAGTTATTCTCCGATTTTCGCGCATGCACAGTACATCCGTGTGCTTCTCTTAGCTCTATAGCTGAGGCAACCTTCCTGGAATGGCGTAGTATAGTCATGCTAACGGTAAGTCTCGGAAAGAGGAGGCCAAATCCAGGCGGGTCGGCTCTGGTTGCCGACGGCCTACCTTAGTCTTTTCACTGGCCGAGTCGGTTCATATTTGCCCGGATGGAACTATCGAGCTGGTAGCAAATAAGGAAGGGGCGAAGTGCGGACGCTTCACTGATAGTGGTGATGATTTCTTCGTGCTAGACTCACATCTTGCATGCATAGGGGGGTCTGGCGCAGGTTGGGGGCTTACCATGCCGGCCCAGATGGCGTTGTTCAAGGTCGAGCCAGGTCCGGGTTGCACCAACAGTAGAATGGGAAGGGTTACGTAACTGGAAGTCTTGAGTCATGACCGTTACCAGGGTTTGACATTCCGAGAGAACTCTGAATGGGAAAGTTCCGAACGAAGGAGGACCTTTGTATTTTCCAAAGGGATGGGCGGTTGTACTCCGGAGTCAAGTACCTCCACCCGTAGTCAAGTCGGCATACTCCGTACGTAACGCTCCGGTTTGTGCGCCGCTGTGTAGAGTAAGGTACAGTACAACCGTACAAGAGCCCCCCGTTGCTAAGTATTGACCTCAGCGTAACCGACAACGGAGCAAGTCCCCAGCCGTCGAGGCGGGCTGGAGCAAATTAAACCTATAAGCGCACCTGCCGCTTCGAAAAGCGCCCTAGAAGCGAGAGAGAAGTCATAACATGCCGCATTAATGCAATTATATGTTTCCTTTTTCTTTTTTTTTTCTTTTTTTTTCTTTGGTTTCAAATTGAGCTCCGTTATGCGAGCCTGACTTGCATGGAAAGGGCTTGAGTCTTTTTTTTTTTTTTTTTCTTTTTTCTTTGCCCCCCCGGTCTAGAGTTGGGGGAAAGTGAAACTAATTGCCCAAGTGTGATTCGCCACTATCAACCAGACGAATCGGGTGACTGAATGGAGGTTCTTGAGCTTCCCAGCCTTGCAGTTCTTGGAAGTTGGAGCGAACGAGACCCATCGTCGTCCATGGGTGGAGCGTCAAGGACGGCAATTCCCATAGGACAGGAAGGGAAAGAGAGAGGGAAAAATAATCAAATAGAATGTGATGGTATGGAGGACGACAGCAGAAGCGAAGGCGGGATTTGGACTGCAACGGCAACGGTCAGTAAAATGGTTGTTGGTTCCGTATCCTTACACCAACCTTGGGAGAAGAGAATTTAAATTATCACCACCCGCTATTTTTTTTTAGATTCGATGCTTGTCCTGTGCACATTCTAGACCAGGACAGGATCAGGTATAGTACACCATATTATTATTATTATGGAAATGCACTTAGTTAGTGAAGTGGTGCGCGCTGAGCTCCCCCCAAAACGAGTCTGCTGGTGCTGGACTAGTGCGTAGATCGAAATCAGGATTGAAATAATTTCGGCCAATGGAGGGAGAAACGGGAATAATGATAATAGGAATAAGAGGATGATGTAGAAATAATGAAGAGAAGAGGAGTGAGTAGGAGGAGGAGGAGGAGGAGGAGGAGGAAAGTTGTCGAACAGAACTGGACAAATTATATTATATTATAATCATATTATTATATGACTGTATTAACTATTAATATTATTATTATTATTATCTCTGGATCATCATCGTTTTTTTCTTCCTTCTCGTATTCCACTTTTACCTACATAGTTAACTACTAGTTGTAGTACTGTTACTACTGCTGCTTTTTACTTTCTTAGGCTCTCCTCTTCTTCCCCACGTCCATCGCCTCTCTTCTTCATTTCCTCTATATCTATCTCTCCCTCATCTCCTCGTCATTTTCGTCTTATTCATCATCATGTTCGCCGCTTCGGTCTGAAACTTGACCCTCTTTCTGTCCACTCGTTTTCTGACTTCCTCTTATCACCCGATCCGATACCTCTCAGACCGGAGAGTCGTTGGCTTTTTCAGGTTATTCCGCTCGTTTCTACCTTGCATCTCCTACAGAATTTATCGCTAGAGAAACAGAGTGCAACTGTGGGGGGAGGAAAGGAGAAAAAAAAAAAAGAAAAAAAAAAATTACCACCACCACTATCAACGCAACCATCGCCGTTGACATTATTATCCCTCGGGACTCTTCTTCTTCCTCCTCGTCCTCCTTCTCCCCCTCCTCCTCCTCATCAGCATGGAGCAAGATCCTTCGCTATCTTGGTCGAGTATACCTCCTCCCGCTGAAGATGAATTTACCAACTTCCTCGAGTTTGGCATGCCATTTCCCGATCTAGATGGGCACGGACCGACCGATCATCTCCCTGCTCGCTCCGTCGCTCACCAAGTTGCCATGGTCACTGCTACCACCACCGCGACCAGCACTCCTCCCCAAGAACAACAAATGGCGTGCATGGATACAGACAGTGTCGCTGCCCAGTCGCAGTCGTACTCCCGCATTATGGGTGATTTCTCCGTCAATCTCTCAAATCATGGCCCACAAGGCATCCCACATGGCTCGTCCTACTCGAGTGGTCCAATGACTCCAGCATATTACGCACAGAAGCCTCAAATGTTTCACCCCTCGCAACAGCAAGCGCAGCATCAGCAGCATCAGCAGCAGCAACCTCAGCCTACCTCGCAATCGTACGTCCCCCAGGGCCAGATGATGATCCCCCCGACTCCCAACAGCATCGAACTCCAGGGCAGCGCAGCCACGTACCCCCAGAGAGTAGAGGAGAACCATGAATTATACGACCGATATTCCCGCATAAATGATGAGCAGGTGCGTTTTAAACCAAATTGAAAGATGTCTTGCGTTTTAACAACTTGCATCGCTAATGCATGTACCCGTCCGACCTTTAGGCTCTCTACACCCCCCTTGTTTCCCCCGCGATGACCCCATTAGAATCCCAATTTCGACTACCGGAATACACGATTCCCGGAGAGTATTTTACTCCTCTTACCTCGCCCGCTATTGAGGCCCAGAATGCGACCTCCAATGGTTACCCACTCCATTCCGGCCAAATTACCGAAATGAGCTTCGTTCCTTCCCCCATTGAAAATGGTATCCCTGTGTCATCCGCTCCATCTTCTCCCGGATTGATGCGAAAGCATCGACGACGCCCATCGGCGACGAACAAGACCTTTTCGGCCCGGGCCAAGAAACAACAGTCACCTTCAGTCCGTCCGCAAACTCGGACCAGGTCTCGTCTCAATCTGAACTCGGATGAGGTTCTGAATGGCCTGCAGGATCAGGGCAGTGCTCCTTCACGCCCCCTGAATAGCAGTGGATTGCGATATGGAAGCCACGAAAGCTCCGGCCAGGATTCCGTGTCGCCCGAACCACTTTCCGAACCGTTGATGCCCCCGCCAGCGCTCCCATCTTCCCGAAAGTCGCCTGCAATTATACCTCAGATGAATCAGCAGTCGCTTACCAGTGAACCTGCGACGCCTGCTATGTTGATGCGCATCCAGCGTTCGCCGCATACCCGTGTCCCCACTGACCCATCTATGACTCCCAGTCAACCTGCCATGCATGAACCCCACGACGATATTATGGAGGATGTGGTCCTTCCTGAGGCTGCCACGCCCTCAACGCAACTCTTCCGCCCTCAGATAAATCGCATCGATACGTCCATGGCAAGCATCTCCTCTCCAAGCATAGTCCCCCATGCCGACCCGAAATCCGCCCCTCTCCCTGGTTCTTTTGCCCCCAGCCCGCGCGCGGTTCCTATGCTATCGCCCAGCGGGGCCGTGCCATCACGGAAGTCTGATACCCCGAAGCTGGGTCCTATGGGCAGGAAACGACAGAGCCTAAGCTCCTCGCATCCTAGCCCGAGCTTACGCCCCAAGATCAGTCCCAATATACAGCCCTTGGTGCGCGGCGATGGTGAGTTAGATCTTTTTTTTTTTTTTTTTTTTTTTTTTTTCGAGTTTTGACAAGTTATCATCACGCTTCTAACGTATCTCTCACAGGACTGTCAGGAGAAACATCTGCTCTATATCTAGCCTCGAAATCTAACTACCAACACATCTTGGATGGCACGCTTCTTCCGGGTGTTTCCTACCCCGAGACCCTGGCCGAAAATCTAAGTTCGAAGAGAACAAATCACAAGCTTGCAGAGCAGGGCCGACGAAACCGTATCAATAACGCTCTGAAAGAAATCGAGGCCCTGATTCCGCCAGCCTTTGTACAGATGAAAAACAATAAAGACTCTTCTTCGCCCTGCAACGGAAAACCCGGTGATAAGGAAAAGGAGAAGTCGGGAAATCAACCGATCAGCAAAGCGAGCACCGTGGAGATGGCCATTGATTATATCAAATCCCTCAAATGGGAACTGGAAGAAACCAAGACGAAGCTTGCAGCTGCCGAAGCTAGATTACCTAATGACGACGACAAACCCGCGGTAATAAAAGAGCAAACAAATTCTGTTGAACCCGAGATAGTTAACAATATCTCTGCGAAACCCGAGTCAGTCTCTGCCACTTAACCACCAGGGGCAGATACAGATCTCCAGTCATGTGAAATCCTTTTCGCTTTACATTTACGTGACATGTCTTAATGAGAGAGGGTTAAACCGAAAAGGAAGAATGGAATGAGATAGGACAGGTGATGTGATGTACTATGAGACAGGTGCGGTTTTGTCTAGACTTGATTTTTTTTTTTTTTTTTTTTCATCTCTATTTGGTCTCGGAGGCTTTCTAATTTCACCTGCATTTGCCTCCCCTGGCTCGTCTTTTGTTTTTCGAATGTTTACTTAACTGGTGTGGTATTTGTGTTTCGGGTCTGGTGTTCATGGTTTGTACATACATGAATCACGTTCTTTCCTGGAGTATGTCTTTTTTTTTTTTTTTTCTTGTACTCCAGGTTTCTTCACTGCTTTTCTCTCTTTGACTGTCACCCATGGTGGGCGTTCTGTGTATGGGGATACTGTATGTGCATCGATCCACGTCCGGACTACTACTTATCCTGATGTCTATATATTTATACATATTTTTTTTACCTTTTTTATGTGCTGGTAGTTTGTGTAATTGTAGTTCAGGTTAGGTCATGGTATGGAAGCCATTACCAGATACAGAGTAGACCTTTTCACTTTCTTCCTATATATGTACACATATATATACCCAAGAAATGAAATAGAACAAACTTTTTGATTGTACTTTGAATTTTATTTCTTTCTTTCCTTTCTCTCTCTCTCTCTCTCTCTTGTTTCATCGCTCATAACTCCATGCAAAATGCTGACTCGAAATCCTACCTGACGATAACTCTCATACGAATGAAACAAAGGGGGGGGGGGGGATGCAAATGATTTAATAATCCCGCATCACAGCCACCATATCGTCCAACCGGGCAACCTCGCCCAAGAGCAGCGCCTCCTTTGCCCTCCATTCACGCAGTCGCTCCAGCTCTCCCTCGGAAAGATACCGTTCCTCGTTGCCCTTGACGTCACTGCGCTCGGTCTTCTCGAGGAACTCCTTTAGACGGCTGCGCTCGACCCTTAGCCGTTGCAAGCACCGCGCCATGGACTTGTAGGTGTCTTCGAGGACACTGTCGCGGATGCGGTCGGGGTCGTAGTACCACAGGTAGATGGTGCGGGAGGGCTGACGTTGGGCGTCGCGGGGTACCTCTTGGAGGTCCACAAAGCCGCCGGTTTGCATGCTAGCGAGGACCTGACGGAGATCCTTAAAGGGGAGGAGACTAATTTCTTGGAGGCGCTTTTCGTCAAGTTTGCCCTTTGCTCGGAGCACGCGGACGACCCGCAGCGCAACGTCGCCGTAGCGGGACTCGATCATACGTTCCAGCTCCAAGTGGCGCAATTTCCGGGCCAGGTGGCGGAACTCAATGACCCAGGTGGAGAGGCCGCCAACGGTGCGTTTGGAGGTTAGGTTGAGCGGGGGTTGGGCGAGTAAGAAGAGATGTTGATCGATTGTATAGGTGCGGTTGCCGGATGACGCGGAACCATTGACGCCGTTGGGGCTGTCTTCGTCGTTGCCGTTATCGGTTTCTTCAAAAGAGCGCTTTCCGAGTCGGCTGCTGGCTTGAGAGCCATCCATGGGCGCAATAGACCCTGTGAGGTCGAGATATGGGTCGACGTCGCGGGCTATGGAGGAGAGGGGGATGGCAACGGAGTATTGTTCGCCTTCTTCGCCTTCACGGGGGATTTCGACGGAGTCACGGCATCTGGGGGTTTGGTACTCAATACGTCGGAGCAAGCAGTCGTATATTTGTGCTGTTTCGGGGGGTGCGTCGCACTCAGCCAGTTCAAGGAAACGTCGGTTTCGAAGTGCGACGTCGAGTTTCACGTAGTTCACGCGAACTGTCAATGAAGACTGGGACATCAGAGGTTAGATTCATCAAGACCCGACCTTACGAAAATGGCAAAGAATTACCTCCATCGGGACATCATCATCCCACCATTCGTTGTCGTCCTCCCCATCGTCGTCTTCATCATCGTCGACATAATCCATTCGCGCTCGCTTACTTTCTGCATCGTCTGAGGCCCCGTTTCCATGTCTTCGCTTCACTCCTCGAGGAACCCCGTTGACCATTAGGCCACGAGTAAGATCCCCGTCGAGTCTTTCCTTCATCATCGCAGCTACTCTCTCTGCCATCTCCTCTTCCAGCCTCTTGCCTTTCAAGCCCCGTATATCTTCCTTGGATTTCAATGTCCGTTCGATATCAAGGACATTGTCAGCATGACTCTGTAGCTGTGCCTCTCGAACGCGAATGACGTATCCATGACTCGCTAGAGCTTTGAGGGTTGGATGAAGAAGATTCGTTTGCTCTAGAGTATAGTCGCCATTCAGCCCATTCACATCATCTCCATGCTCTTCATTGTCTCCGTTTTCCTCGTGGCTCCCGTTGGCTCCGTTGGCGATAGGGGCTTGCGCCTGTAACTCCGGGAGTGTCTCGAGATGACTCACTTGCGCATGACCGAGATACATGATGGTGGACATGAGGGTTGCCGCATACTTTCCCAGTCGATCCTCAACAAGCTCCAAAATTTTGCCGGTCCGGACTAGGTGGTATGCAGACTGTAGGTTCGCGCTGTAGTAGGTAACGCCTTCGTCAACAGCAGTAAAGTGGTACACAAGGTGGTGCTGGATCATAGCAACTAGCGCCGCGCGGAGTCGAGATTCAGGAAGACGAGTGAGAGCCATGAGTCGTTGGATATTGAGCCGGTCATAGCGGTGAAGGGTTGAGAATATTCGCTGTTATTAATGAAAGGAAGAAAATAAAGAGTCAGCATATATATGTCCAGCTTCTCATCTCTCTTTACACCTGTTCGCAAGGAATGTAATCGTCGGCGTACGACCCCAGACATACCCCGAAGAGCTCGCCAAAATTATCTTCAACCAGGAGCACCCCCAGCTCCGCCGCATACTATAATATCCTATTAGCTACCAGGACGAACCATCGATGCAAAAGCCTAAGCCACTCCGTAACGTACCTGGGTTGCCATTTTTATAGACTTCTAGAGAACCCCTCCAGCGTCAATTCTCTAGAAGGAGAACAGTGGTCACCGCAAAAAGGGCATGGGGGGATAATATGGCCAGCCAATTCACTTCAATTGCAGTTAACCGAAAACCCCAGGCCTGTGAGCCCTACTGAATGCCTGTTGTGTCGTCTTTTCCCCTCTCCTTCACGGCCTTTTTTTTTTCATTTTCTTATCGCAAATGCTCCGACACGGACGGCAGATCACGTGCGATTGCAGTCAGCTGACCCCACGTGATTCGGGCTGCCGGTTCCGCCCGCACTCGCGATTTGGACCAATCAGGGCTCGAGTAATCAAAGCCGCCGGCATCAATTGAACTTGAAGCTTTTCAGACATCGTTTCAAACCCCGTCCAACGACCAGCCCAGCAGAAAGCCGTCTTCTGCCCTCCCTCCTCTCCCACCACCACCCTTCCTGTTGCTGCAAAGCCCTCACCGGCTTCTCACGCTTCTCTCCTCCAGATTATCCTCCCACACATGCGATAATGCTTTCGCGGTCTACCATCAGTCGAAATGCGCCCCGTGCGCTCCAGAGCGCTGCCAGCCGTCGGGCCATGGCCTCTGCTGCGACCCCCGGTCTTCAGTTCGATGTCTCTGAGTCTGCTGGCGTGAAGGTTGCCAACACGGAACCTGCTGGTCCTACTGGCACCCTGGCTCTGGTTGCAAAGGCGGGTTCCCGCTACCAGCCCTTGCCTGGCTTCTCCGATGCCCTCGAGCACTTCGCTTTCCAGGTAGGTTTTCAATGGGATCCAATTGCTCCTCTTCTTACTCCCGACGTACTTGGCTGGATGATTTCTAACGGCTGGGGCTCTTCTCTTTGCTCAATTCATAGTCTACACTCAAACGTTCAGCCCTGCGGATCACCCGGGAGGTTGAGCTTCTGGGCGGTGAATTTTCCTCGACACACTCGCGTGAAAACATTGTCCTCCAGACCAAGTTCCTTGCAAATGATCTTCCCTACTTTGTGGAATTGCTGGCAGAGGTTGCTTCTCAGACCAAATTTACCGGTAAGCCTTCCTACCTCTGGATAAATATATATATCAGACAAGTTTGTGTACATGGGTCTGACCAACTCGGTTTTTTTTTTTTTTTTTTTTTTTTTTCGATATACAGGCTACGAGTTGGATGAGGTCGTTTCCAAGCTCCTGAAGCTCAGGCAGCAGGCCCTGGCGGCCAACCCTGAGGCTGTTGCTGTTGATGCTGCTCACGGTCTGGCTTTCCACCGCGGCCTGGGCGAGAGCGTCAGCCCCTCGACCACCGCCCCCCTGAACATTTCCGCCGAGGCTCTCGCTGAGTTTGCCCAGCAGGCCTACGCCAAGCCTAACATTGCTCTCGTCGGCAGCGGTGTCAACTCTGCTGAGCTCTCTAAGTGGGTTGGCGATTTCTTCAAGGGTCTCCCCAGCTCTGGCACCTCCAGCCAGTACCAGCTCAAGCCCACCACTGCCTCCAAGTACTACGGTGGTGAGCAGCGTATCTCCTCCAAGGCTGGCAACGCTGTTGTGATTGCCTTCCCTGGCTCTGGTGCTGCCGGCACTGCTGCCTACCAGCCCGCTGCTTCCGTCGTCGCTGCCCTGCTTGGTGGTGAGTCCACTATCAAATGGACCCCCGGCTTCTCTCTCCTGTCCCAGGCCACCCAGGGCTTCTCTCAGGTCCGCGCCTCGACCAAGAACTATGCCTACTCCGACGCCGGTCTCCTTGCCGTCACCCTTAGCGGAAAGGCCGACCAGGTCGCCTCTGCCAGCAAGAGCGTCGTCGACGCCCTTAAGAAGGCCGCCGCCGGTGAGGTTGCCAGCGAGGAAATCAAGAAGGCTGTTGCGCTCGCCAAGTTCCGTGCCCTTGAGTCCGCCCAGACCCTCGAGACCGGTCTCGAGGCCACTGGCTCTGCTCTCATCAACGGCAGCAAGACCGTCCAGATCAGCGAGGTTGCCCAGAGCTTCGATGGTGTGACCGAGGCCCAAGTCAAGGAGGTGAGTTACACATTCCCCCCTACTATATCCAAGATACCATAAGAAAGAGGTAGCTAACCATATTCTAAACAGACCGCCAAGTCTCTCCTCTCCGGCAAGGCCTCCGTCGCCACTGTTGGAGACCTCTTCCAGCTCCCCTACGCCGAGGACCTGGGCCTGACCGTCTAAGAGTTTTCCTCCAACCACGCACGCCCCACGAACCCTCAAAACCAATGTACACAATACATGCTAGACTGGCTTGATTGAAGAAAGAAGGAAGAGAGAAAGGGAGGGGGGAAAAAAAAAAATATTTACAAAGCGTCGCTGCCAACTTCTCATGTGTCTAGATAAATCTCCGCAGATATCTCTTTCTCTTTTTTTTTTTTTTTTTTTCCCTGCACCTTACTCTATTTTCTTTTTTCTTTTTTTTTTTTTGGTGATAGTTACTGAAGCTGTAGTTGTGTGACTGTAATACAATTTTTGTACCCTTATTTATTTATTACTACATGCTGCTTGTATTTGTAGTAAGTACACTTATTAGGCTGTATGTAGTCTTTAGTCTTATGGAGAGATATATACATACATATATATATGTATATATATGTATTTATTCACCCACTAACTAATGCCATACATTCAAAATAAAGCCCTCTCTCTCAACCAAAAAAAAAAAAAGTATAACAATAAGAAGATTTTTTCTACAAGATACAGAATAGAATAGAATAGAAAAATAATCTACTTGATAATATCACACACACACACATGCTTACACCTAAATGCTTCTCTCTCCCTCCAAGTGTGACCTGCCTAGCTAAATAGCATAGCTTGGAACCAATACACCACTCACTACTGTAGAAATACAGGTAGGGTTACCCAAAAGTGAAAACATAAGTTGGGTGAAGGGGATCAATTGAATCCTATTAGTGGTAGTAAGTATGTAACTAGTGTATATACATGTATAGTAAAATATAGCTTGCTCTTTGTTACTGTAGGGTCTAGAATATTGTTTGCTGCCTTGGTGTGGTACGATGTCTGTTGTATAGAGTTGCTGTCGTAAGAGAGAGAGAGATATATATAGTTTTCATTATCTATAAAACCCTAGCATTAAATACTTCACTCCATTGTAACTAGAAATAAAAGGACCACTGCTGGAGAGATGGTTCTTCTGAGGGCGAAATTGATCTGACAATTAGACTATCCGGTGTCGGCTTATGGCCTGCTAGCTATGCCACGTGGAGAAGAATTTATAGGAGAAATCAATAGAAAGCTGGTTTGTCTTGAATAATTATCTATAGATGTATTAAGTATTGCCTCTATCCAGGACACGGATGAATTCAGGCTACAGGTGTCTTTCGTCGGCGTTCAGAATATCGTACAAGGAGATCCCGATAATCCACTCGCCCCCACACATCCAAGACCATGCATAGCAGAAGGGTATTTCAAACCTTCTCTAGTGCTTCGCGGTGACTTTGTCGCCCGTCAGTTTTTCGACTGCTTCCTTGGCCCTATTCGGTGCAACGGAGACCCACACGTTAGCCCACTTTCGCGCCTCGGTATATCACATGGGGGTCGGGGGAAGGGAGATTAAATAGATTAAACTTGGGGGACAATTTATCCGGAGAGATAGGGGAAAAGGATCAACTTACATGTCACCAAGAGCCACCATGCAGACAGTCTGCCAGATTCCGAGACCAATGCGGGGGGCCACACCACGGTAGAGACCCTTGATACCGTTGCTGTCGTAGATATACTTGAAGGCCTTTCCAACAGTCAGGTTCTTAGGGCGGTTGGGGTCCTCAGTCTTGCTCTGCATTTCAACACGGATGACTTCGATTGGCTGGTTCCAGGCAGAGAGACCACCTCCTAGACCAGATGCAATAACCTTCTCAATGGCAGTGAGCTTCTCGCTTTCGTCCTTGCCGGTGACCTTGCGGAGACCCTGTTCTGCTAGGCGAGAGAGACCAAATCGAGAACCCCAGTTTGTAGTCTGACGAATGGCAACGGCGTTGACACCACGGTTGATACCTCGGATACCTTCCTTGCGGTAGATGTCCATGAAGGTTGCAAACGTGCTGGGAGGCTTAACACCCTGCGCAGCCATCTTATGCTTCGTGATCTCAACCGTCTTCATGCAAGTACAGAAACCCATGGTTGCATAGGCCTGGGCAACTCCACCAGCCATACCTCCCGAGATACCAGCGAGGAAGTCAGGGGCACCTAACACCTTGGCCTGGAATTCTGCTTCCGACGCGACGAAGAGAAGAACAGCGCCTTTGGTGGAGGCCTCAATCCAGGCCCACGGAATGAGACCTTGATAGTCTGCATGATTATGATACGTTAGGTGTTGTTGTTTCCCCACACCTCGGGTGAAAGAAGCGGTTACTTACAACCGAGGATCCCGCCACGACCCCATATCCGACCCATAGCGCCAGCGAAGCTATCGCCTCGGTTCGCAGCCATGGTTGTCTTGATCACCTCCAGCGGCTATATAGATGATGTTAGTACGAGAGCGGAAGGGCGAAACGATTCGACAAGGAACCCGTACCTGTCCCAAAGTAGTGACCCTGGGAGTCAAAAGTTAGCGCACGAACTCTCTCCTGATATTGACAGGAAGCTGGGATACTTACTCAAACATGTTCAACCCGGCACCCACTGTAGGAAAGCCATTAGAACAGGGATTATCTCTAGAGAAACCGTCGGGTAGGGATACGTACGCAACAAGTTGCTGAACTTGACAGGCTTCTTCTCGAGCTGGGGGGCAGAGCCCAACTCTTTTACAGCAGTAGACATCTCTGACCTTGGGGAGCACTGAAAGGGGCCCTGACCAAGGGATTAGGGGGGGCTTCGTCGCCTAAGGGATCACGAAAAAAAGGGAAGAGAAGCGATGAGAACGACGCAAACGCAGAAGTTCAGTCGGACTAGGAGGTGCAGAGGATAGAGATAGTAGAGAAAGGGAAGTCAAGGTAGAGTGGGAGAAAGGGAGAAGAAAAAAAGAAAGTTCGACAGAAAAGTGAAAGAGGAGAGGATATATAAAGGGAAAGCAGGTGGGAGAGATGCATACAAATAGGACTAGGGAGTCCCTAAGATTCCTTAGTAGGGACTGTAAACTACACGGTAGCTCTTGTCACCTTGGATAAGACGGGGGGCTGCCTGAAAAGCTAGGCCAGACCTGGCCACCCTTTGGCTGGTTTGCAGTTCTCGATTTGCCAGGCACTAGTCCGGATCGAGCCCTCTGACGGCCCGTTCGACGCTAACCCGGTTTGGCTGTTGTTGCTGGCCCGAGGCCATCAATCAGGTTGAGACCAACGGAGAATTTCGGGTCTCCCCCAACAATTACGGCCCTTCTTTCTTCCTACCCCGCTGATTGGGAAACTGTTGAGCCGACCAAACACCAAACGGCAGAGGACAACTCTAGAGTCTAGAGTCTACGTACCTAAGATAGCTCTCCTACCGGGGTAAGACCCTTGGAAAAGAAAAACAAAAAAAAACATAATAATATAATATTCGGGTGACGTTGTGTTTCATTTTGTCCAACGTAAGCCCTCTCTCGCCCAGGCGACCAAGGAAGGGATTTAATTCCGCCAACACAACATCAGAGCATCCAGTCGGTCTCCGAGGACTTTGCAACACCCCCGGAGTTTCTACGTCGATACGGAACCGAGGTATCAGATCAGAACCTTTCTTATCGAGGCTAATTTTGCCGGGGGGTTTCTCTCCTGTTGCGCCGGATGCATCACCGCTTACAATGCCACAAAAATTGGTCAACAATGACATGGAATTCAAGTGTTGTTACAAGGCCTGCTCGAACAAGGTCCTATCATACATTAATCGAACTAACCCCAACACTGTCATCCGGCCCAGTCTAATAAACAAAAGTTACAATAAAAATAATACAAAAAGGCTGTGTTAGAGATCGTGAATGCTGTAGTTCCCTCCCAATTTTTCATGTCATCCGAGTACTTCAAAGCTTGGCACCAACAAGCTTAGCATAGGCCTCAGTGCTGAAACTCTTGGGGCGCTCGATAGGAGCACCAAGAGCACGGTCGATGATCAGCTGAGGAAGGACACCCAGAGCACGGGAAACACCGAAGAGGACGGTGTAGTAGTTAGCCTCGGTCAGGCCGTAGTACTGGAGGAGGACACCAGAGTGCTAAAGAAAAAAAAGAAAAGAAAAGAAAAGTGACCGTCAGTATCGTGTCCCAGTTCAAATACTAGGGAGGTTCCGAAGCACTTACAGCATCAACGTTGGGGTAGGGGTTCTTGGTCTTGCCGTGCTCGGTCAGAACACCAGGAGCGATCTTGTAGACCTGGCTGACCAGCTTGAACATAGGGTCATCGGGCAGCTTGCGAAGAGCGAATTCACGCTGGGACATGTAGCGAGGATCAGTCTTGCGAAGGACGGCGTGACCGTAGCCAGGAACGACACGGCCAGCGTTAAGGGTCGACCACAGGTAGTCCTTGATGGCCTTGTCGCTGAGGTCGTTGCCAATGTTCTTCTTCATCTCAGTGAGCCAGTTGAGCACCTCCTGGTTGGCCCTGTTGGAATACATCTGTTAGCGGCAAGACGAATCAAGGCATAATTTGGGAAAGCTTCCTTACAATCCGTGGAGAGGGCCAGCGAGACCGTTCAAACCAGCAGCCAGAGAGAGCATGGGGGAGCTCAGAGCAGAACCAACAAGGTGGGTGGTGTGAGCGCTGACGTTACCACCCTCGTGGTCGGAGTGGATGGTGAGGTACAGACGCATCAGTTCAACAAAGTCCTTGTTGTCGGCGAAACCGAGCTGGTTAGCCAAGTTGTAGGCGTAATCCTTGTCCTTCTGGATAGCAGCAACCTTGCCATCCTTGAAGACGTTGCGGTAGATCTTGGAGGCAATGGTGGGCAGCTTGGCGATGAGGTCCATGGAGTCCTCGAAAGTGTAGTTCCAGTAGTCCTTCTTGTTGATACCCTTGGCATAGGCCTTGGCGAAAGCGGACTCGTGCTCCAGGGCAGCGACGGCAATGGAGAACTGGGCCATGGGGTGAAGGGTGCTGGGGCAGCGGTCGATGAGCTCCTCGACGAACTTGGGGAGATCGGAACGAGCAGCCCACTCAGCAGACAGGTCGCGAACCTGCTGCTCGGAGGGGACCTCACCGGTCAGGAGCAGCCAGAAGAGACCTTCAGGCAGAGGCTCCTCACCACCGGGGGCCTTGGGAAGAACCTTCTGGCACTCGGGGATCTATATTGGCGGTTAGCGCACCGCAGCACTGGGCATTGAAGGCACGAGAATAACTTACAGTGAGACCACGGAAACGGATACCCTCCTCAGAGTCGAGGACAGAACCCTAGGGCGATAAGCGTTAGCAAACTCCAAGAGGGGTTGTTGTCGCGAGTGTGTATCGCCTACCTCCCACACAAGGGACTTGATGCCACGGGCACCACCGTAGGCCTGGTCAAGAGTGACCTCGCCAATGACCTTGCTACCATGCTCCCTGTAAACTCCCATCATTATAATTAGCAATTGTTGCGCAGCGAGGACCTGATCAGGGGGACCAGTGTGCATACTTGCGGAGCTTCTTGACCTTCTCGATCTCGCCAGGGAGCTTATCGGCGAAAGTCTCCTTCAGGGACTGGATTGTTGGAGCGGATGTCAGCCCAGGAAACCAAGAGATGAAGAACAAAGACTAGAGCAGCAAAACAAACCTTAGCCTTGCCGGTAGAGTAGCTGCGCAGGCCATTGAAGGCAGCGGACTGAACAACGGGCTTGCCAGCAAGGGCGCTGGAGCGAAGAGCAGAAGTTCCGAGTCTAAGTGTGGAAGCCATAATGGATTAAACCACTGAGAAAATGTGGAGTTGAGTGATAGATAGGAGAATAAGAGAGAGAGGGGAGAGTGAGGTATATCAAGACAAACGTGTAGGGGAAAAGAAAAGAAGAGGAGGTTTCGGGGAGGAAGAAGCTCTTTTTTTTTTCCCATCTGGCCGTAATAAGAACAGCCGGTACCAGGCCTGTACGGTACCAGCTGGGCCGGACCCATGGCAGCGATGGCAGCAGGTATGGTACGGTAACCTTCGTGTGTACAGGGCCGGTCTCCCGAATGCCCAGGTGCCCACCAACAACTTCCTTGCATGGCAGCAAGCTTTACTCTTTGAGTAATCTACCCGCCCAATTCCGTCGCGGAGTCCGGAGTAATTAGATTGAATATCTTCAAGAATATATATATCATGTCAAAAGTCTGTCCAGGGGGATGAGAGAGAGAGAGAGAGAGAGAGAAATAGCGATATAAGTACGGTACTTGTATGAACAAAGCCTTGTCTAGCAATATACAGAATATACGGAGTACAGTACATACTGTAGGTACTCCATATGTTCCGCAAGGATGCCCCGGTGGTCTTTCCCTGTCGACACGAAGCCCCAGTCTTTTCCTTGTATCCTGTCGGCCTCAGGCTAATGACGTCGGCAAGTAATCGTGTTCCGTGCTATCCTTAGCTTGGCCGTCCACTCGCCCATGGGACGGGCCCCGTCGTCATTATCAGTTCGGAAGCATAGGCAAGGAACCTTAGAGACATGCCCGTGTTATTATATACAGGTATAATATTATTATTACTATTCAGCTGGATCATGAGATTATCCCGAACTACCCGGATTGGATTTTAGGATTCTTTTCTTCTTTGTTTTCTCCCTTTCCCCCTGGATTTTGACTACGCATTTTATAGAGAGTAAACTACCTACTCTGAACAGAGCAGGTACTCCGTAGATACTAAGATACACCTAACCTTAGGTAGGTATGTCACTAACTTCTTTTTGGTTAATTTTTCTGTTGTCACATCCTTCACTAGGTCCTTTCGGCTCACCGGCCGGCTATCGACGGTGGTCCTTACCTAAGGTTCTCTCGCTGCCCAGGTGATATTAACGGATTCCCTTGTGATTGGCCAAAGACGGTGGAGTAGAGTCATGTGATATCACATGATGCCAGAAGAAAAAGAATGCCTCAGGCACTGAATGACTAATCTTACCTGAGCGACACGTTTCCACTTTTAGACTAGCCCGACATTCTAAATTTTCCCTCACATGACTTCCTGATCAAGTTTTCTTTCTTCGTCTTCTTCCCCCTTCTTTTTTTTCAACAACCTTCTTTCCCCTCTTCATCTCCGTCTCGCGACCGCGAATCCTCTACGCTGTAATTTTGTCGCTTTTTTGTGTCTTTGCCATTTCCTCTGCACTTTCACTTTAGGTCGTACCCTGTACACGTACTTATTGACGAGTTACAAAGGTCTTAAAACACCATCGCTGAGCTGTGTTGCAGCTGTAGGCGGAAAGGCCCCTGGCCGTAGTGACACGACCAGAAACCCGCTTAGGAATTTACGCTCCACGCCTAGGTTGAGATTTCGCGACCCAGATTTATCTCTGGTGTTTTACCCTTAAGCATCACAATATTTTACCCCTTGCTATTGTACTGGACTTGCCGGTAGGAAAGACTCGTTCGGAGCCAGGTACTTGCTCTCTCGCCTTTCGCGAATTTTCGTCCTGGCGCGATAGTTGGGTATCAGCACGCAGCTGGGCACCTATCATTTTCCTGTACTGGATTTGCGATATCATAACAAACACAATCAACCATGTCTTCCGCAGTAGCAGAACTGGATAATTACCTCCAGTCTATGCTGGCCCTTAAAGCTCCAGGTGTTTCGGGCTCTAAAATCAACAGTATCACGTCACTCTGCACAGCCAACGTTCAGGTATTCCCCCCCCCTCCGCTATTATGAAGTCTTTGGTTAGACCGCCACGGGCGTAAAGAATCCCATGCTAATCTATGCCTTCTGGTCTTGTGCAGAACGAATCCGTCCTCATCCAGAAAATCTATACACATTTCAAGAAGGCACCAGGAACACACAAGTTGGGCGTACTCTATGTCGTAGACTCTGTAACTCGACAGTGGGTAGATGCAGCGCGCAAGGCAGGCCAACCATCCGGTAGTGCTGCGCCTGACGGGACCTTTGCCGCTGGTGTTAACAGAGTGACCGAACTGTTACCCGTCTTGATGACTGATATCATAAACAATGCTCCCGAAGATCAAAAGGTACGCTCTAGATGCAATATGCGAATTATCCCATTATCACAGGGGTTGCGTGCATACATAAGGCCGATAAGATGCGAAGATCTACTCTCGCAACGCCGTCATAAGAATTGTTCCACGTATCTCCCGCGATATATCCCCTTGTGCATAGAAACCACTCTCTCTAGGCATTATCTTTTTTCGCCTTTTGGTGACGAATAGTCCAACTTACGTATTTGATCCATCTTCATAGGAAAAAATCAAGAAGCTGGTCGACATTTGGGAACGTGGATACACTTTCCCCGCGCCCATGCTTGCGTCTTTCAAGGAAAAACTAAACGCGCCCCCATCTCACAGTAAGCAAAATGATACGCCCTTTCTCCCCCTCCAATATGAAGGAAATACGATCCCTCATATTCTCAAAAAAGAAAAAAGGCAGAAGAAGAAGAAGAAGGCAGCTGAGCTCCAGAATGAGCCAGGCTCTTCTAGTTTTAAATAAAATTTGGGACCCAATAATTCTGATATATTTCTTGCTAGATATTGAGTCAACCACTCCGGAAGGCTCTCCAGCGCCCAACCATGTGCCGCTTGGGGGCCTGCAGCAGCAATTGCCAACTAATGGTGCGGCAGCGGCAGCGCCTACTCAAGCAACACCGGACACTTCCAGTATATTGAAAGCCTTAGCGGATATGGCTAAGCAGAACACCGCTGCTCCCGCAGCCCCTGCCATGGCCGCTCAGACTAATCCTCTTAGTGCATTAGGTCAGCAGAGTACAGTTTCGCAGCCCGTGTCATCATCCGTAGACCAGGCTTCACAATCCCAGAGTGGGCAAGCTGGCGTAAACCCATATGGAGCTATGACCGCGCCGTTCGCGGCTTTGAGTAATGTGGCTCAGAATCCTGCCCTGGTTCAGCCACAGAGCCAGAGTCATACTCCAAACCCATTAACTGCTGCACAAAACCCACTTGCTGCGTTGCTGCCACAGGCAACCGCAGCCCCAGCACAGCCTCCCAGTCTAGCGCCCGATGCTCTACAGCAACAGCTCCAGCTTTTGCAGCTGCTGGCTGCGCAGGGGATCCCGCAGGACCAGTGGGCGACTGCCCTTCAAATTCTTAGTCTCTCCGGTGCCGGTGCCGGTGGCATGCCCAATGTTAATGCCGGCCAGACCCCCGGATTTAATCTCCCGGGTCAGAATGTGAACGCCTGGGGCGCCCATCCAGACTCGCAGTCACGTGATTTTGACCGGGACCGCGAGCGGGATCGCGAGTTTATGCGTTCGCCCCCCGGCGGATATCGTCGTCGCTCTCGATCTCCTGGCTGGGACAGACGTCGTGAGGCATCTCCCCCCCGCCGTCGGGATAGTCCTGTCTATGGAGAGTATCATGGCGATTCGCCCGGTCGCAGAGGCGCAGATCCTCGTGGTCGACGAGGCAACGAGTATCGCCAGCGTAGTCCTCCCGGACGTCGACGCCGTTCTCCGTCTCCCCGCAAGGACCCAGCCCTCCCCCCACCAGGGCCCAAGTTTCTTGAATGGGATTATTCTATCGGGCAAGGTAATATCAAGGTCTTGAGTCGAACTCTGTTCGTCGGTGGTGTAACGTAAGTTTTACTTTCCTGCGTGATTCCCTGCTGGTATCACGTCATATTACACATCTTCTAACAATTTTATAGGGCACCAGAGGCTCATCTGCGCTCACTGTTCGCCAAATTTGGTGTTGTGCAGACATGCATTGTCAACATTGACAAACGACACGCTTTTATCAAGATGATCAGCCGACAGGATGCGATCAACGCTCGTGAAGGAATGGAATCGTACAAGGCTGGGGATATGCAGCTCAGGGTGAGTTTATTTATGTCTCCTGTTCTCCTGAGGAAATAGCTAATAGAATCTAGACTCGTTGGGGAGTTGGTTTCGGACCCCGTGACTGCAGTGATTATCAGACTGGTGTCAGCATTATCCCTATCGAGAGGTTGACAGAGGCGGACCGAAAGTGGATGCTTACTGCCGAATACGGTGGTACTGGAGGAAGGTCCATTGAATCCGGCATGGTTGTTGAGGAGCCAGATATCGAAATTGGCGCTGGAGTTTCATCCAAAGGTTTGTCATTCCACTGTTTCCGTCTTGGATCATTCTCACTCACCCATTTAAACAGCAATTAGCAGACGCATTGCAACCGATACTGGCGGCAAACGCGGCCCAATTTCCTCTCGCGCACAGCAGGACCGTCCTCGCCGCCCAGAGCGTGAAGGGCCTCCAATGGGCATGGGTGTGGGGGGTCAACCTGACCGTGACGCGTCCAACATGAACAACGTTGGCGTCCCACCGGCAGTTCCTGGCTTTGGCTTCTCCTTCCCGGGTATGCCCATGTTCCCTCCTGGCTTCATGATGGGAGGAGCACAAGCTGGGGCATCAGGCAGCACTACACAGCCACCACCGCCTGGCCAAGGAGGTAACTAAGCCTACTAGTTACGATTCGAAGTGCGAGATACGACAGATACGACAAATGATTCCCCAGTATGGGCGGTACAGTTTTTGTCGTCATTCCATTCAGCTCTTGTCTTGATATCTACCAACTTTTTAACTTTGTTCTTCTTCTTCTTCTTCTTCTTCTTCTCTTTTTTTTTTTTCTCTGCCATTGGATTCGCCAGTCCTCTTGGGAACCATCATGGCGTTTGAGCTTGAGATTGCACATCTGAATAGACCACTTGATGATCGTCTCTCCGTTTTAAATGCTCCAGCGATGTCATCTGCATTCTGCATCGCGAAAAGCAAAGCAACCCACTCGCAAAGGAACGAAGAGACTCAACCAATGAACTACGAATCAGGGGATTGATTTATCAGACCTTATCCGTTCATCCACATACGCCTTTTGCATTGCTTCTTCTTCTTCTTCTTCTTCTTCTGAATCTCTGTACTTCTTTCTTCCTTTTCCTTTTCTCTCTTACCATTTTCTCCTTTGTTGGCGGCTGGAGTGGATTATCACGGTGTTAGTCTTTACACGTCTTCTTCATTTCCATGTTTTATTCCTGTCCTTTTTTCTTGAATCGTTTTTATCCTGTTTCTCTAAAAAGTCAATGCAATGCTGCTTATGGTAGGCAGTAACCCAGATGTATGTACCTTTTTTTTTTTTTTTCTCTTTTCTGCCTTGTCTCAGCTACTTACTGGGCCGTAGCAAGCCAAGCTAGCTTAGTTACAGTCAATGCCTCAGTGGCTTTTAAGTTTAAATTCGATGCCATCATGGCCGTCACATATGCTGTATACACCTGCCTACGTATACCTAAACATAGATATATTCTTTTTTTTTTTTTTTAGTAGTCTTGCATCTAAATTTGACTTCAATTAAAGAATCATATGTGTGGAGGCACCTAAGTTCAGGATCTTCTTCTTCTTCTTCTTCTTCTTCTTCTTTTTTCTAGGAGAATGTAAATCTAACAGGGGATGTCTGTTTCATTTAAGAGGTGAATATTAAGTGAGTGAGTGAATGAGTAGTTATACCTGTTAACAAAGTAATAGAGTAATAAAGTAGTAAAGTTGTAAAGTACTCAATTTAACAAATCCAGGAAGCTACCAAGTAACTACATAACTAAGAACTACTTTTAACTGTTAACTAGTAGTTGGGACTCTGCATTCTAGATTAACTATTAGCTAATTGAGTAGGGAAGTACAGTACTCTACATAGAGAGATATGCATATATACATGTATATGGTAGTGTATGAATAGGCATACTTTATAACTGTTAGTTAGTTAGTTACTCAATATTATTAAGTACTAACTAGTGTTTACCTTTCCTTGCCTGTTTTACATATGTATGAATGAAGTACATACTTGGTATCTAAAATGAAGACAAAGACAGGGCGTCTATGGATAGAGAGAAACGAACTTGAATTATTGCATGTAGAATAAGTAGGAAGGAGGCCTTGGGTAGAAATGAAACGAAATGAACAGATAGTGATTATTATTATTATTATTATGAACGAAGAAAGACGCCTCAAATTGTCAATGGGGGTTATGTATGGGTTATTCGGATTCAGATTCCACGGCCTGGGCGTTAGAAACTAGCCTGGAAAGATTGCTCGAAATCAGCAATGATGTCGTCGATGTGCTCGGTTCCGACAGAGATCCGGATAGCGTCTTCGGTCACACCGGAGCCTAGGCGTTCTTGTTCGGTCAGTTGTTCGTGGGTGGTGGTCCAGGGGTGGATGGCAAGAGTTTTGCAGTCTCCGACACTGAAAATTAGGTAATGGTTTGTGAGTTTTATATGTTTTGTGTTGGTGATATAGGTAACTAGGGGGGCAGTTATGTATGTGGGTTGGGTTGGGTTGCTTACTTTGCGAGGTTGGAGATCAGCTTGAAGTTATCAACGACCTTGCTGCCGACGGCTGCGCCTCCCTTCACGCCAAAGGAGAGAACTCCACCAAAGCCGCGCTTCAGATAGCGTTTGGCAGTTGCGTGGCTGGGGTGTTCTTCCAGGCCAGGGTACGAGACCCAGCTGACGTACTCGTTCTGCTTGAGCCAGTTTGCGAGGGCGATGGCGTTGGTGGCGTGACGCTCAGCACGGAGACTTAGGGTCTCCAGACCCAGGAGGAGCTGCTGGGCAGCGAAGGGGTTCAACGTAGAGCCGAGGTCACGGAGGATGTCAAGACGGACCCGAATCGCAAAGGAGATTGGGCCAAAGGTTTCCCAGAACTTCAGACCGTGGTAGCCCTCGGAGGGCTCAGTAAACTGGGGGAACCGTGCCGCGTGCTTACCCCAGTCGAACTTGCCGCTATCAATGACCACGCCTCCGATAGTTGTACCGTGTCCACCAATCCACTTGGTTGCGCTGTGCACTACAATGTCAGCGCCGTGGTCGATCGGTCTGAAATAGTAACCACCAGCACCGAAGGTGTTGTCGACCTGAAACCACAGGGTGAGCTTCTTCTTCTTCTTCTTCTCCTTCCCAAACTTGAATACGTACCACTACGGGAACGCCCTTCTCGTGGGCAACTTTGGCTATAGCTTCAAAGTCGGGCACATTGTACCGTGGGTTGCCAATGGTCTCGACATATACAGCCTTGGTACGGTCATCGATGGCAGCAGCAATGGCCTCAGCGCCGTCGCCTTGGACAAACTTGGTATTAATTCCTACACGCGGGAAGAAGACCTTGAACTGGTTGTAAGTGCCGCCGTACAAGTTGCTGGTGGCTACAATGTTGTCTCCAGCATGGGCAAGGGCGGAGATGGCCATGAACTGAGCAGCGTGGCCGGAAGATGCAGCAACCGCAGCAACACCACCTTCCAAGGCAGCGATACGCTTCTCGAAGACGTCGACAGTGGGCTGCTCAGATTAGATGCCATCAGCATACAGAGCAATGCAAGGTGGATGTGTGATCACAGACATTCATCATACGGCTGTAGATGTTGCCAAACTCTTTGAAGCCAAAGAGCCTGGCACCGTGTGCGGAGTCATTGAAGGTGTACGACTAGAGGGGGATGGATGGGGTTAGCTTGGTAGCTTGTTCAAGAAAAGCAGTCCATGAAAATAACATACGGTCGTTGCATAGATTGGGACCGCACGAGAATTGGTAGCAGAGTCGGGCTCATGACTGAGAAAGCATCAGTTCATCCAAAGTCAGAATGTCAAGAACTCTATAGAAGCACGGGAAATCCTCACCCTGCATGGAGCTGGAGAGTCTCGAAATGGGACTGTGGGAGGTTGGACATGATGAAGAAAGAACCAAGGCTATCTCAGTAATCAAAGATGGACAGGAGGGTTGAAGACAATGAGAGGAGGGAGAGGGGCAAAGTCCATGTTATTATATATATGCGGGGGAATGAGGGTTCTGAGGGGGGATAGTTGCGTGATTGAGACAGTGACCAAATTGATGAAGATGAATTGTTATTAAAATGAAGCGATAGAGTTAATGTGTAGATGATGATAGTCCTGGTTAATGAATAGTAGATAGTATGTACCTATCATTTCGTGATATGTACTCGACATCTTGACAAGATATTATAGACCTCAAGTTGTCCCGTTTAGGTAATATATAAGTAGTAGGTCTCTCTCCGCAATCTACTCGATCAGGGCCCATTTTTTCTGAAGAAAAGGAAATAAGCATTCTGATTCTCCTATTAACTAAATCACAGAGACTAGAGAACCAGATAGTGTCCGTGTAGCTTTCCGTTTGTGGGTTCAATTTCCCACTCTGGTGGATTCCAGACCCTGCTGAAGATACGGCAAATATTACTACAATAGTCCTTAGCAGCAGTTATTAATAGATGTCTTTCTTCTGTTCTTTGTATGAAGGAAGCTACATAAACCCACTTGACCTCGTGTTGTTGTTCGTGCCCAGCCGCTTGTGGAATGAGGCAGCTGAATTCCTTCAATCACAAGCTCTCTGCAGACAGACTACTAATTACGAGGCTCTTATTTAATAAGAGGTACCTAATTAAGATTCAGCTGGGCTGGCCCTACCGCGTATTTGAAGCTCCAGTTCTGCACCTCCTTGAAATTCAAATCCTTTCTCTTTCTCTCTCCTGCGAGTGCACGTCAATACTACTACTATCTAGTAAAAGGTCGGTCAAGGTAGTCCCTTCTAGCTGCCTAAATTCTTCCCCACGTCACAGATTGTTTTTTAAGCTGCCCTCTTTTGTTGAAGGAGTTGTATTTGCTGATTGATATTTTGCAGTAGAAACCAGCGACAGATCGAATTTTGTTTAATCGCTTGAGCATCAGTAGCGATGGCTTCTTTCCCCATAATGTACCCCCTTCGCGCGGTTCAGGCCGTTTTCGCGCTGATTGTTCTGGCTCTGACAGGACATGGTTCGTTGTTGTTGTTTTTTTTTTTTTTCTCTTTTCTCCATTATTTTCATCGTCATATCTGACCCCTTCCAGTCATCAACCAGGCACGGGGTGGGGCAGACACTATTAACTTCATGTTATTCAACGGCATTTGGACTCTGTTCATTGTAGTCCCCTATTTTATTGTGGCGCCCATGTTCCTCCCTGTCGTTGCGCATCGTTACGCTGTCGCGGCTGTGGATGGAGTCACCATGATCTTCTGGTTCGCTGGTTTCATTGCTCTGGCCACTGATCTTCCTGCTGCGTCTACTTGTGGGCATTATGGGCTTTGCCAGGAGCTGCAGGCGGCCGTAGCGTTTGGCGCACTTGACTGGTATGTTATTGAGGTCCCCAGTTACTTTGGAAAGATCGTAGCTCACATGGATGGATGTGTGTAGGGCTCTCTTCGTGGGTACCCTTGTACTGTCAATCATGGCTGCTCTCCGAAAGGGACCCAGCTCTGAGCCTCAGCCTCCGACCACTGTGGTGCCTTGAGTCTCGAAAGAAAGAAAGAAAGAAAGAAAGAAAGAAAGAAAGAAAGAAAGAAAGAAAGAACTTGAATGTTGGAATGGAAGCTATGACGTCAATATCCCGCCGCTTTAACAACCCTCGTTTACCCTTAATGCTTCTCAAACCGAATTCAGATATTAGTTTATATACCCATGTCGATCGTTTTGAATAAATTATAATCATGATGATTAACTAATGAATCTTGCTTTGCCGACGGGATCCGCTTAGAAAATTTGGTGAGTTTCCATTTGCGGCGTCCTGAGTAAAATCCCTTAATTATTACGAGAGGAAAAAAGAAAACGCCCTTTTTTTTTTTTTTTTTTTTTTTTTTTCTGGCCACATCCGCCAATTCGCCATTCGCCATGTCGAGGATTTCCTTAACGGATGCTCAGACCAGTCATCGGACGAGAGATCCCTAGTTCAGAGTCCAGACTGTGGCACACAATGGGGAAGGCAAAGAAAAAAAAAAAATCTGTCCCGCGATGGTTGGTCTGTACCTAATATAACCAAGTATCCCAGTCCAAAACGATAACGTTGCATTCGGCAGACTTCATTTCTTTTACATAACCTACTCTTGTCAGATTCTCCTTTATCTGCTTCTACTCTGCGGGAAATAGAGACGGGGGAATCCCAGTCTACCTGGGAGGGATTTTTATTGATCTTCCTTCAATTTGAACCAGAGAGAGAGAGAGAGAGAGTCTGAGACTGACATCTTCCACTTCGTTATCTCTGCTCTTTCCTTTCCTTTCCCCCTTCTCTTCTTCTTCTTCTTCTTCTTCTCTGATTCATCGCTGCGCTTTTTGCCAATTGGACCGTCGAGAGCCAGCCATGGCCTCTGAGACTGATTTCACCCCCGTGGCCAAGGAAGGAAAGGACAAGATGCCCAACGAAGAAGCGGTTCAGCTCCCTGCTCCTCCAGCTAATGGGATCGACGACCTGGACTGCGAGAAGTATGGTGCCGGCCCCGAGTCGAATCCACTGCCAGACCTGAAGCGGAAGCTGAAGAGTCGACACTTGCAGATGATTGCTATCGGTATGGTTTTCTTGATTTTCCTCTGCGGCAGCCCTGCCCCAGGAAGGCCACATGTGCTCACTCACGTATGCTAGGTGGTACCATTGGTACTGGTCTGTTCATCAGTAGCGGGACTGCGATTGCGACGGCCGGACCCGTGGGGGCTTTGATTGCCTATATCTTTGTCGGTTCGATTGTCTACTCCGTGATGACCGCTTTGGGAGAAGTCGCGACCTATATCCCGATTCCCGGAGCGTTTACCGCATACGCCACCCGTATGATTGACCCTAGTCTCGGTTTTGCTATGGGTTGGATCTATTGGTTTTCCTGGGCCATTACCTTCGCCTTGGAACTGACCGCGACGGGGCTGATCATTCAATTTTGGGACCGTAGCATCAACATTGCCATCTTCATCGCTATCTTCTGGGTTTTGATCACCATCTTCAACTTCTTGCCCGTTAACTTCTTTGGGGAACTGGAGTTCTGGTTCTCCAGTATCAAGGTGCTGACCGTGGTCGGATTTATGATCTTCGCCATTTGCATCAACGCGGGAGTGGGCGATGAGGGTTACATTGGGTTCCGCTACTGGGTTCACCCCGGCCCCTTCAATCCATACAAACACGTCACGCCTGAGTCGACGGCCAAGTTTGTCGGTTTCTGGGCGGTTCTCATCCAGGCCGGGTTCTCCTACCAGGGGACAGAGTTGGTCGGTATTGCCGCTGGCGAGACCGAGAATCCTCGCCAGACTGTGCCGTCGGCTATTCGCAAGACCTTCTTCCGTATCCTGTTTTTCTTTGTCCTGACCATTTTTTTCATTGGAATTGTGGTGCCCTCCAACAACGACAACCTCCTCACGGACGGAAACGATGCCAACTCGTCGCCATTCGTCATTGCCGCCAACCTTGCTGGTGTCAAGGTTCTCCCCTCGATCATTAATGCTGTGTTGTTGACGGTGGTGCTCTCGGCCGCCAATTCCAACGTCTACAGCGCTAGCCGTATTCTGATTGGTCTGGCCCAGGAGGGATTTGCTCCCAGGTTCTTCAAGAAAACCACCAAGAACGGGGTGCCTTACTACAGTGTTGCCTTCACCGCCTGCTTTGGTCTGCTGGGGTTCATGAATGTCTCCAGCGCGGGAAGCACTGTGTTCAACTGGTTCCTGAACATCTCGAGTGTGGCCGGTTTCATTAGCTGGGCTTCGTTGAATGCATGCCACCTCGCGTTCATGCGCGCGTTGAAAGCTCGCAACATCTCCCGCGACCTGCTCCCCTACAAGGCTCTGTGGCAACCGTTTTACTCCTGGTACGGGCTCTTCTTCAACATCCTCATCATCATCACCCAGGGGTTCACCTCGTTTATCCCCAGTTTCAATGTCCGGGAGTTCTTCATCGCCTATATCAGTGTGATTCTCTTTGTGGTGCTCTATGTCGGACACAAGATTGTCTACCGCACATCGTTCGTCCAGCCTATCGATGCCGATATCGACACGGGCCGTGTTGCCTTGGAGAACGAGTACTGGGAGACCACGACTTCGGACGAGAAGTGGTATAAGCGAATGTACAAGGCACTTTTCTCCTAAGACGTGCTCGTTACCTCATCCAATCTTTGTATATTTCTGCTGGGGTCCCGTTTTTGGATGTACATTATTATGTTGTTTACGTTTTTGGATGTCAAGCATTGGCAGGGAGTTTGGGTGAATTAGAAATATATATCTATATAGTTATTTATATATATATTATTAAGAATAAGTCTCTACGTGGACTTGTAATCTAAAATTTCAATTTTCAAGAGTTTCCAATATGAATGCAGAGTACAGTTTCAGGGCTTCACATGCATCTGGACCTTGGACACATCTAACGGAGGAGATTGTCTTTCCTAGCAGTTAGAGCTTACTCGGGTAGGTAACAGAGATGAGAGACTACCTAGGTGCATAACTTACCCTCGGTAACTACCTAGAACTGGCAAGTGCAAGAATAAAACATCATTAGACAAGATTCAAGAATGTACCGAGGCCCATCTGCTGTGGAGCAAAAGAGTGCAGCCACTTATGTATCCATCAGCTTTCCCGAACCCCCATAATTTGCCTTCATGGAGAACAAGAACGGAATCAATGACTAGAATGTGATCGTGCTCTCTCCATCTTCCCCTTTCTTCTCTTTCTCTTTCTCTTACTCTCTCTATTCACCTCTTTTTTTTATTTCCTACCCCACGCTTGTCCATCTCCCCTTCTTTCTTATTATTCCCGCTGCCTCCGGATTCGGGCGACCCGTTCCTCCCTTTCTTTCCTTGTCCTCTAGGTATATTCGGTGATTAGGTTGGTTTCGTATCCCATTGACCATTTCATTTGCCCTCCTAGCCGTAACTGACCGGTGTTTTCGGAATCAGGAGCAACCATGTTCTTCTCTCAAGACCCTACACACTTCGTCCGCGCCGCGGAACTCAGGCAGGAACCTCCAAAGGGCACTCCTTACTCTGTCGCCATCCCAGGCAGCGAGCAGCCCGGACGCAGCCCCGTCTATCGTACATGGAACGCACAGAAGGAACTCGTCAAGACGCTGGACCCTAAGGTACGCGATCCCCTTTCTACCTTTTTTTTTTTTCTACTGAATCGATTGCATAGGTTACCACGGCCCATGATATGTTCGAATCGACCGCAACCCGTCTTCCCAAATCAGACTGTTTTGGATGGCGTCCATACGACCCCGTCACAAAGACTTATGGCCAATACCAATGGATGGATTACGAGACCGTCCAGAAGCGACGCACTGTCTTGGGTGCTGGTTTGGTGGAGCTTCATCACAAGCACGGTTGCGCTCGCCTGGGCCAATACGGTATTGGTCTCTGGTGCCAGAACCGACCGGAATGGCAGATTACAGGTATCATCTCTCTAACTTGCCCGTGGTGAAGGGAAAAAAAAAAAAAAAAAAAAAAAAGCTAACGGGGTTTAGATCTGGCATGCATGTCCCAGAGCCTGTACTCCGTCTCGATCTACGATGTCCTCGCTTCCGACGCTACAGAATATATCATCAACCACGCAGAATTGAATTGTGTTGTGGCTTCTTTGCCTCACATCCCCACATTGATCAAGCTGAAGCCCCTGTTGCCTGATCTGAAGATGATTATCTGCTTGGATCCTCTGGATGCGGGAGAAGAGAACGGTCACTCTAAGCGCGCGCTCCTGGAGTCTATGATTGCGCAGCAGGATCTTGCGCTTTACACCATGGACCAGGTGGAGCAGCTTGGCGCCGCCTCTGGCCGTCCCTGCAACCCTCCCAAGGCCTCCGATATCGTGACCGTTAGTTATACCTCTGGCACCACCGGCGCCCCCAAGGGCGTGGTGCTGACCCACGAGAACGCGGTCTCGGCGACCTCCTCCGCTCTGGTTACGATCCCGCAGGCCCGTGGCGATACAATCGCATCGTACCTGCCCCTGGCGCACATTTTCGAACGGTTGACGGAACATGCCGCCTTATGGGCTGGGGTTCGTATCGGATTCTTCCATGGAAACATCCTCGAGCTGGTTGACGATCTCAAGATGCTGAAGCCCTCTGCATTCGTGTCGGTCCCCCGCCTCTACAGCCGGTTCGGAACTGCCATCCGTGCTGCCACCCTCGATGCCCCGGGATTCCGGGGAGCGCTCTCCCGACACGTTGTTGCAGCCAAGACTGCCAACCTGGAGAACCCCGACCCGAGCAAGGCCACGGTCCGGCATGCTCTGTACGACCGCATCTGGGCCAAGAAGGTTGCCTCGGCTATTGGTCTGGAGCGCGTGAGGGTCATGGTTTCTGGATCCGCACCCTTGGATCCTTCTCTGCACAACTTCCTGCGCGTGGCTATCGGGGCGGATTTCAACCAGGGGTACGGCTTGACCGAGTCGTATGCTATGGCGTGTGCCCAATCGTCGAAGGATTTGAGTTCAGGCAACTGTGGCCGCGTGGCTCCTAGCACAGAAGTCTGCTTGTTGTCTCTTCCCGACATGGAGTACTCGGTTGATGACAAGCCCTTCCCCCGCGGTGAGCTGCTCCTGCGCGGCCCCAACGTTTTCCGCGAGTACCTGAAGAACCCGGAGGAGACCTCCAAGGCCATCACTGAGGATGGATGGTTTCGCACCGGCGATGTCTGCACCATTGATGATATGGGCCGTGTTATCATTATCGATCGCCGCAAGAATGTCCTCAAGCTCGCGCAGGGCGAGTATATTTCGCCGGAGCGCCTGGAGGGTCTCTGCATGTCCGAGCTAGGCTACTTTTCGCAGGCCTACATCCACGGGGACAGTGTGCAGACCTTCTTGATCGGCGTCTTTGGCGTTCAGCCTGAGCTGTTCGCTCCCTTTGCCAGCAAGGTTCTCGGCCAGACCATCGAGGCGACTGACCTGGAGAGGATCAAGGCCGTGCTGAACGACGACAAGATCCGTAAAGCCGTGCTGAAGGATCTCGAGCGGGTGGCCAAGAAGCACAGGCTTGCCGGATACGAGAGGGTGAAGAACTGCGCTCTGATGGTTGAGCCATTTACAGTTGACAACAACCTGTTGACACCCACGTATGTTGTTTTTTTTACCTTACCTTCCCCCGCCATATTCTCTCGGGATGAAACAAACTAACAGCATTGTTGCAGTCTCAAGCTTAAGCGACCTCCTGTTGTGAAGCAATATCGCCAGCTTCTGGATCAGCTCTATGCGGATGCGATTGAAGAACAGTCTGCTCCGAAGGCCAAGCTGTAGATTTTGATAGATTTTTTTTTTTTTTTACTTTGGTTGTACATACATATGTTCTCGGTTCGTCCAGTAGTATTCTTATTCATGTATGAGGTTTTAGCATTGTGTATATCATCATATGATTTAAAATCCAGTAGATGATTTCCACTTATTTTGTAGGAATACAGAGAGAGAGAGAGTAACTTTGGGAAAGCTTGGCATCCTCAGCGCAGCCTCTCCTCCTTCTTCCTTCCAAGCTCCCATCACCTCTCTACCTACCACAGCTCAACCCCAAAGAATACACAAAATGAAACTACCATCATTATACCCATCCATCCTCCTCCCGCTCCTCTTCTCCCTCCCCACCCCGGCCGTCTCCGCGTCTTCCCTCAAAATCGTCATCCCCCCTTCCACCCTGCTCCCAAACCCGCACTCCCTCCCACCCGGAACCCACGCAACCCTCACCTCCCTCTCCCGGCCCCTGGATCCCTCCGCGTCGTCGAGAGAACAACCCACCCGCAAAAGCATCCTCAAGGCCCCGCTCACCCGCGCCGCCTCGTTCGTGTTCGATCTCGCCCTGAACGCCCCCGCCCCCGCCACCACCAATGCCGCAGCCCAGTCTTCGTATCTCCTCGATATCCGGGCCCCGGAGTACGTCTTCGCGGCGTATCGAGTCGACGTCTCCAGCGAGGGAGAGCTCCTCGGCGTCTGGGAGACTTTTCGCGGAAATGCCTGGGAGAATACGGGGGTGGAGAAGTTTTCGTCTTCCTCGAGCTCTGCTTCCACTTCTGAATCCGAATCTGAATCTGAATCCGAGTCATCACGCTCTGCGTCCAGTGCCGATGTGATTATCATCGATGCCAAAGTGCTCGGGAAGAAAGCGTTCTATGAGATTCGTCCCAAGTGTATGTTTTTGTTCCCCCCCCCCCCCCCCCCCTCTGATTCTTGTTTCTTGTTGGGTGGATGGATGGATGGCTGTGTGTGTGTGTGACTTCACTAACTAACTATCTAACTAACGGTAACTAATAGTCTCGCCCCTGGCGCTCTTTAAGAATCCCATGATTTTACTGGCCCTCGTTGCCTTGGGGTTCACTTTTGGAATGCCCAGGCTTATGGAGAATAGTACGTTTCTTTTTCTTTTCGTTTCTTTCTATCTGCTAGCTGGCTCTAGCTATTTCTCGGACTTGCCACGAAGAACGGTTCGCTAATTGACTAACCAGTGGACCCCGAAATGCGCGCCGAATTCGAGAAACAGTCTCGCGCCTCTCCGCTTTCCGGCGCCGCCTCGGGTGCCATGTCCGCTGGGGGCCCGGCGAACTTTGATCTGGCTGGTTGGATGGCTGGCCAGGCTGCCCCTGCCCCTGCCCCTGCCCCTGCGTCTGGCGCTGGCGCTGGAGATGGCGAGGTGGCTGGATCTCGAGGGGCTGCGAGTGCGAGGGATAACCGGGGTGCGGCGCGGAGACGATAGCTTGCGATGAATGTTCGATAACGAAACCAGGTATGGTTAGGATTATTCTAGATGGGGGGGGGGTAGGTATATATATATATACAGAGTATGAACTTGCACACATTACAGTTTATCCTTCATTCATCTTTCTTTTTCCTAGGCAGATAGAAAATGTCGTCTCTGTACAGTATATCTTGTCTAGTACAGAAGATAAGAGTCAAAGTAAAGAAACGAGGCAGCATTAGATTGGAACGCAACGAACAAACGCCAAGAAAGGATACCTATGCCAACCCAGCTCCTCAATTATACAAAAACCATAACCAAACATAGCTTGCATAGCTTGCATAGCATGCATAGCATGCATAGCGAATATAGCATTAGCGCAATCATCATCATCATCATCATCATTGTTGTTGTTGTCTGCACCACCACATCATAACAAACCGAACCAAGCTGAAAAAAGAGAGAGAGAGAGAGAGAGGCTAGGCCAACTAGAAATCACCACCATCGAAATCGCCACCGCCATAATCACCGCCATAATCACCGCCATAATCGTCATGGTCATCAAACGCATCAGCTAGCAGCATCCCACCTAGCAATCCACCACCAACACCCAACGCCGCCGCTCCGGCCATGCCCATCCCCCCGCCCCCTGTCCGTCGCGCAGGCTGCTGCTGCTGCTGCTGCTGCATTGCAGGGTAATAATACCCCTGCGGCTGTTGCGGATACCCTCCATAACCTCCATACTGCTGGGGCGGGTAGCCTCCATAGCCCTGGTGAGGGGGACCAGACCCATACCCCTGAGGCGGATAGCCCCCGTACCCTTGGTGCGGGGGGTAATGTGGTTGGGATGGTTGGGGGGATGGTTGTTGCTGGTATTGCTGTGGAGGAGGTGGTCGACTTCCACTAGAGCTTGACTTGCCCATCAATTTACTGAAGAACCCCTTTTTGCCCTTGTTGCTCCCACTGAGGGAGGAAGGGGTGGTTCCCGGTGCTGGTGGCGCTGCGGCTTGTTGGTACGAGTCCCCTGCGGAAGCACCGGGGCCGCCGCTGCTATAGTAGGAATCGGCTGCCCCCCTCGTCCCCGAGGAATGAGCCTTCGCATCCTCCTCAGCCTGTAACCTCGCTGCGAGCTCTGCGTCGGATTCCTCGCTCGGTCCTGCAGCTTTGGACCCCGGAATTGAGTCACTACTATGACTGTAGGGATTATTCGATGACAGATGCGCCTTTTTCTTCTCTGAGTCTGAGGCACTCGCGAGCGCAGAGGGGTTGGCGGGTCCGGATTCCTCGTAGGAGGGCGGCGGCGGTGCAGCACTGGAGTCTCGATCGTGATGATGGGTGGAGGACGACGAGGGTGTTGGGGATGTTGCTGGTGGAGGGGGCCCGCGGGGAGGAGGAGGACCAGCGGAGGGTTTTTCCCATTGGGATTTGCCGGTTGCGAGGTTGATGTAGAACCTGGAATTCATGTTAGTGTCTCTCACCTCCTTGGATGGTTTAATGGGTCAAATAGAGACAAGGGTGTGTCATACCACTGTTGGTAGTTGTCGTCGAACTGGGCTGTCCATCCCTCCGGGACGGTAGGAGGAGGGGGACCGGAAGGCGGGGCGAACGACATCAATAGAGATTTAATAAGAATCCAGGGGGGTTAGAGTATAATATCCTCTGAATCACAAAGGAGAAGGTGATGTGGAAGAAGAAGAAGAAGAAGAAGAAGAAGAAGTAACGGGCCTGGTGAGGTGCGGGGGGAACAGCGGATCCTGGAATTTATCACTTGTTCTTTCGCACGCCAAAGAACCATTAATAAGAGGTGCGGCGGTGCACAACACTCAAGATTTCACTGGTGGACGGGATTCGGAGGGCCGCCAGGCTTCCCAGATTCTTCTTCTTAGCAAGTTCTGGGCGTTGGATTGGCACTGTCGAGGTAGGTAGGTGGCTGTGTGTCTAAGCCGCTGGCTGACTGCTGGCCCTATACATATTGAATTACATGCGCTCAGGAATCGGTATAACTTCTCGCTATATTTTCATTTTGTGACTAGGATTGCCCAGAGGGAATATTCGGACTGATCTCGCCGCTTTCTGGCCACCAAAAGTCATCCTCCAGATCCTCCAAGACATGTTGCAAATCTTCTTCACCTTTGAAGTTTTGCCTGCGGTATTCCTTAGGAGCTTCACGAGGGGTTACAGGAACGCTCGATTCAGAATCATGGTTGGTAAGGTCAATGATCTCAGCTTCGACTTGGGTGAGGAGAAGCGGCGATAAAACTGCTTTCTGGAGTCTCCGTTTATTCTTTGGTGAAGCCTGGAAGTCAGAACCATCGATATCGTCATCACTCTCGGCAGATATATCAATGAAATTGCCGTTCCCAAATGCCACTGTTCTGGCGCCTACATCCTTTTTTTCCTTGCGTCTCTTATTCTTGCCCGGTCGTTGATTCCGCATCTTCGAGACTAGAATGCAACCTTCCACATGTCTTTGATCCTTTTCGCTAATCCCCTTTCGGTATTTAGGTTCCGGACCAGAGAGTTGGCATATCTCGCGCTCTGGAATCAGCGGCGTATTTGCAATCTTGTCGGCTGGAGTGCCATCTGGCCTAGCCCAGGCTGCAAAAGGACCTTTATAACGCGGCCCCTTCCCCGGTCCGAAGATAGGATGCTGCTCAAGCTCTCCAGAGGCTATCAGCTCCCGGGCTGGCATCGCGTGTGATTCAGAGTCTGATTCGGATTCTGGGTTGATCGAAGAGGGGCTTTCGATAAATCGCATGGTCAAGTCGTCCCCGGTAGTGAGAGGCCCAGTAGATAGAATGTGTACCCCCCCAGAGCTATCCCCAATCAAAAGGTTTGACTTATCGTTCGAGAAAGCACCACAAGTAATTTCCTCCTGGAAAGTGAACACATCTTGTATAAGCACATCCTCTGGAGACAAACGGATATCCCACCTCTTTAATACACCATCAGAGGCGCCTGTATAGAGTTGGTCCATTCCATCACCCCACAGGTGTAGCCTTACACCCACGTCTGCCTGTTCTCTGGTCATGGTTTCATCGAGCTGGTTGAGGGCCCGACCATGCTGTAGTCGATGTACAATATTTCCAGCCTTTCTGCAATCCCAAACATAAGTAACACCATCAGTGCAGCTGGCAGCAACGTAATTAGCGTTCAAAGGACAGAATGCGACTTCGTTCATATCCAGAGCTGGACACTCGAGCTCCATTGTGCGGGTCCTAAATCTAATGGGCTCATAGATACTGACAACAGACCGTGTGTTTCTACCGGCTAATTGACCAGCAGAGCTTGCAGTAACAAAGGTTGGTAGTGCGGGATGCCATTTGATGTCAAATATGGTTTGCGAATTTGGAGTATAATATAAGGGTGTGGCTGTTGATTCCCCTATCTGCCAAGCCGCAAGAAGGCCACTGGCAGATATGCCATCATCCTTCTCAGCCATCCCGGCAAGTAGAATATTCTTGGTTGGTCCATTAATTCCCCACGCTAAGGAAGTTGGTGACAGTTCAATCTCTTTCTTGGAGCGTGGGCGTGGAAGCTCGAGAGCAGTGTACTGGGACTTCTTGATGTCCCATAACCCTATCGAGCGCGTTCCCGTCGCTAGAACATTCTCGTTCAGGTTTGATCGGGCCATGACGACTACTTTCGAGTCGTGCCGTAGGGTCTTATAGCATGTGGCCTTGTCCTTAGAGACGTCCCAAAGTCTCACTGTTTTATCGTAGCTGGCAGTATACAACGTATCTTGGTGCCACTCCACAGCGGTGACACTCATAAATAGTCGAGAATCGCCCATTATCCGGCTTGCAGCATTGCGATTTAAATCAAGAGGGACCCAGTGATCGGGGAGCTCATAGAGAAGGTTTTTGGTTATATCACCTAGTATGAGATTGTTCTTCCTGTTGTACTGCAGATTATGCTCATCGCATTGTGCTGCTGCACCCGCAGCAAACCTAGTTCCGTCAGGCGACCATGCCAGAAATTCAACATCATTTGAGGCGCCTTTCCAGCTTTTTGAAAGCTTGAAATTGCTCATCAGGTTTGAACGCAAATGATCCACTTTATGCCCCAACTCTCGTTGCATTAACAGACTATCCCGAGAACTGAATGGTCGCCTACGCGCCGCCTGTTGAAGAGGCGGTGGGCGTGGGATAGAAGTAGTAGGATGGTTCGGCAAAGACTTTGGTTTTCGCGAAGAGCGGGGCTTGATCTCCTCTGCTTCCTCATCCCAAGACTCGCCGATATGGAGTGGTGCGTAATAATTTGTTGGGCCACTTTTTGGACGACACGAGCGCCGCACCCGAGGTTCCTGGGGGGGGCTTCGGGCCTGTGACGATTGCGGGCTCTGTCTTCTCACGGAACTTGATCCTTTTTCTCTAGTGGCCGGTAAAACAACTTTCCTGTCGCTGGTAGGTCTAATATTCATCACTGAGTGTCCCAATCCAGTCGAGGGTTGCGAAGCTCGTTGAGGACGCATCTGGGTGTTTCCACGGGGTATTTTGACCCTGTTTTGAGGTGGTTGTGCCTGGCCATCATTTTGTCCTGGTGTGGATATCTGGAAGAAAGGATTCTGTCTCCTTGATGAGGACGGACGGGTCACCAGGTCACCATGGGGTTTCTGATTCGGTTTGGAAGCATGTTCTGGCGTTGGTTCATTCCAATCATTTCTCACGGACACGTCTTGTAGAGCGGCATGTGTGTGGGACGAAGCGCCATGACGATGAGAACTTCCTAGCGAAGGGTTCTGCGCATCGTGCGAAGAGCTTCTCATAAACTGCGAGAGCAGAGACTCGGACTCCTGGATCATAGAAGGGTCGTCAGATCCCAAAAGCAAAGGGCTTGGGGAGTAGGAGAACGAGGAAGGTTCTTTTCCCATGTCCAAGCAAGGTTAGGGGGTACACTAGGAGGAGAAGGAAAGCTGTAAGCACGGAGTTTGAGAGTAAGCTAGCTAAAGACACTCACCAGATCTTCAATGATATCTCTATACTTGGGTGTTCAAATATTCAAATAGAAAGCTGCATGATCCCAACAAACTTTTGGTGTGCGCATGGATCCTCACTGCGTCCACATGGATGATGACACCCCAGTAGTTTCTCGTTAAACACAAATGCAAACGTGTAATAGCAAGCCGTAAGCTAGTTTGGTTGATGCAAGATGCTAGTGAAGAGCTTTGCATTTACAAGCAGGGTAGTATCGTCATCACCCGTTCCGACTCCCAAGGATAACTGTGTTCTCCAGGCTCATCAAGGTCGCTTGGAAGGGAGACGCCGAAGGACAGATGTGTTGCAAAGGCCATAAACAACCTAGATTGTGGAAACGTGACTGCAAGAGATACACCAACATCATAGTTAGATTGGAAATGAGAGCGGTACAAGAAGATTCGACTTACATGCAAATCATGTAAGGCTGGGGGGTTGTGCGGCTAGCAATCTGTATCTTCGGAGTCGCGAGACTTGGGCACAATAAGTGAGAACCTGCTCCAGGGTCTAGAGAGAGGAATCAAGTTCCCAAGTGTAGACAAAGAAGAGTTGGAGCTGGACGCGTGAACGCGCGGGAGTCAGTATTTCCTAAATTGGTAGGCGGTCGATACTATTTTTCTGGGGACGAGGAGGATGAATTACTCCACCGTTTTGGGATTTCTTTTCTTCTTCTTAAAATGCGGAGAGCACTGGTGGCGCCGGGGGTAAATTACTTTTTGGTAACAACAAAAGGAATCGTACACACGAAGGAAGACTATATACATGATATGGCAGCAGGGACAAATGCAGCTTTCGCCTCCACTCCTGCATTAGGGCTGCTCTCTGTATCTCGCTAGGGATTGACCGCAATGGAACCCTCGGATACTCATATAATGGAGCCATTTTTTTTTTCTTTTTTTAAATGTGATTGATAAACAAGCGCCGGTTTAGACTAGCAGATCTAAATATGCAGGCCAGACCTTACGGCATGAGAGGCAAGGTCGGTCCGCCTTCCACCATGGCTGCATTGTTTGGGATATAGAAGTGCTTGGAGGTTCCGTTCCACTGCACGAGAAATCGCTTCCGTTATTTAGAGACACGGGCCCTTTTGCGGAGGTTTACCATAATTTCATATAGGACATCCTTGAAGGCAAACAAAAATGCCGCAGTGATTGCGCTTTGGGTGACCTTGGGGACGATTCCTGTAGTTCGCTGTCAGTCCCGAATGCGGTGATCCTCCCGGAGTAAAATCTAACTTGCCTTTGTACAAACCAGAATAGCCCTCCTCCTTGATGATTCTCTTTAGGCTGCCGTTCAAGGTCTCCTTGGGGCCATCCTTGCTGGCAACATGCATCCGGCTCTTGACAGTGATATAAGGATATGTGATTGAGGTAGCCATAATTTTGCCGAGGGCGCCTAGGTAGAAGGCGTCCTTTGGCGTCATACGCCTGCGCCGTTCCACCATGTTCTTCAACTGCTCGAAGATGGTATACTGCAAGATAGGGTTAATCACTAGGATGAGAGCTGGCAGGACACCAGCAAAGAGAGCCTTGGGGCCTTCTTGTTTAAGCAACTCCATGAGCGTGCCAAATGTTGAGGTACGCGGTTTCTTGGGAGCATCAGGAAGGGACTGGCTGTCTTCGGACTGGCGTGCGGTCATTCTGGTGTTGATAACCCAAATAGGGTTGGTAATCAAGACAGTCGCGCTGCCCGCGATTGCACCCGCAATCATTGACTCCGCCGTCGAGAGTTTTTTCGATCGACCTGCTTTCACAGCAGCCCTCTCGAAGGCTGAACGAGTCCATTCGTACCAGTAGTAATACACAAAGTTTGTAACACTAATGCCAAACAGTGCGGATTCAAGGCCGGAGTAAAGCCCACTAATTCCTTCCCTCTTGACAATAGAGCGAATAGCATCGATGGTGGAAGACTGAGCACGCTTGGATTCAACTTGGGCTCGAGTAGAAAGAGTAATCAGCGGATAGCTACGAGGAGGCCAAAGACGTGTTAGATATCTTCAAGTCGAGTGCGGGAGACGTTGGACCCACGTACGTTAGCACCATCGATAGGATACCACCCCCAGACCCTGCCAGGGCGTGGGCTATGTTGTCACTTTGCTGCAGCGCTGCAGATGCAGCTACTTTCGTTGGGTCCTCAACCTTGGACAGAGACATTGTGGATATTGATAGGTCAGATCCTTGAAGATTTGGAATGTATTGAGGCAGCGATCTTGCACGTTGATGCTTATCGGTCAAATTGCACTAGTTATGTAAGTTATATCGACAGGTTATAGTTCCACAGGCAAGGTTGTAAGGAGTGAAAGAATCCCTAGTATTCAAAGAGAATTGGAAGGGAAAGAGAAAGGAGCCACAGACAAGGAGTGATATAGGAAAGACAATCGGAATGAAATGAAGGGGCAGCTTGGGAATGGACTGAAGATGTTTGGATCGGGTTGGCTTGGGGAATGATGATTTTCATGACGTTTCTCCCGAATCCTGGGCCTCGGCTGATTCCAACCGGGCCGGTCGATTCCTCCTTCACCCGTTTTACCCTCACTCACTCTCTATTTTAGTACAAGAACATCAGGACATCTCTCTCTCTCTCTCTCACTAACTCTCTCTTTTTATGAAACTGCTTAGGCTAACTATTTCTTACAGCTTCATGAATTACCAAGAATACTCCTCCTGTGGTCTACAACGATCCGGTTGATGAGAGATTATAGTACCTGAAGTGTGAAGCGCAACATGTGGCCACCGCCGCGGTGAACTTCCTTAAAAACGGTGTCTAGTTCGACCTAGGCTAGGGCCGAGGTTGAACCTGTGGATATGCATACATTAGTACGGAGTAGTTACTTCTTAACCTTCGAGTAGGTACAGCTATCTCCGCTTAGAATAACCATACCTATGGAAAAGATGAGGCCCTGCATGTGAGAGCAACATGTCCAACGTAGTTGGCTGGTCCAAATCATATGGTCAATTTAACCCTTTTTAAAAAGCCCATTTAATCTTCACCCACAAGACTTTGGCTGATATTTTGTTGGAGGGGGGAAGGTGGGGGGGGGCTTTAAAACTAGACCCTGGTCCATGTCGAGTGACTAGAGTCACTAGACTATTGGTTTTTTTTTCTTCTTCTTCTTCTTCTTCTCGTTGGACTATGGTGACAATGTCACCAACATCGTGAGAATTTTCTGTCGGAATAAATCGTTACACATACAGTTAAAACAAATCACGGGAGGGCTCAACATAATTACTCAAATCCATTCAAATGAAGAACATTACCCACAATATCTCGAGTTGCCTAGTGTCTCTCTAATCTACGCCCCATCTTCAAAGTCTCTCTGTATCATAATAGCCCCCGGTAGTCCTGTGGCTGTCCCGATAGAACACAAGAAGACCAGCTGCAGGACAATAACAACTTACAATCTAGGGTTTATCACCAAACAAGCAGGTCCACTAATCATTCATGCGTTCCCCATTAATTGAGCCTGACAAAATACGCAAGGAATCCAACCTAAGAAACATTTGAAGAAAATGGATGTAAAAGATGCCATAAGAGAGCCGCAAAACAGAAACAGAAAACAAACACGAGGGAAAGGGAGGAAATAGAAAGAGAAGAAGGAGAGAAAATAGGGTGGTGATCGGTGGTGGGATCCTGTATAAAGACAAAATGTAGACCGGCCCAGGCATGACGGAGAATAGAAGTACCCCCAACACTCATCCCCAGCAAATTAAAACTGATCAATACCGTTCGTTCGTACCATGCGAAAGGGTGGGTAAAATCGCCAAACACCGGGAAGCAGATCGGAAGTCCCTTCGATGGGTATACTTCCCCAGCGCCAACTTGGTGTTCAACAACACATGGTTCGTGTCATGATTCGTCTAACAGCAGCCACCTGCGGAACCAGATTGAACGCCTTGTCCCTGGCCAACCTGCACGGTCGGCTTGTTGTTGACGGTCGCAGTGCCCATTCGCTCCTTAATCTGGCGGGCCATGGTTAGGAAGGCTTGCTCGACATTGGAGGCGTTCTTGGCAGAGGTTTCCAGGAAGGGGATTCCAAGGCTATCCGCAAATTCCTAGAAAGCGGAAAGAAAACCAGTAAGCAGCAGTCGAGTGGGAAATATGCGATCGATGGGCAAGGGAGGGGAGAGGCGACTATCAGTAATTTGGGTAGGTCATAGGGAAAACAAACCTTCGCAACGGTATACTCCACAACCTTCTTGTCCTCCATATCGCTCTTGTTACCCACAAGCAGCTTGTTGACACCTTCGGTCGCATAACGGTCGATCTCCTGGAGCCACTGCTTGACGTTGTTGAAAGAATCCATATCAGTTACATCGTAGACGACACAGATGCCGTGAGCACCACGGTAGTAAGACGATGTGATGGTTCGGAAGCGCTCTTGACCGGCAGTGTCCCACTATCAAAAGACTGTCAGATATATTCGCCATCAGTAAGGTCATCGGGTTCTCATACAATCTGGAGCTTCACTGTCTTGCCATCGAGCTCGATGGTGCGGATTTTCTACCATCAACCAGTCAGTATATCTCATCGCCACGGGAATCCTTCATCTCCAAAAGTGACTGAAGCAGATCAAGAAATATTATGTCCGGAACAGGGGTACACACAAAATCAACGCCAATGGTGGAGATGTAGCTTTCCGTGTAGGTGTCGTCCGCAAATCGAAGAAGCAAGCAAGACTTTCCAACACCGGAGTCTCCGATAAGGAGAAGCTTGAAGAGGTAATCGTATCTATTAATGCGGTTAGGCCACTTTTGAAAGGGGGGGATAGATCGGGGGTCGTGGATTTCCGCCGCTGGACTGGGGTTGGGGGGGAGGGGGAACAAAGGATCCTAGATATACTCTGGTTGTTTGCAACAGAATCAGCAACGAGAGCGACAGAGACAGTGGAGAGGGTTCGTATATGAAAGCCAAAGGAGAGAAGAGGGCGCCATATTGTTGTGAGGAGTCGAATGGGCGGCCCTGGAGAATGTAGGCAGACGTTCGAGCACACTTACCACTCAGGATTCATATTGAAAGGAGGTGGGATGTCTGCTATCGAAGCAGTAGACTGGAAGGGAGAATCTAATAGGGGGTTGAAGCGAAGATAACAGCTGGTCCAACGAGAAGAGCGGCGAGATTGAAAGGATGTAAAGTAGCTTTGGAAGAAGTCGAGACAGATGAACTTCGGCGGTCTTTGAAATGGCGGTTGCGTTGCTGAGAGTGCAGGAGAGCAAACGAGCCCAGCGTGCAGGCAACCTGTGACCGTTTCACGTTTCCCCCCGACCCCCAGCCTATGACCTAATCAGGTCTAGTGCACCCATCCAAAGTAATTCTTCTCCATCTCCGTTTGTTTTTTTTTTAGATTTTTTTTTTAGATTTTTTAATCAAGTGAAGTTGACATTCACTGCTTTATCCGGACAGACATCTTTTTTTTCCCCTTCATGGGCGTTTGTTCCCTCGTGACTGGCTTCGTTATCATTCTGGGGATGGACCAGTACGTACGCTACGTGGCAATCGATAACGATAGATACAATCATTGAATAACTAGTTATTAGCATCAGCTGCCTAGCTTACTTACTTAACCTTTCCCCTGCTGAGATAAGGCCTTGAATTTCTGCTGTAAACCATCGGTACTCTTTTTTGGTTACGTCCCCCAACGTTCAAGCATAACCATGGGCTTGAAGCCACTCCAACACTAGCTTCTCCTCTCTCTCCTTGTAGTTTGCGCTGGTCCGGATACTGTCTGCAACGATCACCAGGGCGCGATCATACGCACTAGTGTCCTTATTCTTGAAGAATGAAGCAATGTCAGCTGCAACACTATGGTCCGCAAACTTCGACAATCCCATCCGCACAAATCGCTCAAAGACGACATTGTTCGCGGAAAGGCGAGCTTCAACAGCGGTCCAGTTGTTCTTGATGTACTCCCACAACAGACTTCGGACCTTCGAGTTGGCTGCCAGGGAAACTGCACCATTGTGGACATCCTGGATTGCAACCTTGTCGGAAAAGACGAAATCCAAGTAATCGTTGACGAGCTTCGCATCTTTCGTGCGTCCAAGAGCAGACAGGCAAATTTCCTTGCCATCAACGGAATCTGTCTTGAGATATTCGTCCTTCACAGCGTCAAACTCAAGTTGGCTGCCGTCCGAAATAGCGATGCTGAAAATTGTAGAGCGCAAGTTGGTGTGGACCGCATTCCTATCTTTGGCGGTAGCCCAAAGATTGAAGCGCCGCTTAGCCTCGGCCATAATGCTAAAAATGCCCATTAGTTTTGTCTGGCAATGAGAATCTCGAGGATTGAGGTACCTTTCGTGGCCAGCGAGACCAGCCATAGCAATCAGAAGCTTCCGAAGCTGGACAGTAAGATAATCGTCTTCGGGCTTGAACTCCCAACCAATCTTGTCTGCAGCAGGGGATGACAGCTCGCGGGCAAATTTCTTCAGACCTTCGGCTACAGCTTCATTCTGCGCGAACGCCGAGCGCAGGTTACCAACAGAAGCCGAGATTTGGGACCAAACCCTGTGATGTCTGTCAGTAGATATACATGAATAGGCGGAACCGACAAAACAGGAATGACTAACAGGTAGTTCTGCTCTCTCTTGAAGCCCTCTAGGAGAGCCAACAACGCAGCGGTAGTACCCTCTCCAGATACCGCAAGAGCAGCAGCATCGCCGATCAAGCCAATCTTATCTTCAGTGCTCAACACATCAAGGGATTGGCCAAGCTTTTCGAGTCTAGCAGTAGAGTAGTTGGTCCGGTAAAATCCCGAAAGATTCTTGTTAATCTTGTAGAAAGAGTGTTGGCCGATGCCTTGAATAGTGTCCACCTTAGCAGTCAGGGCACGAGATGGCTGGGCGGCCAATTGAGAACCCGACTTGATGCCGAGAGGAATCCACCATGTTGTTTCATCCTCATCGGGTTTGGCGTCGCCCGTCGAGAGGAATCGGTTCTGGCGAATCCTGAGCTCGCCAGTCGCCTCCCCCACGGTAACAACAGGGAAACCAATTTTGCGGATCCAGGGGTCCTTTTTTCATTCTGATTAGAATATGAGGGGGGAAATATATAAAATAGTTTGCAATCACTCACCATAAAGCTGTTCACATCCTGGTTAGAGGCTTTGCTGAGTGCGGACCACAGATCATTTGTGGTAGCATTGCCTGTGTGCCCTCGAATTAGCAACAGCCATAGCAAGTGGGGATTGCTGTAGTCTCATACCGTACGCGTGATCCTTGAGGTATTGAGCAACGCCCTTGAGGAAAACTTCCTGACCAAGGTGATCGCTAAGCATGCGAATGACGGAGCTGCCCTTGAGATAACTGATATGATCAAAGATTTGATCAACCTCGAGCGCATTTCGAACAGGGACTTCGATGGGGTGGGATGCACGCAGAGAGTCGAGCTGGAACGCTTGTTGGACACCTTCAGCCTATGCAGCAGTCAACTTTCTGTTGAGAAATATCAAATTTACCTCGGGAATTGCGTACAACAAACTGGGACCAAACATTCCACTCTACGGGAGTATTAGAGACAAAGTAGTTCGTTATTCATAGAGAAGAAAAACTTTACCAGGATAGAAATGGTCAACAGCGAGCCAACCAACCCAGGTTGCAAAACCTTCATTCAACCAGAGTTCATTCCACCAATCCATGGTGACCAGGTTACCGAACCACTGGTGAGCCAGTTCTAAAGTTATTATTATTATTTTTTTTTTTTTTTTAGTTATCAATTCAAGCCTGTATAGAGTTTCCAGAAATGAGACTCACCATGAGCAACGACATAGGCGATTCGGTTTTTGTACCGGGTATCCGACTTGCCCTCATCGAAGAGAACGGCAGTGGTACGGTATGTCACCAGACCCCAGTTCTCCATAGCACCCATAGCCTGGTCATGTAATTAGTCCAAATGTAATGACTGACAGACATGGTTAGGCCACCTACAAATTCGTGGACAGCCAGCAGGTCTGCCTTAGGCAAGGGGTACTCGATTTCGAAAACTTCAGAGAAGTAATCGACGGTTCGGTGGGCACATTCGAGAGCGAATCGGGCCTGCTCTTTGAGACCCTTTGTTGTATAAACGCGAACAGGAATGCTCTTTCCTTGATATTTCCGCTCGGTCATCGCTTCGACATAGTCAAAGTCACCAATGGCCCAAGCCAGAAGCTAAAGCAACCGAGTGTTAGTGTTGATCGGGGATTGAGATATGACATCTGTCGACTAACATAGGTACTCATGACTGGGGTGGTCTCAAACGAAACGAACTTGAGCTCGGGCTTGCTACCAGCCCGCTCTGACTTGATTGGCATGTTGCTAAGGGCCGTTTGGCCCTTGGGGACTTCAATCTCAAAGTCGAATGTAGCTTTCAGATTCGGCTCATCGAAACAGGGGAACGCTCTACGTGCGTCGCAAGACTCAAACTGAGTGCTCAACATGTAGTGGAAATCTCCTTCCTTGGGAGTGTCAGGGGTGGGCTCAACGACAGGCGTGTACTTTGACCGGTAGAATCCAGCCATGGCATTGTTCATTGTCCCCGTAAACGAGATGGACACCACAACGTCCGACTGCGGGAGTTCCTCCGGGAATTTGAAGGTCACCCGTTCCGACTTCTGGTCATAGCTAATATCCGACGCTTTTGCCAGTTCTGCGCCTGCGATAATCCAATGATTGTCAGTTAAAAGCCTCGTAGTGAAAGAGCGGGCGTTGCCTCGTCGTGATCGCTTACCATCTGATCCCAAAACCACTGCCTGCTGGACGTCGATCTCCTTCGAGTTGAGGACGATTTCTTTGGTGGGATTGTTAACTTTGGAGTTGATTTTCACGATACCCTTATAGCTCCAGGATCCCCCGAGCTGCAGGTCGAAGAGGGAGATGTCATAATGGCGCGGCTGCACTCTAAGAAACCCCGTTAATTTCTAGTCGTCAGAGTTGCAGATCGAATAAATTAATTCTTAACTCACGCGCTGGGCAGAATATCTCTGTCCCCAGAGGCCATTGTACGAGCTTCAAAGGAACAGTGTCTTGTAGGATAGGATGAGATTACGGGCCTGGATGAACAAGCCGAGAGTGTGCGGGACGAGAGTAGTAGAGAACGAGAAGGAGGGGTTGGATGCGAGGAGGGGGAGGAGGGGCGGAAGCGAGATACAGAATGGAACGGTCGATTCGGTCGACGCAGGCAACAGACTGGTCGAGGAGGTCGGCCAACGCATTTGGTTGACGTGATACTACAACCTCTCCCCCACATTGAGTTGAGGGAGAAACTTGGGAACGGTTATTGTCGGGGGAGAAGAGAGAGAGGGTTGTTATTCCGATAATTAATTTATTTGCCCGAAGAAAGTCCTGGTGAGTGGATAATTAGCTTGAATCAGAGGAGACAACTAAATTCAGAGCTCCCCTTTTGTATTGGAGAGAGAGGAAGAAAAAAAGAGCAAAAAAAAAAAAAAACATGGTACGGGAAGCTCGGGTGGAGCTTGGGTCTTTCTTGACATTGACACCGATCCTAGCTTGTCACCCTCACGAGCCCAGTTACCAACTTTCTCCCGGACACTGCTCACAGACAACATGGCCGATTCAGATGAAGAGTACATTGGGGGGATCTCGGAAGATGAAGGGGATCACAATATCGTCTCAGGGTCTCGAGGAGATGCCGGTCAGGCTTCGAGACGAAAGAAACAGAGAGGTGGAGCAGAGTGGGAGGTCTCGCGAACATGGGAGACCTTAGTTGAAGGCGCAGATGGCACAATCAGCTCGACGGTGGAAGGACTTCTCGAGGCTAGTAAGAGGAAGAGGTAAGCCTATCTTAGGGGTAAAAACGCCTTCGAAATCGGCTAGGAAATCAATACTAAATTAATTGTCATTCAGGCTTCTCAAAGACACAACGCCGTTGCAGCGCGGGATTATACGCCATGTCGTATTGATTCTAGATTTATCACAGTCTATGATGGAGAAGGACTTACGTCCAACACGATATCTTCTCACACTACGGTACGCACAAGAGTTTGTGCGGGAGTTCTTCGAGCAGAACCCCATATCGCAAATCGGCGTTTTGGGTCTGAGAGACGGTCTGGCTATCCGAGTAAGTGATATGAGTGGGAATCCTACGGAGCACATCAGTGCAATCCAAGACCTGAGAAGCCAGGATCCCAAGGGTCTTCCCAGTTTGCAAAATGGACTTGAAATGGCTCGAGGTGCTTTGTTGTAAGTTCCTTTGAGTTGCAATCTGTACGCGTCATCGTTCTCTCTTTTTTCCTAGTCTAACTCTTGTTTCTATTCTACAGTCACACCCCAAGCCACGGCACTCGCGAAGTACTCGTTATCTTTGGCTCTCTCCTTTCCTCCGACCCCGGTGACATTCACCAGACTATAGCTACACTCATCAACGATAAGATCCGTGTTAGAATTGTCGGCCTCGCAGCCCAAGTAGCAATCTGCAGGGAACTATGTTCGAAGACAAACGGCGGCGATGATACCACCTACGGCGTAGCTCTCAACGAGCAACACTTCCGAGAACTAGTGATGGACGTAACAACACCACCAGCCACATACTCCCAAAAACAGTCCACGAACTCCCTTTTGATGATGGGCTTCCCATCCCGTACCATTGAAACATTCCCCTCTCTCTGCGCCTGCCACTCTAAACCCTCCTGTGGAGGCTATCTCTGCTCACGATGTAACAGCAAGGTTTGCGGCCTTCCTGCCGAATGCCCTTCCTGCAGCCTAACTCTAATCCTATCAACTCACCTGGCTCGATCTTACCACCACTTGTTCCCCCTGATGAACTGGGTGGAGGTTCCATGGCAACGTGCCTCACGCAGCACGGCCTGCTTTGCCTGTGGTATGCATTTCCCTGCGGTGCCTCCCAAGGAGCAATGGCACACAACAGAGAGTATAGCGAAGGGAATGAGCGTGAGCAGTCGCTACGAATGCACGGTATGCAAAAACCACTTCTGCATTGACTGTGATCTTTTTGCGCATGAAATTATGCATAATTGTCCTGGCTGTCAAAGCCAGATAACATCTGCACCACAGGCCGGTGTTTCCAACGGTCGAGATGGGTTAGACCAAATGGATACTTCGGTATAGCAGTTAAGATAATTTGCTATTCCAAGTAAACTCCCCTTTCCTTTTTTTTTTTTTTTTTTTTTTTTTTTTTTTTCCCCCGAGGGTGACAAAAAAAGGCTCATGAAGTAGATACATGATGATGATATGATACCACCGAATGAAAATCCAAAATACATATATATATATATATAACTCTTCTCTGCTCTCCTCAACCTCGGCTAAACTAAATCCCTCCGCAATCAAACCTACAGAAGTACGGAGAAACTGTGGGTGACGGTGGAAAGGGCTGAAATCGACGCTTAGAGAAGTTATTCGCAACACCTGAAAGTCTGAAACACGCGTGTTTCATTTAAAATTAAATCTTAGTTGACCTCAGGCCACCTACAGCCACCTCTTTAACATGCAACAACCACAGGCCTAGACCAAACTTTTGCCTTTTCACAATAACCACTTGGGCCAATTCCCTTCCCGGAGCACCTAAAACACCGTTCCATGATTCTCAAGATGGGAGAGATCTACGAGTACGCTTTTGCTAGGAGACAAGGATCTCAAGCGAGTGCAACCCGTTCTAACGGTTTCAAAGAACCCATCACGATGTCTAACCACATTATCCTTAACTGAAGCCAGAGAACACCACTCGGGGGAGACGGCAGAGAACCCGGGCTGAGATGATGGAGAAAATATGGAGATAATCAGGTGAAGCGACCTTTTAACACTGACCTCACAAATACTTTATTACATAAAACAATACTTGTTTCAAATACATAGAGTAAAACAAGATGTTGAAGGAGGCAAGAAGACAGCTTTATAGACCACGCACCATAATAATAATATACATAATGCCAAGCAACAGAAAGGCATTTTCCCTGATTACAACTATGTATGTATGTACCTACCACTTCTTTTTACCCCCCCATCATCAACTAACCACAAACTTCAACACAAGAATCCCTTTTCCTAATCTATAACCTGCACATTATTATACATACATACATACATCCATAGTCACATCCATACACCTACCTACCTACCTACGACTCGGTTTCAAAGCTCCAAGCCGCCCCGCACCAACGAGGTACCTAGTCCAATGTCATCAACCACCAAAGATACCCCTCCGCTTCAACTGCAACGCTCGGAAATCGACCTATTCGAGCAATTGACCTCCTACCCATTCACCACAGATCGCGAGTTCGCAACAGGCCTCTCCATAATCCTAGGACACCCGGAAACCCCAGCTTCGGAGGACGAGATATCGCGCAATGATGATGATCTGGTGTTACAAGCGAAATGCTATTACTTTTCAAGGTACTTGCAGTGTGATTCATTCAGAAATCTGGAAATGACTGAACATTAAAAGGCTGATAAAAGGTTTTTTTTTTTTTTTTTCATGATATAGGAAAGAAAAATTAGCGTCGCCGCTGCGTGTCGCAACGTATAAATCTTGGTTGCAATCAAGAACAACACCAGCTTCGTTCGTAAATCCTATGATGACGTCTGGGACTGAAGCCCAACAACCCAGCACATTAGAAACACCCGTCCCTTCCGCATCTGCACAAGCAGGCCATCCATCAACAAATCCAAAGGAGGAACCTAATTATCCCACCTCGTTTGCACATATAGTGGAACTAATTACGACGGGTCAACCGATCCCGGGGATTCAAGACATCCCCGACACTATCCTAGAAGGCCAAGATACCCCAAGCACCAAACCAAGGAGACGGAAACCCTGGGAAAAGGAGGATTCTCCCGAGGCTGCCTAAGTCTCCAAAATGTGGAATTCAAGTGGTGATCGGGGCTACACTGCCGAAACATGGCCCTGATGCTACTTGAAAAACAAGAAAGAACAGAAAAACAGCTAAACAGCTAAACAGGAAAGGAGTCGTGTAATAAACTGATCATTAGGAATAGACATTTATCTAGCAAGTAGCTTTGCCGCTACAGGCCAAGCTCCGCACAACCAACCGGCTCTAATCTTTCAAGACCTCCATCACAGTTCCGCCGTAAAATGTTGGCCACCTTAATGAACAACTTGTCCTTGCCTCCCGCTCATGTAAGATAGGAAAGAAAGCCCTAGTGCTTTTTGTTGTTTTAAAAAATAGACAGTAGAAAGCCAAAGAGGTCACGGAAATGAGAATATGATAGGACCACGGGTCACAGGATATCGAGCACTGGCAGCCCAGCTCAACTGTGTAAATGTGGAAAGCTTGAATCTGACTCGCAGGGCATTCATGCACACAAATCACATCTAAAGAAATAGCAAATTGAACTTATGTCTCTTGACCAGCCGTGAGCTATCACAATCCTGACAAATAAATATTCAGGAAGTTGCGACAACTACCCCAAGAGCCTTTCAACGAAACGGAGGATAGTTAGGGTTCCACTGATTTCCACGAGGGAACCGGGGTCCATTCTGATTTGCAGCTTGAAAACGATCTTCGTTGAAACTATTGAAACGACCAATCTGGACGCCAGTACCGGGTCCTGGTCGAGTGGCATGGGACAAATTACAGCAGAGCATCGCCACGCGAGAGCCGAATTTCGATCCGCGCAAAGAAACCATGTGTTTACTATTGAGAAATTTGTTAAAATGTTCAGAAATCCGGAGAGGAGTAGGGACTCACCGGATGTGGCTGGCAACTAGCTCACGCTGGTGAGGAGCAGCATTCATTAAGATCCATTGAATGAGATAATTGCCATATTGATCTCCGGCAACTAGCATTATTAGCCATGCGCCATTAGCATTCACGAAAGTATACACTGCAGAGCCCGACTTACTATCAATCAGTGGCATTCTTGGTCGATCAGTTCGGCCTGTACACACTCGAGAAAGATAACGATCTAGAAATTCAGCACCACCGATCTTCAAGCATTTCTCTACAATCTTAGACGCAAACTGATCCATGCTGTAGTCAACGGACCAAAGAAGAATATGCTCAATGGCACGGCTTTTGTCATGTGGAGCACCATGCTCACAGATGTGTTGAATACACCAATTTCCAAATTGGCCGTGAGCAAGCACGTCAATCTTTGCCAACACCTCTTCAATAGCAGGGCGCTAAAGCCAATAATTAGTTAATATTGGTCACTTGGAAATGATTGTATAAGATAATGGGAGTCCGAGGCTATTACCTTCTCATCCTCAACACAATTCTCGAAGATGTTCTGAACCACCAAACTGCCCGTTTCGCCCAAAGCAACCTCATGCCACATGCCACAGAGAGCTTCGTTCACTTTCGCCATGATCTGGGGAGGCTCGCCACTCCAGCGTAGCTCGAAAAGCTTCTGCCAAACGTGACATGCATATCGGTGAATCACAGTCTCCGGTATTCTGCGCAAAAGCTCATGTACCATAACAGCCTTATGTTCTTCTGGCACACAATCAAAGGCTTTCTGAATCACATGGCAGCCAAAAGGATCCATACTAAGACTCAACGTGTTTCCCTTAATGGCATTGGCAATTGCAACAATTTGTTCTGGGGTGCCGTGCTCGAAGCAGCGTTGGACAAGGAAGTTCCCAAAACGATTCACCATAAGGGAATAAGCCTGTTGTATAATGGCTTCGATGATATCGAATTTTTGCTCCGTTGTTCCAACCTTAAGTTTTTGCTGGAGGAAGATAGAAGCTTGCTGGTCATTGTTGCAAACAATCTTGTCCACGATATACTTCCAATCGCATGAGACATTCTTGTCAAGAAGGCGGCGATAATTAAGTGGTTCAAGTGGCGATATGTATGTCTGGGAGGAGCTCCCACCAACCTGGGGATGGTTTAGCTAAAAAGAAAACAAAACCGTCGAGATCTTACTCACAGATGAAGTTGACCAGGGTACTGAATTAGCGTTAGGGTTTGTAAACTCGCTCGCCGTTGGTGAGAGCGGAGACGCAGCTGGCCGCTGATGATATGGAGGGATAGGATATAGTCCAACCTGTTGATAATTGCTGTTTTGCTTGCTGGAAGGTGATCTCGCACCATTATTATCTGACGAGCTGGAAGCAAATGTGGGCCACGGAGAGCTCTGTACAGGAAAGCAGGGCCCGGCACGGCTTGCCTGGGCCGCGGGGTGACGTGGTCCAAAGCCGGGGCCTTGGATATATCTACCCTGTTCCTCGGAGAACGACGTGTCGAAATTGCAAGGAGCAGTGGAGGGGCCCGATAAAACACGATGAGGCTGAAAAGAGCTGTTTCCGGCGATACTAGGACCCGCCGTTGAATTACCCCAGAATCTGCCAGATTCTTGACCAAATGAATTTCCAGGCAAGGGTAAAGTGTCATTGTAAGGTTTATCTGTGTTGACGCTCATTCCGTAGGCTTGTTGGGTTGGAGGAGCCCAAAATCCTCTGGCTCTGTTGTAGGCCCCGGCAGAGAGGGCATCCGAAACGTCTGAGTGGGAATCATCCTGTGCATTCCATCCGTCTTGGAACAAATTCGATGTTGGAATGGAAGCATTAAAAGCACTTTGTAAGTTGCTGATGGTCTGTTCAGTAATCTCACGGCCATTGAAGTCGGCTTCAGAAGGAGGCCCAAGTGCTTGGTCTAAAGTATGTTTGATGACACGGGTTTGTGCTAATTCTTGCTCCTGCAAAGCAATTTTCGAATTAGCTGCCAGTAATTCTTGTTTCAAGCGCAACACTTCGGAAGTCTCAGCATCTAAAGCCTCTAAGCCAGAAGTTTCCGCTGTGCCAGAAATTTGGAAGGAGTCAGACTGAGGTGGTAAGCTAGAACATCTGTCGTGCCCCCCATGGCTTGTAGAGACGACCTTGTTTGTTGTCAGAAGATGCTTCTGTTTGTCGAGCAGAAGCTGCTGTTCAGATAGCTTTGAGAGGATCTTCTGGGTCGAGGTTGTTTTGGAATCAGCTGGCTGAGGCTTTGGCGAGAGCTTTGCGAGAAGCCTGTCTATCTCAGAGTTCCCAGTCAAAGAGATTGAATTTGCCGAATGCTCCAATTTCTGCTTCTAGGATTGTTAGCGTTTACGTTTCAAGACTTCCAAGGAAAGGCTAAACCTGACCTTGTTGCACGGGGCTTCGTTATTACCGCCGATCGAAGGTTGTATATTTCCAAGCTTAGAGCTGGCGAGGGGATCGGGGGAGCTCCTAGTAGTGTTCAAATGTTTTTGGCCCTTGTGCAATATGTATTTAGCACCCATGTACAAAATCCCCAAGTTCACCTGAGGTAGTACTCTTACCGATACCTCGCACCCAACAGCTGATATGTGCGGCTCAGCACTTCCATCCTTTACAGGAGACATCCTGCCAGGATTTTGGCGTCTGATTCCTCAGGAACCGTTTAAAAACAAAGATGTCTTAGATTGATAACAAATCAGGCTGGTGACAAAATCACAGATTGGCGTGTTGCAGAAACTCGAAAGTAAACAAAGACGTGGAAATCAGGCCGCTGAAACAACAAGCACACTGCACAAGATCCAAATGCTCTTACATGCACTCGCAACCTGATGGTGAGAAAGATGATTAAAAGATGACTGTAATGGGCAAATACTTTTATTTCGAGAGGTCTTGGTGGCAGCACAAGGTAAATTGCGGGATCTAGAGGGGAAAAGAAAGAAAAAAAAAAACACAGAGAGAGAAATAAAAGAGATTCGAGAATAGATGGCAAGAACTAATAGATTAAAGAAGGAATATCGGGATGTAGGATGGGAGGAGGAAAGAGCGACAGAAGGAATGGAAACAGGAAGGATGAGAGAAGAGAGAGGAAGCTGGCAGGATGAGAAGTTGCGGAAAGATAATGGCCGTAAAAAGAATCCCACTGGGCAACCAGCAGTTTTGTTTTAGTTCCTGGGGATCTCCTTAGAGAGTGGATATGAGAATAAAAAAAAGGAGACGTGACCAACTATTGAGGAAGATATTCACTCATGAATCAGATGCAAAGAGGTTGCCATTGATGATTGTTATACACTAGGATAGTGCTGGATCAAGGTCATCAGACGGGGGGTATATCTACTTTTTCCCAAGATTCTATGCTGTTTCAAAACACTCACCTCATGTGCACCTATTTCTCCTTGGGACTTTTAACCTCACATGAAAATGCTAGAGTGAAAATCTGCATTTATCTGATAGAATATGTACCTTACCTGTCAGTGTTAACATAAGATCCAGGTGATATTTGCCAAAACTTGTCAAAGTGGCCAGCAGCATACAAGCCTGCGTGGCCCTTCCAGCGGCAACTGTCACCCAAAATCAAGAACTCCGGTTGACCGGCTCCGGTAAGTGTAGGTACAAGACGTGCAGCTTGCTCAAGACCATATAAATCGGCACCCCATACTACCAGCTCCAGTGCTTCATTCTCCAGAGGTCGGAGAAAAAGAGCACCTAGGCCCTGTTCATAATCATATGTGTAAGGTGGGTGTTTACCGGCAATGTCAAGATTAATCTTTTGATCCGGATCAAACTGAACGCTGCGCTGAAACAGAAAAACTTTGCGCTCATTGATGCGAATGGGGAATGACGATAGTGCTGCAGATGGCAAACTGTCCCCTATTGCGAGGGTGATAACATTTCCCGGGATAGTGCTCTGTCCTGGAAGGCCAGTAGTGTTGATTGAGGGGCATTGGCTGGTTATGCGTGAGTCTGCATTGAAGTATTGTAAGAGATTACGACTGATTTGAAGGGCTATATGATCAATATTGGCGGAGCACGTAACTATCGTAAACACCCCCCAGGTGCGCAAGATTGCATCCATAGCGCCCACCTGCCGACCATACCTTTGAGATAAATGTTGCCAGCCAGATTGTCTCGAGCTTGTCCATTCCGCTTCACTATTTTTGACGTACCATGTAGAATTACATTGGTCTGGGTCGACTTCAAAACGATGTGGAGTATCATCAAGCACTAGGGAAATCGGCCTTTGTGTTTGGCAGACTGTGGCAGTAAGATGGAAACGATGAACATTCCGCGTTTTTACAAGCCAAACGCCATTTTCGGTGTCTTTGGAGACCTTCAATAGACCGTTTATATCAGGGGATTGAAGCTGATCGACATAAATTCCGCCTTTCGATGTCACGTCACCGGAGGATGGAATAATCAATGTATATGCCAATGGAGTCTTAAGTGGGAGAGATACAAGGGAACTCTCATAGAAGTCAAGTAGAGAAGGCGTCGTCATTAATCCAGCATACCAATGACCTTTACCGGGCAGCTCATTATACTCAGATGACCACCCAACTTCTCCAAGCAACTCGTGCATGAGTCGTGAATGATAGACGGGCACGTTCGTGTCATTTGAGCCATGCTGCTGCAAAATTGGGATACCACCAATGTTTTCCAGTAGTGACTCATGTTTAAAACTAGATCGTGATCGCTGAAGGACAGCGGACAGGAGAGGCTCGGAGTCGCGCCAGACACTATATGGTACGTAATCTATCAATATTAGCATTCTTGCGCCAGAAGAAATGAGTAACTAGCTACCCTTCGGCACAAAATCATACTTTCAATTGAAGAGTAGCCCGATACTGGTGCAACGGCGATCACATTATCAGGGTAGTGAGTAGCGAGGAACCAGGCACCCTGCCCTGTCATTTGGGTGAGCAAGAATTGAGACTTATAGCGCATAAGTGCATACCTCCGTTAGAGTGGCCAACGACAATCCAATCTTCCGAGGATATCCCAGGGCCCGTCCAGCCAACGGCGGTTATCCATTGCGAAACGGCATTTATGGCGGCCTTTACGTCCGCAACTCCCCAGGTATCTAAAACTAGGTCAGCAAACTTATGCTGCCACAATTTCAACAAAAAGAGAGCCAAATGCTAAGAACTTGGGAAAGACTTACGCCAGTCGTCTCCACTCCACGAAGTAACACCACTTGGAAACAACATCCATGCACATACCCCATATGCAGCATCCAACATCTCGCGCACCTCCTTATTGTCTGCCTCGAGTCCTGCTCCATGAAGCGCTACTATGACAGGCATGGAATTGTTTTGTTGATCAGTACAAACAGAATTCAACGGAGGCGGGCGCAAAATGGCATAAGACACTATCCCGGCGGGATGAAGATATGTGAGTCTCTGAGGCTGTGATAGAGATTTCTCAACAAGTTCCACCAGAAAGGATAGGGTTCTCAAAGTACCCCCTGGAGAAACTCTGTAGCTGATATTAACATAAAAATTAGTTTTCATAGCATCAGTGGATGTGAAACAAAACACCAGGGGCCGAGCTTGATATGGTGATAATTGCAGTGCAGTCTCCATCACCAGAGGAACCTAAAGCAGTATGGTTAACCTCAGCATTCAACCCCCTTGGCATCATAGGCACTAACTTCGGGCGAGCTGACGGAAAGAACTTGAATACACTCGGCTACATTGCTCTGCACATTTATTGACAACTGGGCACTTCCGAGCTTTCTGTTAGTAGTTTCTGGTACAAGAAGGCTGCGCTCGTCAATGCTCAGGGATTCACGGCGTATCTCAGCTTCGAGTACGACTTGTACAGTGGGCTCACCCAGACCCCCCATAGCTCGAACGTCACGAATTAGTCGCAGCTCTATAACATGCTCTCCAGGGGCGAGGTCTAATATTAGAGGTGCGCTATGATAGCTATAAAAATCGCCACCAAAATGTGCTTTGCCGTCAACAGTCAACTCCAATATGCCATCTGTAAAGATTGCGATTGTTTGGTGGGTCAATTCGTTCAGTTGCAGATATCCGCGTACCCAAGCCTGATACTGCAAAGCAGACCATCCGTAGACAGACCGGAGAAATGCCCAATCTACCTCTGGGAACCTTACGATAAGCTCAGCCCTACTCTGGTCCGGCATAGGGCTTGTAGTGTTTGCCCCCAAAACGCCCCATTGAACGGTCCCATTGGGGGCGAGAGCACTACTGAACTTGGCATCTTCATCGTAAGGCAAGTTACTGAATCCACCCTGATACTCTAGGGGATCCGCTCCCCAGACGGCTTCTGGATATCAGGACAGTCAAGTCGGCGGGCGATTCATAAAAGAATTTCAAGCTTCGACTAACGGTAAACTTTGAACATCACTAACCTCTTGTACCAATCCGAAAGGGTCCAAGAACCTGCCACGACTTGGAGAAGTAGATGTTAGGTCTAGTGCCCCCAAGGGGGAATTGAGCAGGTGAGGTATGAAGCTGGTCTCCCGGAATCTTAGTGGAGCATGACGCATTGGTCTTCTGCCAAAAGGCTACTGCAACAAATAGTGTAGAAAAAATTAAACGACGGATCATTCTCGACTGATAAACTATAAAAATACGTCGTGTAATTAGGTATTGGAGCTAGAGCAATTGAATATAATAATGGGAACCCGGCGTGAGGTCGCGCCCCTTTGCCAAGATCTAGCCTAGAGCAGGTATGGCCGCATATTTCCCCCACTCGGCGGGAATGCCATACGGAGGTACTAATCAATGTTGTTGATAGTTAACTAGTCATCTAAAAATATGCCATACAGAACCCTATTCTTCTTCTTCTTCTTCTTCTTCTTCTTCTTCTTCTTCTTCTTCTTCTTCCAGGGCCCTGGGAAAATCGGAAATAACGACTTTAATACTTAATTCCCTTCAGACATAAAATACACAATACCTAAGGGGCAAACTGCTGATAGTCCTAGGTTTCTATACCAAGCTTTAGGAGATTTGCTGTTGATTACATTGTAGAATCAAATACTACTAGTACTTACTTTCTTTCTAGAGAAAGACAAAATCACCATACCTCTATGCCTATTTACTACTATATAAGATTCTACTCAGCACCTGGAAGATAGAAGTTGTAAGATACGTACCCGTCTGTACTTGTCAGACCCTTTTTTTTTTTTTTTTTTTTTACACCTCTTAACAGGCAGCGTGCGCAATTCTTAAACTTCATTCGTCCGTGGTGATTCGTCATCGATCTTGGTGCTAGTCCCAGAGCGTACTAGTAAGCTGCCAGTGCTACAGTACTGAACTCCGTACCTTTTGTAGTCTGAAATTAAACTGGAACAGTTGGGAGAGTTACAGTTCAATGCTACCTCAGTCTCTCCTTCATCCTCTCTTCTACTGCTTCCCCGGGAGTCACAAGCCTTACTGTGAATTACCCTGCAGCTCGAATGTGTGCTACTTAGGCAGCCTCACTCTCAACATTCCGTCCGACTCGGTTTCCGGAACATAACCCAAAAGCGTCCTGCGGTCACTGACTCCGAAACGAAGCACCCCCCCCTCCTCTAATATTTCCATATCACGATTGAAAAAAAAGTCAACTTTGATTGAATGTCCCCTCTATCTTGGTCAGAGGAAATCCCGCAGCAATACGTACCAATTTGCGCTCATCGTACCATTCTTGGGTCTTGAGATGACAACTACCACTGTGACCGGCACAGGGCGACGCTCCTCGATACGGCAGCCCGTTCTACAGACAACGCCAGCGACGGTCTCCAACAACCAACCTATGACGAGCCCTGTAGACAAGTTTCCACAGTTTCATGATGAGATCTATGACACTCCGCAGGAGCTCAGGGAGCCTTTCTCAAATTCCACAGTAAAATATGCTCCGAATGATCGTTGGGAACCAGCGAAAGCGGGACATTTAGTCCGGGATTATGCTACTCGATCACCCAGAGATTCAAAGCGAAAACCGAGAAAGAGCATAAGCGAAACTATCACTGCTATAAGAACACGCAATGGCAGTGTCAGTGCCAACGCACAGGAGTTGGCTCATGCTCTTCGAGCACCAGTTTCATATAAACTCATAGTAAGAGCGGTCACTCTCAAGTTGTGCCGTCCCACTTACAACCGCTGACCTCTTCGTATCTAGGCCCTTTGCCTCGTCTGGTATATGACCTCCGCGCTGACGAACACATCATCGAAGTCCATCTTAAACGCTCTACCCAAGCCGATTACGCTCACAATCATCCAATTTGCCTTTGTATCATTATGGTGCCTACTTCTTTCATATCTATCAACTTTGCTGCCAGGGCTCAAAACGAGCATACCGGCCCTCAAGAACAATATTCGCCCTCCATCCCGTGATGTTATTATGACTGCGCTACCCTTGGCTGTATTTCAGCTTGCCGGACATATCCTCAGCTCCATGGCTACTGCGCAAATCCCCGTCTCACTTGTTCATACTATCAAGGGACTTTCACCCCTTTTCACCGTGCTGGCCTACCGCATATTTTTCCGCATTCGATATGCTAGAGCGACCTATTTATCACTTGTTCCTCTGACCCTAGGTGTCATGCTTGCCTGCTCCACCGGATTTTCCACCAATTTCTTCGGAATCCTCTGCGCTTTAGTCGCCGCTCTAGTCTTTGTGTCCCAGAATATTTTTTCGAAAAAGCTTTTCAATGAAGCAGAGCGTGCAGAGTCCGATATGCAGTCCTCTGGCCGCCGGAAACTCGATAAATTAAACCTCCTGTACTATTGCTCTGGGCTGGCCTTCTTACTTACATTACCCCTTTGGTTCATCACCGAAGGTTATCCTTTGATCTCCGACCTCATGCAAGACGGTGCCATATCCCTATCAGGCAAGAAGAACTCGCTGGACCACGGCGCTCTTTTCCTCGAATTTGTGTTCAATGGAGTGTCCCATTTCGCACAGAACATTTTAGCCTTTGTTCTTCTTTCCATGATCTCGCCCGTATCTTATTCTGTCGCATCTCTTGTTAAAAGAGTGTTCGTGATTGTCGTTGCTATCGTCTGGTTCGGCAACTCTACGACATCAATTCAAGGATTCGGCATTGCTCTCACATTTTTTGGACTATACCTCTACGATCGCAATAGCCATGACGATGCCGCCGACCAGAAAGCGAACGCCGATCACTTCCATTTGAAGGAGACTATTCTTCCTCTCAACGCTCAAACAACCGGCAAGAGATGGGATTCCAATGGTTATGCATTTCCTCAGGGAAAGGCTGTTGGCCAGCAATCTTCCAGTGAACCACCCTCTTTCTCAAACAACCTAAAAAGGGACGATGAGTTTGGTCGTGCCCGTCCAAGGGCAAGCAGTAACTCGAAAGCATGGCTGCCTCCAGGCACTAAACAAGAGTCGACCTGGCAAGCAAGTGACTCTTGATTTCCGTTCTACCACATTGACTCCCCCTCTCCCTCTTTTAATCCTCTGACTTGCTTGGTTCGGCTTTTTTTTTTTTTTTTATGACATGGCTTTGGGGTGTTGAAACCAGAACAAAACTTGTCCGCCTTGTACCATCATGAATGATATGATAGAAGAATGTAAAGGATCCAGTGTTTTATTAAATGTCACTTGAAAGAATCGATGTTATTCTTTGTGATTTACGAGTGATCCCAAGTGCCAGAGGACCAGTGAGGATGAGTTTGAACATGTATATATATGATATGGTTGTCCAGCAAGACGCCTGTATTTTCTGTAATGTGTAGCATTTAATCAAGGAATCTTATTTATCTATTGATTTTTCAATCATTTGCATCATTTTCAAGAGAGTGAGAACAAGTACATCTAGAGTTGTGAGGAAAAATTCCATTTTGATTCCAAGTACGAAATGTAGCCACTGTCGATAAAGAACTAAACCTTCAGCAGGCATCCCCATCGATACCGAAGTAATGATGGGGAAAAAAACCCCTCAGGAGCTCCAGCTCAGTGCATCGGTCTTGGACTATGATGCAGAGGTAATAGGGATCGAAAATAAAAGACCCTACCACCTACAATAAACATGCCCGTGAAATGAGATTTATGTGAGAAAGAAGAAAAAGAAGAGGAAGGAAAGAAAATTTGCCGGAAGAAAAAGAAGAAAAACCATGCGGCTCGGATTAAGGGATTCGCCGGATAACCGAGCCAATCCGCAGATGGCAATTTGTGAGTGACGCCCCCGGTCCGGCTAGCAAGAATCCAAACGCCAAAAGTGCTCTGACCAAAGATATCAGCTTCCCCTCCAGCTGCACACCAGCTGCTCTGTATCATTGCCCTCCTTTATCATCCTCTCTCCCCCCCTCTTCACATATCCTTCCTTCACAGTATGCGGCCGCAGCTGTTTCGTGCGGCCGCCCGGTCCGCCCGGGTTCCTAAGGTCAATTACCCCAGGACCTTCGCAACGACAATCCCTCGTTCCGCCGAGGTGGAACTCACAATTGGTAAGTCATTGGAGTCTATATGGACTGGACGGGAGTCTTTACTGACTGTATGTGTGTTAGATGGCAAGAAGGTTTCGGTAGAAGGTAACTCTCGACTCGATTAACCCGTTTTCGACGGCCGTTACTTACACCGCGTTGCAGCTGGCTCAGCTCTTATTCAGGCATGTGAGAAGGCTGGAGCAACAATTCCAAGGTACGGATCAACTTGAATCAACTGATTGAGTCTGGAAGATTTGCTGACGAGTAATAATAGATACTGTTACCATGAGTACGCCGTTCCACCACCCTATCTTCCCCTTGGGCCCATATATTACTCCATTACTAATTGACACAATAATAGAAAGCTGGCGATTGCCGGAAACTGTATGTCATATTGAAATTGGTTGATATATAGAGCAGCCATGTTAATCACTGATATGGTCTAGGTCGTATGTGTCTCGTCGAAGTTGAGCGCGCTCCCAAGCCCGTTGCGTCGTGTGCTTGGCCAGTACAACCCGGCATGGTCGTCAAGACAAACTCTCCTCTGGTACACAAGGCCAGGGAGGGTGTCATGGAGTTCCTTCTAGCCAACCATCCTCTGGATTGCCCGATCTGTGACCAGGGAGGCGAGTGTGATCTCCAGGACCAGTCGATGCGGTACGGCGCCGATCGCGGACGTTTTCACGAAGTTGCTGGCAAACGTGCCGTAGAAGACAAGAACATCGGCCCCTTAGTCAAGACCTCTATGAACAGATGCATTCAGTGTACTCGTTGTGTCCGATTCATGAACGATGTTGCCGGTGCCCCCGAACTCGGAACTAGCGGTCGCGGAAACGAGATGCAAATTGGAACTTATCTGGAACAGAACCTAAACTCCGAGCTCTCCGGAAACATCATCGATCTCTGCCCCGTTGGCGCCCTCACCTCTAAGCCTTATGCTTTCCGTGCCCGCCCATGGGAACTCAAGCACACCGAGTCCATTGACGTTCACGACGCGTTGGGCTCCAACGTCCGGATTGATACCCGAGGAATGGAAGTAATGCGCGTTCTCCCAAGACTTAACGACGATATCAACGAGGAATGGATCAATGACAAGTCTCGTTTCGCATGTGATGGTTTGAAGACTCAGAGACTTACTACACCCTTGATCCGACAGGAAGGAAAGTTCGTTCCTGCAACTTGGGAACAGGCCCTGACCGAAATTGCCTCTGCTCACCAAAAGCTTGCTGTGAAGGATAATGAATTCAAGGCCGTTGCCGGTCACCTTGTGGATGCCGAAACCTTGGTGGCCATGAAGGACCTTGCTAACAAGCTTGGTTCTGACAACCTTGCGCTTGATCAGCCGGGAGGTAGCTCGCCTATCGCCCACGGTGTTGATGTCCGTTCCAACTATCTCTTCAACTCCCAGATTCACGGAATCGAGGAGGCCGATGTCATTCTCCTAGTTGCTACGAACCCTCGCCACGAGGCCTCTGTTCTCAATGCCCGTATCCGCAAACAGTATCTCCGTTCCAACCTTGAGATTGGTCTCGTGGGCGAAACCTTCGAGAGCACTTTCGACTTTGATCACCTTGGCTCTGACGTTGCTGCTCTTAAGACTGCCCTTTCTGGGGAATTCGGCAAGAAGCTGGCTTCCGCTAAGCGCCCTATGATCATCGTCGGCAGCGCTGCGGCCGAGCACGTTAACGCGAAGGCAATCTTCGAGACCGTTGGTGGATTCGTTGAGAAGCACGCCACCAACTTTAGCACCCCAGAGTGGCAGGGATACAACGTTCTCCAGCGTGCAGCATCCCGTGCCGCAGCTTATGAGATTGGCTTTACCACACCTTCTCCGGAAGTTGCTCAGACCAAGGCCAAGATGGTTTGGCTCCTTGGCGCCGACGAGGTCAACCAGGCTGAAATCCCCAGCGATGCATTTGTTGTTTATCAGGGACATCACGGTGACCGTGGTGCTGAGATTGCGGACGTTGTTCTTCCTGGAGCTGCATACACCGAGAAGGCTGGTACCTACATCAACACCGAGGGTCGTGTCCAGGTCACTCGTGCCGCTACCTCGATGCCCGGTGCTGCCCGTGATGACTGGAAGATCGTTCGTGCCACCAGCGAGTTCCTCAACGCCCCACTCCCTTATGACGACATTGAAGCTCTTCGCGACCGCATGGAAGAGATTAGCCCTGTGATGCGCCGTTACGACGTCGTTGAACCCTCTTCTGTCAACTCGTTAAGCAAGATCCAACTTGTCGACCAAAATAAGGGATCTCAAGTAAATGATGCACCTTTCCAGAAGGTCATCGAAGATTTCTATTTCACAGACTCCATTTCCAGGAGGTATGAACCAAGATTTGCCGCTAAGATTATGTCTGGATTTATTGCTGACTCTCTCTCTTACCACAGTTCGCCGACCATGGCCCGTTGCTCAGCTGCAAAGGCCACCGGAAACTGTGAGACGAACTTCATGGCTGCCGGTGAAATGTCCCCGCAGGCTCTGTATGGCTAAGCCCCTCCCCCCCAGCGCCCTGATATATGGCCTTGGTTTGTTCCTGTTTTATCTAGGCGTTGTTGTTGTAACACCTAAACATTGTGATTGGTTTGCCCTGTTTAATTGTATTCTCGTTACCGTCTCTTTCCTACTGTATTCGCAGTCCCCCCCCCCCCCCCCCATCTGGCCAAAACCTAGAAACGTCTACAGGGATAAATTTGTACATAAGATCAAAATCAGCTCCGGGGGAAATAGATAAGCCTTGTGGTTTCAGAGTCCATTATTGACGTAGAGGAAGGAGATCGCACGTAGACGGCATGTTGAACATATTTCCCCTTGAAAAGGTCTATATTCAAGTCGCACCTATTAACTAAGCATCCATGACACCTCCAAATTTAACATTGTGCTCATGCATTGGGGAATAAACTAGAAAAGGGTCACAGCTTAAAGGGTAGTATTTTACTATTTCAGTCAGTACAGCTAAGAGCGGAGCGCTATAATTCATCATCATCCGTCTCTCCTCCAGTTTCATCTGCATCTCGTTCAATCCGGGGCGGCTGTAAAGACGCATCTTTGTGCACTTTCTGCGCCTTTCTGTTAATAAAAGGCAGCTCCCTTCGTGGTGGTGGAGACTTTGCTTCAACGCGACTTGATACTTCCTGTCGTCCCGGTTTGTCTCCCTTTGGGGCCTCAACCGGTGAGCCAAACCCTTCTTCGTCAGAGGTAGTGTTATCATCATCTTCCAGCGGCTGCGGCGTCAATCTTCCATCGTCATCATCATCTGTCTCGTCCTCGTCGCCATCGGCAGCTTTCTGCGCGGCATTATCAACTTCCATTTTCTCGAATCCGCCTTCGCTTTCCGAATCGCTATCGTTAATTGCTGCAGCAGAGCGTTTTGATCCTTTCTTCGCATTCGGCTTGAGGCGGCTAGTTGTCGTCGTTTCTTCCATCTCGGAAACTATTGTAATAAATTAGCTCTGGATTCGCACGTGAATTGATAGAGTGGTTCATCATACGTTTTTCAGGATCTACATTTGTGGAAGCTAGCAAGCGCTGTTGGTTTCGGATCTTAAGCTTCTTTTCGTTCAATAGCCGTACGAAATCAGCCATGAGTTGATCCTCATGTTGATTTTTTGAAGTGATGAATTCCTCGAGCTGTCTGTTAAGCAAGTTGATGGTCTCCTCGGCGGCACGGTAACGATCGAGCAACGAATCCAAGCTCTTTTCCAGGGCATCTGCTCTTGAAATGGCTATATTTGACCATTCAAAGAGTTCAATAGCTTGCTCGTCATCCTGCGAAAGAGTAATTGAGCCCAATCTTTGCTAAAAAGAAAGAAAAAAAATTGTTAGAAAACCCGTCACAAATCTATTCCTTTTAGGAAAGCGCCTACAGTAATAGCTTGTATCCTTTTCCGCACCGTGATAACCATCTCCTTGTCTTCATCTCCGGATCCATTTATACTAGCTGAGATTTCAATGCCAGCGAGGAGATCGGATTTCCTGGCCGGTTCTTTGAGGAGACCGAAGACATAGAGAACTATATCCTTCCATTCCTCGGCACTTCCTTGGAAGTTCTTGGAGCAGGAGTTTTTGAGGTGAGACTGTCGTACTGTTAAGAGTATTTAGTATTTGAATATAGAGGTCAGGAACTGGAAAAAAAAAAAAAAAAAAAGGGATGCATACGCGTTGTAGTATACGGGCTTTCTCCCTCTGTCGCGGTGATGTTCAATTCGAGCGCGGTGGAATCGGAGCGCGAAACACGGAGCAGGACGTACGATTCAGCTTCATCGGATCTACGAATGTGTAGAACTCGGGGGGACACGTTTCTATCTGTTTGCGACATTATGGGAATGCTAATAAGAGGGAAGAGGAGGGGAAAGAATTGGTGAGGATGGAGCTCTCAGTTCTTATCCAACATTATCGGCACTGGTGCCTGTACGAGTGTGGCAGCCTTATCGATTCCAGGCAGTCAGATCCGGGCTTTGGCATCTGGCCATTCCCGATTTATTAAAGTAAATTACATCCGAGTTAATGCAGAAAAAAAAAAAGAAGAATTTACTGCCATTCTTGTCATGAATATCTGGATAACTATTTCAAAATCTCTATTATAGTTGCCCATGGGAACAAAAAATGACCAATATCCCCGATTAATCCAAAAGAAGCGGGTAACTATGAAACATAACATCACATAGTTATCTCATCTTAATAACTACTCCTCTTCCTTCCTTCCGTCCTAAATGATCAACCAGCAGCTAAGAATTCAGTGGCGAGGAGGGTAGATCTCCCTCAAAGATCGGCAGAATATCTACGTCAGCCCCTGAAATCAAGACTTTCATCGGAGGAAAACTGACCTCATTGATTATCCCGGACAGCAATACCTCCAAATCCGGGGTGCCACAATGACGGCCACTCTATTCATTAAGTGTCCCGCCGCCTGATAAGTAGGGATCTGATTGACAGATAAAATCTCTAGTTGGTGCTATGCCATTGGTAGTAAGAAGTACTGACTCCGAAGGAGAGTACGTATGTGCTTCAGAAAGCAAGAAGTTCCACATCTTCATGGGGATATCACCGCCAGCTATCCTTCAAAGTATCGAATAACACTGTGTAACTACCTGGCAGGGAGGCTTGGTTTGGTAGTCGTCCTGACGCTCCTGCATATAGAGGCTGGGGCTCCCACATAGGTTCGTACCATGGGATCGGCTGTAGACTCATCTAGGCAGAAATAGGATATACCAAAACACACATCAGAGTCAGGACTGAGGAAGGTCAGATAGCTCCATTAGATGCATCTCATAGTTGGGCGGATCACACTCATCTGGAGGTTGAACGTCTGGGCAACCGATGGACTAACTAACTGCGAAACTAGTGGCAAGGAAATGCTGCAACTCCGCAAACCATCAAATTATTACCATTACCTGAACCTCAACCAAACACCAGGAGAAGTATTATAAGTAAGTATTTAATATTAACCCCCCTTTTCACTCCCGCTTCCTTCCTGTCCCTTCTCTTTTACCAATATTAATGCGGTCTAGCTATGTTTCATAGGTCTGCCTGTGGATGCTCGCGTAGTTAATATCCATAGCGTTCTTCCCTCCTCCTGAGGGAATCCTTCCAGCCACCACCACCTCCCCCCCCTTTCACAACACACGAGCACTCACACGAAACTCGATATATTTAACCTCGTGTTTATTGATACTTCCCACACTCTACCCCCTGTCGACTTTTCACGTCATACCACCACCCTGGCATCTCTGGAACTACTCGTCGAGTAATCCAGTCCGAACCTTGACTCTGAGCGCTCCCCTTTTTCTCCCGATACCCAACAGTCCCCATCTACTCGTCACTCGAGACCAAGAAAACCTCGATAATCACACGATCGCCTATTCATCTCCGACAGATTCCGATTCCTGGTCCATATCAAAAAGTTCCGGATACTACCCCAATCCAGTTTACCCAGCAGCAACACGGCATGACGGTCTATTTTTGTCTCGACTCATTATCAGCCTTGGAGTGTTGTGAACATACGTTCTAGGACTTTGAAGCTAGAGTATATAAGCTTCCTATGAGTACATGATATATCCTACAGCGCCATCGGCCATCGAAAAAGAACACATCATGGCGCCGTTGACCCTTGAAGTGCGACATAACAGTGAGGGGACAATTGAGTGTTGGGACGACGATGACGAGCTACAATTTAACGACGATATTAACTTACGTGCCACATCAACTGCCACATCAGTGACAAACTCATCGTTACGTCGATCAGGACACCGTGACTCTATCTCCTCTCGCCGCTCCGCTCGCTCCGATCTTGACTCTACTGCTGGGGGCGATGAAGACTGGCAGGTTCAGCTGCTGGATGATGATGAAATTGTGAACGAAGAGGCGCTAACTTCCGCAAAAAACGCGGGAATTCCACTGCCTACGAACGTTCCCCGGTCAGCACTTATCGGAGGCACCATCAAACGTCTTGGCAGGAGAAAGACGAAGAGAGAATTTATCGATGATTGGTCCGATGACCTAGAGCTACCAGGTCCAGATGCAGTCCTAGAGCTAAAACGATCCCATGATACACCCTTCCCTGATTCACTTCCCCAACTCAGCTCTACTGCAGCGAGCCCAGTGAAGACCTCTCCTTTTCGTTTTGGGGATGATGGAGACCTTCATGCACACCAAGGGACCTCCCAGTCCATTCTGGATAACTTTCTAGATCTCGACGATATCGATGATAGCCAAGATGTCCCTACGATTAAAATAGCCAATCCCCAGCCACCGCAAAGAGCAAGTATTATTGGTTATGTAGGGCCTAGCGAAGAAGCCTCGGCCGAAAACTTCGAGGACGATTTTGAACTTCCGGCAGATAATCTTCTCAGCCTTTGCCGTCGTGAACCCCCCGTGCGAGACTCCAGCCCAACCCCAGAAGACTTTGATGTGGAATGGTCTGAAGGTAGTATTGGTGTCCGGTTTGGTGGCACTACACGAGATCACCGGTCGAACCCAAGCTCCTCAATTTCGGTAGTTAGCCCTAGTGCGTCAAGTTATTTGACAGGCGAAAGCGATGACGAAGGTCTTGACGGTCTTGTTATTCCAGAAGGGCCTCTAGACTTTGGGGCGTGCTTGAAGAGACGGAAGAATCCAAATTCCACGGATGCAGCTCGTCTCCAACCCGACCACGAGAAATGCGAGCAGCCGCCTCCTGCAGACGATTTTTTCTCTGGACTCGAAATAAATGAAAACGAGTCCTTTAATACTCGAAGACCATCAGTAAACCCAAACATTAGATGCAAGAGCGAGCCCTTGGGGAGTCCAGCGCGTCGCTCCGCAACGACCCTCACGTTTACAAACGGTCCTCTATCGCCAAAGACCCGGATTCCGCGCCTTTCAGGCCACGATCGCCCTCACTCGACCCACCTAGAAACTGTGTCTGAGAGCGGCGCACCACTCTCGAAGTTTCGTACGTCCCCCCGCCGATCTGGGGGCCATGTTGCCCATTCTTCCGTATCCAGCCTTCCCGCCTCCGGATCCACATCGATATCCCCAACTCCTCCCTTTACGCCGAGCCGACGACTTGTGGGGACCCGAATCGCAAAAGAGCTACTCGGAGAGCGTGCCGCCCCTGGAAGACAGCTCTTGAGGTCGAAACGATCGATGCCCTCGATGCGGAATCATTCACAGATTACCTCAACGACTTCTCTCCCGAGTCCTCATCGCCCGGATGGTTCGACTTGGTCTAATCCCCGGCTTTGGACTCCAATCGATCGCACAGCTTCCGACGTCAGATTGTCCGGCCGTAAATCTGCACCATTCATTCCTGCGGGGGCATCTGACAAACAGTCTCATCACGCAAGCGTCAAAACTTACCGATATTCCCGACGCACGAGCTCCGATGGCACGAGCGATACTGTCAGCTCCCAGGGCTCCATAACCCGGATATCGCGACCTAACCGCTATGACAACAACTCGAACGAGGCAACCCAAGAAACATTGAACACAACTCCTAAACGAACTCTTACTCGACCAACCCGTCGACGAAATTTCGGTGATGGGACCGAATTAGCTTCGTTCGACGACTTACCTACGTCTTCTGCAGCCGAGAGTAAATATGTAAAACAACCATGTGGACGTGGTGCTCCACGAGCCTTGAGACACAAATTGGGTCTCAGTCAATCCTCCATACAATTGAAACCAGAAAGTCCAACCCCCCAAGCTCCGACAAGCAGTACTCCATTCCAACAAGGGTCAATTCCTAGATTTGCACGCGACACCAATGCCTCCAGAAACGCAAGGGAGCAGCGCATCGCCTCTATGTCATCAAGCTCAAAGAGTAGTCGGGAGAGTAACGCTCTTGCCCCTCTGAACTCCAACTGGAAAACGCAGACTATTTCACGGATGCCGTCAAGCACAGTATCCGTGAGGACCAAGAGGACCAAATCTGGCACGATTTCAGGGTCCAGGCCCCAGTTAATCAAGCCCATTGGTGTGGGTGTCCAGGAAGCCAAATGTAAGGTTGGACAGATATTAACCGCGACGAACTCCTCAGCTGACAATTATCATAGCCATAAATGGGATGCAGTACAACCCTGCTTCGTACCGCTGGGAGGGGAACGAGAATATGGTCCATGGATTCGATACTACCTCACCCAAGTCCCCGAAGTCCTCGCCCGCCCTTATTACTAACTTTGGAGCGATGCAAAATGTGCAGGTAGTCGGTGGAATGGTGTTTGATCCACAGCGCATGTGCTGGCTCAAGCTTGCACCATCACAACCTGGGGTAGATGGACTTGTCGCAGTCCAAGACGAGGACGATGTCTTTTCCAACTTTGTTGACCTAAAAGAGAACTCTGGTATCTCTGGGAGAAGAGGTCCTGGCGTCCTTGATGATCTTTGTCCTGCCGCAAGTGGAGATGACCGGAGTTGTGAGGATTCATCAGATGAGTGGCCCATTACCGAGGAGTTTGATGTTGGCCCGGAGTTTATCAGACGCCAGCATACGGAAGAAGAAAAGTGGAGACGCAAGGTTGACAAGTGGGTTAATCATAATCATAATCATAATCATGCTGGGTTCGGAAGCAGCTGGAGATGGGCCATCCGGGATCTGGTAAGGATCAATAGCTCTCTCGGCGCTCAAGGGCTCAATAATCCATGATTGCTTTGGGGTTTACCTTTTTTTTTTTTTAAGGCTCCTTCGAGAGCCTCCCAGACCCCCCAAGATTGCGTGGAACCAAAAAGAGAGAAAATAAAAAATAAAAAAGAGAGCAAGAAGAAGAAAAGAAAAGAAAAAAAAGGGAAAAAGAAATTCTCCCCCGTTATGATACCCACGAATATACTAGAGCTTCTAGTATCGATTGATATTCTCTGATTCTAATGTGGCGCAACCAGTTTGATGACAGTGTTGGCCAGGGCCTATCATGGCAATAACTAATGAAAATAATTATTATGCAGCTGAATTTCTGTTGTATCTACTATTGGTTAGTGGATGTCCGTCCGTCCCTGTATGAGTTAATGAAGATAGAAATTACGACATTAAAGATCCAAGAATACCAAGTTTTTTTTTTTTCAGGCAAGAGATGCTATTGATACGTGATGACCATGATAAATATTGAGCATTTCCACCTGCAACACTAGGTAGGAAGAGAGAGGCTGTCTTTGGTAATGCACGAGGAGATAGATGATGATAATGTCGTGCATTGCTGGGTCGTCACCAACTAACTCTTCTGGGGGAAGGAAGTATACCCGAGTCACAACATCTTAATAAGTATCTAGATGAGTGAAGCAGCAAACTAGAACCAAAAATAGTGTTTATTTTGCCCGGGCTATTTCTCTTCAATATGTGCGCAGATAACACAGATCATTCAATAACCGGAAACACTGATTCTGACGTCGATCTTGTGTAGGACCTCAAGTGATGAAATAAGCCAGCTTGACTCATCGGTAGATACTACGATTTTGCCTATTTAAGCAGTAGTATATGTCGAGTACATCGGATATTGACTTCTTGCTCCTATTGGCGGACCGCAAGAAGCCGTCGTAATTGGAGGTCCATCGCTGGAGGATTCCAAGGGAGGTTTTGTTTGATGTCACAGTCCCCTCAGCACACTCCAGGTGATGCTGGGTAGGAAAAGGAAGGATTTTGTCACTGGTACGTTCCTGATATGGCGGTCTACATACTTATCTATTTATGTATAGCGACATGTATGTCTCTATGCAGCTGGGCCCACCAGCATGGAACATCCTTCCTGTCTGCGCCCCCCCCCCCAAATTACAGGCCGAGACGCCTCAAATACTACTGGTGATTACCTGGAATTAGTCATATAGGGAGACTTCGGCCACCTAGGTTGTAGAATGTCCATGAATTCAACGTACCGAGCTGGGTCCGGGTTGGGAGCCGACGGATGGGTAGTGAGTAAATAGGTTACTCGAGAGAGAGATGTGGACTCGAAGTTTCTGACACTACTGTCTGCAAGTAACACAGCATCGAGCCAATGGTGTTTGTCCAAATAGGTCAGTCGCCAACACACCCACATCGACCAGGCGGCGGTGACGAGTATAAGCCCCATGGGCCACCAATGCATACCCCCTCTAGAGCATGTAAATTCGCAGTGCCGGGTGGAATTGGTTTTCCAGCACCATTGAGGCAAGCCTCATTTTCCATTTCCAAGCAAAAGCCAGAGTTACCGGATTGCAAGCGCTTTAACGGGGAAAATTTCATCGGGACCTCTGGATATTGTGATTGGCAGGATTGGCCCTTCTTGGGCTTGGATGTGCCTGAAAAGTTTATCGAGAATACGAGACGTAATTGAGCCCCCAAGGTTATGCAGTACTGGACCTTGCGAAAGTGCTAACTAGTTAACTAGTTAGCTCCTGCAAGTAAATTTACTAATCAAAAAGATAGGCTAGGTCGGGCAGAACCAACGTGGCACAGGAAGAAGAAAATGCGGCAGGTGCTTCAGTCATTGAGGCGTCAATTGTATCCGAAGAAAAGAATGCGATATTACTGTAGCAGTAAGATCAGCAGCAAGCTAAAAGGGAGAGAGAGAGAGAGAGAGAGAGAGGGAAAAAGAAAAGAAGGCGTATTTGGAGCCTGGAGTAGGATTTAGCCATTGTTGCGATGTCGGTATGTAGCTCTACTCTGCATACGCCAAAGTAAGTCTGCTTAAGTGTAGAAAAGTGGCCGTATAGTGAGTGCTAAGCCACCGCATATCCAGGAAGATTAAATGATGGGTAATGAAACTCTGACCTGCAGAAGAATAAAACGAATTGCTCACGAGGGAAATGGAGAAAGAGCGCATAGAGGCTGGTGTGTAGATCATGCAGTGTTCGGCCAACTTACCTGCATTCGATGAATTCCTCCGATAAGTCTCTGTATTAAAGACGGGTATGGGCTTCCTGTCAAAGTCATTGAAATAAATGGGCGGGTGTTTGTCTATGTTGTCTAGGGAAAAGGCTGGATGGCAGATGGAGGAGGAGGAGAAAGCATCGTCGTATACCTGGTAGGTAGTATGTAGTAGGGCACTAGCGTTGCTGCCAAAGGGGAGCTCGGATTGAATGAAGCCCACTCATTATTTTATTGATTTTGGCTGCGAGACCAATGGTAAGACTCAGGATTCTATGCACTGTTACCTGAACTTCTTGGATTGTGGAACAGGGGAACTAATTCACTTTTAGGGGATCAGATTTCCCGCAAGACAACAACAACAACAACAACAGCCTGACCCTCTTGTATACAAGCAATGAGTAAGTATCCTGCTTCACTTTGAGGGACCTAATACCGATAAGATATCCTTTTCCAAGGATGGGGCTTCAGACATCATGTGCCTTTCGTCGGGCTTCTAGCCTTGGGTATGTGAGCAGTAAATAATATGGGAGTATATACAAAAAAGTGCTAAACACATCTATGCTAGTTACTTCTTGGTAACATCTTGAATTTACAGAGATGACGCCTAAAAAGAGGAGTATTAACCGTCATTGTCCCCTCCCAGAGTGTCTGGAACCCACTCATGGCCCTATATAACTACAGCGTAGAGAAGAAACGTTGCTATTACCAAAAGATAGGTAGATACTTTACTCATTTATATGCATTTAAATCACGATCCTTCCCCCATTAGCTATGTATCTACATTCAACGGTGAGGTTAGTATTTCCAAGGTTATCTTGAAGTACCTCTACTTGAGTAGTTAGGGTTCGAAACGTAAACTTCTTACTGTATGCTCCAGCCCATACACTACTCCTTGTACTACTACTAGTTATTTGTCATGGAGCTTATTGATTTAAATCCCCGATCTTGACAGGGCTATTTGCCCTATGACGATAATTGGTTTCTTTTGGTGGAGCGGGGGGGGGGAGACAGCCACATCTTCGGTCATTCGAGCTCTTCAACCAGGTTGTGAGAGAGCTCTGAAGCCTCTCTCTCTTCTTATGTACACATACAGTAGTATATAGATATACACCATGATTTTTGAACATCTGTCTATCTCTATTGCTCTTCCGTTTCTTTCCCTCTGTCAGTTTTATTTCCTAGAGGAATTCTTATAAAAGAAGAGTACTCCATGGAACAATCACCCCATGACATTACCCCAGCAAGATTGCGGACTGCAGATTGATTCTCTTTCCTTTTTTTTTTTTCTTTTCCTTTCTTCTTTGTTTCCTTCTTGATGCTTGATCCTTGTCGGGTTTGTTCAGTCCTTAGCTGTCTTGTCTTCGCTTGTTTCTGCAGCTTGCTTTGGTTGTATTTATGCTCTTTGCGGAGTACCTTACAGAGCCTTTTCCTCTCTTACCGTTGGCCTCCTATTTGCTGCCGTGATCCTTCTGCCTGTCATTTTCCTTTTTGCTCTCTTCTTATTGCTTTCTTTCTTTCTTTTTTTGGGGGGTTTTTTTTTTTCTTTTCTTTTCTTTTCTTTTCCTTTCCTTTTTTCTGCTGCTCTTGTCGCTTATTTGTGCCCAGTGCGTGCTTGGGTGGAGGGAAAAGCACCCTAAGTCTTCTGTTTCCCCATTCAGGGATTCTTTCTACCCTCTTGGATTCCCTAGTTACAAACTTACTGATGGTTACCTTGCATCTTTTCATAGTAGGGTGTCATGCTCATGTGCATACGGAGCCAGGAATCGTTATAAAAGAAACTACTTGGTTGGGGGGCTCGGACATGTATTCATTTAAATACAAATCTTTACCCTGTCTTCAATCACCAACAGTTTCCTTCAGTGGCAGAAAAAAGAAAGAAAAAACGGATTCAATTCCCCTCATAGGATTTTTAATTTTACTGAACTCTTTATATCGATTCTTTCGAGTCTCATTTGAAACCGGGGACACCCTCCTTCCAACTCTCTCCCCTAGGTTCTAGTAGTCTAGGACATAGGGTTTCAATAACAGTCGAAAGGCTGTGCAACCCCGTTGCTTCACATTCCTCTGCTTTGCCATGAAATAAACTCGGATACCAGCACCACGGCGACAATTTTTTTTTTTTTTTTTCTTCGAAAGAAACCTTCTTGAGAAAGGTGATCAACGGCTTGTCTTCTCTCCGACGACCCAACCTGAATCCACTCCTGTGCATGCATATGGGATTCCGCTAAAGAAAAAAAAAAAAAAAAAAAAAGAATAGACCATCGGAAGCTCCTTGGCTTATCATGAGCGGTTTCGGAAGGCGCAGTAATGACGGTCAGGATGGCTTTTTCTTAAGCCAACAGGTCTCGTTGCCCGTGCCGTGCAGCCATGGGGATAGCAATGACTTTGGCACGAATGAAGCAACCCCATACCATTTCACCCAACACCCTTTCAATTCATATGCAACTCATTTCAACCTGCCTTATAGTTCGACCACTATAACATCCCATCACTCGACGGGAAATTCGATTGCTTCAATTCCTGATCATTTGTCTCTGCATCATCCACCGCCGCAATGCATGCCGCACCCGCGATATCTTCAATCACCCAGTTATGTACCTCTTCACGAGGCACTTCATGAAACGGACCTTGAGAGTCAAGACTCCAGGAACGAGGACACGATGCTTTCGGAGCCGATAATTCCTTCGCTGGACGGGTTTCCAAATGTCAAGGAGTTTGACCAGTTGGTGAAAAGGTAAAGAACCTTGTTATTCCCTGTCTAGTTGTCTGCTGCGCGCATTAACCAACGAGAGAACTTACACCACGCGTTTCATAGCTATGTTGATGATTTGTCAGTAAAAAAACAAGATAAGGCATTGATTCACGCCAGAAGGGCCCAAAACATAAGGACTGTCCTGATAGACCCCAAAGATACAGCCATCGAATCTGCTCAATTCCGGTAAGCACTGTTTCATACTTTGCTGGGCCCAGTTACTCTCACAAAAGAAAGGAAAAGTCAAGGGCAGGGCTCGGCAATGAGAACATTCAGTTACTGAAGAGCTCGATCAGATTTTGGGTCAAGAAGATGTTTAAACTCCAAGCAGTCGGTGGAGGCACTTCAAAGGTTCGTAAAACTAGCCCCATTCATAACTAGAAGGGGGTTTTATACTGATATGTAGACGATCTGCCAAGGGTGCGAAAATGATCTGCCATGAAGGCAAACCGGTTGCTATCCGGGAAAAGTTATTCAAAATCCTGACAAAGGCACATCAACAATGCCAACATGGTGGTCGGGACAAAACATCGGCCCAAGTCCGCCAGGTATACTCATGGTATGGGCCCTAAGCCGTTTAACCGATCATAATGGCTGATGTCTGCTAAGGGTTCCAAAAGAGTTAATATCTCGTTTTGTTAAAATATGTCCAACTTGTCAGGTCCGCCGAGGCGGTACACGGCTAACGCCTCCAAGTTCAAGAAGGGGTTCGCCTCGTCTTGAAACATCATCGCGGTCTCCCAAACTTCCTTCACCACCCATGTCAAGACGCCAGTCTGCTATCCCGCTGGAAAGACCACAGGTGGAGTACTTCGGTCTACAGAACAGCTGGGTAGAAGGTGCGCGAAAATCCCATCGACAATCAAGTCTGAACATGGGCGCTATACGAAGTGGGGGGTTAGGCCTAAATCATATTCCGGGGTCTTTGTCTGGGGGGCTGGATTCGTTCCATAACGATCTTCCAATGCCATCGTTGCAAATCAATTACGGCACAGGGTATTCCCCTCCGCATGGACCACCCAATCATCGGGATTTCCCCTATTAGTTTAGCTAAGATGTAGCTAACTAAAAGCACCCGAAACTCGAGTTGTCTTGGGTTTCAGCTGGAGATAGATACCCAGGCAATACGCCACCTTGCATATTCAAGGTCCAAACTCCGAAGGGGGCGCGCTAATCTAAACGCAGTTGTTTAGTTCCAGAAAATCTCCATACTATTATTCACCCACTGTTTTGTCTTTATTTTTATTTCTGTGTCCAGTTCCAGTATGTGGAGAATCCGAAAAAAAATATCACACATTCAATTAGCTGTAACATCCCTTGTTCATTTGCGTGGTATGGCCGTTTATCTCTCTTATCGGACACGTTACTAGTTACCGGTGCGGCCTCGTCCACGAGTATCTATATGTCACAAAAACGCAAATGTGTGGATGCTTTAACATTTATGAGTACATGAAAAATCACAAATACAGGCCTCGATACCAAGACGCGGGTGCGGGCAGATTGTGCGAGGAGTATCAGCGCGGTTGCTCGCAAATTTTGAGGTCCAGCTCATTGAGCCAACTTCGCATGATACAGAAATCGTGCTGAAACCGAAAGCGGTTAAGCTCCAGCTACTCTCTGGAAGAAACATCGAATGATCTTCGTTATGTAGGGTGAAATGGAGAAATATACTCAGTCATGGATAAAATGCCAGCCTCAGGCAAAGAAGCATAGCTATCGAATCTGGATACCGAACCACCTTCAAACTGGAAGCGAAAACCTTTTGCCCTTCATGACCCTAAATTTCATTAGACCTTTTTGCGCGATGTGGACCGGATAATGAACATACTTGGTATAGTAGATATAGAAAAAATCCGAGTACAGGAGTGTTTGAATAATGCCTGCTATGACAGGTATAGGTTGAAAGTGGCCTTCTCCAAGGTATCGATAAATCCAGTTAGGAATATAAAGAGCTCGATACAGACCCAAGGCAAATAGGTAATGTGTGGTGATGGTTTCCGCCTCGCCAGTACGCTGAAGCATGAAAAGTTGAGGAAGAATAGCGACGGACTCAAGCCAAATAGAAAAGGTCCAGAGAATCTAGATATCGTCAGGGTAGGCCCAGGTTGATAGAAAAGGGATGAGTTACCTCCGAAATACTATAGTCATGAGGGAAGAGGAAAGCCAGAACGGCGCTGGCAGCTAGCAAGTATTGCACTTTAAAGGTGTCTATATTTGGGTCGTGGGTAGGCTTGTAATCGTTGAGCATGAGGTAAATCACATAAGCTGATGAGCCAATGAAAAGAATCTTGAATGTTGTATTGTATAGAGAATCGGTGAAGGCCCAAAACAAATCTACCCAGCATCTCACATCAGCTCTCGCCAGGATAGCAGGTCTAATAGTTATTATGGAGCGCTTACCAAGATAGCGGGTCACGAATACCAGCAAATAGAGAACTTGTGATTTAAACGACAACCCAGAACAGCTCTATAAACCCAGAGTCAGGCTGCGAGCAGCGACAATACGTGGAGCTGGATACATACGCTTGAGGATTTCATCTTATGAAGGAGGAAGAATATGGATGCGAGATGGGAAAAATCCGCTATTTCGAAGGTTAGCGCCATGAATTGGCTGAATACTCAACCCAGTATAGACTCACCCAGTAGCCTGAAGATATTCATGATGTTACTATGACCTCCAAGGGCGGTGCGATGAGAGGTGGTGGAAACTCGGCGAAGGACCAAAATCAGGGACAACGGGATGAAAGACCAAAAGAAAGAGAACGGCTCAATGCTCTAGTGCCATAAAATAATTTAGCTTGTCAATTTATTCTCACAAATAGTAGCTGGTAGCCGATGTTGACGAGGTATTTGGCACGGTCTTGGAGTAGAAATAATGTTGACACGAAGCCTCAAGGATGCGCGACTATTCAGTAAGTGGGCCCCACCCACCTACACGCATGAATTTATGTAATATTGCCTCGATGAGCTCGGGAAGCTAACGCAAGGGCACCCGAATCACTCATTGGTAGGAAGGTAATTAGTTAGTTAATGTGTATTTTAGGTAGTTTACTACTAGTAGTACTATGTCTGGGGGGATAGTAGAGGTAGTTAATAATTAGTAAGTAGTAGATACTGGGTAAGCGACAAAGAGAAAACTCAATGTTATTCTCCCCCTTAATAAATGGCCTTTAGCTCTTTACCTCGAGTATGTAGAGGAAGGATAATCATTCAGCAATGCTATTACATACATACTTCGGGTTCTAGTACAGTGCAATCCTCATAAGCTCGTGATTTGTCACTCCACCCAAGCCTTATCACAATCTCCATAAATATTCGCCGTTGGCACGAAGATGCCAGGGGCATGATCGCGATGACAGCTGGTAAGTTACATTCTAGAATGTTGCCCTCGCATGAGTGCCTTCGGTATCTGCTATACACTGCAAATGGCCCTCCGCCAGCTCACTTTTTAAAGCACAGATAGAGCTTTCTCTATCGAATTTATCCCATTCCCTCAAGCCCGCCCTCTTTAGCTTTTGGCTTTCTGTTATTTGCTCAAAAAGCCGACCCTTGTCCGAGTCGAGTTGGGATAGGCGTTTTTCTGTGTTGGTATCAATCTCAGACGGAAGGAGCTTACCTCCAGGTATAATAGAACGCAGGCCGGCAAGGTGATTAGCATATCTCTGAGTGTGGGTATAAGTTGTCCCCGTCACACTGCTCTGCCGATAGGAATGATGGCGATGAGCTTCGGCACTGGAGGCCGGTGGTGCATGACTACTACGCGGGCCAGTTGGTGTTCCATGTGTGCCAACTGGCACGGGTCCGCGACGGATCGGAGAACTAGCCCACCCAGCCTCTTTAAACCCCGAACTTCCACGGGGCCGAGTCGGTGCGGAAAGAAGGGAAATATTTGAGGCGCGATTTTGAGCTGGGAGAGTTTTGGGGCCATGCGGTGGACCGGGCGGAAGCGGTGAATTGCTTACAGAGAATGCCTTTGGCTGATTTGGAATGTTACCGCTGTACGGAGGATTGAGATAGCTCTGAGGTCTCCCTTGAACATCGGGGGCTCGTAATGATCCAGAATCCCCTAAATCCGGGTGATTTCTCGCCGATGCTTGCTCGGGTGCAAATGGTCCACTCTTTCCTTTGGATTCATCTACCCTGTGCCTAGTGATGGCGGTACGCTCATCCTGGCTCGAGGGGGGGCCTGAGTCTCTAGAAAGGCAACGGCTCGGGAGGTGGTTAGTAGCAGGCGAGCGGCCTCGGGGATCGGCTGATACTATGCCGGCCTTTTCCGTATGCGGTGATGACCGTCTCGAATTGGACACGGAACCAGGAGCAGAAGTACGCTTAGGTGCGAGACCTCTTGGAGACGGCGATCGTCGTCTCGGCCTAGAAAATCGCTCTAAATGAGGTTCTCTGCGTCCTCCGTAGAAGGGGCTGCGAGGGCGCGGTGTGGTTGAAGTTCGTTGATCTTCTTCAGATGATAGTATATGTCTCGAGGGTGAGCCAGATCTCGCGTGTTGGTCGGCAGATGGAGGGTGACGCTCTTTTCTAAAAATTCCAGCGTCCCGACTGAAGGGTGGGGAATCCCTTGGGCGCTTTGGTGTACCCTGACTCCAAGAAGTATCGCGGTCACGATCCTCACCATACGGGGATCTAGGGCGTCTAGAGAGCTGGGCAGGAGATCGAGGCCTTCCTTCTCGGCGAGGCGAGAATCTTCGAGAAGAGGAGTACGACTTGACATACGGGCCAAAGCTATCTCTGCTATAAAAGGGAGGACTTCGCGAGGAGCGGCGTCTAAAAGGAGGCGGAGAACGGCTCCTGACACGGTTGTAAGTTCGCCCAGTTGATGGTACCCAAGTATCTGCAACAAGGCGAGGGGAGCGGATTCGTGGAGGCGATCTACTGCGACGACTATACCCTCTCGAACTCCCAGGGCGATAGCTCTCTCCACCGCGATGATCGTCGAATCTGCCAGGGAAAATATCGTGTTAGCATTTTGTAAAGGGGTGTGACTTGTTTTCTATTAAATTCTAGTGTCAAATCATAACAAACCTTCGGTTGCGATCCCAGTCCATAATTCGTACAGGTTCAAGAATTGCGCTTTAGTCAAGCGCAGTTAGAGGCTTAATTAGCGGATCAACATAGCTAGGAATCAATAAAATAATAATTGGGGTTCAGTGATACGGAGAGATGCAAAGCCTAGATAGCAGTGGAATGCTTCAATAAGAATGACTGCGGTTGGAAAAAGGATGAGAAACGTATTGGTTTTGAAGTTATGCGCGAGGTTCAAAATTGTTATACGGAGTATATTACATTACTCCCAGGAAATTCTTTGGACTTTCTTGAGGGAGGTTGCCTAACCCAAGTTAGGTAAGTGAAATATTATTAATATAGCTAGTTCCCACCTTGGCATGGAATTGTACTGCATATGGCTTCGGTACTAAACTATCTACTGCTCCTAGTAATGTTAAAATGCCTCCGACCCACCTGAACAGCTGCAAGTAAGAGTATGTACTCTGTAAATAGGGTAATATTAAATATGAAATAGTAATAGCTATGGAGTTATGAGCTCCTTTGGATGAAACAATTATCTTCCTGCCACTAATGTCCCTACTAGAAGACTAAGTACCAGCACAGAGTAAAGGAATAATTATACAGGGAATCATTACTTTACAGATTAACTCTAGGTCCCTTTCGCATAAGTATCAGTCTTGGACAGTTTGTTTACTTTACCATAAAATTATTATATTATTGTTGTTAGAGATTCGATCAAGAATCAAGGTCTTCCCCCTTCATGGGCCCTTTTGACATCAATAATGGAATTGATGAGATCTTGGTTTTGTAACGCTTGGCGGGCTGCCTTGTTTCCAGCAATGGTCTTGTTTGACCCTTGGCCGGATCCAAGGTGCTTGTTCTCCCATCCCCAGCCCGTAAGGTAGACCCCGATAAAAAATGTCTGCATCCCCCCTTCGTGCTGCTTCGGAGGCTTCTCGTCGATATATTTCAGCTTCACTCCTTTTCCCATGATTTTTTTAGCAAGAGATTCCTTAGCATGCAGGTCCGATTCAGAAGTCGAGAGAGAGTTAAGCTTTGGCATCCACAGCTGTGATAACCAATTCTCGGCGACAGCGTAGCCATTAGGATTAGAGAGTATAACTGCAGCCACATAGGCCTCGAAAAGATCTCCCCTTGTTTTTATCCACCTTTTGGGTTGATTTAGATACTCTTGTGGAACCAAAGCTCTGCGATCGAGGCCGTACTTGGTAGCATATTCGGCAAGCGTTTCGTTCTTCACTAGTAGTTCCCTAATTTGTGAAATGCGGCCGGATGGTATTTCCTGGAATTTATCCCATATGAGCTTCGTAGCCATAAGTTCTATGTATGCATCGCCTAGTATCTCCAGTCTATCATAGCTTGTTTTCGGGTCACGGCCGACTCCGGGATGTGTGAAAACCGCCCGTTCGAGTTTATTATCCATGATAGAAGGTAATAGTGGTAGGTCTCCGCTGTTGTGGTGGGTTTTGCTCGATGGCGCGTTGATCAGGCAAGCGATCGATTCGGGGGGGGGTGCCGGCTGCAAAGCTCTATTCAAGTCGACGGCGGCTCGAATAACATCGGGACTAAACTCGACGGCACCATTTTCTGGGGATTCAATGACCTTTTTAAGTAGATCTCCGAGAAGTTTAACAGGGTTCTGAGATTCAGTTGCTTCTGAGAGGGAGGAAGATCCACTCAAAGCGATATTTGAGTGGTGAATCTGCTGAAAGTCAGTCATTCGGTGGAGGCAGCAGTTTATACAGTGTTAATAAACCTTCTGTCTTGTTATTGCAGCACGATCATCGTGCAACGATGAGAAGACCGATTTTCTTTTCAGGTCCATGAATAAAATGTTAAGACAGCTGGAACATCTATTGCTTCTGGGTCAACTTTTGACGGTATCCATTTGATCACGTGCCAAGTGGATCACAAGTTCTCTCCTCCAGAACTTACAATCATTTCAAATATACTCTCCATAATAAGACGACAACTCCCTCGATATGGCTACTCCGTACAGTCGGTTGCTGGACCTGGTTAAGGTACGGAAATATATCCTATCACACTCCATACCCATCCCTTTGCTCACCATGTTCGACCTTTCGCCTGCGGTTGACTCGCTATATTAATATTGACATCGCAATCAGGTTCAGTGCCAGGTTTTTTCTCTGAATTTTAACCCTCAGCGGTTGCGGCTGGGTAATAAGGTGCTACGTCAAAGACTACGAGGGCCAATGGTGGCAGCATGGTACCCAAAAAAGACGGTTTCTTTCCGTGATCTGCAGAACACTTGTAAACCTCTAGGTTTGACAACATTTGACGAAGCCGAGGATGACAGAGAAGAAGCCATACAAATGTAAGTCCACTCAGCCCACATTGCCTTCCATGTCTCTTACCAGTACTAGTGCGAAATTGCGAGGAAAGGGCAGGCCTAAGAAGAAACGAACAGCTGCCGGTAAGTTGCCTCCATATTTCTACCGTCCCAGTGTTAGCCTCTAATATTTATATTGTCACTTAGAGTCGAGGACAGCAAAGAAGAAGAAGTAGACACTGTACGATCAAGGTTTTCCAGGTGTTTTAAGTTCTTGTGGCGTGAGATATTTTTTTTTGGTTCTGTACAATAGAGAATTCTGTATATCCTGCTGTGTGCCTTTTGGTGGGGGCAAATTATTGCTACATATCTGCTTTGATGCTAATTGGATAGTGTAGAAACATGATGCTAAACCCCAGGCATGTCCAGGGGTAATTAAGAGTTACGTGCCAGTTTATCAGTAATAGGGAGTTTTAGAGTGCCATGTTACTACTTAGTCTATGGTTAAAGTTGCGCTATATACGCACAACCCCCACCCTACTTGCCCATATAACTAAATATTATTAGTAAATAGTCTTTTATTTTATATTAGATAAATTACTAAAGGTAATACCTAGTAATAGATTACTTAGAAATAAAGGTCTGATTCTTTCTATTCTAATAAAATAAGTAGGTTTAAATATAATAAAATTCTAACTTTAGAATTAGAGTTAGAAGAAATAGAATCTAACTAGTATAAGAAAATAGAAGGCAGGACTAGAATTACTAGAAATTATTTCTAAAATTAGTAATCTTATATTTTTATAATTTAATATACTATTAGAGTACTAGATTTAGTAAATATTAATATTACTACTAAGTAAGGATAGTAATATATAATCTAATATATTTAGGCTACTATTTCCTTTCTAAACCTTTATATTTCCTCTGAGTATCTAGCTCTTTTCTAATTAGATCTAAATTTAATTTAATTTAATTAAATTTTTTAATATTATAATTTAATAACCTTTATTAGATTATAAATCCTCCTTAAGGTTCTATTTATACTTTATAAATCTTAAAGAATTCTTATAAAACCCCTATATTAGATCTTCTACTTAATTAGATAAAGATTTTAGTAAATTACCTAGTATTATATTATCTTATCTAGATAAAAATATAATATAAAATAGTAAAAAAGTCTCTATAATCTATTATAGTAGGTAGGCTAGTAGTATATATAACTAATAATATAATATATATTTAGAGTATCTATATATAGGTCTAATAAATTAGACTTAGATTAGAATAAAAATATAGCTTAAAGAATTATATAATAATTAAGAATAAAAATTTAAAGTAAGTCTTTATTATAAATTATATATTAATATTAATATTAATATATATTAGAGTACTATAATTAATATAAATAATAATATATAACTACTTTATATATTTAGATTATTATTTTTTTTTAAATCTTTATACTTTCTTTAAGTATTTTCTTTATCTCTTAATCTCTTAGTTATGTCACAGTGTGAAGCCATAGTACCTATCCAGTTAGATTCTACCCTGACTATCCACCTCTATTCCTGTATTTAAGCTATATTACTCCTGATCCTATTATAGCTCTTCAAGCTATATCCTATCTATTATCTAATACTTATTATTCTATTATTCTATTTAGTTAGCCCTTAATTAATAAATATCTAAATCTAATTCTATATTCTAATATTATATAGCTCCTTTTTACTAGAAGTTAATTATTATTATTATACCTATCTTACTACCTATATTATTTAAAGATATAGATACTCTTTTATATAATACTTTTAATAAGCTAAGATAATATATTATTAAAATATATTAATTTTTTACTATTATTATAAAAGAATTTTATAAATTATCTATCTTATATTTTATTATTACTAATTTTTTTAATTATATTTAATAAAAAGATAATATAATTAAGTACTAGAAAATATAAATTAAAGAAGTTTAAGAAAAATTATTTAAAGTACTTATTTAAAATAATATATTTTTTTAATTACTATTTTTTTTAGAAAAAATACTAATATTATTATTATTTTTATTATTATTATTACTCTTATTATATTTATTCTTATTACTTAAATCTCTAAATAATTTCTTAATCTTAATAAATTTAATAATTAATAAAATAACTTAAGATATTTTATTTTTTAAATTTATTAAAAAATAATTATAAATCTTAATTATCTTCTAATTCTAAATAATTAAATAATTTATATAATTAATTATCTTAAAAAAAATTTTATATACCTAAATCTTACTATATATTTAAGATAGAATCTATAAATTAAATAATTATATTAAGATTTTAAAAATTCTAGAAAGAACTTTTAAAAATCTAAATCTAATAATTAATACTTATATTAACTTATTCTATTTTTAATAAATTTATTATAAATTTAATATTTTTTTTATTAAATTTTAATATCTTATATTAGAAGAAAATATAAATAAAGATATATTATTTATAATTTTAGAATAAATTATTAATTAAGAATTTTAAAAAATATTTAATATATTTTAAAATTTTATTATAATATTATATTTTTATTAATTATCTATAAAATCTAAAAAATTATTATTATTATTATATAAATATTACTTTATCTCTATTTATAAAAAATTCCTAGCCCCTTTAATCTATTTTAAAGCTAATTCCTACTATTTAAATTCCTATAAACTTTATTAATCTTATTATTACTACTACTTCTACTAAAGATTTAATAGACTTATTTACTACTTACTACCTTAATTACTAAATTTAATACTTATATTACTATTATAGTAGTATTAACTATCTAGTAAGTAGCTACTTATACCCTAATTAAAGATTAACTAGCTATATCTCTATATTTACTACTAAATTAGACCTATACTTCCTATTAATTAGAATCTTATTTACTAAATACCTTCTATTCCCTAAATTAGAAAATAAAGTATCCTTAACTTAAATTATAATTAAAGATACCCCTAATACTCCCTTTATTTATTAAAAGTTATAATAATTAGAATAATAATAGAGAAAAAAAATTACTAATTTAAATTAATAATTTTATTTATTAATCTAAAAAGTTTTAATAAAATTTTATTAATTTTTATTATAATTAATTCTAAAGTTAAGAATAAATATTTTATAGACTATAATTAGACTATAAATAATTAATTAAAAATATTATTATTAAAAAATCCTATTTTATTAAGAAAAGTTAATAATACTCTAATAAAATTTAATTATATTATTTATTTTATTTATTTAATTTAAAGAATTTATAATTATATTAAAAAAATATTATTTTTCTTATAATTTAACTTATATACTTTTCTATTATTCTTAACTTACTTTAATTAAAGATTTATAATTTCTAGATTAAATTTACTAATTATATTATAAAAAGTACTATAATATATCTTTAAAATTTATAAAGATTTTAATATTATATAATATATTATTAAAAGCTTCTCTTTAATACCTTAATCTTTATTCTAAATTTCTAAAGAATTAAGATATTACTAAAATCTTAGTTACTACCTATACTATATATACTTACTATAAATATTAGATATTTATTACTACTATTATAGATATTAAAGCTACTCTAAATCTTATTATTATTATTAAATTTAAGTTATAAGAATAATTACTCTCTAAGTTTATTAAATTTTATAATATATTCTTACTAAAGGACGCTAAGTACCTACTACTTTACTAATTTAATAATTATAAGATTAAATTACTATTAAAAAAAATCTTATTATTTAGGAGCTTATATAGTATATCCTAAAATAAATTAAAAATTTTAAAGAAATAGATTAAAAAAAATTTAAAAAAAGATTTTATTTACTCTAGTTTTTTTTTTATTATATTTTTTATTATATTTATAAAGAAGCCTAAGAAAGGCTTATAATTTTATATAGATTATTAAGCTTTAAATATAATTATTATAAAGAATTATTATTTATTATTACTAATAAAAGAAATATTAAATAATCTAAAAAAAATAAGATATTTCTTAAAAATTATATTTTTACTTTTAATAATTTATAAATTAAGAAGAGATAAGAATATCTTATTATTTTTTAAATTTAATTAAGCTTATTTAAATTCTTAATAATATTATTTAGATTTACTAGAATTCTAATATTATTTTAAAGATTTATTAATAAAATTTTATATAATTATTTAGATATTTTCTATATTATATATCTAAATAATATTCTAATTTATAATTAAACTTATATTAAGTATATTTATTATATTTAATAAGTATTAAAATATCTATAAGTAATAAGATTTTATATTAAATTTAATAAATATAAATTTTTTATACGCAAGATAAAGTTCCTAAAACTAATTATAAGTAAAAATAGCTTTTAAATAGATTTTAATAAGGTAAAAATAATTATTAAGTAAGAAATACTAACTTATTTAATTAATATTTAAGCTTTTATTAACTTTAGGAACTTTTATTATTAATTTATTTATAATTTTTTAAAAATTATTAGATTACTAGTTAATTTAATTAAGAAAAATATTAACTTTAACTAAATATTTATTTATTAAAAAATATTTAAATAATTAAAAGTTATTTTTATAAATATTCTAATATTAAAATCTTTTTAACTAGTTAAAAAATATAATTCTAGAAATTAATATTTTTAATTATATATTTATTAAAGTATTATTATAATATAATAATAAAAATATATTATATTTTATTATATTTTTCTCTTAAAAATATTTTATAATAAAATATAATTATAAGATTTATAATAAAGAATTACTAGTTATTATTTATTATTTTAAAAAATAATATTCTAAATTAAAAAAGACTTTATTACTTATAAAGATTATTATAGATTACTAGAATCTAAAATATTTTATATTAATTAAGTTACTAAATTATTAATAAGTTTACTAGTCTAAATTTTAATTAAAATTTAATTTTTAAATATATTATTACCTTAAAAAGTTAGGTATTAAACCTAATATATTAACTAGGAGGTTAGAGAACCTACTTAAGAAAGGAAATAAATAATTCTTTTATTAGAGCTAGATTATTCTAAAATTTAAAAATCTACTATTTAAGATTACTACTAATCTAAAATTAAATATTAATAACTAATATTAAGTATACTTTATAAAATAACCTATTACTAATAAATTAATCTCTCTACTATTAATATTATAATTACTATTTAATAGAGCTTATTTCTAAGATAAGAAGCTCTAG